CACACGAGTGCGATAATGAGAGGTCAAAGTAATTGACAACATCGCTAAACCCGGGAAGAAATGACCTGCGCTCGATCGGAGTTGATCGTAACCCACTCTTGCGGTCGTCTCCTGTCACCCCCGATTGGCTGGTGGAAAGGATATTCATATTTTGTCTTCCGTGAACACGAGTGACCGTTTGGGGCGTGCACATTGATCAACCATGGTCTTACCCCGCGTGCAATATGACCACACTTGAACAACTATAGCGGGAGAGACGATCGGGTACTGATCATTTGCTACAGGACAGACGTTCGAGCGTGAACATCGGGTGAGGTCTCTGTGATCTGCGCAGTTCAGAGGACAGCCACGAAATGGTCTTCGTCGATCAACCTTTGTCATGAGAATGGTCTGACAAGAACATTGTCCCGGGTAAAATGGTCGGGGGTGAGCATTGCTTGCGGTACAATTGAACGAAAGACGGGGGGTGTCTGGTCGTCTGTGAGGACGTCTATGATCTTCTCGTGCTTATCCTACGAACAAATGTACGCCAAACGATGATCCCCAGGTCACACAGTATGTATGACCTCAGTTGCAGGAAATGCTCGTCACACGACAGTACCGTACACGCGCAACCATCATGTGAGGCACATAGAATACTGTTTTATTCATGTCGTAAATAAGTACATATGGCACAAAGAGTCGGTGAGTAGCAATAAGGAGCGTCTTGGTGAGATGTTGTAGACTGACAGAACGGGAGCGATTGGGGAGCGAGTGCAGGTCCGACGCATGCTCGCACCACCGGTAGCTCAGGCCTGCTTCGAGAACCCAACGCCATAGCCGAACGGTCCGACGCCGCAGACAACGGCATCGTGCGCCCCAGGCGCATCCTGAACCGGCGCATGCATGAGGTGGCAGTTGAGGTCACCACATGTCTTCACAGCAACTTCTATCGTGGCGCGCTAGGCAAGAACGCGTCAGTGAAAGCGTCGAGACATGAGAGTACTATACTTGCCTGGCAGGACGAGTAATCTCGCCTTCAACAACGGTAGTTACTGAAGCCGTATCATCCGCCACGGCTCACGCGTTTACACAGTTCTGCGGGCCGGCCGCGGGTAACCTGTGATGTGTCGCAGTGAAAGTGCACACAATATCTTGCGAGGCATGGGTGAGGGTAATGATTGGAGAGAAGCCGATGTCTACTCACATGAAGCATCTGACGGAGTCTGGGATCTGGTTCTACGCAGAAGGGCGTCTCCCAGAGGGTCTTCAGCGCTGAGCATCTCGAGATCATACTAGATAGAACACTCACGGAAAGTTGTATAGGCAGAGCTTGTGCCACCAGTCCTGCACTTAGCTCGAGAAAACTCGAGTCGCCCCTGGCAGCAGCACAGAAATGCGGACGACTGAGTGTAAGAACATCGACTGCGAGTCACCACGTTGGACTGGCACGAAGCCGCCCTGCATCATCCTCGTACCGTCCGGTGAGAGGGGCGAGCACCACACGTTCTCGAGCGAGAGGAGCGCGTTGTACGACGGCGGGCCCGGCACGGGTGCGAGCGCGTAGCGTGCGGTCTGGATCGTGAGGTCGAGCACCAATGAACGTAGCGGCGAGCGCGGGTTCGAGCGCGGGGGGTGCCGTGCGCAGGAAGGAGGAGGGAGGGCAGTGAACGTAGTTTGAGTACGCGAGTGGGAGGCTGAGGGGCTGCCAATTTGTGGGCACGAGCGAGGGCGTGGGGGGAACGGGGTTCAAACAGCAAAGTACCTGGCAATCGTGAGGGATGTTCAGTGTGGTGTAAGGTGAATATGAAAAACGTACGCAGCCAGCTCGAGGCGAAACTGAGCGCACTCCTTGCATCTAACGAACATCAGGGGGAAAGTAGGGTTGAGAGGGAAGGTGGGAGTGAGGACCCAAGTTGCAATGCACACGGAGATGGTCGACGGGAAGCACGTCATTGGCGTGGGGCTTGGTCCTGTATAGCACACTAATTAGAGTTTATGGGCCACCGATCCATGGCCCTTGGTCGACATCCAATCGTACCGAACGGCCGGGTCTGGATAGTTAGTGGAAGGGCGTAGAATGAGGCTCTAATAGCCGCGATTGACGTGAGCGCAAGACCCCGCACGCGCCCTGACGCGGTCAGTACTTGGGCAATGGCCTCGAGAGTCAATATGTTCGCTCCGTCATGCGGCTCCTTACCTCATTGGTGCAGGCGATGGCGAAGTCGAGCAGAGCATCGCCGAGCTGCTCGGAGCGGTTGCGCACAGGGTTGGGCACCAGCGAACTTGGCCGAAGGCGAAGGAGACATGGACGAAGTCAAGGCAAAGCGAGCTGTGAACACACTGCACTGCACACGCTGAGATCACGGACATCACGTGGGTCCCACCGTCCTCTTCGCCCCGGCCTCTTCGATCTTGCTTCGATCTGTCAGTGATCTATCAATGATCACCCAAAGCTCGGTCTCGGGAGAACGTATGATCATTTGCTCCATTAGAGATCTAAGGTAGTCTGTGTCTATCACGCTAAGATAAATGTTGATCACCAGCTGTCACGCCGACTCTGGGTGATCTGCTCTGGATTTTATGACAGAACATGAACATCTCGCGATCAACCGGCGCTTCCCAGATCGCCCACGGTCAGAATTTCCCGCGTTTAGCGATGAAAGTGATTGGTTTTCTCTGGTCGCCCTCGTCTTTCTTACTACTACATGGATGCCGATGCTTCCCATGTTGTCCACCGTTTGGAAAGCTAGAAATACGCCGTGCCCGTCAGCGCGAACCGCTCCAGTCTACGGTAGTCCGGCCGGTCCTTCGCCACCGCCCAAAGCCACGCATCGAGCTCCGGCGGCATGAGCTCCCCCAACCACGCAAGCTCAGGGTCGGCCCCCGCAGCGAGCGTCCTCCCATGCGCGACGAGCCGCTCGCACACGTCGATCGCGGCCCCGCGCAGCGCGAACGCCTGCGCCTGCGTCACGCGCGGGCCCTCCTTCGGGGGCTCCTTCGCCTTCGCCGGCATCTGCGCGAGGACCTCCGCGGGCGCGGGCGCGGGCGACGCGGCGAGCAGCGGCGCGAGCACCGCGGGGTCGCGCGCGTGCGGGAAGAGCGCGGGGAGGCCGAGCGCGGGGTCGGCGGCGGAGAGGTCGAGCACGCCGAGGTGGACGAGGAGCGAGGGGATCACGTTGTCCGAGAAGATGGGGAGGCGTGTGGTGTCCGGCGCGGGGACCGCGCGCGTGGGGGTCTTGCCCGCGGGGCCGAAGCGCAGCGCGACGGCGTGCAGGGTGAGGAGCGCCTTCTTGAAGCAGTACACGGGCGCGTCGTAGACCGGCGCGGCGTCGCGGAACGCGGGGATGCAGCGCACGAGCTGCGGGAGGAAGGGAGGCACGCGTGAGCTGCGTGTCCTGGGGGGAGAGTGGGAGGGCGACGCACCCGCTCGAGCGCGACGTCGCACGCGTCGCCGCCGGACGCCTTCGCCTTCTCGCCCTCCTTGAGGGCCTCGAGCACGAAGCTCCCCAGGTCTGGGTACCCGCCCTGGGCGAGCGCCGCCCCGGTCTCGTTCAGCGTCCGCGCGACGATCTGGACGATCTCCCAGATGGGGCCACCGAGCTCGCCGACGGTCACCCCTGGGATGTCCTCGTGCGGCCGCTCGACGTGGATGGAACCGGTGACGCGCATGAGATCTGCGACGGCGGGGGGCGTGATGGCCTGCATGCCGCGCGCGGAGAAGTAGTCGTCCTCTCCGGACGAAGACGAGATGTGGGCGGCAAAGACGAAGGCGCGGATGTTGTCGAAGGCGCCGCGCCCCGTGGCGACGTGTAAGGGTACACGATAGCCAGACGCGAAGTTGAGGACGGAGAGGACGGAAAGAACGTTGAGCTCCTGGGCGACGGAGCTGAAGTTGAGGGGAAGGGTCATGCCATGGGCTGTGCGGAGACGTTGGTATGTGCTCGTGAAAGCGGGAGAGAGGAGTAAACGAGTCATGTCCTCCTCGTTGATCTAGACGACGGCGGACTCATGAGCGAAGTTCAGCGAACCGTCAGCAGCCGAAAGAAACATATACTATGGGTGAAATCGACAAAGCGTTCAGGCTCACTTTTATGTTTGCCTTGATCCTTACGGCCTCAGAAGACTCGCGCACAGCTTGAATGTAGCCTCCTGAAGCAGGTAGTGGTACAGAAGGCATTTTGAGTGTTTGAGACCGAAAACAGTGCGTTCTGAGACGGAAGAGATGTGTCAGCGTTCGCGGCTCTGAGATATATGTAGCTGTCCGACTTGCGGTGCCGAGGTGCAGACGTGACGCGTGAAGACAAACGTTGGCCTGAGTGACTCGAATCGCTGCGGACGAATGAAAGAGTGCTACGCCCAGACTACTTCGAACCCGCTGCCCTATTAGTAATCCAAGCCTTCCGCGCCTATTGGAGCATCCTCATCAACATTCTTGCATGACTGGCAAAATGGCTCTTGAAATCATGTCAGCTCTCCGTAGCACCTCTCCGCATACTTTGAGGTGAACGTTCATGGAGAGTGTGAATCAAGTAGGCTAGCTAGTATTTTTACACATGTGTTTCTGCGTTCATTCTTTATTCTGAATTTTGGCACGTGTAGAGAATCGTGAGACTGGCGTAGGTGTGCATCGTGACTGAACCCATTGTTGTATGATGCTATGGTGTATGCTCCGTGGAGCAGCTGTGCGAATATATATGAGTACACGCTTCTAGGTATATATATCGATTTCCCGAAGACCCGTTAAAGCAAAACGAAATAAACGGAGAGCAAAATCGAAAGCCACGCAGGCGCCCGAGGTCTACCCAGCCGCGACAGGCACCGGCAGTGTGCGCGACGAGGGAGTGGGGGTCGCCAATAGTCAAGCATCCGCATCGCTGTCGCTCGCCGCGCTGTCGCTCTCGTCATGGCCCCAGACCGCGAATGCGCGCCGCGGCGGGTCGCGTGAGCGAGACCGGGACCGGCTCCGCGAGAATGGCATCCGCGAGGGGTCGACGGGGGTAGGTGTCTTCAGACTCTCGCCCTCAACGTCGCGGTCGCGCGGGATGCGGACCTTGCTGCTGAAGTGTGCGGAGCGCGGGCCGCGGATGTCGTCTCGCTCGCCCCGCTCGCCGTTGACCGTCGATTGCGATTGCTGATCGATCGACGAGGACGATGAAGATGCCGAGGAGGCCACGAACTGGACGTGGCGTGGAGAGATCCGCGGTGGGTGAGGGTGCGATCCCGCAAAACGGTCTGGGGAGTCAATGCCCGACTTGAGCCCCGAGGATGGGGTCGACGAGAGGTCGGGGTTGCCCCGGGCAAGGGAAACTGCGGCGTTGTGTGCACGCTCCTGCTCGCGGTTCTCTTCTTCCTGACGTAGGTTCGTCTGCCCACGCGTCTCTTCTTTGGGACTATGCTTGTTCTTGTCGGACGTGGTGGGTGACTCTGCTGACGAGAGGTCATCAATGTCGAACTTCTCTTCGTCTTCGTCGGAGCATTCGTCCTCCTCGTCCTCTTCCACTTTGCTGTTCGGCTTGGGGGTGGCGTGCTTCGCCACGGTGGGAGTAGGACCATCGTGCTCCTTGGTCACTGTTGACCTGCGCTTGCGCCCAGTGCCCTCTTCCTCCACCACGACGAACGACTTTTGCCTCTCGCGTTCGTTCCATTTGAGCGTACGCGAGATTGAGTGGAACCAGTCGCGAGATTGAGACTCCGCACAGACGGTGGGGAAGGGATATTGGGAAGCAGTGACCTTGATATGGTCGCCCTCTGGATCCAAAATGAGCTCCAGCCACTTGACTTCATAATATATCAAAACTCACGCTTGAGCTCAACACGCCCGCGGCCATCGAAAGAGGCCCACGCCGTACTTCTTGAGTTGAAAGGAACACATATACGCAGCTCCATCGTATCCGGAAGGAGCATAGGCCGGAACGAGAGCGTATGGGGGCAAAGCGGCGTGATGAGGATGGCCGGAATCTCGGGGTGCACCAGGGATCCTCCGGCCGACAGCTGATGAAAATATGAGTTAAACTAGTCATGGAAGTTAGATTGGAGACTCACCGAGTAGGCCGTCGAACCGGTCGGAGTTGCCACGCACAGACCATCGGCTTGCACCGTTGTCAGATGGTGTTCGTCACCTGCGATATCCCCGATCGGTAATGAGGACTTGGAAGGTGCTGGAATGACCAAGGACGAAAACTCACCGAACAGTTCGAGGAGACTGACGTAAGGGCTCGGCCCTCGGTCAACGACCAGGTCGTTGAGGATCTCGAAACACTCGACCGGCCTTGTCGAGAAGCACATTATCTCCTTGTCCTTCTCGCCGGCCTTCCCACAGATCCCGCCGCTCTCCAGGGCCTCCCAACCGCTCTCCTCAATACCGCGCATGAGGATCTCGCCAGTTCCGCCCTTCTTGATGGCCCGACACGCCTTGCTGTTCTTCTCAGGGGCGATCGCGCGGTAGACGGTACACGTAAAGCGCATGCGCAGGTTGACTCGGATCCCATTATCGATCGCGCTGTCCATCACTTTGCGGTGGTCCGCGAAGTCGAAATTTGTGAGGAAACCCAGCGAGCCCAGCGCGAACGGGAGCACTGGCGGCACGATGCGCTGGAACAGCCACGACGTGAACAGGACGGTGCCATCTCCGCCGAGCTAGACACGCTCGTGAGTAAGCAGTGGCGCTCGGCATGAACGTGCGTACGCACCGTGACGACGAAGTCGAAGAGATGGGGGCTCCTGTTGCACATATCGGCAGTCCAGTAGCGAAGCTGGCCCTCTTGTGAAAAGGAACTGTCGCCGTTGGTCGTGCTCTGGGCAGATAACAGGGAGGAGGTACTAGAGGTGCGACGCTTGGGGAAGGGAACGAAGAGTTCGGGGTGGTCGCGCTGCATGCCGGCTGCGTCAAACCGTCTGGAGGTCTTCAGTTGGTTGTCGACATAGCTGCCCAGGACTATCAGCACGGTCGAGGCAGCAAGGACGAGAGTACTCACACAATCATGCCCCGCTCGCCACCTCTCCGCTTCATCATGAGATAGAGCGCGAGCTCCCGGGTGAGCTTGATCAGACGGTTGTCTCGCGCCTTGGTCACGATGAGCACGCTCTGGATGTTGGACTGGACGCGGGTGCGACCTGGATGCGATATGAGCACCGCCGGGAGGCGGATGCGCGCACGCAGACCAGACAGGACGGCCACTGACCAAGCTTTTTGCTCACTTCCCGCACACTAATCGCGGTCTCCGCAAGCTTCTTGGTGAGGCTGGGACCGTACTCGCGCTCCTCATCGTCGTAGGGGGATAATGTGTCGCTGTAGCTGTAGTCGGAGACAGTGCCGTCGGGGTAGGTGTGTTCGGCCTTCTCCTTTTCTCGGGATCCATTGGAGGACTTGTCGTCGTATACGGAGCCGAGCCAGTCCATGAGGGAGTTGCTCTGAAGTTTGGAGTGAAGGAAACAAGGTGATTTGATCGCAGGCGACGGAGCCCGGCGCTGAGGCTGCACTGGGCTAGGAACGGAATGGTGTGTAATCGTGGGTGTGTTGGATGTTGCCTGTGGGCCTTGAATGGTTGCGACATGCCTGTCCGTCTTGCCGTTGACCATGGTCCCAGTTGGAGTGCCGGACTGGAGCCTGGCTGAGATCTCGGGGGACTGCTGCTCGACGACGACGCTGCAGTCGGAAGAATTCTGCATTATGTGGAGCTGTGATGGCCGGCTGGTACGGCGTGAGATGGAGGGTCGTATGGAATCGGGCATCGAGGGTGTGCTAGGCGGTGTCGAGAACGTCTCGTTGTCTGGGGAGTGCATGGCGAGAGGCCGAGGTGTAGCGGCGTGAGAGAGCGGGTGATGGGAGGGGTGGTCGGGGCGAGATATGTCTGTCGGTTATATGCGCTGAGGGATGCGCGCACCGGACTGTAGACACGAGCGATGTTGTCCAGGAGACAACGGCAGAGAGTTGAAGAACGACGTCAAGTCCTGCCTCAGGCCTGTTCGTCATTGGCCCCGCCCGCCGAGGCTCTGTGACGGCCGATTGGCTGCGCTTGCTTATCGACATCTAGTTGGCGCCTCCTTCACTAGTCTCCTCCTTACTAGCCCACTAAGGTGTCCCTCTTCTCACCTAAAGGCACATCACTCTCCACACTATTGGTGGCCGCCCCGGGGCGTATCAGCATCCAACCATCATCATCTCCTGCGCAGCTTCCTTCACTCTCCCAACATGCCGCCCTGGAGATCTGCGTATTCATTACTCGTCTTACCGACCGCGTCGCCTACCCTACACCTCGCCAATCCCTAATCCATCCTGGCCAGCAGCAACGGCGGGCTTCTCGGACTGGCATGGTCGCCGTCTGCCACTGGCTCAGAGAGGAGCTTTGTACATACATAGTACGCAGTTCCATCATCGTCCATTCGCTTTGTTTCCATCATCTTGGCTGTGAGGTACGGTTGCTGCATGTCGGACATCCGTGAACCTTCACGTCGCAACTTCAATGCTCTTCGAACAGCCGAGTCGGCAGTGCAAACTGTGTTCCCGTACTCCTGCAAGTTGACCTGTTGTTTCGTTCCTGAAACCCCCGGTGCGCTGCGCTGATCCGCCAGCCTTTTGGCCGTGTCGCTGCGCTCCTGCTGATGGCCGCGAGACTGTTCAGAAGAGGGCAGTGCTTCGCTGTTTCGCCCCGTGACCGCATTGAGTGAGTTGCTGCTTTAGCACAATCATATTGCAAGATGAGCATGTTCCCTGGACTCTGGAGCGCCGTCCACTACTTCGAGCAGGAGCCTCGGGCGACAGGCTTGCATACTTACCGCGCAGAACGCACGCGGCTTTACACAGCCTGGGCGGCAACTATGTATCGCACCGCGTCGTTGATATCCTGTGCAAGCTCATCAAAATGGCTTCAACGACGGCCTTGGCTTGGCATCGTTGTGCACGGGGTCGCGGAAGTTTGAATCAGGCAGCATGGCATCCGGGCCGGGGCGCTGCGAGGACTCATAAATAGGCCCTTCGTGCTGTTGTTGACCCCAGCTGCCGGACCAGCCCTTTAATCCCGCCCAACTTTCTCGCCTTTTGTGTCTCTCTTTACGCTTACCTTCACGCCCGCTTCGACTCTTTTATTTCTTTCGTCGACGATGCACGCTGTTTCCTCTTTTTGAGTGCTGCCGCCGCCGTGGCGTCTGTTAGCGGTGCTCTCATCCCTCAGCACACTCGCAGGTGAGTAGTACTCATGGCTTGTGCCCATCTGTTGCTGAAGCTTAGAGATGCGTTGCAGAGCCGACGTGTGCAATGGTCACGCCGAGCTGTGCGGTCGTAGCTATGGAAATGTCACCTTCATGGGAGGTGAGTCCAACAGGCGCGGGAAATGACTGATGGAGTATTGACGCGTAGACGATCAGCCCACGACTCTTTCGCCTTCAGCGAGAACCCGCTTGATCGTAAGCGTCCCCGCCCTTCAAGTGCTCCTACAGCTGACTGTTCTGCATTGTAGTTGCTGCCGACCAGCGCGTCGACATCCCATCCCAGCTCGGGCTCGGTGTTCGCCTTCTCCAGGCACAGTCTCACATGAACGATGGCGTTCTCCACTTCTGCCACACGAGTTGTGTAGGTATTTCCCTTTACCCATGGCGGCTAGATTTGACGGTGATGCAGGAACTTTTTGACGGCGGATCTGTTGAGGATTATCTCAAGACCGTCCACGACTTCCTGACCGCCAATCCCAAGGAAGTTCTGACCTTGATCTTCACGAACCCTGAAGGGTCTCCCTCAAGGACGTCTGGGACCCCGCATTCCAAGCTTCTGGTATCGCAGACCTCGCGTTCGTCCCTCCTTCGATCCCCGTCAAGCAGAGCGACGTGAGTGGACTTTCAGTACCACATGGCGGTCGGTTTTAACTCTCATCCTCGTAGTGGCCGACGCTCGGCGACATGATCGACAGTGGCAAGCGTGTCGTCGTCTTCCTCGACACTGGCGCGGATGACGACCGCAGCGTCCCATACATCCTTCCCGAGTTCCCGATGATCTGGGAGACGCCCTTCAGCGTCACCGACGAGAACTTCCCGTGCAGTGTTGACCGTATCAACGGACCGCTCTCCACCGAGGATCACATGTACATGATCAACCACTCCCTCAACAAGGACATCTTCGGCCTTGGCATTATCGTCTCTGATCCTCTCGACGCCGATGACACCAACAGCGTTGCTTCGTAGGTCTTCCTTATGTGCGGCGCTTGACCCATATGTTGACACATCACAGGATCATGGCCAACGCCGGCGGGTGCCAGGGCTTCGCGGCCGGACGTGCGCCGAACTTCGTTCTCCTCGACTTCGTCAACATTGGGAACGGCCTCGACGCGGTCAACCAGCTGAACGGGCTATAACGTGAAGATCCACTCGTTGCTGCGGCGGCCTCTTCCCACCTCTGCAACCTCCCCGCCTCCTCCTTTACTTCATCCCCTGCCCATCACCTTTTTTACTTTTACCATTTCACCCTTCATGGGATGGGCTATCTGCTTCACTCTGGGCCTCGACATACGAGCCATGGACGTTGAAGAGATATAGTGGGCAACCGGCAGACACAGGTGGCGGGTTGGTACTGCAACCACCGAGATGGGCACCGAGGATAACCGTAGTAATAAAGATAATGATGATGACCTCTGGGCTCGGGCGTAACCACGAGTGTGTGCGCTGTGTATGAGGGAGATCAAACTCCAAGCTCAAGCTTCTTGAAGACTCGAAGTTCGAAATCTGCCAAGGCGCCCGTGACTTGGTATTCTGCTCACGGAGCCAGCGCTCGGTCAGCTCCTTGATCTCTCCCAGCACATCTCCATCGATCCTCTTCCATCCTAAATCCTTCCCAGCCTGGTGAGCTTCACTTGTGGCATCCTTGTTGGCCGTCGAAAAGCCGTAGTTCATCTAGCTGGCTCTCATTACCTTCTTTTACTGCTTACTCAGTACCCTGACGGCCCAGGACGCGTCCACGACGTTCCAGGCCGCTATATGCGCACCAACGAGCGTATAATCTCCTCTATGATACTTTGCTCCCGTGCGATCATCGGACGACGCGCTCTTCTCTCCTCCACGAAGCGGGAAGCGGCGCTACCTCTTCACGACATCCCATAGAGGGCCCGGACTAAGTGAGCAGTAGCACGGTGCGCACATTCAACAAACCCGCACCCCGCTTCCATAGTTGCCCTTCGGGCGGGCGATTGGAACTCCTCAAGCCTTGGCACTTCGTGGAAGCAGCTTCAACCCGACCGGCCTGTGACGCGGCGATAGGCAAAACCCCGATTTACGTGCGCCGTCGGCCACTCGGCCAATGCCCGCATGCGATTCGAAGACCGCAGCAGTGCGGGATCGCAGAACGCGCCCCGGCGGCGGCTTTGACAGCGGCATGTGGGGCCACGAAGGGCTGCCGCGTCCCAGCCTGTCCCAGCCCGCCGTTGCAGAAGCGCGCGACTGCCCGCCAGCCCAGCGACTTCGTGTACTTAAGTGCGTCCACCTTTCGCATGCTCGCCCCGGGGGCTATCCTGAAGCTTTCTCGCACGAAACAGACTTTTCCCCATCGACCGGCACGCCCGAACGCCGGCGCGAAGGCACCGTGCGCACTTTCGCAGGCTCGCGAGGGGGGCTGCGGACCTCTGCGGATGTCGCGCGTGTGCGGTTGATTGACACTTGCAGGAAAGGCGGGCAAAAAGCGTCGAAGATATCGGAGCACGGGAAGCGAACATAACCTCACCCGTCGATGCATGAGCCTCGGGCTCGGTATGGAAGTCCCGCGGCGGCGGACGCGGCATTGAATGATGGAGCGCGAAGCAGCGTCCGTACTTTTCTCCGGATTCTGTACCCTGGCCCGCCTGGTCCAACGGTTTATAGGCCCCAGCTAGACGGGTGGGTGAGCCTTCCACGCGACCCCGTCCCTACACCCGCGCGTCCCCTGGCAACCCCTCTCTCCCTCACGTCGCGCACTCGTCGTGCCTGAGGTTCCGCGACCATGACAGACTCGTTTGGGTCAAATGTGCTGCAACACGCGCTGGAGGAGTTCGTCGCGTCCATCCGGGACGTGAGGCTCACCCAGGCCTTCTCATGTGGGTTCAATGCAGAGTGTGCTTGGTATGCGCTCACCCTGTGCCAGTCGTTACAGCCACGATTGTCATCTACGACTACCGTAGGTGCAGAGGTGACAGTCGGGCGATAGACTCTGCTAACGCCGCTGCTCGCCAGTGGTATGCATTGAGCGGGAAATTGAGTTGATCTGGGTGAGTTACCGGCCAGGCGTGCTATCGACGCGTGAGCTGACTGCCGGAGCAGAAGAAGCGGTGGTCTGCGATCAAGCTCGCCTTTCTCTGGGTCTGTCCCCACATCCGCCCCAGAGCGTCTCTCGCACTGACGTCATGACCAGCACCGATACTTTGGCCTGATAGTCGTCTTGTACGTCCTCCGGCTTCTTTCGGTACATCAGACTCTGTGTGATTGACAGTGTTCTCCGACCCCAGGTTCCAAGCATACGGTCAGATCTTCTTCTCACGCGGCTCGCACGATCCTCAATGTGCAAATGACAGCTCTCAACTCGTCTGTCATCAACGACCGAGTAAGTTCATCTCACCATATGTTCAGGGCACATGCTCACACGAGTAGTTGTGAGCTGCATCACATCTCCGCGGGTGCCGGCGGATGTTGACAAACCTCCATGGCTTCAGCTGTTCCTTCTGGTTTTACTGGGAAACATGGGGCTATTGCATTGTCCTCTTCACCACCGAAGGTACATCATCACAGATTCTCGTACCTGTAAAAAATGACGAAACTTCCGATTTTCAGCTGTCCTTCTACTATGGATCTACATCGTCTACAACAAGAATCGATATATCCTAGCGCTCATGAGCATCTGCTACCTCGGCGAGGTTGGCTCAGTTGTAGCGATTCTGACCATCTCCTTCCAAGACTATCAGGGTAGGCTTCCTCTCCTCTCGTCGCCGCACGTATATTCAAAGACTTGCTTCGTTTTAGCACGAGCATACGGAATTCCGGGTGGAGAATACTGCGTACTCACCCGGGTCGGCTCGCCATTCCCCCTTCTTTGGGTGCCGATTCTTGCGTACGACACACTGCTGCTCGTTCTATTCATCTACCGCGGATGCGCCGGAGCCTCGCCTGCCCCGCGGTGCCGGCTCGCATACCGTTACGATAGCCTTCTGGACATGATCTATAGGCACTCGCTTCTCAACTTCCTTGCGTGAGTCTCTTCGCTTCCGACATCATGCTTGAGTTTCTGACAATACCCCCTTGTCAGCATTTTCGCATCCTACCTGACATGCGCCGTTATTTGGCTCAAGGGCAACGTACGTTATGTTTGCATGATAACCTGCTGCTCAGACACTGACGAGAGACATTGCGAATAGCTCGGGTCGTACCAGGCCCCGGTTGGGTTCGCGGTTTCGCTCAGCATCACGAACTGTACGCGACTGCTGCTCAACATCCGCCGCGCCTACTACTCGCACGAAGAGACTGAGATGGTCCTGCGCAGTTGCCGTACACCCCCCCTCCCCATGCAAGCCGAGGAATCAGACGACACCCTGAAACATACTCTCCGCCGCCCCCATCGTCCCACGCGTCCGGCCACGCTCCTTCTGCTCGACGCCCGTCGTCCGGCTGCCATCCCCCTCAGCCCGCTCTCCCCACGCACACCCATGTCGTGCGTTCGTCTGTCGGGTTCGACGCTCCGCGCGCTTTCTCCACCGCACACGCCGCCCGCGCTCCTCTCTCCGCTCTGGCCACACACACCTCCTGGCTCGCTCCGCGACATCTCCTTCCCGCCATCTCCTCTGCCCCCACATTCGCCTCTCTCGCCCACACACCTATACGCGCACAGCCCGGCGAGCACGCTCCGCGCCCACGCGCTCGGCACGGTGTACGAGGCGGGGCCTAGCACTGGCACCGCGAGCGTGCTCACCTCGCGTCCACGGAAACACTCCACGCGACACCCGAGGCGGCCCCGCGGCACGCGCACGAGTATGTGCGCCCGGCCGAGCGCGTCGTGGGAGCGCGTGTGCCGCCGGATGGCCTCGCGCTATTGCCACCGTCGCGGACGCGCTTAGGGCGCCTGGGCGCACGACCAGACTCGTATGTAGGAATGGAGATCTTCTTTGGAGAGGCGGTGTAAGATTGAAGTGCGGTGTGTCTGTCGTTTTGAATGCGACGTTATACGAGCCCTGTACTAAAGTCATAGAATCGGCGCCCCGTGAGCTCTTGTGTACTCATATCCGATAAGCAGCAGTTGTAGTAGCTAGTTTCTGATGTTACATATAAGCACATACACGACTTCAACAAATGGCCAATCGCGCGCCACCAACGCGCGCGCACGAGTCAACCACGCATACCAAACGCGGCGCGCTCGATTTGGGCAGACACTGCTGTGCAGCATGATCAACACCCGTGACTGGCTTACAGCAACAATGGCCTCGCTCGACGAGCGCGCGGTCGCCAAGAGGACAATACCCGTTGTACATGCGAGGGTCTCTTGGGGGTTAAAAGAGGGACGCAGCTCGAGAGGGAGGAGGCGAACAACATGTTCTCCCTCTCTCCCTCGAGCTCGTCCCGTCGATCGTCCCGCCCCGTCCGCCCTTTGACGCGTCGACCCGCGCCGCGGACGGTCCCGAATCGATGCTTTCACCCCCACCCTTGCCCGCGCGTGCACCGCCTCGGTCGTGGGCCCTCCCAAAAGAAAAGAAGTGGCTCCTGGAAGTGGGAACCCCAGTTCAACGCCCCGCCATCGATCTCGCCATCGCCGCCCCGATCCCGACAAACCTAGACCCGCGTGCCCGCGCCGACCCTCAAACCCCCGCGAGACAACGGCGCGAGCGGCAGGCGGCCGGCACGGTGCGCGCGGGACCCGCGAGCTGCTCGCGCCCCTTGTCCGGGTCGCTGGACGTCGGCGTCCTAGGCTCAGCGGTCGGTGCCGGCAACGTGATGGACCGCGTGCCGCGGCCCCTCTTTTGTGTCTGCGAGGTGCGAGGGGTGCCAGCGCGACGGTGCGCGTCGCGATGGAAGCCCGGCGTGCGCGGAAGCGGATCTGAGGATGGTGCGAAGGAGGCGTCGGATAGGGTCGCGCGCGCGAGAACGCGCCGAGATGAGGGTGAGCGAGGGCATGAACGAGAATCCAGCCGCGCGATGCGAGAAGAGAGCGAGAGGGAAACGTAGAGGCTGCGCGAGCACCGTGTGAGGTCAGTCCTTCGTCTCGGTCCGTCTCGTCCCCTCCCTCTCCCTCTCGCATGCGCGCGCCGCCGACGGATGAGTCCGTCGGGTCCGCCGCCTCGCGCCGCCCCCATCTCAAACCCCAAGTACGTCCCTCCTCGCCATCGCCTTCTCGCATCACCCCTCCCCCCAGGGCCACCACATCCTGAGAGCGCGCCCTCCCCTCGTTGCCCGCCCGCCCGCGCCCCCGCCTTCGCGAAGGCCCACGCGGCCGTCTAGCAGCCCTATCCGCGCTGTTCGCCCTGCCCGCTTGCCCGTCCCCCCTGCGCGCCCCCGCGCGCCTTGTGCCCGTTCCGGACGGACAATGGGCAGAGGCCACCGAGCGCCCGCGCCCGATGCGGGCCACAATGGCTGTCTCGAGCGCCCGGGACGAAAGCGGAGTTGGCACGGTCCACGTGGAGCACGTGCAAGACGATCGCGTCGCGAGGCGCGTGGCGGCAAAGCTTCCGCGGCGCGCGAAGACGCGCATGATCGCGTTCGTCGGGCGGGACCCCGGACTCTGCATGGGCGCCCGTGGGGAAGCTTAATCCACGGACGCGCGCCGCCCCGACGCCTGTGCAGGGGCGCGCGCGATCGACGCAGACAGAGGGGGCGGCGTCGCCAAAGGGCGAGCGGCGGGGCGCATCGGCGAACGTCGGCGCGCGATGCGCCCCGACGTCCACCGCGAGGGGCGCGAGGAGACAAGGACGAGGATGGTAAAGTATGACGACATACCTGGAAGTTGGCTAGATCTTGCGGGTGCACGCGAAGCGGCTGCTCAAAACACGAGCAATTCGGATTGCCCCGCGACGTCGCGAGGACGAACACAGGTTACTACTGGTACAATATGCTACCTGAGCACCACAAGTGCTGATAGAACACAGAGCTACGGAAAGAGACATGCGCACGATGTGCACTACGACGGCAAACGGGGGAATGATGGTAGAGCTAGGGAAAGGGGACATGCGCACGATGCGCGTTACGACGGAAAACGGAGGGACGATGGTAGAGCAACCAAAGCATGAGATGCGACTAAAAAGCGCAGGACGACGACGCGAGACTGGGATGATGGGACGAGGAGTGGGGGAGAGCGAGGACAAACAACCAAAACAAAGGAAACTAAGGAGAAAGTAATTGGGTAGGGTGGGGGGGATGAGGGTGAAAACCGGGGTGAGTACATGAAAGGCAGTGGAGACCAGAGAGGGGATAAGCATAGAGAGCAGCGGAGGCTATTACGAACGAAATCAACGATATATGCGAGAGTGAGGCACGACCCGAGTCTGTGGATAGCGATGCAAATAACGTAGATGCGTACGAGTCGTGAGATGTCGTGAGATATGCGACAAACGATATGCGACAATGCGACGACGAGCCTAGTGCAAGAGATGATGAGCTGTGACGTGAGGGGGACAGGAGATGCGAGTAATCAGGAGAGCGAGCAGGCGACGAAAACATCCTGCATGGCAAGATCGTCAGTCGATGTCATAAATCATGCTCGACTCAAAGACTCACCATTAATTGCCACCTAGTTACGTCCAGGTGGGGGAGGTCGGAACATGCCGCCGACGCGGCGGCGAGAGGAGAACGGCACCTCCGAGCTACGTGAAAAAGTGGCCACCTGAGCAGGCTCCTGGGCATCGGGGGTGGGGACGGTCTGTGTGTAGAAGGCAAATGTCAATCACAATACATGAGCTGGACACAAGACCGAAAACGCACCTCGATGGTAAGAGGGTCCACTACGGGAGAGGGGTAGTATACGCGGGGCGGCGAAGGCGGAACCGCACCTGGCACCTGCCAGGGTTTCAACACAGCGTCCCCGTAGTTGTACTGGTGCGGGAAGAATGTGGGCGGCTGCATGACGAATTGTTGGTACCCGGAGCCGTCGACTGGCGCTGTAGCGAATGGGTCCACGAAGCCAAACTGGTGCGGGGCAAACTGGGCGGTATCGGCCTGGACGCCGAACGAGTGCTGGTCGAGGAAGTGGGGATCAGAGATGGAGGGAGGGGCTTGGAAGGTGCCGTCAGGCTTGACGTTGATGAGGTGCATAAAGTCTTCGATCGGCACCATAGACGGGTCGAAATCATTGAGGAGTCCGACATCCACGGGACCCTCCACGGGCTCGTTCATATTCATGAGCTGGGCCGGGTTCATAGTACCTGCAACCAAGGCGGCGAGGGCTTGCTGTTCAATGAGCTGAAGCTCCTGCGGGGGAGGCTCAGGAAAACCGTCGACCCGGAACAAGCCCATGCACGCGTCTTGAACGACTTCGCCCGCGCGCCCAAACTCGAGCTCGGAGAAACCGGGGTACTCGCCCACCGGAAAGGTGGCCATGGCCTCCCCCTGCTGAAGAAAAAAAGAGTCAGTCACGCGTCGCGTCGCAGCAGCACGATACCACTCACCATGAACTGAGGCTCGTACATCATCATGTCGAATTCCCCACCAGGGAAGTCCGAAATCGCGGGGACGCCGGAGAACACGGTATGCATGTCGCCCTCGGTGTACGACGGAGGAGAGTCGGAGGACGGCGAGGGCACGTAGACGGCGGACGCGGCATCCGAGGAGGCGAATGTATATCCGGGCGGAGGAAGGCGAGGCTCGGGCGAAGCCGAGTGCGACGACCCGTCAAGCGGGGAGCGGCCCCGGGAGAGGATGGCGGTGGGGGTGGTAGCGGAGGAAGAAGAGGTGGTAGAGGAGGACGATGGAGACGACGCAAACACTCCGCGCGGAGGGGACGCGCCTCACCGCGGACAGCGGTGTACGTGACGACGTGGGTAAGGGGGACGCTTGTGTGGACTTCCTCGAACGGACCGAGAGGAGGAGGAGGGGGGGACGCGCTGGCCATCTTCTGCTTGGCCGCCTTCTTCTCGGCGGCGGCCTCTGCTTTCAGCGCGTCCTTCATCTGCCGGCTCTTGGGCTGATACTTGTAATCAGGATGCAAGCGTTTGTGCTGGAGAGCCTCCATATCGGCCTTGGCGTTCCACACCTCCTTCACCTCCCCGGGTTCCAGCCGCCATCTCGCCCCAAGGATCTTTGAGATCGCACTCTGGGCGAGGCCAGAACCCTCGAACTCGTCCTGGTTGGCCTTGCGGTAGAGTATGAAGGAGTTTTGGGGACGCTTGATATGTCCCTTCTTGCCCGGACGGGCAGAGAGGACGGGGGGAGGGGAAGGGGAGGTTTTCAAGGCCTTAGCTTTCGCTTGTTTGCTGCCTTCGCGGGCCATTGCGGGGGTGGTGTGAGGTGGGTGGTAGAAGGCGGGGGGTGGCGAGGGGCAGAGGAGGCGGGGAGGAGGCGGGGGGTGAGCGCAGAGGAACGCAGCGAGGCAGCGAGGCAGCGAGAGGCGGGACGGGGCGGGATGGGGGACGAGAAGGCCGTTGGGCCGGGGCCCTTTAAGGCGTCCCCGGGAGACGAACGTATTGGCCGTGGGCATGGTTGTGTGGGCGTCGCCCTTCCGATCCGGCTGCGTCTGTTTGCTCGATCGCATCTCAGGCGCCGCGCTCCTGGGGTCCTCTCCCTCTGAGCGCGCGCTCGCCACTCAGCGCTTCCCGTCCCGCCGCCCTCGAGCACTGATGGGGTTAGTCCTCCCCGCTCTCGCTCGCTTGCCAGCCCCGTCCCGGGCGCACTCCGTACGCATTTGGCACCCTGGGTCCAGCGCTCGCGTTCCCTCCCCATCTTTGCTCTTCACATGGTCACACCGCCCGGTCAATGCCGACCTTTCCTCCAGTCTCTCCGCTCCCCGAGTCCGACCCTGTGCGACCGAGCACCCTCGTTGGCAGCTGCGGTCATTTGTCGGGATTGCGTTTTCACATGCAACCCCACCGGCGTTTCCTCGCGCGCGCAGTGCAGATACTGGCTCCAGTGCAAAATATATTGTGATCTCAACCACCTATGATGCCGCAGCCTACCATCCAAAGTCCGTCCCCAGTCGACTGCATACAGGATGGATACCCTACGACAGTCGAGCGGCAGCGCAGAGAGACTGTGCCGAGGTAACAGCGCGGGGACAGTGGCGGCCGAGACCACCACGCCGCCCTGGTTCCGCAGTGTCCCGCCAGCTTGCCTGATTGTCGCAATGCCTCTGCGCGAGCCAACGTGTAGTATGGAGAGGGCCGCGTGTTTGATACGGGGGACAAAGCAAAGGGCGCCAGAGGCCCTGAGTGAGTCTCAAGTTACTGCTGGATTCGCCGCCGCAGAGAACTTACGTACCTAATGCCGCTCGATCGTCCAGCTCTGGGACCGCCTGATCCGTCTCTTCCAGTGCGCCTAGGTAGCCCTGCTCACCACGCATCGAGTACCCCGCTCCAGGCCGGACGCGGGCCGTTAGGCCACCGCAATGGGAAAGACCACTAGGCGGGGCACACATATGTGCATTGACCACTGCACTCCTCCGCCCACTGCGCCTCCCCTGGCGCGCTCCCCTCTCCCGTTCAAGGGCGGTTGTGTGCGCGGGTGTCTCTGCTCCATTTTGAGTGGTATAGCAGCGGTGGTTCCTTTCCCGCACGAGGGGAGGGAAAGGGATGAACATGGGGACGGGGATGAGAGCGCCCACACAACCTTTGGCGTCTCCGCCCGCTCCGGGCGACTTGCTGACTTGTTCTCCTGCTCGCTCGCACGAGCACATCGCCGGTCATTGTACGGCATCGAAGAGGGCCCCGTCTCGGCACAGCCTAGAAAGCGAACAAACGGACGGGGAATTTTTAATAAACATACCGGATAGGCCCCGGGAGACGCCAGGATTCGAGAGTGGAAGAGTTACGCGGGGCCGTATCCCACCGAGACCCCAGCCAGATCCAGCCAGATTGAACGCCTGTGATCCCCGCTGCTGCTCGCCTGGGACAGGGCCGGGATGAGAGCCGGTATCGATGCTCGCCAAGTTGTGCGCCCAGGCACGATGGTTGGTCGAGTAATGGGGGAGTATGCACCGGTCAGCTGGCGAGTCCGCTCCGTCGCTCCAGGCTCGCGCGTCTCGAGATAGGGATTGGCTGCGCGGTGCCGGCAGGCGTCGGATGAGTAGGTGCGCAGGCCCAAGCGCCTTCCCGTGCGGCGAAACCAGCAGCGACACGCGCTGCACGCGCTGATGTCGTGGGTTCCACCGCGCTCGGGAGAGCTTCGAATGGAATGATGGCGGTGAAAAAGTGAGGCAGAGGCGGGTCGGGGCGACTGCGGGGACGGGGACGGCGTGTCGGACTTCCGAAAGCGGGCAGTCCTGCCGATTGCTTTGTGCGCTCGATTTTGCAATTGGGGGGGGGCGGGACGTGTCAGGGGAAGGAATTCGACCGTCGGTGTGACGGGTCAAAGGGCTGGGGCGGCCCCCCGCCACTGGTTGCCGCGCATGGGCCACACCGACGGGCGTGGCGGGAGCGCACGCCTTGTCATTCCATTGTTCTCTTGCGGTTGTCCGCCAATGAACGGCTTGTGGCATGTGCTGGTCTGGTCGGCGGTGACGAGTGAGGACCACAGCGGCGGTGGCCACGGCGACAATTGTCCTTTGCGCCCCACCCCGCACCTCGGTCCCGGTCGACCGACCCAGAAGCGCATGCGTCGGCACTTGCGCAGAATGTCTTGCGCTAGAACGCCAAGGGACCGCGAGGAATAGCCCGGTACACCGCTGTCGGCGCTAATGGGGCGCGGGCCCAGGTGCTGCACGCGCTCCTGCCTGGCCGACTTTTGCGCCGCACGATCGGGCGGCCCACGAGGCGACAAAGCAAAGGAGCGTGGTCGGAACGCTTCGGTCGGTATCAGTAAACGTGACGTGCCCGCCCACCACTCTTGTGCAGCGCTCACCGGATTACCGTCGCGACCGCCCGCCGTTTCCTCACCGCCCACCCGCTCATACTAAGGCATTGGCCCAGTCATCCAGGGGCAACGCCGCCTGCGTGTGAGCCGCCCGCCCTCGAAAGGCTGCTGGAACGCGCCCCAGGTACCGCCTACGCGCGCGCCCGACGTAGCCGCCGAGCAGCGGATGACCGCCCCCGTTTGCGCAAGCCGTCGAATCTGACAAAACCGAGTCTAAAGGAGAAGGAATGTAGAAGAGTCAGCATACAAAGTTTGAAGGTGAGCGGTCGTACCGATCTCCTTCAGCGCCTTGTCGGAGGCGGCTGAGCCCCCGCGCGCTCTGCATCTTCCTACTTCAAGCGCCCGTCGAGGGCGCTCTGTCGCGGCTGCGTACCCTCTTGTCCTCTCTTGTCCTCTCGCCACTCTATCCTCCTCCAGCTATATTCCAAGGCGAAGAAGTCCCAGCGATGAACGGCGATAGTGCGTGCTCCTACCTCTCTTTGCCGAGTCTCTGTTGCCACCGAATGTTCCCTTCCTCTTTCTGGCGCAGTACGTTTGGATCCTTGCACCTCAATGTATGCGCGACTTTACAACTCGTCGCTGCGCTGCAAAGCAAAGCTCCGGTTTCGTTACCCGCGGCTTCTGTCGACGTGCTCGTCTTCGTCCCTTTCATCTGCATGTTGTCCGATTGCTGAGACGTTCGTGATATCCTTCACCAGGCTTTTTGACACTGGTCATCGCCGGTCGATGCTCAACCTCGTCGTACCCCCGCTCCTAAACTCCGACTTTTTGTTGGGAATACCAATCAACCTGAAGGTGACATTCAGCGACCTGCAGACGAAGGGATGACTTACTTGGACTAATCGTCCTGATCATCCTCCTCTTTGTCTTGCTGTCGCTCGTACTGATGACTTTTTTTCGCACCTTTTGCTTACCAGTGTCATGGACGTTGTACGCTCTTCTGCACCAGGTGCGCAAACATGTCTTGACGTGAATGATCGGCGTCATTGCTTGAGCGACCATGCATGTAGGAAACAAGGGCCCGGCCGAAAGAGAACATCTTTGGGCCCGAGACCTTGTTTCCTAAAGCTCGGTTCAACGACGGCACGCTCGTATGTGTCGGGAACAGCGTGCGCTCTCGACACACATGCTGTGGAAAAATCGTCATGCTGGAGAGAATAGAGAGGTACGACGAGACGTACCGGGGCGACGTATGAGCTGCCGCGGAGTTGCCTGAGGACGCTCGTAGCGGCGCGAACTCGATGGCGAGCATCAAGGCTCTGCGTGCAGACATTGTGGAATCTGTCGATTCAACAGTTGGGAGGGAAGGAGGGAGGGAGGGAGTGGCGTCTAGGAGACACCTCGTCTTAATCCTCCCACCCTCTCATTGTGCTCTTATGATAGGGGGCGCGTATGCGGCGCCCCATGGACATCCGTAATGAAACCACATCTTCCCCATGGCCAAGCGCGGCGGGGCGCTGGGCACAATGGCCGGAGACGAAGGCGCCGGGACTTTGAAAAGTCGCCTATCTTGCAACGCGGCCTCAGCCGACGGGACGAGACGGGCGCGTACCACAGCGACCGCGCCGATGTTCAGTGCGCATTGTACTTTCCGTTTTCGTCCGGCGATCATGACGCCATCTCTACGCCACCCCTCGCTCCTCAAGGCCCTGCCCATTGTTTGCACGCGTCAGGAGGTGTGTTTGTACCTGATGATATGGACTCACCTGCACGTTGTCGATAGCGCCCTCAATCCTTGGCCACTGACCGCCACCACCTTGGAGCTTTCACATCTCTGCATCTGCGTTGAAAATCCACCATTCCCCTATTCATCAACAATGCCTCTTACGCTTACGGGAATACTGGTAACTGCGCATCCTTGTCTCAAATTCTTGCAGTCGATTGTTGATTTATTGTTACTGCGAGAACTGTGCTGCACTTCTATTGCTCGTGAGAATGACATGTGCAGTAGATGCTCTTGCATTTGACGCCCCGCTTGGGTGCCGACTTCGCCGGTCGGAGCATTACAGCGCAGTGGTTCGGGATTCCGAGGAAGGAACAGGTCGTATTTTTCAGACTGTTGGATTCTCAAGAAGAATTACGTCTAGACTAGTAGATGGGTATGTAACGCGTCAACTATTGCAGAGCAGACTCGACCGTCAAGTATAGACTCACTTTATACATCTAAGTGTGAGCCGCGAGATATTATGTTATCCTGTAGTCGACAGCAACCCCGACTAGACGTTAATGGCATCTACGAGCCACCGCGACCACAGAACCATACCATTCAAGCGCCTATGACCGCCTCCTCCCAAAACTCTCTCACCGCCCTCCAGTATCTCTCCGGGTCGGTCTTCGCATGCGAAACATGGGCACTGTCCTGAAACTTCACCACCCTCACTGGGTACCCCTTCGCCTTCGCCTCCGCCGCGTGCTGCTCGATCAGTGCCAGCGGCACAATCTTGTCCGCTGTGGAGCATAGGTACAGCCGCGGCGTCCGCGCATCCGTCCAGGGCAAGAGTGTCGGCTCCTGCATGCGTGCGCACATGACGGCCATTGGGTCAGGGTCCCCTGCGACAAGACGCATGATGGTGAGGACGGCCCAGACGACGGTGAGCAGCGCAGCGGTGAGGACGCGTAGGGGCAGCGAGCGCATGGAAGCGGTTACGGCGCGAACGAGCATGCCCAGCCTGCTGGGCGCGGGCGCAGAGTCGAAGATGAGTGCGCACTTGGTGCCGGGGATGTTGCCGGTACAGCGCTTGTGGAGGGAGGAGGCGAGATCGGAGAGAGAGAGAGAGCCGCCTATTAGCGAAGGACGGTCAGAATTCGACGCCCAAGATTGCTGGAGTGGACTTGCATACCGTTCGAGAATGCATGTATGAGAATACGAGGTGGAGGCCCAGCCGGATTGGTGGATAACAACCCCATGTCAGCCAACTTGTCAAGGGCTGCACGCAATCTAGGCGCCTTGTGAAGGTTGCCTATGAGCACAAAGGAAAACATCCGAGAAGACAGAACTCACTCGAACGGCCTCAGAACCGAAGACCTCGACCGGCTTTGACAGCACAATCACTTGCTCGCTTGAGGGATACATCTGCTTGTATGCTTCGGCGTATTTCTGAACAGTCTTGTCCATGCCCCCCACTGCGATCTGGTCAGTAACTCCATGCGGCAAGGCAAGACCTTCAGCCTACTCCAACCCATGAGAATAACAATCCTACACCGCCACTGGTGAGACAACTGCCAAGTGTAGCGCACGAAAGCATGACGTACGACGGTTCGTCACTTGCTCCTGACGTTGAAGTGAGAAGAGGCATTGAGGATTTCAGCAGAGGGCATAGTGGGAAGGGAGTAGGAGGGATCGTCGACGTCGCAAATCAGATCCGGGCTGCTTTCGTGGCAAGACTGCGCACGGTCGTAACCCCAACGAATTGTTGTTGAGCTGACGCCCGGATGCGTTCCGGTCCGATATCGTGCTGAAAGCCGACCAGAGTGTCGCGTGATTGTCTGGCGGCGGTACCTGGCACAGACGGGGTCACTTGGGAAAGCTGGTGGTACCGATGTGGAAGAGACGTAACCCAGAGGCCCTCGAACGCAGAGCAAGCTTCAATCCATTAGATGCCGCGTTGTCTTCGAAGTGCAGAGCCCGCCGCATTAGACGAGGTGGCAAAACCCCACGTTTCGTCTCTCTATCTCACCGACCTCCCGAGTTCATTGTGGCTTCTTGATGGCTCCGGTCCCTCGTCTACCTGGACGCGGATCCACAGTCTATATGCGGGTCGGAAGGGCGCGTGACACGGTCGGACCCAAGACATGTGCGAAGAGAACATCCAGTTACTCACGGAGCTGCTTCCTCAGCTAGAGCAGGCCGGTCCCCGGAGCCCCACGGTCGCCGTAGTGTTTGCTGACCATACGGACATCCCATGCCCGGCGAACTGATTGGATGTGACGAGGGACGGTCAGGTGTGCATTCCAGCGGTCGCGGGTCTTGGAGGGGGATGGGCGGGAAGGACTTGAAGGCTGTGAACGATGGAAGGCGATGAAGAGCGACAGATGAGTGCGGCGGTCCGTCATTTGTCGGTTTCACGCAGACGTTGGTGAGTGCCACGGCCCGAGCTTGACCTAGAGCGGAGAACGGAGCGCGGGCGGAATCGAGCGGCTCCGTCGCCTCCCCGTCTGCCGCCGGGCGAGGGCGCCGGGGGAGGAGGAGAAAACAAGTCTGAGCAGACGAGGGGGCCGCGTGGGCAGCGCAGGATGGAAAGGGTGCATGTGAGCAGGTGGAGGGCAGGCCTGGGACGAGAAGCGTCGGATAAGTGTCGGCCGCTCGCAGCAACGATGGCTTGCTCCTGGCCACCACGGCCCCCCGCTGCAGCCCCTGCGCCCCTGCGCCCCTGCGCCCCCGTCGACGGCGGCGAGGCCTCAGGCAGGTCCCTACTCCGTTCGGTACCCCGTCTGCGGACAGAACCGGGACTGTCCACGATCCCTCCCGTCTCTCCCGCGTGATACTCCAGTCTGGACCCCGATTAGGTAGCAGCCCTCTTGGATGCTTCGACTCGCCGCTGCTATAAAGTCTCTCCCGCCACGCCCCACCTCTTCGATCCGCCCTCTACCTCGCCTCCTCCATTATCCCCCGCCTCGCAACTCCCCACCTGCCCGTCCGGTGAGTCCACCTTGCTGCCCACACCCCGCATTCGCTTACCGTCTTCCGGCCCGGTCCTCCTGCATCCCCTCCCTTTGTGGCTGCCTCCTCCCAGCCCTCTGATTCCAAGATGGTCTACAACCACGGAACCCCTTACGTGACTCCCCACATTCTCCACAAGCACTACGCCCAGGCCCACGATGCCGAGGTCTCGAATCGTACGTTCACCTTGCATCACCTCGTATGCCTCCTGCTCAGCGTCTACCCTCCCCGTCCAGTCATCGGCCGTGATCTGGAGTACTTCTCCCAGGCCGGTTTCGATATGGATCGCATCCAGATCAAGCGTAATGCTCCCCCGGCGCTGCTTTACGAGGATGCCATTCGCAACGAGGGTGCCGTCGTTTCGTCTTCGGGCGCTCTCATCAACTTCTCTGGCAAGAAGACCGGACGCAGCCCCAAGGACAAGCGTATCGTCTACGAGGAGACCTCCAAGGATGAGATCTGGTGGGGCTCCGTCAATATCAAGATGGACGAGCGTGAGTCTATTGTGTGTCTGCCTCCCGTACGCGTCCCATAACGCCCGTTCCTCTCAGACACGTTCGAGATCAACCGCGAACGCGCGATTGACTATCTCAACACGCGCGAAAACGTCTACGTCTTCGACGGCTATGCGGGGGTACGAGTCTTCTTCACTTCGACGCGTCGCTAAGGCTGACATTTCTGCTCCAGTGGGACCCGAAGTACCGCATTAAGGTCCGGGTAATCTGCGCCCGGGCGTACCATGCGCTCTTCATGGTTAGTCTTTCACCTGATCCCGCATCTCATCCCGAATCCTCCCGAATCGTACTCGCGTACTATCCTGGGGGTTTTATTCTGGTGTCTCGGACAACCGTCGTCGAAATGTCGCTGACAGGCCCGTCTAGAACAACATGCTTATCCGCCCGACGGAAGAGGAGCTCGCGAACTTCGGCGAGCCCGACTTCATCATCTACAACGCGGGCCAGTTCCCGGCGAACCGTTTCACCAAGGGCATGTCCTCGACCACGTCGGTCGAGATCAACTTCAAGCGCATGGAAATGGTCATCCTCGGGACGGAGTATGCTGGTGAGATGAAAAAGGGCGTCTTCTCTGTCATGGTAAGTGCCGTACATCCTCCGGCTGCGAGCCGCTTTCCCGTGCCAGACGTTGATCTTCTGTAAACAGCACTACCTCCAGCCTGTCAAGTTTGGGCAGCTCTCTCTCCACTCCTCCGCGAATGTCGGTCAGGACGGCGACGTCACCCTCTTCTTCGGTCTCTCCGGCACCGGCAAGACCACTCTTTCGGCTGACCCTCTTCGCAAGCTTATTGGTGACGACGAGCATGTCTGGTCCGACACCGGTGTCTTCAATATCGAGGGTGGTTGCTACGCCAAGTGCATCAACTTGAGCGCGGAGAAGGAGCCCGAGATCTTTGGCGCCATCCGCTTTGGCTCGGTGCTCGAGAATGTTGTCTACAACCCCATCTCCCGCGTGCCCGACTACGACGACGCGAGCATCACGGAGAACACCCGCTGCGCTTACCCCATCGAGTTCATCCCGAACGCGCAGATCCCTTGCCATGTCGCCTCGCAGCCCAAGAACATTATCATGCTCACCTGCGACGCGTTCGGTGTGCTTCCACCTGTCTCGAAACTTACGCCCGAGCAGGCGAGCTACCACTTCCTTGCTGGTTACACCTCGAAGACGCCCGGTACCGAGGACGGTGTTCTCGAGCCCATCCCCACCTTCTCCACCTGTTACTCCGCGCCTTTCATCGTGCTTCACGTGCGTACCTTGCAATCTTCTGATATCCTCGCCCGCTTATCCACTGCCTCCTACAGCCCGGCCGCTACGCCGAGATGCTCGCCGAGCGTATGGCGCAGCACAACGTCGACTGCTGGCTCATCAACACCGGCTGGACAGGCGGCAAGTTCGGGACGGGCAAGCGCTGCCCACTCAAGTATACGCGCAGAATCGTCGACGCCGTGCACTCGGGCGAGCTCGCCAAGGCCGAGTACGAGACCTTCGGGGTCTTCAACCTCCAGGTCCCCACCAGCCTTGAGGGCGTCCCCCGCGAGCTCCTCAACCCGCGCATTGCGTGGCCGAACAAGGAGGCGTTCGATCGGGAGGTCCGCAAGCTCGCCGGTATGTTCCAGAAGGCGTTCGCGCTCTACGAGAGCGACGTCGACGAGAAGGTCCGCCTCGCCGGCCCTCGGACTGCGTGAGCGCAGGGGGTTGCAGATGTCTTATTTCTATCGTCACACACTACACACGGATAGGGATTTGGCGGGCGGCAGGCTGTTGCGCGGACTGGTTAAGGTAACCTCGGTCGCGCCAGAATGGCTTGGGATAATCATAGGAGGGGAGGGTGTCGCGTACCAACCAGAATGTAATACCGCATCGTAGCTGTGTAATCCTAGACGACTGTAATATTCGCCCGATATGCGCCGCAGCGTGGTCAGCGCTCAGTCCTCATCAGTATCCAACGGGTTTAGCCTTCGATTTTACTCATCTGCGCTGCTGCGCGCCCAATTTACACCAGCCAATCGAGTGAGTAGTCGGTGCTGGGTGGAGCGCAGCAGCTACGACCGAGGAGCAGCTTCCGGGTCTCCTCTGTCCTCCATTCTGCGCCCTCACACCGCTCTGGCCCCGGTCTCCCTGCGCAGATTGTTGGCGAGTTGGCGAGCACAACCACGCCGCGAGCTTATCGTACACCATCTATTATCGATGCTCATCGTCGCACCCCCATGGGGCGAGGGCGGCCGTGCAGACCGTCGAGCACGGTGTGGTCATCTGTGCTCGCGGCCCGCCGCCCGTCCCTCTGGCTCGGAGCTAAAATTTGCATGGGCCCGTCCAGGTCCAGGGGTGGTGACGGGCAATGCGATGGGCACCCGTTTGGCTCTTCACCGTGACTAAGTACGTACGAGCCAGAACGTCGGACCTAACCAGTGCCACGGGACGATGTCGATCGTGTGATTTCAGGTGCCAAAGGGACGCGGGCAACGCGGAATGAGGGAGGTAGTCCATGCGGATTCAGGTCGTTTGGGGGAGCACGCACGCACGCAAGCAAGCAAGCAGAAAGTCATGGGCAGACGACAGTCGAATCACATTTTGATACAACGACAAAGCGTAAGTGACACACCCACCCACAACGCGCAATGTGGGGGACCGGGACGATAGTGAGGGGGCAAGCGGTACAGGATCGGGAACTCCTACAAGTACAAGCCGCATTGTGATGAAGACCGCGAGGCGCATCGAGACGAGACGACCGGGAACGAAGACGACGTGTGCTACTAGAAACGACAGCAAGAGGAGCAAGGAGTGTTGTGGATGAGTGGGTCGGACAAGAAATACGCGCTAGAGACTAGAGAGAGTAATCGAGACGCGGGACGCCATGCCAGCGCCCCGGAACGGAAGGCATGGATGTGGTGAGCAAACCGCCGGCGATATCCTGTGCATGAAGATGTGAGTAGCGGCACACCACGAGAACGCACAAAAGGCTTACCGCTCAGTACTGGCCGCCGTAACCGCCCTGCTGGCCGCCGTAGCCTCCACCGTAGCCACCCTGCTGACCGCCGTAGCCGCCACCATATCCGCCGGCCTGGAAGCCCTGTTGCTGGCCGCCGTAGCCACCTATAGGACGGACGGGGGTCAAAGACAGAATGATTTGGGGATGCACACGAGCAACTCACCCTGGCCACCGTAGCCTCCACCGCCGTAGCCTCCGCTCTGGTAGCCGCCACCACCACCACCACCTGCTGGAAAGGATGAGCACGGATCACAACCTCGGACCGGAGATCCGGCAAAATGAAAGTAGCTCACCTCCGCCGCCGGCGCGGGCATTGGCGAGGTTGACCTTGATCCGGCGACCGTCGAGCTCCTGCTCGTTGAGTGAGGCGATCGCGGCCTGGGCCTCGGCGGACGAGGAGTAGGTGACGAAGCCGAAGCCACGAGAGCGGCCGGTGTCACGGTCGCGCATCACGATCGACTGCAAACACGAGAGAGGGAGGGACACGAGGTGAGTAGCGAGCGACGCGGGAACGAGGACGGCCTCGTGGCGAGCACGAAACACAGCCACTTGAGACAGGAACAGGGCGTACGTCGACAATCTGGCCATAGCTGGAGAAAGCCTACAAACGGCAACGGGACGCGAAACGACGGCTGATTAGATACGGCGGAACGGACGCACGACGCAGAGCATCGCGTGATTAAAAACCAGACTGACTAAACGGAGGTTGTCATCGTTCGTGGACCAGCTCAAGTTGCTGTGTGCGGAAGGGGCGCGAGGCATGCATCAGTCCGGAGCGAAGGGCACGGGGTCGCGGGCGGGCGAGGGTGAAGTTCAACGAAACTGACCCAACGTAAACTTTTGTAGACATGATGAAGATTGGATCGGGACTGGTAGATACAGTTACAGCGGGGGGCGCTCTTGAACGAACCGACGAAGCCGAATCAACAACCGGGACGGGGACGCGACAAGCAGAGGCAAGGACGAGAGCGGGACGGGGGAACCGCCGGGGGGTGCCCTCGTCTTATATGGGCCCCCCGCCGCTTTCAGACTCCGCCGCCCGCTGACTCGGGCCAGACTTCCCCTGGACTGGGCCCGCCCGAGCCAATGGGCGCGCGCTCACGTGCGGGGCTGGCCACAGCTGCCAGAGAAAGTTTCCGCCCTCGGCGCTCGGCGGGCGGTGGGCGCACGATCGGGGCTGGGGACAAGACAAGACAGAGACAGGGTCCGAGCTACAACATGCGCGGCTGCGGCCGGGCACTCTACTGCTACTGTACACGGTCGTGAGTCGTGAAGGGAAACGTGCTACGTGCACGGGCGGAGGTGGGGTGGGTGTGGGTGGGTGTGAAAACAGCTAGTCATATGCCGGCCGTGCCGGCTTCTTCCTCCAAGACAGGGCCCGCAGCTCACTGCGTGCTCTTCCTCTTGTCCTTCTTGTCCTTCCTGATCTTGGACGCCCTCTTCGACACACTGTCGCTCAGCAGGCTCGGGCTCGGGCTGTCCGACAACGGCGGCGTCGCGACCACCGCGTCCTTCGTCGACCCTTGCTCGTCCGTGCTCGCCCGAGCCGTGTCCGCGCGCTTCAGGCCGGGGATCATCGACCCCACTTGCTGCAGGTTCGGGATGACCGACGCGGAGCCCTTGCGGGTCGTGACCGAGATACGGCGGGCAAGGCGTTGGATGCCCTGGGTCGAGAGCGTCCGCCGCCGCTTGCCGTCCGCCTCGGGATCAGGGGTCCCGGTGCGCTCAGGGGTCGCGGCCGCCTGGAAGGTGACGCCGGGGGTCTGCGCCCGCTCGCCAATCGAACCGCGGACGGACTCCGGCGAGGTCGGGAAGGCGAGGGGAGCGGCGCCGGACGAAGACGGGAAGGCGATGGGCGCTGCGGGCTCGTCGGCAGAAGAGGGGAACGCAACTGGAGCCGCGTCGTCGGAGCTGGGGAACGCAACCGGGGCGGCCGACGGCTCAGGGGCGGCACTCAACGGCACCTCCTCCGCGTTGTCGGCCGCGGTGGGGAATGCTACAGCCTCCTCAGACTCGACCACCACCACGTCGTTGTCCAGCTTGTCGTGCGCGACCTCCTCGGTGCCGAGTTGCGGGGGTTGATCCTCGGACATCGTAGCCGTGTCCTGCGTGGGCGCCTCGACTTCGAATCCGGTGACGATGGCCGACTTGCGGTGCGCAGACGTATCGTCGTTGCTCGAAATCTGATCCGCCCACATCTCCGCGAACATGCCACCGCGCGCAAGGAGCTCGGCATGGGTGCCCTGTTCAACGATACGCCCATCCTTGAGGACCAGGATTCTGGAAAACAGTTAGTCGACAGCACCACAATCGTGGCTCGACAATATCACATACAGATCAGCTGATGCAATGGTCTGTCCAAATTTACCCTGTCAGCGACTGCATCATTCATATAGCTCGTCCACACGTACCGAAAGCCGGTGGGCGATGGAAAGCGAGGAACGGCCTTGGACGAGGTTCTGGAGCGCCTTCTGGATATCCTTCTCCGTCGACGTGTCCAGAGCACTGATATCACAAAGCCAACATGAGCTCCCGGACACACCATCTCGAGTCCAAGCACACAACGGACCTAGTAGCCTCGTCGAGGAGCAGGATGGGGGGATCCTTGAGCAGGGTCCGGGCGATAGCAACCCGCTGCTTCTCGCCACCGCTGAGCCGGATGCCACGTTCGCCAACTTTAGTCTCATAGCCGTCATGGAAGCTCTCGACCCGATCATGAATCTGGGCCGCCTTAGCCGCGGCAACGATCTCGTCTTCGTTCGCTCCGAACTTGCCATACCTGGAAGGAGCTATTGTCAGCGGTGCGTCACGGAGACAGGCACCAGCGCTACACGTACGCGATGTTGTACTTGATGCTCGCGTTGAACAGCACAGGGTCCTGGGGTACGACACCGATGGCCTTGCGGAGACTGCCCTGGGTGATGTCACGGATGTCCTGACCGTCGATCAAGATGCGGCCTTCACCGTGCTTCAAGTCGTAGAAACGGTAGAGGAGGCGGAGAATCGTCGACTTGCCAGACCCGGACTCGCCTACGAGCGCGACCGAGCTACCCTTGGGAACCTTGAACGAGACGCCGCCGAGGGCCGTGGTGCGGCCGTCGTAGGAGAAGCTGACGTTATCTGTGGACCCCTAATCAGCCATCTTGCCACAACTCAGACACATGGAACGTGGGCTGACCGAACTCAATCTCGCCCGTCTGTACAATCAGGTCGGGCGCGTTCGGCTTGTCGTTGATCTCGGTGGGTTCGCTGAGGAGTTTGAGCAGACGTTCAGTGTCGACAAGCGACTGGTTGATCGTGCGGTACAAGTAGCCGAGCATGTTCAGAGGCGCGTAAAGCTGGGCCAGGTACGTGATGAAGAGCACAAACTCGTGCGTCTCCGACTGGCCGCGAACGACACGCATGGCAACAATCATTGCTCCGACAAGTAGACCAACAGTCTATAGCGGGGGTGAGTATTTCATATTTTCCAAAGGAGTTCATCGCTCACAATGATCAGGTTCTGCACCAGGTTCAAAAGGTTGAGGGACACTGCACATAATGAGGTTCAGCCTCCTCGCCTTATACTAGCAGTGGACACTCCTTACTCATGACCCTGTACTCGAAACTCTGGTACTGACGGATGGCTTCTGCGTAACGCTCACCCTCATGCTGCTCCCCGTTGAAGTACTTGACAGTTTCGTAGTTGAGCAGACAGTCGGTGTGAATGCCACGAATCATGACATCGCGATCGTTCATTTGCCTCCTCAGCTGAGTGCGCCACCTGGTGAGGATGACGCTGGCGGAGACTATTCGAATACTCGGTCATATGTTCAAGCTTATTTGCAAATGTGACTTACCGTAAGCGGTCATCACGAAGAAGATCACGACAGCGAGCGTCCATTCGAAGTAGACAACGAAGAAGACCAGAGCGATAGCAATGTCCGCGAACGTGGGCAAGACGTTGAACACAAGAGTCTAAGCGACCAAATGTGAGCGCCGGAAAAGTTCGTACTGATGACGTTTGCAAGCATCGCACCTCGAACGTGTGGTTGATGGCGGCGCCGCGGTCGAGAATGCGCAGCACCTCGCCAGTCTTGCGATGGGTGTGGAAGGCGAATGAGAGCTGGAGGAGATGGTCGAACGACAGTTGAGACATCTCTGCGCAGGCAATGACGTCAGTACCAGTCATGGCAACAAGAAACGGCTGTTGTGCGCACCCCTGTCTGAGTACTGCATTACTGGGATCCATAGCGACTGAGGGAAAATGCAGAGTGAAACCAGCAATGCCAATCAGAGGGCGAGATGACTTACGTCGCGCAGTGCCGCGAGGCCACCGGTGGACTGGAGGAATCGCAGGCCAACATAGGCCCACAAGTACGGCCAGAGGGACACCTTGGAGCCGTCCTCGAAGATGCGCACGAGTTGAGCAAAAATCCATGGAACGAAGACATTGACGACGCGTCCCACTATCATAATCAGGAAGCACAAGAACTATAACGTGATAGAACATGCCTCGGGATCAGTCTACGTGGTCAGCGGACCAGGAACGTGTTGTACGCACTGCGAGCAGCTGGAGCGCGAAGCTCTTCGATGGCCACAGATAAGGGATGAGGTGCTTGATCCGCACGAGGATCTCTCCCCAGGACGGGTCGAGCGCGATGTCCTCCTTAGGCCCCTGCACGTCCTGTGATACGCAAAGGCGCATACGGGCCGAGTTAATAGATCAGCGGGGCGCCAGAAGAGAACTGTTTCACTTACCCGCGCCTTGGGCGGCGGCAGACGAACGGTCGAAGGGGCAGGGGTGTTCGTACGCGTGGTGAGAGCGGAGGTTTGGCCGAGGGAACGGGTGCTCTGGAAGGTGCCATACTTGCTGACCTCGGCGGAGAGCGGCGAGAGCCCGGAGGACGTCGTGGCCGCGTCCTGAGTGGGCAAGAGCAGGCTGGTGTCCGTGGGGGCCTCTTCGTCCGCCGCTTGCTGGACGGGGACGTAGGAAACACGGGGGAAGATGAGAGCAACGAAAAGAGGGACGAGCAGTAATACACGGAATGAAGGGAAGGCGATGTGGAGAAGAGCAGTCGTTGCAATGGGCTCTGGAGGGGTGGCCGGGTGGTCAGGACCCGAGTGGCGCGAAAAGCGACAGACGTACGAGTAATGGCGAGGGCGAGGAGGACGACCTGCGCGATATCCAACGCCAGGGCGGCGAAGATGCTGAGCTTGAGCCTCTTCATGGACCAGACGTTCAGGCCCTGGACCTCCTTGAAAGCACCGAGCGCAGCCAAGCCGAGGAAGGCGACGAGACCGACGACGGCATGAATGTCAATTCCGGTGAAGGTCGGCCATTCCTTGCGGAGGACGGCGGTGATGACAAAAGTGAGTCCGTCGAGGAGGTAAGTGAGACCAGCGAGAGAAAGGAAGGCATAGATGAGGGCATGACGGGGCGTACGAGTAGCGACGACGACGGAGGTGATGGGGGAGGCCGACTGCACCGCGGGGGCAGGACGGGCGAGGATGAGGGTGAGGGTGGAGAGCAGGACGAGGCCTGGAGAGACTATGCGGAGAATGAAGAGCGGAAGGTCCGCTGCTGGGATGGGAGAGGCCATGAGGGTCATCGCCGCCGCCGTCGCTGGGCTCGACGTCGTCGTGGGTCGTGAAAAAGGTGGAGGGTGGTGGTCGCGGTAGAAAACAGGTGTGCCTCGTGTTGTGGCCGAGCTCTTATCGGAACGTCCTTCTGCCAGAGCCGTTAGCGACGTTCGCTTGGAACGCGGGTCGAGGATGCCGACCGTGCACGACTCCGCTGCCTGATGATTGGCCCCTTGCACGCGCCGCCGCTGATTTTTGCACAGCCGGTGATGTCAGTGCGACTGCCCTCCCTGCTTCTGCCACCCCTCCCGCGGACACAGTGGCAGAGTACAAGAGCATGCAATACAGCGACTACCAGGATACAAAGCACAACACATCCGTGCGACAGCACCAACAAAACAGACAAAAGCGTGCGCATATCGATCGGTACGAGATAACCCAGCCGCACGCCCCTCGCCATTGATCGGCTACTCGCGCCTGAACGACTTCTCTATCGTCCCGTCCTGCAATCTGTACCCGTTCGCCTTGAACAGCGTGGAGTGAAGGAACGGGGTCGTGTCGTAGATCTCGTGCTCCTTCGCCTGCAAGCCCAGAATTCAGCTATCGGCACAGGGCCCAGAGGTCACGATGGCACTCACCCGCTCGTCCAACTCGGCAACTGGCACAGTGATCGACTCTGGCTGGGAATGTCGTTGGAGCTGGTAAAAGCGTGCCTTCTCCTTCACAATCTGCCCGAGCACAAAAGCAAGCAGCTCTTCGTGGTCGCGTGCCTGGGTAAGGTATTTGCGGAAACCCTGGGAAGCCACGCGTTTAGCGTCCCTCGCACTAGTCTCCGAAAGGGATACCACATCTCGACTTACACGTTCCAGCGTCTTCTTAATCGACGTCTTCTGGGTGCTCACAAAGCTGCCCACAGCCACCGATATCGCGAGGTCGATATCATCCGCGCGGACGAATTCGCGCAACGCCATCTTGGCACTCGCCTCCGCCATCCGGATCATACTCTCCAGATGGCGCACTGTGATCGAGTGCGTGCCAGTCGCGATCGACTCCCGACGCAGGTCCACAAACAGGCGGGAAACCTTCTCCTGGTCAAGGTCGTACAGCTTAGGGCGAACCTTCTCTTTGGCGTACATGATATACTTCCGCAAAAGATCTTGTGGGATGATCTAACAGAGGCGGATTAGACAGGTGCCGCATAGGTATACGAGACCACATACGTCGGCATCGAGAGTCGTCCTGACCTCCATTTCGTCCTTCGCGGGGTCAAACTTGGGATGGCTGCGCAAATGACTTCCCACTACGAATTTTGCCAGTAACTCGTCCTGGGTAGGGTCGACTGTATCCTTTACGACACAGAGAACGTCGAAACGCGACAGAATGGGTTCTGTCAGTTCGACGTTTTGCACGAAAGGGATCGCTGGGTTGTAACGGCCTCGGATGGGGTTGGCGGCGGCGATAATCGCACAGCGAGCCTGCAGCGTAGTGATGATTCCCGCCTTCGCAATGGAGATTGACTGCTGCTCCATGGCTTCGTGAATGGAAGTCCGGTCGGCGTCATTCATCTTGTCGAACTCGTCAATGAGGCAGGTCCCCTTGTCGGCAAGTACCAGAGCGCCTCCTTCCAGTGTCCACTCACGCGTGATAGGATCCTTGCGAACGCTTGCGGTGAGACCGACAGCGGAGGCACCCTGGCCCGTGGCGAAAACAGAGCGGTGAGCAGTCTTCTCCACGTACTTGAGGAATTGGGACTTGGCCGTTCCAGGATCGCCGAGGAGAAGCACATTGATATCTCCGCGGATGCGAAGCTTCCGGTTGATGTCTTTGGACACACCTCCGAAAAGCGAGAGCGCGAGTGCCGTCTTAATGTCTTCGTGTCCGTAGATGGAGGGAGCGATGGATTTGATTATGCGCTTCCGGATACGTTCATCTCGCGCGAGAGCACGGATTTCCTTTTCATCCTCTTCGGTAAGCCGAAACGCTGCAAATTGATCCTCTTTCTTGTTGATATGGTTGGCCTCAAGGACGGTCGAGAAAACCGGAAATCCGTTCTTCGCATTCAAAGAAGCGTCAAAGTTGTTGCGATAAATAGCAGTGATTTCCTGCAAGTTATGATTGGACAAAGCCGATGAACAATATACTGATGTTCGCTTACAACTTCTTCACCAGGTTTTGCCTTGTCGATGAGGTCCCAGAGGAGGATTACCTCGCGGTGGCGAGGAAGACGTCCAGGAGGTACCGAGCCCGGGGATTCCTGAAGCGTCATCTTCTGATAGTTACGGTAGATTGTCTGCCAAAGCGTCGGATTCTAACCAACGTTTCCTAGTAGGGTAGGCTTACCTGTTCAGAGTTGATAGAAAAAGGACCCTTGCTCTCGCAGTTGGGGCAGAAACTGATCCTGACTTCCCTTGTGGAATCTTGATAGAAGGGGCCGAGTGTCGCATTGCATTTACGGCAATCAAACTTCACATACTTGAGTTGGGGAAACACGCCCGTCCGACGAGTGACGACACCGGAAACACGGACGAGCGTGTTAAGGTGAGACCTGCGCAGGTCGCGAAGCGAAGAGCCGAGGGGAAGGTCGGTGATCCGGACGTGAACTTCCGAATGGATCCGCTCGTATGCCGTGTAGTAGACTAGGATAGCACTGAGGGCCACCTCGTCGAAAATTTCCAGCATCGCAGAAGGACAGTTGGTCAAAAAGTATGCGAGGATCGGCTTTGACAACGCGAGGTGGAGGTAGGAAACCTCAAGAGATTCCAAGTTGTCTGAAGGTTATGACGTTCATCGGATGGCTTGGATGGCAAGACATAAAAACTCACTTTCTCCAAGATTGCGAATGCGCTGACCATACACAGATGCACCATGTTCGTCGACGTATGTCATCAGGAATTGTCTGAAGTGCCGGATAATAGATCGGCGAACGCGCTCGCTGGCGATCCATTCTGCAATGGATTTGGCCTTGATGTCGCTGAGTTGCTCCAGTGGAAGCTCCTGCATGAGTTTGTCAAAGGCATGTCATCAGAGAAAGTTGGCTGAACGCACGTCTTCAACATTGTCCAAATCATCGAAATCCCTTCGCTCGTCGTATTGGCGACGGGTACGTCTCTTCATTCCATCCAAAAGACCACCGCCAACATCCTCGTCTTCCATATCATCGGATTGTAGGAAGTTCGGCATGCGGGACCTCGCAGCGGCACGAGCACCGCGCCTTCCACCACGCTCCATACGGTCGCGACGAGCCATAGAGGCCTCGGCGGCACGCCGTTGTTGAGCAGTCATATTTTCGAACTCGCCTTCATCGTCAATATCGCGGTCCGAGTATCTGTCTAGCAGCTCGTTGGTGGCATAATCACTGTGGGAAGTCGTATCAGTATGATGAAGGTCATGGGAGAACCAACAAAGCCGAACGATGGAAAATTGTCCCAAGATAAAGGTGGATGAGCGTGTAGGGAGATTCACAACGGAGACTTACTCCTGGAAGTCATCTGCGAATAGATCATCGCCATCCTCTTCGCCTGCTTCAGCATCAGCGTCTGGCACAGCGTCCCGTTCATCCACACTATCGTCGGTGTCCGAGAAAGGAGCAGGTGGGGAAGAGGGAGGAAGGGAAGACTCTTCGTCGGCCGTAACACGTGAAGGTCCTGGAGGGGACGACCCTGGAAGCGGGGACGCCGAGCGACGTCTTTTCGCACCACGAGGAGTCTGAGGAAGGAGGTGTGAGCCTTCAACTGTTGAAAGGCGATCCGACTCACAGCCATGGGCAGATGGGGGGTGAATATTTGAGTATGACCCAGGTATATGGAGTGGATGAGCAGGGTGCGGACAACAAGACGCGACGAGCACTCGGACGCGTCGCGCTCATTAGCAGCGGAGCTTAAAATTGCCACAGTCGCGTCCGATAGACGCGCGTGAGCAGGCGACGCGTCTGTGGCTGGATCAACGTGGAGGCGCCCGATCCGTCCAGGTCACATCGCACTCTGTCTTAGCCATCATCTCCCGCCGGCCGCCTTCCGACTCTGCGACGCCCTTGCCTCCCTTCTTGAGGGCCATACGGTTAATATGACAGAGCTCACCACTTCCAGGATCAACAGGAAGCTCAGGACGCTACGTAGCAAATGTGCCGCTCTCAATGGGGCCCAACCAACATCCTCCAAGCCCAAAGTCTCCACAACTTATGGCCGTTCTAATCGCACCTCGACGAGAGCGTCCAATGAGGAAGAAGAATCCCCGCCACTCGCGATACTCCAATCCCTTGACAAAATTTCGGCGAGGTTCCGCTACGAGCGTGCGACCGTCGAGAACATGCAGCTCTCCAAGAGAATCTACGAGGTTCGCGACGCCTTCAAAAACATTGTACAGCTATCGGCATCGTCTCACACAAAATCACAACCCGATCCGGATGTCTCTTCCTATCTGTCTTCCCTCACGGGCATTTGTGCTCAACTCATCGGAGAACACATCCAGGGAGAAGTTGAGGCCTCCATTGACGACTTGTCTGAAGTCAAAGCCTCGCAAGAAGACGAGCTTCGATCGCAGATTATGGACGATGTATACGAGAGCATCCCCGCGCAACACAGACAGTGAGATTGCATTTTCACGAGAACGGCCAATCACTGACCACATTTCCAGCCACACCCTAGTCGCACATGCGCTTACGTATATATTGGAAACGTGCCCGCACTACCCGACGCTACTCAACGCCCTTCTCGAGACCTGTCTCGAGTACGGATCCGGAGCAGAGTCCCAAACGATACTCTCGAAGTTGTTCGCAGTGGCGATTCACTCGCGGACACGTTCGATGTATCCATGTCCCCTCACACATCCCGCCCACAAGCACTTCCTCGTCACTCTGCGAGGTACCTGCAATCCTGCGCCCGGTTCCAGTACACCTATCAACAATCGCGCCTTTGTCCGTCTCCTCGTCGATGCGCTTTCTGAACCATACCCGGAGCGGCTTCTAGCGTGGACATCGAAAGCCACGGCACATCTTGCACGGGACGTCAAACAGGATTTCCATGGTTGTTTCGTGCCTCTCTGTACAGGCCTGGCACACGCCCTGGCCGCCGTACCGAAGTCATCACGGAATACCAACAGAGCAATTGAACATGCTCACGTTCAGGTCTGGGAAGACGCTCATTCGCGTTTAGTGGATTGGACTACCTCGATGTTGTCGGCACTGTACTCTGCGACTTGCTCAGGCGGACCGGATGTGGACATGTATACCGCCTGTGTAGACTTCCTCGTCGCCATCGAACCAGACCGGCTACACATATGTTCCGATTCGGTCCCCACACCGCTCGCCAAGGCCTTGTGCTGTCTTGCGGTCTACTGCATCGCTAACCCTCCGGCACCCTCACCTCCCGGCGTGGAAACCGACCTACTAGTCCTGGAAAAGATGTTACGAACCGCCACCATCAAGAACGCTACCTTCAACAGCCTCACAGCCTTCATCCTGCCTCTCCCTCATTTGTCTTCCGGCATCTACCGTGACACTATACCGGAGCCATTCGAGGGAGCAGACATCCCGACCCCTCTTCCTCAGCAGACAGGGTCGGGTGAAAGAGGTGCACCTGCCATAGAGGCTCTTGTCGAGCCCCTCCGTGCACGAGGTCTCGTGCTATGTGAAGCTGCCCTGTACCTGGCGGCCTTGCAACACGTGGAAGAACTCGTCGCCTCCCCCCGAGAACTGTGCCGGCGAGCCCGCAGCTGAGTAACAAGGAACTTTACGATCTCCGCCTCTACCTCATGGACCGCGTGGAAGACTCCGAACGCCGTTGCTTCAGTGGCAGCGTGGATGGCGTACCGCCTCCTCTTCCCGAAGGCGGAAGCCAGTGGCGCTTCGATGATTCTATGGGGGCGTGGACGGTGAAGACCCCCGAAGTGTCTCAAGCCAAGAAGGCGGAAAACAGAAGAATTGCGCAAGCTGCTAAACGGCGCAAGCTTGATGACGGGAAGAGCGCCTCTGCGGCCACATCGCCACACATCCCGACGCAAGCCCCACGCCGACAAAGCGATGTCGCGTCCTCAAAATGCACCTTCCCTATCCCATCCACGTCCTCTTCTGGGATTTCCGCACTTCCTCGAACACCTCGCATGTTTTCTCAGGCCGATCGTCGACCTATACCGTCGTGGGATAACAGGGAGAACTTCTCTGACGACGGTGGATCGGACAATGAACCCTCTACACCCGCACCCAAGCGACTTTTGGGCACTAGCAGCTTCCAAAACCTCCTCGCCAACGCCCGCCTAAACACCATCTCCCTCCGCGCCGAGCGCGAAGCCAACACCCAAAAAATAGTGGCAAAGCCGAAGGGGCGCGTCTCCGCGCCTGCCCGTCTCCCGGATTTTGTTGTTCCCGAGTCCCCGGCGTCGGCGTCGGTGGGGGCGCTGTCTTCGCCTATGGCCCCGCGCACACCGTCCAATGGTTTTCGTACGGCCCTCGCGGACTCGCATCGGAACGTCATTCGACTAAACGAAGAGCGGGCGCGCGAACGAGGACAGTTGCAAGGGGCAGGACAGGAAACATGCAGTGCTATTACGCCTCGGGGCACTGTAAAGCGCAAAAATGGAGCGCGACTTGGGGATTCGGATACTGAGGCTGAAGTGGAGGAGCCAGAAAATTCCATGGTGGAGAGCAGCCCTGCACATGCATCAGCGTACGTCGAGCCGTCATCCGACGACGCGCTCAATCTGTTCGCATATCCCGACTCTTCTCCAGTCAAACGTCGGCGACATGCTTTGTATTGAGAGTATCAGTGCCACTCATGTATAAATAACACTATAGTCCTGTTATATGTGATCTTGTGTAGCAATTGGTGTATGTCCGTGCAGCGTTACTGGAAGCGTGCAAGTAAATAGAAGGTGATAAAGTGGTCTTCCCAAAACCAGTAATCTTCAAGTCCCGGATCATTGTGGCACTAGCCCAAGCTCCTTTAGGCTCTGACGCCAGGGATTCCTGCGCTCAACTGCCCCTTTCTCACTTGCAGACATGGTCGGCTTACTCTCACTCAGCTTTGCATTGCTCTCCCTCGCCGGCTATGTTCTCTCCACCCCCGTCACCCTTGCCGACCCCCCAAGACGGCCTCTCGTCATCTGGCATGGTCTTGGAGACTCATACACGTCCCCGGGCATGCTGGAGTTCATCCAGCTCATGAAAGACGAGCATCCTGGCCTATTTGTCCACTCAGTTCATCTCGACGAGGACCTGGAGGCGGACCAGAAGGCTGGCTTTGTGCGTGCTTTCGCCTCTCACATTCACTGCATGGTCTGACTGTGGAGGTCCCCACCACCTACCACGACAGTTCGGGAACGTCAACGAGCAACTCGCATTCGTCGCCGAGCAGCTCTCGAACGTCACTGAGCTCAAGCACGGCTTTGACGCCATCGGGTTCTCTCAAGGTACGCCTCCCCGTCCCCACACGACCCACACACGCATCCCAACGCCGACCCTGTTTCCCGACGCGCAGGCGGGCAGTTCCTCCGCGGCTACGTCGAGCTCTACAACGCGCCCCCGGTGCACAATCTCATCACCTTCGGCTCGCAGCACATGGGTGTGTCCGACCTCCCGCTCTGCTCGCGCTGGGACCTCTTCTGTCAGCTCGCGCGGCGCGCCGCCCGCGGTGGCGTCTACACCGACTGGGCACAGGAGAACCTCGTCCAGGCGCAGTACTTCCGCGACCCGGCCAACCTCCCAACATACCTCGAGCGCAACACGTTCCTCGCGCCTGTGAACAACGAGGTGCCTGGGGCGCGCAACGCGACGTACGCGGCCAACCTCGGAAAGCTCAATCACCTCGTCCTCGTCCTCTTCTCCCAGGACAAGACCGTCGTTCCGAAGGAGAGCTCGTGGTTCGGCGCATACGCGGAGCCGGAAGAGGACGGGCTGTTCGGCGAGTGGGCGTGGAGCGAGAAGACGATTGTGCCCATGCGCTTGCAGCCTTTGTACACTGAGGACTGGATTGGGCTCCGGAAGCTGGACGAGAGTGGCCGTGTCACCCTGGAAACCTGTGAGGGCGAGCACATGCAGATCAAGGAGAGTGTTGGAAGCCCCTCGTGCAGCGCTACGTCGGGGAGGCTCTGTCGAGTGGGGTTCAGCACCACGGGCAGACAGTGCTTAGGGCACACGCTTAGGTCCGTCTCTTCGTTGCACTCTCGCAAGCCAATGTGGCTGTTGCCCCTTTTGTATTGTACTGTATACCTATACACAATTATTGGTGCTAGTATGCATGCGCGATGGATGACGACGAGGATGCTCAAGCAATGACGCATCTTCCACCCTCGGCAACCTTGGGTCGTTGCTCGAGCCATTGGATGAGCTCGTCCGTAGAGCGCTGCAAAGTGAGTTGGCATTTCGTCAGAAAGTAAAGGACGTCATGGCGCACCTCAATCCAAGCAGCATGGACCTGAATTCCGTCCAATGCCTGCCTGACCGCCAAGTCGATTCCCTTTTATCCTTGCTCTTGAAAAACTCTTCAAGTTCCTGGTGGTTCTCCTTTGATGACAGCTGAGGGAATACATCCTGTCCGTGCCAGCGAGAGAAGCGTCAGCTTGTATGTTACGATGTGCGCGCAGTTTTGGACGTACTAAGATCCAACTCGTCATGGTGAACGAGCCACGGAACCTCTCGGCCACCTCGTCCCACCGCTCCTTCACGCGTTCCGCAACAAGTCTCCATGCCCCAGGGTTCTGCGAAAGCCCGAGCAGCAGAGGTCGCACCTCCTGAAAGCGGGCCTCTCCAATCGCGAAGTCGATCGTCGCCTGCTGACGTGCTGGGTCTTGGGACGCCCCTTGCGCCTTGAGACCAGCGTTAACATGTGCCGGATCTGTGCTGGTCTGAGCGAAAGTCTTCATGAAGTCATATTCTGCCTTTCCGCCTTCTCGGACACCCTGACAGGAGTAAAGGCCATGAACAGATTTAGAACATGTGTGTGACAAATGAGAACTTGGTACGGACAACTCTGCAGGTTATCTGCAATATGTCTCCGGGGATCTTGGACATGTCACCAGTCTCGATGAAATGAGCGAAACGTGTTTTGAGTTCACCAACGACCCTCGAGATCCACCGTGAGTATTGCAGGATATGGATCCCATAAGAAGAGCTCACCATGCATCCCCGGCTTCCGCAGCTTGAGTGATGGCCTCAGTGCGGAGTCGCTTGTCTGCCGGCGAATCCTTCGGCGCAGCTTCAAACCCAAGGCGCTTCACGATTCGAACAAACAAGTCCTTGAAGCAGGGGATCAGAAGGGTAGGGGGGAAGAGGAGATGGGGAGAAGGACTTTTCTGAAGCTATTGATCAACCCGAGTGCGTGTCCATGGTCATACCATACTGAGGCAACGTCCGCCAGGCCACTCGATATCACCGTCCAGACGTACACTGTTGGAGGAAAAGTTCTTATCAGGTCGGGGACGACGATTGTGCTTGGGAAAGCACTCACACTCCTTCTCACATGCTCCAAGAGCAGACACGAGCTCGAGGGCGCTGCTGATGGACGAGTATCCTGCTTTAGCGAGCGCAAACGCGTCTGCAACTAGTCCAATCCTGTCGGCGAGGTTAAAGGGCGAGTTGGGCGCCGTCGCTTGTTGACCTATTTTCACCAAACGGTCCGCGCTGTACTGGACAACATCTTAAAAGACAAAGTAAGCAAATCAGACCCCGCTGAAGACTAGAATGATATCTCTCACAGAAACCATCTGTATCTGCGTTAAGTTTGAACGGCTTAGTACAGCCGAGAGACATAGGGGCCTCGCGTTCCTCTAGCACAAAGTCACGCATCACCACACGCGAATCATCAGCTGCAACAGTGACCAGACTGATAGGGATCGCCCTAGTAGCGTAAGAGCTGCGTGTTCAAATCACGGTCCCAAAGTATGGCACAGTCACATACCAGATGGTCTCGTTATGCTCTGGGGCGGCTGGACCAGACTCCAAGAAGCGGTCTTGGCGCAGAGTGAGCTTATCTTCGTGTTCAGTCACCGTGATCATAGGATATCCAACCTCAATGATCGAGCTTCAGCCAGTCTTAATATAAAGGGTTATATGTATATGGACTCACTTTATTGACCCAGTTTTCCATCAGGTTTGGCACATCAAGTCCTGCCATGAAAGCTTGATCAATGATCGTATCCCTATGCTGATGAAAACAAGAATCACTACGAACCAGTAGTGCTCTGCATGCTCCTCCACAAGTCAGTGGTCACCACAGTCTTGTATGCGTGCTTCTTGAGATGCATCGACACCCCCTTCATGAACGATTCCTGTCCGGCATGACTTGCCAGCATGCGAAGAACTAGGCGCACTCTTCGTCAGCCGATCTTGCTTAGATTTATGAAATATCTCACCCGAAGCCGCCTTTTCGTAAGATAATCTGTCGAAGATCTAACCGGATTATGAGCTCAGTTCGCATGTCGCAAGCGTCATATACTCACCTGGATCACGGATTCTGCATCTGGGCACTCCACTTCGATGGGATGTGAAGAGAGCTTTGCATCGATCGCACGACCAGACAGATATGGAGCACTTAAGAATTTGGCTTCGGACTGCCACTCGGGCCAAAGTCTATCGCCAGAAGACTCATCAGTCCGATGTTGAGAATGATCACTCGATACCAGAAGTCCCACCTCTCTGTGAACGGTGTTAGCTGAGGACACAACCTCCGAAGGTGTCCACTTACCCTGAACTACTAGCTCGCCCATCTAGAAAAAAGTGTTTACGATGTGAGTAGAATGCACTCCATACAAAGCGTCTGCGTACCAGAGTTGCAAAGCCTGAAAGCAGCCTCGTCACTGCCAGATCATAGTTCTCTTTCACTGAAGACGTGCTCACCCTCATTGAGATACAAGTAGTCCCACCATTCCATCGTAGTAATGTTGCCGAACCTATGGGAAGAGACTTGTGTGAGGTGGTGCTCATTATGATTTGCGAACGTACTGACCACATGTGCGCAATCTCATGACCTATCATGCCGGCTACGATTTGTTGTTGCTTGACATCGTTCGATTTCGGGTCGTACAACACTGTGCCTGGGCGCACAGTAATCAATCCCTTCAGGTAACAACTTCAGTTCAAGGTCAACTGAGGTAAAGCGGAACAACCGCACCCAATTCTCCATACCACCTGCTTCGCAGTCAGTGATTATTGCAATGGAAAACGGGCTCATCCTCTCACCCTCGAAATCATCCGCCTGAGACAGTCAGGGTCAACTGATATTCTACCATTCACTCATTCACCACGAGCACGCACCAATATGACATCCAATTTGGGCAAAGGGTATTCGAGATCGAACATCTCCTCATACGCAGGTACAAGTCTCGCGGTCATATCCAAAGCCAGTTGTGTTTGTTCAGGGTTCGCACCGGTAGCTGAGAGTGCTTGAGCCATCATCCAGGTCAAAACTGATGACCACTACTCACTGTAGAACCGAACCGGCTTGGTTTTACCGCTGAGAGGACTGGTATACTCGCTTTTGGTGTATTCAAATGGTCCATTTGCGTAGGCAACGATGTACGTCGACATCTAATCGGTCGTAAAAATCAATGTGAATTCAGACGGAGGATTCTTTACGATACCACTCACAGGCGGCGAAACTTCGAAATGAGTGATCTTCCATCTCGCCGGCTCTGACATGGAGGCAATCTTCTCTTCTAGCCACGTCCCTTCCTCGGCGGTCTGACCAGCGCAGAGCATTTCAGTTTTGATTGGCATGTTGCTGACGTTGGTCGTGTTTGTCCTAGAAACCATCGTGACAGCGAATGTCGCCTTGAGTGCCGGTTCGTCCCAGCACGGAAAGGCGCGTCGAGCACCTGTGGGCTATGAAGCTATTGTCAGAAGGTTGTACAGAAACTGCAGCAGTGATCTGACGAGTCCAACCTGGAACTGTGTGACTGCATAGACAACTTCGCCGTCTTTGCCGCCAGTCGATTTATAAAGCCCATTGGGAGCTCAGCAATCGGGGCGCCAAAGGTGATCGAGAGGCGCGACGCAGTCGCAATAATCTTCGGAAATGCAAAGGTAGTACGCTGCAGCTTTGCATCATACTCGCAGGAGAGAGGCCGTTGGGGCGCCTCGTTTCCTTCAGAATGCAGCCACGCTTCAGCAATCTCGAGCCCAAGTGTGTTAAGAACGATCAAGGACGTCGGATTGTTGACTTTCAAGCTGTGGCAAGGGATACGCGTGAGACATTGCATGGTTGAGGAAACTGGGGAAACCGCCCACTCACTCTATGTACACGATGCCGTCGAACTCGAGAGTGTCCAAGTCGGTTAAGATATGGAGATCATAGTGGATCGGGACAACATCTGCAGGAAGACGAACTCGATCTTGAGCCATGGCAGGAAGGGCAAGATCAGCAGTGCTCGATCCCTGAGTCCTGAGAATGGCACATATATGCGTTGGAGATACGAAGCTCGGGGCCGCATATTGGTGGCAACCCTCGAGCAGCCATGCGGTGAGGAGGAGTCCGGAGGAGTCAGCGGAGATAAGTCGCTGATCGCAGTAAGTATGCAGTATGTGCTTGCGCTGCGCGAACACGGTGACGACGATAGCGGGATAAGCAAAACATGCAAACACTGCTCGCCCTCACTGAGTTCCGCCCAGCGTCTACGTCTCTTGCCCTAAGTAATCGAGTCCTTCACCCAGTCCATCAAGGTCAGGGATCCCTAGGCCTCCTCTTACCTGGCATGCGCGCATCCATTGCAGCTTCCCGGCAATCTCAACTCCCGGGATCCGTAGCCAGCGCCGCAGCAGCCGCCAAGCTAGTCGAGAAGAAGAAGGAATTTGAAGCTGTCGCTGCGCTCGAGAAGGCCAGTGCACAGTTCCTCAAGCGCATAGAGGGACTGGGAGATGACTTCGAAGTCATGGCCGAGGCTGGCGTAGGTGTGTGCGTTTCGGTGGTGCCTTTAGAGTACGAGATCACGATGTTCGGCGTCCAGTGCACGGACAGGTGCTCGAGCAGTGGCCCAACATGTTCCGCATTCTCGAGCTCTTCCGTACGCGTTTTCCCCGCGTCGCACGCCGTCCTACTCATATGCCCCTCTAGTTTCGCAACGTGAACAGCAAGCCGAAGCCGAAAACGCGTCTCAGTCTACCACGGGAGAGAGACTCGTTCGGGTGCCCATTGAGGAGCTGCGGCAGACGGAATCGAAGGCTTCATGAGCGGATTACGACCATACCCGAAGTGTGTATCTCTATCTTTTCCCCCTTCCAAACCCCTCTGTATAGTACGCTCTCGCAGACAGCAATGTCCGCATACGGACGTTCACCATACCCTCAGCTGTGAAACATCCCTGACTGGATGCACAACCACCCCATTGAACCGAAGCACTTCGACATTCGAGGGCCACATTATTGCTCACTGAAGTTATTCTCTACGTATTCAGGCCTGAACAACAATAAAAATCCAGTCTCTATCCTAGCATTGCGCAGCCGGTACGTCCTGCTTTACATGATCCAGACTAAATCTATGCGCTGGAGCGCGCCCCTGGGCTCCCGCGCGGCGAGAGTCCCGCTATGCTCGTGCAGGCCTTGCCCGCGCGACGGACGCTCTCGAAGGACAGGTGGGGTGTCATAGCGCGGCGAAGGTTCGCGACGGTTTTCGTGCGCAGCTTGGGGATCGAGATCGGCTGGTGACGCGCTTTTCTGTCCGAGGGAGACAGCACGGTGGAAGGGGCGGTCCGAGTCTTGCGCCATCTGGCCATCCTAGCCGGAGTGATTGTCACGCTGGTGTCTGAGCGTTGGAGAGCGTGCGGATCGCCGGTGTACAGGCTGCTCGTGCTGGAGCAGCCGTCGGAGGGCTCCGAGTCGGGCTCATACACCTCCGTGAGCTTGTGAAGCATGGGGGGCCGCGACGGCGGCCGGGGGATTCGCAAGGACGGGACGATGGTCTTTGCGGCATTGACGAAGGATGAAGACACCCGACGGTAATATTCCCAAGCCGTACGCGCATAGTCGTCGGCGACGTCGAGAGCGGCGGGCTTATGAGGCACGGACTCTTCCTCGTGATCACTGACGTCGCCTTCCTCGGGGTAACTGACAGCATATTCGTAGCCACTGTCGCTTGCGTTTTCGTCACTGACATAGTCTTCGTCGTGGTCATACGGTTGGCCGTTACTATTTAGACTTGAGGCATCCCAAGTGGACGTGTTCTCATCCTCTGCGGGATCCGGACTGAGTGACATCTCGGGAAGGCCTCTCAAGATAGCAGGGGGAGCCTGGCACGGTTGACATCCCCGGATTTCGTGCGCCACGCCCCGAATTGTGTTCACGAGGAATACACAAACAAACTAAAACGATTGTCAGCCGGCTCCTCTATATCCAGCAACCGTATACGCACCAACGAAAACCACAACGTGTCGATGTCCACGAGGTACACCCCCATTGCGAACAGATCGCAGAGATTGCTTAGCGTTGTAGTTGAGGTGGGTGTGGGGTGAGGACGGCAGCGTCGTGTATGATACTTCTCAATTGCGTCACCGGGCTGCTTTTATGCACGCCCGTCGGCGTCCGCAGCAGGCAGGGGTATCGGATGTCATTCACAATAAACCGGCTAGTGTATTCCTTCAGGAGGGCGGGATTCGGATCCCACCCGTCTGTGTATGGCCCGGACGAAAGGCCGCCGTGCCGCGTCGGATGAAAGACAGGAGCCGCTGACGACGAATTATCGTGCCAGCGGAACGAGGACATGTTGTTCGCATGTTCATATGCGTGCACACAAGAGCGGGTCCATATCCACTTCGTTCGACATTGTGAGTAGTGCGGGTACAACAGCATCCTCGTACATACTATATACTGCACGCCATCAAGCCAATACAACCCATGTGTGCGTCGCACAACGTCAAAATTGGTCAATAGATTCAGGTGAGTGTGAATCAGGAAAGAGAAGCCGTGCTTGCTCGAGTCCCGGTGTGGATTTCAACCAAGCGCCTAGTCGTCCTCCTCGACGTCACCGAACTCGAACATGCCCGCACGCTCGCGCTTGGCGGTGTCGATCGCTTCGCGTAGCTTCTTCGTCATCGCAGGGTACCCGCTAAGGTAGCGGCAGCCCTTTTTGTCGACCGTCGCGAGGCCGTCGCGGATGAGGTCGACGTTGATGCATGCGTACTGGTCGTGCTGCGCGGCGGGGTCCGACGCGTCGATGAGGCGGAGATGGAGCATATGACCCTCCTTCTGGTCGATGTTCGCGACGAGCCGGCGGCCCTCGCAGAGCGAGCGGAAGCGGTCGATTGCCTCGTCATAGTACTCGGAGTCGGGCGAGACGAGCTTGACGAAGCTGGACAGCGGGTCGGATCAGCTCTCCTATTCAGGCGGCTGACGGAAGTGGACTCACCTGAGACGCGCATCTTGAGCCTGGCCGGGAAGAGAACGGAACTTAGGATCGAGGGGGCGGAGATTGGTGAAACTGACGGTGTCCTGGTTGCCGTAGTCGATGAAGGTGACTTCTGCCTCCTTCTTGATCGGTGACGCACGGCGGACTTTTGCACGATACCATTGGCCATCGGAGAACTTCGCCGAGACGAGGTCGCCGCCACGAGGGGTGAAGCCCACGACCGGTGCGACAGTCTTGTGGTGTAGTGAGAAGTCGCGCATGAGCTTGTCTAGTGATGCGATGCCCTCAGTGTTGAGGATTTGCACGGAGAACGCGAAGCTCGGCTTCGTGCGGACATCGCTGATGATGACGTCGAGGTATTCTGTCTTGAGAGGGCCGTTTGTTTCCTCCACTGGGGTCTCCATAACTTCCGCAGCCTCGTCGAAGTCTTTCCACATCTGTGAAGGGATGTGTAAACAAGTGAAGCCGGCAAGCCCGGTTGATGAAAAGTCTACTTACGTTACGCTTTGCGCTCTTCGCTTCAGCCTCAGCATCGTGCAACTGCTTCACCCATGAGAGACTCTCTGCAGAATACCCATGTACCGACGCAAAACCTTCCCGAACAAGAGTGATGGCAGCGTTCTCGGTCTTGTTCAAGTATAGTGCGCCGATAAAACCTCCTGATTTATCGGCATCGTGGATCTCGATCTCGACATCGCGTTGCATGTAGCGTCGAGTCGCGAATTCGGACGCCTCAGGCCCGCATGGCTCGCTGGTCTCTGAAGGGTTCCGGGCAGTTCGAGGCGCGCGAACGCCGCTTAGGACGAGAGTGAGGACTTGGTTGTCCTTGGGCAGGAATATTCTAAATGAAGTCAGTATCTGATGCCGACATCGTGATGCAATTGCTCACTTGAAGCGAGAGCCAGCAGCGACGTATTCGACGACGGCAGGAATCCTTCCTAGACGTTTGAAGCCGTTGACGAAGGTAGCTGCACGGTGCGCAGACTGTGGAGGACCTGCTAAGCATGCCGTGAAGGGGCATTGGTTTTGTCAGCTCACCTCGGAAATGTTGAGCGGTTGCTTGGGTGCGGGAATGTCCTTGCCAGAGTGAATACCACGGGTTTCTGTTGCTGCTCTATGCGCAAAAATGATGAGGGGAGCCGAACGGCAGGCAAAAGCATATACATACATTTGCTCCGCCGCCATTAGCTTGTCGTAATCGGGTGAGCGATCCTCATCGTCACGCTTGTGGCGAACAGCAGTGGCAAGACCTTTCTCGATAAGTTGCTCGGCAATGTTCCTGTCCCGTTCTCAGTCACTGTTTCAATGGGCCGTGGGCAAACAACGAACGAGTTTTGGCCACCGTAGCGGATAGTCGCGCATTCGCGCTCCTCATACTCGCCCTCGCGAGGCCGGACGAAGTCGACGTGAACTTTGACGTGCTTGCCAATAAGCCGCTTGCGAAGGAACTCGCGAGCCTCTTGCGCGTAGAATGCTTGCTTGGGGTCAGACAATCTGAACCATGGTCAGACTCGAACATGCCAAGGAAGCGAGGGGGATGTTGCATACTTGGGACCACGGGTTGAGCTGAGCTGCAGTCGTCTCTCCTTTGCAGTTTCACGGTCGGCGACAGAAATCTGGTCGGCGCTCCAGACTCGAATGACGGTGGCGTCGAACTGGCGAGAATTACCATTGGACGCTGTACCGTTCGACTTGGCAGAGGGAGTAGGGGCGTTTGCATACAGGCAGGCACGCTTCTCCTTTGCCGTCTTTTCAGCGGCGCGAAGACGTTCCATGCCACCGTTGCTTGCGAGCATACCCGCATGCCAGTCAACGACGCGCGCGAGGCCAGCGGCAACCAAGTGCTCGGCAACGTTGCCCGCGGGGTGGAGGACTGCGAAGAGTGAGGACATAATCTTGGTACGCAAGGCCAACAACGTACCCGTTCCGATGAAGATGGATGCGGAAGGGGGTGCCGTGCTCGCGCCTGCTTGGAAAGGGGTAGGCGCGGCGTTGGGTAGTGACAGCAGTTGGACTCGGACGTATCTCTGGAGTAGCCTTGACTCAGTGAAGAATTTTGCCTGTGGGGTACACACCAAATGAGTGCCCATAGAAGAGTCGGTACTGCAATCATCGCACCTCCTCTCCCCACGGCTCCGTCGACTCGCCGGGCTTGCTGGATACACGCGAAGAGCGCACACCAGCAAGGGCGATGTTGACGAATTGATGATCCCCGTCTGGCATGATGAGGCGAATGCGAAGGGTAGAGCCGTCCTTCACCTGCTCGATAAGACCTTTCCACTACATGAATTGGACGCCCTGGAGAGAACGGAAGGCTCTTACCGTCAATCTGCTGACCCCTCCATTCGGTGATGAATGCTTGCGAGTCAGTGGGCATCATGTAGTGGGTTGTGCGGGCCTGAGTTCCACGATTGGCACGTATGCATCATTAAACAAAGTAGGAATACGCACCATGGGACCATGAGGATTCCAAATACCCTTCCCAGCCGAACGCGCTTCAGACTCCAGTTCCTTCTTGCGATAGTCCTCTTCTGTGGGGTCACGCTTGAATTCCTTCAGCTTCGCCCAGCCGTTCTTCAGAAGTTCGGACGCGAGGTCGACTCCGTTGACATCTGCTGTGCCAATGTCACGAGGGATTTCATCGTTTGAGGGCAAAGAGTGAGTGGACGTGAACGTGACAGGTTTGCCAACGACCATGGCACGAAGGAACTCGCGCGAATCGAAAGCCCAGTCCTACGGGACGGACGTCAATAATGCATGAAAAGCCGACAGAACACATGTGCCGCATACCTCGTCATCTCGCGAGGACGTGCCCATGCGAGGCGCCTGTATGTCCGCGAGGTGCAGAACGCTAAAAAGCGCGCAACTTGAGTTCCGCACGCGACCATAGCGCACGCACACAAGTACTCACCGCTCTTTTGGGATCTGGCCTTGAGGGCCGGGGCTACCGCGCAATAGGAGGGAATCGCCAGAGATCACGGCTGGTTACTCCATCATGTTCAGGACTGAGCACAGACAGGCAAGAGAGAGAACCCATACATTTCACGATCTGTATGCGCACATCGACCCTGCATCAGCTACCCGCGTCTCTTATAATGCTCACAGCTTGAGACTCACCGCTTTCATGGCCATGGCTGGGAGATATCGACCGGTGAGTATAAGACACGGGGTGCGGGATGCTGGGCAGTTGACAGATTTCCAGGAGACTGAGGAAGACCAGTGAGGAGACGGGAGCGCGGCGCTGGCAGTAGCAGTCACAGAGCCTGGTCCACCTGTGGCTGGGCGGTTCCCACGCTGGATGTCCTCCTCGCTCCCTGTGCGCACGCGCAAACCCTCCACCACGTCTGGCCACCACCATGCCCCTCTACCAGCTCACATGCATTGCTGCCCACTACCCCGAATACGTGCGTCTCCATCGCAACTCCCGCGCGTCTGCGTCCATCTTACGCGCGTCGTTGCAGAGGTTCATTAAGGAACTCGTCACGCGCCTTGCGACACATGTCATGGACAATGGGGGTGTGGTCCGCAAGATCGACTCATGGGGAACCCGCACCCTGCCGCAGCGCATGAAGAAGCTGAGGCACGTTCATACAATAGGAGAGTACGTGAACCCCTTCCGATACAGCTGCGTTTGGAACTGACCTTGCGTTTCGAAGTTACTGGACGATGCAGTTCGACGCTTCTCCTTCTACAATCCGTAGTCTCAGCAGATTAATGCACGACGACCCACGTGTCATCCGGGGGACGAATATCAAACTTGGGGAACAGGTCAAAGACATCAGGACGTTCAGCGATCTCACCACAACCCGGCCATGAGTCCAGCGCGGAGTGAAGACGCCACATACACATCATGCTCGTTCGTCTCTGCATTACTAGTCCGCCTAATGATATACGTTCCCCGCCGCATTATGTCAGCTGCCGTCGCACCCATTCCGTAACCTCTGCCAAACTGGAGACTGTTTCAACGCTGGTGAGGTCTTCGTCGGCTTCTTTGCGTTCTCCTTTTCCTTCCGGCCCCAGTCTACGAACCAATAAAGCTCGCATACCACATGCTGTCGCCGCGTGGTAATCACTTTGATGGTCAATGGCCGTGAATGTCGTCAGACTGGGTTTCCAAGAGGGGATGCATGAAACGCACCAGGCCAGTTCATCGCCGACGTGCAACGTTTCTTCGGGCTGGACCCCTACACGCTCACAAGCACGGTAGAAGATGTCACGAGAAGGTTTTTCCACCCCTTCCTCTTCACTCAACAGCACTGCGTCCACTTGGGATAAAAGCTGAAGATCGTCCATTGCACTTCCTGCTCAAGCACACCAAACATCAACGGGTGGAAGCGGCAAGAGAAGACATGATATTGACTCATTCTAGCGTCAGTGTTGCTAATGATAGCCACGGGGAGGTTTAGCTCCTTCAACTGGCGTACTAGCACGAAAGAAATGGATGAATGTATATGCTTCGATTTGAGATACTAGCGCGTACTTGTGGGCAACGTGTCGTCAAACAGCTTGTATCCTTCGCGAGAGCTAAAGCGGTTAAGCAGTCGCGGTATAATCTGCCCCAATGAAGCATTCACAGCTTGAAATGCCTCAGGGGCTTGTGGGGGCGAATGCAATGCCTGGGCATACCTGTAGGGTCTGCACCAGCACCCACAGCCGTCCGCTTTATGACATACCCCCACCACTCGTCCGCTCCTCCGCGGTATACCGGCTGCTCTTGCTGCACTTGTTTGAGTACTTCATTGATGACCGCACACCGTGCCCATAATTCCATGATAGTTCAGCAACAAGCGACTGGACTTTAAGCGTTTTAATGTACCAGATTTGAACGAGTGCTTTAGAGCTTCGGGGTCGAGTTTTCCCAAGTATGGCTCAAAGGTCTGAGAGTATTGAACATGAATCGGAAGTCGGGGAGCGACCAGTGTGTGCAGAGCATCAAAGGTAACAAGGCGGATGGTCATAGTTTGGCATGAAGGTAACGCACTGGCAGCGGGTCCCCCCGACGATTGAAGGGGCCGGCCGCGCGGGCCGCCCGAATTGCTTCGGTAAGCACTCATCGGCCGCTACGCTCAGCCTGGCTTTCACTCACTGCAGCCTCTTGCACCCTGGAATCGAAAACAATGGAGCCCGATACACTATACATCGTTATATATCTCACATTACTGGGTCTCTGGTGACTCCTTTACGGTAAACCATACACCGATAGGTCCTCAGCCGCATGAGGCGGCAACCACACCGACGACACTTCCCCTCCGAAGTCCACCAACGCCATCTCTCCCCGGTCCACCCACCCCAGGCTCTTGAACACCGCCTTCGCCGCCACGTTCTTCGGGCTCGTGAACCCTGCCGCGACGTCACCGCCCAAGCCCTCCTTGAGGTGCTTCAACGCGCCCAGCGCCGCCTCCTTCGCGTACCCCTTCCGCATCTCCTCGGGCAGAATCACGAAACCGAGGTCCGGCACCTTGTACGACGTCGGGTTCGTCCCACGGATAAGCGACACGCCCCCGACGTGCGTGCACCGCGCGAGCCGCTCCTGGAAAGGCGCGTCCGGTGCGAGCCCGTCCATCGCCGCGGGGTCGGTGGGCTTGCGGCTGACGAGGTACGGGCTGCAGCCGACGCTCGCGTGCCACTTCGTGAAGAGGCCCGCAATCTGCTTCCGGGCGTCGTCACGGGTGTTGAGGCCGGAGTTTCCGGCGGAGGCGATGAACTCGGGAGTGGTGTAGAGTTGAAGGAGAAAGTCACAGTGGTCGTCGTTCTCGGACTGGAAGTTGGAGATGTAGAGGCGATCAGTTTCGACAAAGAAGTTGGGGTCCATCGTGGTCGTCGTGAGGAAAGAGCGAATGCTGTCAATAGCACCTGAAGGTGTCAGTCTTGAACAATCTCGTTGGTGCGCAAGACTCACCTGTGATAAGTATATGAGTGTAGGACTGCTCGCGATGCTAGTGAGAGACGACCGGATCGTGCATATCCTCAGACGCACCTATGAGCAATGCTGTACAATGCTCGGCCCGATAGGAACCGTGCAGTGCCTACTAGCTTGAAGCGGCCGACTAGATGGGGGCACAAACAAGAGGCGCATAGTAACGTCACATTAGACTCATTTGAGCCATTGATCATCGCCCAGCTTTCGAATTTGTCGGGGCTGGGAACAAGTACATCCTTGTTGCATACATGAGGAACAAGAGAAAGCCTGTTAGTGTGCCGTCACATATGATTGAAAATCATGTACAGGAAGAAACGTCTTCATTCCTCCAAAAACTTCCTAATCTCTGTTTTAAGGAACTCATCATCCACAGCATTGCTACCGCCCCCCGCTGAGTTAATTGAAGTGTCATCATTACTCGATATTGCTGAAAAGAGGCTGGGGAACTTACCCATATGACCCCACACAGAGTCAATCACTACGAGCTTGGAGCTGTTGCTCATCAGGTTTATCTCGAACTCACTATCTTCAGGCTTAAGACGGCAATGAGTTCGAGCTTCAGCACTACGGAGTAGACGGAACGAGACGTACAGGGAAGTATAGGTCCGTCTTGCAAGGCATGATGAGACCCTTGGCTTTGATCCCGGCCAACGCAGTCTTGAAAGCGTCTTCGTCATGAGGTGCACTGAATACACCCTTGCCAATCAACGAGACATCACCACTCTGCCAGGTCCTGATGAGGGTGATGAGGTCATTGGCGTCCCAGACGCCAAGGAAGCCTCCCTCCCATTCGTGACGGAGGAAGTCCTCGAGGGAGCAGTATTGACCGCCCATCAGGTACTGGTGTTGACGGAACCACTAGCGATGAAGAAATCAGCTTATATATTAGCTCAGTGTGGAGTGCAACAACCAACCGCCTGTCCATAGGCCCATGCGCTGTACGCGCGACCAAAGGCCCGAATGCCCACCTGAGGCTCTTTAGTGTAATGACCGTGGTCGAAATCCTTCGAGTGCAACAGGGCGGTCATCGGGCCTTCAATGAAGCTTAAGAGCGGAGGGTCATAAGAGGACGGCGCAGGATTTGAGCAGAAGTGTGACCCACCACTTGTTATGCATGCTTGTGCGAGCCGACCCGCAGATCGGAATGAACCTAGTATAGAGTGATCGTATAAGGGCTCGTCATGCATAGATGATGCGGAAACTCGAACCTTTCCACAAAGTCGGGATACATGACAGGCCAATAGTACGCCTTGGACCTGCTGCTCAGTGATGTGCATAAATTGAATCCACATAAGAACAGCACCTGTTGACCTCCCATAGAGAATCCGACCACGCAATATGCCTTCTTCACATTGAGTGCCTTGGTGACGACAGCATATTGAGCGCGGCTGTTGCGAGGGTTGCATCTTTAGCAAAGATCTGAGTTGGCGCAGATGTCTCACATATTATCTTCGTAAGAAACGTCTGGGAAGTATGGTCCGTTGTATGGAGGGGGCTAGACGGACAGGGTGCTTGAGCCGGACCGCAGTGAATGGTAAATGCAGCAAACCAACAGTGTTGGAAGGCGATGAAGACTGAAGCATGGGTGGTGATCAGTACCGTCTCCTGGAAAAGCGATGTGGATAGAGTGACTGACTTCACCATTCGAGAAGAGCGCCAATGTAACAATGAAATACTTGGTTGAATCGAGGGCCTGAAGGAGGCAAGACCCAACGTCTCAGCGAACCTGTGTGAGTTTCGAGGGTCTGGGAGTCCCTACTTTGTCGGGTCCGATCATGTAGTCCTGGCCTAGCAAGCCAACGTCTGCTCCACGCTCGACAACACCAGAAAAGATAAGGCGGTGGAGGACGTACTGTCAAGGCGCCCGCCATAACAGGTGGGGAAGATGATGCATGGACTTGCTGGATCGCCGTACGTGCAGTAGGCGGTGACGGCGTCCGGCAGAACGCCGCCTGCTACGCGGAAGCGGCCGTGGCGGTAGTGCTGGATGGCAGACGCCATGGTGGAGAGAACTTCGCGGGCATCCTCACCAGGAGCTCGCTTTTGAAGCTCTGAAGGCTGCGAGATCACAGCTGCAGCCGCTTATCTGCCGGAGGGAAAACTCTGTGCCTCATCTGACTGACGAGACCTTGCGGTCCATCGACGACTGCCCACGGTCGTGGGCAGACCGAGTGCCTTAGACGCCCATCCAAAATATGTCTAGTCACGTGAGCGGAGGCTCAGTGGTACTTCACAGTTCTTACGCCTGCATTCAAACTCCGCCAGTAGCTCTCTTCCTCCGTCTCTACCACCCCACACACCGTCAAGAATGGGCTGTGAGTCGCTGTCCCCGTCCTTGAGCCCTCGGGTCGCTTCTCGCACGTCATGCTGATCTCTCCTCGCGCTAGCCAACAAACCCCGTGGATTGCAAGCCGCGCGCAAGCTGCGCAACGACCGCCGCGAAAACCGCTGGGTGCGCACTCTACCATCTCTTCCGTTACCCCCTTCGCACCCGTCTCCTCTCCGTATATCCGCGGGCGTCCGCTTACCGCGGGATCGTGCAGGCGGACAAGGCCTACAAGAAGCGGGCCCTCGGTAACATCTACAAGACCTCCCCCACTGGAGGTTCCTCCCACGCAAAAGGAATCGTGCTCGAAAAGGTCGGCGTTGAGGCCAAGCAGCCTAACTCTGCCATCCGCAAGTGCGTCCGTGTGCAGCTGATCAAGAACGGCAAGAAGGTCACCGCTTTCGTGCCGGTGCGTCCCCACGCTATCGCTATCGCGCTCTGCTCGTCCACTCGAGAGCGGTCCGGGCCTTGATGGTGGTTCTCTCATCTGACCCCGTCTCCTCCGCAGAACGATGGTTGCCTGAACTTCGTCGATGAGAACGACGAAGTCCTCATCTCCGGCTTCGGTCGCCGGGGTAAGGCCAAGGGTGATATTCCCGGTGTCCGTTTCAAGATTGTCAAGGTGTCTGGTGTCGGTCTCTTGGCTCTCTGGAAGGAGAAGAAGGTGCGTTTTGTGCGAGTTTTGCTCATGCGTCTAGATATCTGATCCATTTATGTTGTCCTCAGGAGAAGCCCCGGTCATAAGCGCTTAGCATTTCCCTCTGTGTTGTCCTCATTCGTATCGCTGTCTGCAGCCTCCCCTGGGCACGTCATGTCTGTACCAATCACCATAACATATGATCCCGAACGAACCATATGCTTTATGCCGCGCCCGCAGACATATCCACCGACTTTGAGAATGGCAGTACGCAATGAAGGTTTATTGATACTCCTATGTGGACCTAGCAAGAGGCAAATGGCAGGATTACGCGAGAGATATTATAGATGCAACAAAGCGAAGCACACGCATACGAGAGCAAGCAGGGATCAAAAGTATCCTACCACCACCAATCCCTTCCTCGTTACACGTTCGTCATAGATTCACTACAATTCCTTGACTCTCGATCAGGCGCTTGAGATCACCCAACAGCTCAAGCTGCTCCTGTACCGTGAGGCCGCCAACGATCGTTTGAAGGACGGAGCCCACAGTAACGTTGTTTTGACGGATGAGGCTGCTATAGTAGACGTAGGTGAAGATACCCATGAGGAACCTGTGAGCGCAAACGGCGCGTAAGCAACATCATTGGTGGAAAGCGAAGGCGAGACGTACTGGCAGTCCATCCGGTCCGTCATACCACCATGACCAGGGATGCTGTGGCCGAAGTCCTTGATGTCGAAGGCGCGCTTGAAACCAGATGCGAAGAACCCGCCGAAGGGCGCGACCAGCGACGCGAAGCAGGAGAGCACGAGGAGATGCGGCTGGTACGGAACGTACGGGATCGTGGTCACATTTGAGCCAAGCTGGGAGTGAACCATGAGCACAGGGAGCCGCCGAGGATGGAACGAGAACTTGGTGGGTACTCACGAGCGGGCTGACGACCGTGCGGAGCTCCAGGGGCATGACCCATTCATGCCAGACGAAGATCGGGTTGGGCTTGCAGTGGAGCTCTCCGCCAAACGCACTAACGCCAAGGTCGCGCACGGGGCATATCATGTAGTCGAAGCGCATGAAATACGTGCCCCAGAGGAGACCGAAGATGATCGTGCTGAAGAACGCGCCGATAAACCCTTCCACCGTCTTCTTGGGCGACAGTTTGATGAGGGGAGTCCGTCCGACCGTGATCCCCCAGATGTAGGCGAAAACGTCGTTGCAAATGACAAGCGACGCCGGGACCCAGAACCAGATGAGGCCCTCAAGAATGTTGTTCACGATGAAGTGACTGCACTGACGTTAGTACGGAGTGATCCTTTGAGAGCATAATACGCACCTAGACACCACAATCATGAGTAGACTCATGTGCACCCAGCAGAACAGACCAAATTGCTGCTTCAGGTATCCTCGCTTGAGCGAGAGCACAAACCCGACGAAACCAATCAAGTACAGCGAGAAACTCGCAAAACGATGGTTTGTCGCGAATGGCGTAAGCTGGGCGTTGGAGAACACAACGTGCTGGAACCCAAGAGGTGAGGCAACATCCACTGAATACAAGGTCGAGCACCACACACCTTAAAGTAGTAGATGATGCTCTCACCGTACAAGAAGTAGTTCGTGACAACGAAGAAGTACCAGTTGAGTGTCTTGCTCCAAGGATCGCGCCCCCGAAGATCCGTCTCTCCACCAACTTTTCGCTTCAAAGAGAAGAGGGCTGTGACTTCCCGGTAAACGACAGCCTGGCAAAGCATGACAAGCATGATCATGTAGGCGTGACCCATGAGCAGGAGAGCTACACGTGCCCATTGCGTCCTCAGTGCTTGGACGTCGCGCGCAGGTGAATGGCACTCACTGATAAACCCTCCAATCATGATGAATGTCCAAAGCGTGCGGGTGATGAAGCTCTGCCTCTTCTTCACCTTCTCACTGTCCTCGACCGTCGGTGCCTTCTCCGGAGGGCTCTCGATGTCTGGTCTCCGCACGACATGGGCGTCTTTCTCCGATGACGCAGGCGCAGCGGGTTCGCTCGCTGGCGTGAGCGGCTTCACGGACGGCACTGCAGCCGGCGCGGGAGTCGTCTCTGCAGGTGGGTCGCGGGGAGCAGAACCGTTCGCCTTCGTCGCTGGATATGCAGCGCCGTTTGAGACAGGCTTGGAAACCACGGATGTGGGGGCAGGGGTGACCGCGGGGGCAAGCTCAGCGGCCTTCTCTGCTGGAGGGGTTGGGGAAACATCAAGCGCGTCGGTAATGACTGGCTCGGATGCAACAAGAGGGGTGGAAGCATGTGGGGGCGAGACAGCAGGGGAAGGGGGCGCGACGTCGGCTTTCTGAGCTCGTGCAGCAGCGCGAGCGGCCTTCTCCTGCTGACGTTTCTCGGCGCGCGCGAGGGCCTTCTGCTTTTTGATCGCGCTCTTGGACAGCTTCACGTTCGACTCGGTACCGCTAGCAAGATGTCAATGGACATGAATATGACCACGGTGGGGCAGCGCACCTCTCAGGTTGAGACGCGGGGGCATCATCGAGGTACTCTTCATCGTCCACCTCCTCGCCGGACTCTATACCGAGGGCTTCCCAAGCCGTTTTTGACGTGAAAGGAGGTCGTGTGGACATGCTAGTGGTGGTAGGGGGAATGAGTGGGGCGCGAGGCGAGTGACGCTGCCCCGTACAGTAGTCTTCCCCACGTGTTACAAAGCGCCGGGATCCCTGGCGGTCCACGTCGCCCATCGGCAGGCCCAAACACTCGAGCAACCCGCAAGCCGGCTTATATCAGACATGGAGCAACCAAGATGTTCGATTCGCGAAACACTTCTACAGAGTAGCCTAGCGGAACATGTGTATGTACGATGCGGAAAAAATGAGTGCAACAACAGTGTGAGGGATGACAGGCATGTCCAGAGCTGATGAGATGATGCGTGTAGGTGTATGATGATGATGAGAGGTTCCAGCTGTGATGATAATAATGTAGTAATAACGTCAGAATCTCCAGTCCGAGTCGACCTCCATGGCCCATGGGACTGTTAGAAGGGGTGAGCGTGACGCTGCAAAACACGCAGCCGAAGTACTCACACTTGGTGACGAGGGTCTTCGAGAAGAGCTTCTCGACAGGAACGCCGTTGGCTTTGCACCAGGCCACTGTGAGTCTAGCAGGCATACGGCAACGATAAGAGACGACTACGGCATGAATAGGGGGGTCAGACGAACCTGGGATCCAAGTAGTTGATTTTACTGGAAAATCGCAAGCCGACGACGTCAATAAGTGACCGCATACACGCGATCGTCTGCGTACCTCGTTCCCAACGCAACTTCCTTACCGGCTTCCTTATCCTCCATTTGGAGCTTGAACGTCTTGATCCGCTCGTCCAGCTTCGCAATCGCCTCCTCGATCTTGTCGGTCGACCTATCCTTCTTCAGGGTATGCTTCTTGGTGCCTCGTTCCTTCACAAGTCGCTTGTGTTCAGCCTCGACTTCCTTGATCTTCTCCTTCAGAAGCGAGTCAGGCTGCAACTCCTTGCCCTCCTCCGCCAGCTTCTCATTGTCCTTCAGGAACTTCTTCTCCACCTTCTCAAGCTCCTTAGTCTTCATGGTGTCCTCGTGCGTGGCGATAATCTCGTCGTCGAAGTCTGATTCATCATCGACGTACATTTTGTTCTTCTTGTACTTGGCGTCGATGGCGAATAAGGCGTGACGAAGCTTCATGCGCTCGTATTTGAGTCCAATCAGCTATATAATTCGTCAGCGACCAAGTGCACATCAAGAAGGGTGGAGCATACCTTGTCGCGCATCTTCGACATGGATTGCTCGTGCGTCTTCGGGACAGCGCGCTGATGGTTACACAGGACGGCCACCATGCGGTTGGCCTGGTTGTATGCATTCAGCTTCTCTTGCATCGTACCCTTACTGGGAGTGAGCTCGTCAAGCTGTTTCTGGAAGGTGATGGATGCATTGAAGGTACGGAACACCTTCGCAGTTAGACCCTTCATGTACGAAGCCAGGTGTTTGTTGAGACCCGTAGTCTGCACGGTACAAGGCAGTGTCAAACAGTGACCCAACAAGCTCCAGACTGGACATACCTGAACTCGATCGAAGAGTTCGTCTCCGTCGTCCTTGCCCTTCTTGAAGATTCTTATGTTCTTGAACACCTGCTCCTCCACCGTAACCGTGTTGTAGTACCGAATCGAGTCTTTACCGAGGAAGTCGAAGACAATTTTGTCCGGGGGCTCCAAGGAAACGTGTTCACAACGCAAAGAGCAACAGCCAAAAGTGTCAGCTTCGTCGTCACCTTTCTCGTTGCCGGCTCTGAGTGCGAGCTTGTCGATGAAGTACATGGCGGTGGCTCGCTGGCGATCGGCGGATTGCTTGCTCTTCAAGTCTCTGTTGTAGTCCATGCGAATCCGGTCAACGTGTTTCTGTCATTCTTGTGAGCATTGCGCAACAAAACTTGATGTGGACGAGACGAACCTGGAGCTCTCGCGCCTTTTCAAACTTTGACCAATCGCTCTGACCCTTGATCGAACTGCCTGCCGCCAAGAAGACATACTTGTAGTTGCCGTTGACGTTCTCAATCCAATTGGCCAACCAGGTAACCGTGTTGTCATGGACAACTTCCTTCCACTTCCCCGAAACATTGGGAACAGGTGTAGGGGCGTTCTTGCCGATGTTGATGGTAATGTCCTCGGGACGCACACGTAGCTGGGCGGCCAATGAGGACAAGGGAATACCGACAACATGAGGACGTACCTTCAATGCACCCTTCTTAGGATGATCTCCTCGTCCACGGAAAAGGCCGGGGGGTTCAACGCGGAAGTTACCAATCTTCTCCTTGCGACCATCTAGCACACAGTGAGTGTAAGGAGCTTCGAGCTCGTCCTTTGCTGCCTTGGCCGCTTTCTTGTCGGCGGCGGATAGACTCTTCTTCTTCTCCTTCTCCGACTCGAAGTATTCGTACATAGGTCGGAAGTCGCACAGGCTGAACTTCTGTATCTTCACACCGTTCCTCTGTAGAAATTCATTAGTACAGGCACACGACAGGTCATGGCGTACATACTGGAGGGTACTTCTTCAACACATTGATGAAGTCGTCGAAAAAGTTATTATTGAAGGTCACGTCTTTCGCATGATCTGTCTCAATCATTGCGCCGTAAAAGCCAGCTACCTCCTCGGACTCCGGAGGAAGATCGACATCCTGAGCTGTAAAAAAAAATCAATGTGGCGTACGTGACTCATCAGAGGAGCATACACACCATTGTATTTCATCTTGACATGACTGGGGAGGGGAACGTACGGAGGGGGGAAGTAGACGCCGTTGTGTTCCAACGTCTCCCACTTGACAGACCCATCCCGCTCCTCGTTCTGCTGCTCCCACCACTTGTAGGTGTCCTCTTCCTCTTCCTCCTTCTTCGCCCTGCCCTTGATCGGTGTCGCGTCCATCGATTCTTCCTTCTTGGCGCCCCGCTTCTTAGGCTTGACACCGTCGGCCGGCACTGCCTTGACTTTCTTCGAGGTGGAGGAAGCACCCGCTTTCTTAGCAGGTGCCCGCTTCTTCTGCAAAGGCTTGTCGTCGTCCGAGTCACTTTCAGCCTTCGCTTTCCGCTTCACCGGAGCCTTCTTCAGGGGTGGCGGGGCATCATCCTCGGACTCGATGTCGAAGTCGGACTCGACCTCCTGCTTCACCTTCTTCGCTGGGCGTCCCTTAGACTTCGACTTCGTCGCAGCCTTCGCTTTCCCGTTGGTGGCACGCTTCGGTTTTGCCAAAGGGGCTTCGTCGTCGTCGTCGTCGTCCTCCTCGTCGGACTCGATGGTCTTCTTCGAGGACGCAGCAGGGCGCTTGCCGTTCGTAGAGGACTTCGTGGTAGTGGCCTCGACGGCACCAGGCATACGCACAGCAGCCGACTTGGCCGGCGAGGATGCTAGAGGTCTCTCATCCTCGCTCGAGTCGGACATAACGGGCATCTTGCGCTTTAGACCCCTAGTGTCCGGTGTCATGGTCTCTGACTTCGGGCGGGTGCTCTGGGACTGTTTTCCTAGGTCAGATATATGCGCACTGAGAGAGATATCCAGAGAGATTTGACATACTAAAGGCATGTCTTCATCCTCGCTCAAGGAGGAGTCGCCCATCCCGCCACCGTTCCCGTTGTGAGCAACGTGTCCGTTCTGAGGCGTCCTTTGGGAAGAAGTCTTGAGGTTGAGAGGCGTATCGTCGTCAGAGAACATCGAGACATCGCCAGACATCGCGGGCAGGACGGTGGCGCAGGTAGGGACAGTCGGGGGGTGGCACGAGGACAAGGAGAACAGACGTGAGACAGGAAGAGTGGGCTGGGGCGACCTGCCAGCTCCAATCTGTTGAAGTATTGCCGGGCCTACCCTAAACATGCCTGATCCCGTGCCTCGGCGTCTATGACAGACATTGTCGGCAGGGAACCCTGGCCAGTCACCTCCGCATCGCCCTTTCCGGCCTCAGCTCTCCATAATCCCCCCGTCAGTGCCTCGTTCTCGTCCTCCTCGGTACATGCCGCTCATCCGTGAAACAGATGCCCAGCTCCAGGGACCCTCAACTCTTCCGCGACCCGTGGGCAAAGCGTGACGCCTGGCGCAAGCACCCCGTTTTCGCCCGTCGCGCCATGTTCTTCCGTGCATTGCCAGGCTTTGGTACCGCTGTGGTCGCCTTCACTGCGTATGTCATCGCGGACAACATGATGTCTGGCAGCTCCCATTGAGCCGTTGCGCGTGCGCAGCCTCGAGATTGTCCTCCGCGTTTCGGTACGTGACTTGCTGGCCGAATCTAGAAAGTGCAATAACGGTGTTCAAGCTAGGAATCCTCAAACAGCGTCGCAAAGAGCTCTACCGACGAAGAGATCCCCTGTTACTGTCCGCACAACCTCATCGCATATAGCCAGAAGTCTCTACCTAGTCGGCGAGTTAGTCATCAGAAATGTACTGTGGCGTGGCCAGCCCTGCATGGTGTGTTCAAAACGAGCATGCTTTTGGAGTGCTATGTGAGTCCTCCATCTGGCACTAGGTCAAGAAGGCATCACACTCGACGGATCACGAAGCAACATTCATGGGATGCTATCTTGACGCTGTCTATCCGAGTAGACTTTAGTCTCAACCATTCCATACCGTTTCCACGCCTAGCCATACTCCAGTCCCCCCGATGCTGGGCCACACGACTTCTACACCCAAGAGGGATACGAGCCGAACTCTGCCCCGTACCAAGTTAGTGGAATGCTAATCCAGCAGCTAACAAATCTTGTTTGCCTTGCATGCTTGACGTACTTACGGTGGAACGTGACCTTGTCAGCACAACATTCCCGTGGCCTTGCAAAGTTGCAGCGCGTCAAACCCGGCTCGTCTCGCCTCCGGCGCTCAGCATGACATCCTGTCTTCCGTGCGGTCGGCTGCATTCCACCCATCGAGGACAAATGCTGATAATGAAGGAGGCGAGTGATAGTCGTTCCACCAGAACTCGACGAGTGCGCTAGAAGCTGGAACCCCGTCCGCAGCGCCAGTACCGTGCCGTGTACCGACACGAGGGGCACAACTGGTAGCGCATTGGTTCAGGTCTTGAGCTCATCAGGATTCGTTTGCTCTGTATCTGATGTCATGTCCGTGAGAATCGTTCGACACAACATCAGTACGCTCACACGGACATCCACAACGCGATTAGGCGAGCTTTCCTCACTTTTCCTGAACTTCTAGCGTCGTGGGTCAACATCAAGTGCTTCGACGTACTACTGCTCTGCCGCTGGAACCTGGCACGGGGATCACTGTGTAGAGGGCTTCTGCAGCAAGCGGTCAGTCATGAAGGAGACGTGGGCCGGGGAACAAGAGCCGCAGCTCCTTCGCGGGACAAGAAGCGACGGCTCCTGCAGGGGCCAAGACTTCGGGAATCAGCGTTTCCGCGATGCCGCCCATTCGGCGGAGTCGCGAGTGGTGAAAATTGCATGCGAAGACTCTCGCCTACTCATACAAAATCTATTTTGCCGTATGGGACTCCCGCGCGGACACACACTGACGGCATGGCAAGTGTTGGCGAATGCAAGAAATACCACGAAGGCTTGCTGAGGTCGCTACCGCTATGGTATTTGTTTGATGCTGGATGGGACGAGACAACGGAAACAAGAGGCCAGTCTAGCATCTCGAGATCTCGGACGGGCATCTGGACTCCAGCGGCGCTCTAAGGGCGTTTTGATACGCCGGAGACTGGACCGCCGAGAAGCAGGGAAGTGCATTGTTACCATCCACTCGAGAGTCAAGTACTTTGCACTCACGTGGATGGAGATCTACAGACATTTTCACACGGCGATGAACCGAGCGCAGCTTGCAACTTGTGCTCGAAGGTGCGTCCTGCCTCCTTTCAAGTCTACAGCCTCCCGGGGCGGGCCGATAACAGTTTTCGGGGCGTTGAGGCCCGAAGGGGGTCAGTGTCAGTGATCCGTCGTGGCGATTGATTTCATCAACTTTGCGTAACGCGGCCAGCCGGCTCGCAGCGCTGGGAGCTGGTTCTGATGCGCGAAGGGTCATTTAAATTGGTCTGGCCACTAGTGCCACGAGCTAGCAGTTACATATCCCGCTCTACACGCCCCCGTTTGGAACGTGATGGGGTTCGCGCGGACGGCCAGGAACGCAAAGAGGGTACGGGTGCGGACAATGGGGCACTTTGTCAAGTTCTTCGCATGCGTAGAGCCGGTGGGATCAGTGGACGCATGTGAAGTTTCGCTCGGACGCAGAGCAGACTGGGCAGAATCCGTTGGATCGCATATGTCCCACACACGCTTTACGAATGCACGCGTTGTCCACAGCGAAAGACCAATCCCTCCCACGCGAATGGCCGGCGACAGGTGGCTCTCTCCGCATCGACAGGTACGGAACCGCCGCAGTGCTTGAAATAAGTAGTTGCTTCACGGAAACTGTGGAGGACATGAGGTAGGACACTGGGGTTTACAGTCTACGCGAGCTAATACTTCATGCTGCGCGCAGCCAAGCGTTCCGTTTGTGTACTAGATGCCGAACGGAAACTCGACGACACTGACGAAGTGCCAAAGGCGAGGAGGTTGAACATACAACCGGGGTAGGCGCGCGCGTAAATCACAGGGGGCATCCACAGCGCGATCAAGATCCCGTACGTACATCGGAGACTAGACTCTGACCCGCGCGCATCCCTTGCAAGCGAGGGTCGGCGCCGCCACTCGGTCAAGGACCATGCCTACGCGGATTTTCCCACCATTCCGCTTGAACTAGCGAGAACACTGGTGCGGGCCACCGACTTGCCCTTTTTCCACCAGCATCTTCGTTCTCCCTTTCGCTTTTAATCAGCAGGTGGCTGCCCGCCATGTCCGCTCTTTCCCTGCCCACCCTCCTTCTCCCGGTCCCCTCCCTCAGCATGGCGTCGGTCCATCGCCAGTACACCACTCTCATCCTCGATCTTGGCGACGTCCTCTTCCGCTGGTCACCGAAGACAACGACCCCCATCCCCCCTCGCCAACTCAAGGAGATCCTCTCCTCCGTCACCTGGTTCGAGTACGAGCGCGGCCGGCTGACTCAGGACAAATGCTATGCTCTCGTCTCCGAGGAGTTCGGTATCGACAGGGACGTCATCGCCGAAGCGTTCAAACAGGCGCGTGAGTCCCTCCGCCCGAACGAGGAGTTCATCGAGCTGGTTCGCGAGCTCCGCCGGACTGCGCCCGGGGAGCTCACCGTGCTCGCGCTCTCCAACATCTCCCTCCCCGACTACGAGTACATCATGGACCACAACTCAGGGTGGACCACCATCTTCGACCGCGTCTTCCCCTCTGCGCTCGTGGGTGAGCGCAAGCCGCATCTCGGCTGCTACCGCAGGGTTATCTCGGAGATGGGCATCGAGCCGCAAACGGCCGTCTTCGTGGACGACAAGCTCGACAACGTCGCATCTGCGCGTTCGCTCGGGATGCACGGCATCGTGTTCGACAACCAGGAGAACGTCTTCCGACAGCTCCGGAATATCTTCGGGGACCCTGTGCGTCGCGGGCAGGAGTACCTTCGCAAGCACGCGGGCAAGCTGGAGTCGGTCACCGACGTGGGCGCCGTGTTTGAGGAGAACTTTACGCAGCTAATCATCTACGAGCTGACCGGGGATAAGTGAGTGCCCAGCTAGTCTAGGTGCGAGGACCAGCTTCTGACCAAGGCACTTCTCACAGGTCCCTAATCACGATTTCGGATTGCCCTCGGACATGGAACTTTTTCAGAGGTAAATCATCGATGGTTCCGTCCGAGCAAGTCGCTAACCAAGCCTTGCAGGGAAGCCGCTTTTCTCGGAGACGTTTCCCGATGACGTGGACACTACCTCCGTTGCTCTCACGGTCCTCCGTCCGGACGAGTCGCTCGTATCGTCTATCCTCGACGAGATGCTGCAGTACGTAGATGCGGATGGCATTATGCAGGTGAGCAGCGACGTCACGAGAACCTCCACGTACCCGTGCTCACCCTCCATCAGACGTACTTTGATCACTCCCGGCCTCGCATGGACCCGTTCGTCTGTGTCAACGTCCTGTCCCTGTTCTATGAACACGGCCGTGGGCACCAACTGCCACGAACTCTCGACTGGGTTCATGAGGTGCTCCTCTATCGCGCCTACCACGGCGGCTCGCGATACTACATGTCCCCCGACTGTTTCCTCTTCTTCATAAGCCGCCTTCTTCAGCGCGCCAACGACCCCTCCGTCCAAGCCCGCCTCCGTCCACTTTTCATCGAGCGCATCCGCGAGCGTATCGGTGCTGCCGGCGACGCGATGGAGCTTGCGTTCCGGATACTCGCGGCGACGAGCGTCGGCATTGCATGCCCACGGGACGCCGAGAAGCTCATTGCGCAGCAATGCGCTGATGGCGGCTGGGACCTGTGCTGGTTCTACATGTTCGGCTCCACTGGCGTGAAGGCGGGGAACCGGGGCCTTGCGACTGCGCTCGCAGTCCGGGCGATCGAGTCGTCCCTCGGTCGGCCGCCCTCTCCATCTCCGTCGGAGGAGTCTACCGCTACCGCCGCAGTGGCGAAGCCGGAAGTGTCGGAGATGGAGGACTCAGGCAAGGGGTGTGGTGCTGTGAACAAGTTCTTTGCGGCTATCGCACGCCCTGTCAGCCCCCTCAGCTTCGGATGCCTCTGCCCGCGCCGTTGGTCCCGGTCAAACAAGCTGGATATCAAGACGGTGCCTCTGACGGCCTAACCTTTCCAAGCAAGTCTCCTCCCTCTTCATGTTTAATTTATTTCGCTTCGTGCTCTCCTATCCTCGGACGCCATCCTCCCCCTCCCGCTCTCCCCGTCTCTCTCCGGCTCCGGCTCTCCCTCCTCACCTCGCAGATTCCATTCACCTGTACATGCCCCTGCTCACGACTTTTGACGACTTCATCTGTACCATACATCTTCCCGCCGTAGATGTAAGAGTGTCTTGCTGCGCTGGTCCCCCCATATGGCGTCATTGCTTTCACATCGCTCCGTCTCCCCCACACACTACTGTTGCTCCCATATCAATGCCGCGGATCGTTCCATCTAATACTCGAGGTCATTGCCGCTGGTCCTCGCAGCCTCAGTAGCTAGTCCCCACGCCGTGTCGTTGCATGTACTTGTCTGTGTAGAATTAGAGCTCGGCCTCCCGGGAATGCCCCTCTCTCCTCCCCGCCGATCCTGCACAGATGCTGTTCAGCTCGAAAGCTGTACATGTTTGGCGCTTGAGCTCAATGCACTACGACCCGAGACCCGGCGCCATTGTGATACTTAGCGCAAGTGCCACCACATCGATGGGGGCGTGATCAGGCTGTTCACCCGCCCGGGCTTGACGGCCGCGCCCTGCGGCTGAGAGGAACACGTCGTTCGGGCGGCAGAACACGGAGGAGGACATCAACGCCCCAGGCAGGGCGAGGCAGGGCGTCGACGGCCTGGCCTGGTGCATTGCGCAGTCAGCACCGGACACCATCACCAGAACAGTTTAGACTTGACGGTCTTTAAACCCGTCAGGCAGGTCTGCATCAGGGCCGCCAGATCTAGTCTTCTTTATCTCCAACGCGCATGTAACCGCATGGGCGGTAGGACAAATTGTAGGCACGGGGCCGTGCTTGTTTGGGTATCGTGGTCAGCGATATCATAGCCGACCGTCCAGCTTAGCTGTTATGCCATCCGTGAGTCGGCCTCGTGCCTCCCGATGCCGACGCTAACTTCTAGACAGCTTTGGCGAACGCGTACTGGCAGGTACTGGCTGTGGCCACTTCGGACTATCTGCGCTCGCTTGGGCAGCCACGCCTGCAGGCTCTGTCGTAATGTGTCAATGTTTGGGAGCGCGGGTCCAACCCAACGCTCATGTCGCGCCCGGAATAGTGGCATTGGTTCAGCCCCGCAGGAACTTCTTGTACACTTGGTTCTCGGTCTCTTCTACGTAAGGATAGCCCAGATTTTGCAAATACTTCTCGAACTGCTCCCTTTCCTCTAGTGGCACTTGGATGCCCGCGAGGACCTTGCCGATGTCTGGCAGGGCTCACCGATGAGCAGACTAGAGCATTTTGAAAACTGACCGTGCGCACCTGCTCCGTGATTGCGGTAATGAAACAGAGAAATGTTCCACCCCACATGAAGCCCTTTGAGGAACCGCCGCAGGGCGTCGGGGCGTTCGGGAAATTCTGACGTGTTGAGTTAAGCGGAGTACTAACGGGATGTGCTGAGGGCTTCGTACCGAATCTGAACAGCCGCTCGTTGGGCACCTCAGTGCAACCACCGATCATGTATCGCGCGTGCGTCTTCGCCATCTCGTCATCGCTGATGTCAACGGCCTTCATGTCTTGGTGCTCGAGCGCGGCGATGACCTCCGAGACTTCTCGGGTTCGTGCTGTAGTTTCCAGCTGGAACGACAGGAAAATCTGTGCGCGCTCGTGATGATGGTATCGATACACGAACTCCGTGGTTGCACGTGGATGAATCATGTCATGTAAGGCCACGAAGCTAGTAAACAGAAGATTAGAGACGTACAAATCCGTTCATGCGAAAATAGCGGCTCACCTTCCAGGCCGCTCAGGGATCTCAACACTGAGCAACGCTTCTCTACCCTCTCCCAATTCCGCACGCTCCGCGACGAAGCGTAGACGGTCGAAGTTCATGTTCGCGCCGCTGATGACGGCCACGAATTTCTTCTCCGCGCCAACCAACTGGTTGTCCACGATATACCGCTTGACAGCAGCGAGAGCGAGCGCACCTGCCGGCTCGGTGATGGAGCGCGTTTCTAAAAGCACGGACCGGAATCGTTAGGCCTAAGAAAACGACATTATTAGCTTTCGCCACTCGCCCTCGAAGATATCCTTGATGGCTGCACAGAGCTCGTCTGTGTCGACTTTGACCACGCCGTCCAACAGTTCCTTGCAGATCCGGAACGGCTCCTCGCCCACGATCTTCACCGCCGTGCCGTCGCTGAATAGCCCGACCTCGCTGAGCGTCACCCGCTCGCCCTTCTGCAAGCTGCGCTCCATTGCGTCCCCGTCGACGGTCTCACCGCCGATGACCTTCGTATTGGGAGACCCGATCCGCTTTACGTACTCCGCGACGCCCGCGACGAGCCCGCCACCGCCTACCCCGCGAAGATCGCGTCGAGGGTCTCGGGGCTGGGCACCTGCTTGAGCACTTCGAGCCCGACGGTGCCCTGGCCGGCAATAACGAGTGGGTCGTCATACGGGGGCACGAAGACGAGCCCGTGCGCCTGTGCAAGGCGCGCGCACTCGGCCTTGGCCTCGTCGAAGTCTTGGCCGAAGAGGACGACCTTCGCGCCGAGCCGGGAGACATTGCGGACCTTGATCGACGGTGTCGCCTTGGGCATCACAATCGTGCAGGGGATGCCGAGACGCGAGCCCGAGAGCGCGACGCCCTGAGCGTGGTTACCTGGGAGGGGCGCAGAGGTCAGCGTTAGACGCTACTAGATGTATAGTGCGAGCCACGAGCAGCGAGCGAGAATGCCAGAAAGTGGAGGCAAGGAGGTGGCCTCCGCAGGCCGGATTCATGGGAACGCGGGCGATCCAAAGCTGCTGTGGGAGTACGCACACTAACCCGCGCTGCATGTCACGACGCCCTTCCACCGCTCCTCCTCGGAAAGACTGGCCATGAAGTTGTATGCGCCGCGGATCTTGAAGCTGAAGACTTCCTGCAGGTCCTCACGCTTGAGCCATATCTGGTTGCCGAGCCGCGTAGAGAGGTTCGGGCAATAGACGAGGGGGGTCTCCTTGACGATCTCGTAGACCTTGGACGTGAGAATGAGACGTAGATAGTCGGGTGAACCGTCGGGGAGCAGGGCATGAGGCGGGAGGCGCGGATATCGCGCGTTTGGGATGCGCTCGGGCGCGCTGGAGGCGTACTCGACCGTCGTCGAGGGCGTCATCGTGCTGCCCCTGATGGGTTCGGTTGATCTGTGGTGTCGGAGCTACGGTGTGGATGCGGCGAGAATGCGGGGTGGATTGGATGGGGAGCTGAGTGACTCATGAGGAAAATGCGAGAGTATGTCCGTAAATGGCGCCGGCGTCGTCTTGCGTTTCACGCGTGGTCCGGAGTCCGACGTCGACCGTATTTGACGACCGGATGATACTCGAGAGGAATATAAACCGTGCCCAGTACGTATACGCTATGATATATGAGATATAAGACAAAAGTACAGCATGATGAAAGCTCGTAGAGGAATAATATAGCAGAGCGAGTGAGACTGAGGATACAACAAACAGATCACGGAAGCGGTAACGGCCATGCATGACTCTGAGCTACAGAGCCCCTGCCCGCCGGTCACGCTCCTTGGCTTTCGCCCCCGGTCCAAAGCGCTCCTGGAAGCTGATAAGCTCCTCCATCAGCTCTTCCATCAGCTTCATGGTGGCATCATCCCTCCCTCCCAGAGCACCCACGGGCGGCGGAAGCTCGGGAGGTATCACCACCCCGTTTTCTTTCGCGTGCGCACCGTCGGCCGTGCTCGCCTCCGCGTCCATCACGCCGCCCTCCCCGTTCACCGCTTCCTGCGCCTGCAATGCCTTTTGAAGCGCCTCCTTCCTCCTCGTCCGCTCCATCGCTGCCGCCTGCTCCCGCCCGACCCATTCGACCAGCGACCGAACACGTTTGTTCATGTCTCCAACGCTCATGCGTTTACTTGGCCACTTGACTTTGACGCCGCGCTCGGTTAGGCGTTCTGGGACATCGAGGGGGTTGCGATTGGCGTCGAGGACACTGCCTTGAACTTCGAGGGCGGGAGGAACCTCGGATGGAAGCGCGGTTGCGAGATGAGCGAGGTAGTCCGGCAGGTTCCAGGAGGTGAGGAGCGGTTGTTGAGTAGCGGCATATGGATGGGAGTGATGGTATGAGCGCGAGGTGGCCGAAGTTCCAGCCGCGGTGGCAGCGGCTGCGCTGTTCTGTGCGCGTCTGCCAGTGTGCTCGGAGGTATTGTTGGCTGAGCGAGGGTATATGTAGGGCATCAAGGGTATCACGGGTATAAGTGTGAGAGGGGTATAGCCAGTGACAAGACGCAAAACGCACCTTTGGCGCGGCTATTGGCCTTGCGTGTTGGCGCAGCGCTTCCAACTGAGACCACGTGAGTTGACGTCACGACCCTGCGAAATCGGGCACTTACCTTCATCAGCCCCGTCAACTAAGGCAAGATCCTGCGCCTGCACCTGTGACTTCCGCCCAGCTCGCGGCTTGCTTCGCGCAACTGGCGCACGCGCAGTGGAAGAGGCGGAGGGAGGGCCGGGCGGACCCATGATGGTGCTTAGCGGAGTCGCGTCGCGTGCGACCACGGATGGCGGAGGGCGATCGGAGACCACAGACACAGATCTTGTCCTTTTCACTGAAGCGCTGGCGATAGCAAGGCGTTGGACGACATGGGGGACGAGCCACAAAGAGAGCACTCACGAATCGTCGTCCGATCTCTTCCGCTTCTTCTTGGGGTTCGCGGCTGGCTCGTTCTCCAGCACCGGCTCTGCGTGGCCGTCCACAACACCCTGAGCGCTCACCGCAGAGACCGGGGTGCGAGGTGGCAAGTCGAAGTCCGCTCCATGCGCCTCCATAAGGGCGCGGTATTTCTCCTCGTCGTACGCCGCATCACGACTATTCATCGTATTCCTGCGCTTTGTAGTCTTCGATACCGCGGGGGAATGGGAGCGAGAATTACGCGAGGTGTTGACCATGGTGGGGGTGGGGGGAGGATGCGAATGAGAGGAGGGGTGGCGTGTATGCTTTGCTGCCCAGGCCCTATGAAGCAAGGTAAGAGTAGGAAGGTATGAAGAGGTGTCATCGCGCACTTTATGACCTCAACCCATGTTTCCGGTTTGCACTCCTCGCAGAAGTAGTGCTGGGGCACGACGTCGGTGGCCTCGTAGTGCATGCACTGTCCATGCTGCCAGGCTTTACACGTCTCACACTGCACCATGAATTCTCCCTGGTCGGTTTCTTCTTCTCCTGTGGACGAGAACGGTTATGACACGTCCCCCGTCAACTGGCGCGACCAGACTCACCGTATTTTTGACAGATGCAACGCGTTACGCCCCCTTCTTCGTCCTCGCCGTTCTCAGCTTCGTCGCCTACAGCTTCTACTTCGTGGTCCATACCATCGTTGGGGATCTGCAGTACAAGTGCGGCCTTGTCCTTGTCCTTGCCTTTGCGCTTCGAGCGGATGGAGCTTCCGTTGCCGGAGATGCCGTTCTTGGCAAGTTCTTCAAGGGGCTCCTCTATCTCTTCGTTCTTCGCGCGTTTGGTACGGGTGTTGTTCTGAGACGAGATGAGAGAGGGGCGGATGGTATTGTCCCTTGGCTTGGGCTGTCCCTCAGACGGTGGCGAGCCGTCTGGAGACTTGCTTGAGGAGGCTGCGGGGCGTCGGCCGGAACGTCGAGGTTCCTTCGGGGATGGTGGGGGGCCCATGGTCGCGACGTTGGCCATTGCTGACGCCGGGCGGGGAGACGGGGAAGTGCGAAAGCCTGTCAGGATGGTGGAGGGGAGAGATACAGACAATGCCCCCCATTTCCCGGCCTCCGAGTTTGGCTCCTGTTTTGCACCGATAAGCGTACATAAACGCCGAGCAGTGACCAGACGGCAAGCCCATATCAGGACATGCGAGCCACAAAAAGCGTGTATATGCGGAGGTTAATCCGGTATGCCGGACCTCCTCCTCGTCATCGTGCCTCGCGCTCCGCGATCCTGGTCCTCCCCTCTCACCGGACGTGTTCATGAATGGGACACACGACAACAACAATGTCGCTCTCTATGCCTCAGCCGGGGAAGACCCTCACCTCTCGGACACGGACGAAGACAATGCGCCCGACGCCGTGATCATGGGCGATTACTCGGCCCGTTTCGAAGAGCTCATGAGCGACGGCGACAATGGCGGAGAACAAGGGGAGGACGATGCCGATGACGACGAAGAGGAGGGATTTGTCTACGATGGAGTTGATGCGGACCCAACTGGTGGATATCGCGAGCAGCTCCGCCAGGTACTGGGTGCGGACCACGAGGAGGATGAACTCGAAGAGGAGCAGGAGGTCGAGCGGTCCCTTGTTCATGAAGTTGCGGAAAACGAGAAGTTTGCCGCGACTATTGAAGACGAGGCTGCAGTAAGTACTCGTGCAAGCCCACACGCCCTCTCCAGTTGCTCATCTCGCTTTCTACAGTCTGTCCGCATCTTTCCCCGACGTTCCCCATCTCCCAGGAAAGCAAATCTCCCCGCCACTCCTTTGCGAACACTGAGTCAGCTTGGGAATGGCTCACCCTTGCGCTCGCCCTCGTCGCGCCCTTACCTTCACCCAACCATCTCCCGTCTTCGTTCCGTCACCCCTCAACCTTCTCGCACCTCTTCCGCAGCGAGCGGCGCGACTCTTCATTCACATCTCCACGAATCCGCATCAGTTGTTCCCTCGCACTTCTCCGCCCTCTCCCGGTCATCCTCCATCACCAACCTATCCGCAAACGAGGCTTCAGCACGAGACGAGCTTGTCCGTGAAATCCTCCGCTGGACTCAGCTGCGCGTTGTCGGAGAACATATTTATGCTGGTCAGGGCCCCAAGACATCTGCACTGTTCGGCATCCAGTCGTCTGGATCACCTACCGTAATGGCCGCCAACGGGCTGATCTGTGTGGGGACAGACTCTGGTCGCGTTCTCGTATTCGACTTCAAGCAGACTCTGAAGTGTGTTTGTGGCAGTGATGCTTCAGGTAAGCCATTTTCCCGTTTGGTTTGCACCATCTAATGCGCGACCGAAGAGAAAACAATGGGAGCCGTTACGTCTTTGGCACTCTCCTTTGACCACACGTACGTCGCGGTAGGCCATGCAGCCGGTCATGTCGAACTCTACGACCTGCGTTCCCCCAAGGCCCCCGCACGCGTTGTTCCACCCACCACTCTCGCTGCCGTCGCTTCGGGCCGGCAAGAGGGCCATCTCCCCGGATCCCGCATCGTTAGCGTTGGCTTCATAGCTGGACGCCATACCGCACTCGTCTCAGCAGATGACTGCGGTCTTGCGTTCTACCACAGCCTGGGCAAGGTTCTCTTTGTCGATGCGACGGATATTCTTCGCATCCTTGGCAAGTATCCGGAGGAAGAAGCTCCTGAAATCCCCTCAGGATTGGGTCACCGTTTCCGCCGCCGAAAGACCCGCAAGCCTGCCACCATTCTATCCATGGTACCTTTACCCTTGGGCACGGCTGCGCATCCCACGGATTCGTATAATCTCATCGCCCTTCTCACACCCATCAAACTCGTCATCGTCGGCCTCAAGCCATCTCCGAAGACATGGTACAGACGACATCGGGAATCGGAGGAGGAAGTGAATTCCAAGTCAAGGTTCAAGGGTACTCTGGCGTGGTTCCCTAGTGTTACCGTCGGTTCAGACTTGACCTCATCTCCGGAGCGTGACACCAAGAAGACTCAGGCAAATGGTGCCCATCCCACATCCACACCGATGCTCGTGTACACATGGGGCGAATCCATGCACCTGCTCCGTGTGTCAGAGTCCAAGATCACGCAGAACGTCAAAGACGCTAAAGGCAAAGTCAACAAGGTTGAAGTCGGTAGGATTGTCTTTGAGGAGGTCGGCACCTGGACCGCTAGCGACGATATCCTAGCGCTCCAATGGCTGAACGTCAACGTGAGTAGCTTGGATTCCTTAGCGCTTCTCCTCTCCCTTTTACTAATGCCAGGCTGCACCAGCAAATCATTGTGCTGACGAAGATTGGGTTCGAGATCCACGACGTACGCACATTCAAGTTGGTGGAACGTGAATCATTCGACGCGTGGTCGCTAGTGTCTCCCACTTTGAGCCACACCACCAATGGGACCATCACCTATTCGGACGCAGTGTCAGAAGTGGCACACAGTGTTCGTGTCTATAAAGGCAAGATATTCCTGTTGGTACGTCGACCCTTGCTATACCATCCGAGTACACTCTCATGTGAACTTGCAGGGACAGCACGGTATCCAAGTGGGCACACTTCTCACCTGGGCTGATCGTATCCTACACTTTGTCGAGGACGGCGACTTCCTCAGCGCCATCGATCTCACTCGGTCATACCTCGTCGGAGAAGCCCCAGGCAATAGGAACGGCCTTCCTGATGATCCGGAGAGACTCAAGTCGGTCATAGGGCAGAAACTTCGTGAACTCATGGTTGCCTCTGCCCAGTACGCCTTTTCCGAGGATCGCATGAGGGACGGAACACACGTTACCGCGGACGGACGCGGAGTCGATCGCACGGTCCTCTTCGAAGGCCTGGTATCTACTTGCGCTCGCGCTAGCATGGCTCTGGAAGATTTCGATTTCTTCTTTGAGGACCTCTTCCAGTACTACGAAAACAGCGGCATCTCAGGCATATTCCTCGCTCAGTTGGAACCGTTCATGCTCAACGGAGACATTCGTCAAGTTCCACCTCGGATCACCCAACGCCTCATAGCCCTCCACGCAGAGGTGAACCGTTCCGACCTCGTGGAGAAACTCATTTGGCATACCGACCCCGAATGCCTCGATGTCAACCAGGCCATACCGCTGTGCCAGCAATACCACCTGTACGATGCTCTCATCTACATCTACACTCGGGCGATCAAGGACTACCTGGCCCCGGTGGTCGAGCTCATGGGTCTCATTCGTCGCGTCCATCAGCATCGGAGGCAGCGGGCCAATTCGTCGCCGACATCGATGAACTCCACGGATGAAAAGTCAATAGAGCCGGTCATCCTCAGCGCCTACAAAGTTTATCCTTTCCTCGCCGACACGCTGACCGGTCTTACATATCCTTCCGAGGAGCCCCTTCCCGAAGATGAGGCTTTTGAGGCGAAGAATGCGATGTACGAATTCCTGTTCTTTGGGCATTCTAGTGTGTGGCCCGCAGGTGAAGGTGGAAAACTCGTTCTCACAGCTGACGAGGATAGTGGGGTGGAGCCGACGTACCCGTACGCACGACTTCTCTTGCGATTCGACCCAGAAGCGTTCCTCCATACTCTCGACCTTGCCTTCGAGGATGCGTATCTCAATGACAAAACCAGGAAAGTTAATCGCTTGGTAATCACCAAGATCCTCCTCGAGATCCTGGCGACACCAAATCTCTCGCCGGAGGAGCGAACGTTCGTTCACATCTTCATCGCCCGCAATGTACCGAAATACTCCCAGTTCATCGAGCTCCGTCCCAGCACTCTGAACAACATCCTCATCGGCCTCGCAGAAGATCCCGACACGAGCACACGAGAAGACCGGCAGCTCGCCGCAGAATTTCTGCTATCGGCTTACACTCCCCACGAGAGCGAGCGGATACTAGATCTCTTCAAAGAAGCCGGATTCTATCGGATTCTTCGCTCCTGGTATCGGCAAGGACAACAGTGGCCGGAACTGTTGATGACCTTCCTCGAGGACGAGGACTTGCCGCGCCGAGACGTCTTTCCCTCGGTCCACGAGGTTCTAGTTTCTGCCAAGCGAGTCAATAAAGGAAAGCTTCCGGACAACGTAGCCATTACCCTTCGCCAATCATTGCCCGATCTTCTCGACGTCAATATCGGGAACACAGCTGCTCTCATTAACGAGCATATCCCCGATTGCCATGAGGCTGCCCTTGGCGCATTGGGTCCGGACTACGATCAAGAGCGCTTCGTGTATCTGCAACGCCTCCTTCAACCGCCGCAGAAGCAGGATGAGGATGATGTCGTCTTCCTCCACCGCAAAACCACGACCCCACCCGACTTATCCCTTCTATCCGGCACACCTATGTTTCCCTTCACTGCCGCTTTGATCCCTCCACCCTTATTTCATCCCTTCAACATCTACCCGTTGGTTTCTTGGACGGCGCGGAAACGGCTCGTATTTGCGAGGAATATGAGGCTTACGACGCCGTTGTATGGCTCGTCGATCGCGACGGCGAGCCTAGGTCTGCCCTTACCAAAGCGGATGCTTTCGATCAGCAGCTCTCTACACGAATAGCGGAGGCCATTGTCTCTAACGACGACAAGTCCCAAGATGCTATATCACGCTCCTTGCACAAGCTTGAAGGCGTCACCGGGACCTCGATAGCTCTTTGCCTAGAACGCTCTCAAGTTACGGCCTCCACCGAGTTCACGTTGGAAGACCTCTGGTTCCAGCTCTTAAGCAGCCAGATCGACTGTGTCCAGCACGTCGCAAGCTGCTGTTCGTTGGAAGCGCTCGGCCCGACGGAAGGTGTACCAACGGACGACCCCCGCGCACAACGCGAGCATGGGACAATCTCTGCCCTCCGCTCCCTCGTACACAAGACGTTCTCCGCCCTCATGTCTGTCAGTTCTACGCGCGCGGTGTCATTCCCCCGCCTCTTCAAACGGCTTGTTAGCTCTGCGTCCACATCCAAAGGCAACGTCTCCAAAGGCACGCTCTACACCGAATTCCGCACAATCCTCACAGGGATGCTTGAGTCCTTCCGTTCCGAGGGCGACATGCTCGTCATTACCAAGCACCTTGTAGATCGTGACGTCGCGGACACGATCAGGGAGCTCGTCGCGGAACGGGACAAGGGCTGGGCACCCGCGCGTGGAGCATGTGGAGGCTGCGGGTCCGCGTTCTTCAGCAGCAAAACGCTTGAAGACAGGCCAGGCGGAGGTGGCGGGGAGGTACAGCCAGAGAGCGAGCCAGTCATCGTATCACGGACAGGAGCCATATACCATACTAGATGCTTACCATCGGAATTCTCTACTAATCAAGTCGTCAATGTACATTAACAGTAGTTTCAGACACTTCTTCCTGGTTCCTATTGCAAGCATGCGGGCGTTGCAGCATCGTATATATTAGCGATCGAGCAGCGGTTGTACTGTACTTCAGCTTTCCTCCGTGAGACTGGACCGAGCCATCTCAGCCAAGCTCCGGTATGTCGCGCTCTCCTGTACCCCGACCCCAAGAGACTCTGCCTCTCGCCCAAAAGCGTCTACGTCGAGGATCATCTGTGTCCGGATCTTTTCTTCGTCCGCTCGGGCATCATCTTCGCGCGAACTTGAGCCGAAGAGGGAGTACGTCGAACGCTGACCCTTCTTCAGCCGTCGGAGCGACTCCTCGGTCTTCTTCATGGCCGCGAGGAAATAGATGTATCGTTGCGCCACAATCTCGAACACCTCTTCCGCGACGACCTTGAGATATGCGTCCTTGAGCGCCGACCCGGGACCATCAACTGTCTGAATCGCGAAGAAGGCCTTGGTGTGCTTAAAGACAAGGGACACGAAGTAGCTAGGTTCCGTGGGGACACGCTGGTTGGACGACATTGCGCGAAATTGTGACGGGATGGAGCGCATCGAAAGGAGGGCGTCGCAGCCGCGCCGAGCCAGAATGACGACGATCTGGTTGAGGAGGGTGGGGGCAAGCGTTGTGAGCCTGGAAAGGGCATGTTTCAAGGCGTCTGTGAACTCGAGTGAGCGGACGGTCCAATGTATGGAGTGCCTCAGGCACCTTCTGCACTTGTCCCTTCCTCGCCCTCGGACGAAGACGCGTCGGGAAGCATCGTGTTGAGCTCCTCCATCCACAACTTTAGGACACCGATCTCCATCGCCTTGATGTCGGTCACTGCGGTGGCGAATTGCTGCAGAAGCATGTCGTCAGCAGCGATACTCTCCGCAGAAGCTGCTTCCGTCGGTATCGGTGTGCTGGACCGCACTGCCGGCGAAACGGCAACCTAGATCACAGACTGTTAGTGCTGGAGACCCCCTCGAAGTATAGCTAATCATCTCACCCCAGCGCGCTCGGCTGCAACGGCGGCTGCAACCTTTGCATTAGGCTCGAAGGGAGGCAGACTTTTATCAAGCCATGTTTGGTATCGGCTCAGGATCTGTGCAAGTTCGATGAGGACACAGAGATTGAAGATTATGTGGGAACGAACCTGCAATGTGAATCTCCAGAATCTGGGCGCGAGCTCAGGGATGTAGACCTCTGCGCTCCAACTGGCACGGATGGCATCGAGAACAGCAACTGCTTGAGGTGTCACAAACGGGGCGAATACTGTCCGATTGTCAAGTTTGGGGTCTTCGCAACAAGCAGACTTAGTGCTCACCCTTTGTTGCTGACCTCTCCAGCTTGGTATTGAGAAGAGCTTCCTCTAATCTTGAGACAATCTCTTTCCATCGCAGCTGGAAGTACACCGGCAACTGCCATCGCCGTTCAAACGAGGTATAAACAATGTGCTTGCGCATCGCTTCCACAGATTGCACAGATGGGGCAAGGAACTCGAGAGCTCGGATGAACGCTTGCGTCGTCTCGTGATGCTACGGCGAGCATGTCAGTCCATCCACCCTCCGAAGATGACTGCTTGCGCACCTTGCGAAACTCATCCGGCTTGCCTGCTGCGAAAATAACGGATCCCAGCTCATCCATGAGTGAGCGGCCGATCTCGGACCATACAACGTTCGCCATGATGTCGAACCCGGGCTCTTCCCCATCGCGCTGTGAGTCGGATCGCGAGCCGGACTTGACGCATACGGCCTCTGCGATCTCCATTACACGACGTATGTCGCGGTCGATGAAACGGAGGACGGCGTTGTACAGTGCTGCAAGCGTGTCGTCCGTTTCGTCGAGGATGTGCGCGTGCGAGGCGGAGCCAGAACTTGCACCTGTGTCTGCGCGCAGGGCGAATTCGAACGGATTCTGCTTGGTGGCGAAGGCCGTGAAGGGAGTGTATGGCGTTCGAGGAGGGAAGGAAGCCGTCACGGGAGGAGCAGGTGATGATCCAGCTCGCGATGGGAATCCAGGTGTATGAGGAACAACGGGGGAGTGCGGAGCAGAGAGTGCTCCAGGATAAATAGTCTAAATATTGAGTCAACAAACGCGGAAGAGTGGTCGAGATGGGGGAATACCTTCTTTGTGAAATCCCTGACTACCTCTCGCCTCAGGACATCCTCGGCGTCGCGCCAGAGCCCCAGGACATCATAGGTACGCAAGCACTCCGTTATGTCAGCGTATAGCTTGGACTTTTCGATCTCGGTGACTTTGCTGGCTTTCCCTGGCTCCCTCCCCCAATTAAGGAACTCAGCGTGGTCGAGAAGAGATGATCAAGATCGGACGACAATGTAGACTTGATACGATCGACGCGCTGTATGCATAGGTGTCAGCAAGCAATGTGAGAGCTAGAGTAAGGACGGCTCACAAACCCATTGAGACTCGTCGATGAAGGCACAAGGTTCAGTCCTTGCCCGAGAGATATGATACAACAGCTGGGTATACTCAGAAGCAACCCGAGCTATGTGCTTAGCACGATTCCCTCGCGACCTGCCGTAGACAAAAATGAGAGATAGCACAACTTCAAGTACTGTCGACCTGACCTGTCCTCGAGATTGGTCTCTGAGCGAGGCTGCAAAGGAATATTGCCAACGACAGCAGATTCCGGCTCAGGATCGCCTGGCGAGGAGATGAGCAATAAGCTTTCCAGTCGGGTAATGGACTCTGAGATCTTGAGAAGCAGATGGAGGAATGTCTTTTCCTCGCGGATGACTGTTCGGCAGTCAAGTTTTTCTTTGATCTCGTCCTGGATAACCTGGAGCGTTTTCCGGGCATCCTAAAGACAATGCATTGGTGGAAACATCACAGTCTACAGAGCAAGCACAACGTACGAGGACGCGCGTTCTCAAGTCCCCAACGGTCGCTTCATGCTCTCCAGCCTCGTACCCTCGTCTCTGAGATCAGTGCTGAGGCTAATGAACGCTTCGTAATCATCATTGATGAGCTTTACCAGCTCCTCCTTGAGCGTAGAGAGATAGTCTCTGAGCTCGGTGCGGAGATCGGGGAGGGAGGTGTATGCGCGCGAAAGGAGGAATTGCTCGACGTCAAAAGACTCGGCGGAGAGGTAAGCGTCGTTGTGGGAGAGGGGAACGTGCACCGGTAGTTTGTGCGCCTCTTCCGGTAGATCGTCGTGTTCTCCTGTGCCATTCGCTCGTTTGGCTGATGCTTCGCGCACCGCGAGCTCCTCGGCGAGTCGGTCGAGCTCGAAGGGATCTCTGGAGGCAACTGCGTCGGGACTTTTGGCAGAGGTCATCACTCAGAGTGACCGGAGCTTGTCGCTATATCTTCGGGAAGGCTGCCACGATGATGTTGGGCGTGGGGTGGGGGTAGGAGATGGGGGCGTCATGGCCTGGTTGGCCGGCATGCGCGCTCGACGCGTCAAGCACGTGATGACCACTGGACACGCGTCCAATACTCTCAGCGCCGTCCACTGCCCAGTACTTGCGCGCGGCAGTGCGCACCGTGCGCGGTGAATCTCACTCAGTCGCCACGAACTGTCGGCTCTCCTCCGCCACTACCTCATTTCACTTTGCAAAATCGTTGAAACACATTGAATGGCTCCTCCTCCTTCTGCCCGCCCATGGGCAGGCTCACCCTACCGTCGTCGCCGGCTCCTTTGGACTGTTGCCCTTCTCACTATTGGCAGCGTCTTTTGCCTCACGCAGTATGGCCCTCCAGCCTTCTCTCTTTCTGAATCATTCAAGGACATGAGCTTTTCCTCGGGCTCTTCGCGCGCGGGACTTGTCGGTCAGGCCAAAGCTGCGATGTACGCTGGAGAAGGCGCATTGAAAGACTTGCAAGAGATGGATGCACTGCTTCACTTCCTCACCGCCTACCCGGAGCGTACATTCAACGAGGATGGGCAGACATTCCGCGTGGAGGGGATGGGTAGCGTCGAAGTCGATCCTTCGAAGCCTGTCGACCTAAGGATCTACGCCCCTGACGGACGCTACGACTGGGATGAGTATATGAAACAGGTTCAGAAGAATCCTCTCGTTGTTTTCAGCAAGACATATTGCCCGTAAGTTCTTCCCTCCAACTCCGCGAGCTCGTTTTAGACCCAAATGTCAAACACTCCTTAGATATTCCAAGAAAGCGAAGAAACTTCTTAACTCCTACGACCTCACTCCTCCTCCGCTTGTCTTCGAGCTCGACAAACGTTCAGACGGGCCTCAGGTACAAGCTATCTTGAAGAGGCTAACGAAACATGCAACTGTGCCTAACATTGTTCTCAATGTATGTATGTTTCGCGTACGCATGTTCATACATCATTCATTACGAAACACAGGGGAAGTCAATCGGCGGCTCCGACCATCTCGAAGGAATGCATGCACAGGGCCTTTTGAAAACTCTCCTTGGAGGCAATGGTCTGAAAATCAACGGGAACGTGTGATCAAGTGGCCTCGCCAAGAACCGAGCGTGATCCTGAAACCGCTGTGCTCTACCGAGGGATACCGTGCTAGGATGTAGTATGGAGTCTTGCATCCAAGGCGGCGAGAGCAGACCCAGCCACATAGCAGTCTAGTGAGTTCCTGTTGACAATTTGAGCCTTGAATTAACACTGAGAAGGAAGGAGGTTCACCTTGGTGTTGGACAGGCAGTCTAATCATACCCCGACATCGAAACTAGGCGCTCTATCATCCAGTTTCGAATGTAGTGCCGGGATGTATATCTTACGTCTTCCATCGAGCGACTCTTCCCACTGGTGGGAGTTTTGCCGTACATTTCGCCAGCCACCAGTTCGACCCCCACGTGGTCACTGTGAGAAATCGCAATCTTCCTCACTGTCCAGCATACATCGGTATACATCGCGCTTCGGTGGCTTGGAACGTCATGTGCGAAGGTTCGGACAGGTACTCAAGGCTCGCATGACTTGCATACAGCATCACCATCCCGGCGATGGCCCAAGATATGGACATACGCTGGCGACACATTTCCGCGGGCTAGGTGGTCGAGGGGCCTTCAAGTTGTGGTTGCCCGTGCCACTCCTCGAACGTGCTACATGGCTGTGAGTCGTTGTGCAGCTGCAGCTTAGTTTTGGCACGTGCTCGCGTGAAGCCTACAGGATCACAGCAGCACAGCTCCTCAAGACGGTGTCAATGAGGGGCCATCAAAATATTGCCAAAGTCTTCACACCCATCCTTTGCGTCCCAAGATCCAGAAGGGATGGGGGCTGAAGCTTGAAGTGCCGACGCGTTAACAGGGAATCCTAGGTGACGGCTATGTACACCGTCCCCGGCTCCAGGAACGGCGCAATCTTCCCGGGCGTCGCCGTGCGAGCGGCATTGTTCTCCCGCATGCTTCCATCCTATCATGCTACTTATCGCACCCGCCTTTCCCTTGGCTCATCACCATCGGCGGTAGACGGGGTCACGCTCGTCCCGGGTTCAATACGTGTTATATAGAGGCTTCCCCACTCTCGCTGTCTCGCCAACATTTCCCGCAGTGTATCGGCATTCTCCCCAGCCTCGTCATGGCTTTGGTGTTCCTTCCTCTCCTTGCGGCCACTGGTACGGCTATTGCTGCACAGTTTCCCTTGTCCGACATCACCAAGTCCACGGTCGGCTTCAAGAACACAGTCCCTAACAAATTCATTGTTGAGGTCGACAATGCGAACGACATCCCAACCAGGCGGGCATTCGACACTCGCTCGGTGCGCGTGTTGGAGAGGGGTTCTACAGCGAACCGCTGACCAAACTGAACCTACAGGCCCACGAGATCGTATATGACTCTCTCCGGAAGCGGGATATGAGTTTCCAGGTTGTGAAGGAGTTCGACTCTCCTGGTCTATTCCTCGGCTCTCTTTTGTCACTTGAGGTGGGTCGCCCCCTCCGCATTCCGTAACTCAAGCTCACGTCCCCTACAGGAGGCTAACGTAGGTTGCCATGCGTTGCCTATTTGCATAGACATACTTACGCCGCTGTCCAGGATGCCGCAAAAGTCCTTGATATCCCCGGCGTCAAGGCCATCCGCCCGGTCACGTTGATTCCCGCTCCCAAGCCCGTGAAGATGCATATTGTCACTGGAACAGATGACTCTGCGCTCCCGCCTGACACGGAGTCCACCCATATCCTCACGAATGTCGACAAAGTCCATGCTCAAGGATTCTTTGGAAAGGGGTAAAGATCGGAATGTGCGTATCTCATGATCTGTGGATGCTGTCTATTCTCATCATTTTACTGCAGCATCGACACTGGTACATAACCCACATTCCGCAGGACACTCGCTGCTGGCTCACTGATTAACTGCTCAGGTACGGACTACACCAACCCTTTCCTTGGCGGTGCTTTTGGCCCGGTAACAAGGTCATCGGAGGGTTCGATTTCGTAGGAGATGCCTACAGTCAGTCGGAAATCTGTACACATGGACTTGTGCACGCGTTCATGAAACTTTTTCAGCCGGCGCCAATACTCCTATTCCGGACAACGACCCGCTGGATACGTGCAACGGTCATGGTACTCACGTTGCAGTGCGTAAAGACGGGCTTGTTTCAAGGCTTTATTCTCATTGGTGTCTAGGGAATCATCGGCGCTGATCCAGGCAACCCGTTCAATATCTCTGGTGTTGCGTATCAAGCGTCGATAAACTCTTACAGAGTCTTCGGCTGCGAGGGCTCGGTCACAGATGACAGTAAGCTTCAACCGCTAGCTTTGGGGGGATGCTGATCATTGACCGGGTCTCGTAGTCCTCGTCGAAGCCCTCCTCCTCGGCGTACAAGACGGCAACGATATCCTGACCATGTCCCTTGGTGGTGCCGATGGATGGACCGAGAGTTCTAGCGCCGTCGTCTCCAGCAGGATATCTCAAATGGGCAAGATTGTGACGATTGCTGCCGGTTCGTAGTTGCCGCCAACTCAACATCTTATCCCTGCTTATAATGATTATCTCATGGGGCCTTGTAGGCAACGACGGTTCTGTAGGCTCATGGTACACCTCCAGCCCTGGAAACGCTATCGACGCGATTTCCGTAGCGAGTACCGACAACACTGTCAACACTCTTCAAAACGCTACAATCAACGGCATTGAGCACGACCCCGTGACGTACTTTAGCCTGAACCCCCTTCCAGTGGATGGCGCGCGGCCCATTTTCGCCACGAGCAATGACACGACTGTCGTGGACGATGCTTGCAACCCCTTGCCGGATGATACGCCTGACCTTTCCGGCTCTGTGGTTCTTGTGCGGCGTGGTACCTGTACTTTTGTGAGTATCAACGACAGGAAAGGAGAACTGTCTCTCACATGAGCTATCATTACTTGTAGGTCACAAAACTCACGAACATCGCAGCGAAAGGCGGAAACGTGACGTTAATCTACGAGTAAGCATATTTGTCTTCACGATGTCTCCAAGTCTGACCAACTTCATTCCCGTTAGCAATGGCAATGGCTTTTCGGCCATTGCTGTTGGTGACTTCACTGCCGCTCTCATTCAGGCCGCAGATGGGGTTTCGGTGAGTTGTGCTCTGCTCATCGAAGGGCACACGATAACTGTGCTGCCCAGCTTGTCCAAGCGATTGCTTCTGGAGAGGCGATCACCGTTTCCTTCCCGAACAGCCCCTTCACCTTCCCGGTCGCTGATGGCGGTCTCGTCTCGTCGTTCACAAGCTATGGTCCTTCGAATGACTTCTTCTTTAAGCCTGCTATTGCCGCGCCTGGTGGAAACATCTTGTCGACGTTCCCCGTGGCCCTGGGCACGTTCGCCGTTCTCTCCGGGACCTCTATGGCTACCCCATTCATGGCCGGCGTCTCCGCGCTCTTGTTCGAGGTGCGGGCAACTCACCCGCCGTCGGCCGCATGGCACGCAATCTCTTTGAGATGACTGCCAGCGCGTGGCTTCCTCTCATACCGACGGCGACCCCCTTCAGACGCTCACACAGCAAGGTGCCGGTCTTGTTGACGCGTTCAAGGCCATTCACACCGACGTGTTCATCACCCCTACCGAGCTCATCACCAACGATACTGCTCACTTTCGCGGCTCGTGAGTACTACCCCAATGGCCATCTCTATAGCGCTGCTGAAAACTGGAGGTTGCAGCCAAACCTTCACAGTCAAGAACACAGGCAAGACCAAGAAGACTTTCAAGCTCACCCACATTCCTGCCGGGACCGCCATGACCGTCCAGCCCGACAGCATCTTCCCGGCCGACGGCCCTGTCCCGCTTGACGCCACCGCCGCGTCGGTCACCATCTCCCCCAGCACGATCACTGTCCTCCCCGGTTCCTCCAAGACCGTCTTCGTGTCCATCAGTCCGCCCAAAGGCCTCCCGCCGCGCAGTTCCCCGTCTTCTCCGGCTTCATCGAGCTCGCGAGCCCGACCGGCGAGTCCTACCAGGTCACCTACCTCGGACTCGCCGCGTCGCTCAAGGACATGCCCGTCGTCGACGACACCGACTTCTTCTTCGGGGTGCCCTTGCCCTCACTCGTCGACGCCACGGGCAACCTCTCCGACGAGCCGAGCAACTTCACGTTCGTCGGCGACGACTTCCCGTCGATCGTCATGCGCCTCAACTTCGGCACGCCCGTGTTCCGCCTCGACCTCGTCGACGCGAACATTCAACTTTCCACGACGATCCCGACGCGCGACGTCGAGGACGAGGCGAGCCATGTGCTTTCGCGCGCGACGTTCTCATTCCCGTTCGGTGGGCCCAAGGGCGGCTCGTTCGCCAAGGTCAAGACGCTCGGCTCGCTCTTCGAGGCCGACTTCCTGCCGCGCAACTCGGATCTGAACGTACGTTCACAGTCGTGCCATTACCATTTGGCAGAGTGCTGACGGCGGCTTTTAGGACGGAACTGGCTTCAACGAGCTCTCGTTCCCTACACCGACTTTCGCCAACGGGACGACCATCCCCAACGGCTCGTATCGTTTCCTGCTCCGTGTTCTCAAGGTCACCGGCGACATCACACGTGAGGAGGACTACGAGAGCTGGCTGAGCCCTGTGATTGGCATCCAGGCCTGATTATTTTGTATATACCTACGATCCTGGGTGCAGCGATAGGCCTATCTTGTCGGAGGAATATTCATTCGTTTATCCCCTGACACGCGATGTTCTCCGAAGGTTATTCAAACAGCGTCGTAAATCGCAGACCGGATAGCATAGTCAACTAATGCGCATGCTACTCTAAGCAAGTGACGCCCAACTACAAATACAGCAAGACTAACATTCAACTTAGGCCTTCAGCGGAAGACCATCCGAACCCAACAACGACTCTGATGCATCCAAGGTCCTCGGACCATCACCGACACGGGTATGAATGAGACCCTTCACCGCACCGACGGGGAAGGGCTTCGCAACAGCCTCGTTGAACCCAGGTACAAGCTTGCCTTGGACACCAGCCACGCCAAAGAGGCCGAAGGGGTCCTTGAACGCGTCCGCTTGGGGGAAGTACTTGACGATGAGCTCGACGATCTCCTTCAGGTTCTCCTTGGGCGCGTAGATGACCGCGTTCGGGCCGGCGTCGTAGGTGTACGCCGCCTTGAGCTTGCCGCCGTTCTCGACCGCGATGCGGTTGTACTCGACGACGAGCGCGATGATCGCACGCGAGACGTCGTTCATGTAGAAGATCGGCGGGTCCGTGTCGAGCGCGACAGCGTGGAACTGATTCGAGTCCTGCATCGTGATGCGCGCGAAGGCGTCGAAGTCGCGCGCGCGGATCGCGTCCGAGATCGCGGCCATGCGCGCGGGCACGATGTGCTTGATGCGGTGCTGGAGGAGCGTGGAGGTCTCGACGGTGCGCTGCATGCCCGCAGTGGAGGACGTGCCCTTCTTGTGGTCCGAAACGACGCAGATGAGCGCGTGCATGTCGGGCCAATGCTCGCGCGGCGCGATCTCGACCGCGTGCGAGTCGAGCCCATCGGCGCGCTCGCCCACTTGCCAGGCGACGTAGCCGCCGAAGAGGGAGCGACAAGCAGAGCCGGAGCCCTGCCGCGCGACGAGGGAAAGGTGGGATGCGTCGGTGGGGAGCTTGTAGAGCGCGGCAAGGGAGGCGACTAGCGCGGCGAAACCGGCAGCGGAGGACGCGAGGCCGGCGGCGGTGGGGAAGTTGTTGCGGGAGCATATGTGGACGGGGAAAGGAGAAATCTTGGACGCGTCGGTGGACGTTGTCGCAGTGATGCAGCGTGGGTGCTCACCTTGGGCAGAGACGCGTCCTTGTCCTCCTGCTCTTCCCGCAGCGCCTTCATTTCCTTGATGCAGGTCGCGAGACGGCCGCCATCCTTGATCTCCTCTTCTTCACCGTTCAGCCAGAGCCTGTCCTTCTTGAAGGAGGGGTCGGCGCGCGAGGTGGTTGTTGCGCGCAGGTGGTCCTGGTCGAGGGTGACGGACAGAGAAGAGTTGGTGGGGAGGATGAGCTTGGTGTCGCGCTTGCCCCAGTACCTGAGAGACCGTCAATCAAAACCACAGCTGGGAGCAGGGGTACGAACTTGATGACGGCGATGTTGACGGGGGCAGAGGCGGTCGCCTGGAAGACGGACATGGCGGAGAGAGGGGAGTGGCGAGAGGAGAGCACGCTGGCAAGGCTTAAGTACTGAGGGAAGGAGGAGGACGCATTGCACGATGTCTGGTAATCTGCAAATCGTACGGCTTGTATGCGCGGGTTACTATATCGGGCATGCCAGATAGCAGCCCGTCATTTTATGAAGACAAGCGCCCGCAAGCGCCCGTGGCGAGTGGTGCGGGTCCTGCGGCCGCGTACGGCACAGGAGACAGACATCGGACGAGCGTGCGTGGTCTGCGGGTGGGCGGAGACACGGCGGCGGCTGGGAGAGGTCCGGGGGTCGGAGGGCGAGCACCACCGGATTTCAACGGTCGGAGCGGGACTGAGAGATTAGTCAGCCGAGGGCGCCGCGCAAGTGCTGTGCTCCTCATCTCGGGGAACGACAGACTCTCCACGCTCGCTGTTCCTCACGACGCCCACGACTCCATCCGACGCCTTCCCCCTTTCTTCCTGTCTTCATAGTCGTTCCCTCTTCTTCTTCTTCCCTCCGCCCCCTCCCTCCCGACTTCCAGAGTGGCGACTCTCTCCGCCAATGCCATGTACTATCCTCAACAATCCCCGGGCATTGCCCACAAGCTCCCCTCGCACCAGCATCCAGGGCAAGTCCATGACCAGTCGCCGTGGGGTAGGCATCCGGGATATGGACCCACGAACAACTCCCAGCCTCCCACTTCCCCAGCCTACCCTCTTTTCGCCCATGCGAACGGTACAATGACCGCCATGCAGCACCACCCCCACCAACATATGCCTGGTCCTCTCACCCATCACCCCCACCAGAACTCCTTGTCGCACCCACACTACCAGTCTCCACCGAACGGGAATGGAATGCAAGGCCCGCACGGGGTGATAGGTCAGGGTGGCTCACCAGGGGCGGTAACTTTGCAGGCTTTGCCCCCTCATTGGCACCAACAAATGCTCAAGTATGAGGTGAGTGCAATTACCCACATTCTCTCGTCTCTCTGCGCGGTTTCCTCCGCGCGATGATGTCTTGTGCGCCCTCCGGGCTGCTGCCGAACACGACATCTCCCCTCCCTAGGCATCCGTTTGGATTCATGTTTTACTTGTGTGCTGATTATCTTCTTCTCTCTACTCCAGATGATCCGTGCTTCGAAATCGCCACACCATCGAGCGAGAGCGAGTGCCATGGCCGCGCGTACTGTGCAGAAGTCCGCGATCCCCATCCAGAACCCCAATGCCATCAAGGTCGTTGCGCCGAACGGAACCAACAAAGACCCAGACGCAGCTACAGCCACCTCTCCATCGGTGAAGTCACAGACAGCTTCCGAGTCGTCTCCAACAGTCGCCAGTGCCGTCGCCAACCATCCGTCAGCCACTGTTCCACCCGTGGCAGAAGGGTCGCGACCATCCGCACTGAGGGCTCCCGGAAACAACTGGCAATCGCTGGACATGGGCGGAGTTGGCATCCGCAACATTCCTACCACTTCTGGACTCTTTTCCTTCACCTTCCTGACCAACCTCTATCTCAACCACAATGACCTCACCGCCATCCCCCCTCAAATCTCCAAACTCCGTCACCTCGAGCTCCTTGACCTCTCGGGCAATCATCTCGAATCGATCCCTCCGGAGCTTGGGATGCTCACGTCGCTCAAAGAACTCTACCTGTTCGACAACGCTCTGAGGAAGCTTCCCCATGAACTCGGCACCCTTCATCAACTTCAAACGTTGGGAGTTGAGGGCAACCCTCTCGACCTCTCGCTGAAGCAGATGGTGCAGAAGGACGGTACACATGCTCTCATCGCTTTCCTTCGCGACTCCTGCCCCATTCCGGCGTCTCCTCCTGAGCGTCAGTGGACACAATTTGTGAGCCAGCCGGAACGAGACGCCATGGCCAGCGACCCGAACGCCGAGACTTTCTCTCTGTTCTGCTACAACATCCTCTGCGAACGCTGCGCAACGGAGCGTTTGTACGGGTACACCCCTTCGTGGGCCCTTCAATGGGACTACAGGAAGGAACTCATCATGAACGAGATCCTGAACTACACTGGCGGCCAAAAATAATGCCCACCCCCTGCCACCTATTTCTCTAGGCGCATCGGGAGGGGCCAGCGAGATATTGGTTGGCCCGTAGTACAGACCTCTTGTAATGCAAACGATTCATACCTGACTTGTGCAAATGCGGGGGAAGCTGGGTGAGAAACGGGCGCGATAGGCGATGGGCGCCTATTCTGACAGGACACTCGCGCCGCATTGCCTGCATTGATTCTCTCATTCCTCCACGACGCTTTCACAAAACCTCACGACACTTTGGATTTATCTTCGCCCTATCTATAGCTTCTATTCCCCACTATGGTGGTCTGCACCCCTACCAAACTCGCTCGTATTCGTGACTTCCTTAATCCTGCTCTCGGTACACCCAAGTCCTACACTCAAATCGGCCGTATCCTCGGCATGGATCGTCGTACAGTCTCCCGCAATGCAGCACTCATTGAGCAATCCCAAGACCCTTATTTCCGACCACATAAACCTGGACGACCTCGAGTTCTCACTAGTGGAGACTTGATGCAAGCTAAACTTGCCCTCGCCCGAGGTCATGCTCAAAACGCGACCGACGTTGCTCGCAAGTACTTCCCTCGTATCAGCGACCGAACAATGCGCCGTGCTCTCGCTGAGGTCGGTCTCCATGGACGGGTACGGCGACGGAAGCCCCTGCTTACTTGTCTCAATGTGAGACAGCGCAAGATGTGGGCAACGGAGTTTGCGAAGTGGGAGCAGGAAAGATGGGACCTGGTTATCTTCTCCGATGAGTCCAAGTTCAACATCTTCGGCTCAGACGGGAAGCAGTACTGCAGGAGGAGGGATGGGGAGGCTTTCCTGGACCGGAACGTGAAAAAGGCAGTCAAGCACGGTGGAGGGAGTGTGATGGTGTGGGGATGTATCACTTCGAAAGGCGTTGGACGCCTCCACCGGATCAGGGGGACAATGAATGCCGAAGTCTACTGTGGTGTCTTGGAGGAGTCCCTTCTAGGGACTCTCCGTGACCTTGGTATGTCCCCCCGTCAAATCTTTCTTGTGCAAGACAACGATCCGAAACACACATCACGTCGAGCACAACACTGGTTCACCTCTAACAACATCACCACAATGCCCTGGCCAGCCTCTTCGCCTGACATGAACATCATTGAGCATGTCTGGGACTATCTAGACCGTCAAGTGCGCCGGCGGAGCCCTCTTCCTCAAAACCAGGAGCAACTTTGGGTGGCACTGCAGGAGGAGTGGTACCGGATTGACCTCGCTTACATACACAGTTTGTACAACTCCCTCCCCGCACGTGTAGCAGAGCTCAAGGCTGCTCGGGGTCACCACACTCACTACTAGTTACCAGTCCTTCTAGTTTAGCTTCTATCATGATTTTTGTCGTTCGCTGCCTGGCTTGTGTGACACTGTGTGACAGGGTGACTCTTCATGTTGGCCTTCTAGCTCTCCCAATACCTGGCCGATCCGCACCAAACAAGCACCCGTGGATTGATCTCAAACGTCTCTACATGTACATACAAGAATCATGGGGAACGGATAGAAAACGAGTCAGTTATGACGCGCACTAGACGCCCAAGCCGGACCGGGCATTACTTTTGGCCGCCAGTGTACAACTCGGATTTTATCTGCCTTCAAGAAGTTGACAACGCCCAGTACGAGGACTACTTCTCGAAGAAGCTCGCTCAACACGACTACGAGGGTGCGCACTGGCCCAAGTCGCGTTACAAGATGATGAGCGAGAACGAGAGGCGGTTGGTAGATGGGTGCGCTACGTTCTACAAGGCATCCAAGTGAGTTGATGAGTTTTTGAATGGTTGCGCTTGATTGACCATCGCGTCAGGTATACACTTGTGGAAAAACACTTGATCGAGTTCAGTGCGGTAGCCATGCAGCGTCCTGATTTCAAGAAGACCGACGACATGTTCAATCGAGTCCTTGGAAAAGATCACATCGCTGTCGTGACGCTTCTGGAGAACAAGGAGACGGGTACTCGTATCATCATCGCGAACACTCATCTTCACTGGGACCCAGCATATCGCGATGTCAAGCTAGTGCAGGTCGCTCTGCTCATTGAGGAGGTCGAGAAGATTGCGCAGAACTTCGCCAAGTACCCCCCTCGTCTCCCTCCCACTCCCTCCTCAGCAGCTTCTTCCTCAACCAGCCCTTCAGTGAGCGAGAACAATGCTTCGTCGCGTCCACCCCCAGTTTACTCCGATGGATACAAGATTCCGGTGATCGTTTGTGGGGACTTCAACTCGATCCCCAACAGTGGCGTGTACGAGTTCCTGTCGAACGGTACTATTGCACCGGACCACGAGGATTTCATGTCCCACACCTACGGCAAGTACACCACCGAGGGTATCCGCCATCGCTTGGGGATGAAGAGTGCCTACGCCGCCACGGGCGAACCACCCTTCACCAACTTCACGACAAGTTTCTACGATCCCATCGACTACATCTGGTACTCGACCTCGCACCTTTCCGTCAACTCCGTCCTTGGGCCAGTCGATCCTGCATACATCGAGAAGCAAGTGGGCTTCCCCAATGCTCACTTCCCGTCAGAGTACGTCCCTTTACGATGTGTATTTAACGTTCACGCGCTCATGACTGTGCATTCGACAGTCATCTCGCGATTGTATCGGAGTTCCGCCTACGGCCACAGCGAGAGGTTGCCCCACCTACCGCTCGCCCGCCGCCGGTTTTCCCGGAGTCGTCGCGTGCTCACGCCTGAGCACTGGGGACTCCCTCGGACACTCCATCCCCACACATGGCACTCCTATCCCACCTTTGTTTTGCACATAGTGTGTTCTTGTAATTACACTACACTTCCTCCGCGCCCGGGCGAGACATCGCACGGTCGTAGCAGCAGTCCTTTCTTTTTACTCCCCCTTTCTTAGCCCCCCTGTACCCGACTTCACTGCGCGGTGTCTCGGTCGTGTTGTGCGACTTTACCCGGCTGTGAAGTCTTGTGCGTTGTGTCTCTCCGTGTGATCGTTTGTGTTATTCTTTATAATTTACGTGTCACTCCATCTCTCCGATTCGCACTCGCATCCCTCATCCCTCCTCATTCCTTGACCTACCCGGTGATTCCCAGCTCTCCTCATCTCGTCGTGTCCACTTGTCTCCCGTCTGCTTGCTTTCTCGTACTGGTACATACATACTCTGTCGCGTTGGACCCACTCTGCAAAACTGTAGCATGTGCGTGTACGGCTGTCGTCTTGTTCGATATAAAACTCTGTTCAAATCTCTCATTCACTTGGAGTGCCAGTCTTGCGTGCACACGTCCAAGGTCGTCGAGATTGATCGAAGTAAAAACGGCAGGTACTCGTTTCTGAGTCCAATCACGTTGCTCAGATCATGCGCGAATGATCTTCAAGATTTCGTCCACAGCAGACTGCACATCGCTGAAGTCCAACTTCTCGGCTGCAACGGCGTCGTCCATGTGCTTCTCTTGAGTGGTCCCCGAGAGGGGCGTGACCCCGTTCAGCTGTGCGATTCGGAAGAGCACTTGAGCGGGGGTGCACTTCTTGCTCGCAGCAATGGCTTGGACAGCCGCGCTCGAAAGGAGGCTCGGAGATCCTGAGAGCGTCCAGAATGACCTGAGTGCCAAGGTGTCAGCCCCCAACGGCTCGCGCAGGTAGGAACCAGCAGGCTCACTGATACTGGATCCCGCGCTCGACGCAGTACGCCCAGACGCCCGCGTCCCACCGGTTGCGCTCGAACCAGCGGTTCTGGACGACGTCCGGGCGGGCGCCGCCGTCGCGCTCGAGCGCGGCGAGGACCGCAGGCTCGTACGCGTTGCTCACGCCGATCGCGCGCACGACGCCCTCGGCGCGCAGCGCGACGAGCGCGCGCCACGCCGCGAGCGTGTCGGGGAGCGTGCGCAGAGGGGAGTGGAGGAGGACGCTGTCGAGGTAGGCGGTGTGGAGGTGCGCGAGCGAGGTCTGCACGGAGGCGCGGACTTGGCTCGCGACGTCGGCCGTGGGGTCGTAGGGGAGTGGTTGCGAGGCGTCTTGGCCGTCGATGGGAGTGTATCTAGATGATGTGTTCTGTGAGTGGGTGAAAGGAGGGAGATAAGGGGGGTGGGCGGACTTGGTTTGGAGGAAGAGGTCTTCACGCTTGAACCCATGTTTCTCGTAGAGGATCTGGAGCGCGGTGCCGACCAAGTCTTCCCTAGACGGAATATGAGCAAGTGCGCATGAAGCGGCTAATGCTATGCAGAAGCAGAAACAGTCTCACGCACCGGTAGTGTTTTGGTTGACAAGCTGCATCAGCGCACAGTGGACACCGTTTAGCATTGCACAAGGCAGACCTCGGGACTGTAGGTGCACCATACCTGTATCTATCGCCCTGAAGCCGTGGAGCACCGCATTGACGACGAATGCCGTCGTGCGCTCCTTCTTCCTAGCATAGTGCGAGGGTTAGGCATAGACGATTCAAAGACGACAGTAGAGTCTACGGCCTACCAGGCAGTACCATAGACGATCTTCGCAACGACGGCCATCGCTTGGACTAGAACTTCAAGTCATGAGTGAGCGTTGAGTGAGTCGGAGCATTAGTATATGGTATTGGTACATCTGACAACAGCAGTAAAACGTATACTGGTACATCCAGGTTAAGCGCAACTGGCACTTTGGTATGACACTATGGCCGAGTGGTTAAGGCGACAGATTCGAACGCGTCCGACTATTTGACCATCTGTTTCCCTCTGGGAGCGCAGGTTCAAATCCTGCTGGTGTCGTTTTGGCAGCCTTACCATTCAGCTCTCTAGCCAGCGCTTGAGTGTTGTTCTCTCTTTGCCGCGCCGATGGCATTACTAACTCGGCTTTTCCTAGCCCGCGACGGGCTCCCGCGACCCCGAATCTTTACATGACCGCACTGGATGGCACGTCTTGATATTCTGGCGGACAGACCCGGATGCTGCTGTTGTTTTCTGTCGGTGTGTTTGATCTTCGCTCTTTTGTCTCCCCCAACTTCTTCTGGCTGGTGAAGGCACCCAGGGTCTTGACTCCGTTGTTATATTCATTCCCTTTTGTTTCACGGTGTGGAACTGTCCGCGAACAACAATGTGCTTGTCGTCAGGTAACCGGCAGACCAGCTCCGAGACTCGCTCGCTTATTTGCTGAACAAGGGCTTCGGCTGCTTCCCTGTACAAGGTGCCCCCGTGGAGTCGAGAGCCTTTGACCAAGAAGGTACGTAACATGAGGCTATAAGGCCTTGGGATTTCTTTGTTTCATACTCAGCACTCCTCCTCCGTTTCCGGCTGCGAGCCCTCGTCTCCACCACAAACACTATGTATCACGGCTCCAACTACTCCCCGGCGCAGGCGCCTCTTAATTGCTTTGGATGCGGGTTTGGTACACAACCGGGCACCCTTTCTCGCACCTTTAATGCCCTCTTCCGGCACAGTCATGCACGAGAAGCGGACTATCGCGCCCAGCTCCGCGAAGGGGACGCCCACCTCGATGCAGCTCAGGCCCTTTTGAACTCATACACGCGAACCGTTCGGCGTGACGTCCGTCTTCATATGTATCAAAGCATTGAAAGGTAAGCTCCCCGGGTTTGATTGTGCATGCGAGCTAATGCATGTCAACAGGCTACGCGCCAACCGCCGTGCTCTCGATGTGTTCGCGGTGCACGGAGACTCGCGACGTGCTCAAGCTGATGCGCTCTCCCGGGCAACTGCGTATCGTCGAGGCGCCTTTGACCTCCACGCTGTCGCAATCGTGAGTATCCTTATGGGCGCTGCGAAGCGGCAACATGCTTGCTGATGTCTCCGGACAGGGGTTGCGTCCCACCATGCTGACACCTACGACGACTCTAACGTCAATGCGCACAAAAAGTGCCCAGACAGGGGCATCACGGAGCCATACTTCGACCAGAAGCAGAAGCTCATCGTACGCCCCTGGTTCCCATCTACCTACGCACCAAGAGGAGCCCCTGGAAATAAGTACGCCAACCACTGCCTCCGGCTCGTAGCCAGACCTCATTGTGTTCCTTTCTAGTTCAAATTTGCGCTGGACCAATCCCAGGCTCTCCCAGACCACTCACGGACTCTCCTGGACGAATGTCGTATTCTTCCACTAGCTATGCACCGCCTGGCTTCAGCGGTTCATACCCACCGGCCCTCAACTCTCCAGGAACCAACGTTCTCGGTATCCACAATGGCGGTGCGTGCATTCCCATCTGTTCCAATATAAAAAAACATCTCTCAACTACGTACAGATTGTGCAAGACTGGATTTGCCTCCGATTAAGCAGCTACCGAGTGAGTGCTTCTACAATTCTCACTTAAGCATTCCTTCTCAAACCCGTATCTCTTCAGCACCCAAAGGGTCTCAATCCACCCAATATACCACTGCGTCCGAAGGCTCTTCTAGACGTGCTGCTCCAACCGCGCTCAAGCGGAGCAGTATCCAAACCACCACGAGCGTATCCACTTCCGGTTCATGGCACACGGCATCTACCGGCCGTTCGAGCCGTTCTCGTTCCAGCTCCCACTACTCGTCTCCTCAGCATCCTGGCCACCTCCAGCCTGAGATGCGCTCTCACACCCAGCAACCAGTCACGGTGATGCCCCGTGGCTACCACACGTCACGTCGTGGATCGAGGGAAGACCCTCATGCGCGCCACCCCGCTGGTTCAAGGAACCACTACTAGTAAAACGCAGTGATGGTAGTCCGTCGCGCCATCCAAGAGTCTAAGGACTTTGAACGGCAGACACAACATACCTTCATACATTCGACGACGTCTTCACGATTCTACGTTTTGGTGATACGCAGGGCACTGCGATGACAAAGCATGTGACGACCGAGAGCAATGGAAGGCCTCGAGTCCGAGCTGTACGATTATACGCTATAGAAGATAAGTACGAAAGCAACGACGTGTCACGTATCGACGAATAATTTAATGCCTCCCGTTTCCTATCACGTCCGCCGGAGCATGCGCCGGAACCACGACATCGCATCCTCTGCTAGGTCGCCTGTCCACTCACGTGCCTCGTCGACGAGGCTGTCGAAGCGTTGCTCGCCCCATGGAGAGCTCGTGTCGTGCGCTAGAGTAAATCGGAGGACGTCCTTGACTGTCACAAGCCCAGCGAGCTCGCCGTGGTTCTCTACTAGAATGACACGAGGCCTACAGCACAAGTGTAAGCGAGAATAAGACAGGGAGAAGGGAGAAGGTCTCACCCCATGCGTTTAAACAGCTGCATGACGACCTCAAGGGGGAGCTGAGGAGAAACCGTGAGAGGTGTCTGGCGACACATGTCAGCTTTCGGGTGCAGCAAAAATCAGATCTTTCAATCTCACCTGGTTGACCCACGGCCATAGCTTCAACACATCAGGTGTAGCGGTAGTCTCCATGATCTCCATCGAGATGTCTTCGTCTATTCCCAGAGCAGGACCTGCGGCCACGCCTGCCATTTCGACCTCTTCACGGTCTTCGTGGTCGGTTTCGAACGAGACAGGCGTCGACAGGTGAGCTTTTTGTGCATGTTTTGCTTTGTCTGTCGACATGGTCAGTGCACGAGCGCCGAAGTGTAGAAACATGGACATACCAAAGACGTATCGTAAGTCGGTCCGGTCAATGAAACCGAGGAACGTGTTCTTTCCGTCCGCCGAGACAACGGGGAAGCCTTTCACGTCCGTCCTGGCAATAAAGTCCTCTGGAGAACGGTGAGCCTTGAAGTCATAGGCAGAGAGACAGCTGCTAACCGATTTCCTTGACGGACAACCCAGAGACGGGCAATGTCTTCAGATCGGTCCTCATGACCCGCGAGACTATAACATGGCAGAGATTAGTATATATCGAGGACAATTCCATCAATTTGTTGGGTGTACCGGGGACATTGTATGCGTGATCGTCCTTATCTAGGAACGGGTAACCGTTGATTCGTATCATCTCGTCGGCGATGCCTCTAGTGCCAAGTAAGTCTCCAACTGCTTTCGTAACCAGCAGGACGATCTGGATCCTCCGTTACGCGAAGTTGAATGATTGCATAGCGGGGACAGCTCACCATGGTAGGCAAAATGTATGTAAGAGCACCCGTGAGCTCGAACATGATCACCACGACGGTGACAGTGAGTCTCATGATACCACTGAAAACCGCAAGCTGTTAGCCCTTATTTATGAAACGTATGCTCGGAGCCTACCTGAGCGCAGCGGCAGCCCCCAAGAAGGCATATGTTCCCGGCGTGATGCACGGTACATCTGGCGTACAGACCGCAAATATACCAGACTTAGGGTACGCTCTATTAGAAGTATCGTCGGAATGGCTTCCACAGGCAAAAACAGCTGAGAACGCACTGGTTGAGTGATTTCACCATAATGCCGACCATGCGTCCGAAGGTGGCACCGATCGCCATCGAAGGCACGAATATACCAGCGGGGACTTTGCAACCATACGAGATGACAACTAGGCCCATGCGAAACACGGTAGCAAGGAACAGTGAGTTCACCATCGGCCACTGGTACGCAGACCTGAAGGTCCGTTAGACGACAATGCGACCATCAAACAGCTTACTTACTGGCATAGGTGATCGTAGTCGCTTGCTCCGTCGCACTCTCGGAAGAGTATTGCCAAGCTCTCTGTCATGTCGATCCTAAGGAAATGGTTGAACCAGCCTATCATGGCCGTGATAGTCGCCAGTGTGACGGCTTCCGCGATAGCATGGTCGGCCAAGTAGCGTTTGCGAAATGCCGCGACTTTGACATTGAGTCTAATGGCGAAAGCTCCGTACAGACCCTGCGATGTCGCGTCAGAGAACAATTTCGACGTGCGTCACGAAACTTGAAGAAAATACGTACACCGAAGATACCAAGGATGATGAAGAACATGATTTCGAAAAAATGCCAATCTCGATCATACGTGACTTGGAACAATACTAACTTTCCACTGCGGTATGGGTTCATGGCCTGGTGAAGGGAATAAGGTTCAGACATGTTCACGCCAAGCGAAGCAGCTTACAGAGAGGGTGACTGTGGCCACCAATGCGCAGAAGAAACTTCTCCACATAGTTTTGATGCTGAAAACACTGCTCATTTCCTGCGAGCTCGTTAGATGACAGATTTCCCAGAAGTTATGATACTCGCCTCAATGGAAAACATCACACCTCCAATGGGGGAACCGAAAGCAACGGCAACTCCAGCCGCGCTGGATGCGGTCAAAATCTCCCGCATCTTCGCTGCATAATCGTCAGTGAATGACTAGCATGCATTGGCAGATACATACATTGACTCCCAGAGAAACCTTTGAACAGCCCTGCAATCACATTGCCGATACAGCATGCGAAATGGACTGACGGTCCTTCCTTTCCGACTGAAAGGCCCGAGGCAATGACGAGAGGCTGCGCATGATTAGCGTGAGCTATGAGATGCACCAAAGGAGTACGTACCAAAGTGACGCTCTTGATAAAGAACGTCGAAAATCCAAGGAATCCCTTCATGACGAAACCTCCAATGATGCATTTAATTTCTGAGATCCCCGACCCAGCCGCGTACTTGGCCAGTGATTTGACTAGATGCGCTGCAATGAACGAGAACGCGGCCTGACAGCCGTAATGTCTCAGAATACAGGACGAAACATACGAGTGGATGGGTAAAGACGTACCGCGAATAGGACATAGATGGCCCATCGGGCGGGCATAACGTCGCTCCATGAATGCCATGCCTTGCAAGCCTCGTCGTCGTCGCCCTCAATTTCCCAGCAACAAAACTGCTGGTTGAGCCACCAGCCGTCAGAGCAATAGCCCATCTTAATGTCCGACAGCCATTCGGTCACGATGGAGATAACTGCCGCGTTAACACCGATGGCTATGCCTGAGGTGAAAAGATACACGACGTTCTTTCAGCATACCACACATTGTGAGGGGGAGGAGGAGGTCTGGGACAGACTAGAGGGGGACTCGAAGTGACGGGGAGTGGACTCACCGACCAGGCTGACGACAAACCAACTCTGTCCGGCGTGTGCAAACTGGCGTACTAACGACCACAGCCACGACAATGTGATCTCGCCTCGCGGTCCGCGATACGTAGTGTGCTGATTCCGGGCTGCTCGCAGTCGCCTATTGCGTTCAATAATGGAGTCCTGGATCCAGTCTGAACGGTTGACAGTGAGCATGCACGTATACGCAGCGCCGAGAATATTTACCTATAGTCGTAAAGTCTTCATATCTCCTGTATAATGACACTTGTGAAGCCGATTCTTATTTCCGGATGGTGAACATACTCGACATGCTCGAAATCCTCGTCGGAGCCATTTCGGTCAAGAGCGTGGAGTGATGGGTGACGTTCGCGAGACATGAGAACGTGATAGAAGCATATACCGCACCCACGTCCACAGGGTAGGAGGCGGTTCCGCGAAGGAATGGGGATGGGGGAGAAGCACGCGGGACAGAAGGAACGCGTTGAAGCCCTGTTCTCGGCGGAGTTGCTGCGCGACTGGCGCCAAGTACTACCCCGAGTTATTCGGACTCCCGATCCTCTGGCGCCACGCTTCCGGCCCGAATATAAGTCATGGTGATTCTTGTAGAACAACTTCATGACCGAACAAGACGTTGGAACAATATACATATAATAGCAAGTAGGTAGGAATCACATCGCTGATATCCTCTGACCCCACAGTCCGAGTCCTATGTCGACTCGTCTCTGCAAACGGGTTCTCAGACACGGCATGCCTCGAGACCGATGCTGAACACACCTTCTGCGACTGTTTTGGACGCGAATAAACAGCCAGTCCACAGCAGCACGCACTCCCGTGCTGACGCCCGGTTTCAGTGTTGGAGATTCTGGTAGCAATGAAGGATGCTCACCCTTCAATAGCAGATGCCCCCATGACATCTAAGCTAGCCATCCGTTCTGCCCGTTGCTGTGAGTCAACATCCTCCCCATAGCCTCTCCTCGCACTGTCAAGCTTTCTTCGGTGCCATTCCTCGTAGTCATTCCGAATCTCCTCCACCGAGAGGCTTTGGGGACTATCTTGCTTGTTGGCAACCAAGAGTAATGGGACTCCGAGGATTTGAGGTGCAGACAATACTGAGTCTTATGTTCCTTCGTCGATATCAGCAGATCAACTACAAATTTGAAGGGTATAACATACCAAATACTTCCCAGCCTTCGCTCAATCGTTCCCGGTCTTCTGCGTCTATGACAAAGACGACGGCGTGACAGTCGTCATAGTACCGATGCCATATGGACCTTATACCACGCTGGCCACCAAGATCCCAAAATTTCAAGATGGTAGACGGAAGAGATATCTTGCCCACTGGATGATGATTGACAACTGCAAGCGAGAGGAAGGCGACCTCACATACTGTTCTGTCCTACTGTAGGGGCAATCTTGTCCGGAGACAGTCCGGGAACGTCATTGTATATCGTCTTGATCTTTTCCAGCAGGGTCTACACAACGCTCAGTGGTCAAAACGCGTAGCAGCACTGTGTGGAACGAACCGTCTTTCCTGCCCCATCTAGCCCAATGATTATGACCGAGAACTCCTCCTTCCTGAGAAATTAGCGCCGTTGAAACGAAGGTCTCGGTATCGCGTACCTCGTCATGTATTCGTGAAAGCCTTTGAGAAGGTGATACATGTCGGGCCGTCTAGCCTGGTCAGAGAAGGCGTTGTGGGGAGAAGTGGCAGAAGGGATGGCGGGCCGGGGGCGCTCGCCCATGACGCGGACTGGCAGAGCAAACAGGGGCAAATACGGAAGTGCCTGAGTTGGTCGTCACAGTAGACTGCGAGCAGCGCATACACTCACTTGCCCGCCACCATGGGCTTGTACTCGTCCTACTTTTCCTATGGCTTCCCCTCCTTCCTTGTCCTAGTCATTGCCCTCTACTTGCTTTTTACCGGTTCGTGATACGCAACTTGCAGGCTCGCCGAAACATTGCTCAACTGGTAGCGGTATAGGATCCGGAGAGGCCTTCAATGTCGGTCAGTTCCTCGAAGAGACAAGTCCCTACGCGTGGGCATCGACTGGCATTGGGTTGTGTATTGGGTTGAGCGTTCTGGGCGCCGGATGGTACGTCGTGATATCATAGTCCTCTATTGGGTATCCAGTGTCCAACTGCCCATTGCAGGGGTATCTTTATCACAGGTGCCTCTATCCTGGGTGGAGGCGTGAGGGCACCCCGCATCAGGACTAAAAACCTCATCAGGTACGTACTGTTTCGTACGTTTTTCTGTGCACCTCCTCACACTCCCCAGCATCATCTTCTGCGAGGTTGTTGCCATTTACGGTGTCGTATGTGTCTCTGCCACATCCGTGCTCCTTGCACTTACCCCTCTACTACAAGATCATTGGCATCGTTTACTCGGCACGCATCACTCCCGTTGCAGACGCTCTTTTGTACACACGTGAGAACTACTTCACTGGTGCGTGACACTGCTTGCCTTTGGTACGCTGCGCAGTTCACCGAACTCGTCCACCAGGGTATGCGCTCTTCTGGGGAGGGCTTACAGTCGGCGTTTGCAACTTGCTTTGCGGCATCTCTGTCGGCATCGCCGGTTCGACCGCCGCTTTGGCAGACGCTGCCGACCCCGACCTGTTCGTCAAGATTCTCATCGTTGAAGTCTTCGGCAGTATCATGGGTCTCTTCGGTCTCATCGGTACGTCTCCTGGGCCGTCTTGTGCACCAACGGACTAACTATTTCATAGTTGGTCTTCTAATGATTGGCCAAGCAAACGAGTTCACGGCGGCGGCTGCGGTAGTCTCGCCCTACGTACACTGAACCGGTAATGTCTATCTACGCACTGCCAATAATACCCTCGCACGCATCTTCTCCGTGCACGTCTGGACTGTCACTCTGACGTGTGTGCCCCCTCGATCGAAGGTCGGCTGAGAATGTGGGACGAAGAAAGGCAAACTCTTTCCCATATTCTATATCTTCTCTCGGAGGTCTTCTGACAGCTAGTCATCGAAGCTGCGGTAGGAAGGTATACATTCCGCGCCCAAACCTGGATGCCTGCCTGGTCTTTCCTCTCCATCCTCGCTGGAAGTCTGTCGTCAAGGTCGTATCTCTTCGCAATGCAGTGCCATACATGTGGAGGCAGTGAGTATCGATGCCGACGGTGACGACTACCGCTGGCTGATGACTTCCACAGACGGGCATTTCGCTTCTAACTGCGGCCACCCACAGAAATCATGTCTCACCTGCAACCAACCAGGACACTTCGCTAGGGTGTGTCCTCAGCGGGAGGATGATGCCGAGTGGGTATGTGGCAATTGCGGCGTCCACGGCCATAGTTGGTGTAGTAGATCGAAGACGCAAACCGCAGTGAGTGCGCTACAGAGAAAATTTCCTTCTACTGAGTGCTCACCGGTCATCAGAAAGCGGTGTGCAAGCATTGCAAAACATCGGGACACAATGCAACCAGCTGTCCGAAAACTCGCCAGAATAGGCAGAGACCTGAAGTAACTTGCAAGCTTTGTGGCGGAGCGGGCCATAAGATCTGGCAATGCCCTCTCCAACCATGTGTGGTGCGTCCGTGCCCCCCGTCTATCTGGCTCTGACCTGATGGATTGTCCAGACCTGCGGCCTAGCCGGCCATGACGCCAGCCTGTGCTTCAAGGGTGAGACGGGAAAGATGTTCAAGAAGAAATCGCAAAGGTATGAAATATTCCACTTTAAAACAGGTCACGACACAGGTGGAGAAATTCAGTTCGCGTTCTTACTGTGGATCTTCTTCGCATACAAAATACAAAAGGAGCTCGACCAGTGGACTTCACGACGAAGCCCACGTACTATACGTCACGGCTATGGACGCTTTGGAGCACGCTCCAGACGTTGCAGCGGTCCTCTTGACTCAAGCAATTGGTATGTACTCCAGTATTCTGAAGATGGGTTAGTTGTAATGTGGACAACATAGACATCGACTCTACGAACCCGATTTACTACCTGGGCCGGGCCATCGCTCTGATGAAGGACGCACAGTATCTCGCCGCACTTCGAGACTTTGACTGCGCTTCGTCCAAGGAAAGCTACGAAAACACAGTCCCGGTGTGCCTGCAGACCGCCCGCTGTCGATTGCTGCTTGGGTCCCCGGCTACCGCTTTGATCGCCGCGGAAGAGGCGCTTTTCATTGATCCCTTAGACGAACGAGCCAAGGAGTTGAAGACGCGAATCCAAGACATAGAGGCCCAACAGATAGTATACAAGACCTCCATATCCCGTAACCTCTGGCACATGGCGCGCGGGGCTTACGAAACATGCTTGGAAATCTACGCAAAGGAGGACAGCGACGCGCCGACAGAGATTCGATGCTGGGGTATAGAGCTGCTCGTCGTCGAACGCCAGTGGGATAGCGCCACAAAGGCTGCCGAGTAGGTGTTTACCGCCACCCCCTCATTGCGCCGCTTCCTCTGATGTTTGCATCCTCGTAGGATGTTGTTGCGGGACGAGCCGTGCTCCGTCGAGGTCATGATCCTCCGTGCATTGGTCCTGTTCTTACAGGCCAAGATGGAAGAAGCGGTGGCCCAATTGGGCACTGCGCTGGACCTCGACTCGGACAATCCAACCGCTAAGGTCCTTTGCAATCGCGTGAAGAGCACATTGAGCCTCAAAGTCGCCGGCACCGATGCGTTCCTAGGCGGTCGGTGGCTAGAGGCAATTGAATCGTGGACCCGTGCCCTGGAGGTAGTGCTCTCAATGCTTGAGCATCCCGACCTGCTGACCCAATGCATACAGCACGTCGGAGAGGGCGAACGAGAAGGCCGTGGAGGGCTCGTGCGTTCAACCCTTCTGTTCAATCGGGCTGTCGCTTACCTCAAGGTACACGTGGGCGGATTCGGTCCCTGCACTAGCTCTGCTGACATGCGCATCTAGACCCACGACTTTTCATCCGGCCTGAAGGACGTCAACGAGTCCCTGGAGCTGCGCCCGGCTTACTTCAAAGCACTCCTGTGCCGCGCTCGCATTCACGTGGGTCTGGAACTGTACGAGTCCGCAATCCAAGATTTCGAGGTCTCGCTCGACCTCGGGAAAACGGCCATGAGCCCGGCCGACAAAATCACAGTCAAAACCGAGCTGCTCGCTGCAGCCCAGGCCAAAGAACGAGAGGTTGTCCAGGACCATTATACTACATTGGGTGCGTGCTCTTGTCGGCACTTTAGAACACCTTCTGAACCCCTGGAGCGTCTAGGTCTGCGTGAAGACTGTTCTCATCAGGAGATCAGGAGAGCATATCGGACCCTGTCACTCAAACACCATCCTGATAAGGTATTATATCCACTTTCGCTCTACAGACCTCCGGTACTAACGATACTTCAGGGTGGCTCTGAAGAAAAGTTTAAGCTCATCGCCAATGCGTACTCGATTCTTTCGAATTCGAGCGAGAGGAACATGTACGATGTCCAGCGAAGGTGGTCTCGATCCCCACAAGCATCTTCCTTTGCTGGTGACTACTACCACTACGCCGCTTAGTGACGATCTGGATGGCTTGCTGTTCGTATATGTATCTAGTCTTTTCTTGAAAATTTTGGCGCGATATCTCCTTTCTGACGAGCTGTACGTACGATTGCGCCGGCGAATATTGAAGGCTCCTGAATTCCTGGACATCTGAATCCGTGTCTACCAAGTACATGCGAACATACACCGCCGACAAACACAAAAGGCTAATGAAATGGTACTGCGCTGCGTAAGCTCTCGCTCTCACATAAAGCCTGGAGCCTTGCCCATAGAATACGCCTTCAGACACTCCACAAGCGGGACATGCACCATCGCCGCCGCACGCAAGTTGCTATCGCACGCCTGCGGAATAGGAGGGTACGTCTGCCGCGGCCGAGTCAGCCGCTTGCCCCCTCCCATCTCCGACCAACGAAAAACACTCACGAGGGTGAAGCTGCGCGCGAGCGCGACGTCCGCGGAGAGCTGCGAGCACGCGAGCCGGATGATCTGCCACGCGCTCTCGAACGCGGTCAGCTTCGCGCCGAGCGCGTCGCAGTCGTCCGTGATCTCGCCGACGAACGTCGTCAGCTCCGTGCCGCCTCCAGGCGGTGCGAGCGCGCTCTCTCCTTGCGGGAAGGAGGAGGGCGCGGCGTGAGCGACGGTGCGACACGCGACGGGGGAGGAAACGGGCTGCTCACCGGGCCTGATCTGAAGGGCGACGGAGATCCCCCCTGCGTCGCTCAATCAGCCCACGGAAGTGACCGGGCGGGAGGGAAAGAACGACGCACAGCATGTGAAGCTGAGGTTTTCCAGGCGCGCGAGCGCGACCTTGAAGACGTACACGAGCTTCGTCAGGAGCTTGTTCAACGTCTGTGGTGCGCGGTCAGCACTCTGCCGTCACGCGCGAAGCCGGGGACGGACCTGCCAGATGTTCATGCATATTCTGGACACGGTGTGCACAAGACAAAGCAATCAGAACCGGCACGGCGGACGTGGAGAGCGGGCGGGCTGTAGCCCCGCCCCGAACACGCACTCTTCTATCCCCGTCCAGACGCTCTCGAAAAAGCCGGTGGGCTCCGCCTTGATCCTGAGCGCACTCGCGACCTTGCGGGGAAAGTGCTCGACGTCCTTCGCGAGCTCGCTGAAGAGCTCCGCGTTCCGCCGGGCCGCCTTGAGGTGCACCGGGATGGTCTGCCGGAGTGGATGTATGCGCGGTCAGCGTCGCGCGCACGGGTCCCGCTCGTCGCACGGACGGACCTCCAGGAATTTGCCGATCATGACCCTCTTCTGCTCGATCGAGACATCCGGGGACTGCGAGAGCGGGACGAGGATCTCGGCGAAATCTGCGCGCGTGCACGAGGTCAGCCGACGGGAGGCTCTCAATGCACGGTCGGGAGCGGGCACCCACTCTTCAGGAAGTGCGAGCACATCCCCGCGTTCTGCTGCGACTCCCGGTAGATCTTCCTGTGCGTCTGCGCGACGAAGGCGGCCCACGACCCGCGTCAGCCCCCGCTCCGTCCTGCGCACGCCAACACCAACGCCCTCCCGCGGCCGTCGCGAGAAGCGAGAGAGAAAGGAACGAGAAGCGGGGGCACGCACCTGTCGCAAGTCGTTCCACTCGCCGACGAGCCCGTCGCGGTCCGCGACCTCGGGCGTGCTCTCGAGTGCGCGGCGACGGTGCGGAAGAGCTCCTGGATGTCGAGCTGGTCGCTGTTGAGCGTCGCGAAGTTGTGCCGGAGCTCCGCGCGCGCGCGCTGCGCGGTCTCGACGTCGGCGTACGTCGGGAGCCCGCTGCCGTCCGACATCGCGTGTTCAAGCTCGAGTTCGCGGGAGTTCCGAGAGGTGGGCACTTGAAGTTGAGGCTCGCGGCGGTGTCGCACTGGTGGACGGAAGCAAAGATGGGGCCAGCGATGTTGCCAAGACTTGAGAGAGCGACGTTGGAGCGGCTGCGCACAGAGTGCGAGAATCTGAGAGGGCCGCAGGGCCCGCAGCGGTCGTGTTGAATGGCAGAGGACGCTGGGATCCTGAGGCCCGCCGCGGCTGCGAAGGGATTCGGAAGCCCCGAGGCGCTCTGGCGGCCGCACGCGCTGCGGAGGCAGACGAGCGTGCTCGACGTCTCGGGAGCGCCCACGGGTTGCCTCCCGCGCTCTCATGATCAGGCCTCGTGTCGTAAGAGGTGGTTACGCACAACAGGGAAACACACACTTCTTTTTCTTCCTGCGCTTTCATACCCCTGAAGGGCCTAGTTGCCGGCCTCGAGCAAGGTATGTCCTTGTATGTCAGGATACATTTTCGAGCCCATTAGATGTAGCTCATGAGTCAACAGGTGCGCAAGGTACGAGGTAACCTTCGTAGCATGCCGGACCTGCCTGACCATCAGAAGAACTTCTGACTCCTCTCGGCGCTCAGCTTTCTCTCTGCAATTTGCGCATTGGACGAGCGGTCCCGGGTTTCGGCGCTCCCTCGCCGCGGCGCCCCCGAACGGGGTGGCAGCGACAGCCACCTGGTTAGCGTCAGGGCCCGCGCGATGCGCGTACGTGCGGGGTTGTGATCTCTTTTGCTCATCTGGGGTGTTGGAGCATGGCATCACCCCGCGGACGCGCCGCCAGCTGGCGCGGAGCACCCCGCGCCTTGGACGAGCGTTCATGTATTTCAAGCCCAAGATGTCCGAGTCTCAGGTGAGTGCAGCTAGTGCATCCACCTACGACTCGGGCCCGACTCCGATCGGACAGTTGGTACACGTTCCATGCGGGGCTCTGGTGCATAGGTGGGCGCTCGTAGATCTCCTCGGTGCTCATCGGCTACAGGAGATGTGCAGAAGCGCCTCGGGCGGCTTTGGATCTGCGCTCCGGAAGGGTCACTCGAAGAACGTTCATAGATGCGGCGGGGAAGTTAGCGCTTCAGCTATGAGATCCCCTTACGTGGCCGGACTCCGTGCGTTGTCGAGCATGCGATCTTCCACAACAGGGTCTCAACGTCTACAGATCGCGCGATTGGTATCGTAGCTCCTCGGAGGCACTCTAGCTGCAATGCGGACCCTGGAAGGCAGGCTTCTCGGAAATCGCTCGAAGCTGAAAATGAAGCATGCTAGTACGTAGGTGCAACTGGGTCTTCTGTCATGTGCCAGGACGCAGCCACCACGCCCCGCTTCCCATATATTCACATGAGGCTGGACCGTCCACTACTTACCTCACTCAGCACGCCACAATCCCGCCATGATCCGGGGTGTGGAATGGTACAACCCGCCTTCGACATAGCGCAACGACACCCGCGCCAAGCATCTTTCACGGCGCACCCGCGTATGCATGCACAGGTCTAGATCTACAGCGGGCAGCATGCGCGCGACGCGCCAGCAGCCACACGGTATGCAACATCGCCAGAACGTTTCCTCTGGGCTCGGCCGCGAGGGCTCGCGTCCTGCCGTACCGCGAACGCACCCGCGTACTTACTGGGCACCAGCGCGGGCACCGATATATCGATAAGGCATCGGCAACATGAGCACGACAAAAGCCAGCATCCGTATCATCCGTCCCCTCGCGAGAGAAGCTCCCAGTCCGCTGCAGACGTCAAGATGACAAGAGGCAGGCCGCGAGAACCCGGTGCTGACGTCAAGAAGACGGCATGCGTGGCGGCGGCGGGGCGACGGCGGTGGTTACAGCGCGACCCGTCGCCAGGCGCGGCCCCCCAGCCAACAGAGCCCCGCGCGGGGGCGCACGGGACGAGAATTCGAACAGGCTCGCGGTCCGCGCGCCGTGCGGGGAACATGGGCCATGGCAGGGCGCAAGAGCGAGAAAACGCGCGGCCATCGGGTGTGCGCTGTGCCTGTCCTCGCTGCGCGGGCCAGGGCGCGGGAGATCGGGGACCGGGAGAGGAAACGACGACGCACCGGTCGACGCGTCCGTGATCTCTACGCCGCCCCGGGCCGCAGGGTGGCGTCCGCGTGCGGGGCGAACGCATCCGTGCCCGGGCCCAGGACCGAGGGCAGCATGCGCGGAGAAATGCGCGAGAGCCTCGAAGGCCGCACTCATATAATCCGTGGAAATTGACGTTGTGACCAATGTGGTGAGTGAGAGCGGGCGTGCTGTAGCTGAGCGATAAGAGCGGCGAACGCCCCTGACGAGCGACTCGCGATCGGTCCCTGGACGTTGTTTTTGGTCCGACCAGACGCAGACGGTGACCAGCTGGGACATGGCGCGATCCTTTGGACTCCGGGGACAGGCCCTCGCGCGGACTTGCGCCTGCATTCCGCCGGCCCGACCTCTCGCCGACTGCCTGTGGCATCCCCGCCGCTTCTCGACGCCATTAGCGGCCTCCCGCCGTCTGCTCCTGCGCGTCGCCAGCCGGTGGGGGGGGGGGGGGGCACGCAGGGGCACGACGGGCGCAGGACGTGTATCTCGTGGACCTTCATCGGGTACATCATGCAAGCTTCATTGGTAATTATACAGTAGACATCAGCGCAGGCGGCCCTGCCGCGGCGCCCAAGAGTGCGCCCGCGCAACTTTGATGCCAAAGCTCAAAGGGCTAACTGTTAACGTCTGTGCGTGCGCCCGCCCGCCCCGCCTCGCGCACCGCCCCGCGCCGTGCCGATCAGATGGTCCCGCCGGGGGACGGCCGGCGAGCAATCCGGTCCCCGGACGTACGCTGTTTGCCTCCGCGCGGGGGTGCAAGCGCCATGCGTCCATGCGCGGCATTCACCCGATCTCTACATGCGGTGTAAAACCCCTAGGGCTCCACTACGCATACGCCACTCGTTCAGACTTCGATCTCATCGTTTGCACACGTATACACCACGTTGCACCGCCTGGGACGACTCGCCGTCCTTGGACCGAGGGTTCCAGCATACCGGAGGCCGCGCGCGGGAAGAGGCCCTCTTTATCTCCGTGGGCACTTGCTCGCGTGGAGCTTGCCCACAACGCGCGCGGCGCGCGGCACGACGAATACATGGCCAGTGCGATGCGAGTCTAAAATCATACACCATTAGGGCTATTCTACACATCCAGCGAGTCCCGCGCGCACTGCGTCTGGGGCAGCGCGACGAAACTCGAGACGTCGGGGAATAGGGTATACGAACCAGTACTAGTACATGTACACGCCCGACGGCGAGCACAGCGCGATGCGATACGACAGCACGGGCCATTGTTCTGCGTCAGGCCAATCGTCCACGCACGCACCTCCCCGCCCGCCGACGGGAAGAAAAGAACAGTGTGCCAACAAACGTCCCTTCTGATCCTCCCCTCGCGCCCTCGACGCGAGCCGCGCCAGATCGAGCAGGACGCGCCCGGCGCTGGCCGTCCAGGGCCCTTGCGCAAGAGCGACTCTGTCCCAGGGCCTGAGCGGGGGCCCCAAGACAGGCCGTGCGCGTCCGATATCTGCCGGCACTTGCCGCGTCTCTGGCGAGCGGGCGAGGCGATCAGGCGCGAGTCGGCACTCGTACGGTCTGCGAGACCTTGGCTGATGACCAGGCCCAAAAGCTTCGCCTCGCAGACGGGGCCCGCGCCGCGCCGCCGGGCTCGGTCTCATCGCAAAACGGGTGGGGCGGCTGCGGCTGCAGCGATGTCCGTCTGGTTCCAAGCTCCGACGTCCGTCCACCCCGCCAGGTCGGCGGGGCGCGGGGCACCCCACTGCGAGGACCGGACCCACCGAAAGATCCGCGGGGGTTGAGGGTGGGGCTAAGAAATCCGCGTCGTCCGAGAGCCTGCACTATGCGCGTTCCTCGACGTGAGGGTGCGCTAGTGCCCGCCTGATGCCAGCAGGCGTAGGGCTCGATCGTCGACGGAGCTTCTTCGGTATGGGTTGTTGCGCGGAAGCGTCTCCAGCGGCGCGAGGTCGACGCCAATCGGGTTCGAGCTCGCCGTCGGGAGCTGGGGGGCAGGTTGGTACGGCTCTCCGTTATCCCAGAGCGGCGGCGTCTGCGCCATGATCGGCGAGTCTAGTGAGGATGTTGACGCGCTGGAAAGGCTGGGAGATAGGTGGACGGAACGAAAGGACTGCACCGAGCGTTCTGATGATGCTGGGGAATGTCCGCGCACCGGATTGCCAGTCCCTGACGAGTCCGCGTTGTTCGCCCACCCGTATAGAGGCGACGGATGAGACAGCGAGAGCGACGCGGAGAAGGAGGGCAGGGAGGAGACCACGGGTGTGAGCGCAGGCTTCTGCTCTTGAGGAGAGAACATGTGTATGGGAGGCGAGAGCGCTGAGGCAAGGGAAGACGACTGCTGCGGGAGCTGTGTAAACACAGGAACGACTCTATGAAGGAAAGCTCCAATTCACCTCGGGATAGAACGGAGGTGCGGGATGGATGGATGGATGGAGGGGTATCGAAGCCGGGGGTGGAGGGAAGACCTCAGGAACGCCGCTTAATGGGATGGCAGAACTTGACGCCATGCTGGGTCCGGACATGAGGGAGCCAGGCGGAGGGGTCTCGTGCAGCCGACGGGAAGGGTGCGGCGGGAAGGGGGCGTACATACGCTTGACAGTCGAAGTCGCGTTACGCGAACCTTCGCTGCGCTTGTTCGGCTTGGTGGTGCGGGCACTCCGGAAGATGTTATCAGGGACGGTGAGCTCACGGAGCATCGGAATTTCGTCGATCGTGCGCAGCTGGCCTTCCGTCAACTTTGTGAAATAGGCGTCTGGGGGGCGACGCGCGGTGAGCGGATGATACACAGCGAGGGGGATAAAGGGGACGGAAGCGCACTCATGTGCCATTTTGGTGGCTTCTTCTGTTTGTCCTCCGCGTCCTTAGAGTTGCCGGCGTCGCGACCGACGTCTTCTCGGATGACGGAGTAGGTGAGCTTGATGTAGAGATCCTGCTCTCCGGGGCGGACGACTTGGTTTTCGGAGGTTCTACACGGCGCAGATTGTTCGCCGAGGGGTTTATCTCGGACGAAGTAGGACGCACCTCGCGTTGCCCTTGCCTTTGCGCGGGCTCTCGAAATACATGAGGAAGTCCTGGGGAGAGCGCGCGCGGGGCGTGAGAGGGGGAGGGAGCGAAGGGGGAGGGGGCACGCACCTCGCGGACACGCGACGCCGTCCAGGACTTGCCCTCTGTGAACCGCTCCATGCTGACACTGAACGAGTCCGAGTTGGGGCCCTTCTCTTCCCACACATAGACGTCTCCCGGGCGCAGCGCCGCGCGCTCGTTCGCGTCGAGGCGCTTCTCGATTTTGGGCAGGAGGCCAAGCTGGACGGCGTAGAAAAGCTTGTGGGCGTCGGCGGCATGGCGGATGTGGACATGGGTGAGGGTGGGGCGCTGCATGGGTGGTCGGGGGGCGAGCGGCGGTCGGAAGGGGAGGAGGGGGGGCAGCAGGGCGGGTCGGGGGCGGGGGGAGGCAAGAGGAGGGGCGGAAGGGGAGCGGCGGATTATATAGATATCGGCGTGAAGGGTCTGATGAGAGGACAGAGAGTGAGAGGCCTGGCAGGAGCAGGAGAGCAGGGCTCCTAGCCGCATCCGGCAACCCCAGGCTCGAATGACGGACGGCCCGGCAGAGCGGACACTACAGCGCGTCCGCGCCGGACGAGTGGTAAACGGGCTCCGAATCTAATCATGGCCGATCGAGATCGCCCAGGATGGCCCCGTGCTCGCCACTCTATTCAGCCTGGCGTCTATCGCAAGCGCCCGACGCGCGCTCAGATCAGGCACCTCGCGCGACCTCCCCGCCCGAGCTGCCTCCCTGCCCACCCAGCTGCCCCCGTACCACCCCCTGCGATCCCGAGCGAGAGCAAGCCCCGCCCACTGCGCGCGTCCCCCGCGGGCAAGTTGTGCGCCGCCGCGCCCGCCGCGCTGTGGCCACACCGACAACGTTCGCGGGAAGCCTGCGCCGGTCGGCATCGCTAGCTGCAGCCTACTTATCGCAGGCGTGATCGCGAGCGACACGCTCATTCGCTCGGCTCATCCCTGCATTGCGTGCTTCGACGCACTCCCTCCGAGAGAAACCCGAGGTCGTCGCTGGCCAGCGCAGACACACCCGTGCCGCGCCCCAACGTACCCGCGCCGTCTGCGACGGATGGCCGCGTCGGGCATCCCTTCCGTCGTCGCTCGGTCGCGGTAGAGGGCCGTCAGGACGACGTCATTTGTGCCTGTGGGAAAGCGCGGGCGCTTGGCGGCGGGCGGGCGTGGACGTCGGTGCCCATGCCCATTGCCGTCGCTTGGTCGTGGGCGCAAGGGACCCAAAATCGGCAAAGACGGAGGATGGGGGGGATCTCAGTCATGAAGAGGACGTCTGGTAGTGTGTCCAAAGCAAGGAGGGTGGTGAATAGAACGGGCAGCTCGGGCGGGCAGCGTGAGCGAGGCAGAGCACCGGTCGCGGGCGAGTGAATGGCGGATGAGCGTGGGCGGTCGTGCGACGTAGGCGCGTCGAGGGGCCGAACCCAAAGTATTTCCGGCATCGTCGATCGTCCGCTCGCCCACTTGGGCGCCCCGCGGCCCGCCCGCCGTCAGGCGCCCAAACCGGCCGGCGCGGGCACGGCCATCCGTCTCGTCGCCGCCCGCGCTACGCTCCCCAGACTGAATCGTGCGCTCGACTTCGACCGTCGGCCGTGCGCCGCCCGCCTCGCGCCCAGCCCAACGCCTGGCATCCGTCTCCAGCGCGGACGGAGCTCAGTTGTCCGCAGCCAAGCTAGGTCCCGTCGCCGCCTAGCCACCCGATCGTCCTCGAGCCGTCCATCCACACCATCCTCTTTCTGTCCCTCTCCCAGTCAATCTGCCTCCGCGAACCTTGGCCTCTGTGTCACCCAGGCCCCACCCAAGCACTCCCGCTCGCGAGCCCCGGTCCTCGTGCGCCGATGCCCAGTGCCCGTCCAGCGCCTAGACCGCTCCAAGCCCCCCCAGTTCGCGCCCACGAGCACCCTGCGCCCCTGATGGTTATCCCAACGGGCTCTCGCCTCTGCTCGCGATCCTGGGCCGTCCGGATTCAAATGGCCAAGAACCGTCCCGCCATTCTGTGTCTGACGACGTGAGAGCGGGCAGTGGTCAGCTGCCCACCCCAGCTGCTTCCGCCCGCGCATCCCCGACTGAATGGCTGGGATCGGCCAGCCGTCCGGCCCCCTTCCAATCGCCCTCCCGACGGGGCCCACCCTCCCGGGCGCCCTGGGTCTTGTATGGCCTCCGTTGCCCTCGACCGCCGCCTCGCAATTTCGAACGCGCGAATCTGCGATGGTCCGTCTCGCCTGTCCGTGCGGCGATGGATCGGCTCGGCGCCGCCCCATGAGGCGACGATCCCCCACAGGCTCATGGCTGTGGCCGACCTGCCGCTTGCGGGAGTGAGCGCCCGCGCGATGGGCGATGGATGGCACGAGGCGTGGGCGGAGAGGTGCATGTGCCCGCTGCGGCCACCGTCCAGGCTCTGGCAGGCAATTCAGCCACAAGCACCCCCCGTCCGGACTCCGCAAGCGAGGCAGACGACTCCCCCGCCATCGCCCTCGCCTCCTGCCCCTCGCCCGCGGGCCAGTCACCTGCGCACGCTCGCCGCTGCCCAGGCCCCGCCCTCGCCCCGCGCGCGCCCTCGCCCCCGACCGTCGCACGCGTACGGCCGAGGCGAGCCTTCGCGAACCCCGTTTTGTCCTCGCTTCCTCGCCAGAACGGCAGCCAGCTCCCAGCGGGCGTGGTGCCCTCTGGTAGCGATCCAGTCCCGCGGCGGCCCAATTCGGTCCCAGCGCCCTGTGGTCCCCCCCTCCTCCCCCCCTTCCCCCCCTTTCCCCGCACCCCCATTCATCCGTTCGACGCCTCGACGCCTCGACCCCGCGCACGCTCCACGCACCACGCGAACGCGTGCCTGCCAATTCTCTCCGCGCGCCCTGCGTCAAGCGTCCTCCACGCCTGCGACCCGTTTGGTGCGCGCTCCCGCGATCGCTGCGGGGACGCACCACTGTCTGGCGGTCCTCGTGACGCACGCCCCCTCTGAGACGCGTCCCTGCACGTCGCGCGCGCAAGCTGCCGCTGCCACCGCCGCCTTGCAGGGTCGCCGACGACGGGGCGGACGCAGACGGGGCTTTTTCTCCTTTTCCTCGCAGCTCGCGGGCGCACAGGTCCCGCGCCCCCGTTGCCCTCTCGACCCGCGGGGCGGCAGTGGGCCGCCGAGCGTCCGCGCGCTGCGTGCCGTCCAGGGCCGGGTGGTGTGGTGCGTGCGAGGCCGACGTCAAGAATACTCTAAACTCCCCCGCCCGACGCAGCTCGCCTGCAGCCGCGCCCACGGTCCCACGCCCGACGTGTGCAGCCGGCGTCGAATGCGTCCTTAGCGGCGTGCCCGCGTGCATGTGCCCACCGCGGACAGGCCTGGGTCCCGTCCGCGTCCGTGCGCACGAGCGCAGCCTGCACCGCTCTCGTTCTTCGCGCGCGTGAAGAGTGCGCAAGACGCGATTGGCGGCGCGGGGTCGGCGGCAGCGCGCGCACGCTGCGACCCCAGATCCAGAAGCCGCTGCGCTGCCGCTTCCGGGCACGCACGCCCTCCAGCGGGCTGCGGGGTGCCCCTGCGCACTGGGGCGCGCGCTCCGATTAGTGTTAGCGTTAATAGCGTTAGCCTTGGCCTTGGGCCGCGCCCGCCCGACTGGCTCAGCGCCGGCTGCCCCACCCTGAGCTGGAATCGCGACTTCCAGGCCGCCGTGGTCGCTGCTGATCGCAGGCCTGGGGCCCGATTCTGGGCCGACGCGGCGGGCGTGCCGGCATGGCCATCGACCGTGGCCGTCGCGCGTGCGCCCCGACGCTGGCGTGTCGACGTCGATCGGCGTCGCGTCGCTTGCGCACGCGCCGTCGCCGGCACCGGCTCGCGCACGACGTCCTTCTAGGGCGGATTGGTCACGATGTCGTTACGACGGGCACTCGCGCTAGCCTCGCGGCGCGTGCACGCCGATGGCCCGCGCGCCTCGCCATTGAACCCGTCTGACGTCAACGGGGCCCCGCCCTCGTTTTGGGCTTCGCGCCATCGTGAGCCCCTTCGCCAGCACCGCACCGCACGTCACGCCATAGAATCGTCGCCGCGCGCGCGGGCCCAGTGTGGTGCGCGGAGGACGTGCGAACGCGCAGGACGCGCTTACGGCACCGCGTGCGGGGCAGCACGCGCAGCACCGGTCGGGGTGATGGGTATTGATGGCTGATGGGACCTGCCGCCTCCGCCGCGGGAGGCCTCTCGCGAACGACGTCCGCGTCCCGTCGCGACCTCGCGGTGGGGGCTCGCATGGGGCTCGTTAAGACGCCGGCGACCGACGAGCTCGTCCGCCGATGACGCGTAACGGTCGCCTGCAGTCCGTGCGCACACCAGCCTCCGGAGCCCGGCGGCTGCGCTCGCGGGATCGGGCCCGTCGCTTACGACATGGGGCACACAAGGAACCTGGGGCCCAGACGGACGCAAACGACGCCGACGGCGCGCACGGACAGGCGGACGGTGCGGCGTTTCGCCATCTCCGGGGCGCGCGGCGCTCCAGCCTCGAGCAGCCGACCGTTCCGATTTCGGACACTGCACACCGTCGCACTCCATCTGCGCATGCACGCTAGGACGAGGCGGGCGAGGCGGGGGGTCCGCGCACGCCGGAGACAGCTTCGTCACTCGACCCGCCTTCGACGGTCGAGACCTGCGCCTGCGGTCGCGAACTGAACCTACGGCGACAGGTCCTGTCCATCGCCCTGCCCAACTATTTCACCTGCCGCGCGGGCGCGTGCCGGTCACGCGCGCGCCCCCGCGACCAATCCCGTCCTCTGCGCGCAGCGGCGACAGGGCGGGGCGGTCTGGGCTCCCTGTCGAGAACACTGCCCGGTGGGGTGGGATCTCCCATGAAAAGGGTGGCTCGTAGCTAGGCGCGAGGGTGGTTCCGCGATCTCGATGCGCGCTTCCGCCCGTGCGCGAGTAGTGACTGTGCGCTGAGGCGACCTTCGAGCGATGGACGTTGCAACGGCTCGCTCGACGGAAGACCCCGCCACCATCCACTGGCCACCCCCCTCGCGGTTCCCCCGTCCATGCATGTGGTGGACACCACGCTCACGCCGCACCGCGAGTCGCGCCGCCGTGCGGTCGCGTGCGCAGCGGCGTGCGCGTGCCATTCCTCCGCGATGCCAGCGATTCAACGCCCGCGTCGACTTTGGCCCCCCAGGGCCAGGGCCAGGGCGTCCGAGAGACCTGAGCGCTGAGCCTTCCGATCCCCCGCGGCGGTCGCGCGGTCGCGTCGCTGCACGATCGCTGCACCTAGCACACGCTCCGTGTTCTACGCAGAGGTACCCCCTCGGAGCAGGACATATGGGCCACCTCACGCGCTCTTCTCGCGCCACACCGCGAAAGTCTCAGCAGTCCGCGATCGCGAGCGATCTCCCACTGTGATCGAGTGGAGTGTTGCCCCTGTAGGCTGGTCTTTCGCGGAAGCAAATCCGCGGAGAGAATGTTTTCGGGTCGGGGTCGTGCCACAGGGACTCTAGCTTCCTACATTCTTTCAACATTTTGGGCCCTTAGAAGGCGATGTCACATAGCGCTGCAGCGACGATAGTAGCGCATTCGACATGATTGTTTTACTGCTGACAGATCCCAATACAACACAATGATACAAGTAAACACGTCGGACGGCAAATTCGTACACGCGCGAACACACTTAGAGCTCTGGGGGACCTCCAGTCAGGCGTCGCTCATAGAGGGATTAGAGCAGACAACTCACTCTGCATGGCGGCGATGTCCGAGCTTTGGACGAAGTCCTCGAACTCAGCGACCTTTTCCTGGAGCTCATCCAAGGAGACCTTCTCGTCCTCTGAATGGAGAACTGAGTAACCCGAAGCCAGTAGACATGCTATGTACGTACCGACGACAAGGGTGATCTGGAGCTTCCTGACACCATAACCGACCGGCACGAGCTTGCTGGCACCCCAGACAAGACCGTCCATCTCGATAGAGCGCACAGACTCCTCGAGCTTGGCCATGTCGGTCTCGTCGTCCCAAGGCTTGACCTCAAAGGTGACAACGGACTAGATATACACAATAAGCATGCGTTCCGGGATGCGAGGCAAGACAGATGAAAGGCGTGGGGTGTGCCGAGGCATACGGGAAAATGGTGGATAGGCGACGAGGAGGTCAGACGAACCTTGGCAGCGGGCTTGGCCTTGCCAGCCTTCTTCTCATTGTACGCAGCGACGCGCTCAGCCTTGATGCGCTCCGCCTCGGCGTCCTCCTCATCATCGGAGCCGAAGAGGTCGACCTCGTCGTCGTCCTCTTCCACAACCGCAGGCTTGGCACCGGCGGGCTTATCATCGCCGGCGAGGAGAGCCTCGCCCGCGGCGCTGGAGCCGGCGAGGGAGTCGAACTCGGCCTCGTACGACTTGATGTGCGTGTACCAGCGCGCGGCGTTGGGGGTGGTGGGCGCAGAGGTGATCGCCTTGAAGACAACGACGTCCGCCTGGGAGGGGGTGTACCTGCGGGATGCATTGCATTAGCACACCGCTCGGATGCGAGTCAAGGGTGCGGGATGTGAGATCAGAATAATAAGCTCTCCGATCTCTTGTCCCCCACGTCCCGCCCAGCTTTGTGTTGGTACTCACCCCTCGATGTAAGAGCGGGTCGCGAGGTGGGACTCAAGCTTGGTGAAGTTGGCGGACATTGTGGACGATGAAGACGATGGTGAGGACGCAAGCGAGGTATCGATGGAAGCCTGCGCGCCTGAAAATGAGAGATTATCTCCTCCTGTGATCGGCTTCAGGGCCGGGGAAGCGCTGCAAAATGCGATCACGTGAGCGAGGTCGCCAACTTTGGGCAGAACGTTAACATACGAATCGTACATGACGCGTGACGCGTGGCTCCCGGTAACTCCCAGACCAACAACCACGGTCACCCCTTTTACAGTTATTTTCGCCACTGAAGCCAGTACAGTCTCAGGACCAAGCAGCACCAGGGTGGTCCGGCCAGTATCGCCGTCTAACCCCATGGCCTCTTTGCGCGCCGTCAGAGCCTTCGTGGCCTCTCGCTGAGAAAGATTACGAGCAGCGATGTATATCCTATGCCATATCAAGCGCGCTGATACTAGTCTCACAAGTGTCCGTCGCACGCGATGCTCCTCTCCTCGTAGCGACACATGCCGGGTCCACGGTCCAAGAGGCAGAGTGAGAGAGATCGGCGTTTGACCGAGTCGAGGGTCGTGCCGCAGCCAGGCCGCTCGAGGAAGGCACCTCCAAGTTCGCGAAAGCAAATGCACCCCGAATCTGTTCTTGTGCGCGAGAGTTCACCGTGACGGTCGTGGGGCCAACGCGATAGGCGCCAGGACGCGCTTTGCGTCGTCGATGATGCCGAGAAGCTGAAGAAGGGGGACGATCGTGTGCGCGAGGGCACACCCAAGCTGTCAGGGTGGGGTGAGAACGTTGGGTTCACAAGGTTCTAGCGTCCGCGCGCTCGCGCACCGAAGGTGAGAAGGCCTCTCATGCCACGCCGCGCGCGCGATCACGCAACCTAGAGCCTACTCGTACCCATGCTGCGCGCAAGGCGATCGACCCGACTGTGCGGGCACGCTGAGATCCGAGGGTGGGGTCCGCGGCGGGCGCGATGAGTCGCTGCAGCTCGTGTGGCATTGCAAGACCCCGGGGGATGATGCTGCTGATGGGCCAGGGCTGCTGACGGGCATGAAAGGGTCAAACAGGGGAGCTGGATGCAATGTTTCTGGATCGGGAAGAGGGCGTACCGAGGCGTTCAGTAGGTAAGTGGTGATTGGGGGGAGTCGGGCACGAGCGAGTGGGGCCCGAAGAGGGGCGTAGCGACGCTTGTCCGTCCGTCACCGCCAGTGTCAAGAATGCGAGCACGCAGCCAAGCGATCACTTAATTATGCGCGAACACCGTCACGGCTGCAGATCCACGCGTCCCGTCCACACGCGAACACCGTCGAGTGCATTCAGTTCCCCCGGCCACACCCACGCTCCACATCAGCCAGCAGTCCGTCCAGGGCTGCGGGAGGACGTGACGGCACAGTCCCCACACGCTCCTCGCGGCTAGCACCTGGGCTCCGACAGCGAAGCGCACCGGCAGCACTGCTTCGTCCCCCCCGGAGGCTCGCTCGACGATCGCACTGGGTTCGCTCGACGACGAGCACGTTTGACTGTCGAGCCCGCGCCGCGCGCGTCCGCGCTCGCGCCACCTGCACTCACGGAGGGCGCGCAGATGGGATCAGCGAGCGCTGCGATAGTGTCAGACCCTGCGCGCGGAACGAGCACTTGCTTGCAAGGAGAGAGAGAGCATCGACACTCGAGTCAGATCTCCGGCGCGGGGATCGCGGCCGTCGGAGCGCGCGCAGTCCCTGCCGGAGGCTCGAACACCCGCGGCCCCGTGCTGTCCGCCCTCGCCCCATCCCCGTTCGAGGACGCTGCGTCGCCGAGCAGGACAATCCTCGCGAGAACCACCCCCGTGGGCGCGCCCGAGCCGGCGGCGCGTGCGTGTGGGCGCGCGGGCTGCTCCTGCCTCTTGTCAACGTCCCCGTCCTGCGACAGATCCGAGGGCCGAGAGCCTGTCGCCCCGTCTTCGCGAAGCACCCCCGCGCGGGCGGGGACGGGCCTCGCCCGGGAGCCAGGCCTTGGTACCTTGGTGCGCCACAAGTCCCAAGCAGCCTTCTTCTGCTTCTGCGGGCGTGATGGTGGATGCGCTGAGCGCTGAGCGCTGGGCGTTTGCAGTGTCACCTTATATCGTATTCTGGCGTCGGCCTCTCCGACGTCGGTGCAATGAACCATTGGGGTAGTGGTCCGGGCCACTGCAACAAGAGGTCCACAATCTGTAACCGGTCAAGGTTCAAACGTTCAAAGACGACGTCCCCCTTCACTGCAGGTTCTTTGCGGTTCAACGTTCGTTCTCGGTAGTAGGTTTGCTGAGCCCTGTCTTCTCAAGTCCACCAACTGCTGTACCCGGGAACTCAAAGGTAAGCACTTACATCAATACTGCCAGCATCAGAGCAACAGTAGCGTTTGCACAGGATGGTCCGCGCGCAGGGAAAGATGGTGAGCGTCGCGCGCATGAGCGATCAAAATCCCCGGCCATCGCTTCACCCGCTTCAGCCCGGGTTCCCCAAGAAGCGCGCACGCGCTGATGTCGCCGCAGAACCCCACCGAACCCACGTCCGTGCGCGTGATCCGTGGCCTTCACCCGACCCCGGAGCGGAGCGCGACCACACGCCCGGCGTCCGCACGTCCCATATTCCCTGTGTCCCGTGCGGACGAGCCGGGGGCTTGTCGCCCACAACGAAGCATAGAAGCCGGGGGCAGTCTGACCGAGGCGCACGCGCCCACAGGACCGCACTCGCCGCATCCACAATCGCCGGTCCCGCCCCGAGCGGCGGCGAAAGTTCCGGTATCTCTCTGTCGGTCGCTGCGCCGAACATCTATCAGCGCACGTGCGCACAGAAAGTAAGTTGCAGCACTCACAGGGCACTCGGCCTCAGTGCCTGGTTTGCTCCACTTGGCCGACCTAGCATGCGAAGTAGAGAAGTCGATACCGTCGGGTTTGAAATCGGCGGGCCGAACAGGTGCGTTCTCGTGTCCGTGCAAATCATCAGCAGTGGTCGTGAACGCGGCCGCCGCGAATGCCGGTCTCTGGCGACGATGTTCTGCGACACGGCCGCTGCATCACTGACGGCCAACCTAAACGGACGAGAGACGGCACTTCGAACGCTGGAGACGCGAGCCGAGGCGGAAGGTGCCGGACGATGGGTGATTATGCGGTCCGTACAGGGCATACAATACAGAGGGACAAAGCGTTGGCAGAGCAGAGCGGAAATGCGTCGTACAAGTACAGCGGTGCATGGGGTATAGATAGGAGTATCTGAGATCTGTCGATGCGGCGTGATGGGAGGCGTTATAGAGTATGGCCGATGGAGGACGATAGATGGTGATGCCGGGGATGTCGGGCACAGGGCGTTGACCATGTACACGGGCGTGGCATATGTTCGGAACGAGAAGACGGGGCGGGGAACGGTTCGTCAAACCGACGTGAGATAGGAACGTGGGGTGCAAGTGTTGGTCGAGCGATGCTGCAGAAATCCACCTCTCGCTCCGCACCAGACAGGCCGCGACACGGGGTTCACGCCCACATGCCCAACACTCGATTCGGTGCAGCACGACAGGGAGGCCTTGCGGAACGCCAGTCCAAGGTTTGCAAGAAGCCGGTGGGGAGCGAGGGATCCATCGATCATGGGTGGTGGACGGATGCCTAGTGACGTTGACGAGAAGCTTGGGCCAGCCGCGAGTGGGTCGAGAACGGTCGAGAGAAGCGTCTACGCGCCGCGGAAGCCGCAGTCCAGCAGCGCCTCGTTGCGCGCCCATGGTCCGACGCGCGACGCGCCTCAAATGACCTCACAGTCGAAGAGCTGCAGGACGTCGTCGTCGGCCATGTCGCGCGGCGGCCACGGACGCTTCCGGAGGTAGATGAGCGGCGCGAGGTCGATCGCGTGGTTTTTGCGCATCGCCGCCGACTGCGCGCAGTTCAGGTCCGGCTGGCGCGTCCTCAGCTCCTCCTCGGGCCACCGTGGTGGGCTCCACGGCGGTGGTTTGAGCGCGGGGAGGTGTATACCCGGGCCGGCACTCCCCTGCGGCATGGCGGAGGCGGGTGGGCGGAGGGTGAAGAGCTGCGACACGGGTGGACCACCGTCTGGCGGTGAGTCGAGCGTGTAGAGCGAGCGGGGGAGGAAGCTCGAGGTGGAGTCGAGCGAGGACGGCGTCCTCACGTCCCGGCCTCCGAAGAGCGGGGGCCCTGAGGCGGCGTCTGGACGCGCTCGCTGGCGGGCCATCCTTGCGGCGGTGTACATGCCGGACGGGATGGTGTCGCGGAGGGCGGCGAGTTCGGGGAAGTCGTCGATGGTGCACAGGCGCTCAAGCGTCTCGCCGGTGAAGTACGCGACTGGAGAAGCACCGGGTGGCGGGGTGGGCGGGGGCGCAAACACGAATAGATGGGATGGGCATTGGATAAGAGAACGGCATCAGCCTCGGGCTATCTATCAGTATAGGCGCGAGAACCCACCGAGATGCCACTTCCTCCGGCCGGTCGGAGTGTCGACGTAGACCGAGTACGTCTGCTTGATCAGCCGGCTCCCGTAGCTGAAGGGCGCGAGGAAGAGGTTCGGATGAACGAGGCACGAGGAGAGGGTGGCGCACACGCACATGAGAGAGGAGAGGAGCTCATCAGCCTCGAAGTCGGGAAGCTTTTCTTGATAGTAGAGGAATTCCTGATATCGAGGGGTGGTGCGGGTGAGACGGCAGGCGGTCGGGCGGAAGAGAGGAGGAGTCTCACGTCGCGAACTCTGGAGGGACCCCATCTCCTACCATCGGTCCACCGTTCTATGCCGGCAGCCTGAGGGACAGGCGTTGGGTAGCGTGTGGCGGGAGGGAGTAGGAGAACGTACGGAAGAGGTTCCTGGGCCGGCGTTGCGCTCCTCCCATACACAGACGCAGCCAGAGTGGATGTAGCGGCGTTCCTCTATGTCGAGGCGTTTGGAGACGATGGGGAGGATGCCGAGGGAGACGGCGTGGAAGATGATGTGTGCATCGGCAAGGTTGCGGATGCGGAGGCCAGTGAATGTAGGGAGCTGCATTCGCGCAGCAGGGGAGGAAGTAGGATGGGGAGAAGGGACGCGGGCGAGGTTTGTGTGGTGAGCATTGGGGAAGGAGGCCTATGTATCAGGCTCACGCTGGTGCGAATCGTGAGCAAGCGCCTGAGCCCCGGCGGTGATGGGACGGAGGGATCGCGCGCCGGCCTTGGCGCCTCGCGGCTCACTGACAGCCTACCAAAGCTGTGCCGCCCTTGTCCCTGCGGATTCTGTCTCCCCGCCCATCGCCCTATCTCTCTCTCTCTCTCTCTCTCTCTCTCTCCAAGAGCCCCTCTCGGAGGCTATCCGAGCCCCTCTCTCAGAGTCTCTCCTATCCCCTTCCCAGTGTCCGAGATGCCCTCGAGCAGAACTCAACCATGGCCATCTATCGTCCAATCAGACCGGAGTCCTTCCATGCGGAGAACCCTCGGTGAGAGATATGTACGCCTCAGTTCCGCAAGCGCCATCTCTCTCCCTCCTCAGGCACCCGCAGCGGTGCATCCGCCTCCGATACCCCCGAGTTCATTCGCCATATCAAGAAACTACAAGCAATATGCACTCCCCACCCGGCCACAGCAATTCTAGCAAGATGCCCGAAATCCCCGGGGGAAAGGTACTTCTGAGGGGTAATGCTCTCCATCAGGGAAGACGAATCGACATGGGCGTATCCCACCATACGCCCGGCAGCGCTCAGTCCGGTCCCCGACTAGAATTCGGGCCCTTTCGCTGCGTCCGCGCGCGCTCGGGCGGCATACTTACGAGAACTTCGTCAGGTCGCAACTCGGATCAGCTTCGAAAGCACAGGTGCGAGCAAGGCTTCATGAATCACTGATAAGTAACCACATCTTGGACGTCAATGCAGTCGCCCAGGCGCCAAGGGACGAGCAGTGAGTGTGCGAAGTCGTGGCCCCGGGATCACTGCAGGGGCGATGGCACGCTTATTTGTCAAAATCCCCTTCAAGTCGAGCTGTCATCGCTCCTCATGCCTCGGCTCTCCCGTCCTTCCCCAATGTCGTGTTGTCTCTTCGACGCCTCTTTTGATCTCGATAGCATTTCAGTTCCATGCACGAATGAAGTCAAATTCCTCTCACGAGACGTAAATCAGGTCTAGTTCTGTTGCCAAAGCCTTACATCACCGCACTGAGTCCGATATCCAGTGATACGAGCTCTAACCTCGACAGGTATGAGCATGTATCTTCAGCAAGTGATCAGCGGCTCCGGTCATGACTTCGGGCGGGTACGATGCCGTTCTAAAGTTGCAGCTCTACAACGTTGTGGTGTTTCGCGTACACGCAGCATCACGCATGACCTTGGAAACCGAGTCGCCCGGGGAAAAATAGACAGCTCTCGTAACGGAATCGATGCGCCGGTGGGTTTCGTCGTCGACTCCGGCCCAAACCGGCGTGCTGGCCTTTTGGACTGAACCGCTTGCAGCCGATGGTCTGACTCTTACACGACCGACTGAGAACGGGCCAAGGGGGATAGACACGAATGGTGAGATGTATGCGGCGAGAGCTAGCTTGCATTGAGGTCCCACCCTCCGGTTTGCTTCTGTGTTTATCCCATTCATCACCCGTGAGGGCGGAGCCCTACGGTAGGTGGTACGCACAGAAGGTTGCCTGATGAGGAGGCTGGTGCATACAGGGAGGATGTTATGTATGCCCTCGAGGAGGGCCGGACGGGCCGGGTATACGAGCCAATATGTACGGTACGCGGTACGTATGTTAGTAGACCGGGGTCAAGCGAGCAGAGGAAATGTCAATGATGCGACATCACCGCGGGGAACTTCGAGGCAGGATAGGGTGGCGAGACCGTAATGCAGTCGCCGAAACCAAACTACCAAAGCAATTCGGACCGATCGAGGTCCGCCTGCAGTGTCCCACCCTCCTCACCAACATTTACTGTGATCTGAGGACCGAACCCGAGTGGCCGCGACGGTGACACCCCATGGATCCGGAGCTGGAAGCAGACTTAAGGCATGCACTTTCGTCGGCACTCACAAGACCTCCTTCTGCTTATCGCTTCCCCCGGCTTACCTTCTTTTCAGACTTGCAATCTCACGCCACAAGACTGAGTCTTGTTCAGCTCCCTGATGAAGATAAAAGACAATACGACATGGCGCTAGATACTCTATGAGACAACGTCCGGCAGAGAAAAGTAAAGAAAAGTAAGTTAGAGCCAGTATGCTGCAACGACAGTGTGAGTACGTAGCGATATATCGATATACATTTAGCGAGAGAGAAGTCCAAGGTGGAGGAGATCAGCAGGTAGATCGTGCGAACAGCCGTAGCAGCCTCACGCAGCGCCCCGCGCCCCGTGGCGGCGCGACGGCGAGGAAAGGGAAGCCGCTCAGGCTTAGTGGCCGTCGGCGTACGGGTCCGCGTAGCGCGACGAGCCGCCCTCGGCGCCGTACAGCGCGCCCTTGCTCTCGTGCGACTCCGCGTCGTGCAGGTTCCGGTACGCGGAGGGCGCCCGGTGTCCTTCTTGCGCCGGCCGACGACGACGGCGATGATCCCGCCGAGGATGCCGAGCCCGAGGAGGGCGGCGAGGACGATGATGATGATCTCGTAGAGCTTCGCCTTCTTCTCCCACGAGTCCTCGCCCGACGTGCCGTCGTTCGCGACGGCGCCCTGCGCGATGAGGGTGTCCTTGTCGTCGCCGTAGTCGGACGAGGAAGCGGACGAGTAGCTGTACGCGCTGCTGGTGTACGCGGGCGTGCTGCTGTGTACGTCGTCACGGCACTGTCGTAGGCGTCGGTCATGCCGGAGGCGTATGTCACGGAAACGGAGGACGTGGGTAAGCCGAGGAGTCGTAGACCGAGGTCGAGGAGGTCGCATACGCGCTGGAATCGGAGGTTGCATACGCGCTGGAATCGGTGGTTGCATACGCGCTCGAGTTGGAGGTCATATACGCGCTCGAACCGGAAGTCGCATACGCGACCGAATCGGAGGTTGTGTACGCGGAGGACGAAGCGTAGGAGGCGAAGGCAGAGGTGTAGCCGTTCATCGCGCCCGCCGTCTTCCAGTTGTCGTTTGAGGGCTGGATGGGCATGAACTTATAGTAAGGCGAGTTGGACTGCTGGTCGAGACCGGAACGGTAGTAGAACGCAGACACTAAATGACAGTCAGACCCGCACGAAAAGCCGCCGGACCAAAGAGGGCTACTTACTGAACTGGAAGCCGAAGATGACGTCGTATTCAGGGCGAGCGTCGACCGCGCCGCCGCCGGGCATGACGATGGAACCCATGCACTCGCCACTCCCGTCCGGGTTCTTGGCGACCAGGACCTCGGAGAACACCTGGTACTTTGCGCCGTCGATCGAGATCTCGAGCTTGATTTCAGCCTCGCAGGGGATTGCGTAGTAGTGGTAGCTGTCTCCGGCGACGACTTTGGCACCAGAGATGCTGCCGTAAATCGCGTCGGCCCATTCGGAGGGCATGACGGACCAGCGACTCGAGGTGTCGATGGCGACGACGACCTTAGACGAGTCTGCCTGGTAGACAGAGGTGTTCGTGAAGTACTGCTGGTCAGAGACGTAGATGTAGCGGTCAGTGTAGATCGTGCCGTCACCGCGAGTGTAGACATAAGGCTCGCTGTTGATGCCGTTGAGGTCGGGGAGACCGTACTGCGTAACGATGCTCGAGTTAACGCTGAGGGACTCCCACGAAAGGGTTTCGCCAGGGACCATGACACCGGCCAGGCTGACGGCGGAGTCAGAGGGGGAGGCCTCGGTCCAGTCGTAGAACGTAAGGGTGTCGTAGTACCACTTGCTGTAGTCCTGGGGCCATTTGGTAGCGAGGTAGGAGTAGATGGGGTTCATCGGCTGGGTCATGTCTACACCAAGGTAGGCCGACTTGATGGTGTCGTAGTTGATCGCCGGCAGACCATCAGGCCAACTGCCCGCGGAGACTGGAACGGGTGTCACGGGCTGCACGGGCATGAGGTTTCAGTGCAAGCCACTCACAGTACTCGACGGTAAACTCCTCGTCAAAGATCCCGACCGTCTCACGGCCATCCTGAACTGTATGTGCGCATAAGCAAACGGGCACAGGGACATACAATCCCGCTCCACGGCGATCGCAGATTCGCACACCAAATGGATACTCACCCTGGATCTGGACGCTCTCGTCGATAGTGATCGTCCGCACGTTTCCCTGTGCGGCGGCGTACTTGCCGTCGTAGAGGATGAGGCCGCTCCTGCAATGCGAGACGGCAAGGTCAGCCACTTGTTTCGGCGGCGCCAAGAGTTGGGCGGCAGTAGCCACGGAAACAGGGCAAAGACGTACCAGCTGCTGTCGAGGTAGGCGGCGTAGGTCTGCTGTTGGACCTCGATGGCCAGGTAAAGACTGGTCAGATTCTTGTTGATGTACAGGAGGTTGTCGAGGTAGTCGCTGGCATCGCGGCTCGCGAGGTGGGAGGAGGCGGAGCGGCGGAGGTGTGCGAACGGGCCGGGGGCACGACAAAGAGCGGGGGCGGCAAAGGAAGAGGCAAGGAAAAGGGCGGCGAGCGCAGAGGAAAGGGAGGAGGAAAACATGCCTTGAAGACCGGGCAGGAGGGAGCGGAAGACAAGACTGAGGGGACGTGATCACGCAGTGGCAGCCTTATAGGCCTCGCGTCGCGACGCGTTGGCTGTGAGCGGGCACGCACCGCTCGCGATTGATCCCATCCTGTGCTTGGGGCGCAGGCGCTTCCGATTTGCCCGGACGCCGCCCACTGCCCCCCGCCCCGGCCGTGCGCCATTCCCCTCTCGGCCGTGCGCGTCGCACAACTTGTCGTGTAAGTAGTAGTAGCAGCAGCAGGTGGGCGGCGGCCCCGGATGTGCTCCCGAGCCATTGCAGCCGCTCCCGACTCTCGAGGACATGCGGCGCGCGCAGAATACTGCGACCACGACTGCACCGGATATGCCTCCATCTCAACTCCATCCAGCCATCCGCGCGCCCCTAAAATTACAGCCCCTCGCGCCCGCGCCCGTCCCAGCTGCTGTCACCCACAATACCATCGCTTCTTCTGCTCTGTCTTCATACGCGCGCATTCACTCCACGGCCACGTCAGCACACGCAATTTTCTGCAGGCTCGTTATCATCAGTTGCGACCGCGCCAAGCCCTTTTGATCACGACCACAAAGTAGCGGGAGGCGGCGCGGCAGTTGCTTCTGAAAGTGCAGCGTGTTCGCCACCCCCTGAACCCAAGGTCACCTGCCGCCCGACGTCCCCGCTTACGCTCGACGAGGCTCGTCCAGAGCACAATGTCAAACGGCTTGCTCGTGTCCAAGTACACGAACACGGTGACTCTGAGGCGAGGAAGCTACTGATGTGCGCAGTGAGCCGCAGTGAGCCGCGAAAGTCGCCCCGAGAGCACGAGGACAGGTCGACCTCGTTGCAGCCGCGGAAACTGCAGGTTCTCTCCAAGGTTTCTTGCAGTACGTTACGCGACAGCCACGCAGCTCCTGTACGCACACTCGGGGAACGATTCCCGCGAGAACGTGCGCCGGATGTGTGATGACGAATACGTCCGCGCCTCCGGTCTCGCGCGCACACGAAGCGGTGCTGCCTTTGCACTGAGCATGCCCGGAGGTGATACGCCTTGGCGACGGGGGTCGCTGCTGTGAGACCCGTGACTTGCTTGAGACTTTGAGGCCATGTTATTTCAGAAGCAGCGTCAAGTAGGGCAGTCGTAGCAGCATAATTACAGGATGTCACCGCAACGTTGCACTCCTGGAGGGCGCGAAACACTCAATTGTCTGCGTGGATACGCCACCGATGATGTCGGGGTTTCAGACCTGTGAAGAGCACGCGCCGTGCACCTGGGCCACTTCAGGCTAGCAGTGTATCGCAAGTTCGAGCAACAGGTTACTTTCCTATGAGATTCGCCCGCGATGGACAGCAGATACGTATATTACAAGGGATGCACTGATATATGATGACTATGCGTACGGGTGCGATGCTGAGGGTAGGATGCGATGAGAGAGGAGAGCTAGGGTCTGGGGGCTACAAAGAGAATCAAGAGATGCAGTCCAAATTGACTACCATTCGAATTCGCTGCCATAGTGGTCAGCTGAACGAACTCTGGAAAAAGCGCTTCGACAACTCACCCGGTGCACTTGGCAAAGAGGTAGTCTTTACCATTGACATGGATCATGCCGTCCTTGAGAACACACTTCCATTTGTTCTTGACGCGAGCGACCTGATGGGGGCATGGAGGATGGGCTGCAAAGCGCGCAAGAAAGGAAGTGGTAGACTCACCTTGTCATAGGTACAGAACACAATGTCACTGTCAGCCGCGCCGCCTTCTATGCCATCCTGCTCGTTGTCTGAATCCGAGTCATCCAGGTCGCTGTTGATAGCCTCCAAGTCTTCAGCTTGCGGGGCCGCTGTGCTCTGCGACGGCTGAGGGAGCGAAGGATGCGATGATCTCGGAGCGTAGCCCTGACTGGGTGGAGGAGACGGAGACTCCGATTCCGACGACGACGGACCATCCACCTGAGGGATGCGCGGGGGCTGCCCGTTTGTCGCTGGAGGGTAGCGAGCAGTGGGAGGCGCAGGTGCCTGACTCGCGGCATTCGCCGGACGCCCGTTCATTGGCGCATACGAGGGTTGCGAGGGACCTCCCGGCCTCGCGGAAAGTTGGGGCCCAGGCAAAGGAGGGATCCCGTAGGCAGTGGCGCTCAGCATGTAGCGATTGTCCACCGGCTCCGTCTTGACGTGGGGCTGACCGGGGACTTGCATGGGATGAGGTGGAGGGGCGTACGCCGTGTGGGGAGGATAATGCCCGTGGGGCATGGTATGCATCGGGTGAGGTGGATAGCTCGGGTGCGCGGGTACGGGTGGCGGTTGGGCCTGAGTGGGCTCAAAGTCGGCGACGTGAGAAGCTATGACCTTCGCCTCCCATTTCTAGGGGCCGGAAAGCTGGGTAAATGAACGATTAGGAAGACGAATGATGGTATACTCACGCTCTGCAAATCAGCCAGAACGTCCTCAGGGACGCCGAAGTCATCGAACTCGGGTTTTATATTGGCGATCACGTCGTCGATGACGGCACGATAGATGGAGGGCTCAACGAGAAATACACCGTCATCAAACGGTCTGGTTAGAATACATCTGCGGTGAGCAGCTCACCACTATCTTATTCGACATCGCGCCGCTTAGCTCCCGGGACCGTTGAGAACAGCGAGCTCGGGGGCGGGACGGGTGGTGAGAGGAGGGGTCAAGGGGATAGCATTTATAGAAGGTGGCGATTGAGGGAAGAGGTGAACTCCGGTTCAAACTCCGCCTGGTGATATGTTTCCCGCGCACGGACCACCGGTATCCATGACGTCACCCTACCAGACACCCTCTTACTAGTGTGCCTCGCGGAATCACTCTCGAGATCTTCCACGCGTCCGGCTCCATCCCTGGGTGTCTCCAGCCTATCCTGGGACTCAGCTGTGCGTCAACCCCACTGACGTAGGCCTCGTCCAACCATGCATAAAAGCTCCCACATATCCCTCACTTCCCTCACGATAACCTCCCCTTGACGTAGTGAGCCAACGTATGCACACTCTCTAATGCGCGTCGTCTTACTGATCTCCTTCTCCAGACATGCCTCTCTTCCGCTCGTCCTCTCCTCCTCCGGCCCCACCTCCCGCTGAGGCCCCGACCCGCAGTGGCACGGGGTTCTTCTCTCGTGGCCGTGCCGAATCCCCCGAGCCCGTCTACAACCAATCCAACGGCAGCGCTTCTGTCCGTTCTGGGTCTATTCGCTCAGGAGGGTTCTTCTCCCGCCGTCGTTCGTCCTCATCAGATTCGGCGGGTCATCATGACCTAAAGAAGGATCCCTCCATCGTCGCTGCCCGCCAGATGGTGACCGACGCGGAGTCCGCGGAGTCCGCCGCCGACCGCGCTCTCATGGAGGCGCGCGCCGCTGTGCGTGCCACCAAGGAACATGTCAGGTTACTCGAGCAGGAAGCTTTGGAGGAGTAAGCATCCATCCTTGGGTTCCCAGCAAGTACTGACACATTCTTAGGGCTCGCCGGGCCAAGGCCAAGCAAGCCGAAGTGAAGGTCATCCAGAAGACCACAGGTCGCCTTGGTCGCCACGGCTGAGGAGGACATAGACTGTTGATACCCCCGGATCGGACATATGCCTTTCCTATTGTACCTCGCGCTACGATACCCTTCGTCGACTAATATCCCCGTCACCGATGTTTCTGGTGACGCTTTTGTCGGCGTTTCTGCTTTGGATACGCCCTCTTGAGTCCTTTGGCTTTTTTCTGTTCCGTGCAATATCCCCTCGCTGTACGATAACTTGCTTTGTACGAAGTACGAAATGCTACGATCATTGGTGTTGAGCGTGGACTTGCGGAGCTGACCGACCAATTGAGTAGACTCAGAGCATGCCACCAAGACAAACACGGATAAACAGCGAGCGCGGCACAGGGCAGTTGCGCCAGTGGGCGACATATCTGCTGCCACCATTCACCATGAAGGGACTGTTCGTCTCTCTTCTGCTCAGCGGCCTCTGCCAGGCTGTTCGAGTATACCTCCATCCTGACCCTTCGCTTCCTCCCCGCCTCTCGACCAACCACGCCGGCGCCGTCCTTTCGTCTCATCTTGGTCTGGAACGGTTCGAGGATGCCGTCCCGGCATTCTTTGGGGAGCAAGAGGTGATGGTCGGAGCGGGGCTTGGTACAGGACTTCTGTTGACCATTAGTGAAGAGGACGTCCACGGTGCGTCTGGGTAGTCTGGCCGAATGCGCAGGTTACTTACACAGGAGCAGACGTCGTCCCTCACGCTCTCAAGAAGTCCTCCTTCTCCGTCTCCTCCGTGAACCCCGATTCTCTTTCCTCCATCATACCCTCTTACCTTGACCGTGCGCACCATGTCTACTCGCACGTATACGAGAACTCCGCCTCCTCCCGTCTCGTCGCCTCAATCAAGGACTTCCTCGACGGCGACTACGCCCCCGACCGCTTTGCCGCGTTCGACCTCTCTGCCCTCTCCACTCTCAAGCACACACTCGGCGCGGACGATGAGTCCGTCGTTGCCGCCTACACCGCTCTCCACTCCACCCTTGTCTCCCTCCTAGCCCGCCCGGACGTCAAGCTCGCGCTGGTCTCCGTGCCCACGCCCGGCGCCGGCCTCGCCCGGCGCCAGCAGCCCCCGCAGTCGCCGCTCCCTCCGTCGCTCCCCGGCTCGGAGCCTATCGACTCGATCTCGACGTGCTACTCGAGCGCGGATGTGTGCGGGAACGCGACGAGCGCATGCAGCGGCCACGGCACGTGCACCGGCGCGAGCAAGGCGGGGCGGACGTGCTTCGTGTGCGCGTGCTCGACCACGAAGGACGCGAAGGGCCGGCGGGAGAACTGGGCGGGCCGCGCGTGCGAGCGCAAGGACGTGAGCGGGTGCGTGGCTTGTTATGCCGTCTCGGTGCGCAGTGGGTGGGGCGCTGACTGTGCGCGGACTCTACATTTACAGGCCGTTTGTTCTCCTCGCCGGCACGACGGTTGCGCTCCTGCTTCTCGTTGGGGGGTCCGTTGCGCTTCTTGGTGCGGTTGGGAGCGACAAGTTGCCCAGCGTTCTGATTGGTGGTGTTGCGCACAGCAATCACTGAAGGAGGATGTACATATCGTATGCCGTGCGTGTAATGCGTCTATAACTTTTGCTCCGACATGACGACACGAGTCTGCACTCGCGTTCTGAGGGCTGTATGTGGTCCATTCCGTCCATACTGTCTCCGGTCCTTCCATTGCGATCCAGGACGTCCATCTACTCGGGCACAACGACGGGCAGTTCTTCGGCCACCTCGTCGTCGTCCCCGTCAGCGTCTAGAGACGCTCCAAGGGAACCCGCTACGCGTTCGAAGGCAATACTGGTGAAGATGTGACTCCCCGTTTTCGAGCGGGTAGTGCCCTGAGCAGCGGCTTGCAGGTGGAAGAGAAAGCGAGTAATGAGGATAGCGGTGACGCTGCGTCGTGAGCCAACGCATCAGAGTGGGTCATGGAGAGAGCCTGTCCAAAACTCACGGGTCGGTGAACCCTGTGACGTAGCTGACGCTCTTAAGAGGCGAGCTACCCTAGACCTCATTGCGTTAGGAGTGGCGAAGGTTGGCGGTGGCAGAGGGTGAACTCACCTTAGAGTAGAGCGTTAGAAGGAGGTGGAGCAGATTGAACAGCATCAGAGCGCTGGAGGATTGGCGTCATGAGAACTGGGTCTTCTGCTGCGCTGCATGCTGCCGGGTCTATGTACTGACATGAAGTATACGGTGCCTGTGTGCGAAAGCGTCGGTCGCGATGTGGGTGGTTCATCTATAGGAAATCACGTACCATCGCGAAGAAGGACCTCAGCCAAAGTGGCCCCTCCGTCTGTCTTGAGCGAGTGTCTCCGTTCTCGGTACAACCTACGCCAGGTCAGACCAATCAAGAATACATCTGCAGCGATCAGGCTCGTCCGAGAGGCAATCGTCACTGGACACATCCAGGTCAGTCGGCAGAAGAACGAACAGAGCCGTGGGTCACACACATCTGAAGACACTCTCTGAGCAAATGTTCCGCACAAGCGGAGAGAAGGGGCGTACTTTTGTGAGAGCTGCCGGCTGATGGGTGCGTGCTTGAGCATCCTATCAGCGGCACGTTTTTACCACCTGAGCCCAGCACCACATTCGCCTAACCAGATAACGTTGTCGCTTGTAGAAAAAATCAGAGAATCGCTCATACGTACGATGTTGATGCCGAAGGGTACAGAGGAAAGCAGCAACACGAGCACGGACAAGGTCCAGTTTGCACTCACTCCGTACGCTCGCATTGCGGAAAACGCTGTTTTGGAGTTAAAGTCATGGTTTTGCGCATGTGTACCCCGATGTTCGTACCTGCCCAAAAGAGGTATTGCGTAGCGAGCAAGACTTGGATCGCTTGACCCGAACGATTGCAGCTAGACATGGTATAAGCATGCGGACCAAAAGACTGTCCACAAGGTCTATGCATACTCCTGGGGAGGGAAATAGCTGAGCACGGGAACATGTGAGCGTAGTATGACGCTTACTGTGGATGACATGGGCTGAAAGTCCGTGCGGAGTTCGAGCAGCCGAACACCCAAGCTGATATATCTGGTGAAGAAGAACAAGACAGACGCGCCAGTCCATCGCCGGACCAGAATAGTCTGAACTCTCGTCCTGAGGTGATGATGTGCTCCCATGCGACCACGACTACGATTGTAGTCAGTAGAGGTTCGCTGCTAGCCTAAAGCATCTACTCACTGACAGATGCCGTTCCCCAGCGACGAGCAGCTATGCTAGCTGACTGCATGAGTATGAAACCTGGGCTGAATGCGTCAGTACCCACAATGTATCATAATCCGAGGTAAGAGCTGCTATGCTCGGGGGAGAGGACATGGTGAATTGAGCGATGAGGTTTCATCACCGCGGTCGAGGTTTTTGAGTGTACTCGATGAGCTCCCATGTCGCCTTGTCAACGTCAAAAGTCTGACTTCTCGGACTCAATTTGAAGTAGGGTGGACATCGGTGGAACAAGCAAATCACTGATCAATCAACGCTGTCGAGTAGGTGCACGTAGCTCTCAAGAACACTCATTGAAAGTGCATTCGAAGGGACACTGTAGCAGCGCAAATGCCAGGAGGGGATTTCGAAGATGTCAGGGCTGAGGTACAACGTCAGCGATATTCCTGAAAGCTTGACAGAGGTCAGGGCTCACCAAGTTCAACTCCGAACTCAAGGACGTTCGATGGGCAAGAGCTATATGCTCTTGTCAAAGAAGGTGCAATACAACTGTCTACGCCCACCTTCTCGGCAGATACAGCATGGCATGCTCATGATCGTAACAATAGCATTGAGAATCGATGCACTGTCTGTGTTCAAGCTGTGATGATGTCGAGGGTTCGAGTGCCAAGCCCGCGCAAGACGGCGCTGGCTCAGGCCCCTCGGCTTTGGGCGGTCCGGGCGCCGAGAGCCCTGCGCAGGTACTGCCTCCCAACGGTTGAGCATTCGCAATGAGCACCAAACTGCGCCCAATACACCTTTCTTCCCCCCCTCACCTCCTTACAGTCTGCCTGGCTGTCTCTCACCATGTCTGCCACCGAAGAAGCACCACACAGTTCCGACGGAGCCAAGCTGGAGACCCAAACAGACGCATCACCCACAGTTTCTCCGGTCCCTTCCCAGCCTGCGGCCTCCACCGGCGAAGCCGCCGCAGCTCCGCCTGCATCTTCAGCACATACGCCTAGCGACGACGCTCCGGAAACCCCTTCGCTCCCTCCACGCCCTGACGCCGAGGTCGACGCGCACGCGATGTCGACCACCGCTGCTCCCCCTGCGGCCGTCCCCGCCGGCGACGCACACGCCAACGCGCCCGCAGAGGATGCGGTCAGCCCGCAGGTGCAGGAGCTGCGCGCGATGTTCCCCGATTTCGACGTTGCCGTCCTGTATGTTGCTCCATCCCTGACAATACATCCGCTTCCGACCTCCCCTCCCCTCCTCTTGCGAACTTTCGTCGGCATCTGATGCGCGCGACTTCATAGCCAGTCCGTGTTGGAGTCAGTTAACAATGACCAGGAGCGCGCGTTGGACGTTTTGCTCGGCATGAGCGACCCCGACTATGTTTCCACTTCCACACAAGCTCCTCAGGTGCGCGCAGCTCCATGCCTCCTCATGTTCCCGCGTCTGAACACAACGTCTTCTCCCTTGTCCCCTTTCGCGATCGTAAAGCACGAGCCAACGTCTACCGACCTCGACGAGGCGCTCGCGCGCCAGCTTATGCTCGAGGACCAAGAACGGCACCAGGCGCGAAGACATGCTACCGGTGCGTCTTGGCCGCGACGCGACGATGAAGGCCAGGTCCCCTATCAGACGCGGCAGCATGGCCAGGCCCGTCCCGTCCCGCCAGAGGAGTCGCGCACAGACTTCCAAGAGTTGCAGCGGACGATGGGCCAGATAGCGGAGAGTGGCAAGCGCACGTTCAGCTCCATCGTGTCCAAGGTGAAGCAGAAGATCAACGATTACGACCAGTCCCGGTGCGTTTCCTCCCCTCTCTGTGGCGTCAAGCTCTCCGTTCTGCTTGCCCCCAAGTCCTTGTCCCCCACACTAGACTCTCATCTCGTCCCACCCCCTCCGCGCGAAAGAATCTGCTAATGTAACGCTCTCCCGCAGCACCACGGGAGCTGGCGCGGGTGCATCCACGGCCCCACAATGGGGCGGCTCGGGCGCGCAGCCCGCGCAGGTCGACCGACACACCGCCTCGCAGGCTTACCAACAGCGCTACTTCGGCCCCTCCGCCGGCGCGGAGTCCAGCCCTGGCGCGGCGCAGCCCACGGCCGCACCCGCGCAGGGTTACACCGTGGATGGGCCCATGTCGACGCCAGTGAGTAGTATGCCAGTATGCCGTCGCCTCCGTTGCTGAAAGGAGGACGTTGTCTGTTCCAGACCAGCCGACGGAGTCTCTCCCCATAGCCACCGCACCACGCGACCCTAGCCCGGTTCCGTCTGGCTTGACCCCGAATGCGTCGCCGCGCCCGTCTTCGGACGTGCCCCGCCCGCCCGCGACGATGGGCGGTAGTCCTGTGAACGCTGGTCAGCGATCCTGTGTACTGTATCGTTGTGGACGGGCACTGATGATCCCCCGTTGGCAGCCAAGATCGGCCTGCTGCCGAAGCGACCCGTGTCGCTGCTCAACACAAACTCACCCCCAGCGACGAAGCCGAGCGACGACGATGACGACTTGGAGTACGTCGAGAATCCGTTCGAGGAGCGCAAGTGAGACCGAGAGAGCCATATACCATGGATGGAGGACAGCCTACATGGTAACATTATTGATACTTTGCTCGCGAGCAGCCGGGACCCGGAAGGAGTAGGAAGACGAACAGTAGTCGAAATACTAAGTGTACAATGTCGCTGAGGATTGTAATACGTTGACAAATGCACGTGGATGTTTATGCAATCGATGACAGCCCCGCGTGCTGCAGCCGTCATGGCTGTCAAATAGAATCTCACCACAGGGCCAGCCGTTGGGAATGCAAATGATGGGATGAAAGTGGGAAACCCGATGAGGGATTTGAACTCGCGGTTCAAGGGTCGCGTCGTCCGCCGGGCCTACGAAAGTAAGCCCACACCGTGAGATGGTGATTGGTTGGCTACCAGACTTCGAGAGTATGGCATCGGTGATGACATCCACCTGAAGGAAGACGATTGCACTCGTGGTCGTGTACACCAACAGGTCGGCTGAAAGCTCTGACCAACCGATGGGCACATGCTTTGCATGGCACGGGGCGGGAAAAACATGTGCATGGGGCATCTTGCCGCTATGAGGTCGGGTATTCGGGAAGCTCCACCGACGGGCGGTGGCCGAAAGGCTTACTCGACGCTCAAAGCTGACCGACCGGGCAGATATCAGGTCGGAGAAGTCTGTCCGTATGGTCAGGGCGAGAGAGTGGGATCGGTCGGAGAGCAGGGCCAAAAATAACACACAGCGCACCGCGGGACCCATAATCAAGCAGCAACGGAGAGCCCTTATGCACAGCTATGGCCCCTCGAAACGCACTGGCCCGCACTGGCACGAGGGGCGGCGTCTACGTTATCGGGTCGGTAGGAGGGAGCCGCCGGTTGGGTGGCGCCGGCGTAGGCGTTAAGGAAACAAACCAAAACGCGGATGAGGGCGAGAGTAGCAGACACCAAACAGTGGTCGATCCGCGGCATCCCTGTGGTTAAGTCTGCCAAGAGGACGAGCACAGAGAGAGAGTTGAGGAGAGGGCTTGGCCGCATGGCCAAAGGCGGGGGATCCCGATAAGCGCCCAGCAAAAAGGCCCACGTGGCGCTTCAGTGCTTCGGCGGGCCCGGCGGCTGCAGGTCCCGCTCGTCATTTCCGATTTCCTTCCACCTCGACATTCGTCGGCGTCGAGAACTCTGATCGCCCGTGATGTCAGGTGCATGGTGCAGGGCGCACTACCCGCATGGACACCTGTCGGTGTGCATGCTGTTGCGAGAATCTCGTGCTCGTAGACGGAGGGGCCGGGTAAACGAAGTGCTCGCTTCCCTGCCCTCTCTTATCCACGGCGTCCCCGCGGCGGATATAAACCCTTGAACTCGCTGTGTGGATCCTCACCAGGATACCTCCTGTTCCACCGCCCCGCACCCCAGCCTTTGACCTCCCCGGTTCTCAGCTCGTTCACTCGACGCCGACCATGTTCTCCAAGGCTACGCTCATCACCGTCGCTCTCGCCCTCATGGCGTCTGCGACCCCGATTGCTCCCAAGAAGCAGGGGATTGCGGTTCCATTCTCCAAGCGGTCCTCTCTCAAGAACGCGGACGGCACGTTCAACGCCGACCGCGCCATGGTCGAGACCGCCAAGACGATCAAGTGAGCCGTGGCTTTCATGCGCCGGGTCCGGCGTCGTTGCTAACGCGACATTTATCCTCCAGCAAGCACCGCGCGAACATGATCAACCTGGAGAAGAACGTGGGCTCCCACGTCTTCAAGGAGGGCGCGTTCATCCGGGAGGCGGCCGTGCTCCCCGAGCACCTCGCCAAGCGCCAGTCTGAGTCCCTCACCGACGAGGAGGACGACCTCGAGTGGGCGGGCACGATCTCCATCGGCACGCCCGCGCAGAAGTTCCTCATCGACTTCGACACCGGCTCGTCCGACCTCTGGATCCCTTCGAGCTCATGCACCTCGTCGGTGTGCAAGCAGAAGAGCCGTTACTCGGCCTCCTCTTCGTCCTCAAGCTCGAAGAAGAGCGGAACGTTCTCCATCGAGTACGGCGATGGTTCAACGGTCTCGGGCCCCATCTACACTGACAAGGGTGAGTGTCGCTTGTGCATGTACGCCAATACATGACTGACACTACTTTTCGTTAGTCGCCGTCGCCGGCGTGTCGACGACGAAGCAGTACCTGTCGGCGGTTACGACTCTGTCGAGCAGCTTCTCCGGCGACCCGATCGACGGTATTCTCGGGCTCGCTTTCCCCGCTATCTCAAACCTGAACGAGGTGCGCTACTCGCCCGTGTTTGTCTGGGATATCACGCTTACAAGCCGCACAGAACCCCTTCTTCTACACCGCCGTGTCCGAGGGCGCGGTCGATGAGGGCGTGTTCGGCTTCAAGCTTGCGTCGTCCGGCTCCGAGCTCTACCTCGGCGGCACCAACGACGACCTCTACTCAGGCTCGCTCGAGTACCACGACGTCGACACCTCGAACGGCTTCTGGCAGATCACTTCCGCGAAGGCTTACGTCGGGAGCAAGGCCGCCGTTTCCGGCTTCGAGACTATCATCGACTCCGGCACCACCATCATGTACGGCCCGCCCTCGGCGGTCAAGACATTCTACAAGGCAATCTCCGGCTCGGGTGTGTACGACTCGTCCGAGGGTTACTATTATTACCCGTGCGACTCGCCCCCGACGGTTTCGTTCGCGTGGGGCAGCGGCAAGAAGTGGGAGATCACCGAGGAGAAGTGAGTGCCCACATCATGCGGGGAGTCGAAGCGTGTGCTGACGTTGCCGTGCTCTTTCCAGCTTCAGCCTCGGTGAGACCGAGAGCGGCTCCGGCAAGTGCGTCGGCGCGCTCGCTGGCCAGGACCTCGGTCTCGGCTCCTCTGTCTGGCTCCTCGGCGACTCGTTCATGAAGAACGTCTACACCGCGTTCTCCACCGACAACGAGGCCGTCGGCTTCGCCGCGCTCTCATAAGCGCCCCAACGACCCAAGTCGTACACTTGCTTTGTACCACTAGCTGTAGAATGGTTGTATCTGGACGGCCGGAGGAGGATACCCACCACGCAAAACGCGCCCTCTACAACACGCACTTGTAGACTGTAATCTTATTCTTACGCGCTTTCACGCTGACACCCTCGTTATTGATTCGCCTGTAGTTCAATGACAATCCTACATCATTTTACCCTCTGACCCTCTGTGCCGTTTGCCCATATACCGTGGACACGTCCTCCCATGGATCCAATGCCTCAACTTGACCCTGTAAGCCGAGTACACCATGACTACACCATCCGGGTGAGTTGGTCTTCTACTCATCAATCCCACAAGTAAACGGTCTTCAGCGACCAGTTCATGGCAAGCCATACACCGACAGGTCCTCCGCCGCATTCGGCGGCACCCACACAGACGACACCTCCCCTCCGAACTCTCGCAGCGCCATCTCCCCACGGTCCACCCACCCCATGCTCTTGAACACCGCTTTCGCCGCCACGTTCGCCGGGTCCGTAAACCCCAGCGCGACGTCGATGCCCAAGCCCTCCTTCAGGTGCTTCATCGCCCCGCCCGCGGCCTCCTTCGCGTACCCCTTGCGCGTCTCCTCAGGCAGGATCGCGAAGCCGAGGTCCGGGACCGCGTACGCCGTCGGGTGCGTCCCGCGCATGAACCACACGCTCCCGACGGGCGTGCACCGCGCGAGCCGCGCCTGGAACGGCGCCTCGGGGCCGACCGCGTCCGTCGCCGTGGGGCCGGCGGGCTTGCGGCTGACGAGGTACGGGCAGTAGCCGTGGGTCGCGCGCCACTTGCTGAACGAGTTCTTGATGCGGCGCCGCGCGTCCTGGCGCTTCTTGAGGCCGGTGTTTCCGGCGGAGGCGATGAACTCGGGGGTGGTGTAGAGGTTGAGGAGGAAGTCGCAGTGGGCGTCGTTGTCGTGCTGGAAGTAGGAGATGTAGAGGCGGTCGGTCTCGATGAAGAAGTTGGGGTCCATCCGAGGAATGGTGACGAAGACAGCCTCCGGTGGGATGCCCGTCGATGACGCTACCGCATAGTAGGCACAAAAGGGAGTTAGTTTTGGTCTCCGAAAACAAGCCCGTCGGTACTGTGCTTGCGCGGCACTGACCTGGGCGGTGGACGGAGGGGAGCACGGCAACAACGGAGGGAGATTCCGAGAGAGCGATGCCAGTGGTTCTTATGTAGGCAGTGCCAGCCGCGTTGAGCAAGCGCCCAATGTGGGGACAAAGTCACAAAACGAATAGATCTAATCAAAAATGAGAACAGGGAGCTCAGATCCGCCACCAGAGTCCTGCTCGAGCTCTCTGCGGTGCAACTCTGCATGAAAATCCAAGTCAGCTGAGATATAAACAAGCCAAATCAGAGTCAAGTGATTGTATAAGAGCCCATATACATCCGACTGTGTGACAGAAGGAGAAACGGCATCGTTCATCTACGAATTTCCTCGTCTCCTTCATGATGAAATCACCATCGGGAGGTCTCTCGCTGAGCCCAAAGTAGCTTTCGTTGAACAGAAGCTGAAGGGCTTACCCGGTGTCATCACCCGAAATCGATCACCCGGAGTCCGGGATTGGAGCTGTTCTGTGTCAGGGTCACCTCTGACTCATTACGATGTTGAGTCGCAGTTTTCCATACTGCATGGAAGAATAGATACGCACAGGGAGGTCGAGGTCGATCTTGAAGGGCAATTGAAGGGCATAATGAGACCCATAACTTTTAGTCTTGATAATCCAGCCAGCATAGCTTTAACGAATATCTCGTCGTTGTATGGCGTGCGAAGACGCATTTTCCAACCAGCGAAACATCACCGGCTTGCCAAGTCTTCATGAATGTGAGTAGATTGTTGGCATCCTGAAGCAGAGAAGGCCGTCCTCCGTTCATGACAGAGGAAGTACTCAAGGAGGAATAACGCCCATCCTTCAAGTATCTGTGCTGACGGGCCACCGTCAGCGAGAAGTCACTTTAGTTACTGGCTCGGTGAAGGAAATAACCGACAACGAACCGTCGCTCATACACCCACGCGCTGTGCGCGCGCCAAAGACCGAGTACCCACCTGAGACTCTTTGGCATGACGGTCGCTGTAGAAGTTCTGCTAGTGTAACAACACGGCCTTCAGGCCCTCGATAAAGCTTATGAGCGGGGATGGTGAGTAGACAACCAAGATCTGGAGCAGAATTGCGACTTACTTCGGGATGGATCGGCGGTGTGACAAATGATGGGCGTCTATCATCATCGGCGCTTAGAGTGCCCGAGTACGATGTCGAGCTGGGCAACGCTTGAGAACTGTTCACCTCATCGACCATGCCTCGGTCCGCCATCGTCCCACTTCTGTCGTCCTGCTGCGCTATGTAAGACTCCGACCATCTGCATCTGCATCTCCTGATATCAGAGAGCGCTCCCCCGCAATCGAGGTCTCTCTGGGCCGTTCCCTAAATATCTCCCATCCTATGCGATTCGCTGCAAGACGTCTCCACCTCTCTATCTGACGTGGATACCACCAACGTGGGAGTTGAGATGACGTGACGCGGACAAGGACAGCGGTGAGCAGTCCTTCCGTCAGCACGGGGCGCTCGCGTGAGGACAATGGAATCCCCCCAAGGCAGACAATTGGCGTCGGTTGCAGTCGCCCAGGCCTGGCCTTGTTGTTGACCTGACGCTCGTCCGCGCCTTCGCTAAGCAACACGACATATAGAGCATGCTGCACTCGAGCGTATTCTTACCCCATCTCCCTCGACTCCATTCCGTCTTCTGTCCAGGCTTGTTCGCGCCCTCCGGCGGACGTCCCGTCTTTTCTCCATCCGCTCTCCCATTCTCCCTCCACTCCCCGCTTCCCTTCGTTTATCTCCGTCTCCTCCGACATCGACTACGATGCCTTTTCGCTCCCGTCGTTCTAGCGTGCTCTCGCCTGGCGCAAGGGTCCCTTCTGCCGCTTACGAAACCCCGGGCTTCCGCACCCACCACCCCTCCCCCAGCGGCGCCTCATCCTCATTTGCGTGGCCTCGGAAGAAGTCCATGGGCAGGAGGTCGATGTGGGGGCAGAGCGACGACTCTCTGGTGTGTTCCTCTGCATCCCCACCATCACATCCTCTGGCTAATGTGCTTCTCCTGGCAGGCGACGCGCTACACCGAGTCGGTTCGCCCCAAGAACGGCTCCACCGCGAACATCGAGCCCATATCAGACAACACCCTTTTTATCAGCCTCAACCTGTCCTCTCCTTTCCTCGGCGACGACCGTCGGAATCATACATGCCCCATCCTCGGCGTGCTTCCTGATCCGGAACACAAAAGCGTGCAGTACGGCATCACCCCGTCAGTCACGCGCTACGAGGACATGAAGTTCAAGACCGTGCGTGAAGCCGTCGACTTCTTCCACCAAATTCTCCAGGGGCTGGAGTTCATGCACGAAAACTACGTCGCGCACCGGTATGTCCTTCTACCCTTGTTTCGCGCATACACCCATCTAAGAGGTGCGTTTTCCAGTGATTGTTCCTCCAACAACATCGCGATGCTCGAGGGATCAAACCCGCCTGAATACTACCTCACCATTTCCCCCGCCTCGCGCCAATACCGCGCCGACGGTGGTCGTCCAGTCGCAATGCCCTTCTGGGGCAACGACAAGTCCGTGCCGGAGTTCCAACGCTCCCCCACCGATCCTCATGACCCATTCCGTGCCGACGTCTACACGCTCGGTAACATGATCCGCAAAGACTTCGTCGAGGTAAGCGCCTCCTCTATTCCCTCTCCTGTTCATTTCTCCAGTTCGCCTAGCTAACTGTTCGTTCCGTCCTTAGGTCTACTCAAACCTTTCATTCATGGAGCCCCTCGTCACCGAGATGATCTCTCCCGACCCTGCGCGGCGCCCGATGATGGACGAGGTCATCGATCGCTTCACTGAAGACGCCCTCCGGCTCTCCGACCGCGCGTTCCGCCAGCCTCTCCGCCGGCGTTGGAGGCACCGGTTCCCGCTCCTGTTTCGCGACCAGCGCGAGCACTAGTCGCTGTGCCGTATTTTATCTGTTTGACTGGTTTCGTTACGACCCGTGCCTGCTGCTGTGCACATGTCACCACGCTCACTATCTACATCGAATGTAATTCTCCACCTCGCGACTAGGTAGCTCACTGTTGTATTTTCTAGCATTGTATCGTTGTTCTTGTTCTATACTAGAATGCACAGGATGCTTTTTGATGTGTACATCGATCGCCGTGTGGCGTGCAATCTCTGACCCAGGGAAGATGGAGTTAACGATATACGATGCGATCCAGGCAATCTACAACTAATCTAGCAACATCATATCTTTGCCTTCTTCCCTTTCCCGTCCTTCTCCTCCTCGCGACTGCGCTTCTTTGTAGTGCGTTTGGAGAAGCTCTCCAACTGCAATCGCAACTGCTCAATCGCCCCCCGCAATATCCTCTTCTCGCCAAGGCGCACGATAACGGCGTTCTTTTTGTTCACAGACAGCTGGTTTACACTCCTGGGCTCGAGTAGCTGCTCATCCTCCTATGTCGAACAGCTAACGTGAGGCATTCAGGCTGAACAGCAACAAACGCGGCCACGTACCTCTATGCTTGTCGCGTACTCCTCCATTCGCATTTCAAGAGCCTCAATAGCAATTACGATCGACTCCTTGTCAGCCTTCGGTTTCGGCAGCTTGCTTTTCCCGAAACCTTCATCCACTCGTCTTTCGGAAGCAAGAGGAGGCGCTCGAAGGACACGAATTCGTCCGGGAGCTGGCAGCCTGTACGAAGCACGAACACACTACGCGCGCTCATTATGAGACGGACGAACGGGCATGGAGACTTGGCGACTCACTCGTCGTCGGCTTCCTCTAGCCACCAGTCCACTCGTTCTTGCAGGTTGTGTTTGACCCTTTTCGACGCGATCTTCACCACTAGGTCGGCGCGGACCTCAACTACGTCTTCAGGGTTTCCGACGCCCTTGAGTGGCGGACGAAGGGGTACGAGGTCGACGTGGCCATATCGGCGGAGGAGGTCTGAATTTGGTGGGTCGCCATATGTGTTCCACTGGGTTGGGGTCAGCCAGTGTGGCGGTCATAACCCACAAAGTGTGGAGCCTCACTATCTGTTCTCCGATCTTGATGGGTCTTGTGGACATCATCTTCAACTCATGCTCCTCGTAGAAAAGCTTCGCCTGCACAAAGGAGTCAGCATACACGGAGCAGACAAGTGGATACGGGCCTACGTTTTCCGACTCGAATCGCGCGTTGAGCATGTCCGCTATGGGGACCATCGCGACGTCAGCAGGGTCCTCCCGGTCTTCATCGTCGGAGTCTTCGTCGAATCCCTCGACGTGGACCTCCTCCGCGTCTGGTTCTTCTCGTTCGGCGTCGATCTCCGGTGGCGGAGGCTGGGGCGCAGACTCAGTCGCCTCGGGTACGTCGATGTCCATGGCGCTATCGTTTCCGGGCTCTTTTGCGGCATCGTCGTCGTTGTCATCTTCTTCGCCGTGCTCGCGTTTCCACTTCTCGACATGGAAACTGCGCGAGAGGATGCGGCTACCGTTTAGGTGATACCGCTCGGGCGTGAAGTACTGGGGAATGAGTTGCTCAGGGAACAAGTCGAGGCGACTCTATGCAACGCGCGGGTCAGCAGAGCCATCGAGAACGCATGCGAAAGAGAATGAGACGTGCCTTTATCGCAGGCACTAGTTTCTCGTGGTAGTCCCGCTCAGCTTCACCCCTGCCTATTTTGTCTATAGGACCGCCGGGTGAGGCCCCCGGACGAGCGGAAAAGAGAGGAAGACAGACCTACCACAGCAGTGCCTTGCAGCTCCTTCAGGTCTTCCTCCGGCCAGAACATGGGCGTGTCAAACGTCTGGGGCAACGCGGCTGCGGGACAGGATGTCTGAACGTGGGGACGATGTGGGTGCGCACGAGGGACGAGACGGACGTACCAAGGTACCCAGACCATTTGGACTCCGCGCTGCGCGACTCCTCCCACATCATGCAAAGAATGAGTCCGGCCCAGCCTTCGTGCAGTCCATGCGCTTTCCACGCGTCGCCCATGAGCAAAGGGAGTGTGGAAGTTCGTGTCGAGAGCGTCAGATCACGGGGGAAGCTGAACAGTACGTGATCCTCCTGGATCAGGGTTCAGGAGAGACCGAAGGCTGGCCAGGATTGACCGCACGTACCGGGATGTTTTTCAGGGCGATCGCGCCGCGTCCTTGGCCGCGAAAAGTTACGATGCCCATACTCTCTGAGTCAAGCGTGCCATTTTGAGATTGGAACCAGGCAACCAATTCACTTGCTCCAAGGCTTTCCATGGCGAGAGAAGAAGGACGTCCAAAGCCAAGACGACTCCCGAGTATGGAGGTAGAGTTCAGGCGGCCCGGTTATCCCGTGCGCAACTTTTCACGTAGCCACGGCTGGACCTGAGCCCACGATGAACAGAAAACTGTCACTTGTTGATTTGCGCAAGAGGAGAAACGTTGAGGCCTTGGGGTTTCAAGCCCAGTGTTCGACGTGAAAATAGAACATATATTCGCGTCATGCATAGATACCGAACCAATTTTCCCCCGCCGTCCCAATCACACCAACAAACAAGCTTCAACTCACGACCACCACTCAGCCATACATATCGCACCCGTAACCAAAAACCTTGAAACAGAGAAGTCAAGTCAACCGAAGTTGTCCCACTAGTCCTCTAGCGATATCGTCCGAGGCCCTTAAGAGGGAGGGCTACAGAAACTCCCATCAGCAGGCTTGTGAAAGACAGAGACGAAAAGTCTTACACGGGGCTGACCGAGGTAGCGGCACCAGGTGCGGTGTCGAGAGCCGGGAACGGCATCGCCTCGCACGCGTGGTGGATGTCGTTGAGGGTCTTACCGGCGGGGAGCATCGGGGGTGGGAGCTTGCCGAGGACGGGACGGGGATGACGTTGGAGCAGTCCGTGAGCGTCGAGCGGTCCTGGCCGAGGGTAGCGAGCTTCGCCATCACGTTCGTGAACGACGACACCATGAGGTCGTGATCCGTGATGAATGCCTGCCAGTGGCACGCGGAGCGGGAGTCGCGGGCGATATTGTTGTCCGAGAAGAGGCGGAACTCGCCCTCGAGCGCGGACTTGGACTCGCCGACGTTGGAGCCATTTCCGGGGAAGAGGGTGCCCTTGAGGAGGGTCTCGACGAAGAACTGGGTGTCGAACGCGCTCGGGGTCGAGTCGAACGGCGTCCCCGGGATCGATGCGTCGACGTGGTCCTGGGCGGCGACAGAGTGCGAGGCGAGGAGCGCGACCAGCTCCGCGGGGGAGAAGCCGGCGTCGGCCATGCGCGCGAAGATCTTGTCATTGGAGTCGGACGGCTCGGGGACGAGCAAATCCGGCGACGGCTCAGAGACATTGGAGCGACCAGCCAGGAACTGGAGGCGGGGGCCTCCGGCGCAGTTCGAGACCCCAACGGCGCCGGCGAACTGGATGAAGTCGCCGAAGGACACGTTGTGCTTGAGCGCGAAGGGGCGCTGGGTCTCAACGATGTCGTCGATACCGCCGTTGGCGTCTGGAGAGCCCTGTGTCAGTCCAAGGCCAAGTTTTCCAAGAGCATGCGGATGGGGCTCACGGAAGTTGGTCTCGATGTCTGAGAACGCCATGATGGAGCCATCTGAGCGGAGAGAAGTGTTCATATACCTGGAATGAAGTGAAGACGACACGTGCTTACCAGCGCCTCCACCACCAAACTTGCCTTCAGCGAAGAGCTTGGGAGAGAAGCCGATGGCATCGTGGAAGGTAAGCTGGGGAAGAACGTGAACTTCGGTATCAGAACTATTTCAAAGACGAGTAAACTTACACGGAGAGACTCGTGGACTTCCTCGCCACACTCGCCACCGTCGAACCTAGATGGAATTGAGCATGCTGGCCACATTGGACAAGCTTCAACGTACAAGTTCGCCTGAATGTCGTCCAAGACGTTGAACCAGACCGCGCAGGGGCCGCTGGCAGCGCTTGGAGCAGCGCGAGCAGCGACAGCCAGAGTAGCAAGAGCGATGATTGCCTTGGAGAACATTTTTACAATGTTTTGAGGAGGTGGGAGTATGAGAGAGTTGAGAAGGTAGAGCAGAGTGTAGAAGTTGACTGAGGGGAAACTGCGAGGAGCGAGTGCTGAGGACTAGGTGTGGCCCAGAGGCAGAATATATACCGCTCCCTAGGTGAGATATTTTGGGGGAGGACGCCTGCATCCACATTTGCCCAGCACGGGGTCGCAGGTCTGTGAATACGACTTGCACGACGGGCCCGCGTAGAGACCTCGGGAGTACAGGGTACCGCGGTCCGGCAACACGGAGGGAATCTCTAGCGGAGAATGCGTCTTCAGGTAATCAAGGATGTAGACACCTTCATGAATAGTACGGCATGCGCAAGCACGGCCGTCCTGGGAGATGCTATCTTCTGAGGATGGGTCAACCGAGGGGTTGGTAATAGTAGATGAAATGCGGCTTCGGCTTAAGTTAAGTGCGCACGAAGGCGGACCTCGCACGAAGCGGACGTCCGGTCTGAGCGAGTCGCCGTTGGCTGATATTTCACTGTGACCCGTAAATAAGTGTGCCTCGAGCTTGATTGACCAACTTACTGGAGCGTCAAAAGTCACTTTACCAGTGCGGCTACGATGCCTCTCAAGGGGAAGTACAAGAGCAGGCGACAAGAGGTTTCTTCAAGGTTGACCGCTTTGACTCTTTGAGCGATGTACTTAGTGTTGATCCGCGTGTATGCGCCTTCCGCGTGTGAGAAGGTACCACATTGCTGGATGAGACCGCATCGGCTGCTCATGCTCGGCTTGTCTGACCGGGGAGGCGAGAGACGGAGCCCGGTCTCCCGGGAGAGTTGCGACAACTTTTGTGTGCGAATGCTGTCGGCTGTAAAAGTACTTGATCCGACCTCTGAGAGTCCCAGACGACTCGGTTTGTGCCATCAGTATCTTTCCATGGATGCTGGATTTATATCGAGCGGCTTGAAAAATATGAAGAAGCCAGCAAGTGCCGTGGACCGCGGAGAAGAATAAGTCAGCAGGCTCTTGGAAGTTCGAATTCGGCAGAGTGTCAAGTGAGAGAAAAGCTCATCTGTATTTAAGCGCCTAGGGAGCAGAAGTTCACCCAAAAAGGCAGTCTGAACTTGGGCTGTTCCCTTTTATTTCTCTTCCTAACTTCAAGTTCTTGACCGTGCTTGATCTCCAGTGTCCCTGGACAGAGTCTCAGGTGCGTGGATCAACTGTGGCAGGGGCACCATACTGACAGGTTCGTGTGTGCTTGACAACCAGGACGCCATGTCTCCACCAAAGCATGCGCAATGCCAGGTGTGCGACACCCAGCCCTCCAAATACACATGCCCCGCCTGTGCAATCGTCTAGTACCTGAGACTCATCACCAACCTCAAACCTGGAGTTCTGACCGTTCCTCGTTCCTAGCTGCTCTCTGCCGTGCTACAAAAATCACAAAGGTCCGCTCGCGTCCGTTCTTCGTGGGCACTGCTCTCACAGAAATCTTCTAGAGACATGTGGAGTGGTCAATGCACCAGCGGGACCGACTTCATCGACGGAGAATTCTGCACAGGGTGAGCAAAACGGTCAGATGGCTCAGAGTAGACGCTTGTAGCTCGGGGTCTACTGACTAACAGCCCCGTATCGTACGCTCAGAATCCCCCATGATGCCTGGAACCTCTGACGATCCAGTCCTCGAAGATCCACAACCTCCAATGCGCACATTGGCGTCTTTAAACTGGCCTTATATACCGGATGAATCCGCCTTCCCCGATCCTCTCAAGCGCGACGACCCGAAGCCTCTCCAGTTGCCGCAATACGAAGCGATAGGTCAGTATGCGCATTCGTTCTTCGTGGCGCTGCTGACATTCGGTCCGCAGCCACTTCTTCATCTGTCCGACATGTCATCGGCTCCAACCCTCGGCTTCGAGACATCCTGACGTCCGTCGACGCGCTCCGAGGCGAGGCACGAGAGGTGGCTTTGCAAGAAGCTCTCGGCGTTGGAGGATCAAGATCGCATGCCCTTGCATCTCTTGGCCATGCCTCGGATGAAGATAGAGAGACTCTGAGACGACTCGCAGAGGCCATCGAGACCGCAGTCAGAGGAGGCAAGCAAGATATGTTGGGTCTTGACTGGGGAGACTGAACCAAAGTAGCGTGATATGCGTTACATATGTAGTATAACGGGATACAGAAAGCATGGACAAATGATAGATCGACACAGCAAAGATAACAGAACTTAGTCCATCTCCTCATCGGAGTCCGATATAGTCTCTTTTGATTTGCTGCAAGAAGATGGCGACTCAGTGACAGACAATCGCCACCACAAAATTGAGGACTCACTACTGCTTCTTCCGCGGAGCGGAGACAGCCACCGCCTCGTCGTCGTCGTCATCCCGTACCGCACGTTTCTGCCCCCGAGCCCGCGGCTACAGCAACCAGATTCGAGTGAGTCCAACACCCGGAGCACAAAACGCGACTGGCGCACCTTCTTCGGCTTCTGCTCGCTGTCACTGAACAGAGCCTCGTCCTCATCCTCCGCGCCCGACTCGGTGTTCCGTTTGAGCTTGCCCCCGCGGCGCTTCTTCGGCTTGGGCTCCCCACCGCCATTCGCGCCCTCATCGCCGCTCAGGTTCGGCTCGCGCTTCGGGCGCTTCTTCTTCACCTTCTCGCGCTCCTCTTCGCTCTCCATCTGGCGCACCTCACGCGTCCACTTTTGCGCCTCCTCGCGCGCGATACGCCGCTCCTCCGCGAGCTTTTCGTTCTGCACGCGTAGCCGTTCGCGTTCCTCGCGCTAAGAGGGACGAAAAAAAACACAAGAGAAGCGTGTGAGTGAAGAGCAGAAAAGTGCCCATTGGACAGCGGCGCACCTCTGCTGCGTCGACGCGCTCCCGCTCTTCCTGTCGCCGCTGGCGCGCAGCCTCAATCTTCTTCTGCGCCTCCTCCTCGTACTGACGCTGGGTCGTAAGCTCTCCTTCGCAGCGTCGCAACATGCTTTCGCCATACTTGCGACGCTGGTCGGCAAGCTCACGGTTGTACGGCACAACGGGGGCCGGATCAGCAGCCAGGGATGCGAACAGTCTGCGGGGTCAAATTCAGTGACAGCATTGTAAGATGCGTAAGATTGACGCACTTCTGTGCGTGGCCAGCCTGCTCGATGGCGCGCTGGAGATCTTTGAGTGACCGCTTCGCGGAAGGGATCGCGATCATGATTTCCGCGGCCTTCTGCTGGATCATGGCAATGTTGTATAGAATAGCCTTGTCGTGCGGTTGCAAGTGCAGCGCCTGATCGTGGACATCAGCTCCACGTCAGGCCACTCGGCTTCCTACGTCCGCACCTTTTGAGCGTACTGCAACGCTGTTGACATCGCGCTGAACGATTGATCTTTGGCACCTTTAGCGTTCCATGTTCGGCAGAGACAGAGCAAAACGGAGACATCTTGGCCCTTGAAGAACCGCTTCGACGCCGTTTCGTACTGTACGATGAAGGTCAGCGACGATCACTCGCAGTTCACAGAAGACTTACGCTCTCGATCGCCCTGTCATACTCGCCCCTCGCAAAGTAACAGTGACCCATGTTCGCATGGACACTGCCGTCGTTGATAGACTCGCGAACTTTGGCGAATATGTCCAAAGCTTCGCGTGTGTTCTTCGCCCGCTTCTGTGCTTCGTCGGGCGCAATGGGACCGAGGGCACCGCCAAGAGTTCCCAAGGCATCTTCAGCTACGACAATGGCTAGACCTTGCGCAGCGACCGCACAAAGGGGATCGATTTGGAGGGCCTTCTCATAGAACTCGGCGGAGCGCTGGAAGCCACGACGGCGTTCTTTGATGGCTTCCGGCGACGACTCGCGGAGCTCGCGCGCCTGATAGTATTGAATCCAACCCGCAGCGCAGAGGGAGTAGACGTCGTACTTGTCGAAGTCGCGGAGGGTGAAGAACACGAAGTCCTTGGCGAATTTGGTCATGTTGGACTGCATGAGGAAATATGTGTAGTATGCACGGAGGTTCAGGTTGTCAGGTTGTGAGGCCAGCGCTTGCTTCAACAACTCGTGGGCGTCGTTGTATTGGCTGATACCGGCGAGCATGTGTGCTTGCCGCACTTTGCCTAGATCGAAGATCAGGCGAGGTTCCATCCGTAGCGTGAGCAACGTACCATCGACGTACTCCGGATGTCTAGCGAGAAGCTTCTCATAGGCATCCCTTGCTTTCGCATCCTCTCCCTGATCCTCGTATACCCGAGCGAGATTGTACAATATCGATGTCGACATGGCCTCAGCGACTGACTGATCCAGGCCTGCCGCTTGAGTGACTGCGGTCTCGTACATTGTCCTCGCTTCGTCTAAATGCCCAGCGAGATGCTGAAGAGCGCCGAGGTTGTTGACGAGCCGTGGTTCTGTCTTGCCGGCCGCCTCACAACTTGTCAGTGCTTGCTTGTATGCGCGTTCCATCCGGTCATGGCTATCTTCTCGATAGAGTTTGGCGATCTCGATGAACATGTCGGAATCTTCCGCAAGCTTGCGTGATGAAGAGCTGGGGGCTGATGAGTGACCGTTCATCTGACCGGTGGCGGTGATCCCGATGGCTTTGCATACACGGTCAAACAAGTCACGCGCCCGTGTCTTTTCGTCTGTCTTCTCAGCTTCTGTCATGCCTGGACGAGAGTGGGCGCGTATTGAGGCGAGCATAGCGGTCAGTTGGACGGAGTCCGGATTTGAGGGCGACTGTAGGAAGGTATCGAGAGTATGGATAGCACCGGCCATTTCGTCTGTATGAGGGTTAGAACTGGTTGCATGCTATAACCAGGGGAAAATGCACCGTTCTTCAACTGCAGCTGGGCGACCCCGATCGTGGCCAGCACGCTATCTGGTCTAGCGTCTTTCGCCTTGTTAAAATGCGTGCCAGCTTCTTGCAGTGAACCTTGACGATGGCACACCCGTCCTGCCCGGATGTACCCATCGCAGAGGATGCCCTTAACGTCGGCAAATTGGATAGTACGTTCCGCCAGTTTGAGAGCCTTCCAACAATTCCGGGTTAGTAGAATACAATAACTCAAAGTAACACGCTCACTCGTCTGGTATCACCTTTCTGCAGGAAGAGCTCGCATAGCGCGTTGGCTGCCGCAGAGTTCCGTTGGTTGGCATTGAATGCGCGCTCAATGAGACGCGTCCCAACGAGGAACTCCTCGCGTCGTTCTTCCTCCGACTGATTGTCGTCCTTACTTGCATTGATCGCTTCCAGACCCAGCAGTAGCTGTGCTGACCATTCTCCGGGGTTCTGTTCTTGACATTAAACCACGCGAAAGACGTTTCACATAGGCACTGACCACTTCCACACTGCGCTGCCAAGCTGCCTTGGCCTTCGCTTTGTGGCCCATCGACCAGAAGCACAACCCAATACCTATTCTCGGATCGGGGAGACAGTCCGGGTTCAACTGCAATACACGCTGGAACAGCTTGAGGGACTGGGGGTACTGTCTTCGCGCGTACGCAATCTTGGCCTGCTCAGAGAGTTGGTTCATGGGGAGGCTATCACCAAGTATGGGACGCACCTTGCCGAGCAACGCAACCACATTGGTTGGTTTCTCGGCGAGCACTGAATCGAATGTCCTTGCAGCATCATCCCATTGCCCCGAGCTAAGCTGCAATATTCCTGGGGTAGGAAAATGAGAGCCGTCTTGACACGCAAGACTGATGCCCATACCTCGAGTGAGCACAGACAACATCATCTGAGACTCGCCAGACTCTGCAGTAGCTCGCTCTCCCGTGTTGAAAAGCTGGGCAGCCTCCTTGTTGTACTCGTCTCGCGGCTTCTCCGTCGTCATGTTGTCTTGCGCTGAAAGGACCATTACAAGATGTCGGAATCAGATCAGAATGTTACGTACCAGCATAGGTGAGAATGAGTTTGGGGGCCTTGGAAGCTCGGGCGATTTGGAGGTTTGCGAGGAAGGAGTAGACCGGAGCTATTGACCCGGTAGTCTCGTTGGGTTGCAGAACTGCCGCGCACTGTCGGAATATATTTCACGTAGAGTCGGCAGCATACATACCGTCAAGCGCAGTACGAGCAATCTTCTCCGCAGCTTCCAGGAGTCCTCTCCGCCAGTACTCCGCCGCGAGTCTTGTCCATATCCACACTTTGCATTGCCCCTCCCGCAATACCTCGACCAAGTCGTCCGGGTTGGGATCAAGGCTGTCGAGTTCTATCGTGATGATTTCTTGGCCTCCAAGTTCGATGTCGATAGTGCGTCCCGGTGGCGGAGGAGAGTCAGCATCCTCCATGACGTTGTAAGCCGGATAGTAGGGCACCAGCTAGAGGGTGACGAGGACAAGCGACGGCGCCTGAGATACTAGAGAATGAACAGGAGTCCTACAGAGGAGACGCGGACGGGCGCGGGGAGTGCGCGGCGTCGCCCAGGGTGCCGTTGCGCGAGCGGGAAGCGGGAAGCTGCAGCGGGCGTGAGGTCACGAGCGTCAATCCCACGTGAGGGGGAAGACGCGTTATTTGACGGTGTTTGCCGCACCGTCGGCGCCAGAGGACCACGCCCCGCCGTCGACGCCGCCGACAACGACGACGACACCCACTTCCTTCCTCCTGTACCCCCTGAGATTCGCCTCGGCATATACGCCCGAGACCCCGCCCTCGAACAAGGCTCCTCAAGACCTCGCACTGGTCCAAAGTACCGGACTAATACCTCGACGTCGTCGCGCATCGTCGAGGCCACATCGCACCATCGTCATCACCAGCATTCGCATTCCCTCCGGGTTCAAGGGCTCAGTATTGTTTGGGCAGGACCCTTGCAACCTTGAGGAACCGCTTTTGCGGGATTCCTCCCCGGAATTCCTCATATCGAACCGCTCCAAAGGACAGGACCTGGGGCGACCAATTCTCAGCCAAATTGGCCGATACTTTCGCAGACGATGACGGTTACACACCGGAAGAGGCAGTATCAGCCGGAGGAAATTCAGAGTACGTGGTGGTCAATCGCTTGCCCTGTCTGTGGCCATACCATCCTCCTGTTTCGGGGTTCTCACGCATCCCTCCCTTGCTTATGTAATTTAGCCGTGAGCGAGCCTGGCCTCCAGATCGAATGCGACTCCTGCGCCTGCGACCTCACCCACTCCATCCGTATCAAGTGCGCAGATTCCACCTGCCAAGAGGGAGATGGCGTCGATATCTGTCCCTCGTGTTTCTGCAGTGGCAAGGAGTTCGCCTCTCACAAACGGGGCCATGCATACCGTGTGGTGGTCAGTGCACCTGGTTCGAAGTATGATATCGCTAACTCACCGGATCTTCTACAGGAACTTTACTCAAATCCAATATTCACAGAGGACTGGGGTGCAGATGAGTGAGTTGCCACTTTGATTACGCCCTCGACATCCTTGTTGCATGCAATGGGGGCGGGCGGGGCTGGTCCTCTTACCCCAGGACCACTTCGTTTCCCGCGTTTCTTATTCTTGGGTACGACGTTTGTGAATTACTTGCTGACACACGCCAGGGAGTTGTTGCTACTTGAAGGGATTTCGCTGCAGGGATTGGGCAACTGGCAAGCGATATCCGAACACGTGGGAACACGGACCAAGGAGGAGGTAGAAAACCATTACCTGGACGTCTACATCAACTCCCCCGACTGGCCCATGCCTGTGCGCTTATTCCCCTTTCATGCCATCATCCCCCCGCTTACGCACCTTGCCCCTCCCTTAGAGAATGGACGCGACTTCGACATCGATCCCGCGGAATTCAAGGAGCGGAAACGAAGGCGAATATCTGCGATGACGACCAGTGCTCCTCCCCCGCACAAGGTCGCGCCTGTGTCGGCCCCTGCAATTCACGAGGTCGCTGGTTTCCTGCCTGGCCGTCTTGAGTTCGAGCACGAGTTGGATAACGAAGCTGAAGACGTTGTCAAGGACCTGGAGTTCGGCATATGTCTGGAGTGGGGCGGCGATGAGATGCCGGAGGATGAGAACGATGCCGACGTGAAGGCGAGGGCGAAGTATACTGAGGAGATGAAGGCCAAGGAAGCGTTGTCGGGAAAGCGATTGCCTAACGGGATGATGAACGGCGTCGTAAACGGGTATCACTCAAACGGCAACACCCCGCGCGACACGAGCTTGAAGCCGGAAGACGAAAAGAAGAGTGACCAGGACGAGGATGCGGAAGAGCAGACGCAACCACCCCCCTTCGAGACGAAGGAGTCACTCCAATTCAAGCTTTCCCTACTCGAGTCTTACTACCAGCGCCTGGAGAAGCGACAGGAACAGAAAGAAGTGATGTTCGATCGCGGCCTTCTTCATTACAAGCAGGTGCGTGGTCGATCGCCGCTCTCCCCTTGACGCCCTTTTCACCGTGCTCCGCTCCCCCAGATGCAAATGACAGAGAAAAAGCGAGCAAAGGAAGAGAAAGACATCATCCATCGCCTTCGTCCATTCGCCCGCTTGCAGACGGCCGAAGACTTTGAGAACTTCCAAGCAGACATCCTCTGTGCGTCCCGTGAGCCGTCCATGCCCCTGGCCCTATCTGACACGTGAGTTGCATCTCCCCGCCATGCAGACGAACACATGCTCCGGAAACGCATTCAAGAGCTGCAGCATTATCGCCGCATGGGTCTCCGCACACAGGCAGACATCGAGAAATATGAGGCGGACGTCGTAAAGAGGGTGAGTTCTCCGTCCGGCCTCGCGCCGCAGCAATCTCACATGCCTTCCCCATGCAGGCGAGCGTCAAGGCAAATATGTCGACCCGTGATCTCTACGCCGATCGCCGTCTGAACGGAGGCCGCGCATCCTCGGGGCCCGATCCACGACGCGGGAGCATGGACGGCGACGACCGCGAGGCAACACCGAAGCCCGGCGCCTCCGCGTCTGCCACGGGTCCTCCCGCGCGCAAAATGCGTATGTCCCACCCTTCCTCTAGCCTGATTACCCGTCACTCACCCGCTCCTTTTGCTCACAGCCGCGCCTCTCAACCTCGCGAACTCGCCCGCGCTGCACTTGCTCACGCCCGAGGAGCAGACCCTCTGCTCCCAGCTCCGGATCCTGCCCAAGCCATACCTCGTCATCAAAGAAACTCTCGTGCGCGAGTACGCTCGACGTGGGGGGAAGCTCCGGCGGCGCGAGGCGCGCGATCTCGTCAAGATCGATGTGAACAAGACCAGCCGTGTGTGGGACTTCCTCGTCCAGGCCGGCTTTCTCAAGTCGGCAACACGGACGTGCAGGCGACCGCCGCCGCCGCCGCTTCGGCGACGGGTAAGTCTTTCAGGCCGAGCGCTGAGTGCGGTCCGGCGAGAGTGCTGACGACCGCGATCCGTCAGAAGGCCATCCGCGCCGCCAACGCTGAGCGCGTCGCCGAGCAAGGACTCGATGGCGCGAGTGTCCCCACGGCCGCCGCCGTTCACGAACGTCCCGCTAGGATCTGTCCCACCAGGGTCGGGCTCGTAGGTTCGCCGTCGGGCTCCGTGTGTCCCATTTGCCCTGCGAACGCTGCATCACCCGTACTATACATACCACATGTTGTCTTCATTGCTATCGTGCTGTTCATTATACGCCCCTGTAGTCTATCGCATCTGTACATTATTCATACGAGTCCTTGTTCTCTCTGCGGGTAACAAGGAGCAGTGCAACGAGTAGAGTGGTCATCTACAAGACGAATTCAAACGCTTCCGGTGAGCATGCGATCGATGATGCCCATGTCTATGGGAATTTTGGCTTTGGCGAGATACTCGTCGTTCCTGTGAAAATGGTGAACAAGGATGGAGGACGGTTATGGGAGACGACTCACCAGAATTTGGAGTAATGTCGGCATCCGGAGTCGCAGAGTATCGTGACGATTCTTTCTCCGCTCTTCCATTTAAGCTTCTTGACCAGTCTGATACACGCGACCAGGTTGCAGGCACTGCTGGATCCTAAGAACAGCCCATCGTGGTGCACTAGATAGCGCGACATCGCGACAGCCTCCTCGTCGGTGACTCTGTCCACATTTCCGAGTCAACGCAGAACAACAAGAAACCACAGACCACCCACCGGAAGGCGTCATCAATGATAGGCAGCGCAAGCTCGAAGTTGTGCGTGAGCCTATTGATCCCTCTATGAAGGTGCACGTCAAGCACCGTCAACGCCTGTCCTCGGGGAGAGCGGGAATGACCACCCACATGCCCTCGACGACCGTGTCGACTGATGGCGCCTCTTCGTCCCCTCCGCTCTTTCCGGTCGAACATGACCCCGTACTTGACCTTGTTGTACAACCCGCTGCCCTCCGGGTCGCTCATCGCTACTAGAATGTCCCGCTTCTTCGCCTTCAAGAACTGACCGGTCCCGCGAGCGTCCCGCCCGTCCCCGCGCCCGAGACGAACGCGTCAACGGCGCCGCTCGTCTGCCGCCAGATCTCAGGCCCAGTGCCGTCGTAGTGCGCGTAGTAGTTGCTCCGGTTCTGCCGGGGAGCCGTGCTCAGCCCGTCTGCGTCCACACGGACGCCGATGGGGAAGGGGACAAGCGCACCTCGAACTGGTCCGCGAAGAACCCGCGCGGCTTCGTCGCGGACTCGCGCTCCTCCTTGGAATTTGTGAGCTTGTCGTCAGCGAGCGCGCCGTCTGCAGTCGTGGTGACAACCACGGACGCAGATGCGGTCTGGAGGAGGTGCCCCGGCGGGACGAAGCTGGTTGGTCGGGATCTGCTCCGAACATGCTCGCGCGGTCGCGCGCGAGGTTCTAGGACAGGTGAGCTTCGGCCCAGGTTACGGGTGCGGCGGACGTACAACAAACTGTGAATGTGTGTTAGGTAACATCAACCGATCCTAGTAGAAGCGCAAGGACATGGTTCACCTGCTTCTTGTCGACGATGCTGGCAGGACGCACACGCTCGACCTCTGCGCCCAACGCGAGTAGCGCCTTCACTTTCTCCTCCGCAACGTCGTCTGGCATGATGATCGCTGGCGCGGGGTCAGTACATGACAAGCAGTTGTGCGCTGCCACATACTACTCTCGTATCCTCTGATAGTGATCAAGTCAGTCAGAGTGTGTGACGGAAAAAGCGAAGCCACTGCTCACTTCGCGCGGGCGATGGTCGCTATCGAGATGCCAGTGGAGCCGACCGTACCCTCAAATATCCTTGAGCTGGTGTGGGGACGTAGCAATCCTTGCTCCTCCGCATCCGTGATCACTGAACCAAGGTAGGTCACGTCAGTATCCAGCTGACGCGACAGCGTACGAGCCCGGATGCACCTCGAAGCGCGACACGGTCTTTCACACTGCCTCCGGGATTCATGAACTAGAAAGGGTGTAAGATTGGCATCAAATTGAGAGAGCCCGATGATGGTACCTCCGCTTTTCCCAGGATTTCGACTCCAAGGGCATTGCTGAGGGAGTTGATCCGGACCAAGGGAGTGTTTCCTGTGAACAAGCAATGAGAAAGTAACAGTACTGATCTGGTGGACTAGAACCCACCAATGAGACCGACAACACCGTCGACGACCTCATCCCTGCGTGGTTCTATGAGGCGAGGGTCGAGCACTGGAGGAGAGGTGTTTTGCTTCTGCCACCGGTTGCAGTGCACCACAGATGAGGCCGTGAGAGACAGTGCAAGTCCGACAACAACACCGTAGAGGAGCTGCCGGTATGTTGACCGGGCAGGTAGCCACTGGACGACGTGGTCTACAACTTGCATGCCTTGTTCATAGACCAAGCTGAAAGTTTAGAGATAGCGACCCAGGCACAAGTTGCGGTCCAAATTGTGCTCAGATCACACCGCACATGCAGAGAGATGGGAAAATGAGGTCATATTATTATAGCCAGCTTGGTATGTACATGGGGTTAGGGTTAGCGGCGCGCAGAAGCCAAAAAAAACGGCCCACCCAGCCCGAGGGCCGAAGAGGGACAGGAAAATATTGAGACGGTGCATGAGCCGAAGCCCATACAAACCGCAGGGCCCCCCTGGGGACAGGGTCGCCGTGCTATGAGAGGCCCCCACGGCCCACAGACCCAGGTACATGAAGGGGCCTGTGCCATCAAGGTAAGTATGAGTTGCTTTGATGCGCGAGTGCAGACTTTATACTCGGCAGCCGCGCGCACGGACCAAGCAAGCTGAGGGCAGGCTGCCTGCACCAGCGCCAGTACAGTGCATGGTGCACGCGCTCGATGTCCGACTGTAACACACTTGTATGTCGTTGTTCTGTCCTTGGCGTCGTCATGCTCGGCTTGCGCAGTGCGGACGGCGGATGGCGCCATGCGATTGCTGCATATCGATGCCATCTCCTGACGGCTCCCCGACCAAACCCCGAGCGGTATCTATGAGTGCCGCAGATTGAGCACGGACTCTCCTCTGCCACTGCCACTTCTCCTGAACCCCCTTCGACGCATCTCCAATGGCCGAAGTCATTGCAATCAAGGAGACTTTCCTCTCCGCGCCCAAGTTCGCCGTTGTTGGAGCGTCCAAGGATCAAACCAAGTTTGGCACGAAGGTGCTCAAATGGTACCAGGCCCGCGACAAGGACGTCACCCCAGTCCATCCTGTGAGAGCAATATCCCAAGTGGGTGGGTGCACCGTCTGATGCGTGTGTCTACAGAAAGAGGATGAATTAGAGGGATTGAAGACCATCCGTTCCCTGAGCGACCTGCCCTCTCCAACGGAGACCTCGATCAGCATCATCACACCAGCCAAGGTTCTTGTGTTCTCTTCCCGCGCGCTCCGTCATTGTGTTAATGCTTTTGTGACAGATTACTTTGGGCATTCTCGAGCAGGCCAAGTCGCTCAACGTCTCTGCTCTGTGGCTCCAGCCCGGTGCCGAGAACGAAGAGGTCATCAATTATATCAACGAGAATGGGCTCGCCAACAAGGTCATCTACGGCGGCCCGTGCATTTTGGTTGACGGCGACGGCGTCTTGAAGAGCCTCCTTTAGACTCCAGGCACGACATGCTGTCGGGCACGGTGTTACAATGTAATTTTAGCAGATTCGGCTTACTCTGCTGTGCTCCGGCGCGCACACTTGTGAGGTACTTTCGTACCTATGATGAACACCGTCTTGGTACAGTATTGGCAGGGATGTTGCTATCGAGCCTTCTTTCCCTCTCACTGTCGTCCAGAACGGTTTCTCATGCTGCTATCTGCAATGGTCATTGCACACCCTCTTGCTCGTGTGCCGCTTGTGATGATGGAGTATACATAATGGGTAGTTGACTCCTTCTATCCAGGTCGAGCGGTTTGGAGCCGCCATCTGCCTGAGGAAGATGTAAAGTCGGGGAATCATGAACCATTCCATACTGAGGTGAGCTCAGCATTGTCATCGCGTTTGACGTAAATCCGGATTCGGTGACGCTCATCTGCATGGGTCCACAAATATACGAACGCCGGACGATATGTGACTGAGATACCACGCATGGAGAGCTGCGGGGGCTTCTCAAAGTGGCTCCCGGAGCGTCTTTACTGCGGAAGAATCTTTGCAACTTAACCTCGTCGGTGTGGGGGCCTCTTCCTTTGACAACTTTCAGTGTGTCGGACATTATATGGACATGGCCTCCTGGCCTCCTCACTGTGACACTGATAGATGCATCGGATGATCGTATCCAAACAACTGTATCTCGCGCGCGATGTCTGTGGGAAGCACGGTGCTCGTCCTGTATCGAGCTATAATGTTGACTGAAAGCGTCTACTTCTCAACACGGGGAGGACCGGCGGTTATGGCTGCGGAATCCTGGCCTCGAGGTGTTAGGCATGCCAACATACGCCCGCTCCCGTGCGCGATTGGAAGCGGCGGCGGCCGAGTATGTAGACATTCGTGGAGCACGGACAGCGCGCTCTGCGCTCCCAAACAGCACCGCAGCGGGTGGGAGTTCACACGGACGTGTCGTGAGATCTGCCAAAGGTGGTTGGACACTGATGCGTGGCTCCTTTCGATGTCAGGTGCTGGAGGTGTGAAAGTGAGAGAAAAACTCAGCGCCTCGTTTCGGTCTGATCGGGGGCGTTGGCATGCAGCCAAGAGATGACCCGGGTTAGTCGAATGAGCTGAACGATGAGACACGAAACGGATGCCTGCAAGGAGAGGACGTCACTGGCAGAGATCAGACGACCGACGGGGCGAATCAGACGAAGGCCGGGGGAGCAAACAAGGGAGGCAAGAGCGCTGGCTGCGGAGAATGTCCGTCCGGTGTCCACGCGCTTAGCCCCGCCTGCTCCGCTCCTCCCTCGCTTCGCTTCGTTCCCCTCCTGTCCTTTCTTCGCGGTTTATATACTTCCCCTCGCTCGCCCAGCGCGCTCTTTCCTCCTTCCGACGGCCATGATCACCTATACCTTCCTCCCGCTCCTTGCCCTTGTCTCTGCTGCCGTCGCAGAACCGCTGCACGTACCCCCGCCCCTCCATGTCCCCATCCGCCGTCGCTCCGCAGGCAGCGCAGCCTCCATCGACCGCTTCGCCGCCCATGCCGACTATGTTCGCAACAAGTATGGTTTTTCCCCCTCGTCTGCCTCCGTGAAGCGTGCTGGCCAGACCGTCGGCTTCTCGATCATCGACCAGGTACGTCCAATACTTTGTCCCGTCTCCGCAGCCTCCTCATTGCCGCACAGCAACAAGACGCGTCCTACCTCGGACAGGTCACTGTCGGCACCCCGCCCCAGTCCTTTAAGGTTGTCCTCGACACCGGCTCTTCCGACTTCTGGCTCGCTTCCAGCGATTGCGTGTCCTGCGGTTCCACCCCGCCCTTCGACCCCAACGCCTCGTCGTCCATCAAAGCGCTCACCAGTGCCTCTGGCAGCACCCAATCCATTCAAATCAGCTATGGCAGTGGACAGGTCGCCGGTATTCTCGCCTCTGACACCGTCTCTATGGCTGGCTTCACCGTCAACCCCCAGACGATGGTCGTCGTCGAGCAGATGACGACTGGCCTCCTATCGGGCGACGTCTCGGGCATCATGGGCCTCGCCTTCCAGTCTCTCGCCTCCACCCGCGCGACCCCTTTCTGGCAGGCCCTTGTGAACGGTGGCCAGTGGGCATCTCCCGAAATGTCGTTTTGGCTCGCCCGTCACATTGACGACAGCCCGACCACGGTAGAGCAGGACGGCGGAGTGATGACGCTTGGCGGCACGAACTCAACGCTCTTTACCGGCGACATCGAGTTCAACTCACTCACCAGCGTGAGCAGCTCACCCACGTTCTGGATGCTGGAGATGACCAGTGCGTTTTTTTCTCTACCCTTCGTGCGCTCGTTGCTATCTTGTCGCCCGTCGGGGCTATGCGCCCCGACTGGTCGTTTGCGTTGTATTTTGGTTTGGTGTTGACATTGCGCAGGCGCTACCGTCAATGGCAAGTCGGTGTCAATACCCACCGGTTCAAACGCTCTCTCTGCCATCGACACCGGCACCACACTCATTGGCGGCCCCTCTGACGCGGTCACGGCCATCTGGCAGACGGTGGACGGCGCGAAGGCACTCACTGGGCAGTTCGAAGGATTCTGGGCGTTCCGTAAGTGCTCATGCCTTGACTCTCCTCGCGCCAGGCTATTTCTGCTCTCCGCAGCCTCCGCGGCCGCATGCCTGTGGCACGATGACTGACGGGCCTCGCCGTTTGTTCACACAGCCTGCAGCACCAGCGTCCAGATTTCGCTCGCTTTTGGCGGGAAGTCGTGGCCCATCAGCGACGCGGACATGAACCTCGGCAGCATCTCCTCGGGGTCGAACCTTTGCCTGGGCGGTATCTTCGACCTCAACCTCGGGTCCAACGTCGGCAGTGGCAGCGGGAATCCCGTTTGGGTTGTCGGTGACACCTTCCTCAAAAACGTGTACTCCGTCTTCCGCTCGGACCCTGCCGCCGTTGGCTTCGCCGAGCTCTCCGCTGCCGCCGGTGGCTCCTCGGGTACGTACTTTTTTGTCGCTTATTGCGTGCAATATCGAATTTGATAAGATCCTTCGACGCTTTCTTCATCGGCTTCTGGTCCTACTTCTTCGTCTGTTTCTGTCGGGTTCTCTGGGTCTTCTGCTGCCTCTTCAGGTACCCCTTCATCTTTCCCCTCATCCGCTAATGTGGGCGCAACCGGCAACCCTATCCCTTCAGGTAGCTCGGGGACGAGTGCGTATATCCTCGCTTCCCGCTTGACAATTCTCCAATCATCCTTCGTACTCTTTCCAGCTTCGGGTTCTGCCCTCAACCCTACAAAGTCGGGCAACAGCGCTAGCTCGTTCGTTCACCAGTCAGGTGGCCTTGCCGGAGTAGGCGCGTCTCTGCTCATGACTGTTCTTGCGGGCTACTTCGTGCTTGCATGATCAGGCATACCGCCGGGTCTCTCGTTGTCGCCAAGTTGCCCGCGCACATGCGCGTGCAACGACGGCCTGCCCGCTCTCTGCCACGCTCTTGGGCCCCAGCCGCCCGGACGATTGCTGTGATCATACATACTGACCGATGTCGCTGTGGCTCCCGTACTCTTGCATTTCTTACTCACGCTTTGGCTGTTGTCGCCCCTGCTTGGATCGTGTTTCGCTGACCGAATATATTCTACTTACGTTGGGATGATTCTTGCTCTCGCGCTCGCCGCTACTCGTCCGCCCCCGTGTGCACTCTCTTACCATCTCCACGTCGTTGCCGTTTCTGTGATGCTCGTGTGATCGTGTTCGTTCACACTGCGGCTTTTCAGGCCGAACGCGCGAGCCATGCTAATGTGTAAGACCGACGCTCGCGCGGGAATACGGACGGAGTGTGTATGCACTCCGTTCCCATGGGAGTGGGATCCCAGACCCCGGGAATGGGGGGCGGGGATGCCGACGGGGGTCCGCTCTGCGGGTCGTCTTCGAACAGCGGCTATGCTCGGTGCCGCACTGTCGTTGGAGATGTTCTACCAAGATTTGGGTTCTGGCCCGTGCCCTCGTGCACCCGTCAAGAGGGAACGGTTCAGGTCTACAGTGTTGGTGTGTGAAAGACCCTGGTCTGGACCTCGCTCGGTAGCTTTTAGAGTTACGGTTCAGTTAGTGGGTCGGATTTGAACACGGTCTAGCAGGAAAGAGGCTGGGACATCGACGTCCGTTTCCCATATGCATCTTGGCCTCGCTTGTGGTTTGAGCGCCGAAAGCATGCACTGAACTTTCAAGCACGTGACACGTCTTGTATTAAGTCCTTGCAGAAAACTTTCGCACTTGTGGGATATGGCGTGTCTTCAGAGGAGAAAGGTCTTAGCAGGCCCGTTTCAAATGTCCTGCCCACTAATACCGGCCATAACCCAACCTATATGTCTGACCCCGGTCCACTGGCGGAGTCCGAGCTTGGAGCGCCCATGGCCGCCTTAGGCATTACGTCATCTCCACGTGGGAGCTGGCAAACTCGAAGGACGACTGCCAGTTTTGCTCCTCTCCAGGCTACTACTTGCACCGCTCAATCTCAAGGGCACCGTTATAGGCTCGCTTTTCTACCGCTCCCTGAACCTGGGAGCTTCATCGGGATTCGCCGTGGTGAGAGGGTTGGCCAAGCCCGGTTGGCTTCGTCAGCAAGCTGTTTCTAACATGTTTCTAGTATGTTTCACTGCCATGTTCAGGCGCACGTGGGACGGCTCCGCTGTTGATCACGCTAGAGCCATTACACGCGGGCTCTCCTGTGCAGCGTATGTACGGCCGGAATTTGACTACTGACCATTGCTGCAATAACATTCTAGGTGGTACAGCGAGATCGGGGCGAGGGTGTTTCTCCGGCTCATAGGCTCACGGAGGTCTTTTCACCTCGAATGGGGGTTTTCTCCGCAACATTGGATGCGATCCTACAGTACTACAACCTCGAAGGCCGGTGGGCAAACGGAGAGCGTGTGGTCCGGTGAGTCGAACGAAACACAAGCTCTGTCAGCAATGGGGCGCTGACTCAGAATCAACCACTATCTACGCTGCGGATAGTTGCGTGTCCCGAGGCCACGGTGTACACTGCTCGACCCTGGCGCGTATCGCGACGAAAGATTCGCCTAAGCGTGATTGGACTACAGCCGCCGAGTACAGTCAGCAACACTCATATCTCGTTGAACTTGGCGTCCTTTGCGATGCTGCGACACCAGCTGGAAGAGACTTGTCGGGGTTTATAAAGCCCTCTGTCCGTTTCGTGGATCATCAGCACCCCCAGTCTCCGGTTCATCGCACCCCCAGGCCTGTCACAGCAACCCCAATATGCCTTCCATTCCTGCCCTCTTCCAAACCATTCGCGTCGGCACCATGCAACTGGGTCACCGCGTTGCTATGGCCCCGATGACGCGTATGCGAGCTGACGCCGCTCACGTCCCGACGGACCTGATGGTGGAGTACTACACCCAACGCGCTAGCGTTCCCGGCACTCTGCTCGTCTCCGAGGCCGTTTTCATCGCTCCCCAGGCAGGGATCATCCCCCACGTCCCCGGCATTTACAAAGACGCGCAGATCGCAGCATGGAAAAAGGTGAGATTTTCGCTACGCATCAAACCAGCCCGACACTGAGCTTCTGTATAGGTCACCGATGCTGTCCATGCGAAGGGCTCGTACATCGTGTGTCAGTTGTGGGCCCTTGGACGCTCAGCCCGTCCTGCGTTGCTTCAATTGGAGAACCCGAAGTACCCACACGTCGCTCCCTCACCGATTGCGCTGAAGTCGAGCCATGAGGCCGTGCCCCGCGCTCTCACTACCGATGGTCGGTCACTGTTTCCGTCGACGTTTGAACCCCCTATCTGAAACTCGCGTCAGAGATCGCGGAGTACGTTCAACTGTATGCTCAGGCTGCGAAGAACGCCATCTCCGCAGGCTTCGACGCCGTCGAGGTGCACGGTGCTTCGGGCTACCTCCTGGACCAATTCACGCAGAGCGTCAGCAACACGCGCACGGATGCCTACGGCGCCTCTGCTGCGAACCGCGCACGCTTCCCACTCGAGGTGCTGGACGCCGTCGTCCGCGCCGTAGGGGCGGAGCGCTCGGCGTATCGCCTGAGCCCGTGGAATTTGTATCAGGACATGCGCATGGACGACAAGGAGACAAGGGAGACGTTTACCTACCTCATCAGCGAGTTCAAAGCGCGGTTCCCGGGCTTGGCGTACCTTCACGTCGTGGCGTCGACTGCGGACTTTAACAAGCCCCCCGAGGATCCCAAGGTACGATCATGGAAGGTTATTGTCATTCTCCACACGCTGATCAAAGACATTCCCACACAGGACGAGCAGGTGCTCCACGAGTTATGGGCACCGCTTCCGTACATTTCTACTGGCGGATACACCCGCGCGACCGCGCTCCAAGCCGCAGAGAAGGAAGGCGTCGTCATTGGCATGGGACAAAGTTTCATTCCGAATGTGAGTCATTGAGGTCATCGGCTGGACCGTTTGAACTACTTTCCTGACAATGTGATATCGCAGCCCGACCTCCCTTACCGCCTGATGGAAGACCTCCCTCTGGCCGCCGGCGACCCGTCGACCTTCTACACTGGGGGTGGGGCGGAGGGATACTCGGAATTCCCATTCTCAGACAAGTTCGTCGCTGAACGTATAAAGGCTTGATGGCTAAGGAGTTTTGTGTACGCCGGGTGTCTACGACTACTACTTACATGCAACATTAACTGCTCTAGACGAGAACCTGGAACCAGGACCAGTACACAGTGAAGCGCCGAGCTTGACGAGCGCTCCACTGTCTCGAGATCACCGCCCCGTTGCTGTTCACATACCGCACGCATTCCTCAAAGCAGGTTCTATGCTCGGACAAGCGGTGTCGGGTCGGGTCTATTTGATTTGGCTACAGTTGCAAATGCCAAAGCGAATTGCCCTTTCGGCTCAACCAGAGGCACAAGGCCAAAGCGGAGACTGTTAGTACCCGGGTGGCACCGCCAAAGCTCGAAAGGCAACTCGGAACGGTATAAAAGGACGGCCGGGCAGGAGAAAGTGCTGCATCCCCATCAAACCCTCTGTCCGACTCTCAGCTTGACCTCCTCGACTCGTCCGCGTCACTAGCTGTCTCGAACTACCTGGTGCTAGGTGATACTCCCTCGTACTAAAAGCTCGTGTCCACATTTTCAACGCCCCCTTCACTGAGCTTGACGAGGCAGCTAACTTGGAACCTAGCTTGCCTCCTCCCGAAGCTTCGGCCCTCCGATGAACACCTGCGTACTTCTCTTGACGGCCTGCTCTTTTACTAGCCTTTTCTTTGTCATAAGACGGCTCGCGATAGCACTCTGGGACGTCTTCCGTTGGATTGCTCTCTTCCACAGACGCTGCTTATTCTGACCGTCCAAGACTCACCAGTTGTTCGCTCTTTGGCCGGCATGTCCAGTTGTCGAACGTCCTAGGCCCATTACTTATCGGAAGTGTCAAACCACCTTGCCTGACTGGGAGCGGTTTGCTACCGGGTGTCTACTTTTAGACGGTGGATGCCGGATGTTGAAGAGGCTGACTGCAGGAACAAACAAGCCACCACACCTCGTCCTCTGTATATAAGACCCTCTCGCCCGCTTGTACATCCTCATCATCCCGACCACCATCGCTCAGCGGCCTCAAACTCGACCTCTCAACGCCGACGCCGACCTCATTGAACACCGACACCGACTTCGACACCGACAACACCGACACCGACCTCAATACCGACATCGACCTCAACATCAGCGCCGGCTTCGACGATTGACAGCAGCAAGGCTCCCTTCCACTCCTCGTTGGTACTGATATGTACGACTTCTCGACCCACATCCCTCGTCTTGTTTGGCTGACATTCTCCCAGTTTTTATTTGACAGGATGTCCTTGGGGGCTTTCCGATGCCTATTTCAAGCGGGGTCTGGTTTATTTCTCAAGCCGTCCCCATGCGCGGAAGGCTCTCACGCTCCAGTGTCGGGCTGAGACATCAAGAGCGAGCTTGGGGCTCAGGTACACGACGCAAGTCTATCCCCCGAAGACGGCGCAGATATGCGAGCAGGTAGGTCTGGAAGGTAGGTTTCTTTCGTTTCGGACTGTGGGTTTCAAAATTTTGGGGTTTTCTGCTTCAGGCTTTTTGCAGGTAATGCCGAAGAGTAGAGCCCCAATCGGGCGAAGATCCCCAAGCGCATAGGCCGAGTTTCGGTTTTTGTTCTTCGCGGTTGGGAGCTGACGTTATCTAGGGCTGCTGAGGACCCGGGCAACTCCACCAAAGGTATGTCCGGTCGACCCGCGAAAATCGCCCTCGCCTAAGATAACTTGTCATTCGGCGCTAAGATAACTCGGACATACGTCTGTTAGGCGCCTTACCACGTGACCAATGACGTCATGCTCGCCGCGCACATTTTCCCCGAGTGTTCAAGCCCTTGTAGAGCCCACCGGCACTCTGAGTCGTTATTGTGCAGCATATTTGAATGTATGGTACATGGGTACAATACGTATGTCTCGTAATACACAAACCTACAGATGCAGGGAATGATACAACTGGTACTACACCGTGCTACTGCCACTGCTCGGGTTCACCAGGGTGACCCGAGGGTCATTTCAACATGACCCGCACCGTCACCCACGCAAACGTGTACACCTTCCATAGAAAACCGCGTGTTATGTGCGCCAAGTGGAAGCGCAGACGCACGGAATGGGCGGGCGGCGAGACCAGGAGGTACTGGTAGTGCCGGTCCACAGGCCGAGCGTGGGGAGGCGGTCGTACCGTCCTCGTCCTCGCCAAATAATGGCTCGCGGGTCGGCCACCGGGGTTGGTGCTGCGGGGGCGAGGTGTAGCTAGCGTACGCCCGGGCGCTGCCCTTGACTCGAGGCGTCGCCGAGCTCGCTGTACGAGCGGCGCGACCCCGCGCCGTCGTCACCGACATGTCAGTACGGGCGGCAGTAGGTATCGCAGCCATACCCATACCCGCCTTTGAAGCTGTGCTTGGCGTGCGGCGGAACGCTTGCATGCGCCGCGTCCACATGTGTTGTGCTAGACCTCGAGCGTCGGGAGGATCTGTGGGATGAGGGCGCTGAACGCAGGGGCTTACAGAGCGTACAGATCCACAAGGACTCGGACACGACGAGTGACATGAAGGTGCTGGTGCGGAACGAGTCAATGATGAGCCCCTATACGTGTGGATAAAGGATATCGGGGAGGTGGACGTATATGGTTGAAAGGGTGATCACCATGAGCGCACCAGTAGCGATGGAAAGCACGGAGAAGTCGCAGTATATAAGGATAGGTCAGAGCGGGGTCGTGGGTGTGCAGGATAAAGAAAGGTGCGCACTGAGAGCCACTAGGCGGACGACCACAAGCAAGACCATGATATGTGCGCTTTGGGATTCTTGGAAGAGGAGGATGGAGTAGAGAGCGACAAGGCGAGTAGAAGTCGAGGTTGAAGCCGAAAAGATGTCTCGAGAACCGGTGCCGCGAAAACGAGGGGCCTCGTTGGCGCATCCTCCACAGTCGGCTGCGCTTACCCTCCCCATGCGAGCGTGAGGCATGCGGAACGGCGCGACGTGACACTGGCGGGTGAAGCTGTCGTTGATGAGTCGTGTCAATAGCCTCCACTTCTCGACTCCGTGCATATCTGCAATGACCAACACGTACCTTCATCCTTTCCGACCACCACTCGCATGATTCGCGTATTAGTCTGCCACCGTTTCTTGCGGTCGAATTTCTCTCTGGTCATCACATCTGCGGCGATCCGAGAGGGCCTGCGCGACGCGCATGCGCTGCGAAGCCTCGCGAAGAGACATCTGGGGTGGCTCACCAGCAGCTGCTTTAGCCACTCGAGCAAGTTCTCATTTGGGACCAATCTCCGGTGTGCGCCCTGAGTGAGTCGACGTTGCTAATTAGGACGTGCAGGTTGCGTGCAGGATGGTGGAAAGCTGAGACCGCCCATAAGCGCCGGCGTTCGGGGCCCATTGTCCCCTCGCATAGGATAAGTCCGGACATACATTATGGGCGTCTATCCCGATATGGGGCGTCTGCTAAGATAACTCGGACATACCTCGTTGCCTTTTATGGACACTTTGATAAGACAACGCCGGACATACCTCTGGTGGAGTTGCCCGGGTCCTGGCTGCTGGCAAGGTAGGTCCCGAGGGAGGGCGGGTGCGGCTGTGGCGGCCCGTCCTGGCGCAGACCTTTTCGTGGTCCTCGGGATAAGTACCGTCGGTGGGCGTCCTGGACGCCTTCCGGTCGGGAAACCAACATGCGCCGAATTTCTTCCTCTCTCTTTCCTGCGTAGGCGCTGGTTATGTTTATGTAATATCATGTGATCATATGCAAACTCCACGGAACGAGATAGTCCTGTGTGACTCGATTGTTGTGGACAAACAATAGATACGATCGGGTCTGAATCCGCGGTTGATGGCTGACCTAGTGATCATCATTTCGAGCCACTTACTCGTTACTTACTTTGCTTTAAATCTCGTCAGAGTGGTCAGCCATATTGACGCCCATTTTATCTTTTATCGAACTTCCTATTGGCGCTACCCTGCCATCTTCCTCCCTCTACTTATCCGTTCCCCCCTCTCCCCCACGACGCAGCTATGCGGTACTATGAACAACGCTACCCGGAGGTGGACGAGCTTGTGATGGTGCAGGTGCGCCAGATCGCTGAGATGGGTGCCTACGTAAAGCTGGTATGTTCTACTTGTCTGCGGTCGAAGTCGAAATGCCCGAGGTCCGTCCCCGGACCAGGGTACCTAATCACTGCACACCAAATAGCTCGAGTACGACAACATCGAGGGAATGATTCTTCTCTCTGAGCTCTCGCGGAGACGTATCCGATCGATCCAGAAGCTCATCCGCGTCGGACGGAATGAGGTCGTCGTCGTCCTCCGAGTCGACAAGGAGAAGGGTGCGTCGTGCTCCCTCGACCGTAGAGTGTGCATCGCTGAACGTATTCCACTTACCCTCTTCCCCCGTCTCTGCCTCCCCAATGCACATCCGTCCTCCCAGGCTACATCGACCTCTCAAAACGCCGCGTCTCGCCGGAGGACATCACCAAGTGCGAGGAACGCTACATGAAATCCAAGACCATCGCCTCGATCATGCGCCATGTCGCATCCAAGGTGCCCGCGGTGAACGGCGAGGTGCTCGACGGCGAGCAAGCAAAGCAGGCGGAGGCGGAGGCCACCGAGACCAAGCGCGCGCGCCGCGCGGCGAAGCGCGAGGGCCATGAGGACGAGCTCGCCGCTGTGGGCGGCGCTGACGGGGCGGTGGGCGGCATCGACGCGAACGAGGAGGCGCGCCTCGAGCAGCTGTACGAGCAGATCGCGTGGCCGCTCGGGCGCAAGTATGGGCACACGTACGACGCGTTTAAGCTCGCGCTGACGTGAGTCGCTTTTTCTTCCGTGAGCGTATTCTGCTGGTGGATCACGGGAGGCGCTTTGCATGATGTCTGGGTGGAGGGCTGACGTCCTGGTTGGTTGCAGCGAATCTGAAACCGTTTTCTCTCAACTCCCCACCCCCGTCCAGCCAGCCGTCCTCAGCGTCCTCCTGAGTACGATCGCACGGCGACTCACCCCTCAACCCATCAAACTCCGTGCCGATATCGAGCTTACCTGTTACACACCTGCCGGCATCGACGCCATCAAGAAGGCGCTTCGGGCAGGAGAGAGCCAGAGCACGGAGGCCGTGCCGATCAAGGCGAAGCTTGTGGCCCCACCGTTGTACGTTCTCAGCACGAACGCCACGGACAAGGTGCGTTGTCGCTTGCCAGACTAAGGGTGAAGGAGCGCGTGCTCACTCGTACATATGTACGTACAGTACGCGGCTGTCGACCGCCTGGAACGTGCAATCGAGTCCATCCAGTCAACAATCGAGGACCAGGGTGGAGCCCTTGTTGTGAAGATGAAGGTACGTCTCTTGCCGTTCACAGCTCTAGCGTCAGCGATGAACCGCCCCTCCACCTTCACAGCCAAAGGCGGTCTCGGAGACGGAAGAGCAGGACCTCGCACAGCTCATGGCAAAGGCGGGACAAGAAAACGCCGAAGTGTCTGGCGACGAGGACGAAGAAGAGGCATTGTAGAGCTCGTACGGATCCTGCCGCTCCCATTCTCTCCCCTACCACCTCACCTCGTACGTGTAGTACTATCACACTGTAGCCATTGCCATCGAACCCTGGTTGTATCCTTGATGTATCTTTGGCTTCCGCTGTAGAACTTATCTAGCTCAGAACTTGGAACGACGGGTCATTATGGGCACTCAAGTACTCAAGGTTCGTGCTGACAAAACTCAGCGGTGCCTGCATCGGCGACAGGCCTGTGTTCAATTAGGAAAAGCACTGTGATCCGGGGTACCGTGTACAGCAACCAAGACGTCGCTCCACGTTGAGGGACCGACGCGACATTACGTATCGTACTTTGTATGTGTGGTTCGTGTTCTCTATGGAAGTCTATGGTGGGCGTGCGGGTGGAAACGTGGGTCATAGGTTGTTGAGTACCCGGCTAGCGAGTTCGAAGCCAAGGAACGTCGCCCCGTTCGCGAACGGGGACCTGGTGCGGGCGGCGATGTCGTCAGTGGAAGAGGTTAACGGGCGACGAGAGGAGCGGATGCGCACCTGATGAGCGTGGGGCCGAGACCGCGGGTGAACGCGGCGAGGCCCTCCGTCCGCCACACGGTGCGGACGCAGTCGAGCGTCGATTTGTACTTCTGCCCGTCCGCCGCGGAGAAGCCGTCGGTCTGCATGCGGGACTTGATCATGTCGATGGGGTAGATGATGGCCCAGAGCTGGCGAGCGCGGGAGGCGATCGAGGGAGAAGGAAGAAGCGGCGTGAGATGAATGTGCGAACGATGGCGGCCGGGGCGTCGCGCAGAAGGAAGGCATGCAGGGTCGCGTACTCACAGCGTAGCCCGCGGCGGCCCCGAAGAGAACCGCGTTCGCGGGATTGACCTGGTCTCGGCGGATGCCCTTGCTCGCCAGCTCGCGCTGCATGAGCTTCTCGTACGCCCAGAAGTAGATGCCGTAGCCGAGAGCCTCGCGGTAGAGGGTGACGACCTGGCCCTTGTAGATACCCGCAATCCCGTGCTGCCTGGAGATCTTCTTGATAGCGTCCAGAGGACCGGCGTAGACCGGGTTGGCCGCAGATTGCGTTTGTAGCCCTGCGGATGCCACGGGTGTGAGCGTCAGCAGGACAATGAGGCGCTTCGCGTGGACAATGCAAGGGTTGTTTCCATGAGGCAGGGTTAACGTAGGGGAGAACGCCGTGGACATAGAGAGTGGAACCGGATGATGTGCGACTCACGAATGCGGATATGCTCGACAGGTCCTGAGACAACTCCATTCGCAACACCGGCCACCGAGCCAGCGAGGAAGAGTTGGCCACTGGAGAGGGTCATTCCATCCGGTCCTCCCCGCCCGTTCCGCAAGTTTTGTTGCGCAAAGTAGCGTTTTGTCGACTCGAGGGCGCCGAACTGGATGGAGACGCAAACGCCGATACCGAGCAGGGGTGTTAGGGTGCCCTATATGCGCGCCAGGCACGGTATGGTGGAGGGAGGAAGACCATGTTTAGTGCACTGGCAACGACGGGGCGACACGAGGCGCACCAAACCTTGTAGAATGCGAGCGGGCCCTCGTTCTTGAGAATGCCGGTCGCGCAATCCATCATGCCCTTGTACGTTCCCGCGGGCGCGGTTTGCATCCGCTGGGTGTCGGAAAAGGGTGTGTCATTTCGTGGGCTCTAGCCGCCTTGAAGCGTGGCGCAAGAGGAGGTGCCAACGTACCACCTTGACAATGTCAAACGGCTGCCCAACTAGCACCTGTTCGCGTGGCGCCGTGGTCAGTCACGTCAGTCGAGGTGCAGCGGTGGCCGACCGTTCGGGGGCGGCACGCACCTGGGCGATGCCCCCAGCGGTGCCCGCGGTGAGATCCTTGACTGTTTTTGACATGGCACTGGGGTAGGGCACGCGCGAGGTGGGACGGGGGTGGGCGAGGGTGTCGTGCGAGGTGAAGCCGTCGAGTCAGCGTCGCCAGGAAATGCGCTCGGGCGAGAGCGAGACTGGCGCGATACCGTGCCGGGTGCCCGTAGACCAATCAAGACGCAGACGGAATCTTTACCCCGCATTAGCGACACGCACAGATAAGATTAGATGCGTGGTCTTGTCCCTCAGGTGCCTTGGACTGCCCTCTGCGTGATGAGCGGTGCAAAGCCGTCAGCCGCACACCAAAGGGGGCATAGTGGGACAAATACATAGGGCATGCCAGTGCATAACGATAACCACATACACATACAGGAAGGCGAATACGAATTAGAGTCCCGATGCCCTTCGAACAGCGAAAGAGTGCGCTCCCTCAAGGGGGACTGATCCTACAGTGCATATACCATTACTTTGCTAGTCTCCCGCGGTGCATCGTGCTTGGGTGGGTGAGGCTCCGGGGGTCCTCACATCTTCGCGCCCTCCCTCTTCTTCCTCGGCAGGGGGCCCGCCACGCTCCACCGCACGGGGTCGAGGTACTTCTGCTTTGCGCGGATGTCGGCCATGCGCCACTGGTGCTGCGACTCTGCCGACTCGCGAAGCCATGCTTGCGCGATTGCCTGTGCGGGCGAGAGTGCGGGGCGGGGCGTGGTGGGCGTAGTGGGCGTGCGATGCGGACCGGAGCGGGGTGCGTGCGTGGGCGACGGGGGGTCTGATGGCATCTGTGTGCGCAAGGGGGCGTCAGTGTGCGGGTCGTCTCTGATGCCGGACAACGGGCGGAGGCGTACAACGGTCATGAAGGGGTCGTCACATAAAGAAGGGCTAGCGTGCGGGGCGTGCAAGGTTGGGTCTTATATAAGATGTTTGTGGGACAAGCCGCTGGGTTATCGGAGATCGCATGACCGTGCTCGCTGGCCCCGCCGCGGTCGAGCAGAGTGGCGAGCGAGCAAAGTACATAGGAACAGCCCGAACGAGAGAGCCATTGCCGGCGGGCTCGCGTTCGGCCTACCATATATGGCAGTGTGAATAGGCGTCGGAAGGCGCCTGGCGTGTGTGCGGAGAAAGCGCGAGGAATGATGAGCGACGGAGCACCTACCACAGTGCAAACCCACACGGGCCGGGGCGCGAACATCGTGCAGAGGAGGAGGGCGGGCGGAGGCGGCGGGGGCGACGGTGGTGGTTGGTGAGGACAGAGGGAGGTGGAGGCCGGGCGCAGTCGCGCGAGGGGTGGGTTAAGTATCTGGGCGCGCAGGGATATCACCTTGAGAACGCGACCAGTGCGGGGCAGGCCGCTGCTGAAAACGAGTTGCGTGACTCTCGTCAGGATGCCTAAACGGACGGACAATGGCGAGACCGCAGACCGATGCATCTCCCTGCGGGCGGATGTCCTCCATCGGGCGAAGAGGGCCATCACAAGGAGCAGCCCTTGCGCTCGTTGCGGGCTGTGTCAGAGTCAATGTCGGTCGCATTCGCCCCAGCGCAATAGGGTTTGCGGCACATATGGCGAGGCGTGCCCGGGTGCGGGGATGTCCCAGGTTCGACGCCTTCGTGGCCGCACCGAAAACATGTGGAGGCCGTCTGCGCCCTGTCAAAAGCGTCCGTGCGTGGGGTCCCAGCACGTCGAGAAATAGCGGTCGACGGACATTGATCCTGCGCCGACGGCCCTGTGCAGCCGGGTTCTCGCCCGCCACCCGCCCGCTTTTGTGCGTCGTGAAAGGAAAGGAGGACAGCCGGCAGGGGGCACGACGCCCGCGCCCGACGCGCCCCGACGCGTCGCGCGTCTCCCAGCCGTTGCCGGCGTGACCGCGCGCGGGCCCCTCGCGGTCCGGTTCCTCGTCCTCCTCCACAATGCCGACGCCGAGCTCGTTTCCATCGCCCGCCGCGGACCCCCCACCGCCTCCGTTAACTCGTCTTCTGCACCAGGCCCTCGGGTTCCTCGCCCTCGTCTGATGTGGCCAGCCACCACCAGTGCTCGTCAGCGTGAGTAAGCGTTCTCAGCCTCGGCCACCGGGAGTGCCCAAGCACGACATCCGCCATGCATTTCCCAATTCGCCCGCCGACTAATCAGAGACAATATCAGTACGCCGTCCCTGCGCTGCCGTCGCCGTTACCCGCCAACTCCCCCGCGCCGTCCACACCCTCCGCCGCCCTCGCTCGCAATTCGTTATGAGCACAGACCCGTAAGCATCTGCCTCCTGTCCCGCGCATGCCCCGCAGTCGCGCTAAGGCCGCATGCAGCTACGTCAACTTTTTCAGCGGCAATCCGCTCAACCGCCTCTCCTGGTTGCGCACGTCCCAGCCATTCCTCAACTCCATCATCCACGCTCCCTCCACGCGCTGGCTTGTATTCAATGACGGCCAGCCGCTTGCCCTCACCCCGCCGGACGATTCCTCCTCCGCCGTCAAGCAGTCCCTCGCCCGCCTGCACACGCACCACGTCCGCCCCCTGCTCGGCCCAGAACCTTTTTTCGCCCAGGGCCAGAACGAGGGCGAGCTTGCGCCGGAGGATGTAAAGAGCCTTGAGGCAGCTCGCTTGCGTGGTGCGCCCATCCTCTTCCTCGGCCTGCACGAGACCGAGTCCTCGATCGCCGCCGCCCTCCCGTCCACCGACTTCAGTGCGCACGCGGATATCAAGACCGTCATAGACAACATCAAGGGCGACGCCTACTTTTCTCTCGATGTGACCGATGTGCCCAAGGAGGAGGTCGATGCGGTCCTCAAGGCCGCGGCGGTGGACGCTTCAGACTCTAAGCTGGCGTTTGTCGAGCCGAGGTCGGCAATGACCACGCTAGAGCCGTTTGAGGGTGCCATTTTCGCGGAGGCGCGATGCATGGTCGACTGGAACGCGCGCAACAAGGTGTGTCTGCAACGGCCCATTATCTGTCCCCGATGCTGGGGCGACCGTGGATGACGAATGCGCGTTGTCCTCCAGTTCTGCCCCTCGTGCGGCTCGCCCGTTCACTCCGCATGGGCCGGCTGGAAGCTCACATGCTCAACGCTGCTCCCGTGGGCGGACAATGCCGGCAAGAAACCGTGCCCGACCGCGACCGGCCTCAACAACTTTTCGCACCCGCGCACGGATGCAGTGGTGATCATGACCGTGATCAACGAGACGGGCGACAAGGTGCTCCTCGGCCGTAACGTGCGTCGCGCCGCTATCGCTTAGCCACCTCCGGACACGCACTCACCCTCTCGCTTACCGTCCGCACGGCACGGCGCATGCCTTCTGGCTCGTAGAAGCGCTGGCCGGCCCTCTTCTACTCTTGCATGTCCGGCTTCATCGAGCCGGGCGAATCGTTTGAAGACGCAGTCCAGCGCGAGCTGTGGGAGGAGGCCGGCGTGAAGGTCTGGGACGTCCGCTACCACTCTTCTCAGCCTTGGGTGCGTCGTGTGTCTTTACATCGGACGCCCGCGCCGACGCGGGCCTTCTGGTCTCCGCGCGCGCGGTCCGTCTTCACGGCCGCAGCTTTGCTAGGCAGATCCCTAGCGGCACGGGCGGCGGCGGAATGTATAGTGCTGATGCTGATCCGGATCGACAGCCCTACCCGTCCACGCTCATGGTCGGCTTCCACGCAACCGCAAGCTCCGACGAGCCGCTGCGGACGGACCTCGACAACGAGCTCGACGGTGAGTGCCTCGCGTCCCCCCGCCCCTGCCCCCTCCCCGTGGCGCCCTGCGCTTACGCGAGCCGTCTCGCTGACGCCGCACCTTCCCTTTGCTTCCCTTCGACGCGTCCTGCCCCTGCCCCTGCCCCTGCCCCTGCACACGCCCGCAAACGCCGCGCCGCGCCGCAGAGGCCCGGTGGTTCACACGCGAAGAGGTGCTCGCGGTGCTCGCCCACGCCGAGGGCACGCGCCTCTCGCGCGCAGACCAGAAGGAGCTCGCCGCCGCCGCCGAGAAGACGAACCCGAACGTGAACGAGGTCCCGTCCGCGTACGCCGCCGCTCAGGCGCCGACGCACCCGGCCGGGCCTCGCTTCAAGCTCCCGCCGCTCACCGCGATAGGGGGCGTCATCATCCGCGAGTGGGCGCACGGGTGCGCGGGGCGGCAGCCCGCCGCTGCGGGGTCCGCCACCGTCACTGTCACTACACCCAATGCGAGCCTGTGATATGCGCTGAGGGAGCGGGGGGCGCGTGGGCGGTGGATGCTATTTTGCTGGCTAGAGCGTGGCACGCACGGACGCCTGTCGACCGTCGTCGCACGGGCGGCACGGCGGCTCACTAGCGGGCGACATGCGGGTGCTTCATGTTGTGTGTAGAGACGAGACAATTCAGTGCATCAAATCTTCAGCGTACAACAAGGTGCAAACGAGGTCGAGAGGCGTCTGTACAAATCGATGTCGGGTGCGCGGGCTGTGTGGTGGCCGTCAGGGCTACATGTGGAGAGGCAGAGAGATGAAACAAAAATGCGGGCGCGATCCAGCGTGGTCGTGCGTCGTGCGGCGACAAGAGGAACGAGGTGGGAGAATGTGTAAGAACGGACGAGGACGATGTAGAGTGAGGCGACGAGAACGGGGAGACGGAGATGCGTGGGGCACGGGGTATGACGTTACGTGCAGCCATGCGGGCGACACGAGCAGAGATGGGGGCGGATCGTTGTATTCGTAGTGCGTCTCGCGGCCTGCGCGAGCACGTCGTCGTTGGATGTCGATGACGGCGCTCGAGCCAAACTGGCAGAAGCCCTCGCATGCCGCGGAGTCGCGCAGGGCCGCCCGCACCGCACGGCAGCGAGCGCAGGTCAGGCGCCGCGCGGTCGCTCCCGCTCCTCGGGGCGAATCGTCCAGATGTTGCTCGGGCCCGTGCCCGACATGCGGAGGTTGCTGAGACGGCCAAGGAGGACGACGTCGTCTCCCTCCTGCCCGTGCGTGCGTCCCGGCGGTGTCGCGAGCGAGACGAGGGGCGGGCGCGGCGCGCGGGTGCAGCGTGCGCGACACGAGGCAGGTTTCCGGTTCCATTGCGGTGGATAAAAGCAGCGTGGTCAGCCCCAGCTCGCGCGATGACGTGACAGAACGCCAGTCCGCGGGCACGCACCTCGAGAATGCGGTCGACCCCCGCCCCACGTGAGCCTGCAGGGACATGCACCCCGCTCGCGCCTGGAGGCGTCGACTCGCTGCGGGTCGGACGCCGGCCGATGGGCAGGGGTGCGCCGGGGATGCCCGCGCCATGCTGCTTCCTTGCGCGCCAGCGTGTGCGGGGTGCGGATACCCTGCGAGCGCGCGCTGCTGTGGCATCTGCTGGCCCGCGAGGGTGAGCCCTTGCGTCTGGCGGCCGGACACGTTCGTCGGCGAGGCGGGGTGCGGCGAGTGCAAGACCGGGAAGTGGGGCCCTTGTCCGTGCGGATACGCCGCGTGGACGCTGTTCGCGGGGGGTATGAGGAGCGACTGGCGGCGACAGGGAGGCGGGAAGTGGGTAAGTGTGCCAAGATCTGGATCGATAGAGCGCGATCGGAAACGTACTCGCAAGTGCTGAGGCTGTCGCGGTGTGCCCACGTCTTCCTCCTCCGCGAGCCGTCGGACCTCGCGCTGCATGCGTCGCGCGCGAGTGATGGCGACCCCCGCCCGGCGCGTCTTCTTCTTCTTGGGCTGCTGGCCCTCGCCTCCGCCCTCTTGCTGCTGCTCGTAGTCGTCCGCTTCCCCGTCCTCGTCTACACCGCCATACTGTACCTGAGCGGACAGGAGCTGGTCGGCATATGAAAGTTCGGGTTCTGCAGCTATGGTGAGGGCATCAGGGCCGGTCCTCCTCATGGTGTTGGCCGCCAGAGCCTGGTGGTCGTTTCCGGTGCGTGCCCCTCCCCAAGACGAAGACGATGGAGTCGGATAGTGGACATGCTGGACGGGCCGCTCGCAGGACCAGGGAGTAGCCAGGGCTGGTGTCGTTCAGGCGCGGATGCAAGGGGTTTGGTGGGGTCGGAGGTAGAGGTGGTGGAGGCCCTCGGAGAAGAAGAGGATTCGGTAAGAGAACAAGTAGCAGAGAGTGAAGCGGCGGCGCATGACTGCAAGCCTGTTTCGTTGCCAACTCCGCATTGTGTAGGAGCGACCGTAAGGGGCCACAGAGAAGCGTCAGACCCTCCAGGATCCGCTGAGCGCCGCGAGCGTCCTATGTCCGATTCGGACTGGGGTGTGCCGTTGCGTAGCAGATAAGTAAAACGAGGAAAGCGGTCGGTAGCCTGTTGGGCATGGGCCACAGAGATGTCCCGGATCTCTGTATCGACCGGGGTGAGCGGGCGGGAGGGGGGAACAATAGATGCTGAGGTAAGCAACCGAGATTGAGAGCCCGAGATGACGTCCGAAGCTAGATTGTTCTGCGATAGGGTTCCGTCCAGTCCCAGCCGTGCCTGAGCCCGGAGCGGGGTCCAGCGAGAGAGCGTGAGCGAGAGCGAGAGCGTGCGCAGCTCCCCAGGCGGCAGCCCCGTCCTCATGTCCTCTGGCAGGATCGACCCTGACTGCAGCCTGGTAGGTCGCCGAGCGGACACGGAGCAAGTCTCGCGTTCGGTGGAAGTCGAAGTGCCCCACGACAGTTCGCTGTTGAGGGTCCGATGGCGATCTGCGGAGTCAAGTGAGCCAGAGACCGAGAGCAAGGGAGAACGCTTACTCGCTAGGAGAACCATCGTGGGCGCGGGGGTAGCTCCCGCGATCAGCGAGTGCCGGATGCAGAAGGCTGGTCGCAGCGGTGTTTGAATGGACTGGCCAGGTGTTGTGGGTTACCAACGACGAGCAGCAGGTGCTAGACGGAGACAGGAAGGCCAACACGCTGCCTGAGAGCGTCGGCTATCGGGGTGATGGCTGTCGCGGGACACAGGCGGGGCGGTCGAGAGGTCGAGGGTGACGCAAGTGCCGAGGCGCAGAGACGAGGAAACACGCTGCCAGAACCAGGAGCGCGGTTACGTGAGGGATGTCGCAGGGTGGATGTCGCAGGGTGGGCGGGAGAGGGAGGAGGACGACGCGCGGCGGGCAGGAGGTGCGGAGAGAGAGAGACGAGCGGCCGGTTTGGCCTGGGCGACAGACGTCAACCAGCACGTGCAGCTTCCGGTCGGCTTGCTCGGTTCTCTTCACGCCTCCGCCGCGGACGCCGCAGGCCCTGCCTGCAGTGTGCGGAGAGGGCGTCATGAGAAAGTAGGACGCGCTCGGACAGTGCACGCCCTCGCTGTGCCCAGCCGAAGCCCTGCTTTTCATACCGAGCAGATTGATCGAGAAGCCCGGCAGGAAGCCCAAACACAAATCCGCCCACACGAGCGCGGCGATCAAAGACGGAAGAGAGACCATGTGACCCTCTGGCACACAGGCCGATAGATTGGAGACATATGCACAGACTTCGGGTTGTGAGAGCGGATGGCCAAGAACCCATCCTCCTGTTCTGGCCAGTGGTCCCTGTTCGCAGGCCAGTCAGGCCTGATATCAAACAAGTCGTAGGAAATCCATACCATATCGTCCAGCGCGATGCGTACATGAGCTCTTGGATTTCCTTCTAGAGCAAACGTCCTTCTAAAGCAACCCGAGCTCAGCTGAGGCAGTTCTTATGGTGTGACACACGCCTGCGCTTCTGGCGCGCCATTGTGACCGAGGCTAACTTGAACCGCCACCAGGTATTGTTTCTCGAATACCGTGCGCTTCTTGACCGATATCCGCCGGGGTTAATATTGCACTAGCACTAGTTACTGTGAAGAGTCCATGCTCTGGAAGATCTTCGGACATGAGTTCGATCTTCGGAGCTGGCCCGCGAACAGCATGTTGGCGGGCAGCAGGCGGGGGGCCGCGGAGGTGCTCAGGATGCTGGAACCCAACGTGCTTCGCAACACAGCAGTGAGAATTCGCAGCAGGGAGAGACTGCGACGGACCGTCCATGTGGGAGCACAGGGGCTCATCGTCGTCGTTGCGAACGAAGTCCCATGACAGACGCCCGGGATTGTCCGACAACCTCGGACGGGTCCACATGGTCGGTCGCGGGCCGTGCCTCGAGCAGCTGGGGCCATCCGCCTCCGCTGCGACAGCCGGCAGCAATGCGTCTCTCTTCCACTCGCCCACTCCTCGCGCGGCCCAGCGACGCTCCCCTGCTCATCTCCGCGGCCCTCTGACACTCGTCTCGCCCGCCCGTCTCGCTGCTCCAAGAGTCCGCCATGAAGGCCGCCATCCACAAGAAGGAGAAACAGTTCGCCGAGTCTTATGCCACCAACCTGGCGGACGCGCGACACCTCCAGCGCACCCTCGAGGACGACATCCTGCCGGGCATGGCGGACGAGCTCGGTCTCGATGGGGCCGGCGAGCAGCGTGCCTTGCAGTGGCTCCACGATCTCCGTGCGTGTGTCGGTTTGCCTTTGGCGTGCGCGTGTCTGACGTCCCCCCGCGTCCGCTCCCTCGGGTAGAGTCCATATTCCGGCTGCTGCGTGTAAGCTTGTTCGACGTCGCTCGTATATGCGCCACCGCTTACGCGTCGATCCCCCCAGCGTCACAAGTTCACCTCGTCCTTCGCCCTGGAAAACGCACGAGATGTCCTCTTGTGGCGGTTAGCTATCATACCCCCAACAATACCTCGTCCGATACCTACCTTCATGCAGTGTCTCCCGCTGGACTCGCTGGATCCATTCGGTCGTCCCATTGTGGTCATCAAGCTAACTACGATGTTGGAGTCATCGGCGGACGTTCGTACCGCTCTCATCCAATATATCGAAACGCTACGACGGAACCTTGTTGCGATGAACCTCGAGAAGCACAAGAGCTGTGGTAAGGAGGGGGACGTACGCCCTATACTTCAATATGTTGCCTTGGTGGACATCGGAGGCATTTCCGTGCAGAGTGTCGTGAGTAAATGTGTATCCGTGATCTCGAATCCAGCTCTCAAAATGCTTCCAGAGCGTCGAATTACTCACCTGGTTCGTCTATGAGCTAATACCTCGTTTTCCCGGAATGCTTGCTGCTCGTATGTTTTTTGCTGTTATCTCTAGGCACTGAGACTGACCCGCGCACAAGTATTAATACTCAATTACTCTTGGGCGCACGCCGGACTTTGGAGCATTGTCAAGTGAGGCGGTATTATATGTCCGGTGTTCTTGAATGCTAACCCCAGGCACCCCAGGCGAGTGTTACCTAAGTCTGCACTCGCACGGATATTTTTTCCGACAGAGAAAGAGTTGCTGGAGTACCTATCCCCTGCGGTCATACCACAAGGTGAGGCGCACAATATCCGTTCGCTCGCTCGGCACTCATTCATGCAACAGATTACGGCGGCAATCTGCTCCCTCTATCTCAGCTTGAGGATCCCTTGGAGAACTTCATGGTCGACGACCCTGGCCCTGCTGATCCAGATGGCCCATCTCGGTCTTCCACCAACAGTTCCGCTCACGACCTGCCCGTGTCCGAGCAGCCGAAGAACGATCTCTCTCGCGTCCCGTCAATGTCCCCAACCTCGCATCTCAATCCGTACTTTGGCTACCCCGTCTCTGCCCAGGGGGCACCGACCCCGCGGCTCAGACATGGGCGGCAGCGGAAACGAGATCTCGTCCGGACGCTTGTGTTGCTCTGGTGGGACAAGTGGAAGGACCGGGCCACGGTGCTCCTCTGTGTCGCCCTGCTCGTCATGTCGTTTAGGCTTAGACGACACCCATCTCTCGTCGGCTGGCGGCAGGGCGTGTGGGCGCTCCTTCGTCTACCTGTTCGCCCACGTCCATAATGTCATCCCATGTCTCGATTTCTGTCCGCAGAAATGTCCCCAAGGACCCCAAGGAACATCTTGGATCTCCAGACTACCCACCTGCATCACGCTCTCGACATCTCGACATCGTCTTCCAGTTCAGCGGCTGCGACTTGTGGCCACGAGCGCGATCCCCGGATCCCCTCCAAGGCCCCGATCTGACGGAGCGTGCAGCGCCCTGGTGATACTATTCTACCCCCCTCGCGCTCGCGGTGTGTCGTAACAGGACCATTCTCGCGTGGACAGCCCACTCTGTGTCCAGCGACGCGTTTCGAGCGCGACGGTGGAGGCTAGAGCAGGACCCGACCTTCATTGGCAGGCGAGGATCGGTCGGCGGCGGCGACCTCGAGACACCCTCCGCTGCCGTCGCCGTCGACTCCGCTGCCGTCGTCCCGGACTCCGTTGCCCGGTGTCAGAGAACTCTGACTGAACGTGAGGATGTGAGCTTGTCCACCGCCTCGTCCAGTCTGCACCCGAACCTCCTCCGCGACCTCGGGGGAGTCGTCCACGTTCCTCGCCGCTGGCTGCGCGTGGTGACAGCGGCGTCTTGCGCGGGGTTTGCCCGTTCGAGCGTAGCCCGACGGCGTCGCGTCGTGGGTATGGTGCTTCGGCGTTGAATATTGGATATCCGAGCCCGGTTCCGGAGCGTCATTGGATCGACCCCCCGTCTTCAGCGCCTTGCGGGCCGCGTTACGTGGGTGGGTGGCCAGATCCGATGTTCCGACCTGAAGAATGTGGCGCTCTGAGCTCTCTGCTGGCATCACGGTGATTAGGAGTTCGCATGGCGCGACTGCCGATTCCACCCCAGTGGACGTCCGAGTGGCTGCCCACCCCGGGGAGGCGGTCGAACGTCGGGAGAATCTCTGGGACGTCGCCAAGGACACAAGGGCATTCCACGTGGGGGTGTCGTAGGATGACTTGAGGCATGGTCAGGCAATTAGGTGGGTGCTCGTAGCTTAATGCAACCTCCCCCAATAGCGAATATCTTCCATTCGTTCCCTCGATATTAACGTGCCTTGGACACCGCTGAACACATTTGCGTGGATCCCTCTCCGGAAGCGCTCCGAGCCCACGACTAGGTTACCCAGGTCGAGCGCCGGCTTAAGGCTGCTTAAGGCTGCTTAAGGCTGGCGCTGAACCACAGCGCCCGTCCCGGTGTGGAGGCCGACAGTCGGGACCGTGTAAAGACATTGTCTTTTCGCAATCAAGCTTTTCGGGTTGTGGCCGACCCGGATCTTGGCGCGCAAGTGTCCGCTTCTCCTTTGAGCCGAGGCTCAGCGGGCGAGGTTCAGACAGTCTGTCACCTTCGCTGCCGGGATCTTCGCCCGCAAGTCGCACCTTCATTAATATTATGGGGCGGTATCCATGCCACCGCTCGGCGGTGAACCATCTCTGCACTCCAGCAGTCCAGCACGGAGATCCATGTACGAGCTTATACAGCCTCCGCCAAAACCATGCCGTCAACCGAACACCAAAAGAGCCGCGCGATGCACATGGTCTGCTGCTCCCCAAACGCCGCCCGCCGTATGTATCTCGTCAACTTCATCTGCCACTTGTCACTGCGGAGTCCGTGCAGCGTTCTCCGAGCCCACCACCACCGTTGAACGAGGCTGACTCCCCGCTACCCAGTCGCCGGTCCCCCAGCGGTGCGGTGCGGACGAGCCCGCCGTGCGCCGGACGCGCGAAGGCTGTCCGTCGCTCGTCCTACACGCTCACAGCGGTCTCGCAGGGGCGCAGCGGGAGAAGGATGCGGGAGCACACGCAACCCGCGCCGACTTCCCTCGCAACGCTGCTAGCACGCCCGCACGACGCGATCCGCGCCCGCCTCGCGCGCTCCGGCCACCCTGCACGCCCCTCGCCGTCCCTGGGCCTGCGCACACAAACCGCTAGCGCGAGCCGCACGAACCGGCATCGGGGAACCCAAAGCAGGCGACCGGCGTCCCCCGCACGCCCTCCCAGCGCGCCCGGGGACGCCAGCTGGCGAGCGGCGGTCCGTCCGCGAGCGAAACGTCTCCACCGCCGCAGCCCACCCGCCGCAGCAACACGTTTGCGAGCGGAGGCCCGCGGTCGGTCGCTGGCCGGGCGCGCCCGTGGACACCGTCGCACCGGGAAGGGTCCAGGGGACGTCATGCACGGCGCCGCGTGGCTAGGAGCCGGCGGCGGGGCGAGGGGGTTGTGTCCGGTCGGTCGTTCGTTCGACTTGCGTCCGAGGCTGGGGATGGCCTGAGCCATTTTCGCCGTGTGCCGGACAGTACACCGTTTCTGCGTTTGCTTGGCCTCTCGCGTGCGTCGCGAGCCTGTGCGAGCGAAGCGGGGTCCTTGACGCGATTGCAGGGGGAGGACGGGGACGGCCGTGCAGGACGAAGAACAGAACACGTCAATCCGACGCAGCTCGCGGCACGGGGCTGCGCTCGACCGACCCTCCCCGGCGACGGACTCTACTCGACCGTTAGCTCGCCGACTGCCACCATCGGCTTCTGCGGCCTGCGTGTACCAAGCAACCGCGGCCTTCCCTTCGTCGCTGGAGCAAAATCAGAGAAGCAGGCCTGCGTGCCTTCCGTCAGCTGGCAGTGGCAGCCTGGCAGACGTACCCCATTCCACCCCCAGCGGGGTTTGGGCTACGTCGCGTCCACCAAGCCACCGCCCGTCGATTGTGGGCTTCTGCAGGCTAGTAGCTAGGCGTAAGTAGGGAGCGTAAGCAAACCGACACAGCAGCCTGCAGCAGCGGCAGCGCGGGCCACTTCCACGGGCGCCTACCATCAAGGGGGCGGCGGTGGCGTGGGCTCGCCTCTCCCGCCCGCCTACCCACCACCACTCGCCTGCCCTCATCTGCATCAGCCCGGGGCCCTGCAGCGGGCGGGCGGCAGGCGGGCGGTGGGCGGCGCACCTTGTTCTCCTTCGGGCTGGGGCGGTCCCATCGCGCTCGGAGGGACGCGTCGGACTCGATCGCGAGTGCGCTTCCAAAGCTCGGAGAGTTCGAGTGGCCAGCGACACACCCGCCGCCGAGGGCGCAGGCGAGTGTAGCTAGCCGCGGCGGGACCGTGGCCGCTCGGGGAGGGCGCGCGTGGACGCACGGCGCCGTTGACGACCTCCGCGTGCGTGTTTTGAGCTCGAGTGCTGCGCGAGCTGGCGTGCGTGCGTGACGACCCGACCCCCGCGACACCGACATCGCGGACTTCGGGCTTTTCCACCTGCGCTCCGACCGGTGCGCCCGACAACGTGGCAGCCCGCCGCAGGGTCGGCCCCGAGGCCGCTCCCCCACTCCCCTCCGCTACTCTGGCGGCGGCGGCGAGGTCGCGCGCCGTGGGGCTAGGACCGATCGACGCGAACCTCCGCCGGCGAGGAGGGGGCTCCCCGACTCGCCGGGTTCGCGCCTGCCATATACACAAGAAAGCCTCTGACGACACGCACCAGCTGCTAGGTTCGATCATCGACCTAGCCCCGCAGTGAGTAGAGATGGTTCGATGATGGGTATTCGTCCGTGCCGTGAGATATGACATAATCTACAAAAAGTATTCCGGAAGCTGCGGGCGCGGAGAGCAGAAGAGAGACCGGAAGACGACAGCAATCAGCACACCCGTCCAAGGAAGGTGGAGCAGACGGATGGTGGGCAAGCCGGAGACACACCTTCCCTCCTGCGTTCTGTGCGGCCTGGTGGCTTGGTCCGTCGCGCTCGTTCTCCGGTGCAGCCTGGAAGACGTTGAAGAACATAGAGCCGCCTGGACCGACCTCGAGGATGCTCGCGGAATTACCACAACGGTAACAGTAATTAGGCGCGGACCAGACTGTGGACAAGTGTTCGTCGAACAGGGAAGAGTATCCTTCCATGCAGAGCTGGTGTGCGCGGAGAATATGCGACATCTGGTTCGTCTCCAAAAACTTGTAGACCACGCCTGAGCCGAAGGTGTAACCCGCGCCTCTGAACAAAGATGAGCAGATGAATGGCTGCGCACACACAGAACTCACCGCGGAGATATTGCAAAGTCTTCCTTCTCAGCATCAGGGTCGGACCACACCAGATCAGCCATGGGCCCTTCATGAGGTATTTCTAGGTGGGTTACAGGGACGTGAGATGTAGGGATGGGAAGGCGGGACAAGGGCTCGAACAGACCTCGAAAGCGGTCGACGACTTTGATTTGGTCTATCGAGTGTATTGACGGTGACAGGCCTGGTTCGAGAAGGAGTGATATGCAGGGAGTGGGTAAAGTTCGTGCCAGGAATACAAGGAGCACGTACCGCCATGTACACAGAATATCTTGTCGTCAATGACCACAGACAATGTGAGGAAGTCAAACATGTCCGTGAAGTACGTCCAGACGTGTGAAGAGCCGTATTTTCGTACACATTCCGTGTAGAAGCCATACGTCTTCGGAAGACTAGTTGAACGGTGGGGGCCACGCCGGGAGTGTGGATGTGCTGCGTACCTGGGTGACCGCCCGCGACTCATGATTCCCTCTGATCAGCTGGACCCTGTCCGGCCACCGCAGCTTGAGACATGTCAAGAGCGAGATCGTCTCCACGCTAAACAACCCTCTGTCGACGTAATCGCCTGGGAAGTCGGGCGTTGTTCAGCACGCGACCGCGAAAGCAGTGAAACACACCGCGCACCGAGAAAGAGATAATTTGTGTTTGGCGCGTATCCGCCTATCCGAAAGATTTCTATCAGGTCGTAGAACTGGCTTGAATGCTGATGAGCGGCATGCCAGCATCCGGAGGCAGTGGACATACCCGTGGATGTCGCCAACCACCGTTACGGGCGCACTGACGTGCACGACGTTTGATTCACGCATGAGCACCTCCTTGGTCTTCTCGCATATCTCACGGAGGAGGACTTCATGGAGGAGCTGTTTTCGAAGCAGTTGGGCGATACATGCGTCGAGATCGAAGGGGGCCATATGAGAGGATCAGAGTCCGAGGATGAGTCTAGCCTCCGCGCACGCTGCGGCCCGAATCCGCTGGGTTTGCGCGTGTTTGGCGCGCCCATATGAGGCACGTGGTGCAACCGGACGTTGGCGCCCCGATTTGGAAAACGAGTCTACGAAACGATTTCTCACGCTGCTGGCAACGGACGTCGATGCCGGCATTTATCGCGAACTCTGTCCTGCCCGCTCATCCCGCTCCGGCCCGCAATGTACCTTGTTCTGGCAACCCGCCCGCGCTTCCTGCCCAGTACTCGGTCCACGCTCTCCCCTGGCGTTTCTTGCGGATTCATTCGTCAGGGCTCGAGTTCTACCCCCCTGCGGCCCGGACGATGATCGTGCTCTTGGCCCGCCTACTGCCGTTATGCTCTCCTTCTACGTCATCCGCTTTGGGCGCGCGCCAGGCCACCCGTCTGCCCGGCCACCTCATGCTTGAATCGCGGCGGACCAACCCGTCCACTTTCCCTTCTATACCAAGCGCGACATAGTGTGTCCGCCACCGGGCGCGTTGCCATCGATGCGATTGGGCTAGCCCGCCTCGCGCGCCATCGTCCTCGTCCCAGTAAGCCCGTCCTCGCCGTCCGTGTCAGGGTCTCACATTTCTTCCGTATCCGTGGTCGTATGAGCCCCGACTGCTCGGGCGGCCGAACAGGAAATATGACGGCGCCTCGTGGACCGCGCAACCGGCCGGTGGGGCATGTCAGCTTCCCCCGCAGATGCGCCGCCAGGGTGTCGGGCTGCCTGCCGAAAAGCGCGAGATGGGCGAACGGCCGACAACGGGCAGGATCACAACGCGCAAGTTCCGGACATCGCAGCGCCGAGATGCGGGCAGGATGGGGGGTTCTGCGGAGTGGTGGATGATCCGCGGGCGCGCAGGGCGTCGAGCTGCGTCGAGGTGGGCACGGGTGCCGGATCGGGCGGCGGGAGGAGTGGGTGCGGGGAGCCGAGGAATCTCGATGGGCTGATCTACAAGAAGAGCTTGTGCCACGCTCATTCAGAGATCGTCGCCGCGAGATGAAGAGGGTGGGCGCGCGTTGCCCCTGCGCTGCGATCCGGCGCCTGCGGCCTTTGTCCTCTAGCTGGCGGCTGGCCAGCCGCGAGTACGCGGTCGCCACGCGCGCAGGCTGCCCACCCCGCGCTCTTGCTCTCCTGATGCCCCTCACTGCCACCTGCCTGTGCCCTTGTTGTTCGACCGGGGTAAAGGCCCCGCGCGTGACGTGACCTCGGCGGTTGCCGCGAAACAGGTAACCGCACCGGCGGGGCTGCGAGAACAAGGCCGGGCCGGGCACGCTCAGGGCCACTCGAGCGGGGGCGGACAAGATGTACTGGCCACGGCGGGTGACGCGACGTCCCGCGCGAATATCCTCGCTAGCCAGCACCGGGCGCGCCTGTCCGATCCTATGCACTTTCAGATGCACGATCCCGGCCGGCGCAGGACACGGCCCGCGCCCACTCCGCGCCCACTCCGCGGCGGACCCAGCTGTCCGCATCCGGCCGGTGCCCCTTCCCTCCCCGGCAATGATGTCCTCTCCCTCCATCGCTCTTACATGTCGCACTCCCGTATGGCAATCCGCCTGCTCTTCCGTCGCTGGCCCGGCGCCAGCCCATGCGCCCATGATACATTGTCGATCTGCTCCCCTTCCGAAAACCGTATTCCGACAGCCCCCGCCCAAGTCCCCTCCGCCGACCTGTGCTATAAATCCTCCCCTCGTCTCCCGCCGCCCCCCCACCACGCCACACCGCACGCCCGCGCCAGTTCATGTCGCTCGTCCTCCTCCCAATGAACTCCAACTACCCTGGCTACTACTCCCCGAGCGACTCCGCGTCCTCGCCCAACCCCCGCCCCAACACCTACTCCCGCTCGTCCGACCATGCCTCCCCCTCCCAGCCCTACTCTCAGTACGCTCAACATCCTTCGCTCTCGGCGTCCGTATCCCAATCCTACGCTTCGAGCACCTCCTACTCCCCGCAACACCCCCAGCAGGGCTACCACTCCCCTCCAGCCCATAACATGCTCCCACCGATCGCTCCAGGGTACAGTACTCGGGACGGGCGCCACGATGTCTCCAGCGGGTACTCGATCGGTCAGTCCTTTCCATCATCCTCAGCGCGCCCGCTCACCCACCCATCCACCCACACCATCAGGCCCGACGCTGCACGATCTGCCGTTCACCGCGCGCGGCTCCCCGTCCTCATCCTCGTCCTCCCCACACAGCACCTACTCCAGCCGCCCCGACAGCTGGCACGCGTCCTCGCGCTCCCCCACCGGCCACCACACCGCGCACGAACGCGCCCCCACGTACCCGCCCCCCGCGCGCGGCGCCGGCGCGCACCCCTCCCTCTCGCAGTCCACCTCCGGCTCGCACCTGATCCCGACCCCGGCGCAGGTCTCGCAGTCGTTCCACCACCAACACCACCCTCACCACCCCCACCCCCACCCCAGCGCGCACGGCGGGTATCTGCCGCACTCGCACTCGCTCCCGCACGCGTCGGCGGCGGCGCTCGCGGCGCCCTCCCCGCAGCGCGGAGGCCCGATCGTCGCCGCGATCCCGGCGGCGAGCGCGGCGGCGGCGCCCGTGGAGCGGTTCTACTGCGACCGGTGCGACAAGTCGTTCGGGCGCGCGCACGACAAGAAGCGGCACTACGAGAGCACGCACATGCAGCACTCGCACACGTGCAGGTTCTGCAACAAGACGTTCAGCCGGAACGACTCCCTCAAGCGCCACCAGGACAACGGGTGCGACAAGGACCCGGAGATGCACCCGTGAGCGCGCGGTCGCCGCGTCGCCTCGTCACTGCGGACGAGCGTGGCGAGAGGAGGAGAGGAGAGGAGAGGAGAGAGGTCGTCGTCGTCATCGCCATCGCCATAATCAACACCGTCCGTCGTACGTTCGAGCGACGCACGGAAGCGTGGTATGCCGCCGCGCCTTCTTGGTCCAGCTCTGTACCATACAGCCCGTCCCTATTGTCCGCCCGCTCCCCGCGCCCAAAACCCGTGCTCGCTCTTGTGTTCGCTACGCTACGCTGCCGCTACTAGTCACATGCCCATTCCCCGCGCCCGCCCGCCCTCGCGTGCCGATAGTATCTTGGTCGGCGATATAGATTACAGCTGCATATTCCGAATTCCCACCCAGTCCAGCCCCCTCGCGCGCCCCCTGCAGGGCCCGCCTCTCGCCTGGTCCTACGGTTAGCCACATCGGCTCGGGCCTGTGCCTCATGCCGTCCCCTCCTCGCTCCTCGCGCACCCCTGTCGCTCCTCCTCCCCCTCCATCTCCTCCCGTTTGCGCACATCCGCTTCCGCTTTCACGGCCCACGTATCTGTCGGAGGTCCCGCCTTCCATGCATGCACGCACGCACGTCCCGCCCTCCGTCTTCCGCGCCCTGCCCCCGCCTCCCGCCCCCGCTCTTCTCAATGTATTCTAGGACCCGGACTCGTGCACTTTAAATTCGCTGTTCGGCCGCGGCGCAGGTCCAGAGAGAGATAGCGCGCGATAAATGCGATCGCGGACGACGGACGTGGGCCCGCTCAGACCGCGTACGGACCCGTGTGGGCGCACACGAGCAAGCAAGCGCATCAATCCAGGGCCCGCGCATAATGAAAGGCACCCGGTTCGGGACACGGACGTCACCCCGCAGGCGCGAGGGGGCCGAAGGCCCCGGAGCCCCGCGAGCCGCCGTATGTGCGCACGACCGACGACGGGCGTCGAGATTGGTTGGTCAGCTGAAGCTTTCGGGCCTCGCAGTCCTCGCGCCTCGTCGGGGTTTCGCCAGCTGTGTCGCTGCGGGGCGCGCGACGCGGCCTCCCCTGCCCTCGCCTTGTTCGTCGACCCACCGCACACCCGCTCACGGCCGCAGAGACGACACTCCGCGAGGGCTGATTGATCCAAGAACCGCCTGGGCCCTCGCAAACGTCCGCCGAGGCGCCTGCGGACGATGGATACGCCCACACCCCGGTCCCGGTTGCCGCACGCCAAAATCACGGACGTCGGATTATGAATCTGCGTATTGAGTCCATACGTAAGGCGCGACGCCAGCTGCCACCGCCATCCCCAGCACGACGCGCAGCGCGCGGGGCGGTGGGTAATTAGTCCGCGGGGGGAGCGCGCCGGACCTTTGAGCCTCTGAGCCCGACCGCCTCGGAGGGGCGGGTGCGGTGCTCGGGGCGCGCCTCGTTGAAGTCGCGAGCCGGGAGCCCTCCGGTTCGCCGTCCTCGCCGTCCTCGGAGCAGAGGAGCGTTCCCCATCCTCGCGAGAGAGACGCGCGCGCACGATGGGGGCAAACGCCTTTCCGTTCTCTGCGCGACCGACCGCACGAGCATCGTGCATCGCGCATCGCGCATCGCGCACCGGAGCAGAGCGCCCAGCACACGTATGACTCTCGTGCGTCTGCGCGCGGAGGAGCGCGGGCCGTCACGGTCAGCGGCCGTCTGTCAAGAGCTTCGTCCGCAGGCTCGCGCGGGCGCGGGCGCGCGGGACGGCCTTTCGTGCGCGTCCCGGGCGCCCGCAATAGTGCTTCTCTCGCGCACTAGAGGCGGAGCACATCATCGCGCGTCGAGACCGGACGAAGCACATGCGACGACGAGGCCGGCGCGCCCGATCCCCGCGTCCGCGCCCGCCCGCGTCGGCCTGGATCAGCTGGAGTGTGGGATGTTCCAAACGGAACGACAGGGGGTGGTTTCAACCGCCCGGCGCCGTGGCGGAGCCTACTACGTAGTGCTACCAGCGGACCGTGATACATACATAACGCGGAGCACAGCGTCACGCGCAGCGGAACGGAGCACGCACGGCGAGGGGCCGCACAGCATGTCGGAGGGGTTGGGAGCCCCCGGCGCAATCGCCAGATATCGGGGCGCACGAGGTCTCCCGCGATCGCAGTGCACCAAAAGCACACAAGGACAATGCAATGCAGCGCGTAGATTTCGCCGGGGCGTGGGCGTCTGAGACAGGCAGGCGCCCGCGCTGAAGGTGGTGGAATCTATCCGCCGGCCGGACATGTCACCCCGAGCGACGCGCGGGGGGAGTCGATGTGAGTCGATGACAAGGCGCGCACAGAAAAAAGACGGACCTCGTCGAAGGACCGCGACACGCCGGAGGGGAGCAGCCGCAGCGCGCAGCGCAGGGCTCGGTAACTCACCCATCGGCGTCGTCACCGGGCCTCCTGATCGAATCCAAGAGGCGGGCGCGGAATATGCACGATCACCCCGATCGCTGGCTCCAGCTCGCCTTGTACTCGATCTTCTCGCGAGCAGCAAGTCCGACGCGACATCGGGCGTATCACCAGCTGCCGGTGTGCTGCCAATGAGCGCGAGGAGCGTCGACGTCCGTCGGCGGAGAGAGAAGGAAATCGATGGAATATCATGCCCGGGGGCGGTACAACTAACTTGGATCAATGCTACGCCGCGTGCGCACGAACCCAGCCGCGGACTGCACGTCAAAATCACGGCCATGCGCTCGTCGCTCGTCGGTTGCCCACGAGCCCGACGGCGGTGGCCCCGCGGCCGGCGTCGACGACGTCCACCCCGGCGGCGGAGTGCTCCCGCCCGGCGCTCGCCGTCGTCGCTGCGTGCTCCGACCGTCTCGTCTATCGCGATCGCAATCGCCGATGCGCGGGCGACGGGAGAGGGGTCGGTGGGAGTGGATCCGCGATGATGCCATCGGCCCCCCCCCCCACGGCCATGCGCTCGCGGGCGGCGTCGTACGTGCACTCCCGCGCTTCTCTCGCCCGGCTGGTCGTGTTCCCGACTCCGAGGCTTGTCTCTGGCGGGGTCGGCAACGTGCGGGGCAGGCGGACTGCCCGTTGTGGACACCGTCTCCGGCACGACCGGGGTCGCCGCCGCAGAGGCTGCGGCTTGGCTTCACGTCATGCGTGCCCGCCGAGTGGCCCAAGCCGCTGCCCAGGCTGTGAGAAGGAAAGGCGGGAGCTGGAAGTGGCGGCAGGATCGCGCCCGCCGAGGGCGTGCCGTGCACCGTCGGGGGCCCAAGCGCGGGCGCGGGGAATCGGCGTCGGCGTCGGCGTCGGGCTTCGATGCGTCGGGACGCACAGGCTTGGTGCGGCATCCCGCCTGCCCCATGTGCGACGGCTGCGGGATGCAGGTGCAGGTGCTCGTCCGACACCGATCGCGGGGCGGCCTCGGAGAAGGTCAGCAGGCCGGCCATCTATCCATCCGCAGGCGGAAGCTCGGTGCTGTTCGGGACCCTCTCGTGCAGCCCTCGCCGGCGGTGGGCGCGGGCGAGAGCGCGGGCGGGCCCCTCGACACCGCGGGCGGGCTGCCGGAGGGGGTGGGCCCAGAGCGTCGGGCGCCGATTGCCTCTCGATAGGGTAGCTGCTCGGCGGCGGTGGCGGCGGCGGAGGACGAGGCCGCGGGCGGGACAGGATTCGCGCCTCGTGGGCGACGGGAGGCCGACGTCCCTCAGGGCGGGCGGCGGAGTGGGAAGCACGCCATCTCGACGCTCGGGTCCTCGCAGGCTGGATGGCACCGCGAAGGCCGAGAACGGGAAATGCTGCTGCTTTTCCAGAGCGGTCTGACCCTTGCTTGACGAGAGCACGGCATGGGACCCTGGGCATCCGGTCCGGTCTCTGGACGAACGTCCCGGTGCGCTCACAGGCCCCGACTATCACAGGCAAAGCTGCGTCCTGCACATGTGCAAACGTGATGCATCAGCGAACGACAGCGTGCTCTGCACAGACCCTGGACGTACATTCCGACGCCCCGTCGCCCGGTGGCAGAGCCCATCGTCTGCACCATCTCTGGGAAGCCCGGCAACCCTCGGGAGCCTATGCTCCTCGACGCGTTTCAGTCCCCGGACGGCACCAACCCTCCATCCATGTACTGCGCCCTAGAGACCGGCCCTCCGGCGACCTACACGGACAGATCCGCGGGCTTCTGCGCCCGATGCGCACACGGAGCCATCTGTCCTCTCCATCGCCCAAGACCTGTCTTCGACGCTGACAGGCGCAGCAGCGCGCGACATATCTGCGATGCCGTCATCTGTTCATACGTACAAACCGGCTCCAAGACGGCTTGCTCTCCCTTCTGGCAATCTTCCCAAGTCCATTTTCGGAGGATGCCATCATCATTACTCACGACAGCACTGAGTAAACCACCCCGGGGCCCGGGATTCGTCCTTCGGATCGGTCGGTGTGGCTCTCTCCCTGGATGGTCAGATACAGAGCGTAACAGAGGCACGACATACAGTACACGTACAGCGCCCCGCAAGCCCGGTCCGGCAAGGAAACCTTCTAATTGTCGTCTTCGTCGTCTCCTAGACCCGTGATCTGCACCCCGCCGCCGCCGCCGCCCGCCTCGTCGCCATCCCCCGCGGCCTCCGCCTCGCGTGCCTCCTGCTTCAGCTTCAGCTTCGCGATCACCTTGTCCGCGCGGTTGAAGATCCCCGCGGTCGGCGCGCTGCACGCCGCGCACTTGGGCGTGCGCGCAAACCGCTTGATCGCGCACGCGGAGCAGAAGTAGTGCTCGCATCGGGTGACGACCGGGTCCGTGTACGGCTTGCGGCAGATGAGGCACGCGAACGGGATGTCCTCGTCGTCCGAGTCCGACCCGGACTCGTCCCCGCCTGCGTTCTTCTTGGGCTCCGCCGCGAGCTTGTCGAGCTGCCAGCCGGCGAGGTCTGCGGCACGGGGAGGGGGAGAGACGTGCGTGACGTTATGACCAGATTCAAAAAACGAAGAAGGGCACTCACAGGTCCCTCGGTCGTGCAAGAACTTGCAGGTGTCGCCGTACCCACAGTACCCCGTCTCTGCGCAAAGGCACCACCCGTCAGCCTTGCCCGCACCACACAGTCAACGAAATACCCACCTTGTAGTCCTTGCACACGTCCGGCTGGTAGTCCACGATCGTCACCGTCCGGATCGTGCTCCCGCTCGCCCGCTGCGGGCCCACGCGCATCGCCTTCGGGACCTCCTTGCTCTTCCGCACGTGCGACGCGTACGCCTTTTGCCCCCGGTACAGCCCGTCGTCCGGGCCCTCCCCCTCCCCGTCCTCGCCCTCGGGCAGCCCCGCCGCCCGCCGCTCCGACCGCCGCCGCTTCGCGAGGACCTCCGCGGCCTCGTCCCCCGCGATGATCTCCCGCGCCGCCGCCGAGTGCGAGCCCGCCGCGGTCCACTTCACGTCCGGCCCGTCGCGCTCCTCTCCGGAGCCGTCGTCGTCTTCACGCTGGGAGACGGTGCGCTTGGTGCCGGCGCTGAGGAGGTTGCCCGCGGCCTTGCGGGCGGGGAGGACGACTTCGGACTTCGTGCTCGACGACGACGGCGCCGCGAGGTGACTCGACGCCGCGGTGGCGGGGGGAGAGGCGGAGCGTTTGCGGGAGGTGGCGGGGCGGCCGCGGCCCTTCTTCTTGAAGAACGGGACCGTCACGTTTTCGGCGGAAGCCATGGTATGTGCGACTATGATGGATTGCTGCAGCAAATGGTGGTAGTGGTGCGAGGCAAAGAGGCGCTAGAGTCAAGCAGAGAGGATGTCGGGCACTTGTATGACGTCGCCCGGAGCGCAGTTGGAGGTTCGGCCCAAGTCCGTGAGCGAGTGTCCCTCTCGTGGCGGGCTGCTGACCAACGTAGCCGCTGACTAATTTACACTTGGCGTTTCCTTCGGCGCTTTTTGCTCACAAACCACACCTCCGTCCTGCATGAAGGACCTCGGTCTTCGATCACTCACTTTTCGGGGACTCACGCAAGCAAAACATGCCGAATTTCTCATCTTGTGTCTTCCTGTTGTCGAGCACGACCTCACCTCAAACTCAGCCCTTGTCCAGGTTGCTCTCCATGCCAGGATGCCGTCATGTTAAAATCCTTGCTCAACGGTCGGATTTGATATCCGGGTCTAGCTTATTATGTACGCCCCTCTACGTGTCGATACATCAAACAACGCACGCCAAGCATTTCACGTCCCGCTGAAAGCTCATTTCTTTCCATTAGGCATGTGACATGGACGCCGTCTTATCGTGCGTTGACATATATCATGGTTGCCCGCACTCGACGCGTCCCAGCGCGTACTGCGCACGCCCGAAGGACGCATCACCTATGGTGCTGATGGAAATTTCCTTCAGGCCCTGTTATTTGTAGCGAGTATCTCCCCGGAACTCATGCTGCGCGCCCTTGTGCCACCGCGGTCCGCGGAGCTTTGTGGTTACTGCGCAGGTTAGGTTCGTCCCCCGACCCTGCAGGCTAACGTCGCCAATTTGCACGCAATCAATTTGCCCGCTGATTGTCGGCGTCTCGCTCCGATGTGCGGCAGAGGCCGGTGCTGGGTCGCGACTTGTTTGTGTCGTCTTGCTCGCTCTTCGCGACACCGAGTCTCAACCGTGCGTATCCGAGTCGCTGGTCCAGGCTTGCCGACGACCCTGGCTGTTTTCTTCCTTCCTTTTTTTTTTCCATCAGCGGCAGGTGACGACCTGATCGTCGGACATCGGACGTCGAATGTCGGCGGCGGCCCAACACGCATTCGACGCCCCGCCGCAAGCACTAGGGTCCCACGCGGCCTCGAGTTGTCGGCGGTACCTGCAGGGAGGCTCACCCTAACGTGGACGACTAACGGTGGACTTTAGGTGGCCGGCCGACATACCCGCTCCTCGACGTGACAATCAAAGCGTTCCCGGAACCCACCTTCGAAGCCCGTCCCTCGGAGTCAGGGTTCGACTTCGTGTGGTGGCAAGAACAAGCGGGGCGTGCCGTCGACATCAGTCTCACCGAAGCTCACTTCAGCCTCCGCGGCGTTCTGGCCTGCCCCCCCACCGCCTTCCCTCCGCATTTCCGTCTTTCCGTCTGTTGATCGTCTCGACGCCCTCAGGTCCTGGAGAGGCATGGCGCACCGGCGAGCGCTCGGAGTTTGTATCCCAGTCACTTACACTCACACCATCCGACCGGACTAGCGCAAGCCCGCGAGCCCGTTGCGGCCAGGCCACGGGCGGAGATGAAACTCGAGCCTACTTATCGTCGAACGCGCTGCGGGCGGGTTCAGGTGGCCCCACCCCTCACACTCGTGCGTTCGGATTCGCAGGCCCGCGAACGTCTCCGCGCAGGCCACCCGCCAGGCTCTCAGGCGACGGCCCGCTTCCACTCTGTCTCCGCCCTCGAATCCGCCCGACGCCGCGCGTGTGTCCCTCTTAGCGGTCTTCTCTCCCTCTCGCGCGTTCTGGCGCCGCCGCCCGCGAGGCGCGACGCTTCCGCACTGCACCCCTCCCTCGACTCTCGAAACAGCTGGGACCAATCGTGTCGGACGCACCCCACGCCTCACGTTCCGTGTCCGTGGCCCGAGCTCACGCGCCCACGACCCCGATACGTGCCATCCGGGGACACCGACCACCGACCACAGACCGCAGACCGCAGACCACCCAGCGCGCTTTCTAGCCGGCGATGTGGCGGGGACGTCGGTACGATCGGTATCGCGCCCACCCGCGCCGCGCCGCCCCCAGGGAGACGTTCGATGTCCGCGGCCGCTCGACGGACGGCGGAAGCATGCACTCGCCGTGCGTCGGACGTACGTACGGTCGCACGCGCGGCACCCCGCGCGGGGGCTTCGCGGCTTCCGTCCCGGGGGCCGCGCCCGCGCGCGAGAAGCACGCCGCCGCGGGACTCGAGGCCGAGCGCGGGAGGCCGCGGATCCTCGCCCTGACTTGCGCCAGCCGTCAACGCGTGCAGGGGCGGGTTCAGGGAGGGCCGTGTGGGTCGGTTCTTGGGACGGGTATGTATGCGGGCGTGGGCGGGTGGGTCGACGTCTGGCGCAGTAGCAGCCACGGCAACGGTGCTTTCTGGACTGTGTCCTATAAACGGCCGCGCTGGTAATAGCGTGCCCGAAGCAAGCGAGTCAATGGCGTGCATTCGGAATACGGGGACTGGGTGCATGCGCGCCGGGTCACCTGCGGACTTTCACCGCCGTTCTACGAACGGCAGCTCGGGGTAGGGATCATCGAAAGTGGAGCCGTGCTACATCCTGCTTATCATCGCCGCGGGAGGCAGGCACGTTCACATCAGTATTGACACAAGATCGATGGAATTAGGATCTGCCAGGACCCACCACATGCTTGCTGGCGTTGAGCTCAAAACAGTCAAACTCAGACTGCACATTCGTCTTGACGTGGGTGTAATGGGAGGCCAATGTACCCCGGCATAGATTCTTATGAACGTTTGTCGAGGACAACTACATGAGATACAGGGGGGGTTGGATCTTCTTTACGCCTTCGAGCGGCATTGTCCATAGCTACCCTACATAAGAGATCGTAATTGGAGGGAGAAGGAACAGAGGGACGCATACTGAACCAAAAGCGACTACGTCGCCGCGGAAAAGCAATAAAGATCGATAAAGCAAGAGGGAGGTCGTGGACCTAACGGTCGACGAGGGGGTGACAACAGTGGAGGGATGAAGGCGGAATGATACAAACACAGGTGGACGCTCACAAGTTATGCGTCGCCCTCGCGTGGACGCTTCGTCCCGGCCTCCATCGCCGATACTGAGTGGTGTTGTTGAAGCTGCTGCTGCTGCACCGCGCCCGCGCCCGTCACGCCCACCACCAATCCCTTCAACCATCCGTTCTCCCGCCGGAGCGCCTCGCACTCCTTCTCTAGCTCGCCCACCCGCACCTCCAACTCCTTCGCCTTGTGCTCCAGAGCAGCCTCGCGCTCCTTCTTCTTCAGCCGGAAGCGCGCCGACGCCGCGGTGTTGCGCCGCCGCTTGTCCTCCGCCGGGTTCAGAGGATTCGCAGACGCCTTGTCCTCCGCCGCTTCGGCAGCCTGGTCCGACTCGGTCACGGAGGAGATGGAGCCGCGCGAGGTGCGCGCACGCTTGTTGGTAGAGGTGGTGGAGGTGGAGGCCGGAGTGGAGGCCGACACAGAGGGTTGTGCGGGCGAGTGCGCGGGCACGGATTGGGGGGAGGGTATATGCTGCTGCGAGCCCGCATGGCCTGAGAAGAGGGAAGAGGCGTGAAGAGATAGGAGCTGCGCGATGGTGCTCGGTGCGACTTGCTGCATGGCGGTTGCGGCGGGGTTCGGCGTGGGGGCAATCCCTTGGACGAAGGGGTCGATCCCAAAGCCCGCAAGGAGGGTGTTGAGGTCGAACGGGGGGAGCTGACCAGGATTGTTCGGGCGAGGAGCGGAGTGGACAATACCAGTAGGGGGGAGGACGGTTCCCATCACTACATTCTCGTGCGAGTGGGCCTCTGCGATGCCGCTGCGGTTGTGTTCGTCGTCGTCGTCGTCGTTGTAGCGGTCGCCTTCGTCGTCGCTGGCGTCAGCATGGCCGGACCCGCGGCGGTCCTTTTCGCTGCCCCTACGGGGGCGGCTTGAGACGAGGGGTTCGTCAGACTGGAAGTTCAGGTTCGTCCAGAGGTCAAGCTGAGAGTTGAAGTCCGGAAAGGGGGGTACAGAGAGCAGGTCCGCATCCGACAGGTATGGGTTTGCTGGCGTCGGGGGGTGGACGATGTTGAGGCCTTGAAGGTTCGATGGTGCCATCGTGGGCAGGTGCTTGCGTGCTCAGGGATTTGCTTCTTCGGGATTTTGAGACAACGGAGATAGAAGACGGCCAGGTCTGCGCTCTGAGCGAGCATTAGTACGGGCGGTGTCGCAGAGACGGCACGCATACCAGAAGGACCTCTGGGAGGCGGCACGGGCGAAGCTGCGCTGGGCGAGAGCAGAGGGTGGTGGGAGAGGAAAAGTGAGGGCAATCTCTATCTACTCGGCTCGACTGCCTGACTAAGGCGGCGCCCGCCCGGCGCTCAGCCACCCATACGATCGTTCCGCCAGCTTCCGCCAGGCGCCGCTCCTCCTTTGGCATCACCGAGGCGTGACCGGTGACCTCCACCTTATGTCGCACTAAGAGGCTCAAGGCTGGCTAGTCCACCTCTGCATGAACCTTGGTTTGTCCACAAGACCATCGTTGCGCGCCCGCCCAGCATCAACCTCTCGTTCCTGGATTGCAGCTCGCGCCCAGCTTACCTATCAAAATTCAAAGCGGCCTGCCGGCGAGAACATCGTCAGCGTCGCCTGCCAGAATATCACCGATGTCTATTGGGCTCCTGTGAGGACCTCCAGACAAATGTGCTTATACATCCGCCTTCTCGTGCTCCCTCCCGCGGAAGTTTACCAAGGAATCGTAAGTAATGTCTGCGTATCGAGCGACCTCTGAGTGTGTGCGCTTCGTGTTGGGATGGCTAGCGGTCGTAGCGCTCACTGTCCTTCACCGTCACTCACTGGCATGCCTATCATCTCTCGAACGCCTCGCCCACGTTCAAGGTCAGATGGACGCGCGGATGGGGCAGAGTCACGGTGGCAAGGATGGTCTAAGTTAGTGATCCCGGACCGGAAGAGCGCCCCGAGGGTCGGGTATTGGACCGCAGCGCCAAGAGCAAGTGGTCGCAGTTTGTCACCTCCGAGCCACCCTTCTCTCCACTCCCTCGACGTCGTCTCGTGCTCATCGTGTTTTTGAGGGACCGGGAGGCAGGTGCGGTCGCGCAGGGGTCGAGGTACGTACCCAGTAGTATTGACTAGTAACGGCTGAGAGCCACTTCATCGATCAGGCTCGTCCCATCGGAGAAATCAACGCACGCTACCCGAGGCTGACTCATTCCCCCACTAAGCCGTATGCTCACGTCCTTCCGTTTGCCTCTCTATCTTCAGTCTGACAAATCATACAAGGCCTTGTACCTCGCGAGGGGACTTTGTGAGTTCTGAGGCTTCTCAGCTATCCTAGGAAACTGAATTGATACTTGTAAAAGTGTTTCCGCGTTCGAATCGAAAGACCCTGACATCTTGGTCGCCGTGCCCCGGAGGTGTCGACGTAACGTGAAGAAAAACACGCTATGAAGCTACGCTGCACACTAGATACACGACCGTCCCACGGCGTCCTGCAGCTCGTAGCAAGCGGCATCCCAGTCCCCCGCCGCGCCGCCGAACGCAGTCCGCTCGGCGACGAGCGTTAGGGCGCTTGTTTGTCGGCATGGGTGCGATTCTTTCCTGTTCTTGCATCTTGCTTTCAAGGCGACGTATGCTCGCCCCTCGACGTCATGAGTTCGAGCGACCCATGCTCCTGTTGCCCAGGACCATGTGCAACTCAGCCACCGGTCATTTCAAGTGAGTTTGCATCATCTCCGAGCGTGTAGAACCGACATGATGTTCTGGTGCGAGGTGGATGAAGAGCGCAAAGCGAAAGCAAAGGTGCCATTGGCTCGCTTCCGTATTATACCACGCGGTCCCCATCGTACTGAGAGCCGACGGGAGGCATCAGCTTCGCCGTGGGGACGACGTTGCTAGCCGTCAGGACCGCGGTCAATGCTCTGGGGAGAGGAAGCCGGGTGTATCGGGTTGGTGGCCCCGAGATCACGGACTTGCATCCGACTGTTTCGGTTTCTGCGGTGGACATCCGGACATGATCCCCCTGTGCCCACGGTCCGCATGCTCGCTGGGCCCCGTTTCTCATGCTAAACGCCTATGTTTTCACAGCGCTATCACTCGCCGAAGCGCCGGGAAGCTCCTTGCTTTCTCAGCCGTCTAAAACACATCGTCAACGCTGCCGATAACGAGCGAGCCGCCGTTCTCTCGGCCTCCCCACCACGCGTTGATATTCGCACGACGTGGAAAGACCGCCCAGCGGCACATGCGATGAGCACAAACCGAGGGTGCGACTAGCCCTTAGGTGCAGGCCCACAGGCTGAGAACACTCGCCCACCAAGTGCCAACTGTGTAGAAGAGCCGCACCTGTACTCCGTACCTGGGATACAAATGATTGGCCTCAAAAGAAAAGAAAAAAGATGACATTCGGCGTTGGGCGCTGAACTAGCGCCATGCGGCGCGGTGAGTGAGCAGGCGCGCTTAGGCCATCTTCCCCAATCATCCTCGCATTCGAACGCCGGTGAATTGCATGGTTGCCACAGGTTGCCACCCGACGAAGTACGGACGCTCGCGGGCCATCGCCGTCATCCCCTCACATCGCGGGAGTCCTCCGGAGTTGTTTGCTCCTGAGCCCATTGAGATCAGTTTGATCATTGATGGGTCGCACAGATCCCACGCTCGACCCATCTTAGCGTCGACTTGATCAACCCTTCTGCTCCCGTCGCCCTGCTTCGCGGTGTCGTCTGGTTCCGCTCACGATTCCGTCCACATGGCTGTTTTGAGCAAGTGTGCAGCCAGGGTGCATAAGGTAAGCAAGTCAGCTTGGGCATACTTGGTACATTCACGGACTAGCGTCGTGTTCCCACTTTATCCGTGTTATTAGGTCACCTTGTACCTGATTACATGGTGCATCGACCAGAGGGCTCGCGGCCTGGAACTTGCCTGGGTCGCCAGCTGGATGCCATGCACAAGCATCCACGATCTGTCCCCTTCGCAATGGTTGTTTCAAGTGACCATGGAGACACGCACGGGTGAGGAGACTTCTTTGTCGTTCTGTCTGCCTCATGTGATGCACTACACGCAAGTGTACGTGCATGTACGTCACTTTCCGTTTGCACGTTGCCACTCACCTGTTGCAAGATCGCAACGGTCAGTGCGTGCCGAAGTCCACGCTCGGCGGCGTTCCGTGTCAACGATGGTTCACAGGACAGTGGGATGATGTCGCACGCTACGTATGATCTTCGAATTCGTCGACATGGTGGCGTGGCAGGGTGTATGTGCTATGAACGTGCTTGGCTCGGGTTCTAGTGGTCGGCCCATTGTATTCACGACAGTCGTTACCATGCATCGGAACGAGCTATGCCCACCCGTCCACCCCATCCGTACGTCTTTGATGTTCACCAAGAGTAAGGCAGTCTCGGCGGAGCGGGCGTTGATCGTGGTGGAACAGGAGGACGGGCGCAAGCTGCACGTACATTTCATGCGTGCCTGGCAAGGCGCATGCCCTGTGACGAGTGCACTCAAGAACGGGGCAAGCCGTGTGTACAGGAAAAGTCTAGCCATACGGTCGCTGCATCCGGAGGATGCCGATGGAAAGGGCTGAGTTCGCAGTAATTCTACGCGGTTTTACGGCTCTTCCGATCACTGCTCCGCCATCGCCGTACGCTGTGTTGGCGTAATCGGAGCTCGCGGCAGGAAAACGCTAACATGCGCAGTCAAAAACCCTGCCCCATCGTCACTCGCATGCGAATATCGATTCTTGGAAGGAGTACACGGACGATGTTCAGGACACCGGAGCGCCCCGGCCGGTCCGCGGGGATGTCATGCGTCATTGCCGTGGGCGGGCGGCTAGTCGGTCCCTCGCCGGCTCGCGCTCGACCTGAGCCGTGTCCACCGCAGCGCGCGTCGGCCTACGCGCTGATCTATTGCACTTTTAGCACGCTCGACCGCCCTCGCCTGTGGCTGGCTCAGGTCTGCCCAGGTCTGTCCCCTCTGGGCCCCCCGTCGCCCCTGCGCAGGCGGCCACGCTTTCTGATCGCCGCGCCCGACGCCCCCCCGCCCAACTTCCACTGCCCGCCCTCAGGCTCGATGGTGCCCAGCTCAGCGCGCAGAAAGATAGATCAAGGCCGACAGCGCGGACTGACATGGACGACTATGGAGTCAGGCCCAACCACCCACGAGTGAGCTCACCCACGAGCGAGCTCTCCTCACACGTGCGGACCGGCGGACTACGCCCAATCAGAGAATCATTGGCGGTCGGCCGCGAACGCGGTCCCCCCTCGACATCGGTTGTTTCTGGGATCAGCGAGTATCTCCGCCTCTTCCCAGACAACGCCCACAGTCCCTGTCCGCGACACCTTCGCCGTTCTCACCGTTTTGCAATGCGGAACTCCAGCCATGCTGCAAGATGCACCCATTCGACCCTGCCAAGCGTGGACCCCAGGTCCTCTCCACATCTGGTCAATGGATTTCACGAAGGCCACCGCGTGCTGTCATGCCCCTCGTCCATCGGGCCCGTGTGGCCAGATCTGCCTTTACCTTTCACCTGTCTGGGACTGATCACCAGGAGACCGGCAGCAAGAGCGCTGGGCCAGAAGATCTAGAGGCGAAGCGACATCACTCAGCTCGGTTATCGGCTTTTCACCCCATACATTCAAAATTACATCCCGCGATCTCATGCAGCGATAGGCGGACTCCTGGAAACCTATGTAACGCGTCCTCGCCATCCTCTCCCGGCAGCCTCACCATCAGAGCAAACGCCCCTCCCCACGATGCCGTCTTCGAACTCGCCCGTGACCTTCCTTCTTCCTGATCTCCACGCTCTCACCCCCTTCAAGGGTGGCTTCAACCCCAACCATGACCGCTTCCAGTACGAGCGCGCCGAGCGCAACGCCCTCTACTCCCACCTCCCCGAGCGCAAGCGTGCGTTTTTCAGCGCGATGACGGGCGAGCTCCTCACCGCCCACTCCTGCCCGTACGCCACCTTCGAGCGCCTGCGCGTCCTCCGCGACTTCATCGACCTCCTCTACGTCTTCGACCTCACCACCGACGACGAGTCCGGCGAGGCGGCCTGGAGCTCCACCCACACCTGGTCTCACTCTTTCGCCGACGAGAGGTATGACGACGGCACGCGACTCTGCAAGCTTATCAAGAGGTTCGTCCGCTTCTTTCCCCCCGATTGCCTTTGCCTTTTCGCTACCGGGCAACGTAATGATGCGCCACGTTCTGCCCATGAAGTGCGCGCCGTTGTGCTCACGCGCCCGCTGCCCATCCAGGTTCACCGCGCAGCTCCGCAAAGCCTGCCACCCCGTCGCGCCGAACCACTACCGCCGTTTCGTCGAGCAATGCCGTTTGTACGCGGAGGCGACAGCGCGCGAGGCCGAGTACCGCGAGCGCGGGATCGTGCTCGACTTGGAGGCATATCAGGAGTCACGCCGGCACGCGAGCGGCGTCCTTCCATGCTTGACGCTCGCGGGCATCGCGCACCTGACGGAGCTCCCCGACGAGGTCGTCGACCACTCCGCATTCTACACGATGCTCATCGCGACGACGGACATGGTCTGGTGGGCCAACGTGAGCTTCCCTCCCTCCCTCTCTACCCTGGATGCCCGCTGACCGCCGCTTCCCCGCCGCGCCCCGTTCTCTCTTCAACCTGAAACCGTCCCCACGCGCGTCCCGACTGCCATCACGTCGCCGCGTCGCACGCCGACAGGACCTCTACTCGTACAACATGGAGCAAGCGATGGGCCACTCGGCCCACAACGTCCTCACCGTGCTCATGAAGGCGAAGGGCCTCGACCTCCAGGGCGCGTGCGACTACGTCGGCGCGCACTACGCCGGCCTCATCCGCACCTACCTCGACGCCAAGCGGCGCCTGCCGTCGTGGGGCGCGCGCGCCGACCGCCAGATCGCGCAGCACGCGATGGGCATGGAGGCCTGGGCCGTCGGCAACATCAACTGGTCCTTCCAGACCGCGCGCTACTTCGGCCACGCGCACGACGACGTCCGCCGCACCCGCATCGTCGAGCTCTATCCGCCCCGCACGTAACGCGTCTCCCTCTCCCTTTGGCGCCCGCGGCCGGAGGGCGGGCGCAGTGAGACTCGGCGCCCCACGGTGCGGCTGGACCGCGGCTGGGCTGCGACGGCGACGACGCCGGTGTCGACCCTCTCGGAGACGGCGCGCGGGTGGGCGCGCGCCCCGCGGGGCCCTGCTCCATCGGTGTCAGGTCTCGCCGCCGGCTTGCGGAGCGCTTGGGTGATCCGCCTCGACGTGTTGCCGTTCCCACACTTCCCCACCAACCTCTCCCCTTCATTTCCCCTTGGTCTTCCCTGCCTGCGCACATCCTTGCGTCCCCGCGTGCGGTCCCAGCCGGACACTCGACCCGGCCGGACACGTCGAGACGGGGCCGCGGACGGCAGACGGGGCGCCTCCGACGCGCGCGCGTTCCTACTGCTGGAAGGAGCGCGGAGGCTAGCACGTGGCGCGGGCGCTGGGCTTCGCAGAGCGACCGCAGAAGTGCTTGTTGGTGATATGGACTCCGTCCGCGAAAGCTTTGTTTTACGCTGTTTGAAGATACTCGTCACTTATGTTGTAATTTTAAATCCCTAATCGACCACCTGTACACGCCACGAGCGCGAATGACCAAGTTCAAATGCAGAAGAGAGCTCAGAACATACCGTCGGGGACAAGTTTTGCAGCTGGTAGCAAAACGATAAAGCCCTCGGCTTCCCGCATATACGCCGTCCGACATCGGTTGCGGTGGAACTCGAAAAAAAAAAAAGACAAGCGACGCTTTGCGCCCGGGTCGCTCTCGCCCGCTAGGCTCCGCTACTACGCCTGTGTACGCGCGCGGCCGGACTTTTTCGAGCTCCGCCGCAACCGACCGCATATGTACGGGAAGCCCTGGGAAGCCCAGGGCTCTATCTTTTGTCACCAGCTGAACTCATCGGCATAACCGCTTGAAGACTGCGGTTGAGACGGGCCTGTGACCCGGATCGGCGCTATACGTCATCCACAAATTTGGCGTCGCGGTCTCTGATGCGAGGGCCGCGGTCGAGATATGTTGATGAGACCCAGATACGACCCCGCGGCCGCGCGAGCCAAGATCCGACCTCGATGAGACCTCGGCAGGTTCGGAACGAGAACGGGTGATTAAGGCAAGCATTGGATTCACAGCGTGATTACGAGGACAGAGATAGATGGGCTATGGGGTTGGAAGGGCAAGGGTAATAAAATACGACACAACTTCAGAGGTTCCCAGTACGATTACTTCGACGATTTCCTTACCCCGCAGGTATACTACTGCCGTCCACTGTCCGCGTGAGTATGAGGGGTAACCAAGTAGCCTCGAGCATGTCCGAAGTCCGTAGTGTCATTGGGGCAGACGATTCGTCGTGAGACCGGGTTGGGCCGGTCAGATGGGGATGGATAGATGGAATGGGCGGAAGGCAGAGTGGTGCGATTAGAGGAGCTGCTTCCAGCCCGCTTCACGGCACTTCTTGACAAGGCGCTTAACTTCCTGGGACCGCGCGCGTGTGGTGACGAGCAGCGTGTCCGGCATATCGACAACACGATGTCATCCACACCGAGCATGGCAACGAGCCGACCGGACGCAGGCACGACGATGCCGCCAGCAGCTTGCTCGGTGACGACTGGACAGACGGGCAGGTGAGTTGCCGACCAGGTATCCGTGCATCCGATGACGTACCGAGGCCGCTATCTCCGAGAATGCGGGGTTGGTTCGACTCGGCAGGGATGAGGTCGGCGAGAGAAGAGAAATCTCCGACGTCGTCCCAACCTGGTACCGACGACACCGCTTAAGCACTCGCCCATGCTTCCCAAGAATGAATGGGACCACTCACCGAACGTGGCGGGAACGACCGCGACCTTACGGTCCATGGCAGCGGGCTCCGCGACAGCATTGTCGATGGCGATCTTCTCAAGAGTGGGCCACACCTCATCAAGCACGGACTGCCGGAGGCTCTCGTCGTCCCACGCGAGAGCGATCTTCTGCAGACCTTCGTGCAACTCGGCTTGTACTCCTTCAAGAGGTCCATGAGGAACGCCGCGCGGGTGACGAACATTCCGGCGTTCCAGCGGTAGTTACCCGTCTTGATGTACGCCGCCGCCGTGCGCGCGTCCGGCTTCTCCTTGAAGCTCGAAACGAGTCGCGCATTGGGCGCATCACTCATCCCGAGCTTCTCCCCGAGCCGGACGTAACCGAAGCCGGTCGAGGGGTGCGAGGGGCGATACCAATGGTGACAAGGTAGTCCTTCTTCGCGACTTCGACCGCCTCCGCCACCGCAGACAGGAACGCGTCGTCGCCGGAAATCATGTGGTCCGCCGCGAACGAACCAATGATCGCCTCCGGGTCGCGAGCCGCAAGCACAGCTGCAGCGAGACCGATGGCGGCCATCGAATCCTTCGCGCTTGGCTCGCACAGAAGGTTGGACAGCAGGAGATCGGGGAGCTGCTCAGTGATGCCGCTGACATGGGCAGGCCCGCGACGATGGCGGTACGTGCGGGGGAGGAAAGGGGGATGAGACGGTCCCAAGTTGCCTGGATGAGCGAGCGGCCCTTGAGTGTGAGGTCAAGCAGGAACTTGGGGTGGCCTTCTCGCGAAAGCGGCCAGAGACGCGTGCCAGCACCGCCGGCGGGGATAACAACCCAGAATCCAGGGATTTCGCGGATGCCGAATGGGAACTGTGTGAGCGAGTTGTCGCTTAGAGGAGAGGGAACATAGAAGGTGGGGGGTACGGCGAGTGAGGAGATGTTTCCCGGAGTGAGGAATGGGGACTTCGCGCGGAGTTGAGGGCTGCCTGGCGCGGGAGTTTGGAAGCCCGGGGTTCCGAGTCTCGAACCATTGTTGTTCTGCGGATAGACGACCAAGTCAATGATTGTGACTCGCGAGGCTCGATTAGAGAACGAAAGTACAGCGAACAGTGACTGGCCTAGCATCCACCAATAGAGCCATAGTCGAAGGCAACAGGCAACCAGGTCCCTGGACGTGTCTTTGATCCGTCCGTGCAGAGCATCCTCCGACTGCGGAAATTAGGCGCAACTTCGGCTGGCCCGCTCTGGGAGACACATTGACACCCACGATCGCGCTGATGTCGGGCACGTTCGCCCGTCAGACCGCATGGGCGGCGACCATCGGGGATGTTCCGCCAGCGCAGAGCCCGCGGGTGGCGAAGGAGCGGAATGACCCAAGGCCACAGCGCACAACATGCGACCATTTGTGGTACAGCAACGACGCGCGAAGGAGGCGAATGGCAAGTGCGCAGGAGACTGGACGCACCATCAGACCCTCCTTGACCTGACGTTCAAGACTCGCATTGGATTGACGAAGTTCGTGGCACTCTGAGCGCAGCTCTGCGATTTCCAGGCTCTGTGGCTCGCGATGTAAGCATCTGCGAAGCAGAGGAAGGCGTGAAAGGAGACGGCTCACGGATTTGTGAACGGCTTCAAGGATCTGCCGGAACATGATATCGACGGCAGGCCCGCCGGGGACCGTGACGGGCGCAAAGGAAGGCTGGACGGGGGTGGCCATGGTGCCGGGCAGGTGCGTCGCAGTGGGAAGCAAGAGGAGACTGCGGATGGAGGGCGGAGGGAGAGAGATGCTTGACGTGTCCGGGAGAGCCGCACTGGACTTTGAGCGAAGCGGACGTGCTGCGCCGGGCGCGCCTCTCGACGGGCCCCGTCCCGCCGGGATCATCGTCGCGCGGGAATCGCTTTATGGGCGTCCCTCGACTCCCTCTTCCTCGTCTTGTCCCATCCTCCTATCCGCCAGCCATGCCATGATCATGTCTTTGCGTTTCAGGCGTTTCTTGCAAGCAAAGGACGGACTGCGCGGCGCACACGAACAATGGATCGAGGATCCACGGGAAACCAGATCGGTCGCTGGCTCAGCCGAAATGGACCAGTGCCGGATTTTCCCTCTCTATCCCGAAGGTGACGCCCATGATGTGGGACGGACACGCCCATGCGCTGCGTGGCCTGGAAACTGGTAATCATAAGACAGTAACAACATGTCATAGGATCCTGCGGGACACCGCATGAGCGAGCAAATGTCCACTCCGCAACTGAGCCGTTTTCAGAGAACATACGACCTCGGTGCCGCCCGGGTCAGCACATATAAGAGTCTAACGGGCTTGTATAGAACCCTCATGCAACAGTAACTTTTGTCAGTAAGTACTGTTTTGCGGACCCGAGAGTGCCTGGGCCCAATATGGGCCCTCCCAGCGCACCGGCCGCATCCCCTGGTCGCGAGGGGAAGTGCCGCGGAGCTGATTTCGGTCTCCGCTGGATGGCAGCGTGCGTCGACGCCGTCTCCGACGTCGTTGCCTCAATTTTCACCTCATCGCAACTTCATGCACCTGGCTCCGTCCTGGAATTGACCTTCAAACGCACAGTACTTCAGCTCAGGCCACATAACGTCGTTGTGAGGCTCACCGGTGAGATGCGCGGTTGCTGGTAGCATGCGCGCACAACGATTTGACCACAGCAGCTGCTTAGCGAAGCAGGTCAAGCATTAGGGCAGACACATGTATGGCGTTGGCATGACCTGCACGCCGAGCGTGCCGTCTGGCTGGAGGTGCGCAGCTTAAGTTCGTCTCGTTTGTGCAAACTTGAGCGAGCGTTTTCGGCGACGAGCTGATGATAATGACAGGTGCTCAGCAGAGGCTCGCAAATCCCACATATGCCCGCGTAAGACAACACGGTGCGCCGTGCGTGGAGGACGTACAGGGCTCGGAAAGAGTTTCGTGTCCAGAATGAGCCATGGAAGGCCAGGCAATAGGGTATTCGACTCGCCGCGTTTCCACAAAGTTCAGTCGTGGCCGGGGCAGAAAGGGGCGGCGCACACCATGCGTGTGCCGAACGCAGCCAGCGCTGGAAGTGCGTGAAACGATCAGGGGGGCAAGGGCAGGTGTGTGCAAGGGGGCAGCTTTACGACTCGGCGCACCTCGTTCTCATTAAATTCTGTTGTCGGAAAGCCGCGCCGCCGCCGCGTCCCTCGTCCCTCGATCAAGCTTCATCATTCTTGTGGGTAGACAAGGGTTTACGTGAGTCCCGACCGCTCGACGACAGATGATTTTGAAACCCACCAGTTCGCATCCCCACCCGTACGTGCTCACTTCCGCAACGGCCTAGTCCTACAGTGCGCATGCTCTGCTGGGGAAGACGTGGACCGCCCTAGTGTATGACGAAGACGCAAGGGTCTAGGTCCTTTTCATGCTGGCCATGCCCGAGGACGCCACGGCCATGACTGGGAAGCTGTTGGCACCGCGACGATAAACGAACGGCCGGCTCTGGACCAGTGCATGAGGGAAAAAGACATGGAGGGCGCGGGGCTAAACAAGGTTCTGGCGACGTCGGAGCTCGCCGCTGCGCCGACCCGAGAAATCACACAGCGGACGCCGGAACCCGCACGTGCGTATTCAGTACGGAAGAGGGCCCGGGCATCGACACGGAGTCGCAGTCCTGGGCAGTAAATTGTCCGGCCTGCCAGTTCCGTGAAGACAACGGGCCCCATCGCTGGCTTTCCCAGCCCGCGAGCCATCCATTCGCTCCTCGGGCTCTGGAAGTCGGCGGCCGCCCGGGTTCTGCTCCTTTGGGTACTCTTTTCCTTCGTCCCTGCGTTTGTATTTAGGGGGCGCGCAGTAACGCTAGACACGTCCATGTCCTCCTGCTCTGCCGTAACGCTCTAGCGGCATCTCGTCGCCCTACAAGCGACGCGAGCGAGAACTCTGTTCCTACCCAGGTCTGTGTAGTCTTCTTGACCCTGAAGTGAAGCGCACCTCGCACTGTTCTCACCGGTCGCAGACATGCCCCCTCGGAGTAGGTTTTCACGACCAGTGAGTGCAATTCACAACTTACCGCGTTGTTGGTCCACCATATGCTCATGGATTAAGCTTCCCCGTTCGCACGTAAGGTCGGGTGGATCATGCGGCGTCTTCCTATAGTTCCCATTCGCGGGTTCGCTTCCGTTTTCCTGGAATGATTCAGTCTCCGCCCAGCCTAACGGATCGAGCTGTACGCGGCTCCGCGCCCTCATTTCGCCAAGCCCAGCGCAGACCTATACAGAGTTCAGGTGCGTTCGATTTCTACCCTCGATCGCAGGTCTCGTTCTCAGCAGCTGAGCACGGTGCATCCCTTCAATCTTGTGACAGAACCTTGGTCTAGGCCACGACAGGACCGCGTGGGTGCACTGCGCCGGGGCTGGCTTGGTTAATCGAGCGAAAGCGGCACGGGTCCGACTTACCCTCGGATCCTTAGACAAATGATACGGCCTGTCAAATGTTAGTCATGCCGCTGGACTAACGGCAGCGGAGGGCCTCTTCCAATTTATCTCCGTTGTCCGTGGGAGAGGTGCGTACCACCAATATACGCTGTTATTCACACGACCTCCACTACACGAAGGGTTTCTGCCCGATACATGGACACTAACAAGCCAGTTTTCCCAGGCGCAAGAGACATATACAAATTGCGCCCACCGGCGAGAAAATCGCCCTCCCCCCACGATGTTTGTGCTTTTTCGTCAACTGTACGTTTCCTTTACATGACCTTCGCCAACTTCGAAGATCATGCCGGAGTGAGGTGCTCAGCACAAATACAAATGCGCGAGAGTGAACCGTGGGCTGGGTTCATCCACGTGCAGTGCCATGTGGCCGCATATGCGCTGTCAGCGAATGCTTCACGGCATCGCGTGTGCGCTGGAGGATGGTATGTCTGCCTCATTCCGCTACCCTGACCCTACTCTGTTAACTGACAGATCTTCTTACAGCCTTCCCGTTGTGGACCCCCTCTTCAGGGTCGCTTATCAAGCTTCAACCAATAAATAGAAAGCACAAACTCTACAGTGAGCCTCAAGGCTGCGATTCGGTATCAATCTTAAAACCAAAGCCTCGTGATGTTCTCGAGCTGCCTGCCACGTTACTGAAGGACTCGGCGCGCATCAAGCCTGAAGTGCGCCCGTCCTTCCTTCCAGGGTAAGTACAAATCGCGTGCGCGTTTTCTCTGTATTAGTAAATCCGAACATACCTAGATGAAGACGCCTGATCGGTACGATCTGTCCAATGGTGGACTGCAGAGCGATCGAGGCATGCCCAGCCTGAGTCGCCTTTCACTGTGCGGAATCCTCTCCCGCACGCTTGGGTTCACGTTCTGACATGTTTTCACGTCATAAACACAGAGCGGAACACCAGATGAACACCTCCGGCCTAAAGTAGGGCCCTCGTATCGCAATTTGTATATCGAAAACACGTGGTTTTGTGAGTGGTCCCAGGATCTGCCTCCCTCTCGTTAAGCAGCCACTCATCGCGACCTTCGGTTCACACAGAGATGCGCCCCTATGTTCAAGTATAGAGCGAATGACGACCACGAAGCTCGAGCCCTCTGCTTCTTGCCACAATAAGCGCCGGTCCGGTCACAGGGCGCGTTCTCAGCTGGAGAGCATCAAGCTCGACTCTCCTTCCCCGTGCACACGCGAAATACGCTGTATCCGGAGCGTTTGTGCGATTTTGCATGCATCCAAACATTCGCGCGAGGAGCGAGTGGTAAGCTGAGCTAATCTGACACAGCAAGGTCTCCTTGTTTTCGGTCCGGCAACCTTGCTTCGACTCAAAGCGCTGGGTTCTCGCCCTGCTGTGCTTTTACGTGCTATCGTCACCTTTTGACTCGGGCCTACACAGATCGAAGATGCTTTAGTGTCACGGACGGCACCTACCTTGCTGGCACACGAAACACTTCCGTGCGTGTATTGTCGACATGCATCTTTACTAGACGCCATGGCGGCTCAACCGAAGTCAGTATCTACCTGATAGGCTACGGGCACGTACTCATCCTTTTTCTCAGTCAGCCGCCGAGGTGATATATGGGCGCGAGAAGATGGGTGATCAAGGTTCGGATCCAGCCTGGAGGCTGATACCCCGTCCGCATGCGGACACTTCGGTTCTCGCGCACTCCTCAGGGTCGCAGCCCCAGATGCGGTACTTACGTCGGTCTAGGCATCCGATCGCCTTCTCGCGACACGTTTTCGCCTCACCGGGCCGATCGTCAACCCCCAACTCAGAGCGGACGGATGCATCCAGTTCGAGCACCCTTATGTGTCAGTGCCAGGCTGCCCTCTTATCACCCCCGCCGCTCGTCCTCGTTGCTGGCTTCTCACGGATGTCTTCGCCGGTTATTGTACCCGGGGGTTTTGCAGATGCGGAGCGTGCCCCGAGTAGCCGGCGATCCAACATGACGATACCTACCTGCCAGGGGCCAGCGTCTCACCCATAGCAAACAAGGCGGCCAAGCACCCTCGACCACTGGCCATTTGTGCTCCAACGTTGGACCCTTCGGTCGGTCGGAAGCTGGGTGACGATTAAGTTGACCTCGTCACGGATCCGACGTGGTGCGAGGTGGGTGAGTCCGCATGTTCTCTTCACGCGCCTCGCCCCGGTTTCTCGCCATCCGCGGAGGCCTGTGTCACGGCGTGGACTCAAAGCGCGCCGAGTTCCTGGTTTTCGCCCCATTTCTACTCCCCTCCCGACACACGCGCGCGCAATTTCGTCACGCCGGTAGCACGTGTAGCCCCCGCACTTCGTTTGTTCTCACAGATAGCGGCCCTTCGGTAGCCCACGCGCAGCCGATCGACGAGTTCGTAGCGCGGCAAGGCACCTGAGGAGCTAGTTCGAAGTTCAAACGTTCACGTCTCAACGGACCGCCGAGCACTTCGTGCCCATACTTAGCTCTCGGGCCGGATGTGTGTACCGGATAGGCGCTTTGGTGCACCGCGCAGTCACCTTGTCCCACCGCGTTTTGATGCTCCAGATTCGGCGTCCAGTGAAGTTTGTGGTTGCCAAAACTGCCAACAAAAAACTTGGACGTATTCTGGACACATGTCAAGATTGGTTCGTGATTTATCATCCTTGATTATATCCAGCTAATGTAGAAATCTCCAGGCGACATCTTCTCCGCCCAACTCACGAACCGGGCCCCGGGAGGGTTCGAGTGGCGCGTACTACCTTACACCGGACCTCTCGGATGTTGATGGTCGCGACCAATGCGAAATCCGTCTTCGGACGGAATGCCAACCGCGCGCTCACCATGGCATGCGCCAGTTGTACAGAGCAAGCTGTCTCGCCGCCGCGGTTCTTGGCACGCGATTGGGAGAAGCAACGGAGCCCGCACCCAGCACACCCGTGGCGGGGAGCGTCCGACAATACGTATGTCCTTCCTTCGCTTCGACGTCGGCGCCCGCCCGCCGCCGCCAGCCACCGACGGGGGCTCCTGCGCTGCCGTACTTACGGCTGCGGGGGAACCTTCGCGGTGCGGCCGAGCCGCCCGTCTGCAGGTCCGCCGAGCTCAGACCGCGCTCGGCGTGCTCGATCGCTCGACCGAATGCGTGCGCGCCGTTGTGCGTGGGACGAGGTGGCAGGCCCGCCGCGCTGCCCGGCGCACGGCCTGCGCTTGCTGCGCTCCCGCCGGGCCACCGGTCGCCGGGCAGCGCGGCTCGCGAGGGCGACGCAGGACGGGGAGGCCCGCGGCTGGCCCAGTCGATCCCGGCGCCGCACCGTGCGCCGCGGGGTCTCGCACAGCGCGGGCCAGGGCGGACGTCGCGGCGGACGCGCAGGCTAACGGCGGGCCGCATGGGCCCTGCCTCGGGGCGGGAACGGTCCCGCCCCGGGGCGACGGCTGCTACGCGGAGCTGGGTCGAGTGCCTCTCGACAAATGAACCCCGGTCCGTGTTCGCGTCCGGTGCGGGGGGCAGCAGCGCACCTTCCGGACCTCCTTCGGCGCATCGTGGGTAGCTAGCTAGTGAGCCGCAGCCCAGTGGAGCCCGAGGGGGCTCTCGGGGCTCGCACTGCCACGCGAGTCGGGTAAAAGTGCGGAAGTGAGCTAGCCGGCGCGACGGGGCCTTCGGAATGGGTGTCGAGCTCTAAGCAGGCTTCGCGCTGGTTCCGTGCTTGGGCGAGAAGGCGCGGACTTCGCGAGAGCACGCGGCCCACGCACGGTACGTAACGCCAAAAACTCTCTGAGACCTGCAGCGCAACCCCAGGAACGCCAATGGGCAGCCTCTGCGCCTCGCTCACGGGTCGTTGTGCGGCCGGAGGACGCAGCGTCGGCCGCCGTAGAGCCCAAGTGAACGGTCGCCGCCGATTGAGCGACTCCCGTCGCAATGCACCACTCACTCCTTTCGGACGCGTATGGGAAGCGACCTGCGGCGCGACAGTGAGGTACGTACTTACGGTACGTACGCCCGTATAGTGGCATTGGCCTGTGCTGTGGCATGCAGTGGCGACCCTCCTCCTCCCCCTCAACCCAGAAGGCTGCCCAGGGCTGCCCAGACGAGAGATGCAGATCGGCATCTGCCTTTCCGGCAGCCACTCCCGCTTCCCCGCCCTCCCGTCCGTCGACCGACGACGACGCGGCCGGAATGAAGGCCCAATGCATGTGGATCAGACGCGTCGCCGCGCACCGGTGCCCGGCCCCGCGAAGCAGACGGCTGCGCACCGGGTCCGCCGTCGACGTCACGACGCCCCGCGCCCATTAAAGCCTCCCGCCCGCCGTCCGCCCGCTCGCCCGCTCGCGGCGATTGGCGGGGCGGTATCGCGGGAGCGCAACGGCGCGCGTGCCGGGCCCGCTACGGAACCCGACGCCGCCCGAGGACGACGTGCATCAGGCGCATCCCGTCTCGACAGGGCGAAGGAAGGAGACCGCACCGACACCTTCGCGCAACGCACAAAGCGACAGCAAATGTGGCAGGCCGGCCGCCGCGCGTGGTGGTCACGGTGGTGGTGGGGGTGGGGGAGGCGCTGCTCCTGCTGCGTACGGATCGCGGAGCCAGCAAACGGCGAACGCTGCGGTTCGCGAGTCGTTCCCCGCCGGCCGCGTCCTGGGGGCGTGTGCGCGTTGTGGGCGCAACGTCGTGGCCGCGCCTCGCTTTCCTGCTTATCTCTGCATCGTGGGCCACGCCGCCCTCAGGGCGCGCGACCCTGCAATGCATCGTGGGCCGCCCTCCCGCGCACCTGGAGGGCGCACGCGGCGTACGTCTTCCAGTCAACCGGCGCGCGCCCGCCGCTGCAGCGCACTTGAAGGCCTTTAGGGTCTGGAGGCCGGCTACAGCGTCCAGACGGAGGGCGTTCGCGGGCAACGCGACGTCGTGTTCAGCGCACGTGCGGGGGCGCGTGTTCTGAGTGGACGTCGAGGCGGTGCCGTCGAGAAGGGATACAATATATAGACCTCGGACTGTTGCTCGGATCTGGTTTCCCACAAATGGGGAATTGGCTGACAACGACATATCGTTGCTTCACTTGGACCGTCTTGGAGCTCGAAGCAGCCGCCGCGGGTCGCGAGGGCTAGTGCGGTCGGTCCTCGTATACCTCCAGCGGAATCCTCGATCGGTCGGCAGCGTCTTGCCATTAATTATATGGGCTAACAGAGGCTAGCCAGTGGTTACACAGCCTGCGACCGGAACTCCGGAAAACCCGATGGCCCAGGGCGGTAGAAACGAGGGCGCAGAAGAGCCCGAGGCGAAGCGAGCGGAATCAAGCGCACACCAGAGGATGCAAGTCCAGAGAGAATTGTGCCATAAGTCGTACAAAAGTGGCGCGCGGCGCACGGAAAACAAGGTAGAGTACATGATCGGACATTCGACCCGGTCCGTGGTCCGTCATCATTAGCATTATCTAAATAACGTCGTGTGGAAGCCGGTCGTGAGGAGATAGAATACAGCTGCGAGAACTCGGGTCCGAGGGGTAATAAGCGCGCAAGGCGAGCGAGGGGAAAGCATCGTCGACATACAAAGCAAGAGGGGCAAACGTTACAGAGCGTAGATAGTGTACACCGTGGGTGCGCGAGCCTGCGCGAGAGAAAGGCAGAGTCCGCTCGTCAATCTAGTCCGCGGCCGTACTGGAGCTGCCTCAGGGCAGTCTCGTCCGCAGGATCGCGCGGTGCTGGGGCGAGGTTCTGCAGGTATTCGAGGGGCGCGAGGCGCCACGCGACATTTTGCGCGCTCTGAGTCTCTGACAGGGCGGGCTTCGGCTGGTGCTGGGCCCGGTGGCCGTGCGGGTCGACTGCGGGTGTAGGAGGGAAGGGATAGGCGTCTTGGTGCTGATGGGAGTGTTGAAGCTGGTAGTAGGTATGGGAGGGGGTGAGGGGATAGGCACCAGTGAGGGAGTCGACCGAGCTCGTGCTGCTGTTGCTCGAAGGAGGCGACGGTGGGGGAGAAGGGCCCGAGTCGGAGAGCGCAAGCGCGGGCGGAGCGAAGGTGAGTGCGCGAGTCCTGCTGCGCGCACCGTTGTTCCGCGCGCATACATACTCGTTTATGGGTACTTGTATGCTCGCGAGCTCGGGGTAGTCGTCGATGGTGTTCAGAGAGTGATAGGTCTCCTTGGTGTAGTAAGCGTCTGAGGTAAGGACGACGGTGAGTGATGAGGGGCGAGGCTGGAGCGGAAGGAGAACTGACTGAGATGCCACTTGCGGGTGTTGCGCGGGTAGTCAATGTAAACAGAATAGGTCTGCTTGACGAGCTGGGGCGCGCTGGGAAGGACGGAATGAGATGGAGAACAGAGGGGGGACATGGGAGATACGCACGCGCGCGGGTTGGTGCGAAGGAGGACCGAGGTCCTCGAGGGGCTCGCTTTCTCGTAGTAGATCAAGAAATTCTAGAATCCAAGGGCGCGATGAACACGCGAAGGGGGAGATGGACGAAGAGGGGTGCGGGGACGGGCGGGGAAAGCAGTGCAAAGAGAACAGAGACTCACGTCCTTTGCGCGAGAGGGACCCCAGCTGCGGCCCTCGGTAAAGCGCTGGATCTCCTGGCCAGTAGCCTCGTGGGGATTGGAGCTGCGCTCCTCCCAGACGTAGATGCAGCCGGATCGGAGGGCGAGGCGCTCCTCGTCGCCGAGACGGTGGACGACCATGGGGAGGATCTTGAGCTTGACGGCGTGGAGGAGGATCTCGGCGTCATGGACGTTGCGGACGGCCATCTTGGTGATGGTGGGTGACTGGCGGGCCATGGGGAGTGGAGGCGGGGTGCGGGGCACGGGACGCGGGGGCGGGGAGAGGGGGAAGTGGGGGGTGGCGGAGGAGGTGGCAGGACAAGATATAACCGGGGCGGGCGCCGAGGAAGGGGTGTATATGGATTGGAGGGGGCGGAGGGGGGGGAACGCCTGGGGGGACAGAGTTCGGACGGTTCCCGCGGGGGTTCGAGCGGGCGGGGGGTGGATGTGCTCGGGATGGAAGGCAGACAGCGGAAGGGGGCAGGGCGCGAGGAGATCGACCTCGACAGCCCGCGCTCTTTGTCGCGCGCGATAGGCCTCTGGACAATGCTTGTTCACCCTGATCGCCAACCTTATCTGCCCCGGCCACGGTCTCTCTGGCGCGCGGGGAACGCGCGCGACCGTCGCGCGCGGCGGGTGATGGATCGCTGGCGGTCGGTGGGCGCGTGACTCGATCACTGCGCGCGGGAACGAGGCGTGTGTGACCCCGACCTCGACCTCGACCTCGGCGCGCGCACCCGCCCCCGCCCTCCTCGTCTTCTCCTCGCCCGCCGCCCGCATCCGCCGGCCACGTCCTTCCAGGCACGGGACCGTCCGCGGTCATGTTCGCGTCACCTCCGTCGCTGGCGGCGGGACGTCGCGCTGACCGTCGACGGACGCGGCGTGGAGAGCGGCCTCCCGCGAGGCTTTTGCGTCGCAGCTGGCCTGGACAAGCAACCGTCCCACCGCCGTCCAACGAGCTCCAATCTACCCATTCGCGGACAGCAATCCGCATCCCCATTCGGTGCGGTCGTGAGAGCGCACGAGCGACCTGCGGGCGAGCGCCCGCGCGTCCAGCTCAAGGCCTGGAATGTTGAAAGCGGTGCGAGCTCAGCGACGTCCCGGCGTGCGTTTGCGCTTCGAAACCCAATTGCAAGACACCGAAAGCAGTCCTTCCCAGCGCCGCGGTGGACGATTTTCCGGCCCGCCTCCCGTCACCCAGATCGGCGCGCCTGCCCCCGCGCCTCCGCTCGTCTTCACCTCTCCCGCCATCGACGCGCGCCGGCAGAGCGCATCTGCCTCTCGTTCCGTTCGCGGCCGTGCGAGCGACGGCCCCTGCAGCGCGCCGCGCTCCCGGACGGCCGGCCAGTGGGCAGCTTCGAATGGTCGCGGAATCACGAACGTCGCCCGATTGTGCCGCGTAGTTTCCGAACGGCTGGCGTGCGCATCGAGATAGCAAGCACTAGTACTCTCCCCCTCCGCTCCCGCGTCTGTGTTCAGGGCGTTGTCGCCACGCGCGGGGGCTCGAGCAGGCTCTCCTTCTGCCGCCCGCCTGCCATCCACAGGATCCCCATGACGTCGCGTCCGCGTCACCCCCGCGTCCGCGCCCGCGATCGCGCCCCGGGTCGTTTCCTTCATCCCCAAAATGGCCGATGCTCGTACCAGAGGGTCGCACGCGGCACGATCGGACACGCGAAGCCTATCGCGTCCATCAGAGTTCATTCGCCCAAGCCACCCACCCGTTCCATTTCACCTCGCACCTCCTTCGCCCCGGGCCGCGAGAATCGCCATCCGTCCAGCCCAGCCCCCTCCGGTCAACGTGGAGCGCGGGCTGCACACCTCTCCGTCCGAGAGGTTCCCAGTCGCCCCCCTTGGACGAGCCGCCGCCCTCAAGCTCGCCGCCTCACGGCATGGCTCTCACCGCTTGCGCTTTCGCCATGCGTCCAGAGTCCAGATTTACGTGCGTGTGACACGCACCGGTCCCTCGCCCTCGCCCTCTCCCTCTCCCGTAACGCGCGTTGAATCCACCGCCGCGATCCAATGGCGAGAAGACGGAGAGGTGAGTGACCCCGTGACCCTCCTACATGGACTCACGGCGCGTCGTGTTCACCCTCCAACAGCTACACGCCCAGGCTACGGTGCACGCACAGTACGAACTCCATTGGTGCCACTGTCTGAAATCTTCGACACAGCGTACGCCAGCTCCGAGCCGACGTGTCTCATGCTCTCTCGCCCTTGAATGGGTTCCCGCCTCGATATCCGCCTAGCTGCGTCTATTGCGTGCGGACCTGTGAAACACGGACCCCACGTTTCTACGGCTTGGCAGTCGACACTCAGCCGTGGTGGGTATAACGCGGCCGTCTTCTTCGGCTAGCCGTTGAAGGCTCTAAACATGCGCCATTCCTCCCAATCATGGAAGGTAACTGGCCTCGGCCCTCTGCCCACGACGGGTTTCCAGGTATCTGGGCACAGCTTCGCCTGATATAACACGATTTCTCGAACGTGGCGGCCAATCTCACGAGGATGCCGGCTCCGTTGATACATGTTGTCTCGAATCCGATCATCAGCTCGCGGAGGCTAACATCCCCTTCGATCTACTCCCGCAATCTCCGCGAATGTAGCAAGTGTATACCGGGATGAACGTTTCCTATGGTCCAGGCGCCACTGGACCTGGGCGAGGCCTGCACGGTTATGTCGTCCCTGCAGCGATAGAGGTGCCTGGCGCCTGGGTATGATCCGTGCCACCCCGCCGTTTAACCTTGGTTTGCCTCGCTAACGCTGACCTGGCGCCCACGCAGGCACGACGACGTCTTCGGACTTCCCTGTCCTCGAAGTCCTTCCCCTCCCCTACGCTCGGCGGACCGAGCCCGCCTGATCAGTTGGATGGAGCAATATCTCCGTGTCCCCCGGCTTCGACGCTCGCATGCTTATCGCGCACGCCGAACATCCGGCACTCGACCCCGTCCAGATAGAAGGAACGTGAGACACGAGGCCTTCGTGCGCTGCTATTCCGGGCTCGGGGGGCACGCGCCCGGCACCTGGTAGCGCGCCAGCTGCAGGGTCGTATCGCCAAGAAAGTCCGACTCGCGCCATGTCCTCCTCCGCATGGAACAGCACGGAACTCGCTGCTACTGTGCCCTCGACTTTTGACGCCCAACGCCTCGCGCCCCCTGCCCAACGTCGCCCCGCGCGTACAACCCAGCCCAGGCTTTGACAAATTCCCATGCTGCGTCCTATGCACCCTGGCAATCACGTCCATGTCGACTGCGGATTCTTCACTGCAGTCAGCCCAAACGCCGACTGTGCGGGTTCATACGACTGAACCCTGCCTACCTGAGCGCGCATGCGTTGAAGTCCTGGAGGCTCCGAAGCCGAAGAAGACTCTCGGGTGCAGTAAGGGTTACCCCTTTTGCCTCGTGAGTTCTGGGAGAGGTTGAGGAGGGAAACAGGTGAGCCTTGTTCAGACCTGCCGCTGCTTGTCAGCCAAATGCTTATGCTTGCGCCTGTACTCGAGTGATGCGCTCGAACATGACGCGCCGGAAAGCGCGCGGATGACAGCTGGGCGGTCTCCCTCACGATGCAGACGACTGCGACTGCGGCGCCTCTCTTGCATGGGGTCTCGCGTTCGGTGCTGATATATTCTCGGCCAGGGTCCGCGAGAAACGCGTCATGCGAGTACGCACAAGAGAACGTCTCTCGATCGTTTCAGAACAGGACCCGCCCCGGGCTGGCCGGATGGAGCACACACATGGGGGCCGGAGGCGCGCGCGCCCAATGATTCCGCGATCTCGACAGGCGCTCGAGGCAAGGCGATATTCAAGGTTTGACAGGTGCATGATCGTACGGGGCGAGCACAGAATCAGTCGAAGATCTACTGAATGTGCGGGGACACGGCTCCCAAGCCGCGCGTGGGAGACAGCGCGGGGGGCCAGGGCGCGCGAGGGCCTCCGCACTCGCCCGCTGCCCGCCATTCGTCTGCTTTCGGGGGCCAGGCTCTGGCGGGCCACCGTGCCGGCTCCGCGCGCGACGGCCGAGGGCGTCGAGGATCGTCTGAAGGCCAAGCTGCGTTCGAGCACGCCTCGACCCCAAAGGACGCGCTCGCGGGCCCCGTCTGTCTTCTCCGCCTCCGCGCAGGGTCCGGGTGCGCTGGGAGGCGAGGGGCGAGGTGAGCCTTGCTCGCCCGGTCGCCCTACCTCGTGCACGAGGCCGGACGCGCAGGGTCGGGGTTGTGAATTTGTATCCGAGCACTCTCGCCGCCGCCGCCGCCGCCGCCCACTCGCGCCTCTGTGCACTGTGTCACGAGCCCGGGGCGGGCCGCGCCCCCGCATTCGACAGCCTACCCACCCACCCCATGTACACGTCCTTCACCAGTCACTCGCGCCCCGCAGACGCAAAAAGGGACCGCCGTATGGCTGTGGTTGGCGTGCACGCCCCCCGGCGCGCAGTCGCGGGCCCGGGTATGCTTTCGCCACACCCCTGGCCTTCTCCTGCCTCATGGGCCTCCACCCGCAAGTGGCCATCGGTGGTGGACGAGCGATGGTGCGCTGCACTGGGGCGCGAGCGTGCAGCTGACGGCGCCCGCCCGTGGGGAGGCGCCCGGCGCGGGGCGGGCTTATTGCCATTTGCCTTCGGGACTGTCTCGTCCGACGGTCTTGGCCACCTCGGAGCTCTGCCTGGGCCCGTGCCGCGGCGTCGGACGCGCGCCCGGGCCCGTCGGTGTGGCTTCGCGCACACGGAGCGTGCAGCTGTGCCCGCGGCTGAGAGCCTCGCTCGATGCGGTCTGGCCGTCACGGCGCGCGGCAGTCTAGCTGAACAGACTTCCTCTCGATCGGCACCCGGGGGGGGGGGGGGGGGGGGGCGCTCGCCAGCCGCGCGTGGATTGGTGGGCCGCCTTCGCGCCCGGCGCCGTCACCGGCTTCGAAAAGGGTGATGGGTGGACCGTGGCCAGCAGCCGGGGGGAGGGCTCCATCGACCGCCCTCCGCGCCGCGCCGGGCTTCGACTGGCTCGCGTCGACCTCCCGCGGCCGGCCGCGCGCGTGTGCTGAGATCTTTGATCTTTGCTCCGCTGCAGGCAATCGCGGGCCCAGGCTGGGCCGGCCGCTCGACGGTGGCCGGGCTTCTTCCCTGCTTCCTTCCCGTCATTTACCATCGTGGGCCGCCACCGGGCACGGGCGACGTGCGCACGGACGACCGGAAGCACGTACGTACGTCCAACGCCACAGCCTGCTGCAGCTGGATGGTGCGCCCTCCGCCTGGGGGGGGGGGGGGGGAGGGGGGACCGTGGGCCGGTCTGCCCCACGGGCCACCCACAAACGAAGCGCGGCGTGACGCGAGTGAGCGAGCGAACGGCCCCGCTCTGTCACGGAGGCGGAGTGGCGTCGGACGGCGGAGTGGTACGTGCAGCTTCTTCCAACGCCGCGAGGGGATGGGCGGGACGCAGTGTGTACCCCGCGGGCCCGAGCCGCCCCTCCGATTCTCCGTCCGCGCCGGCCGCGCGCGTGGGTGCTGCAGCTCAGGCCCAAGCTCATGAGCCTCCCAGGCCCCCTGCCCCCGGGTTCGAGCTTCGTCTTGACGCTCGCCGCGCTCAGAACGCGATCGACGCACCGGCCGAGCACACTAACCCCGCCGAGCCGCACAGAGCGCAAGCCCCCGCCGTCGCGGCCTCGGGCCTCGCGGACTCCGACGAGCACAACCACTGGCCACCGCACCGTGAGGGCCAGGAGAGGACAATTAATTGCACGCACGCAGGTCCAACCCCGCGCGGGCGCCTCCTCGCCGCGGGATGCAGATCGACGAGCGCCGAGGGCTCCCGCGCACGCGCTGCCGCGACGACGGGCACTCGGCGCGCCTTCTGCCGGCTCAGCGCTGGCGCAGACCGCCGTGGTCCACCTCTGCGGCGTCCCGCGAACGCTGCGGTGGGTGCCCCAGCCGAAGCCAGCCGACGCGTCCGCCTCGGCACCAGCGACATCCGGAGATGAAGCACTCGCTTGGGGCGCGCGCGAGGTTGGGTCACAAGGGGACTGGGTGCCTCCTTCAGGGTGGACGAAGCGTAGTTCATCATATGTCATTCGGACTCGTGTTGTACATGCGGGGGCCCATGCGGCCTTGTTTGACGGACGTGAGATGCGGGCGCGAGAGACAAGGAAAAGGGCCCGCGCGAGCCGGTCCGACGGGCCTGATGCTAGGGAATGCGGGGGCTGGAGGCTAGGCTCTAGAGAGCGGCCTTCAGAAGCCCTTGTTGTGACCGCCCTTCTCGTAAAAATCTTCCATGCGGGCGACAATGTTGGCCAGCGCGGCGAGCCACTTGTTGAGCTCCTCGTTGAGCTTGTCGGCCGGGACGGCGTCGCCGCCGGCCGGGTCAGCGGCGAGCTTGGAGTAGAAGTCGGCGCGGTAGGGGCACGCCTTCATCGCGACCTGCTCGTGTGGCGCGGCGAGGAAGGCGAGTAAAAAGAACGTCATCAGCCTTGCTCTCACGCGCAGTATGATGAGTCCAGATCGGGAAGGGACAAGGCTATGTCAGGAATGAAGGTACCGGTGCGCGCGGGTAGGGAACGACATGGACTCGGAAGTGGTTCGAACAGGGCACACACGCAGGAGAAGCGGAAGCAGTGGAGGACCGCCCGCGGCGAGAGGTAGGAGAAGAGCGGGATCGGGAGAGACGCACCGTGAAGACGCCCTTGACGATGAAGTTGTGGAACTTCTTGAGCGTGGCCTCGTACGCCTTGGAAAAGGCGACGGAGAGCTCCTCGGTGGCGTCTGCCTGCGCGGACTGGAGGGCCTTGCAGGTGAAGGAGAGGCCGCGGAGAAGCCACATGAGGCCCTCAGTCGCCGTGCGCTTCTTCTCGCCCTTCTCGTTTTCGACGAGGAGCTCAAGTGTCGCCGACTTGTCCGGCGCCGCGTCGTAGCGCGCGCGCAATTTCTGTCCAGCCCACGCGAGTCAGCGCAGGGTCCGGCGCCGCGCTCACGCGATCTCGGGCAGGGGATGCTCACCGTGATGTTGCCCTTCAGGTCGGCCTGGACCGCGGCGAACGCGGCGGAGCCAAGGAGATCTTTGCACGGCGTAAATTGGATGAGGGCGTTTCCGAGTCACATGGGGATCAGGCTGGTACGCACCAAAGAGACCGACGACGCCCTGGGAGGCCTCAAGGAAGGCGAGGGTGTCGACGCCAGCGTCTGTGATGAGGACATCCGCGAAGGACTGCCGAGGCGATGGTCAGACGATTGCAGAGGAAGAGGAGGGGTGTATGCGCGAGCCTTGACGGTCTCAAGATACGGAGCCATTGGAGCGGACAGATGTGGGAGGAGGAGGAGAGAAAGAGGTGGCCTAGCATCGCGGGGGAGATCAGATCCGGGTATTGATTGTCGCAGCGAGTTAGACGCGAAGGTTACGTGCCTCTATCTAATCTAATCTTGCTCGATCGCGTGGCCGATGGAGATGGGCGTCTGGCGGACGCGATGGCTCCCGCGATGAAAGTTGTTGCGCCTCCTCGCCTTTGTCTCCCTCCCGCGACTCGGCACCCACACCGCCCGCTGTTCTCCCACCGCTCGCCTAACGGTGGTGGTTTTCCTCCAGCACCCACAGGTTGCCATGCCGCACGCTGATTCCGCGATGATCCCCGCGGGGCTCGACAAGGTCGCATTCTGGGCACACGTCCACGAACAGCTCCGCCACCTCTTGGCCGGCCAGCGCGATTGGGTGTGTTTGCGCTTGTGTACTCGCGTCCCCACCTGCGCTCCGTCCGCTGATCGACCGCACCCGCGCCCTCCCCTTTCCCGCCCCACCTTCCGTCCTGCGACCCTGCACGGCGCTATGTCCAGGTACCAACCTCGCGAACGCGTCCTCGCTGATCTACAACTCTCTCTACGCCTGCCCCGAATTCGGCTCGGGCGAGCGCATGGTCAACTGGTGCGGTGCGTTACCCGCCGCCTCGCCTCTTCCCGCGAGCCCCGTCCGTGCACCTGCCCCGCTCCACCAGGCGTGGCACGGGACGCCGGGCGCCCGGTTGACCCTCCCTCCGCCCGCTTAACCTCCCGTTAACCCTCGGACCCACAGGCTTCTACCTCCACCCCACCCTCTTCCCCGCTCCCAGGTTCAGCGCGCCCGCCGCCGCGCCCCCCGCGCCGGAGCGCCTCCTCCTGGGCCCCTTCTGCGGCAAGCCGGCGTGCCAGCTGATCCACGTCGCGCCCGGGCGCGCGCGCGGCGTCTGCGCGGACGCGTACGTGCACCGCCGGACGGTGCTCGTGCCCGACGTGGACGCCTACCCGGGCCACATCGCGTGCGACGGCGAGACGAAGAGCGAAGTCGTGTGCCCGCTCCTGCTGCGCGTCCCGGCGGCCGCCGGCGCGGAGGCGGAGGCGGAGGCGGAGGCGGAGGCTGGGGCGGAGCGCGCGCTGGGGGTCCTCGACCTCGACTGCCTCGCGCTCGGGGGCTTCGACGAGCGCGATCGGGACGGACTTGAGCGGATTGCGCAGCTCGTCGTCGATGCGTGTGACTGGTAGCCGCCTCCCGTGCGGTCGCTGGTCCGGGCGGGGCGGAGGCTGGGAGAGGAAGCGCACATACCCGGGGGAGTCGCTGGTGATAGAAGCGTTGTGCTAAAACGTACCGCCGGGAATCGACCGTCGAGAAGGCTCGCAATGAACCGTCGAAGCGTCGGAGGGCCGCTAGCGTCGCCTACCGATGGATCTGTGGACGCCAGTTGCCAGGAGGAAATGAGGTGCCTCTTCTAGTCTTCGGCCCGCGCTCGTGTGAAGGGGACGGACGGCCGCGCTTGCATCTGGCGTGTGGCTTGGTGCTCTAGAAGGCCATACGCAGGCCCCACTAGCCACCAGACAACTTAAAGTGCTTCAACGGTCACAATCACGACCAGGGGACGACTACAAATTCCCGGCAACCTATATAAGCAGAACAAGCTTCCGTTCTCGTCACAGTGCCGGCTGCATTCGACGATAATCTGTCAACTGCGGTCTCCGCTCGTTCTTGTTCAACAACCACCCACGTAGCGCCCACACGGAGCCACCAGAACGAACGAACGACGCGCCCAGTGATCCAGCAAACTCCGCGACGGTCCCAACCGGCGTCTCCCTCCGCCCGCATCTACACCGCTTCCTCCACGGCCCCTCTGCGGCTAAGCGCCAAGCCCTGCAGCTCCATTCGCGCCCTGCCCGCCCGCACCGAACTCGCGCGGCGCCTACTCCCGCGCCTGCTCCTCCTTCCGCTGCCACTCCAAAAACTCGTCGTGGCGCTTCTTCTGCGCCGTCCACTCCTTCTGCATCTTCTTGCCCGCGCTCTTGCTCACCTCCTTGCCCGCGCCGTCGTGCGTCGGCACCCCGTCCGCGTCCCAGCGCGAGTACGCGCCCTCGGGCACCTGCGGCGGCCGGAAGAGCTCCCCGGGCGGCGTGCGGCCCTTCTCGAGCGCGGCGAGCCGCTTCTGCCGCTCCGCCTCCTGCGCCGCCGCCTTGCGCGCCGCCTTGGCCTCCGCGAGCGCCCGCTTCTCGTCCCGCGCCCGAACGAGCTCCGCCGGCTGGACGAGCTTCACGAGCGCCTTGCCGTCTGCGGGTGCGCAAGGGCGCAAGGGCGAGCGGGCCGGGCAGGGGATGGGGGCGAAGGAAGGGCAGTCGGGAGGTGTGAAGCCGGCGCCACCGCGATCGGGACCGTGCCCGATGGAGAAGCCAGGGTGGGGAGCGCGAGTGGGCGCCACGGGATTAGGATAGATGAGATGGGCGATGCACGATGCGCGAAGTGAGGGCGTAGCAGGGCAGCCACGCGTGCAGTGCCAGAGCGGTCGCAGCACGGGCGTAGCGCAGAGGGGCGAACGTCGGACACCGGTGCCAGGCACGCGGTGAGGGTCGTCGAAGAGCGTGCGTTCGGGAGCGAGGCCGACAAGGTTTTCGCGAACCGTATGTTTGTTTGGCGTAGGGATTGATCACAGTGACGCCGGGGGCGGGGTGACATGAAGACATGGAAGGAAGTTTGTTAGCTGCTTATCCAATAGCACAGCGCGCGCGCGGAGAGGGAAAGAGGGGCGAAGGGATCGGGGGAAGCCTCCGCCCGAACACAAACTGAAGGGTGGGCCCAAGGGTAAAGAATGACGATACCGGCGCGTACCTTCTTGGTCGTCCAATGCAACCCCGAGCGGCACGAGATCCGTGTCCCGCAATTTGTCCGAGAGCGCCAGAATGTCCTTCAGCGCGCTGTCGCCCTTGTCGATGGCGAGCTTGCGCACCCCATCACGGAATGACGAGAGGATGCGGAGGTACGGCATGAGGACCTCTTCGCGCTGCACGGATCACGAGTCAGCGCAAGCCCAGGTCCGCATGGGGGTTGCACCACATTTGATCGCCAAGGGGAAAAAACACAGAGCATGATGAGTACTAGGCATCGTGGAATGGAATACGCAGGACTCACATCAAGGTTCCCCTCGCCTTCGCCTCGTTCCTGGCCCCATCCAATCTCGGCTGTTTCGCCTTCGCCTAGACCGAACATCCGAAGCATGTTCCCCACCCAACGTGCGACGCGCTGTACCAGTCCAATGTCAACATTGCTCCCGGGTGTCTTCAAATAAACGTTCGTCTTCGACACGAGGTCGCGTAAAACATTGACCGCCTCGGGCGTGTTGAAAGAGTCGCAGAGCGCCGTGCGGAACGCTGCCTGACTGGCATGGAGGCTTTAGAGTGGTCAGGGTTAGATTGGGCGAATTGATAGAGCCAACGGTTGAAGCATGCGTACGATCAGCACACGGGGTCTACCAGGAGGGAAGGCCGAAGCGTACCTCTCCGTTAGTTCGCGCTCGGCCTGCTGGAATGGGTTATTGCCGTCGAGTTTCAGGCCCTCGGCCTCGGACTGCGAGACGAGCGCCTTGACGTTCGTGAAGAAGTTCTGTCGGGCGCAGATGAATGAATGCCATGGGTCAGGAGGTACCTCCGCGTCTGAGCCGTGTCCGGGCGCGCAGGAGGGACAAGGTCGGCAGAAGAGCGGGCCACGCACATTGAACGCAATCTCGATTCCGCGTACTTCTCCCGTCATGAGAGTCTCTGAGAAGTCGACTTTGGAATTCCAGAGCTGTGTCAAGAACGCGAGGCGCAGCTGGCGCGCGGTGTACTTCTGCAGTATTTCCTAGAAAGGTGATTTTCGTGGCCGGAGCGAAGACAGTCAAGGAAGCCATGGTCAGTGACGTGCGCTCGTACCGCGGGAGAAGTAGGGTGGCAGGCGTGACTCACATCGATCGTAATGAAGTTTTTAAGCGACTTGCTCATCTTGAGACCTTCGATGTGCAGATGGCCAGTGTGGATGAAATAATTCACCCACGCCGAACACTCGTGGTATGCCTGCAATGGGACCTCAAAACGCGCTCCAAGGATAGAAGACGTGAACGCGTACCTCAGATTGGGCTATCTCATTGTCGTGATGTGGGAAAGCGAGGTCAACGCCGCCAGAGTGAATGTCCATATTCTCTCCGAGGATCGCGGAGGCCATAACCGAGCACTCGATATGCCACCCAGGCCGGCCCGGACCCCACGGGGACGGCCACTCCGGCTCTCCCGGTTTGCTCGCCTTCCACAACGCGAAGTCTGCAGGAGACCGGCGCCCCATGGTGCCCGCCCCAAGCGCGCCTTCGCCCTCCTCAAGAAGCTCAAGGTTCCCTTTGCTCCAGGGTTCGAGCTTCGCATACGAGTGGTTGTCCGCGCGGTCGAAGGCACGTGTATCGAAATAGACTGAGCCATCGATGGCGTACCCGTAACCGTTCTTGATGATGCCTTCCACAAATGCCACGATTTCAGGGACATATTCAGTCACGCGGGTGAGCGTGTCGGGATCTCGAACGCGAAGGCGGCGCATGTCTTTGAAGAATTCGCCTTCCCAGTGCGCGGCAAGCGACCGGAAGATAGTGTGATCGCTCACCGTGGCACCCAACTGAGCACGAGATGAGCACGAGGTCCCCACATGTCAACGAGAGGACGACTGACTTGTTTGTCCAGGGTGAGGGCTAGGACGTCTTTGGAGACGTCAATGAGAACATGAGCGTTCTCCACTCCCGTCTGGCCAGACTTGAGCTGCTCTTCCGCTTTGACGAGAGCTGAGTACGTTGCGTTCTGTTCCGACTGCTTAGCACACCTCATGTCTTGGTTCATCGACTAGAACATACCGCAGCATTGAAGTGCATTTCAAACTTCTCGTCGCGCTGGAGGTTCGCCTTCTTCCAAGTCGCGTCCTGGAACTGTCCCGCCAACGTGGGCCATGCCCCCTTTTCTCCGCTCGGGGCAAGACGCTCCGCTTCGTCGAGGCCCTTCCCGACCTTGGACTGGACGTACGACATCCATGAGGTTAGAACCTGTTCCACAAGTTCCGGCGTGAGGGCGTTCGTATTCGAACGTAGTTGCGAGATTAGGTGATTGTGGCGGGCTCGGAGGATGATCTACAGCAGCGTCTAGTGAGAAATGGCAGAAACAGACGTCAGACATGGGCGAACGGGGTCTCGAAACTTTTTAATGATTCAAGCGGGCCGTTTAGGACCAATATTGAGTATATGCACGGCGACTCGCGCAGACTGTCAACCATGAATGGCGGTCCAACTGGCGAGCCCAAACCAAACGGCTTCTCACTCCTGTTCTCCGCCAGTGCTCTTGCGGCATACATCGCTGAGAAAGGAAAAGTACACACCTTGTCGTCGATATCCGTGATGTTCATGACGAAGTGAACGTCGTATCCAAAGTAATCCGTCATGATCCTGCGCAGAATGTCCTGGGTGACGTAGTTCCTGTAGCCTCCGAGGATGAGCTTCCCTTTACATACATCACACTGAACGAAGTCGCACCTTGCATGGCCCATATGCGAGGAATCATAGACAGTCGGCCCACAGTTGTACCACTTGACATGACGACCTTCGTTCGGAATGAACTCTGTCTGTGCAAGAGTCTATAAGACAATGTTGCATGGTGTGACGTGTGTGAGGCGGATGACCAACTTTTGTCCTTGTAAGCGAGTTGTAGAGCTTGAGAACCGGCTCTGAAGCTTTCTGAGTAGGGAGTGACCAGGGGGGTTGTTGTACAGCCATGCAGGACGCAGTTGCGAAGCCTCTAGTGGGGGAAAGGGTAATAGGGGGCCGTGGACGATGTCTTGTGGGATACAGACGGAGATGAAGGGAGAAAGAGCGCATGCACGCAGCTGCTTATAGTAGGCCACTCCGGAGTCAGTCCGACTCGAGCACACCATCTAAGGTCGACCTGATCATCGACGACCAAATACTATGGGCGTCTACATGTTTACGGGCCGCTCCACCCTCCAGCTACTAGTCAGTGCCGGTTGCTTACTGCAGAATGCTTCACACGAAGTCCGTAGTTTTCGAGAACCATAGAGTGTTTGATTCGTATGCCTAATTCCGGACAAGGGGACAACATCTGTGCAGGGTATGTAGCGTAATGGAGGCGACGAGGTGCTAACCAAATGCTGCTGCAAAACAAGGCGAGGTACGGAAGGAGACGTGAACACATGAGTACATTGGTATGATAATGGATCTGGGGGAGAATGAATGTGACAGTGATGCATTATGCAGGGAGGCTAATGAGCGAAGGAGGTTTGGATTACCGGGAATGGATAATGATCGATGAAGGGGTATGGTTTGGGAGACTGGTAACGATCGGAAAGTGTCAATCAGAAGACATCGAGAGAGTGAGGGCAATTGGCAGCCGTGTGACCGCGCTCCTCGCAGTCCTCGCAGATAGCTTCGTCCTCGTCTCTTCGGAAGTGCGAGGAGGCGGAACTGGGGGGTGGTGCGCCTTCCTTGAGGAGATCACAGGTGAAAATATCGTGCCCTGGACGTTCACAAATCTCGCAGACTTCTTCGCCAGATTGACCAACGGAGGACATTGTTGAGGCGGATGAGGCTGGGCGATGTAAAGGTTCCTCGGGGAGGTCGTTCTTGGACAGCTTTTTCTGACTTTTTGCGAGCTTCTCCTTGAGCCGGTCAATTTCCGCCTCGAGCTCATCCTCACGGTAAATCTACCATGATAGTCAGCAAAATGAACTTGCATCACACAAGAGACATGCCTTGGATTCAATAAGCGATTCCAACTCGCCGATCTCTTTGTTGAGCTAAATGCATCACAGGTCAACGCTGCGCCACGGACACTCGATTGGCTACATACATCATGCACTTGGCGAGCGTGCTTCATCTCGATATCAGCAAGCTTCTTCTTGAGTTGCTCAACCTCGGTCTAATAACTGCTCAGCGTGATACCATTATATCTGATTCATAAGAACCTACCTCATACTTGGTCTTGAGATCTTTGTAACTCCTTTGGAGGGCTTGAATATCGTCCATGGAAGGCGTCCCAGGCGGTGGCGAATGCTCGCCATTCGCCAATGCCTCTTCCCGGGAGAGACTCTTCTCAACATCGTCCTCGAGGATCTTGAGATCCTGTGAGCCGAGTAAGTCCATGGCAATCGCTAGCACTAATTTGCAGATTTTACCTCGCGGAGCTGCTCTGTCTCCGAGAGAAGCAGTCTGTTCTCGGCCTCGAGAACCTTGTTTCTCTGGTTGAGGATGGTGCTCTCTTTCTGCAGCTCTTGTACAATGTGTCTGAGTCTTCTCGTCAGCATTCCGATCCCCACATCACTCGCAGGAGACTCACTTGAGACCAGTGATCTCGTCACGCGCGGCGGAAAGGTCATGTTTGGAAGCTGGCGAGGGCGGAGCCTTGAGTTCGCCGCCGTTGACGTGACCATCTCGGTTGAGCTTCTTGCGAAGAGTGTCCAGCTCGACTGAACGCTCATTGACGAGTACACGCAGCTCCTCGACGATTGCACGCTCATCTGCGAGCTCTGTCTGGGTCCGCTTGAGAGATTGTTGAAGCTGTCCAGAGCCTCAGTTATCGGTTCATGGTCCAGTATTGACTTTCAACTCACTACATCCTTGTCTTCCTTCAGAATATGGAGCTCGTCTGGATCCGCACCGCCGGCTGAGGCGATGGCATGCGCGAGTTTCTCTTTGAGGTCCACGATCTCGTCTTGAAGACGAGTGCGCTCCGCATTGTTACGCATCTCGCTGAGCTTATCAGACGAGTTACTCGCGGACGCTGCGGCAAGACCCTCGAGGTTCTGACATGCGATTGTTCAAGGCCAAGAACATCATGCCTGGGAAATAAATCACTCACCGCGATCTCGCCTCTGAGTGTCTCGATCTCTGTCTGAGCGTTCTCCAGCGTGACTGTGTTCTCACGCAGCGCCTCCTCGATCTCCTCCACCCGCAAACGTGCCCTCTCTTCAGCCTTGCGCACCCGCTCAACCTCTTGGCGGGCATCGGTGAGCTCCTTGCGAATATTCTCATCGCGGTCCTTGTAACGCTTGATCCTATCCCGAACCGCGGCATCATCGCTCTCATTCGCAACGCGCATCTCTTCGAGAGTGTCCTCAAGCGTAGAGATCTTCTTCTGCAGATGCTGTACCTCCCCGCGCAGCATCTCATTCTCGATCTGCGCAGCGGATTCGGCTTGACGAGCGGCGGCACCGGGTGAGACGGGACGTTCGGCCGCCTTGACCTGCTCTTCGAGTGAGATAACAAGGTCTTCGAGCTCGTATCGCTTGGAGTCGGCGGCATTGAGACGCTCTTCGTAGAGTGCGATGGTTTCCTGAGGCAAATGAGTGCTTCGCGGGTATCGAACAAGCAGGCGTGCTTACTTGACCCGCCTTCCTCAGTTCGTCCACTTGAGCACCAAGCTCTCTCCTCTCCTCCTCCAGCTCTGCGTATGCCTTCTGCACCCGCGCCTCCAGCAGCGCGATCTCCCCATTCTTCGCCTTAAGTAGATCTGCGTTCTCGCTCTGTTCGCCCTCACGCGCCTCGACGGCCTCCTTGAGCTGTGCGACGAGAGCCTCCTTGTCCTCGAGTTTGTTCTGCGCGTCGCGGAGCCGCGCGTCGCCATCGCTGCGCGCCTTTTCGACGTCCTTGGCGGCCTCCTCGACCGCGCGCTGGAGCGTCTCGATCTGCGCATCGCGCTCGCTGAGGCTGCGCTCCGCCGAGCGCGCCGCGGCCTCGAGCTCCGACACCTTGACCGCATTCTGCTGGAGCTGGTCGCGTTCCGCTACGAGCGACTCGATACGTGCCGACGCCTCGCGCTCGGAGCCGTCCACGCGCTTGCGGAGGTCCTCAGCCTCGGAGCGGAAGCGCTCGTTCTCGTTCTTGGTGGTGTTGAGTCGCGCTTGGAGAACGTCAAGCCGGTTCTGCATCTCGAGCGCCATGGCGGAGTCGGCGGTGGATACGCGGGAGTCGGGGCGGGGGCTGGAGGGAGTCTTGTTGGAGATGAGGCCTACGATGCGATCTTGAATGGCCTTCCCGTTCATTTCAAGGTCGGATACTGCGGAAGGCATGTCGACAGGAGTCTGCGGGCCATTGAGAGACACAGAACGGCTAGAATACGTTGTGTTAGAAGGAGAGGGGGAGGGGGCATGGCGATTGCGCTGGGCAATCTTGGTCTTGGAGTAGTACCGATTGAAGGTCGAGACTTTGAGGGTGTGGTGGAAGTGGGTAAGCCCATTCCAATGTTTGAAGGGCGGATAGTGCCCAGAGCTTTGGGGGTACTGAACGGCGAACCTGGAGTGCTTCGGGTTGGTGAAGCCAGGTTTCTCGCAGGTTGTCTCGGGGAACCAAGAGCTGCAACTGTTCTGGCAGGACTTGCTGTGCTTGAACGGGATGGACTTCCTGGTGTCTTCGCAAGCTGCTTCGCGGTCATACCAACATACTTGGCAGCTCTTGACCCAGGTGTGATGTTGGTTGGAGCACTAGTTGTAGTACGTCCAGGCGTAACCACCGATCGCGTGACAGTTGAAGTCCTTGGCCGAGCGGATGGAGTCTGGAGATTGCTGGGAGTTCTGCGACCTGTAGACGCAGCGGGAGTAACTCGGCCGTTCGACATCGATGGGGTAACTCGTCCGTTGGAAATAGATGGTGTTTTCCGACCGTTGCCCAGTGAAGTCATCATAGAGGGCGTGACCCGCCCAGAAGTTGATGCTGTGAACGAAGGAGTCATTCTACCACTCCGAATGGACGCGACAGAAGACGGCCGTGATGATCCAACGGTGGCGGGGAAAGCTTCGTTGATGCGACAAAGACACCGCAATTGGGTGGGCATGTAAAGTACTGCTTTCTGTGAGATATATGAGTGAGTAATTTGTCTCGACACACAACGCCACATGCCAAGAAGCGCACGATCAACAACAGGGTGCATCCCCAGCGCACGGACACGACTCTAAAGCGACATAATGGGCCACATGCAATGTGCTGCTCCTCAAAAAACAGAAACCAAGCGACGCAGAAAACGAGGCTCTAGATTGCACTTCGCAGCGCCTCTTTCGCGCGAGTACGCGCGTTTTCTGTCACGTAGCCATGTGGTGCAATCTCTGGAGCAGCGCGCCGACAAAGTGGAAGTACCATCGTAGCCGCAGGTACTAAATGCACTCACCCAGCAACACTCCCATTATTCTTCCCCTTCCCTGCGAACCCGCCGCCAAGCTCCACACCGGCCCACATACCCGGCTTGCCGTCGATCTCCCCCAAGTACCTGAGGGCACCCTCGAAGCCGAGCGACTCGATTCGGACATTGTCGCCCACGTCGAACCCGCTCCCGGCACGACTCGCGCTCCGCGCAAACACTTCGGACGTCCGGCTCGGGGGGCGCGCAACCCCGGCCTTCGAAGACGGGGTCCGCCCCGCGCTGACCGCTGAGGAAGAGGATGCAGAAGACGAGGGACGGATCCCGGCGCTGCTGATGGAGAGCCCGAAGGATGTAGAGGTGGTGGGCGAGAGCTGTGAGGCCGCGAGGCTGGCGCGGTGCTGCGCGGGATCGTTGGCCTTGATGGCGTCCGCGAACGCCCGGGAGGCGAAGTCGTCGTCCTGGGTCACTATGGAGGGCCGCTGGCTGGCGGAGGAGGTGGATCGGGGCCGCGGGAGGCCGGGGGTGGGCAGGTTGCTCTTGCCAGGGGTGGGGATGCCGGAGTAGCGACTTTTACCTGGAGTGACGGACATGAAGGGACATGAGATGGAGCAGACGGGGCTGGCAAGGGAGCGTGCGGGTAGTTATTCGAGCAGGGGGCAGCGAGAGAGTGACAGAACGAGCTTCCTGGACGGCCTCTGGCGCGAACGACCAACAGCTGCCCTTGCCCAATCCGTGCACCGTCCCGGGGTCTTCCGCGGTGACGCGGGTCCCGTCTTCGTCTTCGCACTGTGGCTGGCGCTTCTCACTTCACTCGTGTCCAAGTCCAAGGTTGCAGAGCGACCGCGCTCCGCATCTCTCTGTAAGTCGCACTGGTGCCTCAGTCTGTCACTAACTAATGCGAAGCTTCTAGATTATAATGCCGCGGATTCCCCCTTCGCTCGCTCGCCTGTTGGCCCGTCCACCCGTACGCCCACCTGTGGCCGCAGTGCCCCGCGCAACTCCCTCGGCATCCTGGGCCTCTTCGCTCACCCCCTTCCGACCCATTCTCCCCTCCGCCACTCCATCTTCATCTCTTTTGCGCGCTATGACTCCCCTTGCCACACGTTTCAACCCCACAATCATGGCACTTGCCCCCACATTCTCCCCTCACATGCAAGTCCGTCACACAACGATGGGGCAGGAGTACCAGCCCTCCCAGCGCAAGAGGAAGCGCAAGTTCGGATTCCTGGCGCGCAAGCGGTCTCTGCACGGACGGAAGGTTCTGGCGCGGAGGAAGGCTAAGGGCAGGAAGTTCTTGTCGCACTAGAGGTCAGTGCGTTTACGCCTGAGTCACGCGAGAGTGCGTGTTCACTCATGTTGTTCAGAGTGGAAAACGGCGTGGATGCCATAGGGAACGGCGACGCGGTACTAGGTGCTGCGTGTCAAGTATCACTACTCTACATAATGCTACAGTCATAACTCCATGGTATGGGCGCATTCTCGGAAAGCGTGGCGGGAAACACCTCTGAAAGCAATGGTGATAGCAACGATGCGACTCAAGCCCTAGTCAGCTACCCGGAACTACAGCGTGGAGACCCTTGCGCGAGAACAGCGGCTTAATAGGTGCAGGGACCAGGCCGTCGACGCTGAACACTCTTCCATCCCCATCCCCATCCGCGCCATCCATAATGACAATGCTCTCTTCCTCGTCTTCCTCCTTCATCGGCGTGAGCGGCGCACCATGGTGCATCGCTAGGAACCCCCTCTCAATCGAGGCGACGAGCGCCGTGATGGGAGTCTGCTCGACTTCCATGCGCCTGTGTGGATGGCGTTCAGGTGTCGGCGTATGGGGCAGGCTGTCCACAGGTGCAATGAGGGCGTTGGCGGGAGGGGTGATCCGTCCCTCAGAGTTCGGTGTTGAAGGCGGCAGAGGGACTTCCGCCGGGAACACTTCCAGTGCAAGTGCAGGTTGCGCTTGAGTGGCCTCCACGGAGATGGAAGCCTCTAGGGAAGCCTCGAGGACAATGGGTGCTGGGGGAGACGGCTCTTGTGGGACCAAAGGTGCGAGGACCGGCGACTCCGGAAGAGGGATTTCAACAGGAGAGGTTGCCGGTCGCTTTGAAGATGGCCTCTGGACGTCTTTAACAGTGGCGACAGCCTTCGAGCTGGGCTTTGTAGGCGCAGGGGCGGCCTTCGAATTCGTGCGATTCGTCCTGTCCCGCATCGTGATGTGAGGAGCAGATGCCGCAGGAGCCGACGCCTTGGGAGCTACCCGAGGCCGAGAGGTCGTCTCTTTGTCGTCGCCTACCGCCTTCTTCTCTGAGGGTCTCCTCGCCGTGTCCTTCTCATTACTGGTCTTCTTTTCGACAACCTTCTCTTTCTCCGTGGCCTTGGTGCGCGATGAGGTTGTAATCCGTGTTGGGGCCACTGCCGAGGACGCGGAAGCCGTGCTAGTGACTTTCGAGGGCGCGGCGGTCGCACGAGGACGCGAGGATGCCCCGGCGGAAACGGCAAGTTTCTTCGTGCGCCCCGCCTCGTCCTTGAGAGAAGCCGCCTGTTGGTGCAACGGAACAGCAGGAGTGGAGCGACTCGTCGAGATGGTGCGAGGACGGATGGGCTTGGACGGTGCTGCAGGAGGAATACCCTCAGTGGGCTCTGGAACGCGAAGTACGCGCCGTGCCCCGCCCACGACGCGTTCGGGCTTCTTCTCGTCCCCCACTTCATCTGCGCCGGTGGGCCTGAAATGCATCGGGGATGGTCGAATTGGTCCTGTCCGTGCGACGTTTCCACCAGTCGTCTGGAACACAGGTTCCGTCTCTGTGCGCATAACACGTTGAGGTCCTGATGTAGTCCTCTGTGGCTCTGGCCTGTCATGCGTCGAGGGTAATTGCAGCTCTACGGCCGACATGGACGTTGTGGGCCAGTGTGGGCTGGAATGTAGTCTGGTGGAGGCATATCGACCTTGAGGCGCTTGGGCTCCTCGCGAGCTGCACGACGGGGACCATCATTGGTGCGCACGGGTGGGGCGAGTTCTGGCGTAGGCTCCCGTATGGGGCGGCGAGCAGGAGCATGGGTAGTAACTTGTGAAGACGAGGCGATGTGCGTCTTCGGACGTTGGGGGCCTGAAGCCATAGCATTGGAAGGTGGATGAGCAGACGACCCTGCTGAGGCTGATCGAGTGTCGCTATTTGCAGAGCGTACAGACTGTGACGACGCAGGTCGGGAGGGTGGTTGAGCAGATGCACCCCGTGAGGATGCCTGGGAAATGGGGGCAGCTCCAGCCTTGACGTCAAGATACTTTCGTGTCCTCGGGGTCAAGGGTGCGGTGAAACTAAATTTGTGGTGTCAAGATGTGCGGGTGTATTGGTTAGAGAAGACATACCCATGTACCCGTGCGGGCAATAATATCTTGTACGCCTCCCACAATTGCTTCCCTACTTTCCGTACATCCGCGCTCGCATCTATAGCCGTGGCCTTGATCGCTGCTTCAATCTCCTTCGCGCGCTGTTCCTTCTCCAAGTCCGGAGGGTTGAAGGTTTTGAGACACGCGAGCAACGTCTCAGCGGCCGCGAGGCGCAAAGAGACAGATTTGTCGGTGATAGAGACGAAGGAATAGTGGATGATGGAAGGGGCGTGTGTGTTCTCAACTAGCGCGGTGATAGCGGCTTTGGCGCGGGTGATGAAGACCTTGTTCGTGCGCGTACAGAGGTTGAGGAGGGCGGGGAAGTAATGAGGGACGAGCGGCTCGAACTCACTGGCCAGAGCCGTCACAGCCATGGTGAGGAGGTCTGTAGCGTTGCCCGAGAGGCGAGTCCGTTCAGAGTTAATGGCAGAGTTAACCGGCCTGACTGTCGACCGAAGGGCAGACACAAGGTCTGTGGGGTAGGTGTTGGCATTTCCGTTGCAGAGTGCACTGAAGCGGGCGAGGGCTTTCGCTATCGCATCCCAGGTCTCCTCAGTCTCCGGAGTTGACAACGCATCTTGTACTGCTCCAAGTTCGCCGAGAAGATGGGAGAGGCTATGACACTGGATCCAACAGAATGGTAATTCAGCCACAAGCACTGACCATGAAGACTTGAGAGCGCCGCCCGCTTACTTACCTCAATGGAAGTGATGGGCGTTTTCGGAGGCATGAACTGATGGGTTGCACGCAGGATGAAAGACACGGAGTGCACTGGTAAGCTGGACGGGAAGGTACGATGAAATGGCGCGCGAGCAGTACTGGTGGCTCAGAGTCAGACGGATAGGACGCGGTGAGCGCTCAAGCGCTCAACACACACGCGACACGATTCAACCTGAACGTGTTTTTTTGCACGTGACCGCGGTTCACTGCAAGAGTCATGACGTCACTTGGCTGCCGTACACAAAACATACATACGATGTTGCGATCAAGTGACCTCGACGCTCGAGCCGCCTCATGCAGGCCCTTCGAAACTTTTCGTTATGTAGTAATTTTCAGGATTCTTGCAAAGTAGAGATCGTCTTTAAAGCCCTCGAAGTCGTGTATATGGTGACCTCGCCATGACTAAACTACGATGATAAAGCTACTGGAGTTCCCACACAATCCTAAGTTCTCACAGGTACTACCAGATTGGAAACTCGACCCCATTCATCTCTGTCTGGCTCCTGAAGTACCCTCACCCTCACCATGGATATCTTCCAAGAGATAATATCCGGGAATATATCGCAAGACTCCATCATCAGAACGGTGGATATGCATACAGGCGGAGAGGTATGGGATCATTGGCCGCACTAAACCGGGATGTGTTGATCCACGAGCTGCTTGCGACATCGCAGCCCACAAGGATCATTGTGGGGGGCTATCCTCCCCTCGGAGGATCTACGCTACTCGAGAAAAGAACATACGCTCGGAAGGAGCTGGATCACATTAGGAAGAGGTAAGCGGCATTACAGAACCCCCGTCCGACTCACGAATCGTGTATAGATTGATGAGAGAGCCTCGTGGCCACAAAGAAATGTACGGCGCGATCCTTGTACAAGAAACTGAAAGAACGCGCGCAGGAGAAGCTGACATTGGTGTCTTGTTCTGTCACAATGGTGAGAATTTGAAAGGGGACTGGATCGTGTACTCACATCGTGTCACAGAGGGGTACTCGACTATGTGCGGTCATGCCACCATTGCGCTGGGTCGTTTCTTGGTCGACACAGCAGACACCTCCGTCTTTCCGAACCGCAAGCAGGTCCCTTTCGACGAAGCTGAGGGCAAGTGCACAGTGCGTCTGCATGCACCGTGCGGCGTTGTGGAGATCACGGTCCCAAGCATTCGAGATGGAGATCGCGTGCGTTCCAATCCGGACCGCGAGGTGCGCTTCATGAGCGTAAGAAGCTTTGCGGCAGCCATCGACGCGGTCGTCGACATCCCCAACGAGCTTCGATGGATGGAGCTGGTGAAGGCCGGAAGACACACCGTCAAGTTCGATCTGGCGTATGGAGGGGCGTTCTACGCAATCGTCCAGGAGAAGGCGCTAGGCTTTGAACGCCTCAGAGATGGAGAGGTGGACATGAAGCGACTGGACGAGGCGACGGCGGCGCTGAAGAAGGTGGTGGCTGGGAAACGGGAGTTGTTCGAGGGCCACGGATTGGAGGCGGAGCTGCGGTACCTGTACGGCGTCATCGTGGTGGACGAGGGCGAGGGCGAGAGGGGACTGGGCGGTCTGGACGCGGGTCGGCTGGGGGTGTGTTTCTTTGCCGACCAGCAGATCGACCGCTCGCCGACGGGATCGGGTGTCTCCGCACGAGTGGCGCTAGCACGCGCCAAGGGCCTGCTGGCGGAGGGCGAGCGCGTGCGCTTCGATTCGCCGCTCTCTGCGCGTCGCGGCGGCGAAGCGGGGGCGTTCATCGGGGGCTGGGCAGGTGCCGACCGGGTGCGCGTCGAGGGCCGGGCGTTCTACACGGGCGCATGCGCGTTCGTGGTGGAGGACGGCTTTGCGCGAGAGGGCTTCGTGCTCTGACGTAGTCCGCTGTCGCGGTGGCAGCGTCGATGATGTCATAGCCCACGTCTACTTATAGTACTGCGTCAGGCCGTCGCATTCGTCGCATTCCCCGGTTCATCCATCTCCTCTGTTGATCTCCTCTCTGCGCCATGTCTTACGCTGCCGTCGCTGGTCGCAACGCCCCGCCCATGAGCCAGCAGGTAACGTCCAGCCGTTATTCGCGTGTGATTGCGCATCTCATTCAACGCGCGGTTGAATCCTACAGCCCCAACCCGACCCCGCTCTCCTCACGACAGAACGCCCCAGCGCGTCCAATATCGCAGATGATGCAGCGAAAGTCAACATCGTGTCTCCGGACTTCAAGAGATACACCGCGACGGACACGTCCGTTCGGAACGTTCCACACGAAGGCCCGAGTGGCACCCCAAGCCGCCGTCGCCGTTACATTGACGAAGTGGAGCAGGAGGGCTTCTACCTGTGGAATCTCGCGAAGCAATACGTCTTCCATCCAGCGGTTGCTGGTGGTCTGATTGGTCTTGGTGCGTGCTGACCTGCTGGTCGGATGGTCTAATCCTGATCTCGCTTCACTGCCAGTAAACATCGGCCTAGTGTCCACTGCTGCTTACTCCTTCTACACGAAACCGCACCTTCAACGTGACACCCGTGTCATTTTCACCACGGTGGCCGGTGCTTTGGGTCTCCTAGCTGCTGAGAGCTACGCCGCTGAGCAGTACTATGAGACCCCTCAAGGTCAACGTGAGGCTCAGCGGGCGAAACAGGAGGGTGCCGTTCTTTACCGCCAAGCGTACGAGCAGCTTTTTAGGTCAGGTGTACTCGGCGGTCTTGTCGGAGTCTGTGAGTAACGCGACTTCGAGGATCCGACCGGAATATTGACATCAGTCATAGTGAACGCGGGAATCATTGGCACTGTTGGGTACTTCTCCTACTCGAACTGGGACAAGCCCTCATGGGATAGACGCATTGTGTCGTCTGTGACTGTTGGACTGTTAGCCCTCTGGACTGGCGAAGGGTTGGTGAAATCTGCCCGCACGAGATCAGCGTACTGAGTCACATACAGGTACATTGTGGAGCGGTATCGGTCTACTCACCACCACTGAGACATGGTGCCAAGAATCCAAAGTTGGCCAAGGCTGCTAAGGGCTAAGGTCTAAGGAAGGAGAACTGGACACATTACACAGGTTACTGCTGTATCATACATAGTTGTTAACTGTTGCCTGGAATCATCTGCGAATGCATCCCGAATTAACGCCTCAGGCGATGGGAGATGGCCGGTAAACGGAGGGATTGAGCGTCTGCTCCGAGAATGGGCTCGCTTATCTAATCGAAGTCGCCACATGCGGAACCCTAATTTTTTGTACTACTAGCACGGAGGAGTCAAGCTCTTCCCTGTCTCGATATACGACTTAACGGCCCTCCCCCATCGCACCCTTCCTACCAGAGTCGCCTCCCACAATGTCTCGATTCTTTCGCGCCGCAGGCGACTCCGATTCCGACAGCTCTTCCTCTGAGGAGGAGGAGCTCATGTCCAGCGAAGAGGAGGGACAGAAATCCACCGCCCCAGCGAAGCCCGCCATGTCACGGTTTTTGAAGAGTACCGCGGACTCAGACGATTCCGACAGCTCGTCCGATGACGAGGAGGAGATGAGCAGCGATGAAGATGAGGGGGAGAAGAAAAAGGTCAGCAAGTTCCTCAAGAAGCCGGGTGCGGATTCCGATTCGGACGACGGTTCGGACGACGACGTGAAGCGGGTGGTTAAAAGCGCGAAGGACAAGCGGCTAGATGAGCTGGAGTCGACGGGGAAGCAGATGGACAATGCCCTGAAGATCAACGACTGGGTCGCGATCTCTAACGGTGAGATCTCTGCGTCTCCTCGTTGCCATCCCGGAGTTTATTTGTCTTACGATGCGCACGCAGAGTTCGACAAGCTTGTACGGATGGTTCAGAGGTCCCAGAACCTTGGTGAACCCGTCCACCCCTTCGTCCTTCAAACGCTCGTCGATCTCGAGGGCTCACTCAATGCGGCTGTGGCGAAGGACAAGGAGTCGAAGAAAAAGATGAACGCCAGTAACGCCCGTGCGCTCACTGCTGTCAAGCAGAAGGCGAAAAAGCTGTCGAAGGAGTTCGAGGCTGAGTTGAAGCGTTTCCAGGAGGTATAATCTGCTCACTCGATCGCTCGTGGCTTTTCTCAGGCTATTATCAGGATCGGGAAGGATTCGAGAGGGATTACAACGCACTTGTGCTTCCTGATGCCGCCCCGAAGCCAGTTCCAAAGGTCAAGAAGGTCAAGAAGACTTCCGACGATGAGGAGGAGGATGACGATTTCACGACTGTTGGCAAAGGTGGCAAATCTATGCAGTTCACCCCGGAAAGTATCTTCAAGAACCTGCAAGCGATCCAGGAGGCTCGCGGTAAAAAGGTATGGTTTTTCACTCTGATTCCGCGTGCAGTGCCTCACCTTCTATCCAGAACACGGATCGTACGGAGCAAATCCGCATTTTGGAAAAACTTCTCGAGGTTTCTGTGACCTCCTACCAGCGGATACGCATTCTGTTGGCCCTCATCGCTTCTCGTTTCGACTACAACTCTTCTGTGGCGACCCACATGCCTTCTGACCTATGGCTCTCCGCTCAGCAAGAGGTGGACAAGCTGATCGCCATCGTCGCGAACGAGCCCGAGTACTCCATCCAGGAGATCACGGAGGACTATGACGAGCTCACGGAGCGGTCACCACAGACGGAGAAGGACGGCGTCGTTCGAATCCGCGGCAGCGTCATCAGTTTTGTTGATCGACTGGACGACGAATTCACGAAGTCTCTTCAGAACATCGACCCTCACGGCACCGAGTACGTTGATAGGTTAAAGGACGAGAAGGGTCTCTACTGCACGATCTGCCGCGCTCAAGCACTCTACGAAAAGGTGAAACAGGATGACCCTCTTGGCCGAGTCATCATGAGGCGTTTGGAGCACATCTACTCGAAGCCAGACCCGGTCGTCCTTGCGCTCGAGGCCGCTGTCACCATATCAGACATCAAGCCTTCTACGATCCTATCCTCCGACAGTCAAACGTCCCTCCTCATCCACTCCCTCTGCGTCCATCTTTACAAGTCTGGCAACTCCCTCCTCCGTACACGTGCAATGCTCTGCCACATCTACCACTTCGCCCTCCACAACGACTTCCACACTGCCCGCGACATGCTGCTCATGTCACACTTGCAAGAGTCCATTCACAACGCCGACGTCGCAACGCAAATCCTCTACAACCGGACGGTTGTCCAGCTTGGCTTGAGCGCATTCCGTTGCGGTCTCATCAAGGAGTCGCAGGCCACTCTCCAAGACATCTTCGCTACTCAGCGCGTCAAGGAGCTCCTTGCGCAGGGTGTCCACCAGCAGCGCTACCAGACCCTCAACGCAGAACAGGAGAAAGCCGAGCGTCAACGCCAGTTCCCCTTCCACATGCACATCAACACTGAGCTGCTCGAGGCAGCATTCCTCGTTTCCAGCATGCTCGTCGAGATCCCCCTTCTCGCCAGCATCGATTCGGAGGAGCAGAAGCGCAAGGCGATCTCGAAGCCCTTCCGCCGCCTCCTCGACTTCGCCGACCGCCAAGTGTTCACAGGCCCGCCGGAAAGCACGCGCGACCACATCATGCAGGCTAGCAAGGCGCTCCAAAACGGCGAGTGGGAGAAGTGCCGGGACCTGATCCAGAGCATCAAGATCTGGAGCCTGATGCCCGAGTGCGCGTCGGTGAAGGACATGCTCGCGAAGCGGATCCAGGAGGAGGGCCTACGCACCTATCTCTTCACCTACGCGCCGCACTACCGCACCCTCTCGCTCTCCCTCCTCGCCCGCACGTTCTCGCTACCACTCCGGACTGTGACGAGCCTGGTGTCGAAGATGATCTGGAACGAGGAGCTCGCGGCCGCGCTCGACCAGCAGGCCGGCGTCGTCGTCTTCAACCGCATGGACCTCACGCGCACGCAGCAGCTCGCGCAGACGCTCGCGGACAAGGTGAACGCGCTCGTGGAGCAGAACGAGAAAGCGCTCGACCAGAAGCTCGGCGTGAGCTCGACGTGGAACGACCGCGCGGACGGCGGCAAGGGCGACAAGCGCGGCGAGCAGACGCAGGAGCGCAATCGCCGTGGGGACAGGGCGCGGGGCTCGGCTCGTGGTAAGTCATGAACTCTCGTGTTTTAACGCCGGATATGGTTGCTGATTCCTCCTTTGCTTTTAACCAGGTGGTGCGAGGGGACGAGGTGCGCGGTTCGCACAGGGTCTTGGGTCACAAATGGCTGGCAACACGCAAAGAAACCGGTGAACGCAGACGGCCTGTGTCGGTAGTCGTAGTCGTTCTCTATGGATACATGTCTATGTATATCGCTTCTGCTATGCGCTCTCGTATGTCGTACCATTGTACTGTACTGTACTGTTGTATCTCTAGCATCGTACAGTCCTCGTATGTGAATGATACATCTCTCTTATTCTGCTTGACACTGCTCGAAGTTCTCAGTCGCTCTCCTCCTCGGTCGACTCGTCGTCTTCGTCGTCGTCGGAATCTTGGTCTTCCGACGCGGACGTTTCGTGTGCGGTCCAATCAGAGACTTCGAGCTTCTCGTGTTTGAGGCTCTCTGAAAATTTATATTGAAGAGACGCAGATTCTTGGATCAGGATTCACTCACCACCTGCGGGGACATCGTACCCCGGCTGGGTGACGCAACGAGACAGGTCCGCCTTCGTCCCAACTTTGGTCCCAGCCCCTAGGATGCACCCATCCAGCTTCGCACTGTCGTTTGCACGTTAAAATCTGGGTGCACGACGACGGCGACAAAAGGGCCTCACCCGTCGGCGATCACGCAATGGTCGAGGAGCACGCAGCCCACGATCTTGGTCATCTTGCCGATAACACAGTGCTTGCCGATGACGGAGCGCTTGATGCTCGCCCGCTCCTCGACGCGCGTGGAGCGGCCGATCACCGAGTCAGCGGAAATCTGCGCCTTTTGGTCGATGAGCGACCGGTTCTCGGGGTCGGACGGAAGGCTGTAGGGCGTCTGGCCGAGGAACTGTCCGAAGGAGGTTCAGAGACGCGATCAGCTATGAAGGAGGCGTCCAGGGGGGCGACGCGACTCACGAAGCGGTTGAGCTCGAGGTAGGCGTGGAGGTTGTTCGCGCGGGAGGCGAAGCCAGCGGAGGCGCGGTGGGCGACGAGGCCGACGCGGAGGCTTGGGGGTACTGCGTCTTCGTCGTCTTGCTCGACGGGGGACGGCACCACGGAGCGGAGGTGCTCGTCGTCCGTCTCAGTGCCCTCGGTGAAGTGCCTGAGACGATCGGTGTGTGACGGGGCGTGCAGAGTGGAGTGCTTGAGTGCTTGACCCAAAGAGATGTTGTTGGTCACTGGGCTAAGGACTGATTTGACGAATGAATTAGTTCATTTGTACAGCGCAAGGTCATTCGACACGAACCGCTACTGTATTTCTCGCGACGCGTGCGTTGGTACTGGGGCTTGCAAAGCCATGGGATGAACTCTTCCCGGAAAGAGTCTAGATGTTCCTTCTGGGAAAGAGCGTCCAGGACAGTCCGCTTGCAAACATAAACGTGGGAGTCACGGAAGTTCGAAGATAGCCTCGTTCTTGGGTGCCTAGTCTTTTTAGTGAGTGTCGTAAGGTTTGAGAACAGAGCAATACCCACTGCGTGAGTAGGCTCATGCGTAGCTCAAAATCTTCCCCGTTCTTATCCGCGTCGTCAACGGTATCGACGTACAATAGCGTGCCCTTTTTCTCTTCGAACACTATTGGCGGGTTGGTAGGCTGAATGCCCCATTCTTCCATGGTAACACCCTTGTCTGGTTTGTGTGCTTCGTAAAAGCACGCTGTCGCAATGGAACCATCGTGTGTGGTCTCCGTTCTAAATTTGTTGAGAAGGTGAGCCAAGGACAGAGAAGGTGGCGGGACGAAGTCGCAGGGAAGGAGGATGAAGTCGGATTGTATGCGGGAAGAAAAGTGTCGGAGCAGCGTGCACGTCCCATCAGCCATGTCTCGTGACTCTTCATACGGCTGGAGGTCGATGCGCAATGTTGGAAAGACGGAGGAGACGTCCGACTGGATGTAGTTGGACATCGCGGAGCGGTGCGAGGTCGGGCATATGAGAAGAACATCTACATGACATAATAATGAGTTAAAAGATATCAAAAGCTCAAAATCTCATACCTGATACCCCTGATTTTTCCAGCCAGCTGAGAGGGTACTCAAGCATAGGCTTATTTGCGATGGGAAGTAGGGCCTTCGGAGAAGGCTCTTCTCCCTGATCGCTGGTCAGCGGCGACAACCTGAAATCTGTGTATTAGCGCATTACGTTGAGTATTATACACGACTCACTCATGGCCGAAGCCTGCGAGGACAACAGCGATGAACTCGCGGGTGAGGCTGGAGGAGGATGACTCGTCGAAGTCCATGGCAAAGTTGTAAACCACGATCTAGGGTTTGGTCCGCCGCTTAGAAGGTGGAGACGCCCATCTACGGCTCGATCTGCGATCTCGCTACCTGACTTCCGCCTTGTTTCTTCCGACAAACATTCTTCTTTCGAGCCCGCCCCCGCCAGCCCCCGCCAGTCCCTCCAGCCCGACGCAGAGGACAGTCTGCGCCCCGAGAACGGTGCATCTGTCACGCTCGGCGACAGGGTGCTTGACATATGCAATGCAGCCCTTATAGCCATAACGTAAAGCGGCCCTCGGCTCGGCCGCAGGGGCTTTATTTGTTCAGCCACGTAAGCTCCAGACAAGAGCGAGTCCTCTTTACCTCTTACCATGCGGCGTGTGTAGCGCTGCGGGCTTCATGGCTTCTCCGTCCATGTCCTCTCCAGCCCCAATCACGGTCTATGTCAAATGGACCCATCAAAGCCTCATGCCCATGCTCGTTCAGGATGCGGGCCAGCCCCCACTCATCTACCACTATGATGTCCCCATATGCCCCGCCGAGCCTCTCCGAATCGGCTCATTCGTCAAACTCCTCCTCCTCTCCAACGCAGTCTATCGGCCACCATTTTTCTCTACCGCGTCCGGCAATGCCTACGATACTTACGACGTCCACATTCATGGCCCAGTCATCAACGTTCACGAAGCCACGGACCATGCTCTCACTTTGACGATACGCAACACGCTTACCTGGAGTCCCGTCCAGTATGCGCGCATCTCACTCCCCCACATTCCGAACCTCACGGTTGCCATCGACGGGGGTATCCTCACTCGCACGCGGCCGTCCTCCTCCTTGAACACGCGGCTCCTTGAGCTCGAGTACAACGCCGAGATTTACGACCCTCCACGGTCACCTCCGTGTCCTCCAACCGAGCCTTCGGCCCCCTTTCCTCCTCGATAGGTGTCAAGAAACAACCGCTTGTCCTGAGGCTGTGCCGGGACGGAACTCTGCCTCGAAGCCCGAACAGAGCAAGACAAGCGGTTCTCGAGTGGACACCACCAACAGTCACCACAATTTTGATTCAAGAAGAAATTTTCAGTGCCTCAGGCAGGATATCCCTCGGCTCCTCGCCCGTTGAGCCTCACTGGCGCACAGAGCGAGCGGTCTCCGTCACCGCGGGAGGTCGCCTCTCAGTCTGGTCCCACTCTGGAAGCGTCCCGATACGCGCCTCGCCCCATACTACCCAGGTCACCCCCATTTACCACCTAGGACCAGAAGCGATGGCGGGTTGCCTTCCGGCCCGCGGCACAAGTGACGCGGAATGTACCCACCCCGCTGCGGAACCCTAGTACACCGAATTCTCGTACATACAGTCTATTTAGTCATCGTCTACATCCTCTCTGTCGGTGTCTCTTTTATCGCTTCTTACATAACATATCAGACCTCTGCAATTGTCTATCCCCATTGTACACGTAGTACTAGTACGGACACATACCAAGGACTTGACGGCATGGACGCTGTCCCATCCATGCCTCGGATACTACTTAGATGCTATATTTGTACATAGCAGATGCACGCTCTGGCGGCTCCCGGCTGCCCCCACGGCTGACTGGCGGTGTCGGAAAAACCAAATCGGCCTCGCGAGGCCTCGCGAGGGATTCCGGACTGATCGGTGTTGCGAGGGCTCGCGAGCCAGGCTAATTAGCTCGCAATGTGATTACCGCCGTGACAGCCCCTTGCAAGAGCCGCGCGCCAGCTTGCAATCAGTGCTGTCACTCTTGCGATTGAGCCTCTGACGTTGCAAGCGGCTCGGCATGTTGCGACAGCCAAGCGGAGATCGCAATAGTAGCAGGTCCCATTGCAATTTCCAAGCGGAGATTGAAAAAAAACGGATGACCGACAGGTTTTAGCTTCCTTCAATTACTTCTTACCCTTCTATTACCAAGTCATCAATTCCTACTATTAATGAGACGGTATTATTAATCATTGACTCGATCTAAGGACTCTACAATTGATACTCTTGAGACGGCATACTAATACTCTACTAGTACTTTACAACTAACCTACAACTACTCTGAAACTACAACTGTTGCATACAAATGGTACTACTAGGAGATTAGTATCGTGACTACACTGAACAGAAATGACTCGCAGTATGGGAATCGAACTCGCGATTGCATGTCATTGAAGAGTGCAGGTCTATCGAGGCGTGAAAAACCGTTAGTCCATGAGTCTGTTATAAGCATTGTAACATACCTTCATATACCACATTGTTTCGGTGTGCTTCTGTAAGGCTTCACCTTGTTACCGTCACCTGGCAGTATCCAGTGCTTCCCAGTTAACTAGCATGAACACAATAATCTGCAACTGTCTATCCAGTCAATTTTGCCCGCATTGAGCGACCAGTACCAGAGCGTCAGTGTGTGCACGTGGGGCGCCCTCTCGGCCCAGCAAACCTAAGCTACCACCACCAGCTCGTTGTGAGAGCGGGTGTTTGCTATGGCGGAAACGACGTGAACACACCGGCCACGCCACCTACACATGTGCGCGCCCCTCCTCCACGTCGGCGACGACCTTGAGCTCCGGGTCGGGGCGCTCGACCAGCCGGTACGGCTGTGGCCAGTCTGTGTACCACGCGAGCATCTTCCTGGTCCCCGCGTCCACGAAGCGCGCCGCGGTAACAATACTGTAGTTCGGGTCGACCACGTTGCGCATGTGGTGGGCTAAGCCCCGGCACGCGCAGCTCGAGGAACTCGGTGGTCTGGTTCAGGAGCAGCGTGGCGTCGAGTGTCTGGGTATTGAGCGGCTGTCGTCCCCAAGGCTGTTCAGTGAGGGGGAGACGAGCGCGGTCGCGGTCACGCTCCCGCTCTGCACGACGGTGTTGAACAGGAAGAAGTCGTACTCGCTAGAAGCCAAGCCCGGATCGAAGGAGAGATCATGTCGCAGCGTCAGCTATGTCGACAGCAGCAGCCCGCGGGCGTAGAAAGGGTGTGCACATGACTCACATGCTGGGCCCTTGTCCTGCCGTGAAGTTGAACTCGTTGCCGCCCCGCAGCCAAGGCGTGACGGTCTGAACCTGGAGCACCTTGATGCCGTCGTTGAGCCAAGAAATCTGTGAATGTTATCGTCAGCCCCCTGGCGTGCTGCATGCGAGCGAGTCACCCACATCAGTGGGATCCGCGCTGTCTCCTTGAACGACAATGTCGTTGCCGTGGATGAACGCGTTGAAAATCGCAGAAACCGCTGCGAGGCCGGCCTCCTCCTTCTGGGGAGCAAGACGCCCTGCCACGGGCAGCGCAACCGTGGATGTCGGCGAGAGCGTGAACGAGTTCGTAGAGACCACAGAGCCGATGTTGACATCCTCGAAAAAGTTCTGGGACGCGATCTAGCTGAGCTCCACACCAACTTGAGAGGGCTGCGCATCCCATCAGCACTTGTCGGACGCAGGAATACGAAAGAAAGGACTTATGTTCATGATGTTGGTCTGAAGCGTCTAGTGAACACCCCCCGCGGGATCGTTGCTCGGCAGGTCGAACGTCTCGATCTTGACCCCGCCCTTCAAGCCGTTCATGCCATTGAGCGTCACCTCCTTCTCGCCCAGCCCGATTCCTGGCACCGAGATGCCGATCGCAGCCACTGTGCCCCTTCCGTCAGCTCTTTGCGCGCCCAACCCTCCGACGGCGACACGCACCCGACAGGTTGCTCCCCGGGATGACCCACTCGAACTCCTCCTCCATCAACATCGCCTTCGTAAAGTCCACGAGGTACGCGACGTCCGCGACCGTGAACGGTGCATCGACCTCGAAGCTCACGCCAACGCCGTCCACCACGTCCACATCCGGCATCTTGATGCTCCCCAGCGCCTTGTCGTTCCAAACAATAGTAAAACCCTCGGGGAACGCGATCTTGGCGTCGACTGCACGATACGGTCGCCGAATGAGAACGGATCAGAGGGGCGACGAGGGCGGGGACATACATGATCTGGCGTTGATGATCGACCCCTTCAGGTTCGTCCCGAACGAGTTCTCCTGCACGTCCTTGATCACCACCATCTCGATCCGCGGCCTCGCACGGGGCCGGACACGATGTTCTGCACGATCAGCTGCGCGAGCACTGGCAGGATCAGGATCAGGCTCGCGTCGGCCTTGATCGTCACGTTCGGCTGCGTGTAAGAGAGTGTGGCCGGGTACTAGTCCCCGATCGTGACGCCCGCGGTGAGCGCGACCTCCGTAGCGAGCTTCGTGAACGCCTTGTCGACAAAGGAAGGGAGGTCGAAGTTCCTGCAAGATTCGGTCAGCCTCCGCGGGCAGGAGAACGTGGACGGGAGTGCGCACGTGAAGATGTTGTCCCTCGCCGCCTCTTGGTGTCGACCGCCCGCTTCGACCCACCGACACCGTTTAGGTACTAGTGGAAGTACCCGCAGAGCGCGATGATCTGGTCGAGGGGCACCGTGTCCTCGCCCGCCTGCTCCGCAAGCAGCTTCGTGACCGTGAGGAGACTCTGTGGGTCCATGTCGAGGTTGAGGTCGAGCGCAGGCCAGGTCGTCGTCGACTTGCCTGCGGACGAGAAGGCGACGGCGTCATCAATGGTCCCGAGGGAAATGCCTCGGAAGGTGACGTTGGACGAGATGTGTGTGATCTCGAGCGCGGCGGTGAACGGGTTCGCGAGCGAGACGGTCGCGGACAAAGGCTGACGTCAGCGTAAGAACGTTCGCCACCCGCGATGGGGCGTACCTTGCAAGGACGCAGAGTTCAGCAGCTTCGAGGAGAGCGCAGGAATCGTTCAGGCTCTCGAACGCGGCGAGGAGTGATTCGAACTTCGTGCTTCACGACCTGGACGTTAGTGCCCCCGACGAACTGGCTCAACATCTCGAGACCTTGCGGCGAGTCGCCCGGCTACCCAATGACGGCGTCAGCGTCGCGGGGCCTTCCAATTAAAATGTTCGTCCTCACCGTGAAGTTGCCCTGCGCGGTCACCGAGTTGTTGCCCATCACCGCGCCGTCGCGCCACAGTTGCAGGCTCATGTCTCCTGTGGCAAGCTGCAGGTTCGACGGGTTGAAGATGTCCACTGCCGGTCTCTCATCGTCAGTCCGTGTCTATCCTCCAGTGAGAGAGAAAAACGCACCGTCGATGCCCAAGTGGATGGCCTCCGCCGATCCGCTGAGGACGTCAGCACTCTTGATCTGGACGAGCAACTGCAGGCCCTGCAGGCCCTGCAAGTTCGACGGCACGTTGAACTTGATCGGGTCGAGCGTGATCGTGCTAATACTCGTGTTCGTGACCGCACGCGCCTGTCCGTTGAGCATGAACGGCATCACCTTGCTGTCCGTCAGGTTCCGGTCTGCACGGCCGTAAGCTCGCGTCGGCGGCGGGTGCACAGAGAGGGCTCACTGAACAACGAGAACACCGGGCTCAAGCGGGGTGTTCTATGGTGATGTCGATCGTCCCCTGCGTCAAGGTCGAGTTCACGACCCTGATCTCGCTCGTGGACGCGCTCGCGGCGGCGGCCCGCTGTACACAAACAACACATCGGCACTCGTGCCCCTCGCGCATCCAGGGAAGTGCGCTCACCGTGCTCAACCCACCGACCACCCCCTGCTCCGTCGTGATGTTGAAGCTGTTCTGGATGCTCTCAATATCAAACTCGAACTCGAACGGCAGCTCCATCCGCGCCTGCACCGTGCGCGAGTTCGTCACCGGCGCCCACTCGCTCTCCTGCGTGAAGTCCAGCGTGAGGTCCCCGATCTCGATCGCCTTGATCAGCGAGATCGCCCCTGTGGCCTTGAACGGGACGTGCAGCTGCAGCGCGCTGAGCCCCGCGCTGAGCCAGTCCACCGGGCTCCCGTCGCCCCAGCTTGGGCATCTCCGTCCACGTTAGCCCCTCGACACGCTGTCGCCCTCGACGGAACCTTGAAACCCCCCCGGCCGGGATACGTCAGCAACGCCAATCGGACTATCACGCAAACTTAGACAGTAGAACACTCACCGTGGAAGCTATCAGGAACATGGGGGCTTGGAGGTCGGAGAAACGGGGGGCGGGAGGGGACGAGAAGGCCCCAGAGTGGTGGCATGTTAGGCGGCGCTGCGCTACTTATACGAGGCCTAATGTCCTTGTGCACCCTGCAAGACATGCGGAGAGGCGGGAGCGCGTCGTCCTTGTGGCCTCGCCGGCCGCGTCCTCGGACAGCCTCGCGTCGGGTACAAACACGGGGCCAGCCTGTGTCTGCTCTAACATTGTTGACTGCGAGGTGCTTAAAGGCAGGGGGCGCGCAGACGGGGCGGCGTGGGAGCTAGTACGTGGTGACGTGCACGAGGGTGAGGACGTGCAGGTTGGGGAGGTGGCGGAGGTCGAGGAGGGGCAGGGACGTGCAGCGCAAGGAGGGGTTTCGGGGTTGAGAGGGTGGCCTGGACCAAGAAGGGTAAGGATGCGAACTTGAGGGGCCGGGGGGCGCATCAACTTGGACGCGTCAGGAACCAGAGGGCGCGTTGTGGGGGTCACAAGTGGGAGTCGTGACCAAACCACGGGCGCACTCGATCGACGCTTGCCTGCCGCAGCTGGCGGGGCGGGGCGTGAGCGTCAGACTGGCGAGTGAGGGACGTAAGTTGACGGCCACGACAATGAAAGATAGCACGTACGATGATCACAATGGATCCCCTCAACGAGGTCGGCACGATCTTTTTCAAGAGCTGCCCTTGTCTTGAATGATCGTTCGTGATTCTTGATCCCGCTTGGAGCGTACTTCTTGCCGCATATCGAGCACGGGAGGCAAGAGTCAAGGGGAGCGCGAGGGCGACCTCTCCCGCGCGATGATATAAGCTAGTCGAGGTGCTAAACACACCATCCTGAGCAAGGGTGAATAGAGAGAACGCACCGACTTCAAAGTATATGGAAGGGCACAGCAGAGAATGAGAGACGAGGAGTGAGGAAAGAGGGGGAGCCGAGAGCTATCGCAACGGCATCCAGATCTCGCGATATCATCGCAAGATCTGCCGGCCGTCTCGCAACAAGCCGCAAGACGCTCAAGGGATTGCGATCCTGCTGTCACGTCACGGGAGGCGTTGCAATCTAATCACAAGGCGGCTACGAGAATCTCGGCTCGCAAGGCCGATTTGAATTTTCCGACAGGTGTAACCATCGGGAGTCGACTAGACCTCATATGTCCATCGCGGTCTCGGCGAGCGGGCGGTACGGGCGGGGAGACCAGGGGCAGTTCGGCAAGCAGGTTCTGATCGACGGCCCGGCCGCGCCTGGGAGGCGCGTCGGGATCGGGGCGTTCGAGCCCGTCGCCGCCGTCTGCTCGTCGCCGTTCACGTTGAGCTCCTCCATGTTTCACTCTGCCGCTCGCTGTCTGTAATTGCCCCCTCGACGCCGCTCCTGCGCTCGTCCGACCCCATGCGGCTTCCCCACCTGCCGACTGACCTCTCGCTGCCATCCATACCCTTGTGCTCTCTACACCTCTACCTGTCCTACATTTTGGCCTCGGCTCCGAACCTCGCACGCCATGCCGCTGCAGGTCTCCGTGCACCAGCTCTACCAGCGTCTTGAGACCATTGGAAAGGGCGCATATGGCTCGGTGCACAAAGGGCGGGACCTGCGCACCGGCGAAGTCGTCGCACTCAAGATTATCGACCTCGACACAGAAGACGACGATGTAGGCGACATCCAGCGCGAAGTCGCGCTCCTCGCCCAACTTCGGGACGCCCCCAATGTCACCAAGTACTTTGGATGCCACATGGATGGCCCACGCGTCTGGATCGTCATGGAGCTCGCGCAAGGCGGGAGTGTGCGCACTCTCATGAAGGCCTGCAAGGACGGCGTGGTGGAGGAAAAGTACGTGTCCGTCATCACGCGCGAGGTCTTGAACGGCCTCAGCTACCTGCACAAATCCGCCATCATCCACCGCGACCTCAAGGCAGCGAATGTTCTCATTACCTCTGCTGGCAAGGTCATGATATGCGACTTTGGTGTCTCTGCCCTGTTGGTCACCGCTTCAAGCAAACGAAACACCCTCGTCGGAACGCCCCACTGGATGGCTCCCGAGGTCGCACACGCATCGTCATACGACACCAAGGCCGACATTTGGAGTATGGGGATCATGATCTACGAAATGATCAAAGGCACCGCGCCGAACTCGCATATCGTAGACCAGGCGAAACTCATCCAACTGATTCCTCGCATGAAGCCTCCGCGGCTTAACGAAGGCGAAGGTACTAAGGAACTCAGGGACTTTGTCGCTGCTTGTCTCATCTTGTCACCCAGCGAAGTATGTCAGCCACCTACTCACCTTTGGATGCTAATTAATCGGTCCCTGCTCAGCGTCTCAGCGCGGACGAGCTCCTGAAGACCAAGTGGATTCTCAACGTCCGTAAAGTCTCTGTGGCAACTTTGAAAGACCTCATCCTTCGCTACGACGCATGGGTCAAGGGCGGTGGGACACGCCAAAGTATGGCCGGGCCTCTACCTTGGGAAGAACAAGAAGAACAGGATAGAGAGTGCGCATACCTTCCTTTCTTTTCTAGCACAAACCTTATATGTCGACTCTCTCCAGCGACAGTTCTGATTTCATGACCGATGATAACCCTTGGGAGTTTGACACCTTCAGAAGGGCGTCGAGGAGCAATCGGGACAATCTCGAACCCGAAAACCCACTCCTGGCTCTACTGGAGGAGCAAGCCGCCGGCGAGCAGTCTACTGTTAGACCTCCTCCCATCTCGAACGTCCCGCCAACTCTGCGAAGTCTCTTCGATTACGGCGACCTTCCTGCTCCTGAGCCATTCCGCCTGCCAGCCATCGAGATGCCTGAGGAACTTCTGGGCAACCCGTCCCTCAACACTCCCTTGCGAGGCCGCAGCCCCAGTAGAGGGTTGGTTACCCCGGAGCCTACTCTCGAAGACCCACACACGGCCAAGCAGTCAAGCTTTGCGTTCCCTCCGCCCTCTTCCACGCCACGTTCAAAGCCTGCAATTACGCTCGACGACAACGAGCCTCTCTCATCACCAACTGAACGCAAGCGTGAACGGCTACCTCCTTTGGGTCCGGGTATACCTCGAGTGTTGACCCCTACACCATCTTCCTTGGACCCGGAGCTCAAGTCCGGTCCTCGCGGCCGGTCCGCATCAACATACCGAGACGTGAGGTCCAGTCGTGGAGTACCAGACATCGAAATTCCTTTACATTCGCCTCTTTCAACATCCACAGACAGCCCTCCTCCTCCCATTATCCTCTCCGCTTCATCACCGGAACGTACAAGCACCCCTAATAAGCCTGTGGTGTCCCGAAAGCGCTCCCAAAGTGGCGCACCAGGCCTATCGTCACCTTCTTCAGCATCTTCCCCGTCAACTTTCACTTCGCGCCGCGCCAATGGTCTTGCCACACCTGATTTCCGTTTCCCTCCGAGCCCTCTGGGCGGCGGTACCAAGAGCGACCTGGAGGGATCTGGCCCTCTTCCTACCATCCGAACGCCTCATGGTCACGATCGAATATCTCCGACACATTCAAGCGTGTCCACAATTTCGACAGTCTCCTCGAGTTCTGGGAGCATTCATCAGACATCGCAGTCATTAGACGCCTCTATTATTCCTAAACGCCTGGCGTCACCTGGGGGTTCACTGGCAACTCCTCCACCTGTGCTACGAACGCGGTCTGCCACTGCAACGACTGAGCATAACCCACTGAGCAATGCACAGGCTTCCTTAATGAATATCCGAACTCCGCAACGGCGTCCAAGCCTCCAGCGTTTAGTCTCGGCGCCCCCGTTTGAAATGCCCGTCAGGCCGTTTGCGAAGGGCGAACGAAGTAATAGTCCTGCCGAGTCCTCGTTCGGCACATCTTCAGGTATCCCGTTGCCCGGTCTGCGAGATGTTCTCAAGGTATAGTATATTTCTCCAAGTATCATGAAGTGTCACCAGCTGATTCAGTGGGTGATATATAGATACCTACACTCAGCTCCGAACACAAGCTTGGCATGTCCGACCTCCTTCCACCTTCACCCGCACCCATCGCCATCCCTCCTCGATCCACGAAATCTCCCTATGGCCTGCCCCAGCCAAACTCGCAGGCTTCGTCGTCTACGACTTCACTAAACTCATTGTCCTCCCACCCTAACCTCTCTTCCACCGACCTCCGTCTCTTCTCCGACACGTCCTTCACTTCTCACGCTCATTCCCTTTCCCTCGGAGGTACACTACCTCCGTTCGATGCCCTTGTGGGTCCGGCGATCCGTCCCCTCGACCTTGGTCCTCTCATGCATTCGCACGAGGCAACACATGCTGAGCTGACAAGGACAGTGGATGAGCTCCAGCAATGGATGTCTGTCGTGGAGGCAGGACTCACACACATGCTCGATCGAACATCGCAGGATATCATCGAGGAGGAAACTGAGGACGTAGTTGTCTACGATCGCCATCTCCGCGACGACTCGTTGTCCTTCGCTGACGAGGGAACAACCACCACTACCAGCATGTTTTCGATGCCGCTCTCCTTCGACTAGCCCATGGTCATGGTGTCCCGTGTTTGCATAGTCGCCGCTGACTCTGTCTACCATGCACTTTCTGTTGTTATCGATCGTGTTTGGCTCGCATCCCGCTTTGCACGTATGTCAGTAGTTCCTGGTCATCCCCGCCCCCACCCCGACACGCAGCATGTTCACTTTGCTTTCGCACTGGCTGAGCTATAGAGACTCCATTACATGTATTGTACATCATCGCCCTGTCCATCTGTTATCCTGTACGACTATCATACCCTATTCTCTTTTGTCATCTCCCCGTCTTTCTCAGCCTCGACTGGCATGCTTGACACTCATAGCTACCCACGACTCCTCACGTAGTTGATAATCGTATCCACCGCATCTTCAACTTCGCATCCATCATTCTTGATCTGCACGTCCGGCATCACGGGCTGCTCGAACGGCGACCCGACGAAATCTACAGGTCTCCGTGGTCAGTCACTGTCAACACGTCAACGTTCCCTCCCCAAGCTCACGATCGACTCACCGCGGATCTCCCTCCTCTCCATCGCATGCTCCTTCGAGTCCCCACCTCCGCGATCGCGACAAGCATGTCCACAGCGCGTGGGCGATGCAGCTGGACTTTGCGTGAGATGCTGCGGACAATGCAACACCGGTTTTGCATCGGCGTGCCTCCGAAGTAAGTACCACTGGCGAGGCGAGTCCGCTTTGCCAGGACATGAAGTTCCTGAACAGTGAGAGTGCTTGCACTGCCATGAAGTCGCCCCGCCGCACGATGCATAAATCAGCGACGACGCAGGCCACACACGCTCGGACGGCGGTTTGGCACAAGAGCATCTATAACTCTTCTAAACGTACACACAGGCCACGGTATAACCAAAAGCGATAATGGAATAATTTAGATGAACTTCTTCTCCGTGAGGTACTCTGTGATGCGCTTCACCGCCTCGGCGACGTCGCACTCGTCCGTCTTGATGTGGATCTCGGGGCTCTCAGGCGCCTCGTACGGGGACGAGATGCCGGTGAAGTCTGCGGGAGCGCCCTCGCGTCAGCGCGGCCGTTTCGCGACGCACAGAGGACCGGAGGACAGAGACGCACCCTTGATCTCGCCCGAGCGGGCCTTCTTGTAGAGGCCCTTGGGGTCGCGCGCCTCGACGACGGCGAGGGGCGCGTCGATGTAGACCTCGACGAACGCGAGGCCCGCCTTCTCGTGGAGCTCGCGCGCGACCGCGCGGTCCGCGCGGAATGGCGAGATGAACGCGGTGAGGGCGATGCAGCACGCGTCCGCGAAAAGCTTCGAGACCTGCGTGTGTGCACCCCGGGCCAGTCCCCGCGGCCGCCGCGCAAAGATTGAGTAGATCGCAGGTTTTTGTATTATTTCGTGTTCGATCAAGCGAGTTTGCGGAGCGGAAGGACGGACGACAGGGAAGGGCAAGAAAGGGGCCGGTCAGCCCTGCGGAGCGCGCGCGAGAGGGAGAAGGAACGGCGTACCTCGCCGATGCGGCGGATGTTCTCGTTGCGCGACTTGTCGTCGAAGCCGAGGTCCTTGTTCAGGCCGAAGCGGATGTTGTCACCATCGAGACGGTAGGTGAACTTGTGGAGGTGGAGGAGGTGCTGCTCGAGCGCGCATGCGACCGTTGACTGCATCCCGCCGCGCGCATCAACACTCGCACCCACGCGCCGCCCAGAGGCTCGGGACACGCACCTTGCCGCTCGCGCTGAGACCAGTGAACCAGACGGTGACGCCCTTCTGGCTGAGGAGGGCGGGGCGCTCCTCGGCGGAGACGGAGCCTACATCGCAACGGTCCGATCAGTGTCGGACTCAAAGCTCTGGCGCGCGCGACTCACCGGTATGGAAGGTGATGTTGGTGGACATTTTGCGTGAGGTGGTGGGTCGGAAGGAGGAGGCTCGGGGAGGCGGGGCGGGGAGGAGGGGATGAGGGAGTTTGCGGCACGATGGTGCAGTCGCGGGGTATAAGTAGATGGGCATAGGCACGTGACGGGTGTCGCCGCGGCGCGCGTTGCAGCGAATGGCGAGGATGCCAATTCGCGAAATGGCGATGTGGATGATTCAGCCGCGCGCGAATTCCAGATTGCCTCCCGCGGCGACCAATCGACGGACGCTGTTATGCGCGACATGGATGAACGAGCACCGATGCAGGTCACGGGCAGAGAAACGGTGGGATGGACGCCGCCGCCGTCACTCGCTGTTCGTATTACCTCTCTTCCCTCACTGGTTCGTGCATCGGTTGCTCCTGGTCGCAATGTGACAGACTGATTGAAGGGTATCGCATTCATACAACTACAGGCCCCCGTCCAATAGGGGAGGGCGCGATAACATGCCAAACATGCGAAAGCGTGACTGTGTGCGAAGGAGCATACAACAAGACAACTAGGGGAGATATGTCGAGCGAGGTTGCCGTGCGGACTCCGGAGGCCAAGGCCAAGGGCGCCGCGCAGTGTGAAAAGCCATGTGGATCATCCTCACGCACTGCGTTCAGGGATGGTGCATCTTCCCGCATACCCACAGGACGATTTTCTGGATCGCTTCCGTCACTTGCTCCGTGCTCAGCGGCTGGTCTACAGGGGGACAGTGCATGAAAAGCACCGGCGTGCTCTTGGTGGGGGTGCTCCGCTCCTTGAACTTCTCCTGCGGGGCCATCGACCGCTTGGACTCCGCCATGGAACAGTAGAAGATGAAGTCGCATAGATAGTGGCCAGCGTCCATGGACGAGTAGACCTGCTGTGAGGCGCGCCAAAAGGCCCATCAGGAGGAAACAGCCGAGAGGAATAGATAGACGCACGTCAATGCCGTTCTCTTTTAGATGGACGATCAGCTTGGGCACGTCGACGTCTGTCGACAACTCGTCCGCGAACTGCTCATACCCCTTGCCGAAGCCTCGGTTGGGTGGTGAAGGAATGTCCATGACCTCTTGAGACCCCTCCGGACCGCTGCCACTCAATGGGGGCCCGATGAGCATGCGCATCTCGCGCGAAAGGTCCGACTCGCTTTCTTCGATAGGGTCTTTGGGCAGATGGACGATGGGGGCGTACTCGCCAGCTGCATCCTTCATCCTATACCCGTTCTTGTGGCCGACACGTTCGATCCGCAACGGTCCGCGTCCAGCCACGCCTACGTGGAAGACAAAGTCGTAGCCGTTCACTGGAGGAGGGGGGACGCTGGAGGCATCGACGGTGGGGGGAGGGTGGGTGGACGAATGTGGAAGCCGGGCACGGCGCCGAGAACGGCCTGGTATGTGACAGGGAGCTCGAGGGTGGTGATATGGATCTGCTGTGGGCGGCGAAGAAGCTCCTCCATCTCGTCGGTGATCATCGTGGCCTGATCAGTGGGTATGAGCTCGGCCGGTGGCTCGGTGTAGAGGATAGTGTTGTGAAGGGGCCTGACGGCGAGACTGGACGGGTTCTCCTTGTACCTTCCAAAGGGCTAGTGGACGCAACACGAACCACGCACTACGCATTCAGCGAGGTGGGAGCCATGGGGTAGAGTGGGACGGCTTACTCCGAAGCCAGTAATGAGCACGCGAAGCGCGTTGGGGTCCAAGTTGCGCTCATTTGCACTGACGAGGGGCGGCATGAGGGACCACAGACGACGGGGAGGGAGAGGCAGTAAGGAGGAGTGGGCGGTGGGCGAGGCGGGGCTGGGCGCGGGGAGATATAGAGCTCGAGGCGGAGGCCAGCGCGCAAGCCCTGGACCCGATTCGGACGGGTCGATCGATGTCGCACTGGCGCCGGAACACAAACTCAATCTTGCACAGATCTCGGCCACATTGTTCCCCTCTGCAGAGGCCGGCCAATGGGAGATGGCGCTTGCTGCACGTGACTGAACCGACTCCAGCTGCTTCGCGGGCCACGCGCGTCTTCTCCCACCTTCACTCCGTCTCTCACCGGAACTGTTGTCTATTCTGCTTGACCATTGGACCAGCGGCATACATCTAGCACAGTGGAGACGAGGATGAACAAAGAAGGCAAAAGAGGTGCGTCGCCGTGTTTCTTCAGGCATTGTGCGACTTATCTGACGCGATTGCTTTGCCCTCAAGTTACATGGTAAGCGACCCGTCACCCCTGCTCAGCTCTAGTCTTATCTGCTAAACAGCCCAGTGTGCTCTCACCACGTTCTGGAGCACAACATTAACGCGCACTTGGACAACAACTGTGCGGAAGATGTCCCGGTTCATCCACCCCCCAACACTCAGAAAAGCAAAATGCTACAGGCATCCATAACCTCGCTCCTCACTCCCTCACAGAAAGCGTCTAATTCGCGCGCATCGTACTATGCTCAGCCCTCGTCGTCCAAGTCAACACATACAAGGAAGCGCAGCGAAGCAGACGACTCCTTCCGTGGCTCTACTCCCTCCAAGAAGCCACGCGTCACAATGTCAGCACGTCTTCATTCGGCAGCACCTTTGGCTGAACGTCTACGACCACAGACCATTGGGGAGTTTGTCGGGCAACCACACCTTACTGAGTCGGGTTCCCTGCTCTTAAGTCATTTAGAGAGTGGGGCGACTGGGAGTATCGTTTTCTGGGGTCCACCAGGGTGCGTGTTCCTCTTTCTCTTCAGACCGCTTCTCAATGAGAAACATATGCCTCAGGTGTGGCAAAACAACGTTGGCGCGACTACTAGCCAAACGGACGGATGCAGAGTTCAAAGAGCTCAGTGCGACGGATTCTGGAATTGCGGAAGTTCGTGCAGTTGTGGAGGAGGCGAAGAGACTTCTTGCTCTCACAGGAAGGTCAAGAGGCGTCGACCATAAGTTATTGTCTCGATGCTCATGCGAGCCATGCAACAGGAGAACCATCTTGTTTTTGGACGAAGTGCATCGTTTCAACAAAGCCCAGCAGGTGCGTGTTTGGTCCATGCACTCTTGACGTTGACCAACAACGTGCAGGATATTTTCCTGCCTTTCTTGGAGCAAGGTCATCTGCAGGTGTGTTAGTGTCTTCTGCAGAAATGCCTGCGGCTGAGGAAGAATTAGTTGATAGGTGCTACCACAGAAAACCCTTCGTTCCGTTTAACCAGCGCATTACTCAGTCGTTGTCGGTGCGTCAGGTTGCTACATGATATGGCGCCCCAGTGGTTCATGTCTCCATAGGGTTTTCATACTGGAACGTCTGAGTGACGATGACATCAGGAAGATTGTCACAAACGCTATAGAGCGAGTCACCGACTCTATATTAGCAAAACAGGACCTCCCGCCTTCGTCGCCCGTGGAAATCGAGATACTGGATGACGATGAAGCAACGAACGTCGCCAGCTCCCAACCGGACGTCGAGGAGCCCCTCGCCCAAGCCCTTTCGTCCACTCAAGCATCCGAGGTCTCAGAATCCCGATCCGAGACGCAATACACCGACGCCCTTTGCTTCCCTAATTACCCGCACATCACCTCTAAGGTGCTTTCCACCATCATCGCGCTCTCGACCGGCGACGCACGCACCGCGCTCTCACTCATCGAACTCGTCCTGCACGCTCCTATCACGTCCGAAGAGCCGAAGCTGCTCGCCGCGCTCCGCCGCTCCGTCGCGACCGCGTACGACCGCGGCGGGGACAGCCACTACGACATGATCTCGGCGCTGCACAAGAGCGTGCGGGGCTCGCAGCCGAGCGCGGCGCTCTACTGGCTCGCGCGCATGCTCACCGCGGGCGAGGACCCGCTGTACGTCGCGCGCCGGATGGTCGTCTGCGCGAGCGAGGACATCGGCATGGCCGACCGCCATGCGCTGCCTCTGGTCAGCCTCCCGGTTCCTCCCTGCATCCCCGCTTCGCTCGATGCTGACATTTCCGTTCCCCTCCAGGCGATGGCGGCCTACCAGGCATGTCAGGTCATCGGCATGCCCGAGTGCCGCATCAACCTCGCCCACCTCGTCACGTACCTCGCCGAGGCCCCCAAGTCGACGCGCGCGTACGAGGGCTACGCTCGCGCGGAGGAGGCGGCGGCGGCCGACCCGTCGATCCCCGTGCCGCTCATGATGCGCAACGCGCCCACGGGGCTCATGAAGCAGCTCGGGTACGCGGGCGGGTACCGCTACAACCCGGACTACAGGTGCGTGCCTCCACTCCTTCCTCCCGCTTCTCTGCTTGCTTGCGCGTCGGCGACCGCGGGGCGTGTGCGTGGCTGACGTGCTGTGTGTGTATTGCAGGCATCCGGTCACAAACGATTACATGCCGATTCAGTTTCGCGGTGACGAGTTCGTGCGCAAGGCGGGGGACCTCGGCGGGAAGACGTGGGACGAAGACGCTTTACGGAAGTGGGAGTACGCGGAGAACGGGGGGAAGCCATGGTCCGGCAGGCCATCGGAAAACGGAGAACCTTCATCTCACGACGAACGCGATTCAGAAACCTGAATATGCTGTCGATCATTCCAATACTTTAATCTGCCTTCTTGCTTTGCCAATACCCCAGCTCCTGACGATCCCCTGTACTCATATGTGTAGCATACTTCCATAAACAACAATCTGCGAATAATACCGTACGTACAACATAGCCATCTGTGACCGAGATAGAAAAATACGTGACAACCGATAATAACCCTACTTCCACATTTTCCCAGTGCATATGGCAGCTCCACATCTACAAGGAATGTGAATGGCATCGTTGAAAGGCTAAGCGGCAAAATGAGCACAGGTGACGAAGAGAGCTAGATCAGAAGGACTCGCCTCTCCATCCGCCTCCTTTGCAAGGTCTTCTTCGTCCAACCGGCCAGCGTAGGAGAAGCAAAGCTCCTGGTAAGGCTCAATATCTGCCACAGTGAAGATGGCGAGTAGCGGTTTTTCCATGTTGGACTCGTTGATGTATGTGCCTACAATCCAACAATTCGGGTCGCAGCTGTGGTTCTGGAAGAATGGCTCAGCATATAACGGGCTTACTGGCAGCGAGGTAGACCTACGAGATATCGAGTGAACTGTGGTGTTGTCAGCAAAGAATAAATGTCCTAGTCATAGAATTTTTACTGACATTGCCCACATGATACGCGTCGATGCTATAATCGTTCAAACCTGTGTAGTAGAAGTCTATGTCGAACAGGTACGTTCGTCCGAACTTGTTGTAAGCGCTGTGAGCATTGTATGAGTGCCAATTATCATCATAAATGTCACTTCTCGCCCTTACAATTCTCGCTTTTCTGCGGCTACGCCAGTAAGATATTCGCCGGCGTAGACCCCAAGGTACGTATACGCAGGGATCTTCTGGGGACCCGCGAACACACCTGCATTTGGGTGAGCGTCGGAAACTGAAACAGACAAAACAACGCCGTACCCCATCCCTTGTCGGGCGTCTTCCGGATCGCCAACGCATGCTTTCGGCCTTGTTGAACAACCTGCGCAAGTTATTGACACGATCCCCGAGGAACTCATGGCTGACTTACCCTGTTCGGACAGTCATCCGAGCATCCGCAATTCATGTTGCATTCGACGACCGGGAGTTCCTCCCGCCCTCGCTTGAGCCGCCCCCCTTCGTACGAGAACCCGATGCACATCGGATATTCAATGTGCTCTTCGACGAGGCTACGCTGCCGCAGCGCGCACAGACACGTCTTCGAGTTCGGGTCGCACGGACCGCGGCACCCGCAGCCCTTCAGCTCGTTGTAGTTCGGCGGAGGCACCTCCGTCCCGTGCCACATCAGGTTCGAGTAGTAGAACTCGAGCGGCGGCGTCGGCTCGTCGTCTACGTCGTTCACCACCCGAATCGGCGGGGCACGGGGCTCGTCACGCGCGGTGTTCGCCCGGATTTCGCCCTCAAAGATGTGGACCTGCATGTCGCCTGCGGCGCGCGCCGCCGCGGGGAGCGCGTTCAGCCGGTCTTGGAGATCGTGCGGGATGTCCTCCGCAAGCTGCGTCACCGGCGCGAACTCGCGCGCGAGCCGCTCTCGGTCCTTCTGCCACGAGAGCGTCTCGAAGCCGGCGGCCTCGAACGCACTCGTGTACCGGTTCCCAGCGACGGACGTGGCCGAGATCCCGCCCTGGTCCACCACCTCCTCGTCGCTTTGCGAGCGGACCTGGAGGAGCTGCGAAGCGTTGGGGCGGCTGCGGGTGAGACGCTGCGGGCGAGTCCGCTCTTCGGGCTCGAGCGAGGAGCTCGCAGACTGAGAGGTGGAAGTGGAGATGCGGGCTGATCGACGAGGCAACGTGGTGGGCTGTGAGCGGCGTGTTCGCCGCCCGAGATCCCGAGGAGGTTGTGAGCTCCTCAGTGGCGACTGCCAAACGCGTTAGCTATTAGCAGGTGAACTGAATTGTCTCAGAGAGGGCAGCCTACCTCAGCCTCGGGCGAGGCTCCTGGAGAATCCGTAGATGAGTTAGGGTACAACAGAGTGAGGTGATCGTCATCGGTGGACGCAGAGGATGAGAGGGAGCGAGGGGGAGAGCTGCTTGATTGCCCGAAGGAAGGTGTGGAGGCCGAAGGCGCCTCCGCAGCAATACCAGAATGTGTGGTGAACATGGATTCCCTGGGAATGGGAAGAGCAGGAGCAGACACCGTTCGCGGTAGAGGTGATGGTTGAACGGATGGAGGGGGGTTTGAGGGTGCCCGTTGCTTCTGAACGGCCTGCGCAAACATTTGACTACGAGGGAGTGGTAACTTGAATTGCTGCGCTGGAGGTACCTGGTCTGGGAGAGACGCGGAGCCAGCTGTGACACTGGGCCCTGGTGAAGGGCCAGCCACACTGGCGGAAGGTGCTGCGGAGGGCGCATCCGCCATTGCTGAGGCATTTCCGCTGATATGTCGTGCAGTCCGGGGGAGAGGCGGGATGGGGAGATTTGGCTTGATGGGCGACGCGAACGAACTGTCGGACGCCCTCCTTCCCTTACGGACGCTTGCGACGGCATTGAGATCCAGAGTCTTAACAACTGGAGGGGAAGATGGAGGAGTATGGGGGGTCGTGAGACCAGCAGCTTGAGGGCGGAATACTGTTTCAAGGTTAGACTTCGTCGGAATTTAGAGAGAGAAAAGCACTTGCGATGGGTACGGGGAAGGGGGCCAGGTGATGCGTGGGTTGGCTCCAAGAGAGACCTCGGCTTCGAGGCGGAAGCAAGGCTTATTAGGTCGAGAGGGTCTGGTGACGAAGGTTCATCTGCAAGATTGATGGGCTTCCTCCGTGCATTATCATTGCGAGCTTGTCGAATGATAGCCGCTAGTGTCTGGCCTAGTGGCTGTTTGGGAGACTTTGAGGGCTCAATGGATAATTCTAGATCCATAGGGATTTCTTGTGCCCATTCCTACAACATGTTAAGTTGAAATCTTTAAATTGCAAACAAAAACCACATACTGCAACTGTGGCATTGGGTGCATCAGGCGATTGAGATGCACTTGGAGCTGCTGCCACTGCAGGAGAGACGAGCCCGGTATTGACTGGCGCACCGGACTGATCAGACCACTTGAAGAATGAGTTGGGGTACCGTGGACGCATACTGCGAGAGGCAGGAGAGGGTGAGCATTGAGTCTGTTCTTCTTGTGACTGTGGGAGGGGTTGAGGTCCATCTGAGTTGCTGGCACTAGCTGAGTTGCTGGTATCAGGTTGTTCTTCCGAGAGGCTGGCACCAGTATATCCATCGTCTTCGATTTCTGGGTTTCCCGTGGATATTGCGAGCTCTTGCAACCCAGGATCTAGCATTTGGGAAACTGGACTTGCTGTCTCAGATCTAAGAGTGGACGTTGACACAGATGTTACGAGTGGCGAGACGGACAGCCGCATGGTGACATCGCTTGCAAGAGCGGTGACCGAGTCGACTACGGGTGCTTCCTCTTCGGCGACCTCCCAGCGTGCCTCGACATCCTCCATTTCAATGTCACCCGGAGGCACTTCTTCCTCATCCTCCTCATCGAGAATAAAAACTCCACCTACTTCTCTGAACCCGGGAGGCACACGAGTCGGACGCTTCTTCTTTGACTTCTCGGTCCGCTCCTTAGTCTTGGCTGGTTTCTGAACTGGCTTGATGACTTTCTTGGGGTGCTCGTGCTTCGGGGGTTTGACAGCCGGCAGAGGTTCATCTTCATCGTCAGAAATCACAATCACTTGGACATCAGGGGGAGGGCCCGAAGGGTTTGAAACAGAAGCTAGGCGAATATGCCACATCAATCCCAAGCACGCACGCACACTGGACCTAAAAAGCGTACATCGCGGACTCCTGCCGTTCTTCTCAGGGGTCTCAGGAGTAGATGTGTTCGCTGGATTTTCGGTTTTCTGTGCTCCGAGCGATGGAGGCGTAAATTTCGAGGCCTGAGTCGCGCTGGCCGGGGTTGTGGGTACTGCGAAGCAAGGCGTAGAGCCTTCAGACGACGCGTGAATCCCAAACACTGCAGCAGAACCGAGAGAAACCGTACCGCTCGCATCGCTGCGCCGTGGTATATTGCTTGTACTGTGCCGTGAAAACGGAAGCCCAGGCTTGCTTTTTGCCGCGCCAGCCGACGCTGAGGCATCCAAAGTAGCGATTTGGGCATTGTCGAGAGTCACTCTCCTCTGCTGGTGCTCCTTGAGGAGCTGAGGCCTCTTATTCTTGTTGAGAAGATTCGAGTGGGTCGATGCCAGCGAGGTGTATCGACTGGACTTGGACTGACTGAGCGCTGTGGCGGCGAGGGGGCTGTCAAGAGGCACCATGGTCCCCGCCAGGGCAATCCCATCCTTTTCCGGGTTCAGAATCTTTCGCCTCTTCTTCTTGACGGGACGACCGTCATCACCATCGGCGTCCTCGCGAGCACGGCGTGAAGGAACTGGGGAGAAGTCCCGGGAAGTGGAGGCTGCTCGTCACAGTACACATGAAGACCTCGGGTAGGATAACAGGGGTTAGCACGTACCTGATCCTGCTGGCCCATTCACGGCCGCCCTTGAACCACTCGCTGGACGATCTGTGCTGTGCAAAAGCTGGGTGCCAGGCCCAGCAGCCGTACTTGCTGCGACTACCCTTGTGCGGGGGAGGGGGAGGTTGTTCTTGGCCATGGACGGCTGCGAGTCGTCGTCTTCTTGTAGCTCGTCTTCTTCGGGCACGGCGGTGCTCACGGAACACTCTGGTAGCGGTGGAGTGGAGGCAGGAGAAGAGAAGGGGTATGGACACGGGGAACAGCTTAAGAAGCTGAGACGGTGTAGGTGGACGGCGGCTGACCTCGTTGGAGAACCGTCCAGGACGGAATCGATGGAGCGCGCATAACCGGTCCGCCCTGCGCAGGGGCAATCTTGAATTTCCAGGTGACAGGAGGAAGGAGATTAGCAGCAGAGAAAGCCCTTTCCGTATCGCGCGAGGCTCGCCCTCTGCTCGCGCTGCGCGCGCCTGCCCCCCAAGATCGCTTGGAGCCACCCGGACAATCCCGGTCCGGAGACACTGGTTGAATATTCCCTATAATCCAATGCCAGCGTCTGGATTCCCGCGTTCCCAACATCGAACATCATCTCTTCATCATTGTGATACAAGACATAGAACATTACATCGCCTGCTATCCCTTCGCAGCCATGGACATCAATCACTGCTGCCTGTCGCGAAACTTCATCCCTGCCACACAGCGGGTCCGGGGATCGTGTAGTTGGTGACACCCTGTTCAGCAAGCAGTCAGCAAGAGTCAATGATCACATCCATGTTTTCAAGTGCTAAAACTGACCGGCTGCGAGTAAACGTCGATGCCAACACCAGGGTCTGACATCGAGTACGCGCCGGGGAACTTGACCAGGTAGTCGCCACTAGGAGTCGCGGAGCCAGAACCCTACGAAATTGTTTATTAGCTTCACGCAAACGATGACAGGTACGATATTACTCACAGTAAGGATCAGCTGGGCGCACTCAGGGTAGAATTGCGGCTGGTCCGAGGTGTGGATGGCAAGCAGCTGGGCCACATAAAGGGGTCAACAAATATCGACCCGTTCTATGAAAACGCTTGGCACCTCGTGGCGGATGAAGTACTCGCCCGGAGCAAGGGACGCGGGAATGGTGGTAGTCCAGCTGCTGTTGTCGTTGACGAGTTCGCTCATGCCCCAAAGACCAGTCGGGAGGTCCCCAGAGATGAGGCCGGCCTCGTCGATCTTGAACTTTAGAGACGTGCCTGCAGTCAACACCTGCTCAGTTACACGACTTCTTGTAGACGTCACTTACCCATTCAAGGGACGTCGGGTCAGCGTCCGTGCAAGAGCCGCCGCATGAGGCCATGTAGACCATGACGGGGCCGATGGTATGCGGCCACGGGTTGCTAAAAGTGTGATGCGCCACGTCGAGCCCCATGGACAACACACAAGTTCTTGAGTACTTACTTCCAGTACGCGACAACATCCGAGCCCGCCGGGACCGTGGCGGACTGCTGGCCAGAGCCGAGGTTGGCACCGTTGGCGTTGCAAGCGAGGCTGGAGTCGGTGGGGTCCGTGATCGGGTTGTAAGTGTCCCATTCGCGCTGGATGCTGGTCTGACCCGTGGGGGTGTTGTACGCCAAGAAGCTGGACAAAGGTTAGCACAAGTGACGGAGGACCAGTTGGAGTGAACAAACCCATTGTACGTAGTGCCGCCGATGGAGTAGCTGACCACACCGCCGTGGGCGACGACCTGACTAACACCAATGGCGAGAGTGGCGAGAGCAGTGGTGATCATCTTGAAAACGTGCTAAAAACTTGAGAGGCAGTTGAGCACGAGTAGACCTCCCTGTGTCCTCGTCAGGCTTTATACTTGAGACGTGGAGGCGGCTACGTGATAAGCTGAAGTTGGAACGTACATGTTCGCGACGTTGTTCCGAGCGTATGGCTGGTGTGAACAATCATGCAGGGTGTACCTCGGTGTGAGTGGAGCTCGTTTCTGCGTGCTGCAGTGAGACAGCGTTACGAGTTCGTTAGTGATGTGATGAAGCCAGCTAGCGGGTATCTGCGCAGAACTGAAAGAAGGAGCAGATGACCAAGGTATAAGCGCATGTCGTCACTGGGTCTTGTATGCTGGTTGACTGAATGCAGAAGACATTGTCCAGCCGCTTGCTGTTGGTGAGAGAAGACATATCCGAAGATATCTCTCACTTGGTGAATTTCCGTGAGGACTATGTTTAGATGCTGCATGTACCACCAAATACAGGTCAAACGTACAAGCCAACCGCCAGGTCTGCACCAACAAGTTCCCCTCTAGTCGTCTTCGTGGATAATTATCCGTGGGGCATCGATGACAGCCACGGGCTGAGCGTCGGCAATCGCGTCGACGCCGGTTGAGGGCGCGGGCATGGGCCCCTCATCGTCATCCTCTTCGTCGCTGTCCTCCTCGCCTGGACGTCGGAAGACCATCTCCTTCCCGCTGACGAGGCGCCTCTTCTTGAACGGAGCATCCACACTCTTGTCTCCACTTGGTCCCGAGCCTCCGCCGCCGCGCCCGGTGCCGTGGCTACCATCCTGGTCTTTCTCGGGGCATTTGCCCTTCGCGCGCTCCTTCTTCTTCTGCCGCTTCGCCCGGTTCTTTGCCGTCTTCGCCTCGGCCGCCTCGTCCCACTGTCGTTTCTTCTTCTCGAAATCGGCCACCTCTGCCTCCTATTGAACGGAGCATGGCATATAGGAGGGGGGGGGGGGGGGGGGGGGGGGGGGGTCAACACTGGGTCAGCGCTCTACACATGCTGGGAGAAGGAGAAAGCATCGGCACGGACCTTTTGCGCCTGTTCATCCATAACCTTCAGCCGTTCATACTCTCTCCGCCTGCTCGCCTTGTACACGTGGAACTCCCCGCTCCCTGCGCCTGCACTAGAGCCTTGCACATTCTTCATCATCTCGCGCGCAGCCCGCACGGACTTCTCCTTCGGCGGGGCAGGTATATGCGCCGGTTTCGCAGGGTCTTTGAGCAGCTTTTCAAGTTGCGCCCGTTGTTTGTCAATTGCAGCGGCGGCATGACGAGTAGAGCCAGTAGGTGCAGACGAAGGGGATGGGGCGGGAGACGCAGACATGGCGGAGAGTAAGAAGCACAGTAGCCTCTGAACGTGCGCGCTCATCCCAGCGTGGGTATGAGCGCCTACACAACATGTACTATGTACTAAGATCTACATATTGCGGCCTGTTTGCGAACTTCACTGTCGCCGTCGTGCTCTCCTCAACCAAGATTCCCGTCGTAAGGCCATAAAATTACACATGCTACAATGATCGCGGAGAGCAGTAGGAGTAATCTAGCAGGGTCATGGGTCAACAAGCCCGACTAGTCATGAAGATGAAAGTCCGAACAATAATCAAACGACTAGGAAAGCGGTGGTGAGTAATGAGAGCTGGTCGACGGCGATAAATAGGAACGTACGTAGCACAGCATTGATGCAGCCGTCGTTCTCCGGGTTGTTGGTGACTTGTGCGTACTTGCCGAACACAACTTTGCCGCCCGCAGTAACTATACCCAGCTCGGAAACGTTGACCTCGATGACAGTACCCTTGGTGAGCACCCCCAGTTGTGTATACATAGGGGACTGGGGGTTCTTCTTGACACCAAGGATCTGTAGTTGGAACGTTGCCTTGAGATCCGCTACACCACCAATGTCAGCAACAAAGTTGTGGTCGAGACCAAACACTACGCACGATGGGTGACGTTGGCCTTCTTGTACCGAAGCGCCATCGGGCGAATGAACCTTTCCATTTTGACGGGTTTCCGGGTGAAACCCTCCCCGACGAACGTCGCCTTCGTGACCATCCGCTTCCACGCCTTCTTCTTGCTCTTCCCCGTGCGCATGACCTTGAACATCTCGTCCTCCGCGATGCCCCTGACCTTGGGGAGCGGAACCGCATACTTTGCCGCCTTGTCTTTCCGCTTCTCCTTGATTGCCGTCGACAATGCCTTCGCATCCTTTTGGGTCTCGCGGTCGAGCAGGTAGGTGGGCAGAGCACCCTCCGGGGCAGACGAGCTATCCTTCTGTTTGACATTGCGCTCGTCGTGCGCCTTGAGAGTTTTCTTCATCTGTACTTTCTCCGCATGACGTTTGGCATGGAGAAGTTTAGCCTTCAGTCCGAAGGCCTTTTGAGCAGTTGCGGAGGAGCGGTGAACAGCACGAGCTTCGCGTTTCCGCCTGCACAGGTGTCACACAGCTATTTGAGTCACATAATGGACAGTAAAGACTGTATACGCACTTTTTCTCGAAGTAATCTAACCGCCGACCATGCCGCTTAACATGCTCTTCAATGTACTCGTTCTACGAAAAAGTTGAGCGTTATGATCCCTGAATGGCCTTGTTGGGGTTTTACCTGAGGCTATAAACGAGAATGAACATGTCAGATCGGCCATTATCTTTCATAGCAGGCACAGACGCACCATCACAGAGGGAGGGGAGGAGAGAGGGCTGAGGAGAGAGGTAAGGAAGGGCAGAGCTTATGGGCGCCTCATCGGCTCGTGCACATCGCCGAAAAGTGGCGCACGTGACACCAACGCACCTCCACGTTTCGCGAACGCGCCCCGCCACTGCAGGCCTGCAACCTGAACTCAACGTGGACTTAGCCTCTTTATCCTACATCTACGTTCCCTCCTAGTTTCCGACACGCACGATCTCCACTACCTTACTAAAATGTGGCAGGATAACTCCCAATACGCCTCGACATCCTCCCAGAACCAGTATTACCAGCAAGCTGTGGCTCCTCAACCTGGCGTGCCTCTCCAGTTCTATGCGCCAAGCCCGGGAGTCGGAGGGTCGTTCTACAGCGGCCGCTCCAGTCTGGAGGGGAGCATGGGCGCTCAGGGATCGATACAGCAGGGCGGAGGATACACCGGACAGATACAGCCCTCGGGGGGATGGTGGACGGCGTTCGGGACTGGAGGTTTCGAGGGGGAACCACCGTTGCTTGAAGGTGCGTACTCCAGAACCCGTTTACCGCGTTTCATGTAACGCTGCTGCTCTTAGAACTGGGTATCAACTTTTCGCACATTCAAGCAAAATCACTGGCCGTGCTCAACCCACTGCGACATGTGGATGAGCGAATCATGGACGATGCAGACCTCGCCGGACCTTTGCTCTTCGTCTTCTGCTTTGGAACCTTCCTTCTCTTTGTGAGTTCTTCAGCGTTCGTCGTTTCATTCTGCATTGCTCAGGGGTGCGTTTTCCAGTCCGGCAAGCCACAGTTTGGATACATCTACGGTGTCGGCGTCCTTGGCTCGCTCTCCATCTATACCCTCCTCAATCTCATGTCGGAGAAGGGCATCGACGCATACCGGGTGGTTTCTGTCCTCGGTTATTGCCTCTTGCCCATGGTCGCAGTGGGCGCGCTCAGTGTTGCAGTCACATTAGAGTGCGTTCATCCTCAACTACCGCCGATTAGCTTTTGCTGACATGTGTTGCCAGTGGAATGCTCGGATATATTCTCTCCACCTTGTCGATTCTGTGGTGCACGTACGCCGCTTCGGGTATTTTCGTCGTAGTCTTGCGCATGTCAGACCAGCGGCTTCTCCTGGCGTACCCCATCGGTCTACTGTACGGATGTTTCGCTCTTCTCAGTGTATTCAACGTCGGTGGAGGCTCCAAGTAAAGTCTTATGTGTGGTGCCGGAATTCTAAAGCGTATGATTAATGTTATTCATGGCAACCTACATCGTACAGATCCTAAGCTAAAGAGCACATCATGGGCTGTGCAGTAGGTGCGTGAATATGGAGCATCCAGATGTTATGATGATATCAGGGACTAAGGGTATATGTACTAGTGAATCTATAGTATGGAGCTGGTGGGAGAGTCGGTAGAAGTCCTTGTGAGCTGTCTCGTGTAGAGCTTTAGAAGCATCTTCATGATCTCCTCCGTGGGTAGCGTCGCGTACTCATGGACGTACTGTGGCAACGAGTCTTCGAGGTTGAACCCTGCTTTCTTCATGAAGAAGGGGTGCATCACGTCAGGGGTTGCCTCTCCGAGCTGGCGCATTGTCAACCGCTCGATCTTTCGGCTTTTTGGGACATAAAGTAGGCCCGTCGTTACGCTTTTTAAGGTAGCAGGAGCGGAGGGAGGAGAGATATCTGAGCTCGGGGGGGATGAGCAACTGGCCAGAGACAAGGTGGCTGACGGCGAGACAGAAGCGGAAGGCTGAGGGGGACGAAGGGGCACCAATTGGGAAGCATCGTCGGCCGAGTGGAGAGTGAGCGGGATGGGTCGTGAAGAAATGGAGCCACGCTTTTTCGCTCTACTGCGCTCGGTTCCGCTGGGGCGGTCCTTGTCGGTAGCGAGGGGTGAGCTGATGCTCTCGTGTTTCTTCCGAGAGGCGAGCGGGACGGCAGCGACACTTGTTCCAACCCCGCCGGAAGAGAGCTGTGCAGCTTCCATTTCCCGGGCGAATGTCTTACGAAGAACCGTAAGCCAAGAGTACAACGACATGTTGAGGGAGATGTAGATGTCTTCTGCATCCCGGGCACTGGCCTTGGAGAAGCTGGAGCCGAAGTCATACTCGAGTTTACGCCGAACCCCGTCGTCCTGAGATTCTTGAGGTTCTTCTGAGTACATCCGCATGTCCATGGAAGGAAGGCCGAAGATGATCGCCTCGGATGAGTGGGCCATCACTGCAGATAGCCACTCTCGACTGTCCACATATCCGTTCGTGTCCTTGAGCGCAATGCTGTGGTGGAGCTGGTTGTAGCGAGAGACCGTCATGCCAGAGAAGTACAGTTGGAGAGTACGCTGGGCTGGCTCATTGTCTGTCCAGATGAGTCGTTGAAGACGAGCATGGACGTCCTCGCCGACGAACTGTGCGAGTTCAGGGTCGCGCATGGATCGAGGGAAGACGACCAGTCGTAGACGCTGAAGCTTGAGACTCATTCGTTGCCCAATCGCGTAACAAAGGCCTGTCTCATGCTCTTTCAGGCGAGATCGTGCGGACTTAATCATGGCGTTGGCGACGGCCGAAAGGGGGTTGTCGGGTTTCGGGGTGTTCGCGATCCTGAACGCCTTCGACTCTCGACGAGCACCTTCCTTCTGAGTTTCCAGGTTGCTTCGGAACTTGTTAGCATAGGACACGAGTTTGGGTATTGTTCCAACAGTCATGATGGCCAAGATATCAGAGCCTGTGACAACGAAGTCAAGGTTGACACGTCTGTCTTTCGGGGCGATGTCGGAAGAGATATCAGACCAATCGTCGAAGATGTAGATCGAAATGGGTTCGGCCCTGGGATAATAGTGAGACAATGCTCCTTATGGTATCGCAGGAACTCACCGGTAACGAATAAGTTCGTGATACTCCGAATCGAGCTTGACAGTGAAAACCCCGCTGGTCATGGAAAGGTCGAGCATTCGACCACCAGCCCTCTTTGCGTATTGAAGATCCTGTCTACGGACAGTTTGAAAGTGGAAGTCCGGCATGTCTGCATGGCCAGAGAGATTCCCCGACGCGACTATAGAGAACTTGCCAATGGCGAGGGAGAGTTCAGACAGTACCTCGGTGATTTTGGTCCGAACAGTAGTGTCATCTAGGGTGAGCTTCACATTGCTGATTGACTGGCCCAGATCGACATCCAACTCGACTTGGCGAAGGCGAACCAGTACGGCGGTAGTGAGTTCTTGCTTCTCTGCTAGCCCCGTGACAGAACCGTGAGAGGCGACGGGGATGGGGAGTGCACTGGTGGGGGGAGGAAGTCGATCAACCGGAGTGGAGAGTGCTGCACCGCCGATGGCAGGGATACGGTCTAACCACACCGCCTTGAAGCAGAGGACATCTTGGAATCTCGAGAAACGCAGACCGCCCGAAAACTCTGTATCCAAGACAACGGAGATCGAGCTCAGAGTTCGATTCTTCTGTTGAAGTTTGGCAAAGGCAACTGAGAAGTTGAGATTCCTAGCGTCCAACTTGACACAATCTTCACTGAGGAAACCGTGCTTGAGAGATACAGTAAGGCCCCCAACAGTGCCGGTGAAGGAGATGCGACGAGCTCCAGGGGCGATGTTGACGACGAAGCCGCCGCTATCCCAATGTAAGCCTCCGATAACGTTGGCGTCAGGTCGGCAGGTGAGAAGTAGCTTGGATTGATCGATACGAAGACTGAAGCTTATCTTCATGCTAGAAACGGGATCGGACGGACGGGTCGACAGTTCTTCTGGCGTTGGAATGGGGGTGATTGGTGTGGTGGCTATCGGCGGTAACAGCCCACTCTTGGGCCCCGGTGAAGCTGGAGGTCCTGGTGCATTGGCAGTGCGCATGTGGTCTTCGATCTTGTTCATCAGCTCGGAAAGGAAAGGAAGGAGAGTTGGTCTGAGAGTATTCTGGCTGGAGTGTATGGTACTCTTGAACATCAACGTTGACGGCTCAGCAGCCTGGCCTGTGCTCGAGAGTTTGTGTACTGCAGGGGTGGCACGGAATTCTCCCCACACCGAGACCTCTGGAAGGTTGAATTCTTCGGCACCATTGGAGTCATCGGAACGACCGTAAAGCAAGGTAGACAAAGGACGACTGCGAGGTGGTTGTGATGATGAGTCCCGGCTGTGCATGCGTACTTTGCCACTGGAAAAGGTCAGAGACGCCAATATGTTGGAGGTTGGGAGCGCGCTATAGCGTTGTTCTGTCTGAGTGGTGTCTGTGGGGGGCGGGGTTTCTATGCTCGGTGACGGACGGGGTACCGCTCCAGCTAACCGCTCCACTCTGTCTTTGCCTTGCCGATAGACATCGAGGAGAGACGAGATGAAGTCGGGGATTGTCGAGTCGACGTCGAGCACGAAACCATCGACTTCAGCAAAGACGCACACACGGCGAGCATCACCGGCGTGTTCTGATCGGATGTTGGCGGTCATCTCTGGATAGACAAGTCGGTTCCGCGTCTTGTGACTCTCGCCTGAGAAATCAGCAGGGTTGTTTTGTCTGAACCTGTTCTAGTCATGAGTATATCGGGCATCTTGGTGTTGATTCCTCGCGCTTACCTTGATACGAACTGGAAAGAGAAGTTAGACATTGACGCCTGTCCATTCTCGCCAGACTGGGTACCGAACTTGAGACTCTTGATCGAGAACAAGAAGGCTCGTACGGCATTGTCGTCGTGACTCCCGGAACGAGACATCTGCAAATCTCGAGCCAGTGTGAGTGGGAAAGCCACGCCAATGTTCTGGATGATGATGGAGGCGGTGTACAGCTCGAGGAGTGATCTCTCCGAAGTGCTCGTCTCTCCAAGCTTGACATCGAGAGATTTCATCAAGCTCTTCGTTTTCTCCTTGAATTCCTCGAGGTCGTTCGCCCGTTGTTCCTTTTGGATAAGGACCTCGGCCTGCGCAATATTTAATGCGACAAAAGCCCATTACAAAAGGGATACGCACCTGAAGGTGATCGAAGAAGTCTCCGAGCTGACCAATGGAACTCGGTTGCATCACCGCATGAATCTTGTTGATCTTCACGTCAAGATGAGGTAAAGCGGAGTGCGTCTTCTTGCCCATGCTAGCTTCCGCATCCACCCGCACAAAAGCAGATCTCCGATCACGATGGGACGGCGTTCCGATAGACGCTTGAGAGGCCAGCGAAAGAGCAAGGTCTGATAGCTTGACGTGCCACATGGAGCGACCGTGGCTGCCAAAACCACCGCTAATGTCATCACACTCCAAGAAGAGCGTTGATGCTAGGCCCTGGAGACCGATACGGAAGCCTTTCATCTTCAGGTGGCCATTGAACTTGAAAGGAGACTTCTTTTCGCGGGTCGGGCTGCTGGGGGTTTGCAAAGGGGCAGCCAAGGGTCGCTTCTGTCGTGACTGCTCAATGATACGAATGAGATCGTTGAAGTCTTGCCCTGACTTTTGCTGCACGGAAAGGAGCGTGTCCCAATCCGACGGTCGGACGGAGACCTCAACGAACTCGACTAGTGCCATGCCTTGAAGACCATGCACGTCATGGCGGCCTCGAAGAGTGACAGTGGGAAGCTCAAGCCGCAAACCAATATGGCGACTGTGGTGGTGTGATCCTGCCCGTGACCTGGAGATGTCGAATATATGGGGGCCCATTTGCAGCCCAAACAGATGCGCGCTTTTCCGACGGTGCTCATCGAGGACGAAGCCTATTGTGTCACGGACCTCCCAAGAAACCCAGGTGCCATGCATTACTTGAAGTGTTGCCTTCATCGACGTCACCGACACCTGAACCTGGAAGTTGAGCAGTTTCGGTGATGGCGATACCTGTGGTTGAGTGACGGACGGAGGCCTGGGGGAGGTTGACGATCGCATCTCTGAGAGTAATGCGCGGACCGTTGCATCCAGAGGGGGGAGATAGTCGGCCCTCCACCCTTCAGCGAATCGATACAATCGCAGCGCACTTCGAGGTACATCGAGGTGAAGCTTCCCAAGACCAGCAAGGGCCCGACAGGTGACGTTCTTGTGAGCATCTTGCTGCAGTAGCATGTTAAGCTTTGCATCGCCTAGAGTGAGGGAAGCCAGGGTGCGTTCCTTGGGAACGCTGGCGGACGCAGGAGAGGATGCTTCCAGTACTGCGCATTCAACGGATAACGACTGATTGGTGGAGATGTCTGGCGTGGGGTTTTCTGTACGTGGAAGTGTGGCCACCGATGACGAGGCGTACGTGACCTCCGCGTTCTTGAAACGTAGAAGAAGCTGCTCCGTCGCTGCGGTGAAGGTGAAGGACCGCATGGCAAGGGTGACATCAACAGACAACGTAGGCATCGGTTGGTGAACGGAAAGCGCAGGGCGGGGTGCAAGGGAATGGATAGAGGCTTTGTCCGTGTCTTGGGGACGTGTGTGTCGCCAAGCAGATCGCATATGGACGCCATGCCGCTTGTAGTCCTTCAATACTACTTGCACGAACTCGACGACTTCGGGGTGAACAGTCGAGGAGATATGGTCCAGTGTAATCGTGAGCGCGAGTCGATGGAGGTCATGTCGTTCTTTGTCTCTCGTAGTGACGTTCGGATAGCTCTTTCCCGGACTCCAAACAGTCGACGATACGAGATCGGCGTGCTGGTGAACGAAGTGGATCGTGGAGGGACCTGAAGTGAAGTCACTTTCCGTGGGTTCAGCAGGATGACGAAGGTGTAAGCGAAGCCCAGCCAGAGTGAATGTAAAGGTGTCGAAGGGTAACTTGAGGAAAGAATCTTCTTTGGGGGTTGTGGAATCCTTTTTGCGAGGTCCACGAAGCAACTCTTGCAACAATGTCTGCTGGGACGGGTTGGAAGAAGTGTCATCACCAGTACCAAGCAACTGGGATTGAACGTTATCCAGAATCTCGGTGATGGAGATGTCTGCTTGTGGTAGGTGAAGTTGTGCTCGTTGGTGTTCACTTAGCAACCGGAGGCAGCCGCGTAGGTAGACGAGGAACTTCAACGTCGCGTCTTTGCGGAGCTTGTCAGGTAAACCTTGTTGAACGAGATAAGAGGGCTGGATGGTGGAGAGCGGATCGACAATCGACGTGTCGCGAGACTGGATCAGGGTGCCGTGGATTGTCTCTAGATTCGTGGGCGGAGCAGTCAACTTTGAGGCCTTGTGGGCGTGGAATATGCCTCCGATGTAACGAGCCAGGACGACCAACGTGCCCAATATGTAGTTCGGTCCTGTATGAGAGATATCCGACGATATGACACCGAGCGAGAGAGTGGCATCGTTGCAGATGATCGACGCCAGACTGGGGCCCAGAGCCAGGTGACAAATTTTCATATGGTCGTGCTTGTAGGCTCTGCTGACGGGAAACTTCGACAAAAGCGCCACCGACATGGAGGAAAAGGCGAAGGTGATATCGCGTGCTGATGGCTGGGTTTGTCCAGGAGCGAGGCGACCACGTAGACGGATGTGTGTGCTCAGAAACTCGGCGACAGTGATACAGAGCTCCCCAGAAAGTGCCTGATTATTCGTTTTGACGGCTGTCCGCGAACTCAACGCATGGACCAGTTGCACGGATCGCACTTCCACACTTGGTATGTGCAAGTCAAACAAGTTGACACTGTCGACGTGGTCCACGCCGAATGACCTAATGTAGCGAGCTGCGAGCGCGTCGAAACGTAACTCCGGGCTGAGTTGCTACAAGAAGGGTAAGTGGAAAACTCATTGCGATGTTGACTGATGGACGTACACTGGACACCAGATCAGCCAACAGGTAGCTGATGACAGGCAGGACCAAAGGAGTAATCCACACAATAACACCGTCTTTGGAGTGAACTCGGAATACACTCTTGTTTCCATCTTCAGGATCGTCTCGATCTGCGTCCGTCCAAACGGTAGGTAGAGCAGCCATAGGAAGCACGTCCGCGTCCAGACTGTGAACGGAGGACTTGGTGTTGCGAGACACGTCCTATTATCAAATTGAGACTTGTTTCGGGTATCTCTGCATGAGCGACCCACCTTGGTGATAGAGAATGGAGAGCGATCCCAAAGCAATGGGCGAGCAACAGAGCGACCTTCATAGTGACGACAAAGTGCACTATACTGATTGACAGAGGGCCAAGATGACTCCAATGAAGCATCTACGGAAGTGTGAGCGACCGGTGAGAACTGGGAAATGGAGTGCTCACCGTCGATTGTGTCAGCGTAATCGGTGGACCAGTCGGTGTCGTGTTCGTCAGACTCATCTCCACTAGAAAATCCAGTTTCATAATCGCTCGGCACTTCGGTTGCAAAGCTTGCAGGTCGGAGATCCCTGTAGAAGCGATATGTCAGTTCCTCCTAGGCAGTCTTTGGACCTGAACTTGACTTACGCCAATCGAGCATCGCGTTCAGCTTCTGGCACGGGGTCGAGATCGGACTCAGAAAGCTCTTCACGCAAATAAGCCATGGGGACTGCGAGCCGATCATGTGATCCATCCACTGGATAGAGCCTAGGAATACGGATTTGGGGGAGATAGAAGTCATTGTCCAACATGCCCCGGCCTACCACGTATGAGCGTCAGCTAAAACCAGTGTGAACGATACAGGTCATACCCGGTCGTAGACGGTGTGAGGGAGTTGCAAGATCTTCAGGGCTGTACAAGATCTTCGCTCGTCCAGTAGCAGCATCTTGCTCTACAATGAACTCGATCTGACGCATTGCAGACTCCCGCCATCCCAGCGGCGCAGAATAGATGTCGACGTCGACATCGAACTTGACATCTCCGGTCTCGAGCCATCGTGCGTGATCTTGTTTGGAAGCGAGGAACAGCCTGACGATTCCAGATAGTAGACGAATTCCCGTGACTTTCCGGAAGGTTTTCCCAGCGAGATCGTTCATGTCGATTCGCAGGCCTGAAGGAAGAGAGAATTCTGCGGCAGCAGTCCCAACAGACCAAATAGCATTGACTGAGTCAATCTTGACCTTGAGGAATGTTACTGAGTGAGTGTCAGCGCGTTGCGTATTGCAACGATCAAGCATGGTGCATACCATCTGGATCGGTGGTAACGGCAAACTCCTTGGCGGGTGAGTTGAGAGGGTCGGAGAAATTCAGTCCGAATGATGAACCAACGGCAGAGAGGAGCTTGCAGTCATACGCATTGAGAGCAGCTTTCAAGTCTCCGACATGTATCTCCCAGATACAAACATATGTCGAGGTGGCTGGACGATGGCCGAACAGTCTGTTGGCTACGACGTCGAGACCGTCGATAACGATCTTCTGCCTTTTCGAACCGAAGTGATCTGTCGTAGTGAAGACCGATGAGTTGTAGCAATGCTCGCTGAACCGGCCCGTGATGGTGTCGATGTTGAGTGACATCTCCATGTAGTAGTCGTTGCTTCGCAGATGAAGTTGTGATGAGGGCAAGGAGAGCAGCAAACACGGCCCAAGGTCTTCGGGGGAGCTGTGCGCATGCTCCGCGATATATCGTTCGTACCCATAAAAGCCGGCAGGGACGACGATCAATCCAGTTTGCACCTCTAGGCCCATGGTGACTTGCATGGCGTTCGACTGCGTACAAAAAGACATTTGAGCCGACATAACGCAGAAAAAGGTGATGTACGTACAGATCCTTCGCGATACTGTAGCTGAATGGGGTCGCCGAGTGGCTGCCCTCGCTTTCTTCCACGAAGATACTCGGTGAGCGTCGAGAAATGGGTGAATGATCCGAAGTAATTGTCCCGCATGATCATGAAGTATCGAATTGTCCATCCAAACGCCTTGTAGATGAGATCTCGACCCGTGAAGTTGAGCGTAAGTTGGTCGACATTGTCGGGCTTCGTTTCTGCGAAATAGCGATACGAGCCGTTCATGTTGAGCATACCGATGCGCCCAACTTGGCTGCGGTCCGGGGTGGCGAACATGCTAAAAATGTTCCAGCGAGGAAGCGAAAGATCGACGTAGACATCCGGGACCTCAAGCCAGAATGACACGGTGGTAACGTCAGGTCGGTACTTCGTGAAGGGCATTTGGGCACCGAGAGTGAAATGTGTTCCATGCAGCGTCAGCAGAGCTTCAAGATTGTCAGCGACGAGGCGTCATGACGGAATGTTTTGACGGACCGTTCTCTTCCTTGATGAGGGGTTTGTCAATGATGTTGTGGTCGTTCACGTACAAGTTGATGCTGTAGTTGTGCATGTCGAGGTCGATAACATAAATCATGGGGATGAATGTGTTGAGGTCTCCTGGAGGACCCGATACCCAGTCTTTCCCTAGATCTGCGAACATATTGATGTGGTCGCGAAGTAGGTAGAAGCAGGGCTGCCGCAGGGAGATAGCGAATGTCCACTGCCGTGATCCATTCCACTTGAGAGGCGCCGGTAGATGACTGCGAATCTGCGCAAATAGTTCCGGTCATTCGGATAAGCATTAAATTCGTGGATGGAACATACTCGGCAAGTTTCCGCGGACAAAAGGCGTATATCGTTCAGACTTGATGTCATTGTCACCGTGTCCAAGTGTACTTCCAGCATTGAGAGATACCCGTTGGTCGACGCTATCATGGGAACAACGTAACTGATGGTAGAACTGTCGCCAGCTCGCACATGGATGGATGCCGCTTCCCGTTTCTTCGGCCGGTCGCTGTAGTCGACTTTTCCATCCCATTGCCAGTTCTTTGGCACGCTTCAATATCAACTCAGCATATACACGAAGCTGGCCGGAAGACTTACCTTAGAGGCTTCACGGAAAGGAAGTTGGAGGGTTACGCCATCGCGAAGCTCGATGAACACCTTCATGCCTGTCCACATGCGCATATCTCCTGGTTTGAGGCGCTCGGTAAGGGACGCGGTGGCGAAAGCCGGCGGGAAGAATGCCTGCTGGAGGAGCGCTCTGATACCATAAATTTAACTTGAGTAATTATTCCCCAGAACCACAACTACCCATACCTTTGACGATCCGCCCACGGTCCGTAACGAATGAAACCGCCTCTGATGACAAGATCAATTCCCCACTCCGGTGGAAGGTCGCCATTCCCAATCTCGAAAGGATCCAAGCTTTCGATCTGAGCCTGATGGCCGGGTTCTAGCGCAGGGACAAGACCAACCACGTCGACATAGTAGAGCAACTCGACAACATTGGCTTCCAAGATTTTGCGTTCAATTGCATACTCGCGAGTAGCAGCGTCTCCACCTGGGCGTGTTTCGTCGTCTTCGTTCTTCTGCTGCTTACGACGACCCCATGATTGCGGATGTGACACTGGCATTGAATAGTGGGTACTCTTGAGGGTTTGGTCGAGCGGAACGAGCAGCGTCCAGAGCTTCAGTTGACTCCATATGCGACGGAAAGAAGAGAACGAGAGGTAGGAGGAATGGCGTAAAGGTGCTCCATCGGCGCGGTTGACCAACTCATGCGCGCGACGCCCCACTTCGGTCATCGGGGAAAGATACTGGTCATTCTCGACGTAGGAGACGGAGGGGTTGTGCAGCCTGAAGTTCATGACTTGCTTGTGTTCGTCATGCTTGGAGCGTGCTTCGACAATGCCGTATGTGCCGTCCGCCCGTTGAAACTCTGCGATCAAAAGGTTGGGGGTGGACGAATTCCCAATGGTGATGGCTCCCTTCAACACTCCAATACTGATAGGAAGTAAGTCCTTGGGATCCAACTTCGGCATTTGGCTTCTCAGCCAGTCCGCTCCTGTTTTGAAGAATCTTGGGGTCTGCTTGTAGATGGAGGAAACCAGAGAGAGGGGAGAACCTAGGATAGAAGCTGGGGCGGTCGTTCTGCTGAAGATCTTGCGAACAGAGGGGGTGCCGTCGGTCTGAAGGGGCGTATGACCGGGTATCGTAGGGATATCCACGTTGAGTTGGGACAGTATGTTGTCGAAGGACGAGGTGCGGTTGTACATAAACCATTCGAGGCCTTGCAAGGTGATATGGATGCGGCATCCGAGTGGTGAAGAGTCCATGCCTTGTTTTTCCTCTCCGATGACGCGGGCATGACTCAAATCCTCCTCTTCTGCCGGGCGGCGAAGCCAGTATCTCCATGATGCTTGTACCTTAACGATGCGAAACGTCTGGTTGCTCGAATGGTATCGGAGGTCCTTGATGAGAATGCGTCCTGCAAGAGTGGAGAAATGAAAAGAGCCTGAAAGGCAAGCGTATGAGCACGTTTACTGTCTTCACGGGTGGTTTTAACGTACCGAATTCAAGCCATATGCTCGATTCCTCTTGGTTCCAGAGTGCGAGTCGGAGGATGAGACTGAATATGAAAGCAAAGAACCTGTTCCAGTAGAAGAGGTACAGGACAAGGAAGATGACAAGGACAACGCAAACGACAAGAAGTCCGACATTCAGCAGCATCCTGAAGGGTTGTGGTTGCACTTGTTCCGTGGTCCAACGTAGAGCGGCAGGTCAGAGAAGTTGCGCCGACTGCAGGCCTCCAGGTTCAGTCGCGCAAAGCGACAGCAAAAGAGAGAAAATGGATTAACCAGCCGTCCGTGAGTCCTGGAGAGATGGTGGAACCAGAGGTGGTGGAGAAGGAGTCCGGAGCTTGCGCGGGGTGCGAGGTCAAGGGAGAGCTTGTTGAATGCACCGACTCCTCCTCGCCGGTCCGGCGCCGGAAGCCCGGCGCCCCCTATGTAAGACTGAGAGGCGAGTCGTATGAGCGCCTATATGAGCGGAAGTTACTCTCTGCTGCCATCATCTTGCAGGTCTTTGGCCTCTTTTCCCCCTCCTGCACGATCGCTAATCATGCCACCACCGACACTACAAAATGCCGAGAGACCGATCCGCCGGTTTGCGGTTCACGCTACCACCACTTGCTCCGCTACGGCCTCTGCATACGGGAAATGCATCCTGGCGACATACGCAGATGTGCAGAAAGACATCTGCAAAGAGGAGTTTGCGAAGTTCGGAGCGTGTCTGCGCGAGGCGGTGAGCATCATTTGTGAGCTACTCGCTTGCCGTCACTCATACGTTTCACAGATGAAACGGAAATGGTGATGCGCATTAGGTGAACGTTGGAACCGAGACATGTACTCCAGCACATCGGTTCCCTATCGAGCCCTTCCATCCAAATAACGATATGGCCAGGTACCCCAAAATCATGTGTCTTGGTGTTCATCCATGCCCCCTGGGATCCTCCTCGACTCCTCCAACCGTTGTTCCCCTCGAGCGTCGTTGGGCTGAGCCTGACGCGTCGCCTCTCCTACGCGTGCCGCCCGTTCACGAAGCTGCGCACGCGCACGCACAAGCATATTCAAGCTGCGAGATAGTTGGAAGGGTGTGGTATTTGGGAGAGGAAGAAGTTCATCCGAAAGGTCGGTCTCGCCAGGTGGTGGGGGTGGAGGGGGATGTCTCAACCGTTGCAGGAGTGTGCGCAGGCGAAGGTCAAGGATGTACTCGGGCACCATCGGCGCGGGTTCGAATGGCTTGGAGCTGGGTCCGTCGAGAGGGAAGGGGGTAGCGGGTGTGATGGCGGGTATTGGCTGAGCCTGGAGCGGGTCTGGGGTATCCGGGGGCATCGCGAGCGAAAGCGAGGTTTCGTACGAAACGGTGGCGAGGATGAACTCGAGGAAGATGATGGCGACGTCGAGGGAGAGAACGAGCGTCTTTGAGGGCTTGTGGCCTGCATCGAGTATGATAGATTTACTCACTTGCTCAATATGAATGACATGAAACATACCAATGCCCACAAAGTCAAGAACGATTGACCTGTTCTCCGACGGCCCCGAGAATATGTGGTAGAAGAGGCTTTGTAGGTTGATGACGACGACGACGATGAACCAGAACCGCAAAGATCGCTGTGAGTCAACGTCGCGAGGGCGGGTGAATTGAAATTGGGTTGACATGCGGACGATGAATGGCCAGAGGCGAGGCGAGAGGAGGAAGGAGATGGTGTGCAGTTGGTACAGCAAGGAATTGAACTGCGAGAGGTCAAGAGTCAAGACCATGAGTAGACGAGTTAAGCCAGTGCCGTTCTACGCACAGATTGGATGATATGCTTTCTTTGGGCATGGCGTATATGCATGACATGTATGATTCTCGTCCCTGCAGAGAGAGGAGCCCAGCGCAAGCGTCGTGTGCACTCGAAAGCCGGCCGGGGAGGACGCACGCCGTTCACGCTGAAGGCAGTCAGTGCCAAGTCCGGGGTCCCAGACGCGCGACGCATCTTGTCACGTACGCGTCACGGGTGCCCCGCGTCGCACGTCAACGCGTGCCGCGACGACGCGTTTTGAAAACGCGTCCGCCTTCTCGTGAACCTCAGCGTGGTCAATCCAATCTCCTACACACTCTGCGGTCTCCTGTTCTGCTTTGGCATCACAATCGCGACCCACTCCATCGCCCTGTCTCATCCTCAGTGCCTGCCACACCGATGCCTCCTTCCGGCCATGACGCACCCAATATGAAGAACCTTCGGCAAACTACTCTCTCATTTGCCCCCTTACCCAGAACGGGTACTTCATCACTCACACCCTCGCAATTAACATCCAAGTCCCCAGTGTCAGCACCACCGGAAACTAAGGTGCGAAAATCTAAGAAGACATCTTCAACGGCCCCTTCAGTTACTTCCACGCGCTCGCACTCAGGAACAGTCTTGGACGGTATCAAGATCCCCCTTCCGACGAAAATGAGCCGTCGAATCAAGGCATCTGCGGAGTCCGCTACCCCCGCCGTAACAAAGCAGAGGACGGCTTCTCTCAAGCGCAAGTTTTCCCCTTCTCTGGAGGATGGTCTTAGTCGCAGCGCTGTAGGTGCTGGGAGACCTCGGATAGCTATCACCCCAGCTACTCCGTATGCTCTAACCTCAGGTACGCATTCCAACAACTTTCCATACTGCTACCCTCCTTGACGGTGTTGAAATAGGCGCAACTGCCAACGTCAAACGTTCGCGCCTTTCACGATCTTCCTCTCCAGCATCGGCTCTCACTCCGCTCACGTCTGATCCCTCCGAGATGGACGACTTCAACTTCGTTCCTACTAGTCAATCTTTGGAAGAAGAACTCACCGTGTCCTGGCTCCCCGACCAACCGTCCAGCGAAATGAACGATACCATCGACCACTGGAGGCAACACCCCTTTCCGGATCCGCCCAGTCGACCTCGCACCCCCACTTTCACAAATGATCCTAACTCGCCTGTTTCCGACCTTAGTGATCTCCCGATGGACGTCGACCCTCTCCCTGTCTTATCACCAACCCAGCTGGATAGTCCTCACGATACACGACCAACCGCGCTCGAGTTGCAAAGTCCGCATATATCTTCTTCCCGGCCCAGTGACTGCTCCCGCGGCGATGCTCCGACAAGCTCTCCTGTCGCACCCAACACACCCCCGCCAGTACCGCTCTCCCGCCAGTCATTCGAAGCTGACGTGTTCTCAACACAATCGTCGCCTCGCTCAAGTGACGTGAACATGGATGAAGAAGTCGTACCTATCGTCAGGATTCTAGACACCCAGACCAAGACACAGCAGCTCATCGACATATCAAGGCCCGCGCAATGGCTGCCGCCCTCTCCAGCCCTGAGCCGCAGCCCGTTGATCTGGACGATTTAGATTCGGATTCAGACGACAGTGAAATGGAGTCGAGTGTTGCAATGTTGATCCAGAAGAGTAAACAGAAACGAAAAGCGGACCTGTAAGTCTCCAGGTCTGGTATGTGCATGTCGCTCAATCCCGTTGTAGCGCCTCCGCTCCCAGCTCTCCGGAAAGTGAGACGAGTTTCGGTCCGAGATACAACCTCCGCCGGTCTTCACCTTCCATTCCGCGCAAGGCACCCTCGGCACCTACGCAAGCTCGCACCGTGAAGAAGATAGACCCTTTCGCAATTCTTCTTCGAGAGAAGAGGCGCGATGAGCGCACTGGCATGGGGATGACTATTATTCGCGAGGCCGACAGGACGGTCGCAGAACATAAAGCAAGCCTGTTGAGCGACATGGACGACGGAGACTGGATAGAGGGGGATACGCGTGGAGACGACAGCGACGACGAGATGGACAACACTGAGGCGATTGCCAACGCCAACAGATGGCTAGGCCCCAGTGCCAAAGCTGTTGATGCGATCTTAGCCAGTGACTCAAGGGAGAAGAAGGAGAGGAACATGGAGAAGCTCCGAGAGTCAATAGGAGTGCCATTCTGGCTTCAAGGGCAAGCCGTCGACGAGGTAATGGGTCGGGATCCAGGCTCCAGCATACCCCCATTCACCGACTCGGATGATCATCCCCTGTTCCGGCGGCTGCGAGACATCACTGCGAGACAAGGTATGTACCAGTGCGAGCTCTTGTCAGTTCAATCGACTGACAACCGCACAGATCACATCCAGATGGAAGTGCTCCTTTCTTCCAGTTTCTCGTTCCTCAAACCCTGTCAACGAACTCCTGTCATTTCGTGGTTATTCGAAGTTGGTCAGTAGTGTTGCATGTAGAACAGTGTTTCAACTCAACATCTCGCATTGCAGCCTTTTCTGATATGCCGTCACCCCTTCCCGATCTTGCGTTTTCCAGGCTGGTCGAACTGGCCCCGACCAACGGAATCCCTGTTCTGCACGAAGTATCGATCACAAGGGCTCTTCTTCGTATTGGGGCGTCACCCGCCGCTCTCTCACAGCACGGATTGGCTTTATCCATTACGCCCATGACCCCTCAGGTATCGGATCATGCATGGCGAGATGGGATAATACGTCGCTTGTGCTGTATACTAGACCTATACGCTTCGTAAGCGCTCTCAATTTCGCTATAACGTTTATCGGCTCACATTCTACAGCACATGGGACCCCACAAAACGTAGCGACACCATGCTCATGATGCTTCTCCTCACCTTGGATTCGACGACGTCTGATCAAGCGCTAGTCGAAGTCAAAAGGGCGAATGATAGCTTGGCAAAAGCTCTGTCGGCGGCCGAGGAGCTCATCTTATGCAAGAAGTTAGTTCCGTTCGGCCAAAAGTTGTCTCCCGCCAACCAGGCCCTCCTCCTTTCATCCATCCCGTCGGTGTCAGACTCCGCCATCCGCATCGCACGCGTAGTGGCGCGCGCGCTTCTACTAGGGACTTCAGACCTCAGCGCAGATGATCTGGATCATCTCCCCTCTCTTAGGCCGTTGATAGGACTTCTCTCAGCCCCTTCCGGCTCCAAAGAAGCGTTCGATGTCACGGGCAACGCTGACGCTCCCGGCTTCTTCAATGACCTTTCATGTCGGGTCGAGTTGCTCAGTCGTGCCCTTACGAATATTCATGACTACGCCATCCAAGAACTCCGGTCGGTTTCGTCCTCTGCCTCTCAAGATCTGAACAAATCCACCGACGGAGATGCCTCGAAGGAAAGTGTGTTCAGGGAGCGAGACAGGCAGAAGACGACGCCACTGCAGCACATCACAGCGCGACTGAACACCTTACACGGCAATATCGGTACGCCTCGTAACGTATCTAAGTTGTATACTGGTTGACTCACGTCGGTTGCCGCGTCTGCAGTCGACACTCGTGCCGCACACCTCGATCGCTCTCGAGCGAAAGCCGCACTTCAACGGCTGTCGTTCCGGGTGCATTATCAGCGTATGGCCGCGCTGGCGCTGAGGTCGGCCGGTGCGCAGCGCAATCTGCTTGGTTACTTCCAAAGTTCGTCTTAGGTACTACTCTTAGCCCATATCGTTATGTATTTACGCCCTCCGAACTTATTGTCATGCACGAAGTGTTGATGCCATGTACGTACAGTATAATGCACGCCTTGTTACCCCTCTATATTCCTTTCAGCTGGCACGCGAGTGCGACGTCATGAGGAGAGAATTTGCCCAAATTTTCCGGTATGAATCTTGATACAATGCGCGGCCGGATCCAGCCTCGAAGACGCGCAGAAACTGACGAATATAGAAGCTTACCAAGGTATTCCACCACACTGCTCAGCTCACCCCACAGCCATTTTGTGCCCTTTCCTCCAGACCATCAACCGCGCGTGCTTGAGTTTCCTTCGCCTGGTCTTGCGACACACCGCATAGCTGTTTGTGACTGCCCAGATGCGCGAACTCGAGACCGCATACACATCGACATCCTGCCATCCAAGCAACATGGCTTGTGGGCCTTCAAGCGTTTAGAGGGGCGATAGATACGCCCTTACCTGAACGACTGCGCGAGGGCATTGCTTGTGCTCTCTCCAACTCTGGGGTATCGATATTCGACGCCAAGATAGAGTAACGGAAGAGAGTGGTGGATGGGCGAGTCTAGAGGGATTTTGAGACGAGGAGTTGAAGGGTTGAGACTAGCAGCGTGAAAAGGATGGAGTTTGAACGAAGCAAATAGCCAGACAGATTGTGCGGGATTGGACGCACCCGTTCTTGGTGCATCCTCTTGTAGATGATCCCTACTGCATGCATGACGGCAAAACGGCTGACCTCGGTACGTCTGCAAATCAACTCAAGGTATTGAAGTGCGCTGTCTTCACCGCCAGGAGGGCTGAGATGGCTCGTAATCTCCCGGTCAATGGGGCGGCGAATGATCCACCAAGCACACTTCATGTCACCACTCAATAAGCCACCGAACAGTTCGAGAAGTGACTAGGCAGAGCCCGAAAGAAAAGCTGTACGTGCTGCAGGAAGAACCTGAACGCCAAAGCGCCTCGACCGCACCGTACTCAAGTAACGCATCCCACAGAGAGTCGACATGCAATATGGGATCCAGAACACGCGTCGGAAGACCTGGCGGGTTGAGCCCGGCCGATGTCTCGCGGGACGGTACATAAACACTTGTGCTGGATGGCAAGAAGGGTGCAGACGGAAACGCATGAAGGGATGGACACAACTCACGGCTTGTGGGCCGGCCGATAGGGCCATATATCCTATAATACGCCGGCTCCACCGCGAGCTGGACAACCACGACGGAGTATTGAATTTGGTCGAACTCGAAGGACCCAAGGATGAGGCCTTGAGGGGGCTGCGCAGCGAGAGAGAGCAGCGCTGACGTCGAAGCAGAGGGTCCCGGTCAGTGGCAGTGCGCACTGTGAGGCGACATCACGGCTTGTAACGGTCCGGAGGGCCTAAATTTGCCTGGCGCCCAAGGAGACCGTGAGAATGACTGCGTCAGACGGGACTAGGGAGCTCACATCAGTCGCTCTCCTCAGAACATACGCAGACGGCACCGTGAGTTGTGCCCGCCGCGAGCCGTCCGAGCATTGGTCGGTGCGAGCACGCGTGAGACGGAGATTGGCGTAGGCTGCACTGCTCTTACGACAATCAGACTGCCTACCTTTCCAGCGGCTCCAACGGATGCGTAAGTCCATCTTGGCAACGCAGACCCTCTTGCTCATCCTCTCATCCACCACAGCGCCCGCGGAAACGTTCCATGAGGACGGACAGCGTTCCTGGTGGCTTCCGTCCCGGTCTGCACCAGTTCCGTCCCGTCCGCCGGCGCTCGGGCAAGAACTTTGTCCACGAGTCCATCAGCCGAACCCGATGCCTTCTAGTAGTCAGGGCGCTGCCCCTGCACTGGGACCGTTCTCCAGAGAACTCTGCGCGTGGGCGATGCATCACCCGGAGGGACCGAATCTCGGGTGCCGCGCACATGGACATTTGTGGCCACTGGCTCCGAGCGGCGCGTGTCGTGAGCAGGGAGTGCCCGGCGTATAAAGTCTACGGACTTCCCGCGCCGTTGTCGCTCGGGTCCGGAACGGGCCTGTCCACTCCCTCATCAGTCTCACTCCCTCTCTGGCCTCGTCCTCGGCTTCACTTCGGTTCTCGGGCATGTCTGCCATTCTGCAACTCGAGCTTACTCTCCTCCGCGAGCTACTTCCGACGATCACCAAGATCCGATATACAGCATGTGAGCAGCCCGTCGCTTTCACCCTCGCTTTGTGCTGACACCGCTTCTAGTGGCCAACAGCTGTATCATCGTCTTTGACCACAGTGAGTGCTTCCCGTTGCGTCTGCGCGAGAGCAAAAGAGTGACATCGCGGTCAAGTTTGGACATTCGATCAAGAGGTGAGGAATTATTTCCATGACGATTCGAATACGCCATTCACATTCACGTGTCAGGTCCGTCACATATGGGTACGCTTCCTGCATCTCTGTCGTCGCCGAGCGCATTGTGATAGCGCAATCCAGCAAGCGAATTGGTCGGTCGGCAAAGTTCTGTATCTCGTGGTGTGTGCGCTCCTACCTCCACATGCTTCTGCCCATGACACCCCGCATTTAGAACCGATACTACGCCTTAGTGCCAATCGTGTGAGTGAAATGCCCACGCACCGGATGCCTACGAGAACTTAACTGTGGTGTACCTCTAGGTTCAACAATTTCGGTAGGCCGAAGGTGCTGGTATTTGCATACGCAACCTTGCTAACAAAAGCGTAGTCCTGTTCAATACAATGACGTTAACAAACGAGGTGAGTGTAATGTCGTCCCTGTAATGGCCTTTAACTCAATGCACCGAAAAGTTGTGCGTCTGTCCTTCGGTCGTGATGAAATTCAAGGATTCACCGGTAAATGTAGCTGCCAAGGATGGATGTACTGGCAAGGAGTAACTGGGATATTCGACTTCTTGGTCACCGAGAGTAAGTGATTTCCATGTGTAAAGTGGGCGACACACGTATCTGATCCGGTTCAAAAGTGATCCTCCTACTCCGTTTATACGCCATGTACTTCAGTGACAAGCGCGTGCTCGGGTTATTGCTCTCTGTCGCTGTCTCGGCCGCGGTGGCAGCAGGGTACATCATGGCTCATGCGTTGTCTCAAATGAAAGGTATGTACTTATTGCTCCTTTGCTGCCGTCCCCTTACGCCGCTCTGTGCAGCGACTGCCGTTCGCGTCCCCATCGGTACACCTCACGGGACAATTTGCGTGCCCAGCGGTATCCCAAAGGACTTCTTCCTGTTCTGGATCCCTATGCTCGTTTCGGAGATAATATATCTTGGCTTCGCGCTACATCGCGGTATCAAGACGTTCCGCCGTACAACGAAGACATCCGGGCTGCAGCTTATCGAACTCCTGGTTCGAGACTCCATCTGGTTCTTTATCGTGTAAGCATTTTCTCTGGCTTGCAATGTGCCTCCCCGCTCACTTCAGCCTCAGGATCTTCGCTGCGTACATCACTAACGCCGTTTTATTCCTCCTCTCGCCGGTCCGTGTCCTCTCATCCTCATCCTCCCGTTCTCTCACACCGACTGACTCTTTTGTAGACCGCCGAAATCGAAATCCCGATTGGCTTCGCCCAAGCCCTGGGCTCCGTACTCTCCTCCCGCCTCTGCCTCAATGCCCGCGAACATATCAACGGCTCCGGCGTCGACGACGGCAATCCCTCCTCCCTTTACTCTCCCGTCTCCGCGCCTCGCATGCCCTTCTCGTCCATCCACGCGGTGAGCTACGGCGAAGACTCCACTCTCAAAGCGGACGATCCGCACCTGTCCGAGCTCGAGCTGAAGGAGCTGCGCGCGTTCAGCGTAGAGTCTCCGAAGCCGCCGCCCCGCCGCAGGCGCAGCGGCAGCGTCAGCACCGCGCGCGAGTGGCTCGCGCTCACGGTGAAGGTATGAGAGGTCTCCTCGCGTCCCCCGAGGGACGCGCGGAAACACCAGCTTCCGGCTGGGACTTTTAGTGTGGCAATTTATGCGCATGTATTCACTACCTCCTTGCCCCGCCCAGTTGTCAGCATGCCACACTGTACTACTACGCAGTATACTCCAGCCACATGTCACCTAACCCTTTATCTCTGCGGGGCTTTACTACTACTCAGTACTTACTAATCACTGCCACCTCGCTACTCGCCGTCGCTCGTTTCGCCAACTGCCGTACCCTCTCTGCTTTCCTCGTGTATCCGTACGGCCAGGTGCTTTCGTTCTCCCTCGCTCTCTTCCGCTGCCGCAGTTTATCGAACCCCCGGAATTCCCGCGGCGGCGGCGCGCATCGTCCCCGTTCTTGACTTATTGTCCATCAGGGCGGCTCGCCCGGGCACTAGTGAAACAGGTTCTGAGGTCTAGGCGACGGTAGCTTGATCACGAATATAAAAAGTCCGTCGGCCCCCCGGCATCGGGACCGGGCGGCACTGATGCGTGCGGCCGCATGCACCCGTAGCCAGGAGCGGCGGGTTACCCCGGGAACCCCATTCGACAACAGTTGGTGTATGCGTTTAACAGCGAGCGCCGCAGGGGTAGAGTACATCGGGTATGATAACGGCGATAGCGATGCGATGCGATGCAGATGGTGTTTTACAGTGCGGGAGTCCTCGTACAGTCCGTGCGCCCCTCTCCTCTCCTCTGCTACAGTTTTGTTACACCTGGTGCTCGGTATCTGCGGAGGGGTGCGATCGTCAGGCCTCAGGCCGCGAGGAGCGCGGACGCGGGGAGCGTACCTATACGGGGCTGGGTCGTGGTCCGGGTCCAGAAGGACGAGCGGAACTGTGTGCGGAAGAACGAAGGGACGGTCGTGAAGATGTCCGTTCCGTCGGTCTCGGGGGCGTGCAGCCTGCTCGACAGGTATTCGCGCGAGTTCAGTCTGCCGGGAGGAGGCGTCAGTGATGCGACGAGGTGGGAGGGGTGGGGGCGCAAGCGTACGTTACGAGCACCGAGATGGCGTAGACTGGCGACAGGAGAAATGCAGTGAGTACCGTGCCATCGAGCGCGTCATTAGAAGAGAATTCACTTTTTGTGGTGACCATGGTGAGCGCGGCAAGATACAAGTTATGCGGCCCTTCTAGTAAAGACTGCGAACAGTCGGTCAACACTCTACGCGGCACATTGAGGAGGCGCGACTCACTAGGAAGAGGCAAACGCCACTAGCCAAACTAGAGGGATCCTCGATCAGCTTACGGTTGAATATACAGAGCGTTAAATCACACCTGGTCACCAGGCCTATGCCAGAGTCCATTCAGCTCAGACCACCATATGGCTAGCTCAACTACGCACCTGTGTTGATAGCGTACGACGTCAGAGTATCCACAAGCCTGTCGGTACTATAAGGACTATCAGTACCTTGTCTCTCACGAACACTCGGGTGAATTGACGTACCGCCTGAATCCTGTCTTTTGCCTGTAGAGATGGATTACAAGGGAAACAGCAACCAGCACGTCACTGACTACAGCGCATGCAAACGCTACAGTAGTCAACCACTGACGGAGGGCTATGAATGAGGGCTGAGGGAAGTGCTGGCCATCAACGTCATACCTTGATTTCGTCCCAAGTTTGGAAAGTTCTATTCATCAATCTGCGTACAGTAAATGAGCGATACTGTTGCATCTCAGCATTGGATGGCGCGTACAGTCTGATAGTTGCGCCTGCATTCGAGGTTAGTTCGTCCATTTTTCGACCGAAAGCAGCTCAGTGTGCTCACTCAGATCAAATCCTTGACACAGAGTCGTGTGGATCATCAAGACCGGGACCGGCGAGTGCTGAGGATATGCTCACCCGTTCCCACGCCTACGAATAATGCCTACGCGGACGATATCAGCGAACGACTTACACAGCTGACATGCAGAAAGCCTACCCAGGTGACAAAGAATGAAACCTTGTACGGAGGGTTGACTTGAGGCGACGTCATCAAGTGGATTCCAGACTCGCCTACACGTGGTACTCACATAGCCATACACGCCGAGCATAGAAGCTAACCAGGAGGCGATCAGCGTAGTACTCTCGACACTCGCGCGGGAGTGGCACATACATATCGGCAAGCAGGATCACGAATGCCTGTTCGGGAGATCAGCGGCAATCTTGGCGAAAGCCTCAGATGCTTACCGAGACTGGCGCAAGCAGCTGATGACAGGAGGAATGAGGATGTTGGTGTCTCGCGGGAGTTCGCAGCGTGTACGTACGATGATCGATCTGACAGAAGCAGCGTCGTCAACACGCTAATCTCGACCTGAACCCGGCTAAGGCTTACACAGTAGCGAAGTTGTCGGCATCGGCATCGGCATGGTGTTCGACCCAGTAGAAGTACCTGAAAGGCGTCGAGCGATGTCTGTTAGACGAGTAGAGACGTCAGGCGCAGCGGGCCCACCCGATGTGCATCGTGAGGCCCACATGGGCAGTTTCTGCCAAGCTGCACGGAGATGAATGGGGATACAACACGGACATGGTATCGGCCACGTACACCATGATGAGAACCTAGAGGGAAACGAAGTGAGAAAGTGAGCCGAGAAGTGCGGGGTGATGAGAACGCGCACCATGAGCTTGAGTATGGGCTGGTCGTTCTTGTATCTGTGAAAGTACATGAAAGCTTGGAGGAGGACGATGCCGTAGAAGCTGGCGGAAACCTCAGTCACGTCGCTGGCGGGAAGAGTGTGCGGAGGGCACGCACAAGGCGCCGATGGTGGCCCCCAAGAAGCTGGCTGCATTGGACCTTTTGGCGTCGATCCGGAACTCGGGGGGTATGTCGGACGAGGACATGGAAGCCTCGGGGAGTGCAGCGGATGCCGTGGAGAGGCCCGGCAGCAGTCAGGCTCGGCGGGGACGCGAGAGGGCTATATAGCACGCTTAGCGGACCGTGGCAGTAGCTCAGGGTCCGACAGTGAGCCATCTTCCTCGGCTGTTCGCGATGTGCTTCTGCGGCCCACGGCGGGTGAGCGGCGAATGCCAGGGGAGATGCATTGTGCGCAGGGCATGGGAGCGTGTGGTCGTCGTGGACGTCGCTCGCAGGGCGGCGAACGAGCGGGCGGTGTCCAGGGGCGGAGAGCAGGGAAGTCCGGCCGCGCGACCGTCGCAGGGGCGCCTAGGCATCCCTCCCGTGCGCGGCCGGTGACATCTCGGTGCTGTGCAGCTTCCCTGCTCCGGCGACAGCACGAGTGCTTCGCGTGTTCCCCAACTCCGAGCCCAGTCCGCCGCTCCGCCCCACCAGGGACCACTATGTTCTGATGCGGAGTCCAAACGAGTCTCATGAATCCCACCGCGGACCTAGAAAATTTCCGGGCGGGTCGTCACTGCGCGCCGGAGCCCAGCAAGAACACAATCAGAGAACATGATGTACAATACATAGTAGCACCATCTCCGGAAATGTGTCTCAGAGCAACTTGGAAATCTCCGCGGCGTAGACACTACGGGCGAGTACCGACGAAACAATGTTCAACCAGTCGGGGCACATTCGCGGCTCTGCGACGGCAGTGGAGGGCTGTGACCACGAGGTGGGGAAGCTGTATACGTGAAGCTCATTCTTCAGGGGCCGTGCACTGGCGCGCGGTGTCCGCGGTCGGTATCACCGAAACGCTACGAGCATTTGGGGACATGCCTGCGTCATGTCGACGTTCCGCAGCGAGCCGACTAGTCCGGAGAGCTGACAGATTCAGTCCCTCGAGACTCTCCAGGTTGACCGTTCTTCCGAGGTCATCGAGCAAGCTTTTTCTCGAGTTGAGTCTAGTGACCGATGCGTACGGTGAACGGCTTGTGCATCGAATGTCATGGGAAACACTTACGTGACGATTACTGAGATGGCATAGACTACCATAGGGTCGAGCTTCAATCAAATGACGTGATTCCGCAGTCACGCAAGCGCACCTTTGGTCGTGACCAGGCCGACTCCGGTGAGAAATATGTTGTTCTCCGTGAGAGTAGACTGCAACATGCATAAGACGGGCAACCTGTTATCGCTTGCAGGATATACGAACGAGCACGGCACAAAGGATGCTGCAGAGGCTGGGGATACGCTGCTTTATGAGCTCGAAGATTTGTAGCAATCGAGATGCGACTTGCCTCGTACAGAGTCCTGTCGAATTGGTATTTCTCAATAAACTGGGCACAATTATAAGAAAAACGGGCGTGCCTGTATTGAACGTATAAGCCGAGAGAGAATGCAGTAACTTATCAGTTCTGTGAAGGCGAGTAAGACGATGCAGCGATGTACGAACAGTACAAACTTTTACCTTTTAAACCCAGTACGTTGGCGGTGAAGGTGCACGATCAGTACTCCCGCAACGATGACGTCGCCTACGGCGGCGCATAGGTAGCATACTGTGACCATCCACTGCCAGGGTGCGTTAGTTGGGCCGAGAGGGAACGGGGACACGAATCCCTCAGACCTTGATCTCTAGCCAGTGTTCATATGTTCGGTCCATTGCCCTAGAACGAACGTAACTCAGTTGGAGTGAAGCGTGGCACGTGCTGTCGGTGTCACGACCCACAGCCTGATCGTGACGGCTGTCATTGAAATGCAGGTCAGAGGTGGGATACGGAGATGATGTGACTGGAGTACGTGCCCGAAACAAAGGCTGAGAGTGGGAATCGGGTGAGCAACATTCCTCGGTCATGTGAGTTCAACTTGCGACGAGCACCTGTAGCCGTACCAACCAATGTGATCTGGTTCAGCGGTGTAGGAGTGTCAACATCAACTAATACCTGATGCGGAGCAACTAGTGAAACGCACCCAAACCAGCACCACCAACGGCTTGCAAAATTGAGGGAGCACTACCAGGCATGATCAGTTGCTCATTAAATAGCCAGCGCATACGTTGATGACACACAGAGATAGAGTCGCCGCGCATAAAAACTATGTCACATGACTCATGAGAGACGTGCTTTCGACTACACGCTAAATGGCTAGACGTACCTATCAGCAATGACGATGATGACACCCTCAAAGCTATGGTTCAGCGAACGAGTAGATACGAAGAGCATATAGCTTCTTACTATGGTTGGGATAAGAAGCTAGAAGCCAGCAAATTGTGAGTCGTACGTGAGTGCGGGACGGCAACCTAGGTGGACGTACAACAAATGGACTGTTGGAAGCGTCAGATCCATCTGCAGCAAACATAAGAAGCACTAAGAAGTAACGCACATTGTAGCAAATGCATATCCTCGTTCATCTTGGTAGCAGGTGATATGGTAGTGATATCTATCAAACACGTTCAGCTGTCCACGGCTCGGGGGAAAGCATCTGCGACTGACACTATCAGAGCCGCCAGAACCGTGTGCGCAAGTTCTGCGAGACTAGATAGTAAACAGGTCTTGAGTAACTTTCATTATGAAAGTAGTGATAACATTTACATACAACAAGACGACAACCTTTTGAGGATCTTCGATGAGTACAATGGCGGTGTCAGCAAAGAATGTGCCCGCTCACGATACGCTTGAATAGTCGGCCGTCGTTCTTGTACCTTCGGAAGTATGAGCAAGTGAGGTGCACAATCACACCAAACAAACTTAGTAGTCATGTTAGCGTAGGTAATGAGACACTTCGAACCGTACTTACAGGAAAGAGAGACAGCCCCCAATGAGAAGAGAACCGAGGCCGATCTTCGCAGGTGGAATCACAAGCTCGCCTTGGTTCACGTTGACGGTTGCAACCATTCTTGAAATCGAGTGGCGGAAATTGGTGATCGCCTTCAGGCGAGTTGAGCACTGGTCCTCGATATACGTGATGTTATATACGGCGGAAGCCCTGCCACGGATCGCTTGCGTGTGTCCATAAAGCACGGTTCGTGGAACTTCCGTACATGATAGAATATGCACCGCGCGACTGCTCTAGGCCCTGGAGGAGCTGGGCTAGCTCGCGCACAGCTTCATCTTGGCGAACAATGGAAAACCGGAGCGAACGAGCATGGCAAGCATAAGCGAGGATCAGATGGCGACCACATATGACTCACTGTATGGAAGGTGAACCGCTTCAATGGGTGTAAATAGTTGGGTACGAAGCATCGGTGGGTGAACCTCCGAAGAGAGAGGATCCCCGCCATCGCCGAAGAAGGGAAGCCCTTGATAGGCAAGTGAAGAATAGGCCGCAGATGACGTGTGTGGACTGTCGCCGATCATTATCGGAACTGGGGCCCGGGGCGTCCGGCAAATGGTGGGGTGAGAGTATCGAAAGAGAGCACGACTTCTTGTTGCAGAAGTGGACGTGTACCAAGTCGGCACGGCGCGCGAGAGAACGTACAGCAACAACAACCGTCGATAGTTCATCAAACCCATCCGAGTTCACAGAAACTGCAGTTACGAAGCTTATACAGCAGTAGCTCTGGTTGCACAATCATTAACCGGTAGATCTGAGACCAGGGGGAAGGAATGCCCTTACACTTCGGGATCATGAGGAGGACTGTGCGGGAGATCGCAGGGGGCCTCTGCGGAAGCGCCGCCAGTCCCGGGAACACCCAAATCAAGCCACTGCATGCTTTCGAAATTGAACGTCCTTCCAAGTTCCTCGAGCAACCCTTGTCTTGAAGTCAGCCTATGAACTTTGGTTAGCAGATCTCGTCTTCAAGGCATACAAAAATCGCTCACGTAGTAAGCACAGATATGGCATACACTGTAGAGACATCAGATCGCCGACGTTGCACGAATATTAAGAAAATATCCAGGACCTTTGGTCGTAATCAAGCTGAACGCAACGAGAAATATGTTGTCATCGGCCAAGGTTGACTGAAATCAGTCAGCGACAACGGTATATTCGTGTATTCACATCACTCACAAGGACGAGACATAAAAAGCTAGAGATACTAGATGCTATTTCTGTGAGTTCTTACCTTGCCGTGATACTTGACATTTGGTTTACCTTGTAGACAGCCCTACGACGTGTATTAAATCCAGTTGTTCTAAACCTTAGGAGTCATCACACCTGTATTGAAAGCGTATGATGATATTGAGTGTAACATTCTGTCGGTCCTGTGTATGAGTTAGTATTTGCAGGTCGATATGAGAAGGACGAGTTGCACCTCTTAAACCCCGTGCGTTGACGATACAGGTGCACAATAAGCGCGCCCGCCACGCCGATATCGGCCACAGAAGCACAAGCGAAGCAGACAGTGGTCATCCACTAAGCAGCGTCAGATGGAATGCTTTACTAAATTAGACGTCAATCCTTACCTTGATCTGCAGCCAGTATTCATAGGTAGGATGCAAAGCGCTGAATGGGGAGTTCAATTCGATCGTTGACTACACCATGCTTGACCTACAGCCTGATATCTACGGCTGGGGGTACATGTCTCAGCATAATTGGCGACTAAATACAGAATCCCTTACCAATGACAAATGCTGCAACGAAGCGATCATATCGTTTAGTCACGTCAGCAGGTGGCGATGGAACCACGCACCCAACGCGATGCTCACGAGAAGAGCCTGTAGGTTCGATTCAACCGAAACAAGCCACGATGAAGGTCTCAAAGAATAACTTACCCACTTCACGCATACGAATATGCGGACTGAGCGTCTAGGAAGAACTACATGCGCTTTAGTCGACGAAGAGGCTCAGATGTGCACACCATTGACACACGGAGGTAAAGGCGACGCGCATAAAAGCTGTTATATACTGGTCAAACCGCGTGAGAATACTTCAATGGTGACACTCACGAATCGCTGATAATAACGACCACGGCCTGGGCGGGGTCAGACGGCCCCATGATCATGTCGAGGCTGCGACTCACCACTGTCGGAATAACAAGCTACATGTCGTCAGCTCGTAGATCGCCCGAATGGGAACAGGCCCTCAACACGAACAATGATTGGGCTGTGCTGATAGTTCAGTTACGGTCCGAAAATATCCGCAGTGCTCACATTATCACTCTCTGAGTTGATGACGAATCGCAGGCTTTCGTTATCCCGTAATAGTATCTACCAGACGGGAGGACTGAGACGACGCTTGCTACGAAAGATGGCACACAAGAAATACTCACAGGGTGAGAATTCCCAGAGCGGTGTGTGCCAGCTCTGCAAGACTAGAACGCGGGGCAGCATGGGCAATCGTTCCGGGAGAACAAGGATAAGCTGAACCTACGACAAGACAAGCACCTATAAAATCGCGAATCAACTTCTGATAGACAGCTTTCAAGGGGAGTACTCACAATACACTTTAAGCCTCGACTGTCCTCACGATATGTCCGTAAGTAAGAACATGTCAAGCAGAAGACAACACCGAGGAGGCTATGAAGCACAGTCAAAGAGGATAAATATCGCACATTATAGCTCGAAGGTACTCACAGACAAGAAATCGCGACTCCAATGAGCATTGATCCAAGCGTAGCTTCAATGGGTGGGGTGGGCAATTCGTTGCGACTGCTTACTATGCCGGAGACATACATCGCAGGTGGGCAGTCGAGCAGTGGAGGATGCATATTCCGCTTCGAAGGAGTTCATAGTATATATGGATCCGCGTAGCCGTGTGGGTGCTTGGGAAGAAGCAGGAAGAAGCGCGGCCCTAGTGTCCTCCGAGTAGCACTAGGGGTGAATCCCGTCAACATGGCAGCACCCCGTCATCTCCGGTTGCCAGCACTCAGCAGACGCGAATGTTATGGTGAGAACTCCGGTTGGGAGTCGGACATAACACTATGCCGTCATTGCACTTGAGAAGTGTGCCCGCCGGAGTCTAGGAGCAGGAGCATAGATGATAGTACGCACCTCGTGGAGTGCTTCAAAAGTCGAGGTACATCTCCAGCCTGGCACCATGAAGCGGGACATTGCATTTCGTCTTCAATATCAAGCAAAGTGGAAGGTGAATATCAAAATGGAGGAGGATGCCGAGAGCCGTGGCGGATTTGAAGCTCGAAGTTGCCAGTGCTCTGGGTGGCACTGGGAGCGGCAGGCGCTTGTCCATCACGGCACGATGGGCGCTTGGAGAGCATCTATAGCGCCAAGCGCGAGGGCTCTCACCGAGTCATCAACTTCCTTCCGAGCTCCAGCCAACGAGCTCCAGCCACCGGAAACCTGTTGGCACGAGCAAGTGAAGCCTGCACTGCCAGGTGGGTTGCCGCTCCGTATTTTTGAACGATGAACTCAACGAAGGAGCGCTGAAATGTGGCCCCAGCGTGAACTCGAAGCAGCGACTCGCATCGCCGACGCCACACCATGGACGCCTCCAAGGGAGCGTTCCTGCCAACTTCTTCCGTGCCGGCCGCGCCTCGACGCCGGGAACACCGTCGCAACAGCCGTCTGTTGCTTGCATTCGTCCTGCTGCTCGTTGCAAGCGCGTCTCTCTATCTCCACCTCTCTCGCGCAGCGGTGGCGCGGAGGCCAGCTGAGGTGGTCCCGCTCGACGCCGACGAGATCCTGGCCAAGTGCCGCTCTCTCAAGCTGACGCCGGCTCCTCCAGCGGACTTCCACACTCGCACAGAGTCTGACAGGTTCCAGCCGGGAACCGAGGCGGTCCTCATTCGCAACGCAACCATCTGGACCGGGGACGACCACGGAACACAAGTCGTACATGGCGATGTCCTCCTCGACAAAGGAATAATCCGCGCGGTGGGGGAAGTTTTTCCCGTCGTCATGAACAAATATCAGTCTATCACTACTATTGACGCGCATGGGTAAGTCGCTTGTGACTTGCGATGGTCGACGGCTGATGCGACGACCCAGCTCCTGGCTCACGCCTGGGTGAGTTGTCTGTATTCTCGTCAAATACCCGTGCTGAACGTCTTGTAGGATCGTCGACCTACATTCCCACGTTGGGGTTGGCCCTTCTCCAGCTCTCGCCGGCGCGGAAGATGGCAACTCGTGGAAAGGACCTATTGTCCCGTGGTTGAGGGCATTGGATGCGTTCAATACTCGCGACGACTGTCGGTGACTCATAATCGTCCCTGCTTACGCGCCACTGATATTTAGAATTGACAGCTTATACGGATTCCATGTCGGGCGGTGTCACTACCTCGCTTGTCTTGCCCGGATCTCTCAACGCCATAGGTACATGCTTCGCACATTCTCTCGAAGCACTAGCTCTGATATCTTCCGTGACACGTAGCGGGTCTGGGCTTTGTTATGAAGTTACGGCCAACGTTGGAGCGTTCACCTACTTCTATGCTTCTGGAGCCTCCTTTCGGGTTCAATGCCTCCGAACACGCGCCCATCGACGCCCCACCACGTTGGGGACATATGAAGTAAGTGAAGTAAGGGTTTTTCTCCGAGATTGTGCTCAGGTTAGATGTGTCTAGGCATGCATGCGGTACGTAACTCGTATCCTGCTTGATTTGTCCTTTCCCTTCATATCGCTCGTTAGGCGAAAATCCGAAGAATTACGGTGACGTGCGCATGGACACTGTATGGAGAGTTCGTGATGCGTAAGGTCTAACTCCAACCATGTGTTCACTTGTTTGTTCATTCCGATCTGGCAGATACGATACTGCCCGGACGATTATGAGAGCGCAAGACGACTATTGTGAGAAGGTTTCTGAGGGGGACTGGCGTGGTCTGGCAGGCAAGAAATTCCCCGAAGAATTACAATGGACTCCACTTGTCGAAATTTTACGTGGGAAGGTCAAGGTCAGACACCCTGATCATAGCACTTTGTACGAGTTCTCATCACCTCCCAAGGTTCAAGCACATTGTTACGAGGCTGTAGACCTCGACAATTTTGTGAGAGTAAGCTCTCCAGCTGCTTCTATAGTGTCGTACTACTCATCATGCAACCATGTAGCTGTCGAATGAGTTCAAGTTCGAGATTGCGGCATTCCACCATGCTCACGAGACATACTTGGTTCCTGAGGTGCTGAAGCGCGCATACGGTGAGTATCTTCTCATGTGCGTTGACGTTTCTAATGACATTCGGCAGGGAAACCGCCTGCGTGTGCCATGTTTTCATCATTTTCTAGGTACAAGCGCGAGTCCTACCGTCATTCTGAGTTCGCGCCCCGGATCCTCGCCGACGAAGGGTTGGACGTTGTCATGAAGGTAAGTCGTGCCACTTACTCAATGCCTTGCCACTGATGTGACGTCGTTGGTAGTCAGACCACCCAGGGGTTCTGTCCCGACAGCTTCTCCAGGAGGCCGCAATAGCCCACTATTTTGGGCTTCCCGACAGCCTCGCTCTGGCCTCTGTGACAACTACCCCTGCTCAAGTGCTCGGACTCGAACACCGCATTGGCTACGTCAAGGAGGGCTTCGACGCAGACGTCGTCCTCTGGGACAGCCATCCGCTCGCCCTCGGAGCTACCCCCAAGCAAGTCATCGTGGATGGAATCGTCCAGTTCCCTCATGCTCGTGAGGCTCCGAAAGCGCATTCACGCCAGCACTCGCCGTCGACTCCCAACTTCGATCGCGAAAGGGTCGCAACGCTCAAGTACGACGGCCTTCCTCCCCTCAAGAGCAAGCCCCATCATGCGATCGTGGCCTTCACCAATGTCTCCCACGTCTGGATGCGGGACGATACCGACATGATTGTGGATATACTTACCCGACATTCCTCCCTCGACCCTGAGGAGAGTTCCAACGGTGTCGTTGTCGTCTCCGAGGGCCGCATCACTTGCTCGGGTACTTGCGACCTTCATGCTCCCTCTCTCGCCAACGCGGCTGTTGTCGATCTGCAAGGCGGAGCAATCCAACCCGGGCTCGTCAACTTCGGCGCGAACCTCGGCATGACCGAGATACCGATGGAGGATTCCACCAGAGACGGCGCCATTGCAGACCCGCTCACCGACGGACAGCCATCACTCTTTGGTACCGGTGGATTCATGGCGAAGGCTGCAGACGGGCTGATGTTCGGCACGCGCGACGCTCTGTGAGTCTCCCCTCACCTCCATCTCGTTGTGCACGCTGACATGCTCCTCCAGCCTTGCGTACCGCGCCGGGGTAACCGTCAGTGTAAGCACCCCGATCTCCTCCGGCTGGCTCGGCGGCCTCAGCACCGCGTTCTCGCTCGGGGCGCCGCACAAGCTCGCGACGGGCGCGCTCGTCCGCGACGTCGCCGCGGTCCACTGTGCGCTCGTCCGCGGCGGCGCGTCGAGCGTCAGCACCATGGTTGCGGCGATGCGCCGGCTGCTCACCGGCGAGGTCAAGGGCGAGATTGGAGAGTGGTTCGCGAAGGTCGCCCAGGTCCGTATTCAGAATCGCGCGCTGGAGCGTGTGCGCTGACACGAGAGCTGCAGGGAAAGATCCCGCTTGTGGTGGACGTGCACAGCGCGGACATCATCGCGACGCTCATCGTGCTGAAGAAGGAGGTCGAGGCCAAGACAGGCGCACCGATGAAGCTCACGATTGCAGGCGCGACGGAGTCCCATCTTCTTGCCGCAGAGCTCGCGGAAGCCGACGTGGGCGTCATCGTGGCCCCAGGGCGCTCCTTCGTGCGTTATAGCCCTCGTGCAGGCCGCGAGCAACCACTGACGCCGCCTTCCTTGCGCACAGCCGTACACTTGGGACGAACGCCGTGTGTGAGTGGATGTTGATATCTTGTTCCGCAATACATCGTCGACTGACATTCGCTTTCGAAGTCTACCTGGGCCCCCCGTAAGCAACAACAGCCTCATCGGCCATCTCTTGAAGCACAACATCACAGTCGGAATTGGCCCTCGGGGGTGGGTGCTCTTGGCCACCCGTCCAACGCCGAGATGGCGAACTCGCGGGCGAGGAACTTGCGCTTCGATGTCGGCGAGGTTCGTGCGATCGCGCTCCGTTCATCAACTGCTGCCGGCGTCTGACATTCATTGTGCAGGCCATGTACGACGCCATGTTGAGCAAGAAGGGGGCGTTCGCCCTCGCGACGGTCAACATGGAGAAGCTGCTCGGACTTGAGGGTAAGCCAAATGAGCAAGATCTCGTCGCGACTGTTGGCGGGGACCTGCTCGGATACCAGGGGAAGGTCATCGCTGCCATTTCGCCGCGCCGGTCTGTGGTCGATATTTTCTAGGATAGACGGTGATGCGATGGGAAAATGCAATATTGTGACCATTTTGCGTGTGCGAATGCCAGGGGAAAGATATGCAGCGGCAACACGGCTCAAGAGCGGGCGCGACAAGGGGAAGGGATCCGTATCGCAAACTTGAAAAACGCATAGGGTAATGGTAGAACAGTGTCTTATTTCATGGCGGAAGCATGAGCAAGGAGACGGCTCACTCTCGTGGGCCCGGGGCCCCAGCATCTAGGCCCAGGATGCGTCCAGGAGAGTACAGCGCCCGGGCCAGGCCGCGCGCTTGTGACACGTACCTCTTGCCCAGAGTCCGTGCGTCGACCTGCCCAGGTCTGGTCTGGTCCAGCCGGCACCTGACATCGATGCCTCCCAGCACCGACGAGCTCGACAGGGGCGCTTGCCGCTCTAAGTGCGCATATAACGTCTGCTCTCGCCACTCATCGAGCCATCACCACCATGGGCGTGCTGCACTCCACGCCCTCGAGGTTGGTCGACGATCTGGCTCGTTTGAATGGAACTCTCGTCACTTCAACCGCTGAAGACGCACTGGACCAAGACAAAGGCGGAGGCTACGATTATGTGATTGTCGGTGGTGGTCAGTCTCCATATTGAATATACGAGCTTCTGCTGAGACCTGAGGTCCTCCGAGCGCTGTAGGCACTGCGGGTTGCGTCCTAGCGTCCCGCATCTCCGAAGACCCTGGCGTTTCCGTTCTCCTGGTTGAGGCAGGCGCAAGGCAAGTCTTTGCCACAGTGACATCTGTTAGAGATTGGATTGACTCTGATACCCTCCTCCAGTCATGGGAAGAATATATTGAGTAACATGCCAATGGGCGCCACAATGCTCTGGCACACGGAGGCAGATTGGGACTTTCACACAACGTCAGTCGTTCTGTAACAGTTCTCCCGACATCGCAGAAGGCTAATATTTTGTTTCATGCTCCAGTCCCCAGCCTCAGCTAGACGACAGAAGCATCCACTGGCCCAGAGGCAAAATCCTAGGAGGATCGGGGTCCGTACATATGGCACATTTCACCTCTTTCGACGCCCTTGGATGCTTACAATGATGTGTTCCAGTTCAATCAACTACATGGTCTTCCACCACTGCGATCCAGCAGGTAAGCTCAACACCACCAAGCATCGGGCATATCTTCACACCTCTGGCCGCTGATGACAGATTTCGACGCTTGGGAGCGTCTGGGGGCAAAGGGGTGGGGATACGAATCTCTCGAGAAGTGTGGCCATGGATAGGGCTTGACCTACTTCTGTTCTGACAAACTGGCAGGTACTTCATCAAGTCGGAGAGACATATTCCCCGTCGTCCCGGAAGCACAGCTAAACGTGGGCAAGATGGCCCTATCGTCTGTCGAACACCCCTATACCCTGTAAGCGGCTTCCATGCATTCAACGAACGGTGTGAGAGCTCCGATTGATATTTCCCAGCCGATCCAAGATGTTATTGTTAATGCCGGCGCAAACATGGGCATATCTCCTAACCAGTAAGTAGAGCGGCAAGATTGTCCGCATCGTATTCGATGTCGTCCTTGTCAGGTGTTTCAACACATCCGAGGGTACTTCCGGCGCGGGAAACTTCGAGGGCTGTGTTGACGAGAGAGGTGTTCGTGAGTGTCGACCATACTTCAGTCTCTAGGTGGCTAGAAACTGACTTCCGATGGAAATCAGGACACTCGACCGCAGCTGCCTATCTCACTCCCGAAGTTATGCAACGTCCAAATCTCACGGTAGCTATTCAAGCGATGACGGAGAAGATCCTCTTCGCGGCGACTGCCGACGAACTACCCACGGCGGTTGGAGTGCTGCTTTGCAAAGACGCAAATGGACCTCGCTACATGGTGAGGGCACGCAAAGAGGTGATCATCACGTCGGGCGCCATAGGAACTCCCCATCTCCTGCTGCTGTCAGGCGTAGGACCGCGCTCCCAGCTGTCTCAGTTTGGCATTCCACTCGTCTGTGACCTCCCTCAAGTCGGAGAACATCTACTGGATGTAAGTGGTCCTCCCGCTAGTCATGATTTGAGTCTGATGTCCTTGCGCTCCAACCAGCATTTCCTGCCAGGCTCCATGAACTTCCGGATGAAGCCCGGCCATTCCTGGGATCCTCACTACTACGAGTCCTTGCCAAGTCTGTTGGCATTAATTCGGTACCAGATGTTTGGTACGGGCCCCTTGGCAGGTCTGCCAGTTCCAACCGCAATTTTCGTACGTTCAGGCGACCCCAAGTCAGTCCAAGCTCGTCTAGCACTTCCTTGCGATAAATCTCAACGACAATTTTCTCAGGCTCAGCTCCTTGTTCGGCACTCCTCTTCCAGTCGCAGATATGGCATCCGGCCCGCGCGCACCAGATATGGAATTAGGCAACGGTTCTGCATGTGCGACGGAGAACGGCACGAAGCCACCCTACGGAGCGCGTGGGATCGCTACAGTACGCATATATATATTGCTCTCAAAAACTTACTGATGCTGCGATTACTATAGGGCTGCGTGGTACTCAAACCGCAGAGCAAGGGCACTGTCAAATTACGCTCTGGGAGGATTTTCGATCATCCCGAGATCAACCCCAAGTGAGTCTGTGCGTGGCCACGATCGGCGAATCTTGCTTCTGAGTTAACCTTGCAGCTACCTTTCCACGGAGAGCGATTGGAACATGGCCATTATGATGAACAAACTACTCCTTCGACTTTTCCGGACGTCCCCTCTATCAGAACTCGCAGATCTGCGCAACAGCGAGGAGTCTGTCGACGATTTCTTCTGGCCGGGAGACGCCAATCCGGACAAGGTATACGCAACTCTGGCGCAGTATCTAGGGACTCGGCCGCTCACCGGTAACATATTCTAGTTTTCCGACGACGACATGCGAGACTTTATCCGCAAGCATGGTCGTACGGCGTGGCACCCGGTGAGGCCTGCGGAGTTGAGTGCATTTAGGCAGTCTTCTGATCACATCACTTAGACTTCCACTGCGCGGATCGGCACGACGGCGGACAACAGCGTGGTGGACTCCAACCTACGAGTGCACGGGGTTCGCAATCTGCGAGTCTGTGACGCTTCAGTGTTTCCAGACCAAGTGTCAGGCCATCCTTTTGCTGTAATTGTCGCGATGGCGGAGAGGGCAGCGGATTTGATCAAGGGGATGTCATAATGTGCGCTCGTGTAATAGAGATCCGGCGTGCACAACATCTCCGACCCCACTACGTTAAATGATTCCTGGGCTCACTACGCCGCGTCGCCGGTGGAGTAGTCCTCCTGGCGTCCGCCCTCCTGCAAGAAGAGCTCCCAGCGTGCCTTGGCCGACGCCGGGGCGTCGGGGCTGATCATCGCCTCCATGTTGTCCTCCGCCACCTTCGCCCACTGCGCCGCCGCGGCGAACATCCTCTTCTCCCAGTTCGCCACCGCAGTCTCCCGCTCCGCGTCCGACGCCCCCTCGTTGACCGCCTTCGAGATCACGAGCCCGAGCTCAAGCCCGTCGAGCATCGAGATGTTCGCGCCCGCGCCCGCGTACGGCGTCATGACGTGCGCCGCGTCCCCAATGAGCGTCACCCCGCGGACGTGCGCCCAGCTGTGTCCGACGGGGAGCTGGTACAGCGGCCGGCGGTCGGTCAGGTCCGGCTCGCAGTGCTCGATGAGCTTCACGAGCACGGGCGACCAGCCCTTGTACACCTCGCGCAGCTCCTCGCGGAGCGCCTCGATGCCCCCAGGCGGCGCCGTCCAGAGCTCGGGCGCGCGGAAGTGCGCGTTCCCGCGCACGCGCCCGTCGCTCGTCAGCTGCGCGTTCAGCTCCCGGTCGTCGTCCTGCGCGACCATGAGGCCCTTGCCGATGAGCGCGCGGAGGTCCGCCATGTCCTCGCGCTCGATTACCCCTGGGGCGAGCGAGAGGTCGGGGCCGTTGAGGCCGACGTAGCGCGCGCGCTCGGTGGAGACGAGTGGGCGGACGCGCGAGTGCGCGCCGTCGGCGCCGATGAGGATGTCGACGACAGCTGTCGTGCCGTTTCCGAAGGCGAGCTGGTGCGTACCGTCGCCGAGGGACTTGGCGGAGGTGAGGGTGTACCTCCACTTGATGAGCTCCGAGGGGACGGCGTCGAGCATGATCTGCCGGAGGCGAGGGCGGTCGATCTCGGGGCGGAGGTCGTCCTTGGGAACGTCCTCGAAGTTGCTGTAGACGAGGAGGTTTCCTTGGGAGTCGAGCATGCGGTACTCGTGACCTTCGACGCGGGAGTTGGCTGTGAACGCGTCCTGCAGGCCGTTCTCGCGCAGGGCACGCTGGCCTGAGGTCCAGCCGAGGTCGAGAGGGCCGGAGGGGAGGCCCCGTTCGGAGGCATGGGAATCGCGTTCGTAAATCGTGGCGGGGATGCCGCGATTGTGAAGAGTGAGGAGGAGAACAAGCCCTGCAGGACCTGCGCCGATGATGGCAATGCGGGGCTGAGTTGTGGCCATGAGAGAAGTCCGCTGCTGCTGAACACCAAGAATGAAGGTCAAGTACTGCAAATAGCATACCGGATATGTGGCTCTCACCTGATGGGAGAGACGAGGGGGGAATTGGGGTCGCTGATCCACTCGGTGAATGACACATCCTTCATATGACCGCCCCCTCCGTACCAGCGACTCGCACTGTTTACCGTTCGTCGGCCGATACACCGCTCGGAGCCACCACCGAGTGAGTAACAAGGTCCGACAGCTCTGACGAGAACTTGTAAGCCATGAACATAGCGCTGCATACATTATAATTTTTAGTCGGATGTTCGCTGGCTCACCAAGAACTGAAGCACCGACGTTGGAGGGCAATGTGCGCTTGATGGCCGCCTCGAATGGCAGTGAGGTGGTAAGAAGGATATCGTTGCATCTGCTCCTCCGAGTTGCCGAGATTTTTCGCATATTAGGGATGCTGGGCGTGTTGAATACGGTGCCGATTCCAAACTTGTTGCTCCACTGCTGGGCACGGAGTTTGTGTAAGGCGAAATAAAGATGACGTCAAATTATGGTGCAGACCTGTGAACATCGGATCTCAGTCGACGTTCGCCGTTCCAAATCGCAGAGACTCAGTGGTTGATAAAAGCCTGCAGCGCCTACTCCAAAAGGAAAATGAGCCGGGCTCGGCCGCGGCGGCGCGCGCTCCGGAAGCGTTCACCAATTCCCTCGTCGGACATGTTACCCGTGCAGCAAGAGATCAAGGTCAACCTCGATATGGACGTAGACGTCAACGGAATCGTCGAGCAAGGCTATGCGCTCGTCGACGCGATTCTTTCTCGACGGTCGCTGCCCGAGATCAAAGCCCTAGTCGCGGACGGCGCTCCAGTCTGGTATCAGGACGACGAAGGGACTTCACCGTTGCACGCTGCGGCATACGTTGAGAACAATGAACTGGTCAAGTTCCTCATCGGAGAGGGCGCGCTATGGAACGCTGGTGAGTTTCTTTCTACTCTGAAGCGAGCAAGTCCGGCGAACGTTCCTCTTTGCGGATGCTCAGTGGACAAACTGCACAACACCGCCGGAGACATCGCACTGTCTCTGAACAACGAAACGGCTTACACCATCATTCGCGACGCCGGCATTCGCTCTGGTGAGCACTTACTCACGTCCCACTCCACATCCATCTGTCCCGCGTACCTTTGCTTTGTGGTGTTGATGACAGTTTGCATCGCTTCAGAACTTTTGCTGAGAGTGCTTGCTAAACATTCGCCGGCTGCCAACTCTCCCCTGGCCCTGATTCTTAAAGCGACCGACAATACGGCGGCAGGCTCGACGGACACCTTTTTGGCCACGAAGCTGCAGTACGTCACCGACGAGCAGGGGCAGGAGATTTGCGTGGTAAAAGTTGGCGATGAAGAAGAGGTCGGAGTTATGATGGGATGGGAGAGGGGCATCAGTGAGTTTCGTAATCTCTGTTGGTCTCCGTGGATATATGGGCTTAGTGAGCTAGTGTCAAGTGCAAGACACCGTGCGTAACTTGTGCACCGGTCACCCAGAACTAGCCAACGGCTTGAAGATTCTCAATGTTGGATTTGGGCTTGGGATTGTGAGTATTATTTTCACGCTGCGTATGCGTATGGTCCTGATAGTATGCTCCCAGGTGGATACTCTTTTCCAGGAGATCACATCCAAACCGGCGGTGCATGTGATCATTGAACCACATCCTGATGTTTTGCATCACATGCGAGAACAAGGGTGGTATGACAAGGAAGGCGTCAAGATCCTTGAGGGCAAATGGCAAGACTTTGTGGAAAGCGACGAGCTGTTGAGCGTCGGCGGCTTCGATGTCATCTACACAGACACATTCTCCGAGGACTATGCCGGTGGGTTGCACCCGCGCGTTTACAGTCAGAGACAGGTTGCTCACGGCTCATTCGACCAGAGTTGCACCGATTCTTTGGTCATATGCCGGACCTACTTGCGGGTCCCGATTCACGCTTTGGCTTCTTCAATGGGCTGGGCGCCACCAGTACGTCTTGCGCTGCGTCCATTAATTCAGGTGGAGCTGACAAGGCCAACTACAGATGCTCTGTTCTACGACGTCTACACCCACGTCTCGGAGTTGCATCTGGCAGATGTGGGTATGGATGTTGGGTGGAGCGACGTTGATGTCTTTGAGGGCGACGCGGACAGATGGGGGAAGACCCGGGAGTACTTCGCGATGCGGACCTATCGCCTCCCCATCGCCAAAATGAGGGCACTGTGAGTGCTAGTTATTCATAGTTGTTTGTACGCCGCCATCGTGGTCTGAGAGTATGTATGATGCACCACCTCGGCAAGACTGACATTGTCCATTAGTGTCGGTGACTGCGCAACTGACGAGAATAAGTACGGGGCGGTTGTAATAATAGTAAGGCTGCGCCCGTGGGCCAGGCGAAGGGCGCGGAGAAGACGGTCACCATGGAGGCCACGGCCGTGCCCGTCGTGCCCGTCGTAGGCGCCGTCCCCTTCCGCTGGAGACGCCGGTCGAGGCTGTGGATATACGCTCTTGCCCTGCGCCCCTGCGTTTCTTCGCCCTCTTCCAGCTCCTCCTCCGTGTCCGCGACGCTTCCTCCCTTCCCGTCGACAGGCTCGACGTCTTGTACTGTCCGCTCTTCTTCACTGTATTCTTACTCGTCCGCTTGCTGCTTGACGCACACTTGCCACTTGTCTCCCTTATCCACCCGTTCTACCCACACGCTTTCACTCGCTTGAAGCCGTTCCCGGTGAACTCCTTTAGAGCCGCAAGCACGGTCACCAGTCCAAGAACACGCTATTCACGATGTCCGGACCAGCACCGCTGTACCTCGTTCAGGGCAATCCGATGCAGACGATGGCTCTGGTGCGTCCTTTCTCGTCTGCTGATCACGCAATCTCACATTACCTTTGCTTGCTTGCGTAGCGTTTGAACCCAGACCACGGCCCCAGTGACTCTATCCCTCACGAGCTTCAGAAATACGTGAGTAGTGCTGCTCTTTGTGGCGCATCTACCTGCCCTGTGCCGCCGAATCGGCGTTGATCGTGCTCCTCGACTCTACAGTACTCGCCCGATGTTTGGGTCGCCCGGCAGCGCGCCGTCATGACCAAGGGTGGTCGCTACCTCAAGCCCCGCTTCGATATCGCTTTCGCTGTCTTCATGTTCATGTGAGTAGATTCCGAGCGACCTCTACTTCGTGAGCACGTACAAGACGCTCACCTGCTACCATGTTCCCGCAGCGGTGCCCTTGCTCTTCCCATCGCCATCTACTATGTTGCTCTTCATGCCCTCCCGAACAAGGAAAAGGTCTTCCAAGAGGCCAACGGCCGCGTGCTCGTCGAAGATGACAGGTTCTGGGAGGCTCGTGCAATTAGCGGCGCGTCGTTGATCGGGTTCCTCCTGCTTGGCTGGGGGCCATTCTTCTTCTGGAAAGCACAGGTGTGTAATTTCCTTGTAACGCCTTTGATGAAGACCGTCTGAGTCATAAGTGCAGGGCAAGCGTCAGGTCAATCAGATGCTCCAGAGGTTCCGTGCTGAGGACGCAGCTATGGCTGGGCCCAACGCGACCATTCCCGAGTGGACAATGAATATGCCTAGCATGGGAAGCAAGGCCCTCGTATGTCCATCGCTATCGCCCTCCGGGTCTCATACATCTGACATGTGGTTCACAGCACGTCATGATCACCTACCCTCGCCCACCGATGATGACTGCCTTCCAAGTTGGTGTCCAGCTTCCTCCCTACATCGTCAACCAGCCCGTCGACCCCAACGGGGCTCGGTACTACCAGCAGTATGCGCCCCCCGCTGGTGCGCCCCCCGGCCGCCGCACGTCCACTGGCTCCGCGGGCTCGATCCCACTGTACGGTTCGCACAACGAGAAGATCCCCGACTACTCGGGCCCGACCTCGAACGCGTACATGCCGCGCGACGAGAAGGACGGCTTCGACGACATCCGCGTCTAAGTCCGCATACCCGTTCGGGACGCAGGATGAGGCCCGCCGGTGCACGAGGCCTCCATGTCCTAGACGGGTGCTGGTCCCCTCCCTGACCGTGACGACAACCCGAGCGTATGTGCTGGTGTTCGCAGTGCTCGACTCCCTCCCTTCTTTTCCATACCTTTTCAAGTGCCGCCCTACGAACTGTGTTTGTCTGGCCCGGCAAGCGGACCTTTGCTGTTTCCATTCTGTGCACAAGGACTGTTCTACGTCCCTCTCGATAAGCAGTGTAGCTATTGTAACCGCAGCGAACCGTACAAGATGTCTTTCCTACGGCGGAATAGAGGAGTTTTTGGAGCTGGAGCCATTGGTTGTGTGTTGTGTGCTGCGAGTTCTGCATCTCTGCTGTCGTCAACGAAGACCGTCTCCAATAGGGGGCGTCCCCAGTGGCTTAACCATGTGTGACTGTAATTCATGTTCCAGTGCTGGACAATGCAGATGATACAAGTGATAGGGGTTGCGTGCAACAATACTCCCAAGAGCAGTGTGGAGTCTACGAATAAAAAGGATCTTGTTATGGTACGTGTGCGAATGCGCGAGAGAGGTGCAAGATGGACAGAAAGCAGTGGCACAGATCGAGAGGAGGAGGGACGGGGTGATGCTGGTGTGGTCGGAGATGAAACCGTATAATGGGAGTATCAGTGGAACGGCGGACCAAAGAGCGCTGCAGAAGACTGGACCATGTGTACATCCGCCGAGCGTGGAGACGAGCGCGTGCACGACCCCAATGGCGCGAACACGACACCAACAACCTCCTCTAAAGCTTCGGCCGCTTGGAGTCTGGGGAGTCTGGGGGAGAAGTGGGCGAGGTCGCCGCGGTCAAAGCCTGAGTGTCGGCCGCGCCCGGGGTTCTAGGACGCGGAACCCTGGAACTGCGTTCCCCCTTGCGCTTCCTCGAATCCTTCGGCGTGCTGCTCTGTCCGACCGCGTCGTCCTGCGGGACGTCACGCGCAAGTGGTGACGGCGCGCCCGACCCCGCCCGACTGCCTTTTGGTGTCAACCGCTTGCCAGGAACAAGGACGGCGTGGTCCAAATTCACCCTAAGGCTCCTCAAGCTGTCTTTCTCGCGTTGTTTGAGAGCCAGCTTGAATTGATCGTCTGACTTCTGTGACTCTAGGTCTGTGGTTCCACCGTGCAACAACAAAACCTCCACCAGTTGTTCAGGACTGGCGAGGAAACCTGTCACTATAGAAGGATCGTCACTAGATGCAGGATTGGTGTCCACGGCGGTCGAAGAGGGATCGGTGGTGGTAGAGCGACTTCCTGAGGCGGGGAGCGGCTCGGTAGGGCTTGGATGAGGAGGGGCTGTCAGCTGCGAATCTTCATGAATCTGGGCTTTCGTGGCGTCCAGGCTCATCAATCTGGAAGGCTTCACGGTCTTCTGTGTTAAGGCGGTGTTGGACTGCTTGTTTCCGGCAGGTGAGCTCTTTATACCGTAAGCGGCTTTCATGCGAGCCTCGTCGATGACTCGGTAGGATTCGTAGCAGCCCTTCGCAAGGGCCTTGAGTAGGTTCTTCAGTCCGTCGTCACCGACATCATCCGGCCGCGGTTCTCCTTTTGGCATCTGGTGGCCTTTCATTTTCCGCCTACCGCCGACAGAAATGCCGTCTACCAGCTTCGATACCTCATAGATGTCTTTGACGGTTGCAATGAGGCTGTCCTCCTCGACAGGGTGATACCGGTAAACGAGATAACGATAGGCGTGGACGAAGGATTCGAGGTCGTCCGAAAACCTATACGGCTTGAAGGGATACAGCAACGACAGAGCGGATCGGAAGTACCACGTCCCCTGCGCGAGCCAGTTCAGAACGTGAGCTACACACAAGCTTGACGCACTCACCGTACGATCAGGTTCCACCTTCCCTTTTTCCAACTCACACACAAATAGGCAGAGGTCAAAATCGATCAGGTACCCCCTCCTGGTCTCGGGATGTATCATGATATTCGCTACGCTGATATCCCGATGAAGGACCTGTCCGGTGCTGTACGCAAACCAGTGTGCTAACACAAACAACAGTCAGTATTGTGCAAATACGCGTGCAAAGGCAGGACATACTCATGATCGTGTTCGCCATCACTACGGAAAGCTCGTTGAAGCTCGTGAAATCTGTAAGCGGTAACAGCACTTCCTCGAGCACGATGCGGTAGTGCACTCGTGGAGCCGGCACCCAATCACCACCGTCCGAATGGGCCGTCCGAAGATAGTCCTGAACGATGGTCTTCTGAGCGAGCGAGCCGCCCACGTCACCACCGCACACCAGGGTTGGAATGCCACTAGAGATGTTCTCGTCCTCGAGGCCGTGAAGATGCAAGTAGACAGAATGCTCTGGCCGAGTGCGCCCAGGCACGAGCGGCCGCCACGACGTCTTGACTATGACCAGCCGGCCTGTTTTGACGTCTTGAGCCAAGTGCGTCTTCGTCGCCCTCCCCGTGATATCGTTCGACGTGGACATCGGTGCACCGACCAAGAACTGGCGTGGATCTTCCAGGTTACTCGCTGGCTGGTCTGTATCGCAGTACGGCATCGTATCGGAGCAGTGACCGGCGGGGGTGACGACGAGCTTATAGACGGGATAGTCGGCCTTGGTCGCCTGCACAATGAGCGATTTCAAGCTGGCGGTCGCGCCGGTCGCGAGATCCCTGAACTGCTTCTCGTCGTCGTCGGAGGCGAACGTTGCCGTCGGATCCAACCCCAATGCCGCGAGGTCGCCGCTTCGAGCGATCCTCCAGATGAAGTCATGAAGGTGGGAATCCTTGTTGAGCCACTGGAACGGCCGTGTCACCAACACCCCGACGCGATCGAAGTAGAGAATGCGGGCGACGTCGTGGACGATGTAGATCATGTAGGCGAAAAGGCGGTGTTGGTAGTTGAAGATGTTCAGCATGTACTCCAGGAGTTGGGCGAGGTGAGGCATTCCTTCTTTGGAATTCCGTATGAAAGGAGGGACCGTGGTGGGAATGGCCATTTGTACAGCTGGAGAATTCGGTGTCCCTGCATGAGAGCTCGACGACTCGGCCAGAGTAAAGGTTGAATCCGCTTCAGTCGACTGGGCACCTGAGCCCTCCGTCCCTGCGACGGAATCAGAGACGGGTTCGTCCTCCGTCGCGGAGCCTTCCTTGCTATAGAAAGCTGACCGCTCATACTTGAGTTTGACTTCGATCGGGATTAATTGATGGTGCCACGAGCAACGATCCTCGTCAATTTTATCGAGCTTGGTAGCCTTTTTGGATCGCTCTTCGGAAAGGTAGATGCCGAGGTCACAGCGTGTGGCGTGGCGATTTTCCGATGACTCATTTTGAGTTGGTGTCGTCAGAACACGGAGGCTCAGAGGCGTAGCTGCCGAGGATGAGGATGAGGAAGGAGGTGCGGGGTCTGGGATAGGAGGACGTGATGAGGCCAGCGAGATAGGTTCGAGGGCGGATGCTGTAGAGTTGGAAGTGAATGAAGTGGAATTGGAGGTAGACGCAGCCGGAGGCGAGTGTGCGGCCAGAAGCACGGATCTTATCACTTCATTCTGGACGATACAGGGCGTGAGAATGGGCCACGAGTACATTGCACCAACTTACCACGACAGGATACATGTCTTTCTCCTTTTGCATCGGTTTGCCTTCGGGGCCCGTCAAGTTTCCTTCCAGAAAGCTTTGTCTCTGGTCTGCTGAGGGTGCTTCCCCGCCGACAATGTTCAAGAGTCTCTTTGGATCGATGAGACACATGCGGGTCATGGTCGGCGTTTGTCTGTTCACGCACTCAGCAATGTGCGTGCCGCGCTGCCCCCCTATGGACGGTACGAATGTTCACTGGAGTTTTTCCTCGGAGATTCGCGGAGGACTCACCGTGAGGCGACACTAGTAGGCCGCAGGTGTGTGGGGTGCGGCAGGGCGCGGGCGGCACTGGGCTGGGATCGTTGATCGTCAGCGACGCAAGCTGACTGCGGACTCTGTCACTGGCTGTGGGTGGTGGGTGGCGTCCACATATGGCAATGAGAGGGGACGCGGGGAGGGCGAGGCCGGAGTGAACGAGTAGGCTTCTTCAACGATAGTCGAGCGGCAGCGAAACGCGGTTTTCGCGGGGGTGAACACAAGCCGAGGCTAGCCTCAAACGTATCACAAGGAATGCAGAGTGAGAAGTCGTCGTCTCCGTCGGATAAGATTACAGCTCACCGGTACCTGTGACCGCGCCGACCGTACTATGGCGCACTCGGCCCTATCCTGTCGAAATCAATTGCGGCGAGTGGAATAGAGTGGCGTCAAGTCGGCCGAGGGGTAAGTGTGAGGGTGAGTACTTGAGTGTGAGGAGTGAGTGTGAGGTTGAGTGCGATCCAGCCCACATGAGACCGGGCCGGAGGGGGCCAATTAGGAGATTACCCCACATTAATATCATTCCATGCATCCACATACCATCGGCTCCTTAGAGTCAGTGTGACAGTGAAGGTCTGGGAAATCACAAGGGTTCAAATTCCGATGAACACGAACACTTTCATGCTCAATCCAGAATATCAGTGATAAAGGCCGGTTTCTCCCAGTGTGAACAACGAGTCTAATATTGTCGGATGAAAAGTCCCCAGATACGCATGGCGGGAAAGAGGGCCGTGTTGCCGTGCTGAGCACTGAGTCCTGGTAAGAACATGCAGAAGTTCTCCCCTTGGGTTACAAGGACTGGGCAATTCACAGTGTATGTACGTACTGTTCATGAACACGCGCGTTTCCATCTCCCCCCATCCGCTACATCTGCCTCTGGGACACGCTACTGGAATATAGTGAGCCCGCGGACAAGCCGGTCGGTGGTAAGCCGGAAGTACTCGTTATCGATCCCCCGCTCCCGCGAGTCCATGTCCACGAGTGGATTGCGCACGACGTACTCCAGGAACGGGCCAGCGTAAAGTTGGCGGAGGACAAAACGGAGGGAGTCGGCAGTGGGGTCGGAGAGCATGACGAACTTGTAACCAGACAGGGTTTCGTATAGATGGAGCTTGTAAGTCGAGGTCTGGTAGTTGACAAACTGTTCGTCTCTGCCGGCGAGGGGAAGGGAGGAGGTGAACAAGCGCATGCGTGCGCGAAGGGTAGATGGACGCATGGGTATAGATAATGGTGGAGCCAGATGTCGGCACAGAGAAGGATTTCGAAGGAGATGGTTGCATGAGCAGCAGCAGAGCGGAAAGAGCATGGAGACAGCAGCACATGGCAACAGAAAGACAAAGAACGCACTTTCCGGACAACTTCTTGACCATATTCCGCAACGAAAGTACGACACCGTAAACTAGCTTGGCCTCCTCGTCGAACGGCAGTGCCGCGGTGGGCGGTGGAGGCATCGGGGCAATCGGGCTTGGGGCATGCTGCAGAAGCGGGGTCTGGGCTGGGGCGGTTGAATCGCCCGACTCATTGACGGCAACGACGACGCCCGAGGTCGCGAGGGATCCGCGCTGGTTATAAAGCGAGTCGGGAGTCGCAGCGGGGTAGACGGCGGCGTAGACGGCGGGGAGCATACCGCCTTCAACGGCGCCTTTGGGGCGCACGGTTCGATGCCAGTCCTGATAGTACACGCAGGCGCAATGTCTGTAAGCACGGCGCGCAGCCTCAGTGACGATCCGGAAAACGGCATTAGCAGTGAAGGCGTACCTATCGAAGATGTACAAGCTGTAGATCGTCATGGCCGCCGAGATCCAAGGATAGGGCAAGATGCTGGACTACCGCGCAGCGATGTGCAGTGGGAGACAGTCTGGGACGGTGTGATGGGTGCGGAATGGGGTTGGAGGACGGGTATGTATGTGGCTCGCGTCGAAAGAGAGAGACAAGGCGGGACTTGGGCGCCCGTTGCACAACTTTGCTCCTCTCGCTCTCCTCCATTCACTCTGGACAAAATCCGACAGGGTGCATTCCAAGAATATGTATGTGAGAAATGGAAGGTGAATATGAAAGAATACAGGATATGTGTTGCACATCCCCAGTCTCGTCTATGCCCACACAATCATCGCCCAGGTGCACATTTCAGTGCGTTCGACCGTAGCCTGATTCCTACACTTTACTACGTCTCACTTGCTTCTTCGCCCCAATGCGTATTCGCCCGGCTTGATCTACAGAGGTTTGAACGCTTTAGTTTGTGTCCTGTCTGTCTTTTCTGCCTGCACTCTACCAGTTATATTGGGACGACCCGTCTTCCCCCAGCTCTTCGCCTCATTTGCGATGTCTCAGGGCGCCACTGGGCCCTGCGACTCGCACTCCTCTGCTTCTTGCTCGGCGGTGCTATCGGCACTGGTGACCAAAGTATGGCCGCAGTTCTTGCCGCTGGTATCGGTGCAGCGGGGATGAGGACCTTACGTTTAGCTCAGTGATCTGCCCGATTTAGACCCCCAGCTTCTCATATGTGCTCTTCAGATGGTTCGTTGGCCCACTCACCATCCATTGCCCCTTCTCCCAGCCCACCTCGCGCGTCGCCGTCGCCTCCGCGCTCGCCATCTTCTCTAGTTCGCTCTGCGGCACGGTCGACCTCGCACAGTGCGGCGCGACACCCAACACCGGGTGGAAAGTGGTGGGGATATCGATATGCATGGAGAACCCTGGCGGTCCCGCGCACCAGACTGAGTGGGGCCTCACTGGGAGGGCCGCAAGGTGGCTATATGGGATCTAGGAGACATACATTCGAGACTCTGATAGACTTGGAGAAACCACGTAGCAACACGCTCGATTTCGCACCAAAAGCACCAGGCTCTATCTACCGTACAACCTTGCAAGTCTACGCCAATCTACGGTGAACCCAGTTCGCGCGCGTCAGAGTTCGTCTCCCCGCACCCCGTCGCGCGCCCTCAGTTTGTCCAAGTCCTCAATCGCCTTGATCGCCATCGCCGTCGTGTACCCCTGCTCCCGATCTTCATCCCCGAGATCCCATACCTGTATATCCAGCCGATCTCCCACCCCCCGTCCTCCTCCTGCAGCGGCAGCAGCGCGCGCATGTCCATCTCGTTCCGCACCCCGAGGCTCGCGCACGTCACGACCCGGAACGCGAGCGCGATCGCGTCCCCGGGCGCGCCGACGAGCTCGCGCACGCGGTCCACGAGCAGCTCGCGCAGGGTGCCCTGGAGGTGCGCGTCCCCGGGCGCGGCCTCGAGCAGGCGCGCGACGAAGAAGAGGAAGCACTCGCGGAAGTAGTAGCGCGTGCCGTCGAAGTAGGCGCGGTGGAGGAGCATGCGGTGCACGGAGGCGAGCGCGCCGGGGAGCTCGTGCCCGCGGCCGTGGGTGTAGAAGAGGTGGAGGACGTTTATGGCCACGACGGGGTCGAGGCGCGGGCACTCGCGGTCGAAGTAGGTCTGCGGGGAAGGGACGTCAGGCCTCCAGGTGCGAGGGCACCGGGGCACCAGGGGGCGGAGGAGAGGGGGACGTACGTAGGGGAGGCCGTCGTCGCTGAGGAGGGTGAGCATCTCGTCCATGATGGAGTGGACGTGCTCCTTTGGGGGCTTCATGGTGACGAGGCCGAGCGAGGTCGTGTCGAGGTCGTCGGGGAAGTTCTCGTGCGTGAGGATGCCCTTGCCTTGGAAGTAGTTCCAGTACCGTTCGGGCTCCTTGAGCGTGACGAGACTCCTGCGACGGTCGTCAGAAACATGCACGCAGAGCAACTCTGAGCTCACTCGCCTGTCCCCAGTCGCTTCCAAGATCAGAAGCTGGCCGAAGTTCTCCATGATGGACACCCCAGGCCTGTCCGCATCGCACGCAAGCTTGCCAGCGTTCGCGCGCAGGTACTCCCACCCGCGCTTCACGGGGTCACCGACGAGGTTCCGCAGCTCCCTCCGCGCCGCCTTGAAGTCCGCAAGCAAGATCCCGTGTGCGCCAAACGACTTCGCCGTCACGACGTCGTCCGCGTCGTGGCCCACGTACACCGTGTCGCGCGCCGCGAGCCCCGCGTTCGCGTCCTCGAACACGCGCCGGAAGAACCCAGGGTGGGGCATGCGGATCCCGAGCTCGTGCGAGGCGAACACCCCGTCGAGCGCGTCCCACGCGTCCCCGCCCGCGGCGCGGAACGCGGCGTAGTCCTCGCGCGGGACGTTGAACGCGCCGAAGACGCGCACGCCGGGGTGCGCACGGAGCTCGCGCACGAGCGCGAGCATCTCCGCGTCCGGCTTGAGCTGGGCGGTGACGTACGCCCACGCGGCCTCGAGCACGGCGGGGTCCGTGTTGAACTGCGCGCCGAGCGCGGCGAAGCACTCGGCGCGGGAGGTGTGGCCGGACTCGTGCTCGAACCAGTTGCGGGAGACGAGGCAGGCGCGGAGCGCCTTGCGGTCGATGGGACAGGTGAGGTCCTTGGGCCAGGTGGCAAGCACGTCGGAGAGATCGAAGACGTAGTCCTTGTAGCCGCGTTTCATGAACATGGTCGCGATTCGTGCGGGGGAGAGGTAGAGGGAGGTGTGCTGGATTTCGGCGGCGCATGCTCGCCTAGAGTGCTTTATAGCATTGCGAGACGGGCTCGTACCACTTGGGAAGGCTGCGTTGCGATGTTGTCACCTTCGGACAAGGCGCTCCGAACAGTGTGCCAGAGAAGAGTATGGATGACTGGTCGCCATACCCGTATGAGACAAGCAATCCATCAGGTAGACCCATGCACCCACCATGGATGGAACCGAGAGCTCGCATGGCGTATTCCCGAGGAGTTATGGGTTTCTTCATTCCCCCAGGGCTTGGAGGCTCACAGCACGACCACGGTTCGAGATGAGTCGTGCGAGCCTCCTGCGCGCTTATACGGCCATGGTACGATGCGAGGGCCGGAAGCTGACGACGATGTCCAACTCGTAGGCGTCCGCGCGTGGAGCCCGACGACGACCGGCGACGCTCACTCAAGCCAACGAGTCAGATTGGAGGTCTTGCACGAGTGACCATGCGAAAGATAGCGATCACAGCTAGGACAGTGGATACTACAGTGCATGAATAGATACAAGCGACACCGATGCGAACCTTTGCTGTTTCCATTCTGTACACCTCCGTCCCTCTCGATCAGCAGTGTAGCTATTGTAACCGCAGTGAACCGTACAAGATGTCTTTCCTACGGCGGAATACAGGAGTTTTTGACGCTGGAGCCGTTGGTTGTGTGTTGTGTGCTGCGAGTTCTGGATCTCTGCGCTGTCGTCAACGAAGGCCGTCTCCAATAGGAGGCGTCCCCAGTGGCTTAACCATGTGTGACTGTAATCCATGTTCCAGTGTTGGACAATGCGGATGATACAAGTGATATGGGTTGCGTGCAACAATACTCCCAAGAGCAGTGTGGAGTCTACGAGTAAAAAGGATCTTGTTATGGTACGTGTGCGAATGCGCGAGAGAGGTACAAGATGGACAGAAAGCAGTGGCCCGGATCGAGAGGAAGAGGGACGGGGTGATGCTGGTGTGGTCGGAGATGAAACCGTATACTGGGGGTATCGGCGGAACGGCGGGCCAAAGAGCGCTGCAGAAGACTGGTCCATGTGTACATCCGCCGACCGCGGAGACGAGCGCGTGCACGACCCCAATGGCGCGAACACGACACCAACAACTCCTCTAAAGCTTCGGCCGCTTGGGGTCTGGGGAGTCTGGGGGAGAAGTGGGCGAGGTCGCCGCGGTCAAAGCCTGAGTGTCGGCCGCGCCCGGGGTTCTAGGACGCGCGATCCTGGAACGCGTCCCCCTTGCGCTTTCTCGAATCCTTCGGCGTGCTGCTCTGTCCGACCGCGTCGTCCTGCGGGACGTCACGCGCAAGTGGTGACGGCGCGCCCGACCCCGCCCGACTGCCTTCCGGTGTCAACCCCTTGCCAGGAACAAGGACGGCGTGGTCCGAATTCACGCCAAGGCTCCTCGAGCTGTCTTTCTCGCATTCTTTGAGAGCCAGCTTGAATTGATCGTCTGACTTCTGTGACTCTAGGTCTGTGGTTCCACCGTGCAACAACAAAACCTCCACCAGTTGTTCAGGGCTGGCGAGGAAACCTGTCACTATAGAAGGATCGTCACTGGATGCAGGATTGGTGTCCACGGCGGTCGAAGAGGGATCGGTGGTCGTAGAGTGATTCCCGGAGGCGGGGACCGGCTCGGTGGGACTTGAATGGAGAGGGGCCGTCAGGTGCGTATCTTCATGAATCTGGGCTTCATGGCGTTCAGTCTCATCAATCGGAAGCGAGCATGGCCTTGTGTGTTTCTACGAAGGCGGTGTTGGATCGCTTGTTCCCGGCGGGTGAGCTCTTTATACCGTAAGCGGCTTTCATGCGAGCCTCGTCGATGACTCGGTAGGATTCGTAGCAGCCCTTCGCAAGGGCCTTGAGTAGGTTCTTCAGTCCGTCGTCACCGACATCATCCGGCCGCGGTTCTCCTTTTGGCATCTGGTGACTTTCATCTTTCGCTCGCCGACAGATGCCGCCATGTGCCACGAAGTCTCATAGATTCTTGACGGTGGAATGAGGTCGTTCTCTCGATGGGTGATACCGGTAAACGAGATAACGATAGGCGTGGACGAAGGATTCGAGATCGTCCGAAAACCTATACGGCTTGAAGGGATACAGCAACGACAGAGCGGATCGGAAGTACCACGTCCCCTGCACGAGCCATTCAGAACGTGAGCTAGACATAAGCTTGACGCACTCACCGTACGATCAGGTTCCACCTTCCCTTTTTCCAACTCACACACAAATCGGCAGAGGTCAAAATCGATCAGGTACCCCTCCTTGTGTCGGGATGTATCATGATATTCGCTACGCTGATATCCCGATGAAGGACCTGTCCGGTCCTGTACGCAAACCAGTGTGCTAACACAAACAACAGTCAGTATTGTGCAAATACGCATGCAAAGGCAGGACATACTCATGATCGCGTTCGCCATCACTACGGAAAGCTCGTTGAAGCTCGTGAAATCTGTAAGCGGTAACACACTTCCTCGAGCACGATGCGTAGTGCACTCGTGGAGCCGGCACCCAATCACCACCGTCCGAATGGGCCGTCCGAAGATAGTCCTGAACGATGGTCTTTTGAGCGAGCGAGCCGCCCACATCGCCACCGCACACCAGGGTTGGAATGCCCCAGAGATGTTCTCGTCCTCGAGGTCGCGAAGATGCAGGTAGACAGAATGCTCTGGCCGAGTGCGCCCAGGTACGAGCGGCCGCCACGACGTCTTGACTATGACCAGCCGGCCTGTTTTAACGTCTTGAGCCAAGTGCGTCTTCGTCGCCCTCCCCGTGATATCGTTCGACGTGGACATCGGTGCACCGACCAAGAACTGGCGTGGCTCTTCCAGGTTACTCGCTGGCTGGTCTGTATCGCAGTACGGCATCGTATCGGAGTAGTGACCGGCGGGGGTGACGACGAGCTTATAGACGGGATAGTCGGCCTTGGTCGCCTGCACAATGAGCGATTTCAAGCTGGCGGTCGCACGGTCGCGAGATCCCTGAACTGCTTCTCTCGTCGTCGGAGGCGAACGTTGCCGTCGGATCCAACCCCAGCGCCGCTCTGTCGCCGCTTCGAGTGATCCTCCAGATGAAGTCGTGAAGGTGGGAATCCTTCTTGAGCCACTGGAACGGCCGTGTCACCAACACCCCGACGTGATCGAAGTAGAGAATGCGGGCAACATCTGGACGATGTAGATCATGTAGGCGAAAAGGCGGTGTTGGTGGTTGAAGATGTTCGGCATGTACTCCAGGAGTTGGGCGAGGTGAGGCATTCCTTCTTTGGAATTCCGTATGAAAGGAGGGACCGTGGTGGGAATGGCCATTTGTACAGCTGGAGAATTCGGTGTCCCTGCATGAGAGCTCGACGACCGGCCAGAGTAAAGGTTGAATCCGCTTCAGTCGACTGGGCACCTGAGCCCTCCGTCCTGCGACGGAATCAGAGATGGGTTCGTCCTCCGTCGCGGAGCTTTCTTTGCTATAGAAAGGGACCTCTCCTCGTGGAGTTTGACCTCGATAGGAATCATTTGATGGTGCCACGAGCAACGATCCTCGTCCTTTTTGTTCAGGTAGGTAGCCTTTTTGGACCGCTCGTCTGAGAGGTAGATGCCGAGGTCACAGCGTGTGGCGTGGCGATTTGCCGATGACTCATTTTGAGTTGGTGTCGTCAGAACACGGAGGTTTAGAGGCGTAGCTACCGAGGATGAGGAGAGTGAGGAGGAGGTGCTGAGTCTGGGACAGGAGAAGGACTTGACGAGGCCAGCAAGATGGGTTCGGAAGGGGAGTCGGAAGTGAGTGGAAGTGGGATTGGAGGTAGACGCAGCTGGAGGTGAGTGTGCGGCTAGAAGCACTGATCTTATTACTTCATTCTGGATGATGCAGGATGTGAGAATGGGCCATGAGTTCAATGCACCAACTTACCACGACAGGATACATGTCTTCCTCCTTTTGCATCGGTTTGCCTTCGGGGTCCGTCAAGCTCCTTCCAGGAAGCTTTGTCTCTGGTCTGCCGAGGGTGCTTCGCCGCCAACCAGTTCAAGAGTTTTTCCGGTTCGACGAGACATATACGGGTCATGGCCGGCTTTTGTTTGTTCATGACTCAGCTATGTGCGTCCCGCGCTGCTTCCCTACGTCTGGCTGTGTGCGAAGGTGATCTTGGGTAGCGGTGCTGTTCACTGGAGTGTTCCTACGGAGATTCGCGGAGGACTCGTCGTGAGGCGACGCTGTAGGGGGGGGGCGCAGATGACGCGGGCGCGGGTGGCACTGGACCGGGATCGTCGATCGTCAGCGACGCGAGCTGACCGCGGACTCCGTCACTGGCCGTGGGCGGTGGGTTGGCGTCCATAGCAATAAAAGGGGGAGCAGGGAGGGCGAGCGGGAGGGAAAGGGTAGGCTTCTTCAACGACAGTCAAGCGACAGCGAAACGCGGTTTCCCGAGGACAAACACGAGCCGAGGCTATGCCGCGAGCGCATCACAAGGACCGCAGGGTGAAAAGTCGTCTTCTCCATCGAACAAGATTATGGCTTACCGGTACCTGTGATCGCGCCGGACTCAGTGCTAGTACGTCGCGAACGGCCCTATGCTGTCGAAATCAATGCACCAGTTGCGGCGAGTGGAATCGAGTGGGTCGGGTCGGCCTTGGGTGAGTGGGAGGGGTGAGTACTGAAGGTGAAGTCTGAAGTGGCGGAGTTGACAGTTTCAACAAGCTCTCGGAGGGTTGTGGAAGCACATGCCCACGTGACACCGGGCCGGATTCTTGAATGTGGCATTCCATACACCCACCTACAATAGACTCCTTAAGTAGGCCTTATATAAGGGCCACAGTCAGAGCGCAGACATCTGGAATACGAACATAGAGCATTGATAAGGACCGATTTCTCTTGTGAACAATGAATCTAATATTGTCGAATGAGAGTCTTCAGGTACATGCATGGTGCACCAGGAAAAAGCGTCATGTCGCCTTGCTGGGTACTGACTCCGAAGAATATGCAGAAGGGAAAAAAGTTTCTTATTGGTTACGCTCGTTTCCATCTCCCCCCGAGGGCTGTGGATTTCTTCATTTCCCCAGGGCTTGGAGGGGATCACAACACGACCACGGTTCGAGATGAGTCGTGCGAGCCTCCTGCGCGCTTATACGGCCATGGTATGATGCGAGGGCCGGAAGCTGACGACGACGACCGGCGAAGCTCACTCAAGCCAACGAGTCAGATTGGAGGTCTTGCACGAGTGATGATGCGAAAGATAGCGATGACAGCTAGGACAGTGGGTTCTACAGTACATGAATAGATACAAGCGACACCGATGCGACTAGGAGGGAGGGAACTGGATGATTACTACTAACAAGCGGGTATACTCTAGAGGGCGAGATATATCCGTATACGGAACCCAAAAGCCATGAATGCGTATAGCCTGCGGCCTTCCGATGTACTGCCAAGCCGAGTCTGTGATTAAAGCCCACTTCTTCACGCAGCGGCAGGCGTAGCAGTGGCTGAAGTGGCGGCACAGTCCTTCATGTCGACGTCGCCGTCCGTTGTGAGCTTCTTCCGGACCGCACTCATCAGCGACATCTGGACTTCTCGTTCGACGCGCTCGCCCTCTTCTCCCGCGACAGCTTCGTCCAGGGCAAGCTTCATCTGACCAAGAGCAAGCATGTCTTCTTCAATCGAGCCCTTGGTGATGAGCTTGATCACGTCGACGTCTCGCTTCTGCCCTATCCGATATGCGCGATCCTGAGCCTGTTTGTCGTTGTGAGGATTGAAGTCCTGATCATACCTGCAACCGATGGAAACGTCAGCTCGGCCTCCCAGACAGTCTGACATCGAGGAGGCTCACATGATGACAACACTCGCCGCAGTCAGGTTGATACCCATACCACCCGCTTTAGTCGAGAGAAGGAAGACCGAGATGCTCTCATCCTCATTGAACTCATCAACCAGAGACTGTCGGACGTCGACAGGTGTGGTTCCTGTAAGCAGGGTGTACTTGATCTTCTTGAGCTCGAAGATTTTCTCGAGAATATCCAAAAGTTGTGTGAACTGCACGATATGCTATCAGTCACAACATCGACAAAGTGTCAGAACACATACCTGCGAGAAGATAAGTATCCGACGACCCTCGTTCTTGTATTGTTCAAGAAGATTCATGAGGACCTTAATCTTGCCAGCCTCAAGATAACAGTCCTCATCCTGCACGAATCTCCGCAGAGACTAAAGCCCGTTTCAGTATAGACCCACGCGATCTGGAGACAGACACACCTTGTAGGTCTTGCAGTACTCCTGCAACTCGGCGTCGGACATGACCTCCAGATCCTCCTTGACATAGTCGTAGATCGCCCCCCGCTTCTTGAAGTCTGGCTCCTTCAAAAGCATCCTGGCCATGGAGGCAAGTGTTTCTTCCGAGAAGCGCCGGCGGAAAAGCATGGGATGTGATGACGCTTTGCGGAGATCCATGAGAACGTTGGAGCTGTTCTCGAGGTACATCTTGTCCTTGGTCCGAGCTTTGCACGGGTCTTCTTCGCCGGTTTGCCACGCCCGTTAGCTGCAGCGTCAGACGTCTCCGCCGAGTTGGAGTTCTCCTCGAGGTCGAAGACAGTCTTTCGTGACCGAAGCAGCGCTTCGTTGTAGATGGACTTCTGGAGCGAAGTCATATCACACCACTCGATGCGTTCTGTCTTCTTGGGCAGGTCCGAGAGCACCTGACCGAGAGTATGAGCATACAGTACACATGCATCAGAGTCGTCGGAACATACTTGGTCTTTGCGCCGCCGCAGAACAAAAGGTGTCATCATCTTCTTGGCTCTTGATACACGCTGCTGAGCAAGTAAGGTGACCTTGGAGTCTCCCTTGGTCTTGAAGACTGCGCGTAGAGAGTCGAAGCTGTCGGCAAAATGATCCGGGAGAATGAAGTTCATCAGAGACTAGAACGTGAAGTTAGCAATGAAATTTCAAGCACACGTCAAATACACACCACAAGTTCTTGCAAGTTGTTTTGGAGAGGCGTGCCGGTGAGCAATAATCGCCATCGGCACTTGTACCGGAGCAGAGCTTGATAGCGTTGAGACTGGAAGTTCTTGAGCATGTGGCCCTCGTCGTACACACACGTCTGTCAAGGTGGATGAGCGAACGCATTCTGCGTCGTCCTCGGATATACATACGTCCCAATCCATCTTCCGGAAGAACTTGCGGTCATGGTCGTCGCCAGTGGCCAGCTGATAGGTTGTTACGAGTACATTCCATCCCCCTGTCTTCTGGGTTGCAACAGTGTCGTTCAACCTCTCTCTGAGGCGTGGCCGCTCATTCTTGTCAGCGTAATATGTTTCGACGGTGATGCCGTCTCCAACAAACTTCTGGAATTCTCTACACCAATTCTCCAGAGTAGAAGATCTGTGGGCCGTTCAGCCCGCATGTATGAAGAATATGAGGATCAGCTTACGGAACGATCACAAGGTGAGGGCCATTCCGGCCACGTTCCTTGAGATGAGCGAAGAAGCTAATGACTTGCACAGTCTTGCCCAATCCTGAAACAACCGGTCAACTTCAAAAAGGAGGTCAAGAAATGAAGTCACTCACCCATTTCATCAGCAAGAATGCAGCTCAAACTCTTCTGATACAATAGACTAAGCCAATTCACGCCAATCATCTGGTAGTCCTTGAGGAGGACGCCCTCTTGAAGTAGGGCTGGCGGGTTGTTCATATAGTACTTCGGCTTGTCCAATGAACCTTCGATGTGGGTGAGCGAGATAACGCCATCGTTGTCCAACACCGAGGAAGCACGGGATCCCTCGCGCTCCTTCCCCTTGCTATGGGTCCACGACGCGATCTCCGTCCTCAGCGAAGTACCAATCTTCTCGCAATCCTCGAGAATGCTGTCGACCTTGTGATATCCCTTGAAGATCGCCGCGCTGTCTTCGAACATTCTAGAGCTGACACCGGCGGGGCCTGCCTTCTTCTTCCCTTGGCTCAACTTGGAGTTTAGGTCCTCGATGGAGACGTAAGGTCGGAGTTCGATGATCTTGGTGGCCTGCTCGGGTGTGCAGCCTGCTCGGGCATGTGAGTCCAGCAGTGAGAAGACAAGGGCAGCCGGCTTACCCGTCAACTCTTGCAAACCTTCTGCCGACGTTTCGTTGAAATAGTCGAGAGCACGCTGCTGATCCAGACTTGCGCGTTCATGAATGTCCGAGCTGGCATCGCTGTCCTCATAGCCATCCTCGGAATCCGACGTGACTACCTTGCGCTTTAGCCGCTTGCGCGGACGCATAAGCTCGGGACTCATGGGAGAGTCCACGACCATAAGTGGCGCCTTCGAAGCAGGGGGGGTTTCGGGGACGGCATCGCCGACCGGCTTGCCGTCCAGGGTGCGGTTTCGGTAGATCATCGACTTTTTGCCCTTCTCTCTGACTGCGAGACGCTGCGCCTTGTTCGCTTCCACAACCTCTTTCACGCGTCCTGTTTCGGCGACCGAATCGCGCTCCTTAGGCGGAGGCGTCTCCACAGGTGGCTTCCAGTAAGGATTCTTGAGCAGGGCGGAGGCCTTCGACTCGTCGCCGCCCGCCACTCGCCATGCCGCACGCACGTCCGACGGCTCGCGTTCGATATGCGTGAGACGAAAAGTCGTGAAGCGGGGATCGTCGTCGGGTGTGGTTTTGGAGGAGGGCGAAGGCTGACTTGCCGTGGAAGGAGGGACGGCGGCACGGCGAATGATGCGAGTCCTGGACGTACCGTTGACCGACTCTCTCGGATCGACCATGGACTCGTCGGAAGAGAGAGACATAGACGAAAGTGAAGGGGTACCAGCATGGCGACGATTCGCAGAGGTCTGGACTTCTGGAGAGGCGGGGGAAAGGAAGTCGATGGGGTCCCGCGACGTAGTCGGCCCAGTGTTAAGCCTCTTCCTTGGGCGATCGCCATCCTCCGCATCGTCCATCTGAGACATCTTCCGGCTCGACGAGGACGAAGGACGCGTGGACGACGCGCTTGACACGCCGTTCGGTACGCGGAAGCCACTGGACATGGCAAGCGGGTCGGAGGCTAGGGATCCAGGACGCGTAGGAGAGTTGGATTGCGACAGACCGGGAACGTCATCTTTGAACAGATCCCATGCGCTGGCAGTAGCCACGGGTGCATCTTGGGGATCGGTGCGAAGAGGACTGGAGTTGGGTACAAGTATCTTCGCCGAGGAGGATGGAGGAGGAGGGAAGTAGCGCGATGTGGCTGTAGCATCCCGGGACTGGGTTGGCGCAGGGACCGCGGTGTTGGCAATGGCCCCCGAGCTCGTCCACGACGGGGATGAGGGGGCAGCTAAGTTGGACAGAGACGTGCCCTGTTTCTTTTGTACCTTTTTGAACTTCAGCTGCTCTAAAGCTGCTTTCTGTGGGGACAGGACGGTGGAGCGCAGCCAGGTGGGTGCGGTCAGTCCACCGCGACTCTGCTTGTTCAGGACGACAATGTCTTACCCTCGCAGCTGCAGCTTCAGGGCCAAGGGACATTGTGCTAGATGTCAGCCAGGGCCGAAGGTGAATATGAGGGGGGAGGGGAAGGCCAAGGCGGCCGGCCGGGAGGTGGGAGATAGACAACAAGGCAGAGAACCCTAATGATGTGGCTCCCGTCGGAGAGTCAAACTGGTGTGGCGGCGGACGCTCACAGAACGTCGTCCGACTGTACCCAAGTTGCATGCACACGACCGACAGACATGAGCATGAATGACTGCTACTTTTCGGCTGACAGTAGCCGACATCCTGACCTCAGACGTTGGTGAACGATGCATGAGGCACTGAACACTTCGAACAACGTACAGACCGTCACACTAGTACATGGACGCACGTATAAGAGGGCAGGATGAAATATATTGCGGTACGACTGGGCACAAATACCAACCACTTTTATACAAAGAACTAATGGACACTGACCAACGTCAGTGGCCAAGTACCGGACACCGTCGGTTCAGAGACAATTGCAGGAGAAGAACAAGCATAGGATACGATGGAAATGCAGAAGCTATACAGTGCGTTGAGGAGAGTCGGCACACCTTCGTCCATAGACCTAGCCCATGCATCGTTCGGGAACTCGAACTCCCGATCGGTTGGCGTCGTCTTCATACTGAACTTGAACGTCGGGTAATAGTGGAGAAACGAAGTCGACTTTCCCAAGGGGTTGTCCAGATTTCTCCGCAATACCGGCGGACGATCGAAAGCACCTGATTGTCCACTTCCTGCCCTAGCGGTATGGCGATTCTCAAGGGATCCAGCCATGAGGTCCAACGCCTGCTGAATCATGATCTGAAACGAGAACATCTTCCTGTGAGAAACAAGTCTGCCGAAGTAGGTACGGGGCATACGCTTACCGATATAAAATATGAATGAGCGAAAAACAGCAACCCCGACGGGGATGTGCTGAGAACAGGGTCGCATCAAGCGTCCGCGCACGCTCAGAGTCTGGAGAGCAAAACGATCTGCGACAACATGATAAAGACGTGACCAGAGTAGTGATTGGCGTCCCACCTACCTGAACATCCACATTGATGACCAGGCCGTATAAGCGTATTGGTGGCATGCACATCCAGTGTGTGCGTCGACTGCAACCGTTGCAGTCGCTTCGGTTACTGTAAACCAAAATCGTGCTGGGGAGCTTCGCATTCGCACCAGCAGAGAATTATGCGAATCTTGACGAACACTTCCGCCACGTCAGCGACTGTAACATCACCACGGCTCACCAAGTGTGATGTGCCAGTGGTACCAGTCAATGTTCGTTGAAGTATCGCCATCGAGGTGAGTTTGAAGCCCATGCGGCAATACGACGATGGGCGAAAAAACAGCGGAGGGAGCCATCGATGGGGAGAGATGGTGGTTGTGGAGAGAGCGGCCTGAGAAAGCCTGGGTCCCAGTTTCGGCGGCTTTGGCTGGCGGTGCCGGGTGGCTGTGGGCCGGCACGCCGCTGCGGCGCGCAGTCCAGAGACCCGAGCTCATCGCCAGAGACGCGCTCGACGACGTGCGTCACCCTCGTCTCATACCACCATCTGCTCGCCATGGCCGGAATCGGGGACTTCTTTCTCCTCTTGATCTGGCTTCCCGTTTCTCTCGCACTCTCGCTCACGGTGTCAGTCCCTCTTACGGGAGCTTTGGTTAGGCTCCGAGGTACGTATTCCGTTCGCCCTCTCGCGCTACCCGCAGCCCCTGCTGACGTTGGTCAACACAGCGAACTACAACCCCAAAGCGCTTCAACTCGACACAGAGGGGAATGTCAGTGTGCATACAGGCCCAGTCGTCACTTCGTTCTTCGGAATGCTGAGGCGTGTATACCGCATTGAGGCGAGTTCTCCACGGGCTCTGTTACGACTGGCAGCTTATCAGTTGCGTACAGGGTTGGGCCGGCTTGTACAAGGGCCTCAGTGAGTCTTCTTGTTCTGGTGGAATTGTCAACACTTCCAACTTTACATTCAGTGCCCACCGCTCTATCCACGTCGGTGGTCACTTTGTTCGCCGTCCTTACGCTGGACAGCCGCCAAATTGCCCGCCATGGGCGCGTTGACCCCGGTCCCGAGTCCAGTCTGCTTGCGATGTTTATGTTCGCCGTCTTCGGCATGATCATCGCTCTACCGGCTGCTATAATCACCTACCGGTATGTAGCGCTCTTAAATTATCCCTACGATAGCCTGACTCCTTTCTAGAGCCATTGTAACGCCGTACCGACTCCCATACCTCCGACCCATGTTTTCTCTCCGCATCCTCCTTACGCCAACGGAGCGCCGTCGTCCATGGGTGTTGTACTTCACTCCCGGGCTTCTTTTGACCGAAGTTTTCCACATCGCCTACACCGTGATCATACTGCAAGGATCCCGAGCTCTGCTGCTAGGCGGCGAGACGTTTTCGCCGTTCAAGTTCGGTGTATACGTCGCCATTGAGATGCTCAGCGTTGCTATCATCTGCCCCTTGGAAGTCATGGCCACGAAGCTCGCTATCCAACGCAATCACTCGGCGTCCGAGTATAACTCTGTGGAGCAAGAAGTGGAAGATGATGCCATTGAGGCGCCGGAGTATGCCGAGTACTCCGGACAAGAGGAGGATGTGATTGGGTAAGTTACCGCGCCTTAACGTCACCTCACTTACTGAGCAACAAACACTAGGCTTCGTCACGAGAAGGACCCTTACGTCGGGTTCGTGGACTGCGTCAAGTGCATCATAGACGAGGAAGGATGGCAGACGCTGTATCGCGCTTGGTGGGTTTCGATGGCTGCCGCGATCCTGTCCGCGGTGGCGGCGGGTGTGGTGGCCGTAGACCCATATGGCACAGGTGCAGGTGCCGGCAACTAATGTCAGTGAGTATGAGTTGTTTCGTACCATACTTCGCTGAAGTATAACTTTAAGCAACGGACTCGAGTATGTTCATGTACAAAGGATCAGGACCAATTGTAACTCGTCATATTTATGTGATCGTTGCGTGATCGTCAGAAGCGCTATACGCCCCCGTGTTGTGGTCGGTGGTTTTGAAGTTTGCCGTGTCATGACGCTGTCTCATATGTTGATACAGGACTACGCGCCTTGATAGCTGTCACTCGTGCCCTAGTGTTGGTACTTCTCGGCGTTCATGCGCGTAGCGGGTGTCACAATGTTCACCGATACCGGGAGCGCTGTCTTGTGAAGAGTAACTGAAGAGCGTTCCGAGTACATAACGCTCCCTCGCGATTTGACAAAAATTGCGCCATCGGGGGAGGGGGCTCGCAAGCATCAGAAGGACCGCACAGGGCCGTAAGCCATGCAGGTACGTCACGCTCGATCTTTAGGAAGTCCCGCCGGTCGTCATCGTCATTATTGACTCTCAGGCTTTATCCACCGCCGAATCCGTCGATCTCTGCGAGAGACACATGAATGCACGCTCATGGAGCTGACGCGGGCCACGGATGGTCGCGCGCACCGCAGGGCTGTGAGTGCTTCCTGACCGCCCGAGCACCCTCGAGCCAATCCCGAAATGTAGTTGTCTATGCCAGGTCGGGGCACGCACAGAGCTCGATCCAGTTCGCTCTGTCCCACCGCCGCCCGACTCCCGACGCCCATAGAACGTTCTCCCGCCTCTCGATGCGCCGCGCGCCGCCCGAGCTGTCGCGTCGCCCGACAATGCATGGGTCGCTCTGAGAATCCCCTTTCCTCCGGGCGAGTCGCAAACTTTGTCAGCAGTCACGAACGTACTTCTCCTCGCCTTCTGAGGTGAGCGGCTGTTGTCCTCCTGCTGGATGACGTGTTGCAGCACGGTGGTGGTGCCAAGCACAAGCCCGGCGCTCGGGGGCCACTCCGATGTCGTTGCTCCCTGTTAGCCTTCAGCTTCGCCAGCCTTTCGCGCGAAGTCGTCCGGCCCTACGACCCGTGCCCGCCGCTCGCCCCGGGGTCTCCGCGTCCATTCAGCGAAGTGCGGGCCCTCGGCAGCCCCGCTGCGTCCGCGGGCGGGGTTGAGGGCAGAGCGCGCCTTCTATCGGACGGCCGACTATCGCGCCCCGGGCGGGTTTGCGGTCCATGTGGGTGTCGTGAAGACTTCGGAAGTCCTCTTCCTACGCGGTCGAGTGCGTGCACCAGCGCCCGAGCGGTATCGAGGACGCCGGGGTCACTCGAACGCGCACCCTGCCCCTGGCTCAGGGCAATCCTCCGTGGATGATTCAACTCCCCCACTATCGTAGCGCCTTTGCAGCTCTTCGTGCCGCTTTCACTGACGTGTTTTTTGTGGGCAGCCGTCCGCGTGATCCTGGAAGCCCGGTCGAGTAGCAGCCATGCGGCGCCGTGGACGTACTCAATGGCAGCTCTGAACCCGACGCCGGCGAGGGCCAGTCCTGCAGCTGGCAGGATGGGTCCATGCGGCTCCCCCGATCCGGTAGGAGCCATACGTTCGGTGCGTCTGAGCGACTCCATTGTTCACGGTCAGAATTGCCCAATTGATGCGCCAAGGACTTTCTCGTAGAAAGCTTCGTTGACGCGCGCCTTTCTGACGGGTTCACACCCTCCACAGCCTCGCTCCCACCGCCGGCAGAGATGGCTCCGAACATACGTCGTCCGGGAGAGCGGGAGGGGAGGGCGCGCAGGCTGGCCTGCGCCCCTGGCCTGCTGACCCGCCCTCGAATTTCCTTCTGGACTGCGACACACAGACCGCAGTCGACCTCGACGTCTGCCGGCACCCCGACGACCTTGTCTCGACCCCCGGTGAACAAACCCAGCTGCAGTTTGCCGGTCGACCAGGGTCAACGACGCCACATACCACGGTCGACAACAGTCGACAACCAGCCCCCTCCTCGCCCTGATTCTCCCGCGGCACTTCACTAGTCTCAAGGCTTGCCTTGGACCTTCGGCCAGCTCTCGACCACGGCGACTTCTCCAGCCGTGCGCTTGCGACGCCGAGCCCAAGAGACGGGTATACAGCACATCCGCCGCCCAATCATCGACCTCAGCGTCAGGGAACCGGCGCGAGCGTGGCTCTCCGCCGTCTTCGCCTTCCGACCTCGGACCACTCGACCGCCATGCCCTGATTCGAAATCGCCTCCTGCTCGCGGACAAATCGGGGCAGCGATGTCAAGAGATCTATCCGGGGAGATGTCAAACAGAACGCACACGCCGTTGCACGTTATCTCATCATTATCTCGGTGCGCAACTGTTCGCTTCTTGGATGGCAATGGCCCAGTGAGTCGGAAAAACTCCCGTCCAACTGCAGTCTCGTATTCTCTCCGACGTTGTCCCCTGAAATCTGGGCATCGAACTCTTTCATCACAGGTCTGATGGGATTTGGCAGTGGAAGGATGGAGGCACGCATGCTGGACATCTGCAACGATACCACCTGCAGCGATCTGCAGTGAGGCTTCACATGGACGCGCGGATCAGCGTGGTGAAGCCGACGTCGTCATGTATGGCTGGCGGATGCATTCAATGTTGAGGATGTCGGCACCTATTCTGCCAAGCCGTAGAATAAACGCTTCAGCATGTATGGGTAACGAGAGGCCAAGCATTTCCTCCCAGACCACGAGATCCTCGGTACTAGATTGTACCCATGTAAAGAACAGGTATATTGCAAAGTTACTGCGCGTAAGGGTCGTTAACGATGTATGATCCCCGCGGCAACAAAGATCCGCCGCAGACGATAGAATATCCCCATATGGCGCTGAGGGCATCCGGGTTGAGACGGGGTGCATGCGAGACGTAGAAGCATGTATTAAATTTGAGGATATATTAATAGATATGCTGAGGAAGGCGTTGGCGGTTACACGGCTTTCTCTGCATGATTGTGGGGGCGGTTGAGCAGTCTACGCCAGAGGCGCGCGGGAGAAGATCAGTTCAAACTCCGACTTCACAGGTTTGAGATCCGACGCAGCCGGGCGGCGGAGTACGATTCTGGGTTTGGCTTGGCGACGGCGGCGATCCCGTTGCGAACGGCCTCTGCGGAACTCGGACACGCTTTCACAGCGTCTGCGACGGTCCCATCCTGTGCTTCCTCGGTGATGGCTTGGCTGCTCGCTGTCTGAGGCATCGCATCGCCAAAGGTCGCATCCGATGAAGTGAGTAGCCAGCGTCCGTTCCGGTGGCTCCTTGGTCATCGTGCACTGACCAGCCCATTACTTGCTCGGCGCACGCGATTGGCATTCCTTCAGCCAAGGCAGATAGCCGGGTCCCCGCATAGCGTCCGGGACGTTGGTGGGAAATCCGTTTGCTTAACTCGTTCGCGCGCGGGTACGTGGGGCCTTCCGTTTGCCTCCAATGGGGAGTGCCAAGCGCATAGGCTATCGTCCGCCCGAACGTCGGTCTACAAGGCACTGACAATGCTCCTCTGCAGGATTCGCGTGCATCGTGCCCGTGCCTCGTCGGAGCACACTCGATTTAGGCCGCCGATGAATTGAACATCAGCATTCGCGGCCCGCGGAGGGCACCCTCGCGTCGCATCGGTAGGCATGCGCCGATGTCCCTGGAGAAGTGCTCGGGACGCCCTATCTTCCTGCGGTACGGCCTTTCCTTCGCGCGCCAAGACGTCCACGGCTCTGATGAGCGTCCCGGTGTTCATGGACAACTCAAAGGCCGGGGAAAGACCGCGTGCTGGCACGCTACGACAGTGGTGTGAACACCCGCGCTCGCACAGGCCTTGGTCTTCGCCCAGCGTCGTCGGCGCTCCCCTGTGGATACGGGCTGCGGAGCACGTTGGAGTCAATCCGGGGGAAAGGTCTGTCGCGTAGTTTCCGCCCGTACTCTTCCTTTTCGAGCACTCATGATGATCCAGGTGGAATTGCCAGCGGCGCTGCGCTGCGCTGGTCTCGCGCCTTACGTACGACAACAAGGGAGAATGGCCGGCGGAGCGTCGAGCTTGACATGGCACAGACGCCCCGGGCGCGGTGGGTGCGCCCATGCATCGCGCCAGCTTATTCGGCGCCGTGGGGACCGGGGTGGGCGCAGCCGCGTTGTCTGGACTCGATCTGCGTCGGGGCTGATATGCGCGCGGGCGCTGGAAGGGGGCCTGAGCCAGGTTCTCAACGTCCGAGACGGTCCAGAAAAGGCGGCGGCGTGGGCGGGTGGGACGGGCGCCAGGGAAGGGGAACGTTGATTGTCGCGTCTACCGGCGTTCTCCACGGGGCTCTCGCACGCTGCTGTTTCCCATGGCCCGGCGGATTGGTTTCTGGGGTTTCCCACTCCGCCTGCTCCCGACTCCAGCGCGCGTCAATCGTGAACGTCCTTCGGCTCGCCTGCGCGATCTCCGTGCGACGCTGGGGAGCTTCCCAGTCACGCCGACCTTGCCAATCCGAGCTTCCGTCTCGAACTCTCCCCGGTGCCATCCATGCCAAGCCCAGGCAATCACCGTCTCTATAAAGCCCCCCACCCGAAGGCCTCGCCATTTCATTTCCGCTCCCCCCAGTCCATTCAACATGTCCTCCGAATCCTCCACCACGGCGTCCAAGAAGAGAGCCGCCGCCTCCGAGAAGCGCACCTCCGGCGAGGACGACCACCGCCGTGAGTCTCTTCCCCACCATCCTGCCACCCACGGCTCACGTTCGCCATACAGGCAAGCGTCGCAACCGGCCCACGCAGTCATGCCTCAACTGCCACACCTCCAAGCGCATGGTGGGTAATCGTCTTCCCGCTACCATCATTCCGACCCTCACGGCCTTCTTCCTACAGTGCGACCGTCAGCGGCCGTGCGGCCGGTGCACCCAACTCGGTCTGGTGAGTGCCACTCTGGGCCTCGATGTCGTCCGCGCTCATTCATACCATCTAGACCGGTCTCTGTGTATACGAAGTGGATAACCCCTCGCACAGGTGAACCCCTTTGTGTATCGGTGCATTTCTATGCAGCTGACCATCGTCCAGGGCCAACGCTCAAGACGAAGCCGAGCGTTTGAAGAAGCGGGTCGCAGAATTGGAGAGCATCATTCGAGAGGTACATTCGTGGTTTTCCACCCGAGCTCTCCTGCTGACAACATACTGTAGCTGAAGAACAAGCCCCATCCTCGGTGGGCTCACTCGGGGCAGGGTCCCGCAAGCAGCGAAGCGGGATCTCCTCCGCACGACAGCGACGTTAAAGCCGGTCCCTCGACCAGCGGATCATCTTCACCCTCTTCACCGAAGTCGCCTCGCGCACAGCGAAGGGGAACATCATCGCCATCCACTCAGTACTTGGAACCACGAGCTCTGAGCTCTGCTGTACCTTCCCCACTCCTCACCCCATCCCCCGGACCTCACTCTCCCGTCGAGGTCTACATGCCGCCAGGCGGGGACCCCATGCCTTCACTCCTCACCCCAGAATACGATTTCTCCTCACTCTTGGCGTCATACCATGCCACCGGTGGCGGGCCTCCCATGGACGACGGCTTCTTCGGAGATATGCTACACCCCCTCCTGTCCTCAACAGCGGAGAGTTGCTCCGTTCACAGCGACGGCGAGCACTGTGGGTGTCTCCACGACCACGCAAGCTATAACACCGTTCTCGAACTCTCTTTGCGCCTGCGGCGCGCGACCGACATTCTCTCCGGGTACGCCAAGCACGGCGCACGGTCTGAATGCAAGATCCACAAGAGCATCACCGACCTGGACCGGTTCACAACGTGTGTCACACACCTTCGTCCGCACTATTCTCATCCGCTGATTGACTTTGGCTTCCCGGCACGCAGGTCTGCCCTTGGCAACATCGTCACACCACCCGAAGTCGGAGGTCCTCATGCCCAGTCGCGAACAGGCTCCGCAGCGTTCCCTCGCGCGCCGTTCGCGGGCAGTCGACCGGCGGTCGCAATACCCGCCGCGCAGATGGCCTCGCAGTCCATCCAATCTCCACGCGCCTGGGACTTCAAGCAGGGCCGTGGTGGGTCGTATCCCAGCCCTCCCTGGGACGACTCCTTCATGTCGTGGGAGCCACTGAGGCACTAACAAGCGCCGTCTGGGCTTCGAGGGGCGATATAGATAGTCGACGGATTGACATGCGACCGTCGGGGGACATTGATTTTGCATGAGTATATCCAGTGTATTTGGTTAACAGGACTCCAGCATTGTTGTATCATCGCGGCCCTGCGTGCTATGCGTGCGTTGGCGGAGCGTCGCGGCAACATTTCCGCTCCTCAGATCGCGCGTGAAAGATACCATCAAATCGCAATCTTGTACCGATCGGGCGATCGTCCGTGCTAGCCCGCCTGGGCTGCCTCGCAAATAGTCCTTTCTAACTCTCCCGGGCCGGCGATCGGCGCCTGGAGAGGTGGTTCACTGCTCTGCTGACTGCATCAGGAAGGGTGCATTGTCCGCTATATCCCCGCCTAGTGGCCCACCTGCCACCGCTCAAGTCAAAGAGGCTTCCAAGATCCAGCGCGTAATGGAAAGGCCGCACTCTACGTGCATCCATTCGTACTAGAACTGAGCATACACCTAGGTGCCCACGAAAATCACGGCGGAAGCAGGACTGGCGAAACGGCCGTTTAGATCCCGCCTTCTCTTCATGGCCACCCCGCTATTCATCCGGTAAATCAACCGCCAAGCGTCCCGGAGGTTGTAGCCATTTTCTCCGAGGCCCGCGGCCAGCTTCCTTTTGAGTGATGCGTCCGCTCGAGGAGCATCGTATCGGCACCATTGCCCTTGCCTGCCAAGGTTCATGCGTCTACTATATTGTTTTTTGTTAACCTCAGAATGGGCTTTGCTCTGTGAATTTGCCCCAGTCACGCCGCAGGGGCCCCAGCAGCTCGGTGGGCTGCCGGCCGCCCCCTCCGGTGAGACGCGAAGCCCAGAGGAACGGTTGTCGTCCATATCCTTCTTTCCGATCTCTTCCTGCGCGCCTGAACCGACGAGGCTGTACGCTTTATCTGATATACGTGAGAGCGCGATGCGGCTCACCCTCGCCCGCGCTCCCAGCGACGAACCTCTGGATAGGTGGATCCCTCTCGGGCGCAGCTGCAGCGCGTGCATCCTCGCTCGAAGCCGCCGCGCGCACCCCACTGCGCCCACGCGAGCGTCCGCCCTGTCTCCCCCTTGCTCGTCCCCGGGGATCGGAACGCTCGCGAACATGCGGAGAACCGCCCTAGGCGCCTGAGATGATAGATTGGCTTTGCGGTGGCAACAAAGAGTCGTATCCGGCCGAACGTTGGTGGCCGCTTTCGCATGCCAAGGCTACCAGCCAAGTGCGCCCGAGCACGCCGAGCCTAGGCTTCCTTCCGGGCAGACCTCGTCGGCGCCGCCGGTGAATCAGTTGGGTGGACGTGGACGTGACGGGCCGCTCTCCCTGGCGCACTCCACAAGGGGGAGGGAATGACCGAACTGTGATGCAACTCGACGTGAGGCGCGATGATGGAGGGGGGCCGTGTGGGGCCGTGATCTTGGACGGACCGCCTGCAACCTGAGAACCCGCGGTAGCGCGTTGTACAGTTCAGCGTCGAAAGTTTCCGCCTGCTCGCGCCCAGGAAGGTTTCCCCAACGTCGATGCTGCAAAGACGATCGTCTGCACCAAAGCGTATCGCGCGCGCGCTCTGGGTTTACGCCAACGTGATGGGGTGTCCTGTCAATGTCGGGCGCTGAGACAGGCTCACATGGCGAGGGGGGAGGGGCTCCAGACGTTTCTTTTTGAGATCGTGAAACTCCGCCGATGGAGACATTGTGAGTCAAAGATTGGTTTGCGTTGTTCACCTGAGAATGATGCGGGGCGACGCCGCTTGTTAGCGAGCAGTCCGCAAAAGGCGACAGCATTCCACAGCAGAACGCAAGGGCGAGAATCTCCGCACGCGTGTGTGGAACGGAAGTCGGTCCCGGAGGGATGCGAGTTAACGAAAGTCCGGACGAGACAGTTTGAAAACCTAAGAAGATCTTAAGCGTGGGTCAGACCACTGGGTGAGCGCCAAGGCCGACCTGGCAGAGACGCAGTTTGTTATCAAGATTCCCCTTTCACTGTACAGTCTGGAGATGTGAACAGTTGTAACAGTTGGGGTATGCAGGGTGGGCGATATGCTTACGAAATTCCGGGCTTCACGTGGTCAGTCACAGATCCTCGAGGATTCCGACTTTGCGTTGGGCCGCTTCGCCGCCGCGTCAACCAGGCAGCCCAACCTGCGATAGTTTTACGTCTGGCTGCCATGCATGCGAAGACATTGGCGCCGGTAGAGAACCAACGATGTCGCAGAAGAGTCGGTCCATTGAATTCGTAGGACGAATTGGAAGCATACACAGCCTACATCAAGTCAGATGAATTAGTTCAGTTCAGTCTGCGAGTTCACCGTGCCCAGCGGATGGTCTGCGTGAGAACAATGCGGCATATTCACCGGATGGCGTGCTACACACCCCGCCGCTGGAGCATAAGGGTGGTCATAGGCACAGAGTGTGTGGGTACCCCTGCGCACTGCCTCGTTCTTCTCCCGCAACGCTTGACGATTGACCGGACCTTCCAGCTACCGTGGTGTCCGTGGAGCCGGCAATGCAGCGGAAAGGCCCATCGCTGTGGATCGTATTCAAGCAGGCGACGTAATCGGCCGGCGGGCAACGGGGGCAGTAAGGTCAGAAGAACATCTTTTAGAGGCATTCTAGCACTTCACCAGAGTACGCACCATGCAGACGTCGATGACGACAAGGGGGAGGCAAGGGGCACGTCGGCGTGACTCCTAAGCTCGAGGGCCGAACGATGCCAACTTTCTCTAGCCACCCTCGAGAGTCCTGGAAAAGGCAGGCACTGCTGACTCAGCTCTCGCAAGCGCTGCGTTCACGCTGACCGCGGACTTCCAGCGTCTGTCCCGTGTCCCGCCACTGCGTTTGCACGTCTGCCCCACTCCCCCACCATGGCCTCACATTTGGTACGTCTTCAGCTGGGATTTGGCCTGATCGCATGCTTACCAGATTGTCAGGCAAACATTTTCGGTACTGAGCAGGACCGAGTCAACTGCTCGTTCTACTACAAAGTGCGTAAGCGTACGCTCTCCAGGTTGCTGCTTTTGCCGACGACTTATCCCACAGATTGGCGCATGCCGCCACGGCGACCGCTGCTCACGCAAACACATCAAGCCCGCTTTCTCTCAGACCATTCTCCTTCCAAATGTATATCACAACCCGGCTCACGACCCCGTATGCAACAAGACCGAGAAGGAGCTTCAGGAGGGCTTTGACGCGGTCTATGAAGACCTGTACTGTGAGCTTGCGAAGTTCGGTCATTTGTTGGAACTCCACGTAGGTTTCCTGCCATATGACGCGTGGTATGATGCGCTGACCCCTTCGGACGTTGCAAGGTCTGCGACAACGTAGGAGACCATCTTATTGGCAACGTGTATGCGCGGTATGAGTGGGAAACCGAGGCTCAGAATGCGGTGGATGGTCTGAACGACCGCTGGTATGCAGGTACGTCCCGTTATTCCTCGACCCCAAAAGCATTTTCTCAGTGCATCCTTCCTGTTGCCTGAACCAGGACGCCCCCTCTACGCTGAGCTGTCGCCTGTCACCGACTTCCGTGAGGCTTGTTGCCGTCAAAATGAAAACGGGGAGTGCAACCGTGGAGGGTTTTGCAACTTCATGCATCTCCGCCTAGCATCCCCAGACCTCGTCCGTTCTCTCCGACACGGACAGCGTTTGGAGCGACGCCTGCACCCCCCAACCACGACCGGCGGCGGAGGCTGGGAACCTACGAAGCGAGAGGGCGGGCGTGGACGAAGCGCCAGTCCTAGCAAGCGCGGGGGTCGGCACGATGGCGAAGACAGGTGGACACGCAAGTGAGCTTGCTCCGGCTTCTGCGCTACGCCTTTCTGCTTAGTCGCTGTACATCCCTGCGTAGTGTACATCATCATTGTTGGCCATTGAGGACAGTATGCGAATCGCGTGTGCTACGTGTCATCTACATTTGTAGTGCTCGCGCTAAAATCCTAGGGTTATATTCGAGCGTCAGACTAACCAACCGCGGCATTCGCCTCTGCCACCGTCACCAAGCAACTGTGGCCATTGCACAATGAATCTGGTCAGCTGCGTTAGTGAGCCCATTGCTGACATGTGTGCGCCGGAAATTACCTGTCTACCAGAGGTCTCAGCAGCTTCCCAGACAAAGACAAATGTTGCACCCGGGCGAATGACTCGACGTAAATTAACTTCGGAGCCTTCAGCCCAAGCACCTGTGGCGTTTGAGTAAGCGAAGTTCTTGAAAACTGCACGCCAACGGTCGGAATGCGCACTTTGTTCACGTAGGCTGCAATGCACAGCACAAAGCATGTTCCCGGCCCATTGAGCAGGAGTACGTCCGGGGCGGTGGTCCGAACCCCAGCGGAGCGAGCGTGAGGTGCCATACAGCTGCCGCGAGTGAAATTGCTGCGCTCAATGGTGTCGTGAGCAGGCTCTGGTGGACACGCCGGGCGCGGGGTATGATGACGAATGAGTACGGCGGGGTCGGGGGGCCTTCCCCGTGTTTCTGATCAGCACAGGGACGGTCAGTCGTTCGCGCACCGAAAGCAGGCGCGAGACGTCCGAGAGAACGGGCGGGCACGCACATGTGGCGAGGCGCGGGCGGCTTTCTCCGACTCGAGATCGACGGCTTTCTGCATGCTGAGAGTGTCGCCCTCGCTCAGGATGTACGTTCGCGGGGAATAGCGGGTGAAGTCGAGCGTCGACAGGAGTCCAAGGGCCTCACTAGTGTGCCCACCTGTGCGCGAACTCGTTCAGCGGTTGTGTGAGAGGGGAAGGAGGGGCGGAAGAACGGACCTGACCCGAGGAAGACGGCGAAGCTGCATGGACCCGAGGCTTCGCGGCGCCCGGAGGGCTTGGCACTCCCCTCGATTGGGAGAACACCGTACAAGCGCACAAGGAGGAGGACAGAAGACAGCGATAGAACGAGAGCGAGAAAGACAACGGTGTCCTGAAGCAGTCAGATGAGTCTCACAGACTATTGACGGGTGATTGCGGTTCGCTCACCATGTCGACGAAATGGTTCGTGAGGGCGTGCGAGGATACGAGCAAGATGCGGGCGTCCAATCGTTTGGTGTGGCTCAGGTGGGAACCAGTCCGGCCTCCATGGTCGCGACCGCAAGCGAGGCTGTGGCAGCTGTATCGTCGCCGGATGCGCGTGGGGTGCGAGAGATGCGCGGGCTTGGCGTGACGTGACACCTACGCCGGCGGCAGGCGCCCGCGTTGAGGGACGCGTGCAGCCCGTGCCTGCCCGGACCGGCGACGGCGCGCGTCCCTCTCTCTCCTCCGCGTCCCTCCCTCGCCAGTGGCGACCTTCAATCTGATCTCTCTTGTTCGCCATTGTTTTGTCTGAATACCGCAGAAGCTCGTGCAACCACCGATGCCGGCCGCCATGGCTTCCAACGCCGCGGACAACGAGATTGTATTCGCACTCCGGAACGCCGTTCACGATTGCTCGAAGAGGGGGCTCTTGTATGCAGCCAAATGGTGAGTGCTCTCGCCGCTGGGCACTTTTTGTGGCCTGACGCGTCCATCAGGGCGGCCGAGCTCTTGTGTTCGCTCCCGCCGTCCAAAAGACAGCCCCCACTTGTCTCGGTGGCGCAGCCTTCCTTCCATACCTCCACCCCAGCCCGCCACAAAGCCCCTCCATCTGCTCCATTCCTCCCTCAAACTCCTGCGCCAGCGGGAACGTCGAACGCTACGGCACCGTTCCCGCCTCATTTCGCTTCACCACTCGGTGGCCAGTCCGCGGAAACTTTGAGACGAGAAGCTGAATGGGAGGCTCAAGACGCCGATCATCTAGCGATGGCCAAAACGTTTCTCGACGCGAAGGAGTACTCTAGGGTAGTACACTGGCTGGAGCCCTGTCAGAGCTCTAAGGCCGTGTTCCTCCGTGTATATAGCCAGTATTTGGTAGGTAAATGCGCTTTGTTCGTCTATCTACACCAGTTGAACGAGGCCCTTAAACCAGGAAAGTGAAAAGAAAGCGCAAAGAGAGTGGTATAGACTAGACAGTGAGTACAACACTGTGTTACGCGTCCTGCGTTGAATTGAAGTCGCGGTTGCAGAAACTCGTGAACAGCCCGCCGAGCCTGTCAACCTCGCTCTTCACAATCTATTGGGGTCCGTGACCAACGCAACGGATCCATGGTTACTGTTCTTGTGAGTATGGTTTGGGGGCTCTGGAGTGAGTCATCTGACAAAGTTCTCAGGAAAGCCGTATTCTTGTGTCGCTTGTCTAGGCGAGAAGAGGCTATCGAGAGCGCCATCCTCTCGTTAACTACGTATCCCTGGAACTGGTCAACCTGGGTTGTTTTAGGGGAATGTTTGAGCGACGGAGACGAGGTAATGTCGTCATCGATTCTGCCATAATCAGCGGCTGATAACCGTGCGCAGCTATCTTCTTTGCTGCCATTGCTCCCTGTCCCTGCCACGCACCCCCTTGTACTCATGTTTCAGGTCAAGACCCTGAACAGTTTGAACAGTCCGACAGACAATGAACTGTCCGTGTGCGACCGATTGCTGGGCGAAGACTACTTCCCACGGAGCATGTGGATCATGGGCCTTCGAGGAAACGTTCTGTACTATCTTCACGGTAAGCCCCGCCGCCGTGACCTTTTGTGGAAGCGCCCGACTAAGGGCCGATGCTCCCTTCTCAACAGACTTTGCAGCTGCCGAGGCCGAGTTCCGGAGAATTCTCTCAATCGACCCTTACCGCATTGACGACATCGACATTCTGTCGAATATCCTCTACGTGACAAATAACAACACCGCCTTATCGAAGCTGGCCCACGACTTCTTAGCCATTGAGAAAGACCGGCCGGAAATTTGCTGTATCATCGGTGTGGCGGTTTTATGGGAGAGCCTGGTTGCAAATGGCTCATTTTTACACGAATCTCCCAGGAAATTATTACTCGCTTCGGGGGGAGCATGAAAGGGCGGTGAAATATTTCAGAAGAGCCACGCAGCTCGACCGAACGTACCTGGCGGCCTGGACGTTGATGGGTCATGAGTATGTTGAGATGAAGAACTCGCATGCCGCTATCGAAGCGTACCGTAAGGCTGTGGGTGAGTACTTCGGAACGCATTCCGACAAGTTCTCAACGGCCTCGGAACCGACATTCTAGATGTCAATAGGAAAGACTATCGGGCTTGGTACGGCCTTGCACAAGCCTACGAACTGCTGAGCATGCACCAGTATGCCCTGTACTACTATCAGCATGCGACGGCCCTCCGGTGAGCCAGATGCATTTCCGTCTTTATTCCTAGGTTGTTGCTCATCAGTTTTCCATCAGCCCGTACGACGTGCGCATCTGGCAGGCTCAAGGCATGTGCTACGAAGAGATGGGGCGGTAAGCGTGTCTGCGTTGTGTGCGCACTATTTCCGCTGCTGTGCTGACAGGTCCGCTTTCTCCCCTCGTGTGTATGTGCCCTCTTGCTTCTCCGACGTATTCCCTCTAGATTGAGGGAAGCCGTCGAGTGCCTTAGACGCGCACTGATTGGGGCCGACCCTCAAGAGACCCTGATCCATTCGAAACTCGCGAAGCTGCACAATGATCTCGAAGAGTTCGCTGAGGCCGCAGCGTATCATAGACGCATCGTCGAGGTCTGTCGAGCAGCCCGTACGTACCCCTTCTTCCCCTCCTCCCCCTTCTCTCCTGCCAAGTCACAAAGTGCGAGTGCTGGGCCTCTTGGCACCTTCAACCTTTTACCTGCGCTACGCGGGCGCAGCGAGCGAGTCTTCATGCGCATCACTGACGTCGCACATCGCTCCACAGAGAAGCCCGTGCCTGAGTGGGCCAAGTCTGCCATCTACGTCGCCCGCTACCACGTCCAGCACGGCGGTGGGGACCTGACCTTGGCGCGCCAGTACCTCGAGTTCGTCTCTGGCTCTAACGCCGAAGAGGTGACCCAGGCGACGGAGATGCTCAGGCGCCAGCTTCCCGCGGCCATCATGCGCACGCAGCAGGCCGCGCTTGCTGCGGTCGCGGCCGAGGTGGGCTCGGCGTGAACACTGAATACGGCGGAGGGTGTTTGGACACCGGCCCAGGCTTGGTGGTCTTGGACAGTCTTGGACGCAGATTCCGATATGTCCGCGTTGCTTGTACGGTATTTACTGCGCCAAGCAGTTCCGAACGTCGGTTTTGCTGCTGCCCAACTTTGTCGCATCTGACCTCCCGCCCAGCGTACATGAGCACTTCCCTGGTGGAGGGTGGTGCCGCCATCGGGCCGCGCTTCCGAGACAGGGCGACCCATGTCTGCAGACGTAGGTATTCTCTACACGCAGCATGCAGCCCTCGCACTCCAGCCCAACGTTCATATCTCCGGTTACCTGTCTTGGGAAGTACTATAAGCGACAATGACCCTGTGACGCAATAGCAGTGAGAGTGACCTGTGACCGTAATGCGGGTGCCACCTCACGCCGTGACGCGTCTCGAGGAGCGCCTGCGAAGGCCAGCGTGACGGCGTCAACGCGACAAAACAAACAAACCCGCTGCAGGGCTCGAGATGTCAGGCATCGCAGGCTCGAGCTCGCATGCGTTCTCCACCTTCACCATCGACCCCAGGCAGCTCTCGACCCTCAACACAAGCCCGAGCACCACCGCCGCCGCCCACGGCCCCCAGGATGGCGCGGATTTCACCCCGTCCACGCCGAGGACGCCCGCCCCGGGCACCCCCGCGACGGCGACGGCGAGCTCCCTAGGGCTGGGCACCGCGATCGGCACCCCGGCGTGGGCGACCGCGCCGCCGACGCCCGTCGTGCGCAGCGCGTCGAGCGCGACGGACAGGGACCGGCGGGAGGGCAGCAGGGGCGCGAGCGCGGCGCCCCCCGCCTCCGCCCCCAAGGACGCCACGGTCTCCGTAAACCCCAGGGCCGCGCTCGCCGTCGACCTTGATGCGGTGAGGACGCGGGTCGCGGCGGCGGGCCGGAAGCACGGACGGGATGCGGAGGAGGAGGATGCGATGGTGCAGACGGCCTCCCGGTGAGTTTTTTTCTTCTTCTTTTCTGTGGCCCTTTTTTGGCGGTTGCAGGGCACCGCTGCTGCTGCTGCTCCTTTTTTTAAAAAAAATTTGCCCGTCCGCAGTGCGCTGATTGCTCTTCCGTGGCTTTGTGTTCCGCAGGATCGCGTCGAGGCTGGCGGAAGACCAGCGCCTTGCGCTTTTTCCGGACACCGAGACACCGTTCGAAGACGAGTTTGACGTGGTCAGACGACTGCTCCCGTTTCATGTGTTCCAACAACCGAAGGAAGATCTGGACGCTCTCGTCCTCCATGGACCACTGCAAACTTCACGGAAGGGCAAGCGGAAGGCCACGGAGGAGGATTTGCTCCGGGAAGAAATTGCAGGTGTGCCCTTTGCGATGTTTCTGTGATGCGCCCCACGGCCTCATGTGCACCTCCGCAGACACCAAATTTGCTCTGGAGTGTTGGAAGAGGAAACGTGCGCTGGAGAGGCGATACAAGAAGGCACGAATGGAGACTGACAAGGTCCGTTCCACTCGCTCTCGGACGAGGGCTCGCCGCTGATATGCTTTGGATGGTGCAGAGAGCGTCGCCGGACGATCAGTCGTACATTCTTGCGCAAGCCGTGTTGGAGATTGAAAAGACAGAGACCGCAGCCCTGAATGCAGAGCTGCGAGCTGCCCGGGCGGAACTCGACAAGCTGGAACGGGAGAAACGTGCGGCTGCTCCTCCAGCCGCAACGTCCAGCTCGACGCCGAAACCGACACCAACCGTTCGGACATCGACGACGTCAAGCTACTATTCTGCGTCCAACACTGCGGCTTCTACTCCGACGACGACGACGTTCATGCCTCCATACCGACCACCTCAGTACTCGTACACGCAATATCCAACGACGCAATACACGTACAACCCATACGCCTATCAAACGTATTCGCCCTCTACCACGGCCCCTTACCCAGTAACGACCCCACAGACACCCGGGTCGACGACGACCTACAATCCTCCGAGCGGGGCAGCAGCCAACTCGCCAGCGACGTCGGCGGCCTCTGCGCAAGTGCAACAAGCGGCGACGCAGCCGTCAGCAGTAAGCAACACAGCGATCCCGGTGCAGCTGCCGGTAAGCTCACTCCCGGCGCTAGCGGCGCTAGGTATCGTGCCGGTGTCGTCGGGGTCGGTACCAGCGGCGGGGCAGAAACAGCCGCAGGCAGTGATCAAGTCAACGAACGGGAGCATGCTGAGCCTGGAAATCAACCTATCGCTGTTGCAGTCGGCGCAGATGAGCGGACTGGTGCTTATCCTGAACGCGCTCACGTCGACGGGCGTGAACGTGGACGGCTCGCTGCGGAGCGGAACGGGCGCCGCGCTCGCGTCCACGACGGCGAATGGCTCTAAAGGCGCAGCGTCGATGGCCGCTGGGGCTTCAACGTCAACGACCACGCCCGTGGTTTCGGGGAGCGCGCCCCCGCCTGGATCGGGGGCTTCTGCTGCTGCTTCTGGCTCGGGCACAGGTTCGTCCGGCTGCTCGGCACCAGCATCTGCGGGAGCATAAGACAAGCGGGTCGAGGTCGGAGGATGTGTCGGAGGACGGGAGAAGTGGAGAAGGCGATGAACGTGCAGGACGCGCAGCGGGGTGTGCACGGACGACGGGAGCATGTAGTACGTCGAGCTATCGTTATTGGTCTATCTCTCACCCTCAGAACCCTAAGCCGCGCCGTGGCCGGCATTACACCCTTGCACGCGCGGGGATGCCGTCGGGGCCACTCTTCTTGAGCCGCTCGCCCACTTCGAGGGGACTGATCGCGTACGATACTGCTGTGGCCCCTTCCTTTTTCGGCGACAATGGCCTAGCGCCCGTTCATGGGCCGTGCGATGACGTCACCGACACGGCGGGCGCGCTCGATTTGGGCCTCTCGCGCCCGCCCACAACGGTCACAGGCACCAACGCGGGCACCTTGGCTGCCCGCCATTTGTGCAGACGCCTGTCGTCGTCGCCACGAGCCCGTCGGGGGACGCGAGGCCGTCGAGCGCAGGCGGGGAAGCTGCGCTCCTGCGAAAATGACGACAGCTTCTTGAGACGTGCCGAGCACCCCAAATCTCTGCAGCCACTCCACTCGCTATGCCGACGGCTCGTGTCGACGTTGCACGATACGCACCCCATCCACGCGGCGGATACATATATGCGCCAGTTGGCCACGTCGTGCGCTTTCTCCTACCCACCACCGCACGGCACTCTGCAGAGCGCGTCCACCACCACCACTGCGTATATCCCCTGGCTAGAGCAAGCACACACCAAGCTCCCCTAGTCAAACACATACCCCTACACTCGCGACCTACTTCGTCGAACACTACAATGATGACGCCCTTTGTGTTCGCCAACCTCCCCGTCGAGCTCGTGCGCGACATCTTCGAGCACGCCGCCCGCGACGACCTCGCCACCGCGCGCGACCTCACCCTTGTCTCCTCCGCAGTCCGCCGCTGGACGGACCCGCTCCTCTACCACACCGTCATCCTCGCCTCCGCGCGCGCGCTCAAGGCATTTGCCGCCGCGCTGGCCCTGAAGCCCGCCTCGTTCGCCGCCGCGCACGTCCGCACCCTCGGCGTGCTCACCGTCGGACCCGCGCCGACCGTCGCGCGCATCCTCGGCGCGTGCACCGGCGCGACGAACGTCGCGTGCGCATGCGCGCTCCCCACTCCCGCCCCCGCCCCTCCGTCCCTACCACCACAAATCCTCCCCGGCCCTCGCGAGCGGCATCTGCTCGGACCCGCGCTGCGCGACGCAGCCGGGTGGGATGCCGCGCTGGCGCCCGCCGCGGCCCGCGCTTCGACGACGACGCACCTCCGCCTCCACCTCCCCTCCTTCGACGCCGCACGGCCCGACTCCCCCTTCTCCTTCGGTGCCGGTGCCGGCGCCGACGCGGCCCCGGGCGCGGGCTGGGCGCGCCTGCGCGCTCTCCCCGCGCTCACCCACCTCGCGCTCGTCTACCGCCCCTCCGGCGAGGCCCCTGCGGGCACGATCGTGCCCCACCTCGCGCGCCTCCTCGCTCCCGCCGTGCCTGCGGTGCCCACACCCACACCCACGGAGGCCGCAGAAGGAGAAGCAACAGGGGCAGAGAGTACGGCAGACGCGGACGCGCTGCCGCTCGCCCGGCTGCAGCTCGTGCTCGTGCAGATCGTCGGCGCGAAGAAGGACGCGGGGTTCGCGGCGGCGGCGGTCGACGCGCTCAACGCCGCCGCGATCGCCCAGGGCGGCGCGGCGCTCCGCGTCGTGGCGGAGCACGCGCCGATGTCGGCGGCGCGCCAGTGGGCGGACGCCGTCCGCGCGGGGCGGGGGGTGTGGGAGGAGGCGGAGGCGGTCGTGCGGGCGCGGACGCGCGCGAAGTCGTCGGCGTGCACGGGCAGTCGATCCGTTTGACGGCCTGGCACTCGTGCGCTTGCCCAAAGGATCCCCCGCGCGGTGCTGCTCATAATGTCGTGCTCAGTGAATCGGTGACAATTCTGACATATGGTTCTGCCATCGAACGCCGTCTGCCGTTAACGCACTACTCCAATTTTCGTGCCAGCCCATCTCCGCCGACGACTGTCGTTCTTGTCGGAAAGCCGAACAGAGCACATGTTCGTGTGCGCACGAGCGACCGCCGCGGCCTAGTGGCGCGTGGCTACCTACCTTCAGATGGAAGACGGAGCGATCCAGACGTCGTTCTTCGCAGGGCTTCGCGCGCGGTGCGCGTAGCGCTTGTACTACGCCTAGCCCGACCTCCAGTCTCCCGCCGTGTCAGCTGCCTCCGCGCCCTCCACGTCCTGCGAACGGGGACCGGCTCAGGAGTCGAGGTACCCTCCTTGAGCGCTTTGGACGGCTGGAGGAGCGTCGTGTCCGGCACCGTCTGAGCGTCGTTGTATGGGCGTGGGTGCCCTGCGCTGGACTGACCGCGAGCTCCCCGGAGGGCTCTGGGCATATCGGTCCGGCCGTCGTCCACCCTCGTGTCTGTGGGTGCGTCGTAGAGCGCCGCGAGGTGAGGCGGGTGTCCTACCCGCAAGCGGGACCGCATGGGCGCGTGAACCATGAGCCCCAGCGCGGGCTCGGCGAGCAGAGGAGGGGTGCTGGGCGCGACGTCCACCACGTGAGGTTGCGCCGTGAGGGAAGGGGGTCCACTGGAGTGTCGTCGCCGAGACCCGACTTCGCTACCGTTGATTTGCAGGCTACCTGTGATATAGTAGTCCAGAGTCATCTCTATAGATCACACACGCTAGGTCCAGCCGTTCACACTAGCTGCATGCACGGAGGAAAGAGAGCATGTTGTCTGAGCTCACGTTGGGTCGCCTGATATCCGTCCAAGCCGTGACAATCGTCCCTTTGTGAGTCATCAATGCAATCTATCCAGGAAGATGGAAGTAATATGGGCGAGGATGATGTGCCTCCAGCGTCTGTAATTGTTTTCTAAGGTGAACAGACTCTTGAGTTGGCTCGGATCCGATGACAAGTATCTCCACCGCCTTTCCTGTGAAAGACAGGTGTAGGAGGACCGATTGAAAGATCGCCGACAGTACCTCTTCGGGCTCCGTCGCAGTTTTCGAGTGAAAGTCGAGTCGCTCATTGACATCGACGAGCAAGGGCGTGAAGTGAACCGAGGCCAATTTGAGCCAGTCGAATCATCACGTCCAGTCGATAGGCAACTCATGGACTCGCAGTTAGAACGATTTTCCAGTCGGTCGGATGAATCAACTTTCTGCGAAGGTGTGGAAATCGAGTCTCCTCATAGACATCAAGATCCCTCGATGCGCACTGACCAGAGAGTCGATATGAACGTTCGGGCACTGGTGTTTATCGCTAGACCGCTTCAACATCACGATAGCGAGGCTTCACTGAATTTGTGTATAAGCACCAGACTTGAACAAGACTTGAATATGAGGTCTCACCCTGACTGTGAACTTGGATGAACAAGTGCGCTGGACGAGTGCTGATAGGGTTTCAAGTGCAACGCTGCTCTTACCTCGCGGTGTACGACGCCACGGAGAGAACCAAAGTTTTTGTTATTCGCATGGTGCAAGTACCAGGACCTTGAGGCGACAATCGAGCTAGCGCCCAACCAGGCATGTCGGTTCCGAGCGACCACCACGCGACGAACAGCGAACCCCGTCACATCGCACATCGCATCGCGCCGAGTCCACGGAAATGAAGCGACGTGAGAGGCGTCGAGGCGCATATGGGTGCGATGCGAAGTGCCCATTGTGATGGGCACTGGGGCCACAGCACAGCGTTCGCGGAGGAGGTTCGGATCTGTGCGCGACGGCGGAGCCGTGGCTACCGCGGGACCCGGGTGGGATGGGTTGAGTAAAAGAGCTACTTTGTGCAGGTAGAGTTGTATGATAGCAGGGGTGGACATATATATTACAGTACGGATACAGTTCAACGTACAGTATGCATCACAGCGAAAGCGAGGGGATTAGGATTATACTAGGTAGACGGCCAGGGGGGTGGGATACAGATGAGAATCGAGTCGTCGGGAATTAGTGTTGACACATCATGAGAAGGATCGCAAACGAAGGCTGGAGGAGAGGATGGGCAGCGAGACATCGACCGACTTTGGAAACTTCCAGGTTGTGCGACGATTCCCCTATGTCGGGTCCTCGCCTATTGCGCTCGGAGACACGACGCAGTCGGGATCAAGACCATCTGTAGCCGATCATCCCGTTAGCCATCTATCTCAAACAGCATCGCCACCGGCTATAAGCACTTGCCTGGTCGCAGCCTGTGCATGGCCGTCGTGCACCCATTGATTAGGCGGCGGTTGACGCGGCGTGGGCGCTTGGTCCCTTCCGAAGGGATTTGGGTTCGAGTGCGAGTGCGGCAGCCCGTGCGGATGCGACGGGAGTGGCTGCGACTGGACGATGTAGCCCCCGCTAGGGACTCCCGCGGGCGGTGCGCTCATTGGCCCGGAGCGATTGAGAATAGGGGTCGCGTATTCCTCCATGAGTCTGAGCCGGAGGCACTCTTGGTCGCCCCGCTCGCTGTCTTCATTCTTGCAGAAGGACGCGCGATATTCGGGAGGGAGTGGCCCAGAAGGACTCAGACCGGGGGCAGGGTAAGCCGAGTGTGAGTGATAGCCGTGTGCCGGACTAACATTAGTGCGGATGGGAGGGGGAGGCATGGGACGAGTCGGTTGTTGAAAACCGGAGGCGCTTCGGCGCATCGGCGCGGAGATAGGCTGCGTAGGGCCCATACGAGGATGTGAAGCATGAGGATGGGTTCGCGAGTGAGAATACCCTGAAGTGTGGGCTCGGGCCTTGGGAGGTTGATGAGGCACGTAGTGTTGTGGTGGTTGTGGGGCAGGAGCGAAGTACTGGAAGTCTGGAAGTGGAGGGGGGGAAGCGGGGGCACCATCCATACTCCAGAGCTGTGCACCCTCAAACGAGAAAGTTGCGTCTCCAGGCTGGGCGACGAACGGTGTAATCGGGGGACGAGGAATTCCCGGGTGTGGAGTACGGATGGCTTCCGGTTGACGATATCCGCGGAGATCATAATGCTCTGGGGGCGTTAACGGAGGGTAAGCGTGGCCAGAGGGTGAGCCGTTGTGTTCTGCCATCGGATGTCCCGAGGGAGCATCATACATCGGGATGGTCGCCTGCACGTCGGAGAAGACACTATGGCCTTCGGCCGGGCTATCAGGCAACGCATCCCTGATCTCGTTACTGTCGTTAACGAACGGCAGCGCCAAGGGTGATTGGTACACGGTATCGCCTGCAGAAGTGACGGAAACACTTACAGCATTTCCCGCGCAAGTTCCCACCGCTGTGCGACGTCTTCAAGCCTCGCTATCATAGCCGAGATTTCGCCCATGGCCGTAGAGGCCTCGTGCGAAATAAGCGCACGCACTTCTTGCGAGCGGTGAGACGAGAACTGTCGGACCAGATCCCAGAAATGCACCAAAAGCACGCCGGCGTTGAAGAAGGACACGTGTAGGACGTTGGTGACGTTGAGCATGCCGCGGCGGGTTTGCACATCCATGATGAAATTGCTGGCGCGAACCGAGTTCAGGCATATTGACATCGCTTTCGACGACATCGGCGAATGGTGCACAAGGCGTCCACGGGACGGGGCGTGAGGTACCCGGATGAATGGCCGGTAAATCAGGATCTGGATCATGTGGTACGTTGTATGGAGGGTCGCGGCCTGACTTGCAAAGGCGCGGTCCTGCATGTCTGATTTCCACCTTACTAAGAGAGGGGCCGGTGTGAGGAGGAACAACGCGCCCCGACAGGATGTGAAACTTACAATGTGCCGGCACTTCTTCGGCCCACTTGAGCAGTGCGTCGTTGAGCTTCTCAATGGTCTGCTCTTTCCATCGTGCGCCTGTCAGACCCAACCCAGCCTTGGTCTTGCTCGATGTGTACTACGATTAATCGTTGAGCCGACAAGGTACCCAAATCACGAGAAACTGATGCTCACCAGTGTTTTCAGCGCATACGCAATGATGTGACTGAGCTTTATCCATTCTAAGAAGCTTGAGATAAGAGCAGGCTTTCCCTCCGGTTGCCGGAAGGCAAGCTCAGGGTCATCGTTCTCCCAGTACTCATCATCGACCTCAATCGGAAGGTCAAGATCGAGGCTAGAGAGAGCACGAGAACACGCGTCAGAAAGTTCCACGGCAGTGGAGGCCGAAGCTCGCAGGAACCACGTGAGGGTACGGGATCTGTGCGAGGGAAACTCACTCTTCTTCACGGGAGCAACACGGACGTCCCAGGAGCATGCTCCCAACGCGATCGAACGCCACCAAGTGCCAGTACGCTCGCTTCCAGAGCTCTTCTTCCACCGTAGGCTTGCAGCCGTAAATCTTTCGCCGATGTGCTCCCACGTCTTGCGCTTTGATAAGGCCAACGCTGAGGTAAAACCACGACCCGGCTTGAACTACGCTGCCTCGGAAGTATTGAGCGATGAGCTATTCAATCAACCGAGCGACGACGGGGAAGCCATGTTGGGCAAGTCACACGGGTGATGGGCAGGAACGAGCGATTGAGATCAGTGGATAGGAATACGCCGTACAATCTTCATCACTCACCACAAAACTTTGAATCTCGAACAACTCCGGTGGGCATAGTACACTTCTCCTCGATTCGTGGATCTCTACGGATTGAGCATGTTAGTAACAGAGGAAAGCGGACATTATCGATCATGAAACGTACTCGCGCCAAGGATCACAAACCTCCAACCTGCCAAAGACCATAGGTCTTGCTCCTTGTCGTCCACGACTTTATTCACAACGCCGTCGGGCAGAACGCGAGGGTCAGAGCTCCATCGGCTTGCGATACCGAATATGCCTAAGCAGACACAGGCAAACCATACGTTCTTCGTATGGATTTGATCGCGCCAATGTCGCTCGAACGTAGGTCGGTGGAGTAGCTGCTAAACATCAGATTCTGTATAGAAGCTATCCTATTGACGACGTACAGGAAAAGTGTTGGAATTGAGCTCGAAGTAGTCCCTGATGAGCTTGTCCGCTAGGTCCGGTGGCGGAAAGCCAGGTAGCAGCCAGTCGGGGATCCGCGTCGGATCGTCGGCGTTCTCGAACGCCTGTTCCCACTGTCGGAGCAAGAATGTATGAGCGATTACCGCGAGATGGAAAATAGAACGACACTCGCCGTCGGAATCTGCCAAAACTGCGGTCGCTTGCGGCTCGGAGGCGGAGGAAGTGGGATGTCCCCGGGAGAATTCGATTGACGACCCTCGCTAGAAGTTTCGTTGATGTGCTGCTGTATTAGTCCCCGGGTCGTAGAGATGAGCTTGAAGCTGCTGCTCTTCCCGTGGAAGCGCAACTGATTGTCAACGACGTGTCGCTCTGGGGAGACCTCTGCCGGCTCCAGGCCGCGCATTGTTAGACGCTTCATCCCGCTCACAATGCTAAGCTCTCCCGCCTCGTCTTCCTCGGAAGAGTCGGAGAGGGACGAACACGACGCATCGTGGTCGGAGTCGGACGCGTCGTCGCTACGCTTGCGAGGCTGCGAGCTGCGGGTGGCTCTATCCCCTCGCCCATTGCGCGTTCGCATATTCCCGCCGAGCGCGGACGGATTGACGCGAGCGCGATTAGGAGGGGGAGCCGTAAGCGAGGCCAGAGATCCTTTGGTGGAGATGGTCGGGGAATGCTCTGGCTTTGGCGAAGACGAGAGCGCCTTGTCAGTTGCTTCGAGTAGAGGGGTTCCTTCGGTCTTCCATGAGTCTCGGACGATTGGAGGACCGATTTCCTCAGAAAAGTCGGTCTCGGGACGGAGCTGGATGCCAGGGGTTAAGGGCCAAGACATCTTTGGGGGTGCGCAGAAAGGGGAGAAAGCAAGCTACTAACCCGTTTGAGCAACGCTTCCATTCTCTCAACACGGTCTTCCAGCCCAACGACATAGCTGCGGGAGGAGAGACATGAATGAGAATCGAGGGTCCCAAGACGCCCGACTCACGCCTTAGGTGGGCCTCTGGGCTTGGAACTTTCGCTTTACACAAGGAATAAGGACGATGCTTGCGGGTGTGAGGAGGAACGGATGATACTCACACATATGTGCACGAGCGGGAGTTTGTGATGCAATTGCTGCAAATGTTGTCGGGCATACGAGGACCATCACAGCGGGCTTTACGTCTTCTGCAGAAATCACAAGCGCGCTCGACCTTGCGTTTCTTGGAGCCGTTGCCCTCGGCAGATGAATCAACTGCGTAGTAGGCGGCCGAGAACTGGAGGGCGGCGGTGGAGGCGTTGGACGGATCAGGGGCGAACTCTTCCCCGAGGTCGATGACGGCTGTGGGCTGGCCAGGCATCCAGCCTGCGATGCCGGCGGGATGCATGGTCGGGGGGCGGGGGAGGAGGGGCGGGGGAGGGGGCGGGATGGGCGCGAGGGGGACGTCGGGAGACGGAGAGACATGGACGTACAGTTCTTATTCACAGAGGGGATCTTCCAGGGCGCTGGAAGCCAAAGCCGCAATCAACTTTCCCAGTCCACGCCAGAGCCCCCGCCCCGCTCCCACTTTCCCACGTGGCCCCTCCCTCGGCTCGCGATGCCGGCGCTCTCCGACTCTCGCCACCGATCCCGCCTCGTCCCGCCCCAGCCCGCCTCCTGCCCGTTTGGGGCCTTCCCGCCCTCGTCTGTGCCGCCGCGCCGGCCCCTCCCCTGCCGCGCCGGCCCCGCCCACGCAGAGCCGCCCAGCGGCCGGCCCTCCGTCGGTGCGCACACCTGACCGCGCGCAGTCCCTGTCGGGATTACATCCTGTTGCCGTTGCACTCCTTCCTCTAGCCCCGTGCGTGGACCCGGCCAGCCACACGACGCACTACTTGCGACCCTACGACCACCTTCGCGCCATCGCCTGCCGTGCCTCTGCCGGACGTCGTCTGATCGATCAGCTCATGTGTTTCGCGTCGTCGAACGCTAGATCCGTCCAGATTCGACCGACCCAGTCCATCTCAACATCCAAACCCTCATCTCGCATCACAAAACACTAAATTCCCGACGCGGGCCTGCATGATGTCGCCCGATGGTCCTCCTCGCGCTCCCCGCACGGGACAACCTCGGAGACCGCGGGGTGGACTCTGGTGGAGTGCCCCCACCGATCGACGCGGACCATGATACATATTCTTCGGGCTCAGAGGCGCGTTGTCCCTGTTCGGCACTGTTGGCCAGACTGTTCGAACTGGGTAGTGCGCACTGCGTTCCGCTAGATTGATTGTGGACGAACGAGTGCGCGGTTGCTTCCGCGCGGCCGACTCGGGGGTTAAATTCCCTAGACGACGACAACATACGTACGTCAAGAGATCGAGCATAGAGACGAACTAGTACTCTCGAACCAATGTGCCCACTAACTGAAAAGGCATCCCGAGCCGACCAGAGCTGCTCACCTCCTGGGCCTGTGAGGCCTGAGTCCTGGAGCGCTTATCCGGCATCCCAACCGAAGCGCCTGATGCCCGAGCCCAGGAAAGAGGCCGGGAGAAACCGGCAGTGGCCGACACGGACTTGAGACCCTTCTCTCCGTCGACCGTCATCATCCACGACCACTTCGGTGCTTGTACCCTTCAAGCTTCAGGCCGAGAACTACATCATCTCCTGCGCGACCACCCCGCCAACTTTGTACGTCTTCCCTAACGACCATGCGTTCTCCCATGTGCGTGGATCCTCTGGCAACCAAGTCTAATGTTTTGATCCCGACAGCCGACGCCTCGCCTGGCGAATACCTCCTCCGTCCTTGTGCGTGATCCAGCCTTCCTGCTTCCCCGATACCCTGACGCCCACCACGGCGCGCTCACCACGACCCTTGCCCAGAATTCGCTGGTCCGCGCGATGCGTCCAGCTGCGATCATCCCCGCCCTGCGTCGCATGCACGAGCCGCACACGAGCTCCATCCGCGCCTTCGCACGCACATTCTGCGCCACGTCCCCCTTTTCAGCCGGTGGTGGTTCGGGACTGGTTCGCCCCGCACCCCCGCCCCTGCCTCGCGAGGCGCAGCGCGAATTCGAGGAGCTCGTCCGTGCAGCCCAGGCGCCCCTGTCTGCCTCCTCGTCTGTCCGCGAGGAGGAGGCGCAGATGGCGATGCACCCCGACGCTCGCGCGCCGCTCAAGGCCGAGTTCGAGGGGGACGTCAACCCGATGACGGGAGAGCAGGGCGGACCCAGACGAGAGCCAGTTGGGAAATGGGGCGAGGACGAAGGCGATTGGAGTTTCAAGGGCCGAGTATCGGATTTCTAGGGTCTCTACAACAACATTGACGAAGATTTTAGGAGCTTCGAGTACTTATACATAGCAGTGGTTTCGACTGACTACGGAATGTTTTGCCGCGTCATTCTGATTGACACATCATATTTGTAGGATGTCAGCATCCACGGCAATTTGCCTCTTTTAGCCTGTTCCTCTCACCTCTTCATAGCGCTTCGCGCGGTCATACATAACAAGGCAGATCGATTCGCCAGACCACTTCATTCACCTTGGACATTCCTCCCCTCCCCGACATATATTCGTGACCAGACGTGCGACGTTGACGACAAGATTCCACATCGCCGCATCCCCCGTCGCCAAGCCGGGCTCGTCGGAATTCAGCTCGACTTCGAAGTCAGGCTCTCTCCAAGTCCGCCGGCGCAAAAAAATTCCTCTTTGCATGCTTTGGCGCCTCTTAATCTCTATCCCTTCGCTTCGCCGTATCGCAACACGGACCCGCCCACGGTCGAAACCGATCGTCATTAATCACTCGAAGCATAGGTACAGTATGTCGACCCAGTCGTATGAGGAGCACCGCTGGAACCGCGTGAGTGCGCCGTTCTGCGAAGAACCGCACAATTCATGCCGAGCTGATGGTCGAATATATCGATGCGCCTGACTGAATAGCTTTCCGACGGCATGTCCTACTTCCACGATCACTTCAAGCATGAGTGTGCGTGCCTCGTGTCCAGGATCATGATGGCGCCCCGCTGATCTGCTTCCTTCGTCTAGTCAATGCGCTATACGAAGTCCGTCCACGCTTGCTGCCGGCTCCTGATTAATTCTGCCTGGCTAATGCGCGCGCGGCGCCCCTGCAGATGGCAGATGGTTCGTTCACAAAGCGCGGCCTCTCGCTGCCCATGTACCTCCGTATGGCCACGAGCCTCTGCAAGAGTGCGTCCTGCTGAATTCCGCGCGTGCGCTCGGAAGCGCGAATCGACGCTGACTGGGGGCGCTCCCCGCGGCAGGCCTGACGGTGCACCACACCATCGAGGAGAGGCACATCTTCCCCTTCCTCGCCAAGCGCATGACCTCGTTTCAGGACGACGAGGTCCACCTCAAGTCGCACGAAGGCATCCACCACGGTGCGCGGCCTGCCGTCTCGTCGCGTCTGATGATCGGGCTTGCTTACCCGTCGGACCGGGGCCGAGCAGGAGTTGACGCGCTGACGAAGCTCGTGCGGAGGTACCTCGACGAGCCGTCGACGTACAAGCCGGACGAAATGCGCGAGTGCTTGGATAGCTGGCGCAAGGTGCTATTTGATCATCTGGACCAGGAGGTGCGTCATGCGCGGGTCATGTCGGACCGCGTTTACATAACGATTTGCCGGTCGGACGTGCTTACAGGTTGCGGATCTACGCGGGGAGAACATGAAGAAATATTGGACCTTGGAGGAGATCGAACGCATACCGTTTTGAGGTGTTACCCGGAGTATTCCTTTGTCGTATGTGACTCGGAACCCTGGGGCTCAATTCATGTCTCCCTTTGTGATGCTGAAACGTCGCTACTGTGATCCATGATGGATTTTCTTGCCCTGGGCGCTTTCTTCGATGACACTTTCAGACGCCATGACTCACCCCCATTCCGTGTTCATTGAGGATGGTCATGCATTTCACGAAACGCAATTACATGACGGCTTCCCGCTTTGCTTGTTGCCACGACTCATGTGAAAGGAATACTGACGAGAACCAGAGTGGTCAAGCACGCGCGCAGCACACAAGCGAGCTTGAAGAGGCTCAAGGCTAGCAACCAGTAAGTAGTAGATTTGACGAGTGGCAATGGCAAGCGCCCACAAGCGCCTATCTCCCGCGATAGCCCGCAGCCGCGGCCGCGCCGCATACTCCTCGCCGCACCGCCGCCACCTGTTCCCTCACCTCCCACTCCCCGTCCTCTCCCTACCCATACCCCTCGTCGACGCCTAGTGAAACGCCAACAAGATGAGCTGGACGGGGTACGATGCGTCTCTCCTCTGTCCCGCGCTCTCCCGCGCTGACCGGAGGCCCACAGCTTCAAGAAGGGCATCTCGCGTGCGGGGACGACGGTACGCCTGCTCCACGTCGTGGCGCGCGACCCCGCTGACGGACGTGCCTTTTCGGCGTTTCGTGTGCAGATCATGCAGAAGACGGGCCAGATCGAGCGCACCGTCGACCGCGAGTTCGTCGATGAGGAAACAAAGTATAAGACGTGCGTTCCCTTCGCACCGGGACATGTCAGCGGGCGGCGAGACTGACGGGTCGCCGTACGCAGGTTCGAGAAGGAGTGTCAGACGCTGCAGAAGGCGGCGAAGGGGTACTCGGATGCCATGAAGGGTGAGTGCCCTGCCCGGGTGTGCGCGGGCGAGCAGGCGAAGTACTTACGAAGGCCGGCAGCGATGACTGGCACGCAGGGCCGCTTGGCGGACACCATCGATGTGTTCTACAGTGCGCGGACAAGGCGTCGGAGAGCGCGATGGCGGCGCATGCCTACAAGCGGGCTGTGGACGACTTGGACACTGGGGTTGGGCGAGAACTGGTGCGTGCAAACCATGCCCTTTCTGTTCCTATGCCCATGCGTCTGTCCACTGTGATAGGAAGCCCCTTACCGCACGACCATCATGGACCTCTCGGGAAGATGAACGCTATATTTCCCGTGGTGAACGAGCAGATCGGCAAACGGAACAAGAAGGTCAGCTTCGCATCCCGTCCTAGTCCGGCGTAATCCCGGCTGATGATCTCCCCGTCCCCAGCTCCTCGATTACGACTCAGCGCGGAGCAGGATGAACAAACTCATCCAGAAGCCGAGTGACGACCCGACCAAGCTGCCAAGAGTATGTCTCGTCTCTCGCTCATTTCCCCACATCCCCTCTTCTGCGTGACGCCGCATGCTTCCGCAGTGGCTCCCTTTCATGCTGCTCGCCGTGCCATCGTGCATGCATATGCTGACACTCCATTCTAGGCGCAACAGGAGCACGACGAAACGAAAGAGGTGTTCGACCTACTCAACGAACAGCTGATTTCGGAGCTCCCGCAACTGCTCGACCTCCGCATCCCATACTTCGACCCGAGCTTCGAGGCGATGATCCGCATGCAGTGCAAATTTGCCGAGGAGGGGTACGAGAAGCTCGGCGGCGTGCAGCGCTACTTCGCGGACCAGGTCCGAGACGACTACGCCGCGGGTCAGCTTGACGCGCAGGTCGAGGGGATTCTGCAGGAGATGAGGGAGCTCACGATCTGCGGTGCGAGCTGAGCAGACTATACCACCCCCTGTAGACCGCAGTGTATCATACACAATGTAGCACTACATCCAGGATTTCTTCACCGGCGGAACTTACGCTTGATCCATCACGAGGGATGTGGGACGTCGGAATGGTGCATTACGACACAGGAGCGTAACGATTAGCGATACAACCAAGGGTCATTGAATGCAGAGTGCGAAAGGTTGCGGCAACGGATGCTCTCGATACAGTAAGAGGAACGGGGACGAAACGGAAGGGAGAAAAGAGCAAAGGGGAACAAGGACCCAAATTGTCACTCGCGCGACCCGCACCGAATGACATTGACTAAGTCATGGGCCTTCGTAATCGCCCATTCGACTCATGAGAGACACCCCTGGCTTTTGCTTGGGGTCCGTGAGCCGACTCTGCAACGATGGACCAGGTCCGGAGCCACTTGCGCCTTCGTACGGATGCTGACCTTGACGACGTGATATTTGCCCCCTCTCCCTCCGCGGTTCGTCCCTTGCGCGCCCTGCCTCTGAGTTTGCCAAGACCCAGACGACGCTGCGCCCTCCTGTGTGCCTTCGCCTTCGCCAGACCCGCTCGCATGCGCTTGCGAACCCATGCGCGTCAATAGGGACTTGGAGGCCGCGGCGTGCGACGAGGTATCCAGTTGCTGACCGCGTCCCCTCCCGCTGCGCCGGCGCGAAACCTTGCTGGCGGAGGCGGGCGGCTGGGGCGGCGACGCGGAGGCGGAGGGCTGCGCCGCGGTGGCGGGCGGCTCGGTGGGCGACGCGGATGAGGCGGGCGGCGGTCCCAGTCGCGGTCCCAGCTCCGGCTCCGGCTGCGGTTGTACGCGTGGTCCCTGTTCCACCTGGGGAGGGGGGAGAGGTCTTCCTTCAGTCTCGTTGTATGGATGCATTTGAAGGCCGTGTAGTGCATACCCGGAGGAGGGGCCCGGGGGGGTGTGGCCTCGCGAGAGTTCGTGTTCGCGTCCGTACGGCGGGGGAGATCTGTATGAGTAGCGTCCTGAGACGTAACGTCTATCCTCGTTGTCGTAGCGTAATGGCGATTCAGGTCGATACGCGTTGGGCTGTCGACGAGGAGAAGGTGACCGTGGGGGTGAAGGCTGGCGTACCTCGCCAGATACCCTCCGGCGGCACGCTTGGTTGTTCTCGATATAGTCGTCATCCTCCCGGGTACGTTTATGGCGGACAGGCGGGGAGAAACGATCGCCTCGGTCAACTTGCAAAGTCTCTTGAGAGGGTGGGCATTCTTGCTGGCGAGCCAAAAGCGGTCGTTGATCTCGATCCACAGGCTGACGATTCACGTCGACTTGCAACGGAGGTGCACGTGTATCACGAGGTGATTGTGAGTGAGCTTCAGAGCGTGCGAGGGAAGGATTCGAGGTATGTCCGATTTTAGGGTTGGGGAGCCGGATTTTTGGTTTCCGGTTCGATTGAGCACCGACTGGCTTCGGGGGCAGACAGGAGGGAAGCGGAGCAGCAGGCAAAGAAGTGACGTGACGAACACGGCTAGTCTGTTTTGGAATATGGATCGCGGAGGACACGCCACTGGGAGCGGGGTCTGTTGAGGGGCATTGAAGCTCTTCCGATCCTCCGAACATGGAATGGTACTCCGGGGAATACCCCATTGACATGACCCCCGGGAGCGAAGTGCCAGTTGACGTATGTGTGCCCACGGAGGCCGTTGCCGAAGCAGAGGAAAACTGGCCCGAAGCAGATGTCGAGGCGATAGCCGAATTCGCTACTGGAGGATGAGAAGCGTTGCCATGGGATGACAGAGTATGGGCGGCCGGAAATATCTGGGCTTGTTGTAGCGGCTTCACAGGTGTGACGTCGGGCACGGGAGGCAAGGGTGCCCTTGGGGGAGATCTGATCTTGGTGGGAGAGACGAGTTCCATCTTGACTGCGGCATCGACATTTTCGGCCTTTACAACAGGCAGCGGCTCGTGCTCTTCGAGAATGCTGGGGAGAGTGTTGTGGGCAAGAGCATCCGTTTGCGGACGGTTGGAGGGACCATCGTGGGTTGAACCAGTGGGAGGTCGTCCGGCAACGGTGGAGGTGTGAGAAGGGGTGACATCACCATTGAGATGCGGCGTCTTCCCACGATTAGTTCCGGGTAGAGTTGCGGACTGAATGGGAGGGATATCGAGTGCTGCTGACGACACAACAGGCTGAGTGGACGAAGAAGGCTGCGGAGGACAGGCGGCGGCCGGGGACGTCTGCGAAAAGCCCGCTTGAACAGGCCTGCCGCGGCCGCGAGAAACACTGTCGTGTACATTCTCAGTGTCGTAGGTGTCGGATGAAGGACGAGAAGCAAGGATCTGTTGTTCGCGCCGCACCAACCTACGTTTCTCCTCTGCAAGATCCTCCATTCGTAGCTGCTTCTCCAGGTCCAGATCGCGAAGGAGTCGAGCGTTCTCATCCCGCAACCTCTGGTTCTCGGTTGACAACTCGATTTGCAGCGCGGCCTCCCGTGCGTCTATCGCCGCCAGTGTCTCGCGATTTCTAGCCTCCCAGCGGCTTCGTTCCTCTTCATGCGCTTTGACTGCGGCAGCCAACTCGTCACTGCGGTCGGACGCCAGTTGTTCCGCCTGTGCCACCTTAGTGTGCAGCGCATCCACATTGACCTTCGTCCACATGGTCTTGTAATGGTCTACCTCCTTCTCCCGCTCCACGGCTTGCGCGAGACGCTGCTCCGCAAGAGAATAGAGTGACGCGAGGCTTTCCGCGACGGTGTTGGCCTGGGCGCTCCATGTGGTAGCTTGCTCTTGCTGCCTGGCCATCGCGCGCTGTGTCTCCTCTTGCAAATGTTTCTGCGATGCCGCGTCGGCAATGAGTTGCTGGAGATCCCGTTGCACGAGCGCGGCTCTGGAACTGGGGCTGGAAGTGGAGGCTGAGTCTCGTGCCGTGGACCTGACGAGGACTCGAGTGGAAGGAGGGGTTGAGTCGGTCGCGTCTGCTGATGGGGAGCGACTGTCGATGTCATCGTCGCGCGAAACCCGTCCCTGCTAGCCGAAGGAGGCGAAGGGTAGTGGACTGATCCATTGGCGCTATTCGCTCCAGAAAGGGCGTTGGGTGGGGCGGAAGCGCTGGGAGGCAAGGAGGCGGGAACAAAGACAGGTTCTCGGGGACGAGTCGAGCTCGGTCCCACGTGAGAGTTGCCCGCCTGTGAAGGGTTCAACTGAGGGTTCGTTGGAGCGAAAGTAACATCGAATATGCGTTCTTTGCCGTTGGGCCTCCCATTTGGATGGGTGGACGAGGAGGGCGGCGTCTGGGGGCCAGATAGGGAATGCATACTTGGTGATGCGTACTGGGGCACACGCGACGGGGGGAGCGTCAGACGTGAATAAGGTGCTTTCGACTCTGCTCCAGGCATGGACATCGGGGAAGAAAGGGGTGATGATGATGATGATGATGTGTCTGGAGATCCGGTCGGAGTGGTAAGGCGCGCTAGCAGCGTAGGGGGTGAAGGAGACCGGCCGATGAGGTTGAATTGGAAACCGACAGGAAGCCCCCGACCCTCTTCGGGCATATCGCGGGAGAAAGGGGGAAGCAAGAAGCACACCAAATGTCCTCTGGCGGAGGGCGATTGAGAGGGGCCGAGCCGAGATGAAAGTGATACAAGACCTTGAGGATCACGTAGGCGCGAAGGAGCCGTAGTCTTGACGGGGGAAGTCTCTCTTGGGGAGTCGTGAAGTGCGGCCGAGCTGCGTGCGGCCCGATTCTTTGTGGACGTCAGTGTATCGCACGCTATGTCCGCGCTGCGACCTACTGATTGGGGTGATGGTGATTCTCGCCCTGTGTGGTGCGAGGGCAGTCAACCTGGCGAAGATGTTTCAATGAGGGGATGGGGGAGAGGGGAGGGTAGTAGAGCGGATGGAGGCTGTGGTCAAGGAAGAAAGGGGGCGAGCCGTCTTCGTTGCTCTGGTGGCAGACCTGAGCGGCTCCTCCCGAAACGACACTGCCACGCGCAGGAGGCGTGCCGCAAGCATGAGAGGGGCCCCGACACAAACAACAGTCACAAATCCGCGCAGCTCTCGGTCAAATACGCAGTCTGATCTTCTCCCGCGTTCGATATTCGGCGCCGACTGGGCTTCGGACTCGTATTACAGTACATCTCCACTGGAGCTCCTTCTCAGCTTCCCCCGTGCTAGTCGGGGACTATCATAGCACTAGGACGTAATGGAAGGCGTGGACTAGAGTATAGGATATCGGACGCTCTGGCGCATGGGCGATCAGTCGACCTCCGATCTGCGGGGAAGATAAAGACTCACCGGGTGGGCTAAAACTTCAGCTCCGAAGAGAATTCCAAGCGGTGAGCCTAAAAGGAAAACCTGACCTGTCGCAACCATCAAAAAGCGTACAGAATGAGAGCAAAAAATTGACCACCCACGGCAAGCTTAGCAACTCACGGCGCCAAGCTCTTGTAATGGCCAAATCCATGGCATTCTAAGCATCTGCGTTCGCGCAAGGGAGATCCAGGTTCCCCCGCGAATGACCCAACCGTGCCACCGCAGCTCCATACGGACAAGCTGATCTAGCCCGTTTTCTGCGAGCAGGCGCTCCGCCAGGGTCTTAGTCACGGCTTCCCTGAGTTGGTCACCAGCCGTTACTCCGGCTTGCAAAGGGATTATGGGATCCGGACGGACGACGAGGCCTAAGGCCTGCAGCTGTGTAAGCCTCCGTAGAGAGGGTCCCATTTCAATGACGGTGTCCTGTGAAAGGATGCACAAAAAGAGAGAAACGGGTCCGTGAGTTACGGGTGCGGAGATACAGCATAGGAGAGTACAGATCCGATGTCGGACGTACCTCGAATTCTGCCCATGACACGGGGCCAGGGCTATCAAGGACAAATTGAAGACCGAGGGAGCATAGCGGCGCTGCTTCGAGGGCCGAGGCGAGCGATGCTACCGAAGTCACGACGTTTGAGCAGTCGGCAACGGCGATGACCAACTGGAGGCGCTGAAGCGCGGTGACCAACGGCGACGTTGGAAGCACGAGCATCCGCAAGGGTGGCTCGTCGATTGGATGGTGTATGCGGATCATGGAAAGGCGGCGAATGCCGCAAAGACTCGAATAGAGCTGTACGGAGTGAACATTGAGCGCCATGAGGTTCGGGAGAAACGCCGATGATGTGCAGCAGTCTGGAGGGATATGTAACTCGCCCTGTGGAAGCCGGAGTTCGTGTACGTCTAATGATCGGATAGCGGTTGCACGCTCCAGGATAGTCAGGATAAGGCTCTGGACGTCGAAGGAGGTGATTCCGGAGATAGATAGATGGTGAATGAGGTGGGCCGTCGACAGTGTTGAAGCGACAAGGCGTTTCATGAAGATGATGATAGTGTCGGAAGAACTGGTGGTAAGACCAGGAGAGAGTCTGAGTTTGACGCGATGGTGAAGGTTGCGAGCTCCATGGATGTACCAGTGCGTGTTGACGAGCATGGCGTTGGAGAGGGCTGAAGGGGCATGTATGAAGTCAAAGATGTAGGAGATGAGCTCGCTAGGGAGAGCGTCCATAGCCGGCATCTCGGGTGGGTTGGGGGGATTGCATGGGGATGTGCCGCCGCTGTGCAGAATTATAAGAAGGGGGAGGCTGATCGGAGGCAGCGGATCGGTTTGGAAGGAGTGAGAGGGAAGAGTGTCCGACAGACGAGGACAGTTTGCAGCTCATGCGCTTACCGGGCCTGCACGGGACCGTTAAGCCCGGCGGAGCCAACGTCTGTTCGGGATCGGGGGAGCGGTCTGGTGGGAGATGCTCATACGGTCTGAATGCTTGCCCGGGGTCGCCGGGGTCGAGATGGGTGATGGAAATTGGAGAATGGACGAGCAGAGCCAGTGACTCCATCGGGGCATGTCCGCACACCGACTTCAGACGCTAGCCGGCTGTGGCCCCAGCGAGGGAAGGTCGAGAGAAGCCTAGAAAAGCACGGGCACATGGCGTTGCTCGCAGAGGCGGGCCCACCGTTGGCGCTTACCGCCATCCCCGGCCTGCGCGGACCGCGGGTGCCAGTCGGCGCGTCCACAGTCTTGCTCGCCACTGCTGCGCACGTCGACAGGCTATCTCCTGCCTCCCTCCGCCCACTCGCTCTTGTTGCTGTCACAATCGTTCCAGCCGGTGGCATCCTCTGCACGTATGTCTCGCACATTGCGTGGGCTCTGGCTTCTTGCTGGTGCCTTTGTCTCGCTACTCCCATCCGCCCACGGTTTCTACCTACCAGGTGCCGCACCACACGACTATCTCAAGGATGAGAAGGTCAACATCTTTGTGAACGCGCTGACGCCTATGATTGCGGGCGATGACCATGCGAAATTGGTAAGCCATGGCCACAGCTTCGGGTACGGTCTGCTCACGCGATGTGACCAGAAATCTCTCATAAATTGTATGCTGCTCCACCGCACCCCGGTTTCTGACCACTTACGTGTCCACGGAAGATGACTATTATAACGAGGGTTTTAACTTCTGCAAGCCAGAGGGTGGACCGAAGAAGGAGCCTGAGAGCCTTGGATCCATCCTGTTTGGAGACCGCATATTCAACTCTCCTTACGAGGTATGTTCTACTCATTATATGCGCCGCGTTTGAAACCAAGATGGAGTACAGGTCTCCATGCTGCAAGACAATTCCACTTGCAAAGCCCTCTGTACACAGACAGTGACCCCCACGGAGGCTAAATTCATCAACGAACGCATACGGGAAGACTACGCCATCAACTGGCTCGTAGATGGTCTTCCCGCCGCAGAGATGAAAGAAGACAAGAAGACCGGCGAGGTCTTTTTTGACATGGGTTTCAATCTTGGCAACGACGAGGGGGTGTTTGAGTACATGCCGGCTCTGTACAACCACTATGACATAGTGCTGAGGTCCGTCTATGCGTTTAACCTATTAATCTTGACAAGAGTCCAATGGTATTTCCAGATATCACAAGCCGGCGCCGGATTCAGAAGTGTATCGCGTCGTCGGCGTTCTTGTCTGGCCTATGAGGTCAGTTTTCTTCGCTTTCAGCGCTGTACAGCACATCTAATGATCACTCGCAACCGCAGCCGTGGTGGCCCACAAGCGATACCAGGGTCAGGACAGGTGCAATGCAGTGAAACCGAAACTTCCCTTGTTCTTAGCGAGACCGAGAACAACACGGTCACTTACACATATAGGGTAATGTGGCAGGTGAGCGTCCACGGCGTCCTTGCAGCGAGTACTACCCCTCATGATGGAGAAGGAATCGGAGACTCCATGGGCAACTCGATGGGACAACTATCTGCACATATTCGATCCTGTCAGTCATCATGGCTTTCCTTATCCGGTGACGACCCATTCATCGGTTGCCCTTGCAGCGCATTCACTGGTTCAGCCTCATCAACTCCATAATTGTGGTAGTCTTCCTGTGCCTAATGGTGTCCATGATTCTAGTGCGCACTGTGTCCAGAGATGTCAGTTCAGAGTTCAGTATAATCCTGGCATGACCCCTGACTTGGTTGTATAGATCTCGCGCTATAACGCGATAGACTTGAGCGTAAGATCGACCGTTCACACCCTCATCCTGCAGGTGGTTGACAGTGCACACAGGAAGACGTCCAAGAAGATTGGGGGTGGAAGCTCGTACACGGTGAAGTGTTTCGCATGCCGGGCAATCCCATGGCGCTGTCCGTCATTGTGGGCAACGGTGCGCAGCTCTGTGCCATGGTCGGCGTTACCCTTGGTATGCCTCCTTTTTGCCTCACATTCATGGGTGGTTCTGACGCCTGATCGATGCGCATGCCAGTCTTTGCGCTTCTCGGCTTCTTGTCGCCGTCAAACCGCGGGTCTCTTGCCACGGTAATGGTGGTATGCTGGACTTTCTTCGGCGGGTAAGTGCAGTGCGTTCAAACCATTGAGCGTTGTGTCACGTCAGACGGCCATTCACAGCATCGCGGGTTACATCTCGTCCCGGGTTTACGCGTCTCTTGGTGGAACGAACAAGCGCAGGAACTCGTTCTTCACTGCCACCATCATGCCAACGTTAGTGTTCGTCGTATCATATATTTGTATTGGACTAACCGGTGTATCCCTGGGTTCGTCCAGCTTTGTGTTCGCAGTCGTCTTCCTGCTCAACCTATTCCTGATCGCGGCCGGCTCCTCAGGCGCCGTTCCGTTTGGCAAGTCACGAACTATTTTCTACCTTCGCAATTACGTTTGACGAGGACTCCTTGGATAGGCACAATGTTGCTAATCGTGGTCCTTTGGTTTGGTATCTCCGCACCCTTGTCCGCTGTGGGCTCGTACTATGGTTCGAAACATGGTGTCAGTGTTTCATACCTGCGCTTCATGACATTCTTCTGAAATTCCTTCCTCGGGCGTCCCACTAGGCTGTCACACATCCAGTTCGTGTCAACCAGATTCCCCGGCAGATTCCTCCCCAACCCAAATATCTCCGTCCTTGGGTAAGTGACCATCATGGATGATCGAGTTTCCATTAACGGGTGTCCCGCCAGGCTGCTACGATTCTCGCGGGCATTTTGCCGTTCGGTACGCCATTGTGTTTGCGTTGCCCCTGAACTTCTCTTGCTAACCTTGGTGGCATTGACAGGTGCGGCCTTCATTGAGCTCTATTTCGTGCTCTCCAGCCTGTTCGCCTCTCGCGCCTACTACGCCTTCGGCTTCCTGGCACTCACCGCGGGCGTTGTCGCGCTGACGACGGCCACGGTCACCATCCTGTTCACTTACTTCATCCTCTGCGCTGAGGACTATCGGTACGCGCCTCTAGTGGCCTCACGTTCAAGGATTTCGCTCATACACCTCGTCTATATCCAGATGGCACTGGCGCGCGTTCCTCACCGGTGGCGGCAGCGCATTCTGGCTGCTCGCGTACGGCATAGTCTACTGGGCGATGCGCCTCAACCTGCACTCGGTCACGAGCGCAGTCCTCTATATCGGCTATCTCCTCCTTCTCGCACTCTTCGACTTCCTCATCACCGGTACGTATCTGCTCTTCGGCTTATCGCCCTTGTTCTCCTTCTATCCCGTTGCTGGATCCAGTCACCGGTGTGGCGTCTTCATGATGCTTGCGGCGACGCTGGAACCGTGTGTGAGAACGCCGCTGATCATATCGCTGTTTACAGGGACCATCGGCTTCCTCGCAACATACTGGGCGGTCCGACGGCTATACGGCGCCATTCGTGTGGACTGAGTCGCTTCCTGCGTTCGGGGTGGCTAGTTGCGGACGTCCGCGGTGCGGGCATCGGGAAAAGGAAGGGGATGTGGATCGTGATTAGGTTGTTCTACGATAATTATTCGACAGTTGGATATCCAATAGCCTTCTAATCGCCACGAGCCCGCGGTACGACCTAGTCGCGCAGAAGACGCTACCGCAAGGCGATCACCGCCACCTTCTGGCTCCCAGCGCGCAGGAAGGCGATCCGCCCGTCGAGAAGATCACCTGGCGTGAGCTTCCGGTGGACGTCGGCCACCGGGACGTTATTCAAGTAGAGTCCCTTCGAGGACACGAGCTGGCGTGCGGCACCTGTCACACCAAGAAGGGAGGTCAGAATGCGCTGCGCACAGTCATCGACGAACACGCACTGTTGGAGGCCACGACGCCGAACGTGCTCGCGAGCTTCGTGATCGGAACGTTGAGGGCTTGTGACGCGTCGCACAGGCGCAAAACGGGGTGCCCCGCGAGCGCGGAAACGACGTCCGCTGCCGTCGCGGACGAGATGTCCCGTTCGAAGAGGATTTTGGTGGCGGTTTCCGCGCGCGACACGCCGTCGACTGGTCGGGTTACACGTGTACGGGCGGGAGCGAGGCCGCAGAGGGCCACGAAGGAAGCGAGACGGTGAGCACACACACCTAGTGACGACAGAAGCTAGAAGCTCACCTCCGTGCACTAATTCCGTCACCTCCTCGGCGAGCCGGCGCTGGGCATAACGTTCGTGCGGTGCTTCCTGTCAAGTGCCAGACTTCAGCGAGCGCGATGCACGCCCAAACGCGGGACGACATACTGCATGCTTCTGCATGACGCCCTCTACTTCCTCAAGAGGCAGCAGGGTGAACATCTTGAGGTACCGCCCGACGTCCGCGTCGGACGACCGCAGGAAGAACTTACGCAGCGCTACCCGTCAGCCTCAACACAACGCGGAGAGCGAAGAAGGGAAGCTGGAGTGCTTACCTGATAGAAGTCGAGCACGCTGGTGTCCGCCTCGTTGAGCGAGACCGCGTTCCCGGCGCTCTTGCCAAACTTCTGCCCGGAGGCGGTGGTGAGCAAGGGCGTAGTGATGCCGTAGCCCTTCTCCGTGGGGATTTGTGTGTCCACCGCGCCCGGGACCGCATTTGCGCGATTAATGAGCTCGAGGCCGGCGATGATGTTGCCCCATTGGTCGGAACCGCCGAGTTGGATCGTGCACCCAAACGTCCTATGCAGGGTCAAGAAGTCGTACCCCTGCAACAGCTGGTATGTGAACTCCGTGAAGGAGATGCCTTGTTGTGAAGAGAGGCGAGCCTGGACGCTGGAAGACGTCAGCCGGGAGTAATGGATCGAAGGCGGAGACTATGGACCTTTCGCGTGCAAGCATAGAGTTCACCCTGCTGTGGAAGCCAACGGTGCGGAGGAATTCGAGCAGGTTGAGGTTCTTTAGCCAATCTAGATTGTTCTGGATATTCGGTCGATGTATCGAGGTAGCAGACGTCGGCGTGCGCTTGACGGCATATTCCGTGGCTCGCTCGAAGAAGCGATGGATGGCTTCAGTGAGCTGGCCGACGTTGTACTCTATCGTCTCTTTTGAGGAGAGCGGACGTTCTGTTGAGCGGCCGGACGGGTCTCCAATCAGCCCCGTAGCCCCTCCTATCTTTCCTTCACTTCCAGCAACAACAAAAAAGTAATAAGGATGAGCCGTACCAGAGGGATGATTTTGTGACCATGCAGCTGGAATTGCAGCAGACATAGGAAGGGGACAAGGTGCCCGACGTGAAGCGACCGTGCGGTTGGGTCTACGCCCAAGTAGACCGTCTGTGGTTCCTTACCCAGCTCAGCCTCCAGACGTTCGGGCCTGTGGCGCATTAGACGACGGTCGTAAGCACAGATGGGACAAGGGAGCGTACTTTGTGATATCTGCCACCAATCCACGCGACCTCAAGTTGTCCAATAGCCCGGCCTGCAGATGGGAGCTCCGGCATTGGCGGTGAAGAGGTCGCCACGTCGCGCGTGAAACAGCCGAGAGTCGCCGCAGACTAGATGCGGAGAGCATGGCCGAAGCGGCGAGGTAGAGACGAGCAGGCAGCACTAGTAGAGGACGCGTCCAAGACGCGACGCTCGCCGACGCGCTCGGAGTCCTCCGCGCTGTCCGGTGGCCGCGCTCCGGGTGATCGCCGCTGGCGGGTTCCTCTGCTCTCACTCCGACTCGCACGCTAGTCGAGGTGCTGCTTTTTTCAGCCCGTCTCAGCTAGCTCTACTCTGGCTCTGCTCGTTTCAGGACTGCCTGCGATGCAGTTTGAAGTCATCGCTAAGTGCCACACGACCCGTGCAAGGGTATCTCGGATGTGCCTGGCTCGTAAGTGAGGACACCCATTTCCAGCTGCTCGAGTGTCTCACTGTAGCCAAGGCAGATGGGACAACGATGCTACCAACATTCATGCCCGTGGCCACACAGGCTGCCATCAAGGGGCTCACTCCCCAACAGTTGAAGCCATGGGCATCAACCTCATCTTGAACAATACGTACCATCTCAATCTCCGCCCCGGGATCCAAGTCCTCAAGGAAGTCGGAGGAGCGCACAAATTTCAAGGATGGAACCACAACCTTCTCACTGTTTGCGTGCCTCTCCGACGAGATCAACGGGTCTGTTCGACTGACTCAACGAATGGCAGGACAGCGGCGGCTTCCAGCTCGTGTCTTTGAGCAAGTTCACAAAGATTACCGAGGAAGGCGCTTTGTTCTCAAGCCCGTTCGACGGCGAGCCAACAATGCTGACTGTCCGTAAGATTGGGCTTTGCCGAGAAAATTATTTTGACCGTTTGCTGACATGCCGATTCAGCCGGAGGAGAGCATTTCAATACAACATGCCATCGGGGCTGACATCATGATGCAGCTCGACGACGTGGGCATGTCACTGTTCTTCACTCACCGAGCCCGTCTCAGGCTGACGTTGAGTCTAGTATCAAGTCTCACGGTGGGCCTCGAGTGGAGGAGGCTATGTGGAGAACTGTCCGATGGCTGGACCGATGCATAGACTTCCACAAGCAATCCGGCCGGGATGACGTCAGAATCTCTTCGCCATTGTACAGGGAGGCCTCGAGGAAGATCTCAGAGACAAGTGCCTAGATGAGATGATAGCTCGCAAAGACAAGGTGGCTGGGTACGCCATCGGTGGGCTTAGCGGGGGCGAGGAAAAAGGTGCGCATATTTGCCATTATCCTTGATGTCACCATATACTGATGTGCGTCACAGATGTTTTTTGGAGGGTGTGAGTGAATCAGAATTTTTATCCATACACTCTGACAGAACGCACGACATCATAGGATCAAACAGTGTGCGGACAAGCTGCCGAAGACCGTATGTGACCATAGTCACACCTTGATGGTTTCTACCTGTCTAACTCTTTGGTTCATAGGGCCACGATACTCGATGGGTATAGGCTTTGCAGAAGGTCCATTCAGACTCGCTGTACGCGAGCTATGCTGATCCGATTCTTAGACCTATTGGTCTGTGTTGCATTGGGGGTTGACATGGTATGCGGCGAAATCTGTTCAACAAGCTTCCTGTGGCTGAAACTCGTGCAGGCGGATTGCGTTTTTCCAACACGAACAGCACGTTTTGGGGTTGCGTTAACCTCCAAGGGTCCGCTCAATCTACGTATGTGGCCACATGTGAAACTCTATTTTTACCGCTCACTCAGCCGGCCCAGGCCTAGGGAAACACGCCAAGGAGATGTGTCCGATCGAAGACGGCTGTCCTTGTCCATCATGCTCGAGCGGTGTGTCTCGAGCATTCATCCACCATACAATCACCTTGGAGACTTCGGCTGCCCATGGTGTTTTTTTACGCGAAACCTCAGACCATTGAATGCTAACTCCAATTGGCAGCCATTTCACAACACAATCTCGTTTTCCAAGCGCGAGTGATGGGCGGGGCGCGAGGCGCGATTGTCAATGGCACATTCCCGATCTACCTGAAAGAGTTCTTTGCAAATTACTTCGGCGATGCAGGCTACCCCGAGTGGTGCGTCAACGCCCTTCGCAGCGTGGGCGTAGACCTGCTCGACGATCGACCGGACACGAAAGTCATTTCCGGCGGTGGTGCGAAGTGGGAGTATTCAGACGCGGCGTGAGTGTCAATTCGCAGCTCAGTTCATGGAGAACCACCTTCTCCGTGGGGATGGAGATATATCACAGAGGCATCTGAGAGCGTAGAAGACACGAATGTACGTAGCGTTACAATCTATCGCTTCCCCTTTCTCTTCGTCGACCGCGCGTTCTTCGCCCTCTTGTGCTCCACGACCTTCCGCGCCTTGCGGATCTGGTCCACCGTTTTGAGCTCGGTCTTGACCCTGCCCAGAGGCTTCCCACCGGACCGCCCGCCCTTCCTCCCTGTGCTTTTTTTGCCAGGCAGCTGTGGTCTCGATGACCCTCCACGCGAAGGCCCAGGGTCGTCGCCGCCGCCACCCTGGTTCTGCACCGCCTTGCTCGCCCGCCGGACCTTGCGCTCGTAGTCGCCCCGCAGCTTGTCGAGCGGCTTCGCCGCCGTGGCCTGCTTGTGCTTCCACTTACGCCCACCCGCACCGCCGCCTCCGCCGTACGCGCGTGCGTTCTCGGGCTCGGCCTCACCTACCCTGGGCAGGCTCACGCGCGCCTTTGACTTCCACTCGTCAAACCGGCCGGAGCGGTACGTCGCGGGGAGCTTCACGCCAGACTCGGTCTTGACCATTCGGACGTTGTCGGCGCCTTCGCCGGTGCCCTTCACGAAGCGCTTTTTCTTCTTGTCCCACTTCATCTCCCGCCGCTGGCGCTCTCGGGCGGTGGCCTCGTCCCCGGTGAGATCGAACGCGACGTTGCGCGCCTGCTCGACGAACGAGGCGCCGTCACGTAGCGAGTACCTGGTCGCAAATGCTGTGAGTCGGCGTGGACACACTAGGAAACCGGAACCGTGGACAAGGAAAAAAAACGCACCCCTTTTCGGTGTCAGCGTCTTTTTGGTAATGCGACATGTAGAACTCCTCGTCGCGGAAATTAGATTTTGACGACTTGCCCTTCTTGCTGGAAGTCTCGAACACAGCCTGTGCGGACCAAATGAGCACACAACCACCACCGCACGCACGGGAGCACACCGGGCTTACCGCAATCTCGGCCTCATCCGCCATCTCGGGGCCCTCAGCTTCCACGCCCGACTCTCCCCCGACGTCCTCCTTTTCCTCATCTGAGGCCACCGTCGCCGCGGTGTGCGTCGACGCCAGCGACACACGCTTGACGGCTTTGCTCAGCGCCTTGCGCCGCTGCTTCATCAGCGCCGCCGTCTCAGAGTTCCCTCGCGTTCCCATCTCGATGATCGTCTCCGCCGGGCGGAACGCGTCGACGACCTTGAGCAGCGCGCGGCGTTTCGCCTCCTCCTCCACCCGCCCCACGACGTCCGGCCGCGCCGGCGGAAGACGGGGTGCACGCCCGAGTCGGTGCCCGCGTAGCCCCAGCGGCCGTCCTTGAGCATCTCCTTCGCCTTGTGGTACGATGCGGGGGACGCCTTGCCCTTGCTGCGCTCGTACATGCCCTGGCCCTTGCGCATCACGTCCCGGAGCGTGTTCAGGTTGTGGTTCTCCTCGTGGAACTTCTTGACGTAGTCCGCCTCCTCGTCAAGCCCGTCGCGGTCGAAAGGCCCTAGGACGAGCGACTCCGAGTATGCGGCGTCGCTGCCCGCCCCGGACCCGGACCCGGGCACTTCGTCTTTGATCGGACGGCCGAGGAAGAGTTGCAGGTCGACGAGGTACGGCACTTCGGCCGCGGTGACGAACGACCACGCCCAGCCCTGGCGGCCGGCGCGGGCGGTGCGGCCGACGCGGTGGATGAAGACGCGCGCGCCCTGGGGGAAATCGTAGTTGACGACGTTCTCGAGCACGGGGATGTCGATTCCGCGCGCGGCGACGTCCGTGACGACGAGGACGCTCGTGCGGCCCCTCCGGAACGCGTCCATCTGCTGCGTGCGTGCAACCTGGTCGAGCGCGCCGTAAATGTGCGAGACCGCGTAGCCGACGGCGGAGAGCAGGTTCGTGAGGTACTCGACGTGATGCTTCGTCGCTGCGAAGACGAGCGTCTGGTGCGGGGCGGCAGGCTGGTCCGCGTGCTTCGCCTTTCCCTTGCCTTTGCCCTGCTTGTCTGTCGATTCGTCCTCTCCGCGGGCCGTAGTCCCCAGAGGGACTCCGATGACGTCGCGTAGGAGGAGGAGGAGACAGGCCTCTTTCTCCGCTTTCTTAACAGAGAAGAAAGCCATCTTGAGGTCCCCGCTGATTTTCGTCTCCGCATCAAGACGGACAAGTTTGGGGTTCTGGAGGCCGGCCTTCGCGAACTCTACCAAGGATTTCGGAAGTGTGGCGGAAAACAAAAGGGTCTGACGGCTAGAGGGGAGGCGGTGGAGGATCTCGTTGAGCGCGATTTGGAAGCCCATCTCGAACAATCGATCCGCCTCGTCGAAGACAACATATTGCACCGACTTGAGGTCGAGGTTCATCTCAACGATGAGATGGAGGAGACGACCCGGGGTCGCGATGATGCTGGAGATGGCCGGATGAGTGCGAAGCAGGATTTATTGGCATCGGTAACATACATGTCTGGATTACTGGAGATCATCTCGAATTGTTCGTCGAGGCTCTCGCCGCCGACAACAAGCCCCCATCGCAAGCTCTGACCCTTCTTTCCGACATCGGCGTCTTGTACATCACCGGCATGGTCTCCTTCTCCAGCGTGCCATCCTCGTGCGAGCTCCTTTCCAACTTTGAGTATTTGGAGTGCGAGCTCACGAGCGGGGAGCAGGATGAGAGCCCGAGCGCCGAAGGACGCGGAATGACGGCCTCCAAGGCGCTGCACCAACGGCACCATGTATGCAAGAGACTTGCCGGAACCCGTGCGCGCCATACCAACCAGGTCGCGAGGAGGATTCGTGAGGAGCGCGGGGATGGAGAGACGTTGGATTGGAGTGGGAATCCGGAATCCCTGCAGCGTGAGCGATCGAAGCAGCCATGGGTACAGACCTACGCGAAGACAAGTGTAAGCAGCATATGCATGAACACACAGCCAGCCTACCCACCCATGCTTTGGAAACTGCCTCCGCCGACCTCTCCCTTGATAATCTTCGACTTCCCTTTCGTCTTCTTAAGCAACTCCGTGCCTTCCTTCACATCTCGCTTGATGATGGACTCGCGAATGAACTTTTCCAGGTCTTCGTCACCATCGTCGTCTGTCTGGGTGAGTTTGACGCGTTTTCCCGTTAATGCAGACGAGATGTCGATCTCCTCATCCGAGTCAGCGCTGACGATGGAAAAGTCCGAGTCTTCGGGTTCGGGTTCATCAACGGCTGTTCTTTTCCTCTTGCCCGAGACCATGGCAGCGAAGTAGATGCAGCGAAGTGTAGAGAAGCAGTGGTAGACACCGAAACTGACCGCCACTGCGGCCCGCCACAACTCTCGAAAAAATGGCTTACCTAAGATGGTGTCTAGCGCTTGATCTCTGACACTAGGCTCCAGGAGCCATTCCTTCCTTCTCGCCACCTTCCTCATTCTGGTCCCGCCCCCTTAATGCTGTTGTCGACGCCGATCATTGCTCCAAAAATGTCGGTTGAACATGGTCTGTGTTTGACTATATGCTAATGCGTTATTTGTAACGCGACCAGGCTTTCAACTGCAACTCCAAAAGGCTTCCCCTCTGAGGCGGAAGTTGAAGGCACATTGGTGTTCGCTGTACCCATCTATCTCGAGATCGGCGGCAAATATATCTCGTCGGTTGCTTTCTCTAGCGAAGAGAGTGCCTACGAAATTGAGACAACGGCCCGGGGGGCCTCAAACGATCGCGTCAGTCAACCTACCCACATCATCTCATGATCACTCTACCACCATCATATGAGTCGGTTAGTTTTGTGTTCCTGGACTTGTAGGTGTTTGCCGTCAAAAATTCTGGTCTCGTGGTTAGCCTAAAACCGCAAGGCTCAGAAACAGCTCCTGAATTTTAGGCCTGTGGGAGAACGCCACACGCAGAAAGGCAAGCTCGTCGTTCCAGAAGCGGGGACGACGTCGCAGATGACCTGGAAAACGTACGCGCGTGGGTCGGCCCCGCGTGTGCTACTTATACCAGTGACATGATGCTCGTAAAGAAGCCGGCCCGCACTTCAACGACCACCCCCTCCGCCCGGCTGCCATGTCCCACGACGTCGAAGCAGCGTTCGATGCGCGCGAATCAATCGAAAAAGAGAAGCAAGAGTCCATCATCCAGCTGGAAGATGCAAAATCTCCGGACAATGCCGGTTTCGTGATTGATCCTCACGCGGAGCGGAGGTGGGTCCGCTACTCACCTGTGCTCAGTGCCCGCTCATCAGATGTCGTTGCAGGCTCGTACGGAAGATCGACATGAGGATGTTGAGCGTGGCCACAATCATCTATTTGTTCTCATTCATTGACCGCAATAACGTGGTCAGTCAGTCAGTTCCATGATCACCATTATGCGCTCACCGTTGGTGTCAGGGCAACGCCAGAATCCTGAACAAGAATACTGGCGATGATCTCCTCCAAACACTCCACCTCAGCGACAACCAATATCTCATCGGTCTCATGGTTTTCTTCATCGCCTACACCCTCTTCGAAGTCCCGTCAACGTACTACCTCAAGAAGTTTCGCCCAAGTCGATGGTTCTCCCTCCTCATGCTTCTTTGGGGCGCAATGACCATGACCATCGCCGCCACCCAGAACTTCGCCGGGTTGATCGTGACCCGTTTTTTGCTAGGTGCCTTCGAAGCCGGCCTCTTTCCCGGCATCGTCTACTGCCTCACCTTTTGGTACAAGCCCTCCGAGCGCGCAGCCCGGATCGCCTTCATCCTTGCCGGCGCCACGCTTGGAGGTGCGTTCGGCTCAGCGATCGCTTTCGGGATCGGCCAAATCAACGGCGCGGGTGGGCTGCAAGCATGGCGTTGGCTCATGATCATCGAGGGCGCGCCCTCCGTGCTCGCCGTCCCGCTCATCTACTTCTTCTACCCGGACTATCCCGAGTCTGTCCGCTGGCTCTCCCAGGAAGAGCGGGAGCTTGCCGCGGCGCGCATCGCCGGGGTCGCCTCGCTCGGACACGCCAAGCTCACCTGGGCCGACGCACGCGCGGCGCTTACCGACTGGCGCATCTACCTCCACCACGCGCTCTGGGTGTGCTACTCGGTCGCGTTCTCCAGCATCTCGCTCTTCGCTCCGACGATCGTCCAGGGCCTCGGCTTCGAGGGTCTCTCCGCGCAGCTGTTCACCGTGCCGCCGTACGCGATCGCGTTCGTCGTCGTGCTCTCCGTCGCCCGCCTCGCGGACCGCTTCGAGGCGCGCGCGTGGGCCGTCTGCGGCTCCTTCCTCATCTGTGGCATCAGCTTCGCCATCCAGGGTGAGCTCCTTCGGAACCCCGCACACGCCGTCCCGTGCTTACGCGAACCGCTTCCCCCCAGGCGCGCTGTCCCCGACGGCGTTCACCGCGCGCTACGCCCTCCTCTGCGTCTCCGTCTCGTTCGCGTTCTCGATCGCGGGCCCGCAGCTGTCGTGGTTCTCCGGCAACCTCCGGAACACGAGCCAGACGACGCTCGGCATCCCCCTCCACGTGTCCATCGCGACCTTTGGCCAAATCATCGGTGCGTCCGAATCCCTCGCTCCGGAGGTGGCCTTGGGCTGACCGCGGCGCTGTCGGTATTGCGCGGACGAACCCGCTTCCCCGCCTGGACACACAGGGCTGTTCATCTACAAGAGCAACGAGTCCCCGAGCTTCCCGACCGGCCACTTCACGAACGCCGCGGTGATGTTCACCGGGGCCATCCTCACCTTCATCCTGCGCGCCGTGTACGTCCGGCGGAACGGCCGGCTCGCACGCGGCGAGCCCCCGTGGAAGCTCTGAGCGCCGTACCGCGGACGTGGGCCAGCGGAGTGCTGCGCGGGGGTGTATGGCGCCCGGCCTCCGCATTGGGAAGAAGGAGGTCGAGCGCGAGAATTACAGGGGGGCGCGCTACGCCTGTCGAGGCCATTCCGGATGTAGACGGTTTTGTACTCGTGCGTTTAGCGGCCTGGAAGTGCTCTGCTGATGATACTTGCGGACGACTGCTGCCCGCGGTGGATCGGACCAGGATGCCAGCCAGTGCGGCTACTATATAGTACGTCCTGCCCGCGGACTTCCGCACCAACATCGGATTGGCTTCGAAGAGCGAGCTTTTGCGTGCTTATGGTACGGTGACGTCGGGGCCCGGCGGCGTATAGGTGTGGACTCGGAGCTGTGAGATTATTCGGAGGACGTGACTGATGGAGGGGGACTCGGGCACGGCGCCCGGAGCGGACAGAGCGTGCAGGGTCTTGCGCTCTGAGCCCACACGACGCATGGATGTCGAGAAGCTTCTGCTAGTGTGTTTTGACATTCAGACGGATGCTCCGTTTTCTGTCAAGGCGGGGCCGGTCCCGCCTGGCGCGAACATGGGCGCCGTCTACACACATCGAACGGAAAGCGCGTGTGAGGTAATGCGTACGTCCAGCGGAGCAACCCTCCCGCTCAACTCCGTCTTTCATCCTCGCTTTTGTTCCGTGTGTGAGCGCAAACGAACAGTGCCTCGATGATCAAAAACGAGCAACCGCAGATTTGGGACTGACGGACATGGCTTACCAGCTCTTGGGGCCACGGCGGCGTCGCTTGCAGGGTGCGGAACCGATACCTTGATTCGCAGGTCAGTTCAGCAATGAATGGATCGGTTGCTTCAGGAATAGGCTTTAGGCGAGAGACTGGATGAAGTGTGGTTAGGGGGACCCAGGCACGGATCGACGGCGCAAGGAACATGAAAGGCTTGCCACGAGGCGGACGAAGACGTCGTGATCGGACCGGAGGGAATGACAGGATAATTGATTGCTTGAATGAGTGTGCAGCTTGGCCACCCAAGCGGGCAAGGGGGCGGACTTGGCGACGAGGTGGCAGAAGCGCGCTCTCCGCGATGCAGAAGCCGGTCGTCGGAGGGAGACCCAGGACTCGCCCAGGGTCTGATGTGAAGAGGGCCCCAGGCGGAAATTCTCGGAATGGGGGGCCAACACGAGGCGCGGGATGCTGGCATCTCAACATAGACCACGTATGTCTGCGAGGAAGATGGACGAGGTGCAGCTGCGAGGGCATGCACGTGGCGAGAAGGCAAATGGAAGGCTATCAGGGGCCGTTGCGCACATGGACTGCGGCGATGGTTGAGAGGCCGGCAAAGACGAAGCCCGCCGTCCCGATCTGGCGGGCCACACGTGGCGGCGGACCACGCGAGACCGGCGTGGCATCCACAGGCGCCCGCGCCGGGCCCCGTCCTGCTCCGTCGGGCGTCGGCCAAGCAACCTGCGCGCCCAGCCCTCCCCCGTGAGCTCCTGGGCCTGCTCAGTGCTGCAGCCTGCCGATGGCCGATGGACGCCGCTGGGCGGATAGCAGAGGCGCCGGGATGACGCCATACGCTCGCCATCAGCAGCAGGCGCTCGTGGCTCCGCCGCGGGCACGATTCGGATCAGTTGGGCACGGCAAGGACTGGCAAGCTGGCAACCAGGCCGCTGCGCCAGGCGCTGTCCCCGTCCTTTGGCCCTTGGCCACTCGCCCGGGCGGAGGGCGCGCGGCGGAGTGTGGGCGCGATGGCCGATGGGTCGTGGGGAGTGACAGGCCGTCGTGTGGGAGTGCGATGGGCCCGGGGAGCGGGAGAAATAAAATCCGGCGTCGTTGCTGAAACAACGACCAGCGCCCCCAAATCGGGCACAAGCGCGACCCTCCACGTGGGACTGCCCGCCCATTGTCCTCCTCCTCCTCCTCCTCCTCCTCCTCCTCCTCCTCCTCCTCCTCCTCCTTGCCAACTGCCCTCCTCCCCCTGCATGCCTCTCCTCTAGGCCGTCCGCCCGCCCAGCCCCCCTTCCGTCTTCCCCTGGCCCCAGCCTCTCTCATGTTCCACTTCCGTCTCCTCAACCAATCCCGCCAACACGAAAAGTCCGCTACCCAATCCCCCAATATTACACCCAACCCGTCCACCGCAAACGACGCCCTCCTCCGCCGCATACCACTCACCCCACTTGATCCCCAATACACCCACCCACCCACTGTCGATATCCACGATCAGATGTTGTCGACTAGTGCCTCATCTGCGTTCCCTGGTTACAATCCTTCCGACATCTTGCAAGATTCCGACTCGACTCGCGTCCTCCCCGGCCGTCCAATCGTCTCTCGTACAGCGCTCGATGACCTCGTAGCTGCTGCTCCGCCCACTAGACGAAGGTCTATTCCAAGCCAGTGAGTCTCATCCATCCCACCTTCTCCCCCGGTCTCATTTCCGCCTAAGCACCTCCACTGGCTCTCGCCCTCCTCATCTGCCGTCTCTCCGCCCACCCCGACGCTCTGTTCATTCACCGACTTCTTCCGTCAGTTCCTCGTCCCGAACATCCGTGTCATCCGACCTTTCGCTGCCCTCGGCTCTATCATCCCCTGCACCGCCCACCATCCTTAACCTGGCTGGCGATGCCGGCTTGCTAGGTCCTTCCGACGATATATACTCCGGTCTCTCTGCATTCTCCTTCGGCACCGCTCCCGTCCAGCAGTCCCGGAGTGTTGAGCCTGTCAGCCCCTTTACCGTACCCACTCCCTCCACCGCCGATCACACTCCTCGTCCTTCCTTCTCGAGCACCAGCACCCGAAAGCGTACCCCGCGCGTTCAGACCCAGGAGATTGACCAGGTGGAAGGGGCTGGCGACGACGACGAAGACGAAGAGGAAATGGCGAGACAGACTCGCGCAAAGATGCGGGCCATCGACGACGGTACGCGCAGACCATCGCTACCTATCAACGCGCTCCCCGGCGTTTCAGATGCCCCATCTCCTCCACGTACGACGGCCGAGGGCGACACTGACGTGGACTTGGACACCGATGTTGAGTTCGAGGGAGCGCAGGAGATGGACACCGCGTCGGTGCATACCTTCGGGGGCAGGACGGAGTACTATCCGCTCAAAGGACTGTCGCAGCCAAGACCGGCTGAAGACCGGGAAGACGAGGACGTCAGTCAGACGGTCGATCGTCCGTGTTCCCCTGTGACCTTCGCACACGAAGAACAAGAGGAGTACGACGATGGCTTCGTCTCGTCGCCCCCACCTTCACGGCAGGCAAGCGTTCCTGCCTCCACCGGCACTCGCGCCCGAGAAGACAGCGAAATCACCATCACTGCAAGGAGACGAGTGAGTCGTGCAAGCGATATTGGCGACATTGCAGAAGAACACGTCCCACCACCCGTTCCCGAAATTACCCTCCAGTGTCCTCCTCCAGCCGAGACACTGGAGAGCCGCGATGATGCTGGACAACCCGCAACTTCCACCGCCTATGACGGCTTCAATCTGGACTACATTCTCGAACAGCCAGACGATTCTGACCCGCAGCCTTGGGGCGATTTTAGTTCAAGACGACTGAGCGAGTCGATCACTCCTTGGGATCGCAACTCGGTGTCCAGCGGTCGTCGCTCAAGCCAGACGACGATGAGCGAGGACGCCTTCACCCGGCACTATAAGAAGGTCGACCACATAGCGGAAGTGTCTGCTAAAAAGTTCATGATCGCGAAGGAGAAAGCGGATAGCCCCACCCCTACCCTTTCGACTACTCGTACTGGACGTGCCGCCATCCACGAGATCTGGAGGTCGCCATGCATAGGACGGTTCAAGGTCGAAAAACAGTGGACAAAACGTGCGGGTACGCCCCCCTCGTTAATCCTTGACACCTGCTCATCGTCTCATATGATTCTCAGATCCCGACAAGCCCATCTCGCAGCGCATAAATGTCCGTCACCAGCCAGACCCATTCCTCAACCGCATGGTCTCAGGGCCGCATTCAATCGTCCACCGGCATTCTCGGACCATCGCGTTCAGCATCTATCGCAGATACAACCTCTTCGGATGACCAACGCGAACAACAGGAGACCCGCATCATGACAACTCCTTCCAGGTCGACTCAAAGGGTACTATACTCCTCGCTCCGCATAGGGTTCAAGCCCACTACTACAGCACAAGGACAACGAGCCAGCTCAACGCCCATGGCCACCTGAGCGATCGCTCTGAACGAGAGCGGAACCGCCCAGAGGAAAAGTCGAGGTGGAAGTCATCAAAGCGCCCTACGACTGCTGACTCCGGCCAGACCACGAGTGGGAGCACTGTGGCATCGTCCTCGAAACAAACGCTAGAGTCAGACGTTCCTCGGAAGCACCGAGTGGGACCGTCTCCCCCTACCCCTGTTTCCCCCACGTCGGGTACTACGGCCTTCTCCGCCACGTCGACGTCGAATTATGCCCCCTCCATCTCAACGGCGACGCTCTCCGTCAGGGAGTCCATGGACTCGCGCTCTCCTGCCACGTCGCTAGAAAAGGAGCGACCATCGTCGCCATATCCGGCCACCAAGGATGAGGAGGATGATGAGTCCGACGACCTCGACGACTACGATATGACAAGGCCCAAGCCCGCGTATCAGCGTGCCTCTCACGAGGAGGCGTTCGGGACGATGGACACGACCGCTATCGACTCTTACCACCGGCACAACGATCACCACTCCAAACGGGGGATCTTCTTCGCTGGTATCGGCAAGCTGCGCAAACCGACCTCGACTGCACCGCACAGCACTCAGGCGATAACTCCAGTCCCTTGGGTAACCATGAACCATAGGGACCAACTAGAGGTTCATGAACGGACCGTCGGCTCGATCAACGACTCCTTCTCCGGTGTCGGCCTCCTTCCTATGCAGAAGTCGTCGCACACGAAGCAGTCCAAGAGCAAGGTGCCTACTATGACCGAGGAGGCTCAGGCGATCTTCGACAACATCCCTGCGGACTCTCTATACATGATCCTCCCCTTGTGGGCAGACTCGACGGACCCCGAATCCACCAAGGCGGACTGGGGCTTGCAGTACACCCCTGAAACCATCGCGCTGGAAGATCGCCGGTTCCTCATCGTCCACTTCCTGGACCATCACGAAGGGGAGGACGGCCAGAAGCACAGATCCAACAAGAGCCGCAGCAAGTCGTCATCGGCGAAGTCCAGCACTCCAGGCATCCCTCAGCAGGGCTTCCGACTTATCGCGCAGTACGCTTCTTACAGCGCGTTCGCCGGTTCAGGCGTGCGCCTTCCTAGTGAGGGTCTCGCCGTTCTTGGTTCCATGTCGGAGGCGGTTGCGTACCCTGCCAGCCAACAGCATTCAGGCCCGATATCCCTCGGACGGTACTCGGGGAAAAGCAACAGCGTCTTACTCGACCCACAAGGCCTGGCGGCGTTCAAACTTGTTCATTGCCCGAAGGAAGCAGACTTGCCGCCCCCTGATCAGGAAGAGGTGGCGGACCAGTCGCATTCGGAGATGTTCCCCACTCCCCTTGGCGCCGCTGTGATGGAGCTCATCTGCCTCGCCTGCTTTGCGCTCACGTTCGCGCGCGCAGACCCTCCCTCGAACCTGTGAGCCTACGTCGTCCTGGACTTTCCGCCCCGCCTCTCCGTTATCTGTGTATCATACATACACTGGCGGCCAAAAGTAATGCCCGGTCCGGCTTGGGCGTCTAGTGCGCGTCATAACTGACTCGTTTTCTATCCGTTCCCCATGATTCTTGTATGTACATGTAGAGACGTTTGAGATCAATCCACGGGTGCTTGTTTGGTGCGGATCGGCCAGGTATTGGGAGAGCTAGAAGGCCAACATGAAGAGTCACCCTGTCACACAGTGTCACACAAGCCAGGCAGCGAACGACAAAAATCATGATAGAAGCTAAACTAGAAGGACTGGTAACTAGTAGTGAGTGTGGTGACCCCGAGCAGCCTTGAGCTCTGCTACACGTGCGGGGAGGGAGTTGTACAAACTGTGTATGTAAGCGAGGTCAATCCGGTACCACTCCTCCTGCAGTGCCACCCAAAGTTGCTCCTGGTTTTGAGGAAGAGGGCTCCGCCGGCGCACTTGACGGTCTAGATAGTCCCAGACATGCTCAATGATGTTCATGTCAGGCGAAGAGGCTGGCCAGGGCATTGTGGTGATGTTGTTAGAGGTGAACCAGTGTTGTGCTCGACGTGATGTGTGTTTCGGATCGTTGTCTTGCACAAGAAAGATTTGACGGGGGGACATACCAAGGTCACGGAGAGTCCCTAGAAGGGACTCCTCCAAGACACCACAGTAGACTTCGGCATTCATTGTCCCCCTGATCCGGTGGAGGCGTCCAACGCCTTTCGAAGTGATACATCCCCACACCATCACACTCCCTCCACCGTGCTTGACTGCCTTTTTCACGTTCCGGTCCAGGAAAGCCTCCCCATCCCTCCTCCTGCAGTACTGCTTCCCGTCTGAGCCGAAGATGTTGAACTTGGACTCATCGGAGAAGATAACCAGGTCCCATCTTTCCTGCTCCCACTTCGCAAACTCCGTTGCCCACATCTTGCGCTGTCTCACATTGAGACAAGTAAGCAGGGGCTTCCGTCGCCGTACCCGTCCATGGAGACCGACCTCAGCGAGAGCACGGCGCATTGTTCGGTCGCTGATACGAGGGAAGTACTTGCGAGCAACGTCGGTCGCGTTTTGAGCATGACCTCGGGCGAGGGCAAGTTTAGCTTGCATCAAGTCTCCACTAGTGAGAACTCGAGGTCGTCCAGGTTTATGTGGTCGGAAATAAGGGTCTTGGGATTGCTCAATGAGTGCTGCATTGCGGGAGACTGTACGACGATCCATGCCGAGGATACGGCCGATTTGAGTGTAGGACTTGGGTGTACCGAGAGCAGGATTAAGGAAGTCACGAATACGAGCGAGTTTGGTAGGGGTGCAGACCACCATAGTGGGGAATAGAAGCTATAGATAGGGCGAAGATAAATCCAAAGTGTCGTGAGGTTTTGTGAAAGCGTCGTGGAGGAATGAGAGAATCAATGCAGGCAATGCGGCGCGAGTGTCCTGTCAGAATAGGCGCCCATCGCCTATCGCGCCCGTTTCTCACCCAGCTTCCCCCGCATTTGCACAAGTCAGGTATGAATCGTTTGCATTACAAGAGGTCTGTACTACGGGCCAACCAATATCTCGCTGGCCCCTCCCGATGCGCCTAGAGAAATAGGTGGCAGGGGGTGGGCATTATTTTTGGCCGCCAGTGTACAATCCCGTCTCTCTCCGTGCGCATGTACTCTACCGATCCCCGGTTTCGTCTCAACAGTTCTGGTAGACAGGCGCCAGTCTCGCACAACCCCCGCTATACCATGTATCCATGATCTGAGTGTATGCCCGTATGTCGCTCTCCGCCTGCTGATCTCGCATGTACCCTTGACTATTTCCACCCGGGCCCCGTTCGCCACACACTTCGCCTTCTCCATCGAGTCAGATACCCGACTTGACAGCTAGTACTACCCTCCGCTTCGATCTGTACACACCTTGTCCATCTCCTCTCCTCCTTTCGCTGTCGTCTCGTCCTCTCTTCCTCTCTCGCAATGTCTCCGGGCGGCTCGCGCTCTCTAATTCATATCCGCACGCACACACGGATGCTGCCCCGCGTCCCACACGTCCTCTGGGGACCCTAACTCGTCCGCCACCATTGGACGTCCGCTCGAGCCCTCGGAACGTAGATCCCACGTCTCGTGTATCCCCTCCTTGTACGGATCGGGCGCGTGTACGTGCGCATTCGGTCCCAGCTCCCACGGCTTCTTTGAAATCCAGTGGAATTCTCTCCTCAATGTCGGTGCGGACAGACGGCGTGCAACCCTGCAGGCCTGAAGGCCTGAGGTCAGACCCGGACCTTGCACGCCCTTCGGTCCTAGGTTCGACGGTGCTCAGCGGCGATTACAGAGTACTCATCCTCGGGTCCGGCGGCGGGTCCTCCGCCGCCTGGCGCGGCCGCGGTCGACGACGAGTACAACATGACATGGTTGGCCCGTCAGCCGCATCCACATCCACGTCGGACCCGAGGGCCGAGCCCAAGCCCGAGCCCGTAATCACAATGACGTCCTTCGTGGGCCGCAATCCCCGTCCATTGATCGGACGCTTGCATGACCCGGACGCTGCAATCAGACCTTCGCGGTGGACGGTCATTCATCCACTTGATTCACTACTTAGTACCAAGCGACGGAGGCTGCCAAGGGGACGCCGTGGTATATGCGCACTCCAGGGTTCCAAAGTACTTACATGGTATATAACGGCGCGGGGCGCCGGAGGGGAGCGAGCATCTACTTGCGTATGTATGTACGTATGGCGTGTGGTCGTGATTGGGACTGCAGCGCGTGCAAGTATGGGGGTGATCAACGGATCCGACGAGGCGGTAAATACGGCGAATCAGCAGAGCGAAGAGGTAAGCACGAAGAGCGGGAGACGCACAGCAACCCCAGGCCGCTGCACAGTTCCCAGGTGATTACAGTGAGACAAAATGAGCCGAGCGTGTCACAAGGAGAACAAAGATATTAGAAAAGCGCGGGGTACCATAACGCATGTAGCGTCCACGACGTAAGTGAGCTTGACGAGGTTGCAAACGTTCCAAGTGGTCAGTTCATCCGATGACTTGACCATCAACCCGCGAGCCCCCAAGGCCCCAGCAGAGCTCGCGCACCGCACAAGCTCGGCCCGGGCTCCGGATCATGAACGAGAGCCAGTTCGAAGCTAAGGCCGCAACGCCTTGCTCGCCAGCGCCCACACCGTGAGCCCAAGGAGGCCCAGGCAGAACACCATCAGCCGCGCCTCCTCGCCCGCCGGGCTGCGCTCGACAAAGAGCTCGCCCAAGCCCTTCTGGCGCACATCTGGGTGCCCGCTCGGCCGCAGGTCGTGCACCCACCGCCGCACCGCGACCCGGTCCCGCCCACCCTCGCTCGCAGCGCCCCAGCCGAGCTTGAAGCCGAAGCCCCGCGCGGCCCGCGCGACGGTCCCCGGCTCCGGGGCCGGGGCCGGTACCGCACCGCCGACGTCGAACCCAATGTGCGCCGCGCCCGCGAGCGCGGCGGCGTTGAGCCCGAAGCGGAAGCGGAGCGTGCTTCGCGCCCGCGCAGCGCTCTCGAGCAGCGTGAGCGGGCCGTCGATGCCGAGCGCGCTCGCCGCGGCCGCGAACCACTCTGCGAGCCCGGCGGCAGGACCGACTCCCGCCGCGCGCTGCCACGGCCAGCAACGGGCACGCTTCTGGACGACGTGGAGGCAGACAGGGATACCGTGCGGGTCGGACGTGAGCTCGAAAGTGCCGCACTCGAGCGCGGACTCGGCCGCGTCTTGCGCGTCGTGCGCGTGGATTGGGATGAAGGCGATCGAGAACGTCTTCAGGCGCGGGTTGGCGAGGGCGATGCGGGCGGCACCGAGGTGCATGGGCTCTTCACCGGGCATGCGGACGAGCGCGAGGGAAAGTGAGCGGAGGCGGGAGAGACCACGGAGCGAGTTTGCGAAGGCGTCCTGAGATGCAATTTAGTCATCGGTGGCCGCGAGCCGGGTATATGTGTGCATACACTCACGAGGAAGAACGAAGGGCGAGTGGTACAGGTTATGTCTAGGTCCAGCAAGTGCGGGCAGCTGGATACGATCGTGCGGAACACGCCGTTGCTATCGTACCCTCCCTGGATCGAGAACGTCGCCTTGATGGATGTTAGCGAGTGCAATCCGACGAGCACCCGTGACACGGCGAGAGGCGTCAAGTCACGGAGATGCATTGCATGTGGGAAGCTGACTCGCTCCAGCGTCTTGGCAAGGGGAGTGTCGACCGGGGGCAGCGCAGGATTCATGTTGGGGAGCGCATTCTGCACTGGTGGGTGGACAAGAGGGGGGATCGGAGGCTGGGCATTCGGATCTGGTGGAGGAGGCTGGCGGTCGACGAGCATTCGCAGATGGCTGAACGATCCGCTGAACTCCTTCAGACTCGGCAATGCGTCTATGGAGAGTGTGGAGAGATCGATCAAGTTTGTATGCGGGCGTCCCAAGAGGTGCAGCGTCTCGATTCCCTCGTGACGTTCGAGGAACACCTTAAGGTCCGGTGCTTGAGGCAGGTGTCCTAGCGGCGTCGTGTTCCACACGAGGGCAGAGAGACACAGGTGGCGGAGCTTCGGCCAGTGCGCCCCATACAAGCGTGTGACATCCCCGGGCTCAGTCGAGTTGCCAACGATGCGGAGAGTCTCGAGGTCTGGGCAGCGGAGGACGAGCATGTCCCAAAGACGGGTAAAGACAGGCTCACTCTCTGACTCGGGGTCAGCGAGATCGAGGACGTGCTGAAGACTCTTGCCGGCATCGGACACACCTCGAGAGGGCAAGTGCAGCGAATGGGCGTAGAAGCCATCTTTTAATGCGAGGGAGAACCCGGTTAGGCCCGTGAACTGGAGGAGCTGCTCGGCGGCCGGGGGAGGAGGAAGGATGGGGCGTTAGCGACGGCTGAACTCATGGTGATGACGTCATTGACCACATACCGAGGTGCCCGGTCGAGGCAAGAAACAGCCAAAGGTCGTCCCAATGTGCGCCAGACGAGGGCACCTGACGGAACTCTGGTCAGCCCGATGTCGGATGTATTGGCATTAGCGCGAGCGCGCTCCTCGGAGATGGCATAAGCGCTCCGCCTGGACCGGCAGCTGGAGGCATGGCACGGCACTACGATGCAAGAAGGCGGAAGACGGTGGGCCCGGACAGAGAAGCGGTGAAAACGCGTTGCAAATGCGAGCGCATGCCAAGAGCGATGAAAGAGCGACGACCACTCACCGGAGGCGGAGCTCGGACCACATGCGGTCGTCGGGGAGCATGTCCTCGCCAACCCAGTCGAAGTGCGAGAGGGCGTCGAGGTGCTTCGCGACCTTGACGATGGCGCGCGACACGACGCCGGCGTTGTCCCATGCGCGCAGTGTCGAGCCGTGCGCGCGCGGCGAAACGTCGTCTTCGGGGTGCACGGCGAGGCGACGGATGTGGCGGGCGACGTCAGGGCGGCATTCGAGCATGGCGAGAGTGCGCCCGCACTGTATGACTCCGTGGAGCTCGACGTCGCTGTAAAGAGCGGGGAGAACCTTTGCGAATATTGACGCAGACTGCGAGGACCGTCAGAGGTGGAGGAGAGCAGGTGGTCGTACGACCAGACGCGAGAAGAAAGAACGTGAGCGCACCACTCGGCTCAATTGTAGGACATCCTCGCGAGATTTGAGGTAGTTCGCGATCTCGAGCAGGATCTCGGCGGGTAGGCTGTCAAGAGTGGGCTGTATGCTTGCCGGAGACGGTCGATGAAAGGCGTAGGGCTGGGTGCGCGCAGGCATGTTGAAGAGCGCGTCGGAGGCAACGGGGATTGGTGGTATGACGGGATTTCGCGGCCGATGGGGTCCTCAAAGTCCTCACTGGGGTATGACCGGGTGAGGGTGCGCGATCGGGGAGATGGGAGGGAGGAGGGGGGACGGGGGTCGGAGTCGGGGCTATATAGCGTGGGGGACCGAGAGGGAAGGCCGTCGCTCGAGATCAAGCGGGAGGGGAAGCCGGATGTACAGACCCCCGCCGTGGCGCTCGCAGTCAGTTCGAGCGCCCTGGAGCGCTTCCCCACAAAACCTCCCGCGATGCCGCCGGCAGCCGACATTAATTGCCAACCTTAGTCGCATCTTCTCGGCACCCAATCCCGCTCACATGCCCAAGCAGGTCGTCTGGAGTCCACCATGGGCTCCGGGGCGGCACAAGACGAGGCTTGCCAGGTGCCATCGCTCGTCTTCAGCTATAGTTCGCGCTACCACTTATTTTGTGATCCGTGTCGGGAGCGTCTGGGGCTCTGACAGGCAAAGCCCCAAACGCCCACGGCAACGAGGCCGTCCGGCTTTGATCCCCCCTGACCAGAGCAGTATGTGTGCTCGCACAGGATCGTATCCACTGCAACCGACAACGCAACGGTACAACAGCGTCCATTTTCGTAGCGTTACATGACTTCTTTCTCCACATCCGCGCACTCGCTCCTCACTCACCACCCTCGCGGGAGCGCGCCCCCTGAGTCCGTGTGCTCGTGCAAGAGAACATCGGAAGAACGCCCCACCCTCGACGCCCACCCTCCGTTCGATCGCCACACGGCGCTCAGTACCTGCAGCACCGAACACGGACCGGTCGAGAAGGCGCAATTCCGGTTCAGTGCGCGCGTTCGTTTTGTTCATTCGTTTTGTTCCGGGCAGGCGGCACGCGTGGCGAAGAATCACAGCCAGTCGACCCAGACACGGATGCGGGTGCGGCGACGGAATTTGTCCCAAGCGAGATTATGACCTGACAAACGGTCAGCGTACGTTCTCGCCTGCGTCCTTCAAGGGGTGAAGTTGTCCGGCGCCGTTCGCGACAGAAGCCCGCTCGGCGCATACCGAGCAAGACGCCGCCCCGTCCGCGGGTTGGGAACAAAACGGCGTGAAAGGAAAGAAGCACGCACATCTTGTAGTGGAACTCTGTCTCAAGCTCGCCCTCGGTCTGGTACGCGATCGTGATATCCAAGTCACGGTTGTTCCGCGCGTTGGGGGCGCATGACAGTCTACCCTTGATCTCCTGGCCTGCAGACAGGGTGATAGTGGCTGGGGTGTAGAACACGGTCTGCCTGAATGAGCCGACAAGTACGTCAGTGGATGCACCTTGTTAGGAACGAGGATGTCATATCGGCGAAAGCAGTGACTCACTTCCAGTGTGTGTACTTCGCATGGGGGCCCGTCGAGAACCTAACCTTGGTATGCGTGCATTCGAAGAGGATGTCGAACCACGCCAGGAACGCATGTACGTCTGAGGCGACACGGAGATGAGCCAACGTAGGCATGAGGGTGTCGTGAAGATACGCACAGTCGTTTCTTGTCGCCTTGAGCGAGAAGTCGTTAGTAAAGGTGAGCTCTTCCTTCGTCACCGTTCTCAAGTCTATGTGCTGCACGGGGAAGACGGTCAATGAGGGGTTGCAACTATCAGGGCTAGACACGTACCTTGATGAGGCATGGGTCTGTAACAACGGCCTTGATCTCTACGGTGTCTACTAGTGGTTCACGAAGCGCGATTTCCTTGATACACGAGTAGTCGAAGCCGTACACGTTGTCCCAGACTAGCGGATATGAGGGCATCGCTTGAGTTCACGTCGCCAAATGAGAAGACTTTTCACGCACAGTTGATCTTCTCCTCCTTGTAATCAGAGTCCTCAATCGCCGCAATGTAGAGGGTTGCGACGTCTGGGAAGATCAGACCGTCTGGCTTCAGGTACTTGTCGCGAGCAAGAAGGACGGTGTCGAGCATGGACTCGTAGAGGAGGAAGTAGCCCATCCACTCAGAGATGATGATGTCGAACTTATCGAAAGGGAGCGTAACCTCTTCAAGCTTGCCCTTCACGAGCGTGATCTCTGTGGCCGACAGGGTTAGATGTCGTAATTGCACTGAAGACGCAGCCGAGGCGCGTAGATCACAGGCGCCGACACTTACTGTCCTTCAGACCGTTCGCCTCCACGATCTTGGTTGCTTGGTCGATGATGTTGGACATATCGACCTGTGCCGCGGGTGAGACTCAAGACGCGAACCAAGTTCAGATCGAAGACGAAGGACGTACACCGACAACGTGCTTCGCGCCCGCATTCGCCGCGAACATGCTGAGAATGCCCGTGCCACAGCCGACGTCGAGCACAACCTTGTCCTTGAACAAGTGTGGGTTGTTGACGATTGCGTTGCGGTACGAGCCAGTCCGAACCGTGTCCTTGAGCATCTCTTCATGAATGCCTGTGTGCCCGTCCCGCGAAGTTAGCAGCGGCTGGGGCACACGAGATGCAGCCTAGCCGAGACCCACCGAAGTGCGCGTAGGAATCCGCGTAGCTGCGGTAAGCAGTAAATGATGTGTATGAGGGATACAAAGAAGAGGACACACTAGTCTTTGGAGGTCATGTTGTCTGGGGAGACCTGATCTTGCTGCATCGGCTCTCCGTCGGGTGTAGAAGGACCTGCGCTCGCCATTGGGAAACTGGAAGAAGGGGGAGGGGTGGGTATGCTACACTGGGTGACTTGTGAGCTGATTAGAGGATACAGCGCCGTGTTCGGACGAGAGGAGTAGTACAAGCACTAGCAAGAAGCAGAGAGAAGGAAAGCGAGGATGTTGGGAGCAGGACAGACCGGCGCAGAAGACAGATATGAGCAGGCGCCGGCAGCCACCGCGCAGAAAAACGCGGGCGAGGAAAATCGTCCCTCCAGATCCAGCCTTTGAATTTCCTCGATCGTCGGCCAGGCGTCTGATCGTGACACCCGCGACGCGTCTGAGGTCACAATCGCGATGACGCATCACGTCCACCGGGCCTGTCGGCCGGCGGGCCGGCGAGCACCGCCGCGGTGTGGCGCAGCCCCGCAGCCCGTCCTCGACGCCGCGCCGCAGCTCGGACTCGGAGCCAGCCATTACAAAACCAGGCTTCACGGGCCACGGACCATCTTTGGCTCCGCCGCCACGTACCCCCTTCGCTTGCCTACAAAAGCCAGTCATCCATGATCGTCGACCCCACCTCTTCATACTCATCCATGGTGAGCAGTGCACACTCTATCGCCGTCCCTGCGCTTTGCTCATCTCCGCCGTCTCATGACGCAGGCCAACACGAATGAATTCGACGAGCAGGCCCCTCCCTCATACGATACCGCTGTAGGCGATCGTTCAGAACGTGCGTTTTATCTACTCCCTCACTTGCTTCACAATCTAACCGACATGCAGCGCAGGGCCCGTTCGTGCCCGAGAGCTCTCACAAGGGGCGAGATATCAAAGTCAACCCCTTTCCCCCTTCACTCCCCAACCCCGCACCCTACGACGGACATCCAGGTCCCTCGCGGACAGTCGTCTACAACTATGTGAACCCACGCACTGGTGAACGAGTTGTTTCTCTCCTTCCACCAGATCACCCCCAGATGGTCTGTCTCCAGGAGGGTGGCCATGTTCCGGCGACCAAGTACGGCTTGCTGGGTGAGTAAACAGTGTCCTTGGGTTTTCCACCCTGTTCTCTTGGAAATTCCGGGCGTCGCATCCTCAAGTGACTCGAATTCCCCTTCTTCTCCGCTTCTCCGTGATCAATGCCGTATATTCATCACTGCGCTCCTCAGGTGTGCTTGCCGCGGTCTTCTGGTTTCCGCTAGGGATCGGCCTCTGCTTGCTTGACCGCAAGGTCTACTGCAAGCGCTGCGGGATGTCAATCGACGAGGGACTCTGCTGAGGTCGAGTAACCTTTGCGAATTCTCCTCTCCACACCCCTCTTCATCGCATCGCCTATATCTGTCTTGGTATTACCCTTGGCTTCGAACTTTCCATACCATATTGTTGGACACATCCCTTTAGTGTGCTCTATGCAATCGTCTGTAATTGTACTCAGTTTATGACAGTCACGACATCGGCTCAGGGAGAACATATATGCATACATTGTACACGGTGAACTACATCGATCCTGGGAGTAGAGTGAGAGGCTTGCGTACTTCATTCAGAGGTGATAGGGCAGAGCGCATGAGGTTGTTATTCCGGAAAACCAAGCACTAGTAAACACAAAGAACAAACACCCTGTCTCTCATCCGATCCTTAGTGATTCATTCTCGTCATACATCCTCCTCGTTGGACAGAACTCGCCGGATCCGTGCGTCGCCGTGCACGCATTTTGTCGCCCGACTTCACCGGTGCTTCGACGAAGCCCGGTCCGCTTCGGCGTGCCTCTCTTCCTCCAATACTGGAATCTGCGCGATTGCCGGCGTAGGTAGTACGTGTCCAACGCGTCCAAAAGCCCGCTTCAGCCATGAGTTAGACCACGGCGCCCCTTTCGGCAGGGTGCGCATATGAGCGGGATTTGCGGACGTGAAACCGTCTTGGGAGGAGAGAGGAACGAAGGAGGACTTGTAGTCGTTGGACTTCGGGAGCGTCGACTTTGATGCGGCTGTGGACGTGCTCGCGAGGGATGTGGCGGACGGCGAGGCCTCGAAGAAGAACGGGGTCATGCTTGCGGACATAGCGGTGGGATGTAGGGTGTGTGGAGATTTTTGAGCCTGATATGGCGGACGCGGAGAAGAGGATAGAGGACTGGTTCTCGAGTGAAGAAGCAGATGCAGTCTTTCGTCGTGACGCTGGAGGTAGGGTGGTGGATCCGTGGGGCTTTATATCGGCATGCACGACGCACATATTGGCCAGGCATTGTGCTTGCGTCTCCCAAGTGACTCGGAAACGGCGGTTATCTGGGCATCGGAGCGCCGTCCGGGAGTGGTGCAGCCAAGCTTGATGCGTAAGAGATGGTTTGTCGATCACGGAACGACTCGAGCAGCACACCAACGAAACCTCCGCTGACGCAGCGTGGCCCTGGGATGGACGTCTGGACCAGGATCTGCCTGCAGGACAGGTCAACGATTCGATTATTTTCACAAATATGAAACGTGACACAGACATCCTTACCTGTTGAGCTTCGATGATGAATTCAATTCTACCCACTGCACCTAAGAGAAGTGACAGACGACCGCTCCGGCCATTCCTAAGTCCTGACCGCCTCAGCAGTGGGAGGCTACATTCCCGTGGTGCAATCTACGGATTGCAAAGACCTTCCGCACAAGCCCATTTCGTACAGCGTGATACACGAGCCGTAGTGTTGTTGTGATTTCACCACAATTCACAAGTTGAGCGGGTACGTGAACTGAAGCCTTGAGACTGTCGTTGAAGCTGTCGGGGTGACATAACTGAGGTTCTTGGATGTTTAAAGCAGAGGAAGCCCGGCAAGAACAAACATGGGAAGCAGACGGGTTCTCGGCTTTCAAGGCCAGCGGGGAAAGCAAGATAGAGGAGAGGGCCGAGAGTATATTGAAAGCTAGACTAACTAAATTCTAGGCGCCATGGGCTTACCTAACGTATTAGCGGGCAGCTTGGAAGGGCGCCCGCATGCCTTCCCTTGTCTGCTCCGCTCAGGCGTCCTACAAGAAGCTCCCCGGGCTCCTCGAGCTCACAGACTCCCATCTCCAATGGACCAAGACTGGTGACAACATCCCCGCGGTGAAGGTTGTCCATGCAGAGGCAGCCTGTAAGTCCCAGAGCACGACCCGTTCCCCGAGAGTGGCTCATGACGTTTCCCCGCGTCCCCGGCCCTCTTCCATCCTTCCCCGACGCACGCGACGGCCGCCTCGCAGCCCTTTCGCGCAGCAAGGTCGGCGCAGCGCAGGTCCGGCTCAAGATCGGGCTCGTGAGCGATGAGGCCGGGCACAACTTCACCTTCACGTCCCCACAGGCCGTCGCGCTCGCGGAACGCGACAAGTTCGAGGCCGAGCTCACAAACATCATTGCACGCAACCGCTCTGCAGGTACCGCCCCCGCCCCCGTGCCCGCGTCCGCCCCCACCCCCGTCGTCGCGAAGTCCATCCCCCCACATGTCGCCGCCATGCCCGCGCCACATTCGCCAAGCGCGACTCCGACCCCCCGCCGGTCGACGTCGGGCATTGCGCGCCCTTCGGCGGCGGGCTCGCGGGCCCCGTCGGTGGCGAGCGAGTCGCAAAGGTCGGGCACACCGGTGAATGACCCGACAAACGACTTCCGGCTGCGGAAGAAGGTGCTACTGAGCACCCCGGAGCTTGCGCAGCTCCACCGCGAGTTGGTTATGGGAGGCCACATATCTGAGGCTGAGTTTTGGGAGGGCAGAGAAGTACGCGTCGCGTAGAGGGGTTGTTGCGACTGCGTGGCTGACGGCTTTGCCCGTTCGGCAGCATCTGCTCTGGGCCCAGGCTGCGGCAGAAGGCCAGAAACGCGGGAAACCGGGGCAGCTCGTCGACCCTCGACCGCAGTCTGTCAATGGGGAGGTCAAGATTGTCATCACACCGCAGCTGGTGCACGATATCTTTGAGGAATTCCCCATCGTTGCGAAGGCGTACAGTGACACTGTCCCGACTAAGGTAATGTTGGTCCAATAGTATCTTGTCCTCGGCTGATCCCAAACAGTTGTCTGAAGCAGAGTTCTGGAGTCGATATTTCCAGTCCAAGTTGTTCAATGCCCACCGAGCCTCTATTCGTTCCTCCGCAGCTCAGCACGTAGTCAAAGATGATCCTATCTTTGACAAATACCTAGAGAAGGATGACGACGGTGAGTCCTCCAAGACGACCAGCGTGTGTAAGCTCTCATACTGGTACGCAGAGCTTGAGCCACGTCGTATACGAGATGAGCGGGTAGACACCTTCATCGACCTTGGTGCTACATACGTGGACCATGACGAGGTAGAGTTCAGTTGACAGGGGCAAATGGTCAACTGACTTTTTGGTAGACCGGCAACGAAAAAGATATCACGATGCAAGCAGGGAAACAGAGAGCTGTTCTGCCGCTCATCCGCAAGTTCAATGAGCATTCTACTCGATTGCTTGACACGGCATTGTAAGTCACTTCACATCACTTCGCGCTCTTTTCGAAGTTGACTCTTGGCAGGGGTGGACCAGCCACAAAACGAAGACGACTAGACAGCGATGATTCAGAGGTATGATGGACTGCCTATTTGATGCTGGTAAAGATTTTCACGCCTCTGGTAGCGTTACATGCAAATAGACCTAGAGGATCTACACGACAACCAATCGTCCGCAGGAATCATTCTGGATATGAAAGACAGCCAGCGATACTTCGATGGAAGGGCAAGCGGTGCAGGCGGTGAAAGAGACAATACGTTGGTAAGCTGGTAGCTTACCCTTGAATTTTCGGTGACTGACCTCTCCACCAGCGAGTCGACTTTCAAGAGGCGATACGACAATTGAAGGACGGTACTCAGGACTGGGCATCAAATCTCGTGCAGGTCGGGTTCACGTCTTTGCCATTCGCTCTCCTATACCCACTCACACCCCTCGTCACAGGTCAAAGTAGATAAGAAAGCCGGAGAGACAGCGCTTATCGCCATGACACAGAACGTCTCTTGTCGATTAGATGTCAAGTCCCGTAAACGTATGAGCTTCAACAACTGCTATACGTAACGCTTATCCACGCGCTTTTCCTTTCCCTCCAGATGACATACCAGATACTCTGTTCCGACAGATGACAACGTGTCAAACGGCTGCAAACGAGTTCTTGCGGCAATTCTGGCTCGCCATGTACCCACCTCCGAATGAGTCTCAGGCACTTTCTGTCGCAACGCCATCCCAGAAGGCTGCGAAAGCGGCAAAGATGGCTGGATACCTCGGGAAGACGCACGAGAAGGTGGTCGCCTTGATCGCCGCAGCTCGACAGGAAAGCATTGACGCAGCGCGAGTGCAGGTGGTAAGATGTCCATGCTCATTCATGCGTTTCATGCATCTCAAACCTTCCTTCCAGGCCATGAAGCCCATCCTCGATGCTGTCGACAAGGCGTTGGAGTTTTGGAAGCTGAAGAACGCGAAGGCTTCAGGACTACGGTGACGTGCGGCATGTATGTTGCAGACATTGTGGATTGTCATATTATAGCATTTATATTACTGGTAGTTCGCCACGCTTTTGCGGCGTTAATTCATAGTCCTCGGGGTAGGCCCGATGAACCCCTGGCGACCCGTTGTCTCGAATCAGGCGCCCTGGATTCCAGTCGTCTGCGGACGGGTGCGCTTAAGTATGTCCTTGCTGCCAAGTGACGTGAAGCAACACCAGGCAAACGCGCCAGACACGTCGTGTTTTAGAACCGGTGACTGGCGTTGCCTCTTGTGTCGTCCAACGACGACGCACGCCCTACACCCGCTCTAGCCTTCAAGCGACGACGATGGCGCGTTCAAGATCATCCAATACAACAGCTCCAAAACGTCGCCGAGATCAAAGCGACGGTCAGCATTCATCCAAATTGCCTCCAGACGATGTCCTTTTGCTCGTCTTCCTCTCGTGCTCAACGGAAGATGTGGTCTCTTGCATGGCAGTATGCCTCTTTTCCACCTAGGTGGGATGCTCCTGAACTTTGTGCGCTTCTATGTTGCAGGTCTGCAAATCCTTTGAACGCATCATCAGAACCAGTGTCGCCCTTCAGTACAAAATAGAGCTGTCTCTCAACGGCATGGTCGATGGGCCAGGCAATCGGGTGGGCATATCCGAGAAACTTGACATGCTGCGCAAATACCGCGAGCGCGTTCGCAGCGGCACATTCCAGAGCACTGGGACTCAATTCGTACGGAACAAGGACTCACCGGATAGCGACGCTCACAGGAGCGCCTTCACGGCCTTTGGGGGCTCGATATCTGTGGTCTACCAAGATTCCGCAAAGAAGATAATCGAAGTGTTTACTCCACTTGGCCGTCAAGTACAAGTCATGCAGAGCAAGTGCGTCAGTGGAAGATTCCTTATGCCCTTATCAACAAGGATGTGGCTTCGTTCCAGTTCTTGACTGTGGACGTGGGACAAGATTTGCTTGTAGCTGTTGAATTGTCGATGCCAAACACTGAGTAGGTATCGCCCCCATACAGTGTTTGACGATTGCTGATGGGACATAGACATGGGGCTAGAAAAATACATTTGCGATCACTGGCTCATCCCTCTACTCCTCATCCACGCGCTCTGCAATCCGTCCTTTACTCTCCTCTCGAACCTGCTGGTTTTAATACGATCGCAAGCGTCCAGATCCATGAACAATATTTTGCCTGGATGCCACAGCAGCAAATCCCGTATAACTTTGGTACAATCGAAGTCTATGTCTGGAGAGCCGGGTATGCTCTCATCTTTGCTGCAATTTACAGCTCGTTGACCTCACAACTTTCCCATGTCCTAGAGGCGTCGAATTGAGTTCGGATTCAGGAGCTCGTTTTCATTCGCACTGCTGGATCCCGCCTACCTCCTCGTCGGCGGGCCATCCAATAGGCTACACGTCTTCCGCTTTGCCCCGCGCGTCGGCGAGGAGGGAGGCGGAGACGGCACTCACGACTCCTCGCGACCCGTCCTCCACCTGGACCTCCTAGTGGGCGCACGGGCATGCTGCGTCCGGGAATCTAGCATCCCCGTGCCGTTGCCCTCCGCCCCATTCTGGCCCGACCCCGCTTTGAGGGTTCATGTCATCTCTTTCTCAAGGAAAGATGCCTCCGGGAATTTCTCCGGCGCTATTCTCGCCGTTCCGTATGCCACGTTCGCCTCCCTCATCGACTGGGCCGAGTCCAAGAACAGCAAGACCGTCCCGGTCGTCGAGTGGAATAGGTGGGCGCAGCGGGACGCGCTGCTGCTCGCGGCTGGAAGAGGAGGCCCACGCGAGCTCTATCGCGCCTGGGCGTACGGGTGCCGGCTAGTCATCAGCACGCACTATCACGGCTGGTTCTGGGCACACCCGTCTGACCGTCTGGTCACGTTAGACCTCAACCCCCTGGCCGCGCGGTATACAAAGTTGCACCCACCGTCCAATTCGGACAGCGCCGGGCACACGCCGGAGAGATTCAAAGAAACATTCTGTCTCCAGTACGAGCTTCTTCCATGCACGTTCTATTGCGGACCTCAACCTACGCTCGAGAAAGTGCTGTACACATCAGTTGAAGTTCTCGCTACACACAACGGTTGCATGGTCTTGGTATGTATCAACCTCCACCAACAAAATACATTGCTGCTAACGCTTGCGTCCACAAGCGGCACGGCCGGTATCAGTTGACGGGATTCCTACATATGCTCCATTAGGTTTCCAGGCCCATTTGGCTTGAGGACGCCCGCTTTTGGACCGATATCGAGGCGTCGTACGAAGCGATCTATTAACAGCGAATAGTGTCCTACATAGCATAACATAATATGATGAACATCTACCAACCAATCAACCACCATATGGGCTTGGTTTCCGTTCTAACTTTGAGCTTGATGAGCTCGAGCACTCATAGAGGGTGAACACAACGAGTAGGTGCAACGCAATGGCGTATAATATGAACGCTGTTCTCGTTCGCCGGTTGCCAAGGATCGCGCGTGTGAGGACGAGTGCGCCTCTCTCTAGCACGTTGAGCGACTCGTATGCTCGCGTCGCTTCCTATGGCGACAAAGGCGGGTCAGACAATGCTCCCCCTACGATGGAGTTAGAACCTACTCGGCCGCGGAAAGCCTGGAACGGATTCATAGCTTCCTCACTGCAGTGTCATGTCAACGTTTTGTCATGAGGACGCTCGAGAGTTTGACGTACTATCTTGCTCGATACTTGCTCATATCGTCAGAGCGGCCTGCCACATTCGACGGGATTGGATCAAGCGTAGACGGCCGCGTGGAAACATCTTCGCGGTAGCTCTGCATGTAGCGAACCTTTTCGTATAATTTGAGGTTGTCGGCTTGCAAGCTTTTGACCTCCGCTCGGAGCTCGGAGATGATGTTGAATTGTTTCCGCAATTCCTACATTGCTCTAGGATAAGCCCAAGGAACGGTGCAGGAAATCTGATTGTACCTCTTCCAATTCGGCGTTTCGTTGTCTGAAGCGATCTCGCTGGCTGGTCACAATGGGCAGGATGGATGTATCTGCTGAAGGTGCGAATGGAATCGGAGTGCTCCGAGTCAAAGAGTCCTAATAGCGAAGAGTCAAGTGATATGCGGAAACGGAAGCAGCAGCATAACCTACGTTCTTCCTGCCTAAATCGAGGTCCGCCAACACGTCAGATGTTGACGAGCCGTTGGCAGGTGCGACGCCGCCGTTGATCCCACTGTCGCCCTTCCGCTGGTCCATATGCAGCAGGTCGGTTTCGAGCTTCTCGTTGAGGGTGCGCTGCCTCTCCAACTCGGATTCTGTTGCGTCGAGTTGAGACTGCACAGACTGCAAGGCGGTCTCGAGCTCTCCGTGCAAAACCTGTGTCAATTTCATCCAATCAACAAGAGAAGACAACGCCGTGAAGTGCAAGGCATACTCGGAACCTGGTCAGCTCTTCCAGAATCCTCTTGTTCTTTGTCGCTAGAAGAACCTCGAGAGATTTACCCTGCTGCGCGCGCATGCTGGTAGAATTGGGGTTTGGGCTAGGTAAATGCAGACCAAGGGCATCGCCGTTCAAGGTGATGTCGTCTACATCGTCGTCACCTTCAAGCCCGGCGAACTCGACGTACTGGAGAAACGAGGCATTAATCACACGAACGCTTAAAAGATAAGTCGACGTACTTTCATGATGTCAAGCTCACGCTTGATCTCATCGTAGTCTGCGAATTGTTTCAGTTTGGTTTTCAGCTGATCGACTTCAGCGGACTGTCAATTAGTCCTGTCAGCAGCTTGTACAAGCAGGCGGCGATGATCATTGCCTTCTTTTGGATATCTCTGCCAAGCTCTTCGACCTTTCTTGTTGCAGCTGCTTGCGCGGTCCCCGTGGCAGTTTTCTGCACCTCCAGCGCTTGGGACAAGCGATCGGTCTCAGACTCGAGATCAGCAATCTTGGATTCGTATTCCTTGATCCTGAGTGGACTGCGTCAGAGTCGGGAGATTTAAGGCATCAGCACTATGACCGCACTGAGCTGTACCCTCATGACCACTTTTCATAGCCTCGATCTCGGCACGCAGCAGTTCCTGAAACTCTCGTCAAGAACTCAACATATGCGGCGAAGTAAGACCAACGTACGTTCCGGCGTTCAACTGTAGCCACACGACTGTTCGCATGTTCCAAGTCTGCCACCATCATGTCCAGCTCCGCGAGCTTAGCCACAGTTTCGTGATCTTTGAAACAGTTACTACTTGAACAGAACACTGGAACCGAATACGTGGATGCGCATACCTTGGCGCTGAGTGTGGTCGAGCAGCTTCGCCTGATTGGAGTCATGCGACATCCTGAGATCGCGCAGCTGATTCTTCGTCAGGGCGAGCTGGCGTTGGAGATCTTGCTCTCTAATTATCCGCATAAATCACCGAACCAGTTAGAGTGGTGCACACTCACCGCTCCTCGTAGTTCCGCATCTTCTCATCGTACGTGGCGTTCAATTCATTCTCCTTTTGGTTGACCTTCTCTTGAATGAGGTCATCCATCTGTACCACGTCATTAAATGCGCTTCAACAATCACCAACGGGCACACCTTCTGTTCAAGTTGCTCCACACGCGAGTCGGCCTTCTTCTTCGCGTTCTCGAGAGATGTATTTTCATTCAAGCGTTTCCGCAGCTCGGCGTTCTCTTCCCGGGCGCGCTGCAACTCAGCTTCAAGTTCACGGGCCTCTGCCACCTTGACAGTTTGGTCCTAACGCAGAAAGGTTGCAGACGCAGCTGGGCACTAGATCCATAGTATGACGTACCACAGCAGCCTCAAGGAGAGGGTAAGGGTCCGGAGCTTCGGCGAGAACCTTGTACACATTCAAGAAGGCATTCTCCGCGGTCTTTGACCGTTTTGTGAGACTGTCTATCTCGGTCTGGTATGCTGCAGTAACAAATTAAACGCAAACATGCGACAGATGTCCAAGAGACGTACCTTTCAACAAACCCTTGTAGGCTGTGAGCTTCTCTTCATCCGACATCTTCTTGAACTCTTTGAGGCACCCTATAAGGCAATGCCATAACATGAACAACGCCCTACTCACCCTTGGTCCGATCTGCAAGGGCTTTACGCCCTACTACGCTCTCCTTCTGGTTCTCGACAAGTTCTATGCCCTGGGCATCGAGTGTCTTTTGCAGCTCAGAGAGATTAATATCTGCTGTTCATGAGAGCCACTACGGTATATGTAGCAGAGTGTAACGAACCCTTCCAGGTTGCCAATGCTCCAGAGAAGTTCTGTTCCGGGGCCGCCATGACGGGCAAGTGGTACTAGATCCGTGATAGTCCAAGAGCTCCAAGAAGTTTTAACGTGTTTTAGCAGAGGGAAGAGACCGGGTCCGAGATGGTAGGGATTCCAGAGGGAGAGTTACACGTCGAGGACGGTGGCTGGGGCGCGTTCAGGCGCAGGGGATGACACCCTCGCAGTAGGGGCTCGAACGCGGCAGGTCCTTCCCACGGCTATGAAGACGTCGCGGGCGCTCGGACGCGCCTGCTCATCGTATCCGACAGCGAGCTCTGCCTGGCACGCGGACTCGGACGTCGCGGAGCTTGTTTCTCTCCTCCCCTCTTCCTCGCTCTTTCTGTTTATTTGCCATGCTTCCCATTCGCGCGGCCGTGCGCTCCACGTGCGGTGCGCGCACCTACGCGTCGATGCCAGCTACATCCTCAGTCTCGAGAACGGTGACCTACAAGGATTTCGTCAAACCGAAGCCGAATCCCTCCTCTCCCTTGTTCTTCACTGGCCGCTCTGCGTACATGGAGGTCTTCAACTCTCTCCAGGCGACCACCAAAACGACTCGGAATATCATGCAGCAGCTCGAGCTCGTGCCTCTCCCCGCGTTCGCGCAGCAAAATCTCCCCCCACTGGAGGCGTTCTGGAAGGACAAGACCGCTGTGGAGAAGGACTTGAACGTAAAGCTGTCGACGACGAGATACGCCCGTATCATATCCGCCCTCGACGAGCTGAACAACTATCGCCGTATCGCTCAAGCCGCCGGCCACGGCGAACTCGTGCAAATGCTGGAGAGGCTCATGTCAGCCTGGGAGCGACCTTCGAAGGCGGCCATCCTCGCGCAGCGGCAGAAGAAGCCCGTGCAAATGGACGAACACGGCCGGTCGTACACCATTGGCAGGAGAAAGGAGAGCACGGCGCGCGTGTGGATGATCCCGACGCAAGCGGCGCGCGAGGCAGCTTTGGCTCCCTCCCCTTCCATCACCCCCTCCGCCTCCGCCGCAAGCCCTGACGCGCCTCTTCAAAGCGACGCGGATGCATTGGCGGACGTGTTGGCCGCTGCTCCGGCCGTGCCCATCCCTGGGTTCGAGACTGGTCCGCTTTCGCAGGCCCCAGCCGCCCCGGTGGAGGTTCCTGTGACAAACATCCTCGTCAACAATGTCCCGTTCGCGGAGTTCTTGTGAGTTGCGTCCAGCTAGACCTCAGTGGGGCATGCTCTTGATGACCCTGTGTCAGCCCCAATGCGTCAGACCGTGAACGTATTGTCCGACCGTTCCGTGTAACGGGTCTCTTCGGTGCTTTCAACGTTTTCGCGATCGTTCGAGGTGGTGGTACGACCGGTCAGAGCGGAGCTGTTACTCTGGGCATTGCCAAAGCTATTGCCGCGCACGTGCCCGACGTAGAGCCACTGCTCCGGAAAGGTGGGCTTAACAAATGAGCTTGGGCGCACTCAACGTACTAATGGGCATCGTTGTTCCAGCAAAACTGCTCAAGCGGGATCCGCGTATGGTTGAACGCAAGAAGCCTGGTCGCGCAAAGGCTCGCAAGGGGGTAAGTACTCGACTTGTCCTGCAGCGAATCCTATCGTCTAACACATCGCTTGCAGTACACTTGGGTCAAGCGTTGATCGAGACTTCGCACAGGTCCTTGCATTGCTACAGTCGTATAATAGCTCACATCCTTGCCGTAATCTATGCTTGCCATGTCCCCTCACTGCCGACCAATCATCGGTCCTCAAACCCACATAGCATTGTCAAGTCGCCTACGACGAGTATGAGTTCACCTTCAAAGCGAAATTTTGGATGCAATTGAATCTTTGTGCTCTACACATGTACATGCACTATTTCTCAACTACACAACTACGAGGTAAGGAAAAGACCTGATAGTGAGATGGTCGTCAGCTTGGTCGTTCTCAAGTAGGGAGTAAAGAAAATGTAAACGAAAGTAAGGAGTCAGCATTGCAGAAGTAGAGTCATCAACTGGCCTGAGCCATTAGACTGTTGAGCTTGAAAATGTGATAGATGTTCATCATAGGAGGAGCACGACGACGGCGATCCCGAAAAGGCAGGAACAAATAACGGAAAACTCACCATGTACGTTGCCCCGCCTGTGTCCTTCAAGATCCAGGCCGTCCAAGCGATGAAGCACGTCCACGACGCGTTGAGGACAAGGATGGACGGAGTCGAAAAGCAAGACGCGAAAAAACTGGACGCGGCAAACCGGGCGCTTTTGAATTAAATCTTCGTATTCCCACGGCTCGGCATCCACCGACTCCCTCTTCGTGCTAAGTACAAGCTTGACTCTACCTTCGGCCAGTCTTTCACTCATTATGCAGCGCAGTATTGCTTACAGGTGCGTTGCAAGGGTAAAATTTCCAGGATGCCTTCTTTCAGAAATCATTTGGCACTATCCTGCCCCGACTCAGGGGGACACTCAAACATACGGCAACATCTTACATAAATATCCGCTTCCCATGGTTTCAGAGTCATGTTGAGGACAAAAATAATAAATAGAAGCGTTGATACAGAAACAGAGGAAGCATTGTTACACCATTAGAGGAGGCGTCGATAAGTACCTACTCAGCCGGTGCGTAGCGGTACCCAGGACAAGCATGCGGTCCGTTCAAAAACGAGAGGTTGTAAGCCCACAGGCCTGACATACTGGACACGGCGTCACGAAGGTGCTCTCGACGCTATGGGCTGAATTCATCGGGACATATGAAAAAGACTCAGACGCCGTAGAAGCAAGCAATGTACCGGAATTCCGAAGCGTCCTCTCCCCAGAGAGTCGGATCCTGTTTCAAACCGAGTAATGGCAGCACTATAGCCGTGCCCTCTAGTACACCAACCACATCCGTCGTTAGTATAAATGTCTGTAATTTAATAAACGCACGAGGTCTGGTCATGGCTGCAACCGTTAATCTTGACGGGCTCGCGGAGAGGAATCGTGTCGTCCGCCTTGGTAACGCAAATAGACGAAAGGGTGCGCCCGAACGTGCCCACCCACTCATCGTGCAGGCCGGTCGGGTAGGTGTTCCAGATTTGCCTTGCCCAGCCGAGGAGGATGGAGAAGGAGGGCCGGGGAGTTGATGAAGCTGGCTGTGCTGTGCGCTAACGAACACCTGCAAGACCTTCCGGCACGCTACAACCAACGCACCCACAACGAGAGGAAAAAAGAGGGTATAAGTTGACATTGACTTAGAAGAGAGGGAAGAGAGGTCGAGCGCAATGTGATTGAGGATAGACGAAGCGGAGACACTAAAATATCAGTGCTGGCGCTTCACAAATCAGATTCAGTATTTGTTCGGCCAAGTGTTCTCAATCCGCTCGTGCACATGGTGTCGCAGACACCGTCGGGACTGAGGCCTGAGGCCTGAGGTCTCAGGTAGAACTTCTTCTGGGGTCAGAACCCACAGGTACCCTCAAAGGCGTGCTCTCTGCACACCCCATCCCTCCTCGGCACTAGGCTGCTAAGCCCATAATGGTACGCCCCACAATGTTGGCCTCCAAGAATCCGCGATCCTGCTTCATTTTCGGCGAAGACTCGCCATTTGCGCAGCTGTGAGAGCGGGGGCTGGTCCTGTGACACCGCTGATAGACAGCCCGACGAATGGTGAGTAAGACAATAGAAACAAGGTAATAAGGTACACAAAACGCAAAGATCCGCGACTCCATAAGGGAGGTCCACTCGTATGGGCGACGTCGAAAAAATCATTGGAAGAACAACGTATGAACTTCGCCCTGGGAGAAGGCGACATTGCAAGCCGGACACTTGCGCTGTCGCGTCGCCACCCGCGCATCTACGCAGTCCCTACAGAAAGCTGAAGCGGTACATTTAGCGAATCGGTAGATGACGAGATAAAGGTTAACTCACTGTGCAGACATTTTGTGATCACTGTGTTGCGCATGTTCATCTGACACGTGGAGCACTTGAGCAAAAGCTGTCGTTACAGACTCAGTTTCATCGGGTAAAACATCTGATGGGCGACAACTACGAACCATGCACTTCGTGACCTCTTCTTGGAGTTCTGCTTCTCGCGCGTCCGTTCCTGACGTCGTCGACATGGACTTCAGCTTCGCTGTCTGTTTGTCGGCCTCCTTCTTCGACTTCAGAAGGCTCTCCTCGAACTTGCGGAGCTCTGCGCGTTTCCGCTCGGCAGATTGGGAGTGCTCTTGAAACGCTGCGCGTATCTGCCAGTCATGAAGTCAATTTTGTCGCCCCAACGCGATGCAACCCTATCACTGTACCTCCTCGACCTGTTTGCGTTCACCTTGAGCACGGATCTTCCATTCGGCGGACTCCATCTCGAGAGTAGCGGTCTTATCCCTGAGTGTGTCGACAACTTTCTTCACTAGTGAAAGTTCTTTCTCAAGGTCCATCTGTATAGCATTTCAATGGCATTCTAATTTGGAAGACCATGAATGAGGAAAACTCACAGCTCGATACATGAGGTTTTTCTCTGAATCTGTGAGCTTCTCGATGGCCTTCGCTGCTTTCTCCAGGTTGACCGACAGCTTCTTGCGCTCTGTTTCAGTAGCTTCCTTGTCGCGCATGCATTGATAGAACTTGTTTTCCGATTTGGCTCGCTGCGAAGCGCGGACAAATGATCAGCTATCACATGTGATCAGCAATCTGTCAACAAACCTCCGTGTTGAGTTTGTTCAGACGCTCTTCCATCGCGGCCAGATCAAGTACCTTGCTCTTCACTTGTCGATCCAAAGCTTCCCACGCGGAGGAGAGCTTGTCCAGTTCATCGTAGAGGGCGGACTCGGTCTGATGCAATCATGAGCTATGGTAAAGTCGCAACTCCAAAAACTTACCTGCTCGCGATTCTTCTCCTGGAGCTGAAGCCTTTCAACCTCACTCTGCTTGTGCTGCAGTTGCGCCGACAACTGTGCGGTCTCAGGCGGCATCGATGAAGCATCGCCATAGACGACTTGGTACTTCTCCAACTGCTTCTGGACCTGAGCCAACTGTCTCCGTAGGTCGGCCTCACCTTTCAAGGAATCTGAGCGCTCGGCGAGCGTCTTCTCGAGTGCGGCCTTCTCCTCCTCGGTAGCACTAGAGGAAAGTGGCACGTCAATCAATCACAAGAACAAAATTACTGTATTAAAGCACGCACGTCAACCGGCGCTTGAGGTCTTCGACGTAGGACGGACCGTCGGCAGTGCTCTGCCACAGGAACGACACGAGGTCCGCATCATCAGCGTTCGCCGCGAGGCGCGTCTTCAGTCGCTTGATCTCGGACTGGAGGACAATTATGCGTTCCTGTTACCTGACGTCAGTTGCCTGCCATTATTGACGCACCGGGCCGGACATACGGCTCGCGTTTCGGCGAGAGCTTTAAACTCCTGCGCAGACGTGAGCCTGGCCTGCTCACGCGCCTTCCGCTCGGTGATTTCTGCTTGATACTGGTCTCGCTGTTCGCGCAAACGTGTCACCTCTAAATCTCGCTTCGCCAACGATGTCTTCATCTCTGCGATACAGGCATCCTGTGCAAACTAAAACATGACATGAGTGGGCATTCTACCACTCCGTGATGTACAATTACCTTCAAGCCACGTTCGAAGTCTGTGTGCCGAGCACACAAGCCGTCGTACTGTTTCTTCAATTCGATGACCTGAGTTTGTGCTTCTGTCGCATCATGTTCGAACTTCGATGCTCGCTCGAGTAGAACCTTATAATACATCGACTCAGATACAAGGTTCTCGGGGGACTCTTGAGCTGTGCGGGAAGATTGACGAAAGCACGATACCGAGGGATAGAATCACATACCTGTATTTGGGCGTCCTGAAGCTGGTCTTGCAATGCTTGGCGCTCTCGTGAAAGCTCTTGAATCTTCGTTTCGCGTAACGTGGCAATATGTTCCCATGTATCCAGGTCTGTGCCATGATTTCCATTGACAGCTTGCGGCTGCTCCATCCATAAAAGTATGCACATAAACAGCGGAACTAGACAGGCCAAGAAGTTTACTCACTGCTGGGGAGCCGCCCTCCGCCGGTGTGCCCTCGCCACGATCTTCACCCACTACGGCAAGTTTCTGTGACGCAGGCCTGCATTGTAGACGGTCCGCTCGCATCTCAGCTGAAATGAGTTTCTCATGGACTTCGTCTCTCTGTGCTTCCGAATCCCGAAGTTGGGACTGTACTAGAGATAGTTCAGACCGCAAGGCAGAACACTGAAGAGACGATCAGGTTACGGTCACGTGTTGAGGACTTGGGGCATACCTTGGTGTCTGCGGCTTGACATCGCCGCAACAAATCCTCGTTAGAAGGACCTGACTGGCGTTGGGATGCGAGGTCAACGAACGCCTTGACAATATCTGTTGTGGTGTGCATCTTGTCGCGAACGGCCTCGATGTACTCGGGGTCGGTGACGGTGTCTTTGTCGTCGTCGCCGTCGGAAGAGAGGTGCAGAGCCAGGTTGTAAATACCTGGATAACGAAGACATGTTAGAACGCCGCTCAGTGTACGCAACCGGAGAACGACTCGCCTTCCGACTCTTTCTCAAGAGAAGGGAGGTCCTCCGGCTTGACAAGGGTACGGATAGTGCCCAGCAACTGCGCACGGTATGAGGGCGGGCGGAACTCGGACGCGTGTCGCTCGAGACTTACCTGCGTCCAGCACGCCTCTATGGCAGCCACCCCCACCCGACACGTATGGATCTGCTTCTCTAACTCTTGCACTCGTGCCTGTTTCCTATCCGCTTCGCGTGAATAGTGCTTCATGCGTCTGAAGATAGCCTCCTTGCGGAACAGCTGTGCACGAGCAGGTAAGATACACTTGCAAAAGCACTGAGATCAAACACACGGTACCTCGATGGGGTCGTCGTCCTTGGGTTCGTCAGCATGAGAGGTGGACGCGCCGTTCAGGTGACTAGGCGAGTCATTCTCGTTCGAGACCGCCCGCTTCTTGGATCGCGAGTGCTCTCCGTCATCAGCGTGAGGACGCTTCTTCGACTCCATGGCTGGGTGGCGAGAGCGGGTGGTAGCGGGGGGCGAGGATAAACAAGACCAGCCACCGTGAAGTCGAGCAGGAGGTCGACAGCAAGGGACGCTCGCCAATTTCGAGCTCCGCCACCCTCTTTGGCGCGCCTCGTCCTGAGCGCCCTCCTTGCCCTTCTTGTTCCCCTCCAGTCCTCGCTGTACCTGTGGCCTGTGCTTTCTCATAACCGCGTGTTCTGTTTGTGTGCCCCGCCCCCTCATGCTTCACTCCTGTTTTGTTCTTGCGTTGACCGTGTTGACCACATTCATCTGTCGATCTTCATCATTTGTGTCTGATGACAGTGTATACCTCGGACGGTCTTAACGGCAGCTGCGCCACGCATATCCCAAACCATACTTTGAAGGGAGAAATACAGGATCGTATAGCCCGTGAGTACACATACTAGTCTTTAACTACCTTGTCTATCCAGCCAGGAGATCTGCAATCAAGCATGAGTTCAACCGTCTCGTATTGCTGCTCACATTGTCCGAATAGCGTCTCAACATGACTACTACATGAAGAATCTAAGCTCAAGCATGTGCATGACCGTTGATCACCGTGAGTGCGTAAGGCTCCTCCAAATACTTGATTTTTTCCTCCGTCAATTGCACGTCCAGGGCCCCTGTGCGATTCTTTTTCAGTACCGTCGTGTCATCATGTATGAAAATACTTGCCAAGATGTCCTCGAGGTTGCTGAAGCTGGTGGTGTCGACAACGGGGGCAGAGACGTGGGGCGTCGAACGGAATCATGCGAGAGCTGCCTGGCCCATGCTGACGCCCTTCTTCGATATCTCTTCCACGACATGTATCATGAGTTAGTGCTTTCAAATTTCCTTCCAGTCGGCGAGGCGCTCACCGGTTGACGATGGTCACAGTGTTCTGGTTTTTGTTCCGTCCGATGATCCTATTGTCGACTACAGTTGATTTGCACCATACCAATCCCGTATGCTGACAAGTCGATGTCACCCCTCTTGGATCCCGTGTCGACAGGCTGCCAAGTGAGCAGACCTCTGGCCATCGGCGACAGTGGAATCGAACCAGAGTCGATAGCATCTCTCGTTCCTCCCCGTGGTACACGAGATTATGGTGCTTCATGAACGGCAGGAGGTGGTGGGTAATGGCTTAGTCTGTATTTTGTCAGGCAAGCAAAACAAGCCGTTCTCGTACAACTCACTTTACAATTGCTGGACTGCGGATGCCTTACGGTGAGCCATCCGTTTCGTTGACCGTGACTTGTACACATATATAATAAAGTAGATGTCGAGCTGCAACCGCTTCAATTGATCGAGTCGAAAGTGCGCTATCTTCTCGCTTGCTTTGAGATTCATCAAGCTTGGGCATGGACTGGTAACGTGCCTTCCGGCTCAGACCGTACTGATTAATTATGCCCAAGTCCTCCCGCTTCTCGTCCGACCCAAGGAGATATATAGCATTCACGAACATGGCTTCGGACATTCCATTGAAGTATCATCGGGTGAGTACTTGGACACCATCAAAACATTGCAAGTTTCTCTCGCGTCTGCGGTATCGAACGTTGCGACGCCCTTTTCCTAGCTGTTTACATGGTCAGTACCAGTTGTTTGACGTCACCACGAGGGAGGTAGTTATCCCGTCAATCTAGTCAGTTCCGCAGGGCACTGCATATGCCCGAACCAGTTACGTTCTGACGCATGCGCACGCGGGATGTGGTGAGCTGAAGGCAGGGAGTGCACTGTGGCGCCGGCGTCCGCGCGAGAAGGGAAGTTGTCGCGTGGGGTCGGCCTCGTATTTAAACTCGGCCAAGCGGCGCCGCTCCCCCGTACTGCACGTACCGCACGAAGTCTCTCAAGTGTTGGCGCTCATACTCGACCCCTGAACGCTGGGGCGCTGAGCTCATGGACATGACCTATCTCTCGGTGCGTGGCCCGAGATACGACCATAGGAAAGCTATCCCCGCTCAGGGAAACCTAGGTCAGCAACTCTGTTTTGCTCTCGTGATATTTGAACTTGCGGCGCAGCGGCCGACGGCGATGGGCGCGTTGGAACCGAACTGAGGACGGGAAACGAGCTAGCGAAATCTGAAAGGCGTAATGTGTCATCGCTTCATACTGACAATGGCCTTCAGCTCACCGCTGTGCCTTTTTTGACACAGGTGCGGCGTTTTCTCATGGGTTACACTTAGTGGGCGAGCGTTCTCAGCCTGTGGGCCTGCTTCTAAGGGCTGATCGCACCTTTGGCTTTGGGTGCTCGTCACAGGTCGTCTGTGCGCCATAAGTAAGTGTACGGGGAAGGCGCGCGATTTAGAGAGGCTCATCCCGTATAACCGCTGGGGCGGGAGGCCAAAGAGAGGGCCCCGCCAATGCCGAACACACCAGACCCGGACCATCAGCCATGCAAAGGGTGTTTTGACATGTCAAGTATGTAGCCTGGTGTGTATGCTCCATCTATATGCGTGACTCCGGCAGGCATCGTTTTGCAAATTCCAGTCCGCAGCTGGCGAGCGTGCTGTGCCGATGCAGAGCTGCGCCTCGGCGCCTCTCCCAAAAGATTGGAGAGCCGGGTCCGGGACCCGGCAACCTCAATCACCGAGCTCTCATAGAGGAACTCTTATACGTGGGTTCGACCGCTCGAGACTGAGAGTTCTGTCACCATGCTAGAGCGACTTATACCTCCAGGTCCTCGGGCTATTCTCGCCAATGCGCACTACCTCCTAGGACCTCCCCTCCTCACCTACTCTGCCTTCCGGCTTCTACACAGCTCCGCGGCCGTACTATCGCTCCCAAACTGGGCGATCTCCTTCGCTTGCCTGCTCGCCCTTCCTCTCGCTTTCACTCTCCAGTCGGCATGGTTTTTCTTCCATATGAAACGGCGCGCTGCAGCTCAAGGTGCCAGCATTCCGATTGTAGCTGCGATGAGCAAGGGCCGGGTAAACTGGAAGAAGACCCAAGACAAGTATCCTCGTGCGTACATTTCCCTAGCTGTACCCGTAGTTGACTCTAACCAGTCTTCGTGATAGGCGACGTGCAGTTCAGATTGAGCGCCCATTACGGGCACTCCTTCATGATGCGGCCCTTCAACGTCTTTTGGCTGGTTCGTCCCCGTTGTCTACCCGATTCCCTCGAAGCTAATTCGTGGGCAGTTCTACACCGACGAGCCGGAGCATATTAAGGTATGTTCGCCAACATTTTTTGGATCCTCAGCATGAACCGCCTTCTCAGACAATTCTGGCCACCAAATTCACGAACTTCGAGAAAGGTCTGTTTTGTCCAAAGGATGTACTCTACATATGGAAACAGAGTCTCACATTACTGCTCCAGGGCCCGTGTTCCGCGAACAGCTTAAATCACTCCTCGGCTCTGGTGTATTCAATGCAGATGGTACGCAACACCGAGTCTGAGCCCGACTTGTGCTCATGATCGTTTGTGTCAGGCGATTTGTGGAAATTTCATCGGTCGATGACCAGGCCATTCTTCAGCAAGGAGAGGATTACTCACTTTGATATCTTCGACCGGTAAGTGCACCGCCTAATAAGATGCTCTTGTCTCTGATGATATACAGGCATGCCCTAGATGCAATCGAGCAGATGAAGGCACGATGCAGGGAGGGGTTCTCCGTCGATTGGCAGGCAAGTCTTGCTCGCTTTCCTCGTCCACCGTACGTGCGGTAATCAACGATGTTAAATCACGACACAGGATCTTGCTTCGCGATTCACAATGGACTCTGCTACAGAGTTCCTTTTTGGCAAGGACGTCTGTTCACTTGCTGTAGGACTGAAGTATCCTCCCACCTCAGAGAAGGGCCAAGTGCAGACCATCCAAGCCGACTCAGACGAGTTTACGATCGCATTCGCCGAGGCTCAGACCGCCGCCGCGGACCGCTCAGACTTCCCGGGCATCTGGGGTCTGTTCGAGTTCTGGAAGGATGAAGTCGAAGCCCGACGGGACTCAATTGACAAGTTCATCAATCCCATCATCGAAGACGCTCTCAAGAGGAAGTCTGGGGCGGATATGGACTACGGCGACAAGTCAGCTGAGGAAGACACCATGCTTACCCAGATGGTGCGGACCACAGATGGTGGGATTGACGGTTTGTTTGCAAATGAATTACCCTCATGCATAACACCTTAGATGCCCAGCTCATCCATGACGAAACCATCAATATTTTGCTTGCTGGCCGCGACACTACCGCGAACACCTTAACTTTCGCCGTGTACAGTCTCGCGGAACATCCGAACGTTCTGCGCCGGCTTCGACGGGAGATTCTAGATGTCGTTGGACCTACCCGTCGCCCGACTTATGACGATATTCGCTCCATGAAGTACTTGCGAGCCGTCATCAACGAAACCCTGCGCCTGTACCCACCTGTGTGCGTACAGTCTACTCCCGTGGCGAACACAGACACTCATTTATATTTTTTTACAACAGCCCTACGAACATTCGGTGCGTCACTCGGCATCTTGTGTGTTGTACATCACTGAGCATCTCGTAGCACTGCGGTAAATGACACGGTCATCCCGTCGTCGAGCCTTGGTGGAAAGGGGCTGTTCATCCCTGCGGGGATGCCATGCGTCTATTCCGTCTTCTGTATGCACCGCAGGAAGGATCTCTGGGGCCCGGATGGTAAGTCTCCGTCCTATCCTCCGCAGTCATCTCTCAGTTTAACCCCTCCTCCGTGCCTCCACAGCCTTGAGCTTCGACCCGGACCGCTTCATCGACGAACGCCTGCAGAAGTACCTCTCCCCAAACCCGTTCATCTTCCTCCCCTTCAACGCCGGCCCGCGGATCTGCCTCGGTCAACAGGCGAGAGTCCCCCGCGTTGCCCTACGTCCCTCACCCACTAAATAATACCCCTATGCACAACAGTTTGCGTACAACGAGACGTCGTTCATGCTCGTCCGCCTCCTCCAGCAGATCTCTGCGATTGAGTTCACGCCCGAGGTCGCTCCTGGTTCGCGGATCCCCGATGGGTACAACGACTCCCCGGGATCGGATGGCACGGACCGTGTTTGGTTCGGAACCCACCTCACGGCGTTTGCTAGGGTGCGTATGCCCTCTCGGTGTAGTGGTTAACCGGTGTTGATTTTTCTCGCAGGGCGGTTTATGGATCAAGGTCACAGAGGCCGAAACTACTGCCACGACCGAAGAATGATCGGTAGGAACATGTGAATGAGGACTGTGGACCAGGGTTTGGTAGGGCTTGCTAATGCAGATACGGCCAGAGTGGTGTCAGGATGTACATCAATAATATACAATGGTAATATCGCTACAATGTTGTCGGCGTTGAAGCATCGAAAAGTGTCGAGCATCCAAGCTGGGCCAAGGAGACTGAAAAGGAGTGTCGACATTCCGTCCCCTTCTCTGAGAACATCTCCTATTCTGAAGCAATCCTTCGCGCAATTTGTTTGGTGGCGGATAACTTGCATGCCAGACCGCACACGGTGCATGCTGTGGTGTCCCTCGTTCTAAGTAGTCCCAGCACCAATAGGGGGGACAGATGCGGCGATGATCAAGGAGTAGCTGTAAATGCATTGAGATGGTTTCAACCACGACGATAGGATGGATTCACTTATTGAAAAAAATATGTCCGGTCTTATCTTCGTTGTGTGCTCAATGCTCATGTTCTCCGGGGTATTCCTCCTCTTGAGGTCGTCGTGGTCCCTCTGACAGAGGTTCCGCGCCTTACACCAGGAAGGCCGCTAGTTGTTGAAGCAGTTCCACGATTCGAACTCGTGGTTGGCGCGACTGGAGGATCATCAACTTCAAATACACTCTAGTCAAACACCAAACTCACCGCGTCCTCGCGTCGCTCCCCCTGTTGCCCGCATCGACGCTCGCGTTCCCCGTACCCCTCGTACTCCGCTTCCCCGAGGGCTTTGGCCGCCGCCTCGGCCCGTTCGCGTTCCTGCTGCTCGCGAAGTGCGCGCTCTTCACGTTCGCGCTGCTCTCGCTCGAGCCTCTCCTTCTCTCTTTGCAAGGCGAGCTGACGTTCTTCCTCTTCGCGCTGCGCACGTTCGCGTGCCTCAGCTTCTTCACGGTCCAACTGTTCTTCGTCCTATCAAACAGAAATGCCGCCGGATTTTCTGTTAGAGACCCCTTCAGGAGCACTGGCCAAGACGGGGGACTCACAGCGTCCGCACCGTACCATCGCTCGTCCAGCATAAGCTTCGTGATCTTCTCCGACTTCGACAGCATCCGGACATACTTGTCCAGCAGCGCGTTCGTGTGATCCAGCCTCACAGCGACCCTCTACACCAAACGGGCCGCGCCTATGAGATCGCGCCGGACCGCAGAATCGAGGAAGCCACTCACGTCCGTGCTCGACTTCGTCGCCCGCAGCGCGTCCTTGTACACGTCAAACGCGGCGTTCAGCTTCCTCAGCAGGAACAGGTCCTGCTGCAGCCGCTCCTCGCGCGTCCGCGTCGCCGCGCGCCGCGCCTTCTCCTGCTCCTCCTGCGTCATCGTCGCCTCCCCGCCCGCCCCGTCCTCGCCGTCGTGCGCGAACGCGCTCTCGTCCGGCTCTGGCGTCTGCGGCTGCGCGAGCAAGCTGAACGGCCGGCGAAGCGTGAGCTTGGGCTCTGGGCGGGTGGACAGGGAGAGCTCGGAGAGGGATAGGTCGGCGCCGCCGGGGCCGGTGCGCGAGGCGGAGCTTGAGCTGATGTCGGGCGTGGGCTCGGAGAGGAGGCGGAGGCCGCTGGAAGGCATGTCCACATTTGAGAGGTCGAAAGAATCCATGATGAAGAGGTGTTGACGGGAGTGAGTAGTGGTATACAGGTCTGCCAATCAGCGATCGGTCGGCTCAACGCGTCGCGTAAACATATTTCTGTGGCGCGGTCACGTGGAAACGCTAAACAAGTAGTAGCATAGTAAAACAAAAAGGTCGTATTGTAGAAGCAGTACTTTGAGCATACATGGCATGTGTATAGATAATGGAACGTATGCCGTCAGCCATTTGGAGTTCGGAGACGTTGGTGAAGACAAGGTAGCTGCCGCTTATGTCTGTGACTCCCGTATAAGTGCTTCAGCACCTGGTGAGCGAGCCTTGATCACGCATGTGAAGCCCGAAGGGTATCTAACGGAAGGCGTTTGTGCATCTGCATCAGTGCGATAATGTCGTAAGCTCTGCCGACTTACGACAGGAACCCAGTGGACACCTTGACTTTGACATTTTTAGGCGTACCATCGGCTTCCAGAGGCGGCGTGATTCTGAACACATGTAGAGCGCAGGCGATATTGATGAACAAAGCTGCATCCGCTAGATTCTTCCCGAGGCATACTCTGAGCAATCATGACTCATCAGCCTGTTGGAGAAGGAAAAGTCACTGAGTGCTCACCGCCGGCCAAAGCCAAAGACAATGTCTGCGGGGTCGGGAGCATCCCGATTAAGAGCGCCATCCTTGAGGTAACGTTCTGGCTTAAAACGCTCGGGGTCTGGGTATTCCTTGGGATTGTGCATCATTGCCCTATTGCAAAGAAGTCAGATGAGTCCACAAACACTACGGGCGCGCCTACCAGATGTTAGCGAAGACGAGTGACCCTTGAGGAATGAAGTATCCTTCGTACTCGTCGTCTTCCGTGGACCTATGGACTACACCGAGAGGAACGATGTTCTGCCACCGGAGGGCCTCTTTGACAACTGCATTGATGTAAGGCAACTTTGCGCGATCAGTGAACTCGGGAAGCCTGTCGAGACCGATGACAGCGTCAAGTTCTGCTTGCGCCTTGACCTGAACCTCCGGATGCAAGGCCATTGCCATGTAGAAAGACAAAAGTGTGGAGAAAGTCTGTGTGATGTAGTTAGCATCAATGACACCTCGAGCAAGATATCGGAGCTGACAGTGTCGGAGCCCGCTGAAGTTAATGTCAGTACAAAAATGACCTTCACGGGTACATGTACTCACCCGCATAGACGTTGGCAGCTCCGATTTTGGCTACACGCTCCTCGTCGGCTGTCTCCTCAGACGTGAGGTTCGACTGAGAGATGTGGTCCAGCATTTGGTGCGTCGCGGAGTGGTATCCCTCGCCCTTTAACTATGCGATCATCGGCAAAGCCATATGGACGCGAACTGAGCACACGCACCCACGCTTCTTTGGCGACATTGAACGGCATGTTGAGCATCTCGTCGACTAGCTTTCTCCATTTTGCGAATTTCCTCTGGAAACCCGCACCAGGTATCCAAGCAGGCACATACTGTAGTATCGGAATATGCTCGACAAGGAAGCTCCCTGCCATGAGCCCTTCCGTAGGACCTTCAAGAGCAGCATGGAGCAGAGGAGAGTATGTCGTATCGTCCGAGGGAATCTCGATGCCATACATGGTCTTGAGTGTAGTCGCGGCAAATGAACTGATATCGTGAAATCTGAATCAACCAGCGGCACGAGACGCGGCGAAATTCGCGGCGGACACTCACAACTCAAGCAATTCTCGCAGACGATCAGGATCGGCACGGACGATGCGAAGAAGTCGACGTGACTCTTCCTCCAGCACGGGTAGATGGTCCAACATCGCTTTCGGGGTGAAGTGCTGTGAAGACGCACGACGTGTGCGCCGCCACTCTTCGCCGTAAGGAACAAGCGGTGTATTCCAACTCCAACCCATTCTGTCGGGATTTGTCAGCGGGGTGGCATGCGAACTGCGCGTCCTCTCACTGACAGTTCGACAATTAGGGACTTCGGGCGGTCGGAGTAGATATTGGAGCGCTTGTCGAGGAGCTCATATGCAGCAGTGGGTGAGTTGAGGACAATCATAGTCTGGTTCCCGGGCAGCTGGAGGCCGATGATATCGCCTACAAGCCATGTCAGCAGCGAGGCTTTATTCAGATAAACAAAGCTCACCATAGAGCAAACCCCAATCACGATAGACGACCCACGGAAGTTCCTTCGGAATATCACCCAAGTTCCCTAAAAACCAGCTTGGTTTGGGCCCAGGAGGTAGACGGCCGCGTTTTTGACCGGACTGTGAGCGGAATAGGGCGAAAACGAAGCCGGCTACAAGGAGAGAGCCCGCGATGATCTGACTTTGAGACATGGTGGGTGCTTCCAAAGATAAGTCGAAAGGCGGCGCACCTTATATCTGCAAATTGTCCGTAGCCAAGGCCCCTCCTCGTGCCAACCCGCATTCGACTCCAAGCGAGACGCCCGCCCGGAGTCTCACCGGTCTTTTTACACTGGAGACAGAATGCGGAACATAAGGCCTGAGACCTAGGCGCACTGGTTGGGATAGAACGAATCATGTACGACATGCTCGCGCTTCTGATTGGCAATAGTTAGCTGAAAACTCTGTGCTAGAGTGACGAGCTTCTTACCAATGAGCTCGTGCCTGGTCACTTGGTGCTAGAGCTCGGCTCTGACGCCGTGCCGGCTCCTGTTGTAGTCTATACCAAGTTTGACATTCTCAACTACCCGTGAATGACCGGAAGGTTTCCCTGTGTGCCGCCAGACATTGCAAATACTGCTCCCGCCCAACCTCAGCAATCGCTTCAAGGAAACATAGTACATGCGAGGCCGCTGGAAAGACAATTGCGATCAGATCGCAAGCAGGCCGCAATACTAGCTTACCTTTGTTCACTGAAGCAACCCCAAGACCTCCGCTATAAAGTTAGCTCATCTCAGTGCGACGACTCGGACTTCTTGTGCGAGCTCATTCTAGGTGCACTTGAATCCAATGTGAGGGTAGGCGGAGATGTTGGATGGTCAAAGAGCGAACTCGTGCTGACGTTGAGCGGAATTTCAGGCTTCAACGATGGTGAAGTTTGATAGCTAGGACTTTAAGCGCCGGCCACTGGTGCTCGTTGGCGTGGGGGGGCGGGCCGGTGGGCAGTGGCTGTGAGGGCAGGATTTATCGGACGACGAACGTTCGAATTCGCTGCTCTCAGCCACGACGACCATGTTCCCCCCTGTAGAGCGCCAGCTGATCGTCTTTGATTTCGACTGGTAGCTGAGATCGCCGCAGTTCGCTCTCATAAATGCTGAACACGCATATTCGCAGGTCCCTGGCTGACCAGGACACCGACAGATGGGTACTCGAGGTTCTGGCGCCGAAACTTCGCAGGAAGATGAAGGACCTCAAGAAGGATGTTCAGTGGACCGACCTCGTGTAAGATTTTTGCCTCTATCTGTATGCGCTATTATCTGATCCCTTGAAAGCGCTCAGAGCATGAAAGAGCTTTTTGAGCTAGGCGGGACGAAGGAACAAGTCGAAGATGCCCTACGCGCAATGCCATTCGTACGTAAATCACGGACATGATAGTGCTACCGCAGATCTCAGACATCTTGCTGCAGCACCCGGCGATGGTTCGCGGAGTGACTGGTCTCAAGTCTAGGGGGAAAACGACCTTCTTTTGTCTGTCCAACTCCAACATCATCTACATCTCTACCATCCTCAAGGCGCGTGTCCCTTCGCCGCACATTCGATGCCGCTATGCTGAGCCTGACGCTCTTCTTTCCGAATGCAGTCCAAGGGCCTCGACGATCTCTTCGATGAGATCGTCACCAACCCCGCCGAGTGGGAGCCTTCCGGGATGCTCAACGTCCGTCGACGGATCGACCCGGCCGGGCCTCAGCACGAGTGCAAAGTCGGCTGCAGCCCCAACATGTGCAAGGGTGCGCCCACCTCGCGAGCCTGGCGCGCGACTTCATCTTCCCTCGCTGACCGGCATCGCGCTCACCACAGGCGATGAGTTCGAGGCTTTCCTGAAGCGGAATGGGCCCGGCTTCGACCGCGTCATCTACGTTGGCGACGGCTCGAACGACTTCTGCCCCGTCCTCCGCATGCGCAAGTCAGTACCTCGCTCCATGTCATCTTCGCTTTGCTGACTGTGAAGTGGATGCCGCCCGCAATCAACCAACAGGCAAGACGTGCTCTTCTGCCGCCGCTACCGAGGTCTCTACGATCTCGTCAAGCGGTATGAGAAGAGGGCCGCCTCGAGCCCAGGGTCGAGTACTGGACCGGCGCGTGGGAGGCTGAAGAGCTCCTCGATAAGCTCTGAGGCAGCCTCACGGCAGCGACGGATGCGCAGTCGGTCGAGTCTCAAAGAAGCGACCTTGTTCTTGTACGTCGGACCATAGAAGCAAGTCATGTAGAGCACGGAAAGCCTCGTTCAACCGGGCCAATAACCTGTATCGATACCATTGGAAGCTGTCACCACCATTTCGCGCATCCATCCGAGATAGACAGCTGAGCGCTGAGCGTTCGCGCGGGGTGCGTGGCACTGTGGACTCCGATACGTGTCGGAAGAACATGATCGGCGGACAGATTGAATGGAGTTTGGGGTGCCTGGGCCGTCACCTGGCCGAACCCCAGAGTAAAGCTGCGAGGCAGAGCGAGGGAAAAACATGTTCGGCAATATTGTGAGATCAGCGCATAGAGCGACGGGCATTGAGAGAGGATCGTGAAAGTATCATTGGTGGGAGCTGCGCGGATGTATATATCGAGAGCGGGTCGGAGAGGCGCAAGCAGGCTACACGTTTATGTACGATGTACGGGGGGACGAGGTGTGAGATCAGCTGGGAGAAACAATACTGCGAGGCATTGGGAAGGCCGAGAGCGGAAACAGGAGGACGTTGCGGGGTGCGGATTGGGGGATGTAGAGAGGGAGCGAGGGAAAGTTGAGAGATATAACCGAGGTCAAGGAATGAGCAAGCATGTAATACACGCGTCGTAGACGATCGGAGTAGCGTCCGATGTGCGAGAAAGAGAAAGACGGGGCAGGGCAAGGGGCCACAGTCAATGGGGCGCACGCGCCAGAGGAAGAATTGTGCGAGCCTCGTCCGACGAAGCGCCGCTTCTTGGTTATCGAACTGACAACCATTTCACCTACGCGGTTTGCCCCTGGTGGCAAGGGCGAGACATGCGATCCGAGATTAGGCCGCTCACTGGGTCCAGAGCTCCATCCCGCTCTTCCGACGGGACTCCTTCGTGCTTGCCTGGGATTGGCTGTCCGCCCCACCGAAGGGGTTCCGCTGCTGCGAACCCATTGCGTGCCCGGCGGGGACAACTCCGGCGCCATAGAACGATGGCGCAACGGCCTGCTGCGGAGGGGCAACCTGGCGCGGGCCACCACCACCAGAGGAGCCTGGAGGATTGTATGGGCCGTACTGGTCGGGCTGGAGAGGGACGAACATGTTACTCAGGTCACCGCGGCGATCGAGCGCTCCGTCAAACGGGGACGTAGGCGTTTGGTTCGACGCCTGGGAGTATGTGGCTGCATAGCGGTTGCCGGTCGTCGTTGCGTTGCTTGTGTAGGCTTGCGGGGGACTTGGGATCAGGTTGCCTGCGGCGGAGGTGTAGAGCGGCTGGTCGCTAGCGTGCGCCGCATTGCGCGCGCTGTTGATGATCACGTCCCGGCGGTCTTCGTCGACGAGCATCGCGTTCGGCTGGTACGAATGTGCAAGCCCCGAGGTCGGCGGAGGGTACCGGCCCGACGCGCCGGCACCGTGACCCCAGTTGGTGAGACCTTGCGCGGCCGCCATCTCTGCCTGCTGCTGAAGGAATTCGAGCTGCGGGTATGGCTGCGCAGCAGCTGCCTTGCCTTGCTGCCTTCGTTCCCATTCTTTCATTGCGTCATCGCGCTTCAGCACCGGTGTGAGCGCCTTCCGACCCCCGATGACGTCTTGGTTCATATGTTGCAACCGCGCCAGGGCCGGGGGGATGTTGTCCGCCATGTTGTGGATGGTGTTGGAGCGATTGCGTGTCGACGAGTAGTAGGACTGACCGGGTGGAGCGGGGTTCAAGTGTTGAGGGACAGTGAACCCGCCAGTTCCAGCAGTGGCCTGGCCTGGGAACTGTGGCACGTTGGTGTTGACGTTCAGATGCCCATGCGAACTTTGGTGCGCGAGAGTGCGGTGCGATGACGTCTGCGAGCTGGGTGGGTTGAATGATGGAGCAGAGAAGTTGGGATTGGTGGTCTCTTGAGTGCCTCCGTACGATGACGATTGAGATTGAGAACTTTGGGGCTGAAGGTAGGGGTTCCGGTACGCATTCTGCGCCGCCTGGGATGCCGCCTGAGCTTGCGCTGTGTATGCTTGGTGCTGCGCGAGATGCTGGTTGTACGCTGCAGCGTCCTGGTACGCTCGGGTACCCTTTGGTTGGGAAGGGACCAACCCTCCGTATGGCCTCTTGGGATCGACGGGTGCGGCATTGGAGGATGAGCTCGGCGTCCCGGATGGCGCTGGGTGGCCAGACGTCGCGCCGGTAGGCTGAAAAGCATATGTCAACCAGCCGTACACTCACATAGATATCGATACACTGACTGTCCATGGTTTGGTCCACTTTTCTCCCGTAATGAAAGGATGTAACCGTGCCTGCTGAGGTGACCAGCGCTCAATGGGATTCATGTTCAAAAGTCCCTGGACGAAATCGATGAAGGAAGCGCGATTGTTCATCTCTGTCCTGGGCATCAGAAATTACAATGAGGCCAGGTCGAAGCAACGCACCCTTCTCGACTTCTGCTTGATGAGACTGTTGTCGTGACGAGGTCTTGAAGCTGGGCATCGGGGCTTGCTTGATGATCTCCGGAAGTGTGGTCGCTTTGAAGTACTGCTTTCCAGGCTGCTCGTTTGTGTTGTGTTCACGAGAGTACTGTTCGAGACTCTTGAGCCTGTACTTCTTGTGTCCGTAGTGGTCGACGAAGGAGTCGAAGAACTGGCCGGTTTGCTTCCCCATATCCAGCATATACTGCGGTGGCATCCTGTAAATCAATGGTTCAGAGACCAACCATCGTGTGCACAGAACAAACACGTACCCAAGCATCTCGACTATCCGCGTAATCTGGTTGTACTCGCTGGTGCCGGGGAAGAGCGGGAGACCAAGGAACAATTCCACAGCGATGCATCCCAGTGACCACATGTCAATTGCCGCTGTGTACGGAATTCCCAGCAGAACCTCAGGTGAGCGATAGAAACGCGACTGAATGTAGGTGTACACCGTTTGACGTTCATGGCAGGCAGACCCAAAGTCGATCACTTTGATTTGTGGCGACTGTAGACTGGGTTACGGCCAAACCGTGAGAAAGCGGGCGCATACATGGGTAACTCCAGACTTACGACTTCAGGAGGATATTTTCTGGTTTCAGGTCGCAATGGATCAATCGTGCCTCCTTCAGAATTGTGAGAGCGTCCAAGAGTTGAGCTGTGAAAACCTTGACAAGCTGGGTGCTGAGACCTTGAAACTGGTTCTGCTTGATCAACTCGTACAAGTTCGAGGAAAGTAGCTCGAAGACCAGGCACAGATGGCTTTTGTGGATGAAGGAATCACGCAGTCGGAGGATGTGATGCTCATCATGGGGATCACATTGTTGGTTCAACTGGAGACGTTTTAGTGAGAAAAAAACAAGCGTTACAGAATAAGCCACTGACCAGCTCCAGTATCGTGACCTCCATCATACTCTGGTTGAAGTAAGCTGGCTTGTTCTTGACGACCTTCACTGCGACGACCTCATGCGTCTTCATGTTTTGGCATTTCACCACTTGACCAAATGTTCCTTGGCCGAGGATGTCGAGGATGAGGTACCTGGAGATGTAATCGATGCTTAGGGAGCATCACAAAGGCAGGAGTAAAACGGGCGCACTTGTGACCATCATCCGTGCCTAACCAATCATTGACGTAGAGGATGTAGTCGTAGTCCTCATTATCGTATCCATCGTTGTGCACTGGCTTACTCGGCTTCGTCAGGACGCGCCGTGGGTTGTGGGTTGACTCATATTTGAACTGCGGGTTGCAAATGTGGTAGGTTTCGACCAAATTTGTCGTCAACTGCTTCAGCGGCTAGAGGCATGCGGTGCGGAGTGAGCCCCGACCTTGGCGCAAGCAGGATGCCGAAGCCATATTTGAAACACGCACCGACAGTGGCATTCCCGAGGAGTCTACTCTCCGACCTCCTGGCTGAGGATTCACAAATGGCCGCAAATCTCGTTGATCGCGTACGCGACGTAACCCAGAGGCGCGGCGCTTGAGAGTGTGGGGCTCCACAGCCATGGGCTGATGCTCTTGCGCAAAGTACTGAGTGGAAGACGGTGCAGGGGAATGGTGGGCGTTGCTAAACGACAACGGCGTTGTAGGCTGAGATATCGAAGTTTGCCGAGGATGCCTTGCCGACAGAGCATTGTTTGAGGGCGCAGGACTGGTCGTGTCCATTGGATATGGGCCGGTGTAATGTCCGGACGTTTGGGGAGAGTACGACGGAGGAGGAACGCGAGGAGACATGGGCTCGCCTTTTGCCTGAGATTGCGACCGAGAATGCGTCTGCGACGAGTATCCACCACCTCCTCCTCCTCCAGCGAACGGCTTGACGTCTCCGGTAGGGGAATACGGGTAGTTGTTTGTGGAGGAATAGTTATTCTGGGGTGGCGAGTACGGGTCCAGATAGCTGTTTCCGCCCTGCGACCTTTGAGGGGATCGTGGAGCTCTGGAAGACCCGGACTCGTGTTGGGTTTGACTCCTCTTGGGAGTGTGCACGCCTGGCCCGGTGAAGTAAGCGTCTTGGTATGGATCGCCACCGGTCGCCGCCGCTGAGGGGTTGGGGCCGGCTCCAGTCTGTTGTGAGTGGTACGCAACGCTGGACGGATACAAGGAAGCAGGCGTCTGCCTCTGCGCCCCGTCTCCTTCCACATGGAAGGCACCCTCCAGATCGTCCTGCATGTGGTGGCGGCGTCCCCTCGAAGAATTGGTTGCGGCGCTTCCACCGAGGGAGAGACTGCGTGCGAGGCCTGAGGTGGTATACGGAGACTGGTTCACGCCGAACTGGTGATCCTCGTCCAGAAGCTGGTTGATGCGAGGCTGCCTTGAAGAGCCGGAGGGCGGTTGCTGAATGGGCGGGAGACGGTTCGCAGCTTGAGGTGGCGGGCCTGCATTGTAGAGATAGGGAGCTTGAGCGGCGGCCTGAGCGGCCTGAGCGGACGAGGATAGCGGGTCGTGGATGGATTGGGTGTGCCAACGGGGGAGATCAAAGTCTTCGTTTGTGCCAGCCATGTATGGAAGCAGTTCAGGTTCCGGCATGTAAAGGGGGGAGATGCAAGCGGAAGGATCTGGCGCAGAGGCTGGCGCGGAGTGAGCACGACCTGGCGGGAGGTGAAAGGGTTTGGCGCTGAGGAAGACGACGAGGACGGGACGATGGGCGATGAGGAAAGGGCAGGTCCGATCATGGAAAGCGCCGAGGCGCGGCGCAGCGGCCCAAGATCCATCTCAGACGTCTCCTCCTCCAGGCTCCCGCGTACGCAGATCGATTTCTTATCGCTTATTACATGCGCTGCGCTCGCCCACTGCGTCTCCAGTGCTGTCTATTCCCGCCCAGATCACTACTGCGTGCCCCCCTGCGCCTCGTGCGACCGCAGGGTCTCGACGACTGCCCGCTCGACCGCCAGCAACAGCTTCCCCTCCTGGCCCATGGACCCAAGCGAAGGCGGCACATCAATGGACAAAAAGATCTGCTTCTTGAAACGGCGGGCTGCACCGGAGGCCGAAGGGCGCAACACGGCGACGACGGCCACTGGTTAGTGCAAGTGTCGCATGCAAGACAGTCGGAATATCACCGAGACGCTGTGCCATCGTCAAAGCCGCATCCGACGCCGAGGACCTGTAGAGCGACGTTCCCGCCGCTGGGGTGCCTAGCTGCGAGATGGCAGTCAGTCACGTCGATCAAGACGGCAATGTGGTCCGGCACCGCTACACTTTCGTGCGCACATGCTCCCACCCGGACACCCACTCACCGTTTCTCTCGTCGGCATGGCGCATGCCCAGTCCTTCGAGAGACTGCCCTGCAGAGGTGCATTCCGAACGTTCTCCGGATCCGAATCCGTGGTGCCCACCCAGAGCATGTATGTGTCCACCAGGCGAGTCGTCTGGACGGCAAGAGCGGGAACCGAAGGTTCCGCCGAGGGAATATATCGAGTGTCGACATGAATCCGCGGCTGCATCGTTGACGAGTTTTCCGAGATTGCTGTAGACATCGCGTTCGTGATGAAACAGGAGGCAGCGAGGAATGAATCAGTGAAGGATCCATTCGTGCTTGAACCGGCCCGCTCGCCCAATGCTGAGCGCTGAGCGCTGGTCCACCAGGCCTCATGCTTTCCTCCTGCCTCCATGTCTCAGGTCCATGTCCCTCTCGCTCACTAGATCTGAATCACCTTTTTATCAAACAATGGCTCCCGTAAATGACCAAGGGGAGATTGTCTGTTACTGCCGACAGCGCGCCGGATTTTCCACCAGCCGCACTGAAGCCAATCCAGACCGGTGAGTAGTATTACCCACCTCAGCCTACTACCACAAGAGTCCGGGTGTATGCGGGCGCGGTTACTCGGAATACAGCGTCAGATGCGTTTTGCATGTGACACCTTCTGGTCATTTTCTGGTAGTCGCTTGTATGCGAGATGGAGTGGGTTCATGTGAGCTATAATCTTCAGCACGTCTCCTTCGTTGTGGTTGGTCCCATAGCGAGACACTATCGCGAGAGGATTACGGTCTATGTCCGGATGCTTACTCATATCCCCCGTACTTGGGGTGATTCCCCGTGCCTTTTTGCATTGCAGAATACCATAGCACAAAGCTAACTGCGGTCTGAAAACAGCAATTTCTATGCGTGTGCCAAGAGCCGGGATGATCCAAAGAGGTGTAAATTCTTCGGTAAGCCGGTCATTCGTATTTCTAGTGACTGGTGCCCTCATCTCGTCACAAATAGAATGGGCCGATGACCCGTTAATGGTCCAAATCAGAGCCTTGCAGGCAGGCAACAGACCACATGGGCGAAGACAAAACCCCCAAGCTCAAACTGTTCTCTCATCTGATTGGTCCTCCCCAAACAAACGGCCACGGTCCTCTAGTCCTACATTCAACGTCTCGATTTTCGAATCGCCAACGAAGCAGCAGAAGATGACAGCCAGGTCATCGCCTGCCACGACAACACCGTGGGCCTCACCATCTGGCAGAGCACGCACCGAAGCCGGAAGGCTAGCCCGTTTGCAGAACATACAAGCCGAGGTGGAAGCTGTACAACGCGAGAACTCACCACTGTTTTCTGGCCTCGGCACACACGCTCCTTCCTCTCCTTCCACTCGACGATCTGCATCTGAACCTAGCCACGTCGAGGCCGCTGACCGCCATCCCACTCGATCAGATGTTCGACGGTCTCTGACCGCCTCTTCGCCGTCACAGAAGAGCATCGTGGCATCACACAGAGCGCGGACGCCCACCTCTTCCACGGATGCACACTCTGAGATTGAGGACGCAGATTTCGAAGAGATGGACGATAAGGGGGTTCAGACCGACCCCATCGAAGACGACGAAGAAGGCTTTTGGACTTCTCCCCCATCGCGCGGAGTGGTCAGTTTTTCGAACTCTGCTCTGCCTTCGCAAAATCAGTCGACAGGCACCGACGACGGCTCCGGGGCACACTGCGATCCCGAGTCCCGGGCGCCCGACGGTGCTCGCAATCGCTTCACACCGGACTACTCCTCATTTACCCCCGGCCGGAGTTCTACGCACGCATGGTCGCCCGGTGGGAACATGGGAAATAACGGCGCCAGCACCCTCCTCACCCCTCCCAGGAGCTCCCATACGGCCGCTGGATCTTTAGCCCAACGTGTTCGAGCACCTCTGCCCCCATCAGAAGAAGGACCGGACTCGCCCCCTTCGCCTTCCCCACGGAAAGCTAGGGGACAAGGATTCGCCCACTCGATTCCGGGCCCGGGCGTATCTCAATGGCAGATGATACAGAATGATTCGGTGCGCGTCCAGTTGTCAATTATACGCGGCTTATTCTGATTTTAAGCTCCTGGTTTCTTCTTTGTTGCTTCGTGGGCGATCATGGACCTGTCCGCGTGGTGCTGTCCGCGTCTGGTCATGCAGGAGAACCCATTCCATCAGCGAGTCGCAGACCTCAGGGCAAGCACCTCGGCCCTCACTGCCTCAACAAACCAAGAGAATTTTGCCGACCCACAAGCTGGGGAATGCTCAGCCGACTCTGTCGCTGCGCAGCTGGCCGCTCTGAGCGGTCTTCCTGACTATATCCGCAAGCTCGAACGAAGGGACCGTGCGGCGCAAAGAAGCCTGAAAAACAAGACGCAGAAGATTGGCCAGCTGGAGGGAGAGGTGCACTTGTGCGTATCTGTAGCATGCGTCGAGTGGAGTTCCCTCTTTGCTGACTGTCATGTCGTGAAGGCGAGACAACCATATCCGTACATTGGAGGCCACCGTCGCGCAGTTACAGGCCCGCCAGAAATGACTTGCCCTCGCCCACGCACCACCTTCGGTGCTTCCCTGCTTTCTCGACGCGATGAGCTTCGCATGCGGCAGGACGTGTCTGGAGCTGTCCACATCTCACGTGGACCTTTCGCGCCGTCTGCCTGGTTTTTTTATTTGGCTCCGGGATTACCTCGTGTCTCACCGATTACGCGGCAGGAATCCTAAACACGCTCGTCTTGACCCACGGTCTAAATTAACGGTCGGATAGTCGCGCCCTTTGCCTTTTCACAGTTTCCTCACCTTCGGGAATGCGGGGTAATAACAGTGGCAGTGGGGACCAGCGCCATGGACCAGGACCTCCCCCGGGCGCCGCGTGTGCGCCTGACGCCAGCGGTGTACCTGAGCCACTCACTCTTGCTCCTATTCTTGTGCCCTCGCTTGTAGTAAATCTCGCCTCGGCGGCCTGTATTGTATGTTGGTCTCAACTGGAGTTCCATGGGGGTTGTGGATGCTATGTCAAATCGGATTCGGTCTCTACATGCTCCGTACGTCGACTAGGATCATCTGCCAGAGACTCGTCGAAAACTTTGTGCCGGACCGTGAGCGTTGGTTTGCGTTGTGTTTTGTGCCGGCGGCGGCAATACGGTGCGGTTATCTGTGTACCGTTTCAGGAACGTAACGGCCACCGAGGCGAGGCTGGACGTCGGACATCGGTTATCCGGTAACAAGCAAGCCCACCATTTTCTTTGGAGCACTTAGTCAAGCAACCTTGCAACCGCTAACCCCTGGCAGAGCTTTACAACGGCATATTCAGTCTCTTGAGCAGCATTCGAATAGCATGAGCCTCATCATGTCAACAAAGCGACAACGAATCGAGTGACTGGGAGCTCCGATCTATCATTTATGGTTGCAATGCACCTCGATACATAGGAGCCCCACTCCCAAAATGTGTCCTCTCGCCCAGTAAAGCATGTTCGAAAATAACACAACACTGACGAAACGTTCTGCCTTCATGAAACCACAAAGCTTGCCGCCACTCCGCCGACGCGGGCCGACCCTCGGCACGCGCACCTTCACCACCTTAGCCCTGCCCTACTCCAGCTACCGACGCACCCGCGCAACGTCTGCCGGACCTAACCCGCTCCGCACTCGGTGCGCGGCGCACGCAGCGCCTCGGCGAGGAGCCGTGCAGTGTCCAAACTCCAAGTGTCCGACGCCCATCACCGTCTCGACGCGCAATCGCAACTTACGACACGCGCGTGCTCCGCGCGGCCCCCCGCAGCCCGTCGCGCACCCCACCCGCCACCCGCAACAGGCCCCGCGAAACAAGGACTGCAGCGGGGTGC